ACAACAACTGGACAACCTTGCCCAGTGTTTGATCGTCACGCTGCGCGGCGGCGAAGGCACTTCGGGTGAATTCGGCTTCGTCGACGGTCGTTTCCCGGCTAGGACGGCGTCGGCTCTGACTTCGGCGACGGCCGCTCCTACAGTGGGAATTTCAGCGACTAAGGTAAAGACATCGGCAAACAACGGTTCCAACATATAAGTATCAGCGTAGTTTGGTACATCGTACGGGTCTGACTCCGGTGCTTCATCCAGTGGTGATCGGCTGATGGCGTCGGCGTCCGTGTGCTGGTTTCCTTTGCGGTATATCACCTTGTACTGATACTTGGACAGCATGAAGGCCCATCGGTTGACTCTGGCGTTACCGGTACCGGTACGGCTGGACGAAAGCATGGTCTCCAGGGCTTTGTGGTCGGTTACAATGTCGAACTGGACGTCTTCAAGGAGATGTTTGAATTGGTCGACTCCGTAGATTACGGCGAGGCACTCCAGAGCAGTAATTTCATAGTTCCGCTCGTAGTGGTTGGTCTTTCGGCTTACGGCTCCGATGATGTGGCCGTCCTGTTTAAGGATGGCTCCAACGCCGTCCTTGGACGCGTCTGTCACCAGCTGCGGACGTGGTCCATCCCGGTCGAAATGGGCCAGCACTGGCGCTGAGCTGAGAGCCGTTTTCAGACATTCGAACGCAGTCTGCTGGTCTTCTCCCCACTGGAACTTAAGCCCTTTCTTGGTGAGACGGGTTAACGGTTCGGCAATTGTGGAGAAATTCGGGATAAACGTCCGGTAAAACGTTCCCATTCCAACGAATCGCTGGACGTCTTTCAGACATTTTGGTACTGGAAACTGGGCAATCGCGGAAATCTTTTCGGGTTTGGTCGAACACCGTCTGGAGACAGGATGTGGCCGAGAAACTCGACTTCCTGGAAAGCAAACCGGCATTTGGAAGGCTTCACGGTGAGGTTATACTTTTCTAGGAGTTCTAAGATGCGGTCGAGGCGGGCGCACAGGTCTTCAAACGTCGCGGCGAAGATGAGGATGTCGTCGATGTAGACGATGCAGGTTATCCACAGTTCGCCGGCGAGCACCGTGTTCATCATCCTCTGGAATGTGGCTCCAGCGTTGCAGAGCCCAAAGGGCATCCGGACGAACTCGTACAGTCCGTCCTGGGTGCAGAAGGCGGTCTTGTGGCGGTCTTTTTTGGCAACCGGAACTTGCCAATATCCGGACATGCAGTCGAGCGTGACGAACCAGGCGGCTGCTCCAATGGCGTCGATCGCGTCGGCAATCCGGGGCATCGGGTACGCGTCTTTAACTGTCTGGGCGTTCAGCCCTTTGTAGTTGACGCAGAAGCGTTTGGTCATCTTCTCGTTCTCGAATTTGTCGACGAGGACAACCGGTGCGGCATACGGTGAGGTGGAGTCGGCAATGATTCCATCCCTTTTCATTTCGGCGACCTTTTCGCGGATGAAGGCACGGTTCGTCCACGAGGTGCGGTACGGCTGTTGGTGGACTGGCGGTGAGTCGCCGGTTTCAATGGTGTGTTCGGTGGCAGTGGTGCAACAAACGGGTCGGCCCGGTGACGGAAAAGCTCGGCAGCGGCGACGTAGTACTGCGAACAATCGGTCGCGCTGGCTGGTCGTCAGCCGTGGATTGATGATCATGGAGCGGAGTTGTTCCTCCAAGGCCGGAGAAACGGGCTCGTAGGCAGAGTCTGCCGCCGCTGGGTTGCTGTCCACACTGAATGAAAGGACCGGTGCGTCAGGGTTTTCCGTGTACAACTCCAAAGTTCCAAGCGGTGTGGATCCACGGAGGGTTATGTCACGGTCCCAGTAGTTCTTTGCGAACGTGTACGCGGTTCCATTGTGGACGGTTACAATGGCGTGTTCGAGAAGGATATCACCGCGGGAGAGCGCGTCGTTGTGCTGCGGGTGGCCGGACGGCTCAAATGGCGTGCGGGAAGGAATGAACACGTAGTCACCATCATTGGCGGTGGTTGAAGGGAATGCTAATCGGATCGCGAGTCCGGACATGGCTGGCACTGTGACTTCCTCGGCAAGGACCACCGGGATCGAGACTGCTTGGACGCTGCAGGGGCTTAGCACATCGTGTGCGGCTGGCGACCTTTGGGCGGATTCGGGTTCTGTAGGCAGCAGAATAATCCTGTTGGTCAGTCGCAGTGCGATAGCTGGATGAGCGTTCTCGCAGGTCAGCTTGGTAGTCGGTTGGGAGTGCAGCTTGTTCCGGGACAATGGTACGGTCCTGACAGCGAATTTGAAACGGTTTTCCTCCATAAAGTCCATGCCCAAAATGATTTCGGGCATCGCATTGTCGTCCCGGAGGAAAATAGTGTGCGGTACGTTTCACCGAAGAGATTGACAGATATGTCGGCACATGTGGTCCCAACTGTCCGGGTATCTCCGTTGCAACCGGTCACACTAAACGACTGGTGAGGTTCGGGAAGAGGTTTCGGTATAGCGTGCAGATCGGTACAAAAGGAGGCTGGCATGATGGAAGTACTGGCGGCAGTGTCGAGAACAACTGGGCGTGACACTCCGTTGATGGTGACAGACTGGCGTAACATCGTGGAAATCTTCGGCTTGCCATCATGCACAAACGCTTCATGAGACATCATTGGGACTTCGAAGTTTAGGTCGGAAGGTGGTGGTTCCGGTGTGGGATCGTTAGGAGATACGGCGTTGACGTGACCCACTGGCGTCGCCGCTAGTGGTTTTTTGGCTGGTCACTCTTCAGGTACACTTTCTCCGTAACAGGTCCAAAATCCGCTGGTTTGGTTGGGCAGCGATCGCTGTGATGACCCGGAACACCGCAGAACCAGCACTTCGGTGGTTTTTGCTGATACGGACGTCGGTCTTGATCGCTGGTACGGGCTGGCTTTGGTGGCTGCGGTGGGCACGACGATGTGGGCTGCTCGGCCGGCTTGGGCTTCTCTGCCGGTGTCGGCACCGGTTCGCTGGTGCGGGCCGAAAACGACGGTTTCGGTTTCCATGGCTGCTTCTCTGGCTTCGATTCCGAACTGGGTTTTGATCGCCGACTCTGCGTTTCGTCAATGGCCACGGCTCGGCGCATGCGGGTCTGGAAATCGTGGATGGTGGCCGGTGCAAAGCTCACGATGCTGCGGTACAGTTCGGGTTGGCCGGCCAGGCCGTTGGTCAGGAACCCGACCACTTCCAACTCCGACATGTCCGGATTGACGGCAAAGGTCAACACTTGAATGGCCTCGATGTACTGGTCCGGCGTCTCTGAACTGGTGTACTGGCGTTCCTGTAGAGCCAAACGGGCTTTCCATGCACGGTCCTGGTCATGGAAACGGTCGATCAGGACTTTCTTCAACTCGGTGTACGTTCGGTCCGGCTTCTGGGCATCGATGCGCATGAACACCTTCAACGCTTGACCTCCAAAATGGGATGGTATTGCTGCCAGCTTCGCAGTATCGGTCCACTGATTTGCCTTGGCAGCGCGTTCGAACAGCACGAACCAGTGCTGAATGTCCATGTCGGAGTCATCGAACGTCGGCGGCTTCACAAACTTTAGGTTAGACTTCGGTATGGGCTGATGCGGTGCTTCGGTGATGTAGACTGGACGCGTTTCAGCGGCAGCATGGCGCAACGGCGGTGTTGGACTCGGCGTCTGCGGCGACTTCTTGCGTCGTTCCTTCTCAAAAGCCTTGGCCAAGGTGTCCGCAAGTTGATCCGGATCCAGCACCATCAGATGCTGGTTAGCTGTTGGTGACCGCTCGGGGCGGTTGGCGCGGTATTCCGGAGACTGTCGGGAAACTACTGTTTCTGCCATCGGTGAGTTACTGCGGCTATCGGACAGACGGGAGTTCTCGGCGGCCAGCTTCGCATTCTGGGCCTGGAGCTGGGCAATGTACGCGGACTGGTCCTGGAAAACACGTTCTTCCTTCGTGATGGACGAACGGCTCTGGGCGGTTGGCAACACCGCAGAAATGGCGCTGCCCGCGGCTTTGATGGCGGATGAAAGGAAATTTCGGACTGTGGCCAATGATTTGCCGCTCTGTATGGACACGATTGAAGAGTCGGATGATCGGCGGGATTGTTGAGAATGCGCTCGCGGAGGTTCGGCGTGAATGTCGGCCATGGTAACAATAGCTTCGGGGTTCATCCTAGGACTGGAGACTGCACTTACTTGCTGGCCCGGTGTGTTCCGTGCGTGCTGATCTTGACGGCGAAAAGACTGTGGTTCTTTATCGGCCATGGACATGATAGACGACGGACGCGGATGGCTGATCGGTGCAGGTTCGAAACCGTAGCGGACGGGTTCCTTCTTGTTACGCGTTGGCTTCGATGACATGGTTTCTGAACGCCGATGAATCGTGAATGTGATTGGTTCGAAACACTTCGAGCGGGGTAATTCTCAAATCCGATTGGTCGGTCACTGGCTCCGCCTCTTCTCGAGTCCGCGGTAGACGCTACGTGAATGTAGGGAAAAACTTCGGAAACCTTCGCGGTTTTGACTCGGTGGTTTCTTTCCGTTGGAGGAAATAAATGGCAAATGGCAAAATTAAATATCGGTTCCAGGATAAAATCGGAAGGGAAGATGCGGAAGATTGAGTGCTTCGTATAATGGTTCCTAGATTATTCCTCGTTGCGAGCTGGTAGGCTCAAGCAACGTGGTAACAACTAGAGGCTTGCGTTCCCCCATGTTACACGTGGTGGCGTGTATAACGGTCCCGTAATGGGAAGATCAGACGGAAAAGACAAACGGGAATAAAACTGCGGTTTTATTCGTATACAAAAACATCATCGGAAGGCACAAATCTGCGCGAATGGTAATGCGCAGGAAAATCGTAAAAGTCAGGGAAAAAATCAGGAGAAAATCAGAATGATATCATAATCGAAAAAAAACACTCAACTCGATCGGATATGCCGATGAGGAGAAACAGAACAGGGAATCACATCCTATGCGTCGTCTACTCTCACACTACTCATGATACGTAAAAATTACGGTATAAAGCGACTACAAGTGAGCACTGACGTAAGTAAAGTCTGTTTTTCGGTCGTTTGACTTCTTGTGAGTAAGTCACTGATTTTATGAAATTTGTCAACTTTATAATTGCAATATAATGTGGTAATTTTATTGATTGTGTTTAAAAGTACTTCATAATTTTTTAAATCGGTGGTGATCATTTTCGGACAAAATTCTGGCTGTTCTTAGTGTTGAAGAGATGTTGAAGTTTTCAGCATTCGTACACTATCCCATGTTGACTTGGTTAACCGTTAACGGTTAACCACTGAAGAGTATTTCGGAATAATAATTCGGATTTGGTGTATGCCAAACGGCTACGATACGACCGCCACACTTTCACTTGCGAGTTTATCGAGGAGCCCGAGATACCTTTGTTTGATCTTTAGAAGTCGAAGTCCTAATTTGGATTGCCATTATGTTATTATCATGAATGATAACCTGCCTTATAATCATGGCACGCGATAAAATCCCTTCTGCACTGTTGTCTTTTATTCCGGGCAGTCAGTGCAATGACAGCCTACTCATCCGAGGCACAAGGGACGGCGAAAATTCCTGAATACAGGTTATTTCTTTTGTGTTACAAAGAGTTCGTGTTCAAAGAACTGTGGCAAGTGATCTTCAGCGAGTGTAAAAAAACCCAGTATTAATTGCCCCTGTTCCATTTCATCTCTGGTGAAAGGGAAGAATGTCCTCGCACAGCACTTTGAAATCTCGGGCCAACGATCGGCATGAACAGGAGGACGATGGTAAGACTGGAGAAAACGTGAATTTTGAATCGGAAGTAGTGTTTGCGAAACCTTACTGGCTTTTTTTCCATTGCGTACGGTGCCTGTTTACTATAATTGTGATACATTAATTATAGCTTGTTTTTTGAAGAAAAACCGATGATAAATCGCAATTGTTTCACCGGTTTCGTATAAATAAGAAGTGAGTAAAGCTCACACCTCCTGTTTGTCTGCAAATTTTCATGACGACTAGCTGCAGGCCGTTTCCTGCGGTACCGCTAAAATGAGTCACAAAGTTTGTAAACACTTGCCATTTCTTTACGGTTAAAAAAAAATCTGAAATTTCTGTCTAATTCCGGCCTGCCGCTGGTTTTGCTGCTAATTGGTAGGCTGTTAGCTATCAGTTGTTTCTTGAATTTAATCCGCAGTGCAGAATTCGCAATAAAAAATTTACAGCGATCGAACTGTTCGCATTGTTTTTAAAATTATCGAAAGATTTTGGCTTCATGTTTATTTTAGAGGAGTCAGCCGGAGATTTCGATGCAGTTCTGGAGACGGTAAATCCGTTTGGGAAATACCAGAAAATGATGATACGTAAGTAAATATTAATCCCGATGATTTGCGATTTATTCTCCTTGAAATGTGACATGGCTTGCTTTTTTAGTTTTCGTTTTCCTTCCTGCCGTTATTCCGGGATCGTTCCATGGTTTCAATCAGGTACTTGATAGAACCAGTTGGTACATTAATTTTTTCAGCAGTATGCAATTGTTTCATTAGGTTTTTTTGGCCGCGAAGTATAAGGATTTTTGGTGTAACATCCCAGATTTGGCTACCAGTGTCTCTAATGCTACTGAGCGGTTTACCTACTTGCCTAAGCATGCGGACAGGAATATGCACAGTCAGTGCACTATGTACAATGCGTCTGCAGAATTTCTAATGAGTTTACCGCGAAATTCAACGGAAAGCATTCAAGCTGATGTGCCTGTGGTCCCTTGCCAAAATGGATGGGAATACGATAAAAGTTTTTATCAAAACAGTATTGTTGCCGAGTGGAGCCTAGTCTGTGATAAACAACATTACCCTACAATTGCATTGGTAAAATCTGAACCTTGAATCGTTGGAAGTTGTATCGGTTTGCTCTGAAAAACAATTCTTTCGTAGATCTGTCTTATGATGGGAGCAGCAATAGGGACCCCTATATTCGGTTTTATTGCTGACAGATGGGGTCGGAAATTGGCATATTTTATCTGCATTTGTACTCAACTTTGCGGTGGTATTACTACCGGTTTTTCCCACAATTTTGCCATGTTTTGCTTTTGCCGATTCGTTGTCGGGGCCACGTACCCTGCATCCTGGTCAATTCCGTTTACCTTGGCAATGGAAATTATCACTCCAAAGTATCGAGCATCGTTTGCGGCTGCAGCTTCCATTTCTTATAATCTGGGAGCTATTATTGTTGTTGGGATTGCATATTGGATACAGAACTGGAGAGAATTCGCATTGGCAACTTGCGTGCCGTTATCCTATGTGTTTATTTATTGGTGCTTTATGCCGGAATCACCACGATGGCTCTTAACAAGAAAACGGATAGCTGAAGTGCAGAGTTTTTTATTTAAAGTCGCCAGATGTAATGGGACACGATTTGAACCGTTAAAAATGGAGAATGTTATGCGCGGCAATAAGGATTGGGATAACATAACAAAAGCCAAAACCTATTCGTACTTCGATCTTGTTTGCTCCCCTAATCTCAGAAAGAAAACGATCTTATTGTCTTTCATCAATTGTGCCAATTTATCTGTTTATTTGGGGTTAAGTTATTACAGTCCCTCATTGGGCAGTAATCCGTTCCTGAGCTATACACTTTACGTGTTAGTTGAAATTCCCGCGTATATTTTTGTTTATCTTGTGGCTGACCGATTTGGACGGCGTTTACCTACTGTAGCATGCTTACTCTGTGGCGGCGCCGCTTTGTTAGGATCAGCGTTTGTGCCCGATGAAAATTCGCAAATATTACTATTATTAGGTCTTATTGGAAAACTATGCATTAGTGCCTCCTTCACGTTTGGCGAAATCTACGAGCAGGTGTGTGATTGCCTGTTATTCTTGTTGTTTTCATATTGTTTTGTGTGACATTGCTTCTTTATGATTTATGTTTAAATGTTCTTCTTGGTTTGAAGCTGTCTTTTGCTGCTAGTTATTTACATATTTATTAATGTTCCAGAAGTAAAAATTATGTATGTTCCAGAAGTAAAAATTATGTTTCTTTTTATAGGAGTTATTTCCAACTGTTGTTCGGAGCCAAGGCGCGTCACTGACACAAAACATATCCAATGCGGTTGCCTGTGTCTTTCCATTAGTGAATTACCTCGGTGACAATTATCTAGCTTATCCGGTTATTATTTTTGGAGGAATATCCGTGATAGCGGGTTTTTCTGCGCTATTTCTACCGGAAACGTTAGGAACAGATCTACCACAAAGCCTAGAAGATGGGGAACTATTTGGACGAAATATGACATGGAGGGATGTGACAAGATTGTGCCCAGCAGAAGCCCCGGGTGCAGTAGAGATTGTGGGCGAAATGAATAATCGCCGTCCAGTGGAAGTCCACAGCAATGGCGATTTGGCTGCTCAAGTGGGGGCGACAACCACGAGTCTTCTTGCCACCACTTCGAAAAGTTGATACTTTTTGTGATAGTACAAGTGCTGTTTTAATTTTGATTGCATAGTACATTATTTTTGATCTGTGAAGTGAGTGATGTGCTCCTGTAATTTATAATTCTGGTAATTGGTGTGTTGTCTCGTCTTGCGGTGTCAGATGAAAGACGCGTTTTCTCAACTTGGAACTAAAAATTTTAACTTTTGGATGACAGATACAACAGGAATAATGCCGTATAAAAAGAATGATATGTGAAAAGAATAAACCTGGTCACAAGCACCGCCGGAAATGGGACCGCTTGTGGCGCACTCGTTGCGCAAATTTACTGTACTTGCACACTGCACAGCCGTTTTGCACGCTCACTTGTAGCATGGCTTTCTGATGTACCTACGCTGCTTCGTACTCATATCCGTTAACAACAAAATTTGTTTTTATTCCGCAACTTAAATTTTTTTCCTTATTTGTCTTCGTATTTCCTAAGCGCAAGTGATAAGTTACAAGTGGGCCAGTGGCCATTATTGTGCAGCGGGTTTTATGTTAGAATTTGGTTGGGGAACTGAAAATTTCGGAATGAGTAAGGACGTCGCACAAAAGCGCGGACGTAGTCCTGTCCGATCGGAAGATAATGACGACGAATGGATCGGCCCATTGCCATCAGAAGCTGCGGAGCCTATCAAGAAAAAAAAGACGCTACCCTTTGAAAATGTCTTTTTGGACGCCTTGCCCAGTTCGGATGCGTATGAGCGGAGTTACATGCACAAGGACCCTGTGGCGTTTGTCCGCATGACGAAAACCGAATTCCTTATAACTGCTAGTACTGATGGCCATTTGAAATTTTGGAAGGTACGAATAAAATAGTACAGGAGCATGAAAATGTTGTTTTGGAGCTTGCATATCAAATTTGTAACAAAAGTGCGACCTACTGTTGAAAAGTTATTGCTTTGGATTCTTTCCAAAACCTTTTGAGTGTTTGTGTTTCATTTAATGATTTCAATTTTACATTCATCATTTTTTGTCTTCATATCAGTTTAGTACCCATATCAGCATATGTTATACTTGCAAGTGTCAGTATATGGCATTTCATTATAGTGCATATTTACTCTGATTATGATGCTCGTTTTCTATGCTTAATTTTTTTCGTCTTTCTGGATTTCCATTTTTTGGTTATGGAAGCGATTGTACTTTGCGGAGTTCGAAAATCAAGAGAAATTTATTAAACCTACGGCTGTTTTACAGAAAATGGAGCGTGGAATTGAATTTGTAAAGCATTTCCGAGCCCATATGGGAAACATACAGTTTATCAGCGTAAACACGACAGGAACTCTCCTGGCCACTATCAGTTCAGACAAGAGCATGAAAGTCTTCGACGTGATAAATTTCGACATGATCAACATGATGAAGCTGGGCTACACTCCGCTGACGTGCGAATGGATCCACGCTCCGGGCGAACCTGTATCCACTGTCGCCGTAGCGGATAAGGATTCGCCGCGGATACTCATTTACGACGGACGCGGCGTGAATGAACCACTGAAAGTGCTGGACACCCTCCATCGCTCTCCCGTCGTGATCATGCGGTTCAATGCTGTTTTTGAGACGGTTGTGTCGGTGGATAAAACCGGTATTCTGGAATACTGGCGCGGTGCATCGGGCGACTATAAATTTCCACAAGATCTGCTCAAGTTTGAATTCAAGAGCGACACGGATTTATTTGATTTTGCGTCGAGTAAATCTGTGCCAACAGGAATTGATTTCTCCAAAGACGGGAAACTGATGGCTACAATTGCCACCGACCGGAAAGTTCGCGTTTTCCGATTTTTGACAGGAAAGTTTTACAAAGTGTTGGATGAATCCATAAAAAGCTTCACAAGCTCTCTGGACGTGACATCGAAGATGTCCATTGTGGAACGAGAGCGACGCATTGCTGTAGAAAGAGAACTGGAAAAATCGGAAGCGTTCAATTACGCGAACATATTATTTGACGACAGCGGAAATTTCGTTCTGTATGCGACACTGCTCGGCACGAAGGTTGTTAATTTGGTTACGAACAGAATATCCCGAGTGTTGGGAAAATCGGAGGGTCTTCGATTCCTAAGCCTGGCATTGTTCCAAGGGAAAATTCGCACGATGAAAGCGGCCACGACAATAGAGGCGCAAGCCAGTGATAATCCCATAATGGACATCGCAGAATCGGATCCCACGCTGTTCTGCACCGCGTTCAAGAAAAACCGCTTTTTCCTTTTCTCAAAGCGAGTGCCGCTAGAAACCGCAACCGAAGAGAGTGATCGCGATGTATTTAACGAGAAACCTAGTAAGGAGGAAATCCTTACCGCCACGGAAAGTCGCACAGAAAAACGAGTGTCAAACAGTGCCGTTATCCATACTACCTTGGGCGATGTACATGTTCAGCTGTTCCCCAACGAATGTCCGAAGACGGTGGAGAATTTCTGTGTTCACTCCAAAAATGGCTACTTTAATGGGCACATCTTCCATCGCGTAATTAAGAGCTTTATGATTCAGACGGGTGATCCGAAAGGCGACGGCACGGGCGGGGAATCCATTTGGGGCGGTGAGTTTGAGGATGAATTCCATCCGACGTTGAAGCACGATAGACCTTATACGCTCAGTATGGCCAATGCCGGACCCGGAACAAATGGATCTCAGTTTTTCGTCACGGTCGTGCCGGCACCGTGGCTGGATAACAAACATACAGTGTTCGGGCGAGTAACCCGGGGCATGGAAGTTGTACAGAAGATCAGCCTGGCCAAAACACATCCCAAAACCGATAAACCATACGATGACATTTCCATCATAAATATTGCTGTTAAATGAATGAATTTGTTTTGTTGTTTTTAGTGTTTTGTATCGCATGTTTGACATTTACAGTTTGTTAATTTCACTGCCTCTGAAAATGTTATGCAAAGCTTTAGGGTTAGCAAAATGGAAGGATCAATAAACATAACTAAATCTGCATTAAATCAATTGTGTAGCTTGGGTAAAATCTTAGAAGATGAACTGATTGCGATTGCTATCCGCATATCTAGCATCTGCAAGCTGTTTGCTTTCATCACATGATGTCAACTCGCATAGAAGTAGCCTTGTTTGATTAAGTGGCATCGACTGTGCTTAGTCTTACACTGCTTGGTCATTGCCATGCTGCATTTGCCGCACGAATTTTCACGTGTTTCCAAGTGCAGAAACTATGCGCTGACTATTTTTGTTTATTTCCGTGTGACGAGCTCACGTTTTTTACAATAAATTGTCGCGATGAAAGCTGTTCAGACAGCGATTTTGACAGTTCTGATCAGTGTATCATGGGCTGTTTTACTTCGCGATCCCAAAAAACTGCCATGTGAAGAGTATGATTTGTTTGATCCACCAACCAAAATTCTGCGAGAGGCGAATGGCGCTAGTCCACCGGAAACCAGCGAAGATCTTGCTCACCAGGTGGTTCATCAGCTCAATGCACGAACGAATTCCTTGTTTAAGTCCATGGTAGTCCAAGTGAAGCACTCTCACAAACAAAACGATGGGAACGAACGGTTGACCTTTTACCAAGTGGAAACTAAGTGCAGAAATAATGGGAAACCGCCTCATACCCTCATCGGCTGTCCTTATCGACAGCAAGGAAAAGTAAGTAATCAACATAAAACAAACATACACGAACGTAGGCTTACGTCTGTGCATACTGTTCTTATGTTTTTTCATCCTTTTAGGTACAACTTAAGATAGCTTTAATTTTACGTAAAAACATAATTAACAGAAGTACGCGTAATTAGACTAATTACCAAAAATAGGTTACTAATTTGGTACAGTTTGATTTCAGTACTTACTATTAACATAAGGCGTTATTTTTCTCGTTAGGTACAAGAATGTACCGCTACAATCACACCTGGAACACACATTAAGGATGACAGCGTCGCTTGTAAGCCGGCGCACTTCGGACAAATTTTAGGAACGAGCTCGAATGATTTTGATCATGTCGACTGGGCTGACCTGCAGGTAAGTCATGCAAATACATAATTTAATATAACAACCCAAAGAACACAGGTTAGAGAAAAACATGTAACCCTCAATGCCGCATACAGCAGCAACAGATTTTTTAACACTGTATCGAAAAATTATCCAATGTTACATCGTCGAATTATCGTTGCCGTAATTAAATTCTTTAGAAAACCGCTGATTTCTGACTGCCAAGATATAAATACAACTGTTTTTGTACCCGTACAGCAACTTCAAGACTTGCCACTGACGGGTTTTCGGACACCATCGCATGAGAACTTTAAATGCTTCAAACTGCGTTTTGGAAAGACTTATGCTACTCAAGAAGGCATGTCCATAATTATCAGTTCCAGAATGATAAATCCCCAGCTTTTTTTGAAAACGTTACCTTTTGCCAGTATTGTATATTTTTTTGCTTCTGGTAATGATAATAATTGATAAGTAATTTTTATATATATTTACAGTACGTACTGCTGTGATACTTGCTTATTGTACCGATCTTACAGCATTTGTCAAACTCCAAACTAGGCGTCATTAGTTTTTATACAGTATTGTAAGATAATTAATGCGTAATAAAAAATGTTGCACAAAATATCCAGTGAGTTGGGTTTGCAGAGCATGATCGGAGGTTCAAGTTGTTCCAGACAAATATGAAACGTGCGTATTTGTATCAAATCACTGAACAGGTAAACGTAAATTAACCACTGGGGCAGTCCGGTAAAATTTCGCTACTTGTTGTTCACTTTGCACATTATTGTTAGGGAACCGGCACTTACGGCCCAACAAAGTTCAGCGATTTAACAGGTATGATCTCTCCGCAATAATTATGAATGATTTCGGAGCTGGAACTATAAGATATATACATTTTATAAATTTTAAAAACGCAAGGTCAATTACAAAATTTCGTCCAGAGCCGATTTGAGCGTACGACGGGACCCGGTGTTTTTCATGTTTTAATTTTGTACAGTGGAAGAATTCCGAAGCCTGTACACGGGATTAAAACCTTTGCCAAACTGGAACAAAAATCTTCGAGCTGCACAAATACCGGACAATGCCAACGCTCTTCCGGAAGCCTTTGACTGGCGGAACAAAAGCGCAGTAACTCCTGTAAAAGACCAGGTGGGCAATCCAACAGAGCTCAAATAATTTTCTTGATTGACGATTCAGTTACGTACACAAACTTACTAACAGTATTATAAAATCTTCTCCCAGGCGTGTGCTTGAAATCTGTTTTTTGTAAATTGCTCTCTTTTTGATATATCATCAGGGTCAGTGTGGATCGTGCTGGGCGTTTAGTACAACCGGAAATATAGAAGGACAGTGGGCGATCAAAAAGGGCAAATTAATTTCATTATCGGAACAAGGTGAGCAAGCATTATACACGACCGAAATAATATTATCGATGAAAAATCTCCGTTATAATGCAGAATATGGGAAATTACCGTAGATCATCACAGAGGAAAGTTTGCATGTGTGTTCCTACTTGCCTTTTTTTAAATAAACCTTGTGTATAAGATTTGGAACAAACTGGTTATTACTTATGTACTATCAGCAAAATCAAATGTATGTAAATAACGAGCTGATATCATGTGTGTCTATCAATGTTTACCAACAATTCGATGTGTTCTGTTATAATTCGTGTTGCTTTGCAGAACTAGTGGACTGTGATAAAGTGGACCAAGGCTGTGGAGGAGGTAAGCTGTAATCGCCGTTTAGTCCCAACCCCGAAAAAATCTTACAGCAGTTCTATTTTTCAGGACTCCCCAGCAATGCGTATAAAGCGATCATCGATATTGGCGGCTTGGAGAACGAAGCCGATTATCCCTACGACGGAAGAAACGATAAATGCACGTTCAAGAAGGAAAAAGTTATGTGAGTCTAATGTGTGTATAGCTTGTAAAAACTGGAAATCACCTGAAACAATTCATTTTAATTATTATGGTTGCAGTGTGTACATCAACGATTCCGTGGAAATCAGCCAGGACGAAACTGGTAGGTGACCTTTTTAGCCTGTTTGTACTACTTATGATGTACGGACATCTTGCTTACCTTACCATGCAATCTAGCCAAATTTTGTTATTATTGTAGAAATGGCGCAATGGCTAGTGGATAACGGCCCGATATCTATCGGAATCAATGCCAATGCAATGATGGTAAAATGTTGTTAATTTGTTAGCATGGAGTTTCGAGTAGGCGTAGAATAAAACAATTGCCATTTTTTGTTTCTTTCAGTTGTACATGGGGGGAATATCGCATCCATGGAAGTACGTGCATGCAGTACTGTGCCGAACTGCAGTTTCACACGTATTAAATAACCCTTCCCGAGCTACTCGTAGTGGTCTGTACTGAATGCCGCTTGTTGTCACTTATTTATTGCACTGTATTACAGAGTCGTTTGCAGTCCAAAAAACCTTGATCACGGAGTACTTATCGTCGGATACGGAAAAGGTGGTCATAATCAAGCTGATTGCGAAGTCTTTTTTGTGATAATTCGAAATACAGAGTTTATCTGCACGTACTGGCAATGGACGACACTACAATTTTGAATTTGCTAGCTGACAACAAATTTATTTTGCTAACCTGATTTGGTTCTATTTTAATTTTGGCAGATGGGAAAAATCCTTACTGGATAGTGAAAAACAGGTTAGCACATTTTCTAACACAACTATGAGCGACTTCTCTTCAGTATGATTGCTTGTCCATTCGACTGATTTTCTAGTACTGGATCTCTGTTAAGTACTTAACTGAATCTGTGTTGCAGTTGGGGTCCGCACTGGGGTGTTAAGGTAATAAATTTATAAAAATTACGCCGCGTTAGCTGGATTTTGCCCTGTGTGGATTGTGTTTATTGAATTATTATTTGCATGACGTACTAAAATCATGACCCTGTTACAGATGTGAAAAATATTTTTTAGGGATACTATCTTGTTTACCGCGGGGATGGGACTTGCGGGTTAAACCAGATGTGCACGTCGGCAGTCGTGAAGTAAATGTCATTGCCTTGCGGGTCATCGGAAAAGTGGATAGTAGACTGGATACTGTACCCTCTAACTGCAAATCAAAGTGACCTTCGAACCTGGAGTTTGCTCAGGATGCCATTTGATTTCTTTATTATTAATCAGCCATTACTTTGTACATTTCACCAGTTCACGTCGTATATAGTTTCATTTTTAAAAAAAGTTAGTACCATAAAAAATCAAACACACCTCACTCATCGGTATGGGTATACAGCAAAGCTATACTTACAAGTATCAGCCATAAAACAGTTAACAACAAAAAAGAAAGAACAGTGGTACGGTTATAATCACTGCACATTACACGAGATTCTTGTGTTCTTGATAAATTTTGTCAAAAACGTCACGACATGTAATTTTGGCTCTCATATTCGTGCAGAGGAGAAACGCCCCGGCGATTTTGCGATGAAGCGAATAGCTCTCGTCAGGAGGCGGCGTGAGGCGGTGCTCGGCAAAAACGGGAAGAATATTATGAATGCGTTTTGTGATATCCTGCTGACCAAAATCGTAGGGCTCATCATTACGGAATGGTTCTCCCAATATCATAACCGCGTCCACATGTGCTGCTTCTAACATCTGCGAAGGAAGTGTCCCGATTATTTTGTTCAAGCAATTAAATCAAACCTACCCTCGCAAAATTTCCACATCACTTTTATTTCTAATAAAGATATGTTTCTGTATTATTTGCCGTAAAAACTTTCGAGCGAAACACTTCAAAAACATTTTTCTCCAAAACAGCCGGTTGAATTCATCACCTCAAATTAAAATAAAACAAGAAAAACCCTTTCCTTACCTTCGTTTCCAATCCCGTCAGAAAACCAAGCTTCTGAGAATTTTTCAGCACCAAATCACGGTCGCCAACCGTGGCACCTCGAATGACTTCAATATAGACATCAATGAATTCTTTCTCAAATGTCCTAGCAGCTCCAAAATCCAGCAGATACATCTGTAAAATTAAAAAAAAACACATACATAGTCAGACAGTTGCTGATATAACATGTACAACAAATGTTTCGGTCACCTTTTTATTGTCGTGATTGTAAAAGAAATTGGCCCAGTTAGGATCGGTCTGCATCAGTCGATGAATGAAAAGTTCCTCAAAGCAAAGTCTTAGGAAGCTTTTGGCGATCTGTCAAAATAAACTGACTGACGCATACATAAACAGTAATGCAGATATTTGCATTATAGTTATGATTATGTGTAACAACACACACACGATACCATATTCCGCGTATCCTGATCGTAATGTAACGCTTTATCAAGAGGCTCTCCGTAGATAAATTCCGTTGTCAAAATTTTTCTACTGCATAAGTGGTCGATAACTGCCGGAACAATGAATATTGGATCATCCTTTAGCACGTTTCTGCAACGACCCCATTATTACGGGAAAAGGTCGTGACCACATTTTTGTGCAGTTAATTTTTGAAAATGCAGGGTATACGTAAAATTTAGTTAGCGGCAATCCAAAAACTTCAGCAATTTTTTTTATATTCAGCATCTAACCGGAAACGTTTCATGTATTCCGCTTCCCGAATGTAGTCGCATTCCCAGGCCATTTCAACTCGCGCTACTCGCATCAGATTGTCCATGTACAAACCCTTAGGAAATATATTCCACATATTTAAGATCCCCATTAAATTGTTGATGTCGCTGTTAATTCCTTCGGCCACACCCGGATACTGGATTTTCACAGCCACTTCACGCCCATCAATCAATTTCCCGAAATGCACTTGACCGATGGATGCCGCAGCGAACGGCGTATCGTGGAATTCCGCAAATGTTTCTCTCCATGTCGAACCCAATTCGCTTTCCAGAACATCCTAACACGTGGAAACGATCGTATGCCCATATGTTTTTCTAGGTCAAAAAGTAACGCACCTCCATTTGTCGCTTTGGCATAAAATCCGCACTCTGACGCACACGTTCGAAAATTTGCTGCACTTGTGGATTGATTAAAGCGGTATCTGTAAATACGAGTATGTAAAGCAAGACCAATTAAATTTCGCTATCTCTGCTCAGCAATATGTAAAAAACCAAGAATGCACATTACCTTGCATGCTCAACATTTGCCCGAGCTTTAGTGCTGCGCCACGCACCCGGCACAGCGTGTTAACAATCCGCTCAGCATTGGCGTCGGTCAAGAAAGCACTGCGATCCAGGACGCCGCTGCCGCTGGCATCCTCTACAGATAAAAAAAACTGTCAGGTTAAAAGTTAGCAATAAATTCTGCCGACAAGTCCTGCCTTTCTGGCTGACACCAAGTGTGCGCCTGGCCACTTCAGCGATGGCTCCCATTCCCAGTCCAGCCGCTAATCCGCCGAAGGACGCGAGTCGAGCTGCACGCGAAGCCGGCACACGTCGTTCTCGTGATTTAGGACCCAACTACAAAAATCATAAAACAGCTTTTTAAAGCAAGCATGGCATAATAATATGTAATACTATAAGTATCGGCTTACATTCAAACCATTCTCAAATTAATTTTTCTCTGTGTAATATTAATTATTATTTCAGCATATCACGTGAAATCACACGGTAAAAACAAGTTCTTATACCCCGTACGCTTTTTCATTTGACTCTCACTTCTTGAAGTTGATACACACTTTTTCGATAATTTGCGCAAATCTATTTATACTTAACGGACGAATAAGTTTGCATTATTATGCAAAGTGTAATACTGGGTTGTCCATTGAGTCTACGATTTCATCCAAGTTTTAGTAATATACCTCGTAGTTCGTACATAACAGCAAAACAAATCATAAAGTATGCATTCGTTCAGTGCTTTCTTTCCGGCCCGTCCTCACCGTTAGGGATTAAGCGGAAGGAAGCGAGGATACATAATTTTAATTACACTGCAACACCGCAGGCGAGCATAAAATCTTTGCATTTTATTACATACATAATAACTCTGCATATACTGTATAAACATGAATATGAAAGCCATTTCAAAAGCCAAAACAGCAACAATCGTATTTGGTAATGCAGGAGTCAAGAGCATGTAAGGGTTCTAATGCAGCAAATGGAGGCACTTGCATCTAATAATCCAAAAACTGCACTTTGTGCTTTTCAAATAATAACTAGAAAAAAACATGAAAAACATCAAAATGGCAACTGTTCGACTTTACAAATCCAAAACGGTGAAGCGCGACCGGAAAGGGTTGTGCACACAAAGCGTTATTTACCGTCTGTTTCAGATTATGTTCCATGGGCGATGCCGGGTGTATATCGGCAGATTTCAAAGTTTTATCAGCAGAGAAAAGTGATGCAGATGCGGCGGAAGATGTCCATGGCTGCATTGGATTACAGACAGACAGATTATAATTTTTTCCTGGTTTCTAGCTGTCAAAGGCGACGGCTACGCCAGGGGTAACTTTTTGAACCTTTTTCAAGCTTTCTTGTACGCGAAAATTTTCACTCGTGGCATCCGTGAAAGACACTGTGGTCTTTGCTGAATCTTTTGCATACGGCTTAAATGGTTTGCTGTCCGGGGATATCTCTTCGTTCATCTGTAGTGCAAGAGAACCAATCATTAATTCTAGAATCTATCAAACAACATTCAATCATACTGAAAAATAAAAATGACAAATTTTTGATTTGATGTACCCAAAATTATCCTGCAAGTAACCTATCTAATCAATTTTCGATTACGAAAATGACTCATCAGCCGGCTTAAATGCCGTGCCAAATAAAATGCCGCTGGGCTGTTTTTCATCTAACTAGAGGCAATTATCGGAAAACTAAACTGGTTTAAGTTCAGAATTATCTCACTTCAAATCGTTCACTATACGCAGACATGCCACCAAAGTTAACGACTAATCACGTTTTCCATATTTAGAATTAAACCATATCCCGAAACAGAAAATTTCCAGATAAGAAATCAAATGCAGGTTGAACTTGAAACCGTAACCGTGATTACACAGCCGGTAGATTCTCGAAGCTGCACAACCGCGGAAACTAAAAAAAACGGCACCCGCGGCGCATGCTCGGGAATGAAATGACTCACGAATTTTCCCAGTCTCTGAGCCGCTTTATCCGATTCATCGGCATTGTGATCATCGGCAGCCGAGGATCCAGACATCTCCGGAGTGCGTACCACTTCGTTCTTATCTTCGGGATCCAATGGCGACATTGGTGGGTTCATCTAGTCGTTCAATCCATCGTCAAAAAACCACAGGCGCAAAACAATACGTACTCATAACCACAGTTAACTCACAAATTCTTTGGCCCGTTTCGCCGCTTCACAGGCTTCTCCGCTTTCCGGCTTCAAACCATGGACTTTGGCGGAATGGGCTTCATCGGCCACGGCCGGATATTCTTTGTGAGTGTCTTTGTCGAGTTTATCCGTGTAGAAAACGAAGCCTTCCGGTGTGACTAAAGCTTGGGAAGGCATTCCCGCCAAGATCTTCACCTGCTCCTGGATTCCCTGCATCACGGCTCCCACGCGGGCGGGAAATTCCCGTAACGAAATACCAGACGTCTACAAATCAAGAATTAATGTCTCCACCGTACACAATAAACAGATCGGCGATATACGTCATTCGTCGCTTCCCGCAAATTACTAGTGCACGGAGATGACACTGATTATCCAATACCGTCAGCTGATGCGGGGAAAAAACGTAAACAAACAGTGAGGCAATTAAACTTAAGAAGTGACTGCACTGCCAACAACGAAGCCAGTAGTGTACTGCGTTAAACTACCATTCTGGACGCCTACCCGAGATCTTTGGGCTTTATTAACGCATTCCTGCAGCAGTGGGCGCAGGCTAAGAGTATGCCATCGAAGAGCTGTTTCTGTAAGCTGATGCTCTGCGCTGCTTCGAGCGACCTGCTGGAGACCACGGAAGACCGCCTGCAAGTCCTTCATCACAAATCTGGCCATGTTTAGGAACGTTAATGTTATTAGATCGATAAGAGAGAAATGCAACAGTAAATCGTAAAAGTGCACTGCGTTGCGGCCTTATTAGTTTTCTGCTAATAACTTGACAGTAACCTTGTAACAAGCAGTTTCACAACGAACTGCAACATTCGAACTCGGAAGTGGTTCGCAGTATTAAGTATTAACCAAAAGTTGTAAACAAAATTACACACGCCTACGCAAAATTTTTACGGCGCCACAGACAGGCTTGCGATAGCTCGGCCTACTGCATCTTACGGTTAGGAAATTCCTGTGTTGTGCTTTCAAGCGCACGTACTACGTATTGTACCAAGTTTGTACGATCACACCGTCCTTGGTAGCCAATCAAATCGCACGCTATGTACCACGGTATTGTAAAAAATTTATAGCATTTTTTTAGAATCTGTTTCGTTTTGTGAATCAGAATAAAGCATAAAAATGATAAAAAATTCATCACATGTCCGTCGGTACATGTAGTAGGTACTAGATACTATGTAGCTACACAGTACATACGGAGTAATAATTTGTACGTTTTAATACAGAATCTGTTGGCTGCAGACTGCAATCTGTTGGCTGCAGACTGCATCTATCTTTACGATAATGGATGACCACTGTCCACTGACACTGCAATATGCTATTACATAATTATTGTAATTTGTACGGGCACTTATACTCGTAGAAATAATTTGTGCTGTACTTATGTACGTAAACTAAATCTGTAAACCATATATAAATAATTACTTACTTTATTGACTTTCTTATATCTATAGACAACCAAAAAAATGTTTGAAACTCCGCTGAGAAAATTCCAAACGTAAAAGTAAAGCTGTCGGAAATAAATACATATATATAAGCTTTTCCTCTAATTATATATAATATCGAAGGTAGTTAGCGAGAGGCGCAACTGAAATCTAAACTGATTTCTGTAAATCACTGCAGCGCTTGGACAGCGAAAACAATATACATTTACTTCAAAATTGAGTATATAATATAATGTCTATTTCAAATACCTACGCATTAGCTAACATAAAGTTACAGCTTACATAATTTTATTAGGTAAATATTTTCGTGTGAAAAATGGTTCATATATTGCCAGGACAGAAACTTGCACAGAATTTCTGGTTTTGCAAGACATTTTATTATACAAATACTGTATGTAGTCCTCAAAACTCTGCGTACAGTATCGTGATAACAGGTAAACATAAAAGTGCGTCCCATTGCAGTTTTTTTTGCATTTCGTTGGCAAAATTTGTAAAACCATATATCTCTTGGAACTATCTGCTTGTTTACGTCAGAGCAGTAAGTAACCGATTAATAACAAATTAACAACAAAGCTCTAACACCTTTGACACCTCCGAGCGCATTCTTTGACCATAAGGAATAAGCGGATATGACGGCATTACTTCGGACATATTTGTTATAAGTTGAGAGTTTTACATTATAATAATTATAATGTGATACTTATACTCTTATTTGTTGTAACCAGTACAAAAGTATCAGTAAGTTTTGTTGTCCACTCTCCCATCCGCCGGAAGTCTCATGTGTTGCAGCTGTACCGTAAGATTTAGATTTACAGTTAGTACTTATTTATACTGCTGTACCTACTTAATATTGTACTAATTAGGAAATAAGTTATTTATAAATTAACTTTCAGCGTTGAAGTTGAGCCGGAATGACTCGATTCCTTACGTGCATATCGATGGAAATTAATTATTAACATGATTGTCTTGTTTCGTAATGCGTAAAATGGCAATCAAATTTTCCGTTCTATTCAACGTGCCAAATGTGACGATTTACCGCTGTACAATACAATATACTCTATGTGTCCTCGCTTATGGTTACATCTATAGATGCTATACAGGTGATGGTACATGGAAATTGGAAAGGAAACTGTAACGCGCGCCAATACAACAATATATACCGGCAACACCCAGCGCTAGTAACAAAGCTTCCAGCTATATCGGAATGATCACGAAATAGACAATCGGCAATAGATATAAATTTTTTTTGTACCGACTTGCAGTCGTGCTTTAACGAGTGATCGTGAAGAATAACATTGTGCTGCAGATATTTAGGTGTTTATACTACAACAGACTTTTCTGAATCGTCTGCCTAGGTAATTATTCAATATTCGTGTACTTCTGTGAACGACTAACTGTTTTGCTTATGTCTTTTGATACACGAGTAGAGTTTTTGCTTTCATAAATAAAGAGGAATGAAGGAAGAAGCTCCTCCGCCTCCTTACAGTGACGCGGTTGAAAACCACCATGACCAGGATATTAACCATAGTGTCGTGGTCAAACAAAAGGATACTCATATGCATGATGCGGAATCACAAGAGAAAAGGCTTGAAGATGACCATATTCCCATGTTGCGAGATTATCAGTTTTGGAATGTTTTGGCAATTAGTATTTCCTTCATGATCCTTTTCTCCGCGTTTCACACATGTGGCATGTTGCAGGTAATTTTGCTGATTTTCTCCATATTTTACACCTAATTATGAGCATGTGTAAGTGTTTAGCGCATAATTATGTTACTAATAATGTTAATTGTTAGTGCAATATTATTGGAGTTTTCATGCATGCTACTATTGCAGTTGGCATAAGATTTTATAGCTTTTGTTTATATAAATGATAAATAATTAAAGTTTTAGATATGATGACATATTTCGTTTCGAAGCTGTAAAAAAGGTACTTTAAATTTTTATTGCATATAGAGAGGCGGTCGGCATATATATATTGACTAACTTCGTTGATTATAAATTGTGACAGATCAACATTTAATTATACCCGTATTAATTTTATTAACTGTATGAATTTTTGCAGAACTCTGTTTTAAATGATGTGCATGATGAATACTTCAACGGTACCGGCAAAGAAGGTTACTACAGTGCTGCTGCTATTTATAGTGAGTTCTGGTGTGAAAATGTCCATTTTAGATTTATAACTCCAAGTTTCGCAATTTTTTTGTAATTTGCTACCGTTATCTTTTATAGCTACTATGGCCGTATCTAACTGGATCGCTCCTTCAATGGTAAGGCATTGAGGCAATCATGCAAATGTTGTTATGAAAACGAGCACTTGCCATAAGTACGTATCTACTCAATCACTGCGTTAAAAATCACAATTTCAAAATACGCTGATTTCTTGTTTTAGATTGCATACACTGGGCCTAAATACGGAATGATACTGGGAGGAAGTAAGAAGCTTTATCAATTCTGTTCCACTTAAACCGTGCAGTTTTAGGTTTTTTTGTGCCGGTATTGTTCGCTCAGCGTAACAAAAGGTTGCATTGAATTTTTCCAGTTCCATATTGTCTTTTTATGGCCGTATTTCTGCGACCTTTGTATGGAACCCTTTACGCCGCATCTGTCTTGTTGGGTCTTGGTGCAGCAATTATCTGGACATCACAGGGCGTGTTTCTTACCATAAATTCAACCGATAAAACCATGTCTAGAAATGCAGGAATGTTTTGGGCAATTCTACAGTTAAGGTAAATCTTATTCATATTTACATTCTCCTTACTATCTGTTGTAAGAAACTTAGACGGATGATTAAAAAATTATGATCGTTGCATTGGTAATCTATATGTTTAAAAACTTTTCAGCAATCTGTGGGGAAATATTTTTGCAACCATTCAACTTGGACAGGGAAGCGAGATTTCACACCAAACGCGTTTCATTCTGTTTATCGTACTACTGGTGGTGGCGATTGTGGGAGTTGTGATGATTCTGATGCTCCGTTATCCTGGTGCTCGTGATCGTGGTAAATCAGCCGCCAGGTATAAACATTCGTGCACATTAATCTCGTTAATGCATTTTGCTTCTTCAATAAACATCTGAACTGCCAAAGTTCGGATTATGCAAGTATAAAGACATACACCGGTTATCGCACTGCATTCGATAATTACGGTATCCAAATTACTGAAATACGTGTGAAACACGCACGACATCGGCCGAACGAGAGGATATCATATTGCGCCGGTGGTGATCAGCTGCAAAAATGTTGAAGGATTCCGCTGTGTTGAATATTGCATAATTTTCCGCAGGCTGCAAATTCACCAACTGTAATAGCTTGATTGTGCTTTTAGTGTTACTCAAACGTCGACGAGATCTGCCAGGGATTGGAGGAAGTGGGCATGGATACTGGAAATCGTGGCATCATTCAAACTTTTGATTACTCGAAATATGTTACTTTTGGCAGTGACATTTGCTTATACCGGTATGCCGTATGCACTTCATACGATAAAATATGTTTTTATTTACTATGCAATCATCTGCACGAACGGTGCTTGTGCAAATGCGAACTGGGACACTTTATCTTCTATGTACAGATAGGATAGTCCTAAACCTTAATTTTACGTATACGTCTATAGATATAACCGATACATTACCATATATCGGCTATGCATATCTGGTCGTATATATGTAATATGTACATGTACATAATAGCATGCGCTAACCTTTACATTGATTTTTCTCTGATTTTTTTTGGTATCGTTAATCGTTTCGGCATTTTCGCGTTCTGTTAAATATGTTTGGCGGTTTAAAAAAAACTGATCGTGAAATTCTCTACCTCAGTAATAAAGGATAATTACATAGATATAATCTTTTTGGCTGCTTGACCATTGTAACTGCAGTAATGTGTTTTAGGCTTCATGTTGACCTTCTACAGTGGCGTTTACGGAACAGCTGTACATCAAACGGGACAATTCGGAACGGAAAAGAACTACCTATTAGGACTGAATGGCACAATCATAGGAATCGGAGAAATTGTCGGTAAATTAATAACAGTCAGCTGGTGGCATTAACAATTTAACAGCGGCATTTCCGCAGGATGCGCATACATTGCAGTGCATAAGTTACCATATTCGATTACATTACCGACATTGCAGCGGGGGCATTGTTTGGATTCCTCGGTTCGCGAATTCATCGCTTAGGTCGCTCACTCATCGTATCAATTGGAGTATTAATGCAGCTGGTCAGTTACCTCCTGATATTTTTGTACTTTCCTGCAATGTCGCCATTGAGAGTTTCCAGTGAAGCCACATATATAGAACCAAGGTATTGTACATTATTTCTTCATGGCCAGGAACAATTGTATATGTACAATACTCGTACGGATCGTGTATGATAACAATGACCCGTTCACAAAAAAAACTTTTGCCGTACATAATACCATATTACCACACTCCAGTGCGGTTTTCAAACATATCGCAAATTGTTGAAGTTGTTTTAGGGTGTTTATTACCATGTACGCTCTATTCTACAGCATTGTTACTGAACTACTCTTATTATATACCACGATCTTTTACGATTGTAAAATGTAATAGGAATTGTTTATGTTCGGTATCAGGAAACTTATGATTTTTCTGCAGCTGAGTGATTTTTCGAAATCGTTAACCTTATACCTATAACGTATATTGTAGGAGTACATGTATTGCAGTACCATACCATATACCGGTCATAAAACCTTTTTTTGTTGCAGCAAAGCAGTGGCTTTAAGTTGCGCTTTCATGCTGGGTTTCGGTAAGCAAAAGATCATGTCTGCATTAAGCAGTTTTAATTTTGTTGATAAAGTCAAGCCCCTCATTCATGTTTGCGCACATGAATGTTTGTAAAAATGCAACCATTAAAAATTACAGAATTTTAATGATTAACATAAGGTAAAAATTACGAATAACTGCATCGAGCTGTGCTGCTGAAATTCCTTAATTGCTGTTCACCAACAAAATTGCTTTGCAGGTGACGCGTCAATTAATATTCAGGTACATCGTACGTCAGTTCTATAACCACCAGTCTAAAAATTATGTTATTGCTTACAGTATATTAAATAAATACCGTACACTGTATTAAAATACTATTCCTATTTACTCTATTTGTGTGCCCCATTAATTTTATTGTTTCAGCTTTATTGCTGTTCAGATCCTGGTAGTTTAATGAGAAATCACGATAGAAATAGTTTAATGAGAATCAGGTTTAAATCCTGGTAGAGAAATCTTCGATTCGAAGCTACCGAAAAAGATTTTATCATTAATTAAAACAATACCGCACATAACGCCGAAATAACCTATACAGTGTGTGCATCCATTTAAAAAAAACACTGGATGCTAGGTAGAACAACAGCTGCGAGTGTCAACAGTGGTTTTAATGTTATTTTCGCATCTGATCTGTCTTACAGCATACTGCATAGCATAAGCCTGCACATTTGAAATAGCTAACAATTGCAGATTTACGCACTACTTGGAAATATGTATGCTGCGGACAGCGCTCCAGCTTTTGCCCTTTTCAAGTTCATGCAGGTACTGCGAAAAAATTTTGCATTACCGTATTATACCGAATCTGGGTTCTCAAAGTTTTGCTGTTCTGCAGTCTTTCACTGCCGCCATAGGATTCTTTTATTCATCGGAATTGACCCTTCCGCCCCAACTGGCCATAGTCGCTGCTTTCGGTGTAGCCGGCGCATTCACGTTCGTTTTAGTGGAGTGGTTGACCTATCGCGACTTTACCCGCGCCAGGTAATTTCCTCCAATTTCCGCTTGAATTTACAGGGGGCATTAAGCAATTATTCGTAGGCAAACTAACACCACAGCCATTAGCCTGACTACCATTGCCACAGCGGACAAGTTCATCAAGTCCCAATGAGTTATACAGCTACAGATATGCAGCACCTCACGACTATTCACTGTGGAAGGACTCCTTCTTTTGGCCGAATCCTTTTAATTCTGCGTTCCATTAAAGCTTTACATAACCATCGTATTCCTTCCAATTCACAGCGGACCAAAAGGGTGTTGCAAAGTGTGTCAATAGGTTGATCGATTTTTGAACAACCCCATCTGGTGTCTTTCAAACGCACAAATTTCATTTTGACATTTGGTGTGTGATAAGTAAACGCTTTCTTATACTGCTCTATACACAAGATCTTTGAAAAAACCCATCACACTGGCTCCAAAACAGCAAGAATGAACTAAGTAAGGTGACTAAAGTCCGGAAATACACGCATGTCACTCAGTTGGGACATTTTCACTTGATAATTTAGATTCAGCGTCACGAGAGGCTATCTCGGCCTGCAATTTGGCACGATATAGCATATAGTTGTGCTGCGTCTGCTTCAGCCATTCCTCCTCCTCGCGGTCCAATATTGTTTTGAAATTTTCTAGCTCCGGTAGCGTAAATGCATCCCACTAATGAAAATTCAGAAACTGAACAAACCTTGTTTAAATCGACGTGGTTAATATTTACCAGCACATTTCGAGTATCGGTTTCTTCCAAAATTAAACGACAACACTCGGAACAGCTCTCATTGGCATCCAAAACCATCTCCAAAGGAATATCGTCTTTTGCAAGCCGTCGGCATCCATCGCGGCCTGTAAAGAGCAAAGTCTGTACCTGTAAACCGTAACTGCAGCAACACTGGAACCGCACCTTCCAGATGTAAACCAAACTTCCTGGGATCATCTCTTATCCGAAACTTGGTTAGTATAGCAGACATAACATCTGGGGTTCTGTCAAGGCTGCTCACATGGATTAATTTTTCCGAATTCCGAGGCAGATAAAAGGAAGTCACTCTGTAACAAACCTTGCATCATGTTAAATTTAAAATTACAAGCGATGCAATGTTCCCAACTTCCGACACTTTTTCAGCCGAAAGACGCAGCGTTGCGTTTATCCAATGCTTCAATCCAAAAATTATAAACATTATATACCGCAATGCTACTACAACATATTAATCCTTACTATTAATTACGTACATAATACCGTAAATGTACAACGTACCCTAAAAATTTAACAAACCCCGCGTAACACTAAAATACAAAAAATTATATACCACCAAACTCACCTGGCTCCCGGGAAGGGTCCAACATTCGATACCGTTATGGGACGTTTCAACCGGAGCATAATTCTTACAAATCCATTAAACGAACCATCCATTTCCTGAACAAGTAACGATTTTACTATTGCGACAACAATACCGATTACGTTCGGCAAACTTCTTGCGCACACAATGCTACATTCATGATGGCATACACGACAATAATGCTCCTACCAGATGTAACAAGGCAAACGGAAATGATTTATTGAACTCCGCGACTTTCTTTTCCAACGGCCGCTCAGGGATATTGTTACTGGCAACGTTATGTAATGAGGGATCCTGTGGCAATTCGCCAGACTCATCTTCGCTAAGCTGGTCAACTTCCGAAGATAACGAGATTTCCTTGTGCGATGGCACTGGACGATGCGGTCTCGGTTTCGGACATACCAGGCGTAAAAATTGTTTGCACTGCGGATGACATGTGAGGCTACAATCTGCAACATCCAAAATGTTAGTGTACTCTGTAGTGCAGCAGTATTTTTACTTACACGGTAGTAACGGGTAGTTTAACACCTGCCAGTTTAACGTTCTAAACCGGAACAACTTATTTTCCCATAATGATTGTAACCCTAGTTCACTGCAGAAAAATGAAAACATTACTTGCGGCGTTACGGAACAAAGAAACCCTCGCTGCCGGTTGAAATAAAATGCGCGGTACAGTTAACGTTGCGCAACTTTCAAAAGTTTTGGAAAACAGTAAACATTTCAACTTATGATGAGTCAGGCAATTACACTGCAGCAAAATTGACAGGTCAAGATAACATCATACTATTCTCAAATACATTTTTTGAATTACTAACTCTTTTGCCATAATATTATATATCAGCTACAGCCTAGAGGTTACCCATCGAAAACTGGGACTCAGCGAAAGCATAGCAAATTTGAAAGAGCAGCAGCAGTTGAAAAAATTATTGTAATTTAGATCGAACTAAGCTAATCCAATCAGGAAAGGGTAGCGTATTTCGTTATTACTGAATAAATGTTTGTTGGTTAATAAAATTGCATACATACGGCAATTATCAGTCTAATATAGATATGTGCTAAAATAGCAATTTTGTGTTACCATGACTTACGATTAACCCTCCAACGCCCACTACCCGAAGGAGTGGGAGTTTCTTTGTGAAAACTTGGATTTCCCGATGAAAAAATTCAATTAAGTAAAGGAATTTTTTGTGAGCTTGTACTGACCACAGGTAAGCGGCGGTGAAGTGGGTGTTTTGCAACACCATTGGGCGTGGACGGTCCTAATCGTGAAAATGTTTAATTCTATATTAATTCAGCGATCAACAACTGACCCAAACAAAAACATTCATCGTATAGTCCATAAAGAGGACTTTAAAACACGGGTAGTGCAGTGGTCAGTAAACTGACCCCTGGTCAGCAAAAACTGTAAAACAAAAGAAACGGTTTTTGCATGATGTATGGTGGACAACTAGGCACAACAATTACAGCGATTTTCATCAATCCTGTTCTCAACATAGCCGTTACGTTTCGTATACCATATCACGTAAGTCTTTATACCACGCTGAGCTGCCTTTACACTGCATGCCTGGTGCATGCTTGCACTTTTCATGGACGTTGCCCCTGCGTTTGCATCGGACATCGGACAGTCCAATAGCACGTGCGGTAGTGGTGCGCGGAAGCTCAGATCAGCAGTTCTGGGAGCAGCAGCCGCCATCATGAACGCAGCATCAGCAGGAAGTTATTAAAACACCTGGCGCAAAGGTCACTACTAACTACCGGCTGTGTGTTTATCGGAGTTGTTATCATCCACGGTTACAGGACGCTGACATATTTTGTTTCCTGCACGCCTACACAGCTGTAAGGTCCGGTTGGTGTAAACTGCATATCGCAAGAGCAAATGGCCTACTGCAGGATTGTCATGCCGATTAGTGGTAATGCACTAAAGCAGATTACGAAACATAGCTGCTACGCTTGATTATCTTGTAGGTTTCCTTGTCTAGAAACGACCACCGATTAGTTCGTTTGAGGGCCATAACCGACCGCCCATGGTGCCGCCAAACTAAATCGTTTTGGAAGAGTTCCGGCAAGCAGAACCACGTGAAGCATGTCAGAAGTCCGAACCAACAAAATACCTTATCCGATTTACTAAAGTATAGAAGTGTCGAAATTGCTCCCGCCCGCACTTCAGGACCATACATGCCCAATGGTGTCTGCACGCAACACCACTGTGGCCATCCACTCTTTAACTTTCAGAACCGATGCTTGTTATTTCCTACTAAAGCATTACTGATAGTACATTACTGACGATGAATTATCTCAGATTAATTGACTCATTGACTAATTAGTTAATTAGCAGGACCTTTCGGATGTAAGAAAGTTTGAAATTAGCAACTTTCGGGAACTCGTGGTTCTTGAAGGACTTGAGGTTCCCACTTGATTAATTTTTTTATTGCTTCTGCAAGGTCTCGTAACGCTAATTACGCTATTAGATATCGATTAATTGCTGTTGTGCATTAAGAAAAACATCTTGAAGACCCTGCTGCGCCCCAACACCAATGGGCGTCAGTGGGTTAAATTAACACTGCTGATGTTCCGTACTGATGCCACATCGTTATAAATGGACGATTTCGTCTAGTTTTAGTTCGACAAACTTTGTTGACGGTGACAGGTTATTACATTATCAAGCCACGACTAATAATTCACTGGACAACAGTGAATTGTAACAATAATAACTTATCATAGCAAGATCGAACTATTAAAATTTGGCACTAAATTGATCGTAATGAATATTTTTCCATTAAACAGTTAAACAAGTTAACAACTTGTTGTAGTCTCTAATCAGAGTCTAATCACTGTAATATGCACAAAGCCAATAAATCTTACTTCTGCACTTTAGTGAAAGACGATAGATTCCCCAGATCAACAATCCACACAAATCACAGAATGATGGTTCCTCCAGCTCAACAATGAGGAACTGGTGCTGGAGGAAGAACAAATTCTTGAAATCATTTCCATGATCCAAGTTCTCCAAGAGATAGCGTTCAGCAAGGGCTGCTTCTTCCAGTTGTCGACTGGATAGGTATGTTATCCGAGTTTCCAGAGGCACTGCTGCTTTGCGTTCCCGCGACTTAATTTCAGGCTCAGGTCCCTTCGCAGCCTTAGCATTCTTTTTTCGAAACTGCCCTTGAAACGCATCCTGGATTTTCATGCCCATGCCACGGATCATCTTAATCCCGAAGTATGCGCAACTAGATCACACCTCAGATTCCTGAAAATTTAAACGGAACCGTGAACACCAAACATCAATTTCCGATTTCGAATTCCCGACTGATTGAATATCCTGTACTGGTATCAAAAAGATATTTTATGCCAGACTTGAACAGGATCGAAAGTGAGAACTGAGAAGCCTCTAATTATCTAAGTCTAATTATTCTCAACTTTTTTAAAATGACAAAAAAGCTGGAGCGGCCACACTAGAGACTGCCCGTAAACATGGGCAGTGAGCACATGTTTTGTAACACGCAACTGCCGTCTGCTGGTGTTCCGACAACACTACTGCGCCTTGTGAATTTTTATTTTTTCCTATTAACTTCATTTCTTTTGACCGATTTGGGCCTTGGCATTTGCTTTACAATTAGATCAGTTTTGTCGTCAACCATTTCAGTTACAGACTTACAGTAATTGCTACAGTTGCCAATTGATTGATCAGAATGTAGCGAATAACGACAGCGGTCCGCGAAATCGTTAATACCATTTGCATGGTATTTTATCGTGGTTTTAAACCGGAATCAAGAATTCGAAAGGAACAATCAAAACACAGTTATTTGTGATGGTTAGTCTACAAAATGCAGTCACGAAATGACACGCTCAGCTAAAACTGACTGCGCCTTTGAAAACTAAATTAGCTTTATTCAGTGTAATAATAAAAAATATATATAGTATAATCTTACTCACACAATATCAGCGGGCATGAAGCCAGCAATCACATTATCACACATCGGTGGCGGTCAATTGATTTAGAATTTCCAAACGATACTGGACAAGTAAAACCGAAGTCCGAAGGTCGAAGAAAAGTGCTTTAAAATAAAATTACAGGACAGCAGTCCAATTATGACTGTAATATTTAATATATATACCATGCAGTTTTTATGGCAGAGCAGGATGTCATGATGGTCATCCTGTCCTTCTTAATTTTTAAACCACTATTCCTGGATGTGCCTTAATCGAGATCGAATTTCCAGTTTTAGGAAAGCCTTGAGATTCTCATCCTCCACTTCTTTATCAATAGCCTCGAGAGCTTTTTCCCCGCCGTCTTCATAATATCTTAGAAGCTCTTCTGCGTAAGTCAAGTACACACAATTAGCACAGCCACTCATGCAACAGCTGACTGGAGCTTCTGGTGGTTTCCCTTTTCCAGGTATAATTCCAGATGACACTGTTGGATTACGGGATGCAGACTTATCAGTGCCCGATTTTTCTTCCACAATTTCATTTGTTCTTTCTTCTACCAAATTTCCGGATAATCTGCTAGGGATTCCATGCAGAACTAGATGCAATGCGAAGTTAGTGGAGCAGCGGCAAGCAACCGATAGTCCAAGAATCCCAACTGTGCGCTGTACCGCTGCTGACAGGAAAGGCATGTTTGTCCCTGGTTAGCATGAAAGAAATTAGGGAACGGACCACTGGAAGCTCTGGTTGTAAAAGCAAATCGATTAGATCATTCACTAGACTTATTAGAGGTTCAGAAAATCATTTTAAAATAACAATACTTAACTGTATAGCTTACGATGTATAGTGGAGCAGTTGCTCGAAGCTTCTACCGTAGTTGTATCAATGTGGTACCGGTGGCCACCACATTGATACAACTCAGTTGTATCAATGTGATGGCCACTCCAGGTAGGCTGGTTATCAGGAAAACCACTGTGATGCAGTGATGAGAGTGGACGAAACGGAAATCACTTGCAGAACTTGCTAATAATTTTTCATGTTTTGCATCGGTCAGTCGCCGTCGTTGTGATAATTATTATTTTTCACGTCATTGCCTTCTAAGACTTCTCTTACTTATACTTATTAACTTATACACTGCTACGTTGAAGCGGTGGCTCTAACTAACAAAAAATGCGGCACCATCGGACGCAGAAATCTTCCAAGCACAAGAAGATTAAGGTAGGAGCCGTAAGATGTACATGTACAAATTAGTGGAAGTATTTTTAATCATTCCTCCGGCTTTTATTACTTTCCGTTTAGGCTATCGATCCCTTCTACAGCGGACCAAGGAGACAGATTATGTTCAAGTAAGACTCTTACTTGAACTTGAAGAGTATTCACGTTTATTGTTGGTTGTTGTCAGTTCAGAAGTCAGGAGGGGTATTTTCGGATTTTCCTCTCACTTCGAAGCTGTTGATTTGTTGTTGAAGTAATATATTGTACTTGGTGGAGCACTGAACAGAATTTGATTTTAGGGCTGATAAAAATGCCAATAAGCCTCCCTCGCTAGGCGCTGGTGTTCAAGAAGTTCCCAGAAGACTACGGGACATTGTGCGGGGAACAGCTGATTCTAATAAGCAAAAACCACAGAAACGGAAGGCCAAAGGATTATTAATGCATCAGCGCCCCGATTTCAAACAGGGAAAATACGAAACCCTCACGAATTTCTATCGGAGAATGGATAAAGCTGCGAGCGACGCGATAACGAAAGCTGAACTCGAAATGCAGTTCGACGTACATTTCGATAAAAAAGGGAAAAATAAATTGACAATTGCTAAAAAGAAGGATCCCGTGACGAGTGAAGTACCGGCACCAAAAGTCTCGTAAGTCCGATTTTTTACCTACGTCCTATAAAGCTGATAGCAAGGGACAGCATACACAACGAACGAATATTATGTAGTATTATGTGCTACTGTATTTTATTATTTATGTTGTCCTACCGGTCTTTATAAAACCGTTTTTTCTTGCTGGTTCAACCAGGTTGAAGCCGTTTCCGGTTCAGTGCTAATCAAACAGTCGGGACTCGGGAGCTTACATCTGGTCTCATAAAACGTAATGGGCTTTCGTATGGTTTGCAGAAAATCTCAGAAGCGAAAACTTAAACTTCAGAGAAAAGTGGAGGAAAAAATGGCTGAAGATGTGGATGAATTTGCTGAAATGGCAGGTAAGAAAACCATTGACGAGTCTGACACCGAAAGCTTATTACTGCTGCAGTTAAGCAAGGATAAATTGGTTTAACAAATTACAAATACTAATTTTAACTACAGTACATTGTACAGAGTAATAGCCGCAGTTACAAGTTGTAAACGTACTTGTACCGAAGCAATAATCCCGAAAGGATACCTCCAGACTTTGAACCTGCACGCTACACACTAGCACTTGTTTTTCTAATTTTATATTTTTAAAATGTACATAACTGTAATTTTACGACAGTGCCTTTAAAATGTACTTTAGGCACGTAACCATTTCATAGCACCGGGGATGTTAATCTGAATTCTTAACAAGATTTCGTCATGTTTGCAGATACGTTCACATTTGGTGAAGTGGTCGATGCTCCTCCTGACATCAAAGCAGCGCCACATAAAGCTCCCGAGCGAAAAAAGGTTTGTGTCGTATGTGGTGCCGGCGCCACAGACGCATTTGCGTTGAATTTTTTAGATCGTAAAACTGTTTATTACCTCTTTAGTTAGGTGCGCAGCCCGTGCGCTTCCTGTGCATCAGGAATAAATAAGTCAAATGTTGTCCCGACCGATAAGTAGCGATCGTTTCCCACCTGCTTCGGACTTGTAGATACAAGCCCGGCTCGAAATTTTTAGACCGCCGTAAGCGGGATATTTGAGAAACGTGGGCTTGAGCCATACATGGTGCTCTACGCCAGTGCATTCAGTGAAGAGTAGATAAAATCTAGCCTTACTGTGCGCTGTTCACTGCGTCGCGCTTAAAGCGGTCTAAAAATTTCGAGCTGGGCTTGTACGTAAAGACTACATCTCGACAAACTGAAATAATTTTATCTAAATTCTAAAATGTAGATTTTTCTAACAACAATCGCTACACTTTGCACTATGACTACAAGCTTCTTATTGATCAATATGGTGCACTGTGCTTTAATGTATTTACTTTAAAAACCGGCGGTTTTTCGGTTCAACGCGGGGTTAGTATTTCATTGGCCTATCAATAATGCATGCAGTCCCGCACCGTACTTAAGTTGACCTCAAAATTTGTCTCCTTTTTCATAATTCATTTTCGTTACATCCTACTTTAATTACGAACGCCTACGCAGTTGTCTCTACCCAGCTGGAGTTACAGTAGAACGTTGAGAGAATTTTTCAAACAGTGAAACACATGCTTGCTCCAAGTGGTACCTACAGTCTACAGATATGTTTGCAGGGCGGGAAAAAGAATCTGCTTTTGTTAAAAAGTGTTTCTGGATCGTCGGGCGTACACCCAAATCCTGACAACTTTAATTCTTCTTCGAAGACAACCACACAATCGATCTCATCAGCTCGGCAAGAACAACTTCGCCAAGAATCTGTTCAAGCCTACCGACAACTCAAGAAGCAGCGAAATTTAATGCTTTCTAAACCTGGAAAAGCATAAAAATAAAAAATGCTGTGATAAAGATTTGTCGTTGTGGAACAGCAACATCGCCCACTATTCATCCATGTTGTCGCTAATAGATGCGAAATTCAATAAAGAATCCATCTGCTTCGCCATTGCAGTAGCCGTTTTATCTGTAAAATTATTTTCAAGATTCTGACATAACACGAATGTATAACCATCTTTTTGTCTGAGTTCTTCGAAAGAAATAGTGTGATATAAATAATATTACATCTCGAATACCTCTTTTAACTTTCAATTTTTGCCGTCGCTTCAGAATTTTATTTTTCTGTTTACTCCACTGTTGATTGCCCTCTAAACCCATTGCAGGGTCATCCGAAATCCATTCATCATCCGAGTCACCCTTATCACTTTTAGGGAATTCAACTATCTGAACGGCTCCTTCGTTTTTGGCAGAGGATTTTTCCATTTCTTCGTCACTGACATCCAGGTCTTCTATTGCCGTTGTTCTCATTTCGTTCGTTTCAGGCATTTCATCGACCAACATTTTTTCATCATCTTCCAGTCCATCCAAATCAAACTCCTTACTCATAGTGCTTACTAGCTCTGAACTGAGGTGCACTGATGTAGTGTGTTTTTCTGGAGGGAGCGTATGATACGAAATCTTTCCCCTATAAAACAACATTAAATTATGCATTTAAAATACTGCGAATAATTTACAGCGAATATCACTTAATTAGGCAATTCGGATTAAAACATCGCTCACTTTCCCAAAGATGCCCCATCAGCAACTTTAAAATAGTAGCCAAGATTTCACTTTGTTACACGATGATTTCACTTTTCGTTTTAGCCAGTAATCAATAAAAAAAAGCAGCTCTTACCCCACCCAGTCCTGCAGTATCACGCGGGCAACTTTTGTTACATCAGGGATTCCACCCTTTTTCAGACATCCTCTTTTCAAAGCAACTAACGCCAGAAACTGCAGAGCATCCGCAAAGTCGGGGATTTTATAATGCAGCATCAGCTGCACTTTAGAACACTTTTTCAAAATAATTTCAACCGGTTCCACTGGATCGGAAATTGCATCCACCTAGCGCGACACGATAGAAATTCTTGACAACGAGGAAAACCAAAGCAAAATGCAAGCCTCGCAAACAAAAAAATTCACGTTTCGGCGGCTTCCATTAAAACTACCCACCTTAACAGCATTACGCAAAGCCACAAGAGCAGTGTCCCCTTCTTTGGCAAAAAGCACACCAGGACTATCCAACAGTGTTATGTGCTTGTCCAGGTGAATTTCCTGCATGGATCTACAAGTGGTAAAATGACGCATTACAAAGTTGAAATTATAACAGAAGAGAATTACAAATCAATACGAACTGAAAACAACTTGGAAGCCTAATCACGGTCAATACAATTTATAATGCTGTATAAAAACAGTAAGTTATTTACTTGGTAACACCCGGTGTGGCTCCGACCATGCAAGACTGTTTCCGTTTGAGACTGTTGATGATACTGCTTTTTCCGACATTAGGCAATCCTAGAAAATTATGTTAATTTTCTCGTTACCGCTCCTACAGATTTTCTACATGAAGATTTACAACCAGAGAAACCTTTTCTTACCAACAATGCCAACTCTGATTGATGTACTAATGCCTTTATTTCGGCAATAATTGCCCAGAATCTTCATCAGCATACTGGAACCAAAGCATTTGGATGACTGTATCAGGTCCGGCTTTGCCAGATGTACAGGCACACGGCATTGGCTCTATAAAACAAAATCACAAGCAATCGTGTGAGATAGGCCACCATCTTTCGAATAAAATCACAGCAGAATTAAAAAACTCAATGCAGGCTAAAGTGCAGAAACTTAAATTTTGTTAACCGGGAAAACTCTATTAGTGCGCATGCCGTATTAACAAATTTACATTTTCAATAACCTTTGTTTCAAAAAAAACTATCATCGACCATATGCAACAACTTCACTGTTCGAAAAGATGTCATAAATGCTCGTATCGTACCAGACGTGACCGTTGATTTTGCGTGGAAGCTTTGAAAGGGATCGTAGGGAGTTCTTGTCTCAAATATTTCAGCCAAGCGAGCAGATTGGCTTTCGGAATAAGATCTGAGAACGGAAAAACAGCGACTTCGGTCCATTTGAGTACAAATAAATTGTGCATTTTCATTACCGGCACTCGGAGCCACGTACTTACCACACTTGTTAAGAACAAGTACGAGACGTTTATTCTGGCCAGACTGCAGTATCGTGTTTTCCAGCTGTTGACATCTGGTTCCCAATGGATCACGTGCATCCAACACCTCCAGAATCACGTCTGCAGCTTCGATTACCTACCACACAATAAATATAAAAAACCGGTGAAATCTTTGTCTCTCCAAAACTGTTAGTCCGGTATGCTATACCTTTTTCACCTCCTTGTAGTATGTTTTCAATGAATTATCGTACAGCTGATCCAGCTCTTTACTGTTTACAACGGTGTCAGGGGATTTCCTTTGCTGAAATGCCGCACCGCGCTTCTGCGCATCAGCGACTACGCTATCCAAAGTGCGTTTCTTTTTAGTATCCGCTTTTTTGTCGAGTTTTCGCTGCTTCTTCTTTTCAAAGTCCTAAGAAAGCACAAAGAACTCGATATGTCTACAACTGCTGTCGACCACAAAGCGCACAGAAAATTCTACGAAGTATAATCAATCGCGTATTCCATAAATCATAAGCGACCACAGCCCACAGGTGAACAGATCTACTGTAGACCATACAAGTATAATGTATTGCTGCTATTGCACTTATAGTAATCAATAATCTAACGCAATAAAGCCAACCTTTCGTTTTTTTTCGGCGAGTTCGCTCAGAAGCTGTTCTTTAAATGGATACGTATTCGGCACTCCTGGATCCTTCTTCCGACCTACAGAACCGAAAGCAACAGGATAACTTTCTGAACCGAGCACCAAATCGCCATTAAATTGAATAACGATTAACTAGTTACTAATGTAAATTAAGTACAGTAATGTAAAACATTACCCTACTACACGGGAGTGACGGGACACTAAAATAGTCCGCATTAAATATCTTGCAAAGGGAATCAATATGAAAATACAGTAAACAAAAGCGACTTCTTAACAATTTTCAGGAAACATACCTTTTCTTTTATCCGGATTCTTTTTGGCTTCCCGCTTCTGTTTTTTATTGTGCTCTTTTACCTGAAAAATGGGGCTGTGCGTAAACAAAATGGAGCGGCCAGGACTCTGGTCTGGTGGACGAAATACACGGAGCTCACCTTCTTTTCCACCTTCCGAATCTGCTTGGAACTGACGCGCTTGCTCTTCTTTTCTAAAAACCAAAAACTTGAGAATCCATCCGAAACATTGTAGAGCCCAATAACGTCGCGCCGATACATGTATGTAACTCGACGTACTTTTAAAGCCTTTAGTAACCATTCTCTGTTACGCTAAATGGTTCGCTGGAATAAATAACCCAAATCAAAAACAAAATTGTATGTTCAAGGAGGAAAGATCTAAGGTATCCCTTGAAAGTAAAAACTTCAAATTTTTTCGCAATTAGAAAATCACTGTAAATGATTTACAGTAAATCAAAATGAAAATGACCCGCTGACTGGGTAGTGGGTACTTCGAGGTTTCGCATCGACATGAACCCATAAGACGAAAACGGTGAGCATTATGTCGGATCACCGCACCCGCCTCAGGGCGCAATGTTTGTAGAGCTATTGTGCCACACAAATTTTAAAACTTTTTGAGTTTCTCACAGTCAGTTTCTCACTTTTCAATGATTCACATGTAAAATGCGTGTACAGTACTTATGTACTTTACTATTATCAAAATATCTACATTTATATTAATAACGAATTTTTGTACCGTGAACATTGAACTAACTCAATTGTCCACTGCATTTTCTATTGGGATATTTATTGTTACTTACGTACTGTACATGCTTACAAATCATAATAACTTCAGATAATATTATTTATACAGTAACTAGCTGACCATTCTACAAGAATTCTCTTTTTGTTTAGTGAGGGCGAAAGGTAGCCAAACTACAAGTTAAGCTTTTCACTTTTATTTGAGTGCTTACTTAGCACTCAGTAACCAGGAGTTAGTAATTAATGTGAAAGCATTCATCAATCCAATTTATAACTGGACACAAAAATCATTCAATTGCATTGTACATTATACAATCTGCTCGTTATACTTACAAAGTTAGCACGTAAACAACAAAAAGACGATAGAAACGGCGCCGTATTATACAGCCGGCACCTTCATCGAAGTCTCGATTCGTTCTTCGTCCGGATTGGCGACTTTAACATTGTCCAAGCCGCCTTTTTCAGCAATCTCCAAGACAAGTTCTGTGGCGGTCTTGGTCCCGGTGGGTTTTCGGAAGTGCTCATTGTTGGGAAACGTTAGCAAATTCCAATCGGTCGGTTGGTTAGTAAAGGGATGCCACGGGCCTTGAATGGAGGGATGGTGAGTTGTCTGGTCTTTAATAAATCTGACAATCTCAAATCCTGAACGGCAACGCATGTAATCCACCCATTTCATGATTTCCTCCCGACTGTAATTCGGGGCAGTCAAATCTTCTTTCCGACCGTTCACTATAAGGAAAACGTTTACGGTGTATCGGGTAAAACACTGAGCCAATCCTATAAGTACTGAGTACTTTTTTACTGTTTCACATTTTAACGCCAACATGATTCACAGGTATGTCAGTCATCCTCGGTTACAAATTTTGATACCAGTACACTCCATACACGCACTTTCTAAATTTGTATAAGCGAATTTTTACTTACGATATTCCGCGTGCAATCTCGGAAATTGATGTCGCTTGGGCTGCAGATAAACTACGATTCCCGGATTACGCCGCGCAAAGTCTAGTAAGTCGTACTCGATGAAATCTCTGAAAAGCATCAAAACACTGATCAATCCATACCGAACCAAAATAATTTCCGTTCTGTCCGGGCGTTCAGCGACATTTCGTGCACCAGACGAACCGGTGTTCTACAGAATCTCTACGCTCCTTAAGTTGTAACACTAAAACACAATCTTGCTCTCCTAGATCCATCACATATTACAGCGACTGCATTTCTAGTTTCCCTCAAACCCAGATAGCATTCTTTAGTCGCGTCGGCATAAGTAAGTACTACGGTGCCAGTTCTTACCTCATTCCACGACTCGCTCCCTGTTCTTTGCAGAATCGGAAAGTTAACCTCTGCAGCTGGCACACGTATCGACCAAGGCCATTCTGTAAAATCGCTTTCAGATATCCTTTAGGATCGCTTATCATTCTAACGGGGAATTTCACGCGGTATTACTGGTTCTGCAGACTGCAGCAAGATTCCGTCTCTAAATCCCGACTGGGAGCACAAGTACTGGAGAACTCAGAAATCCTTAAACGTTTTCCTTTGAAGTTGTGCAAACATCAGATTATGATTTTAAGCAACACAAGCAGCAAAAATCAAGGTAAAATTAAGAATACAACTCGAATGAAGTAGCGACTTATCACTCATACACTAAACTCATCGTAAACCGGAACAAAATAAATGAAAAGACTAACGTATATTTTAAGTTAAAGTACTGTACTAAAAGAGTAAAATGTGGAATGTGGATAACACTTTAAAGAAGTGTGAGATCTTACTGAGTTGGCTCGCTTCGGTCGCTTCACAAGACCGAAGGAAGGCTAGAGACCTAAGGCTTAAGGCGACTACTCTGCACCAGCTGATCATGAGACACCCGTGCTCGGCTTTCGGCATGATGACTCATAAAGCTGCGCTGTGTGCACTGTGCGCAGACCGCCCCAGGCGCTTTGAAATTTCAAACAACAAGGAGAGAACAAGCAAGGTCTGTGCAACACGGCTGCAGTGAAGCGCACTTGTCTCGCTCATTTGGCTCATAGAATGATGTAGTAAGAAGTTTCCAGTCCTGTTCCACCAACATTTGCCATCGTTTTCCTTGAAAGCTCGAACTTGTACTGTACTATAGCTGGCTTTTAATTTTCATCCTGAAATTATTGGTTGTTTTTGTCGTTCGTCATTTGTCTTAACGGCGACAAGGTTTGGCTATTAACAGCAGACATTCCTTGACCAAGCATTTGAGCATTACTACAGGTACGGCTATGGGCTGGCAGTGGCTTCGGTTAAAATTTTAATTACGTATACGGTGCACGCTGAACGAGTACAGCTCTCAGTCATGATTAAAAATATAAAAAGAACAACAGGAGTGGTTTTATAGTGCGTTTCTGCGTACTGTAATTATTTATTTTGTTGCTGTAGTTAGTTGAAAGTAATGCAAGGCAAGAAGCCAGTTCTTACGAATAAAATGGCTTCCTCGGCGGTGGAATCTCCGGACACGATTAAGGATTTGATGGCATTTGTGCGCTTTGGTCCGCAAAATTTCGTAATTAGCCTCAACCCGTACGATGGCTGGGAACAATGGCAAAGAGTGGTAAGTTATTTAGTCTGTTATCCGATATTATAAAGACATCGTACTGTAGAGTGATAATAATAATATATTCTACGCTCCTCATGGTCAGCCTGATTTGCCATTGTGTTTGTGTTTTCTCTGTATTTCATATCTATATTTTATTATAATAGAATTTCTTCGTGAATAGAATTTCTTCGTGATGACATTGTGTTAAACTTGTTACTATTTACAGTTTCAGTACTAAGAATGTGCTTCCATCAGCTGTTATCAATTTTGCAGTTATCCGGATTAGCGCCCGTTCCTGTGGAAATCGTTTTACTGCCTCCAAAAGCTGCCTGTGCCCATGACAAGGTGATAATCATTTATTATATTTCATTCTCTATTCGTGTTTAAAGTTTAGACTTGATATGACGATAAGTAACGCAAAACGGGTCGAATCCACTGCTCTTTTACTTAATAAATCCTGAACTGACTAGTGAGAACCAATGATTCTTTTCTAGGGTATTTCTATTGTGGACCGACGCAGTTATATGGAGGCCATGAAGGTAATCAGTGAGTCACAGTGACAATGCTAACATGGAGATACTCATTTCATTTCAAAGCTGTTCGATTCTGACAATGCACAAATAATAATGTAATTCTGTCCCATCTGTGCACAGGTTGTCGAAACAGTTCGCAAGAGCAAGGAAGTTCTTCGATTTGTCTTGCATGCCGTCAAAGATGACAGAAATCTGGAGTTGAAGAAACTGGTCTCGACCTTGTCGGTACGCTTATGATTTCTCTAATGCGGCGTTTTAATTTCGTGGTTGGGTAATTCTGAAAAGGAAAAAATTCGCCATCGTTTGGTTATTATCCTTAGATGGGCGCGAAACATGAAATCAACAAGGCTGTAATGGTAAGATTTATCTCAGTGTGTCCGGTGACGTCATTTCAGTTCGTGTGTAACGGTTCATATTTTAATAAATATGACACTGCGTATGCGCTGGCTGTGAACTTGTGACTAATGTGAAAATGACAGTGCGTTTATTTAGGATCCCGCGTCATCCTCGACAAGTGCGAGTACCAACGCAAGTGTTGCAGGCAGTGGAACCGAATGTCCTCCATGGGCACTGGAGGTATCTTGGTCTTCTTAATCAAAAGTTAATGATGCATGAGATACCATACATTTTATTTACAGATGAAAAAAGAACTGATGGATTCTCTAGACCAACGTTTCCATGAAATGCTGACTAGTGTAGATTCAAAATTGTCTTTATTTGGCTCCCAGATGACTGAAAGTCTGATTTCAATCGCCAGCACGTCGCCGCCGCAAGCTGCCAGCCAGAAATCAGGATCATTCGATAGCGGTTCTATCGTGGCATTAAATGGTCCCGATAATTCTCCTAATGATTCCAAGGAGGCAATCCCACGTATGGTTTGTGGAGCCGACGTCCCAAAGTGGATCAGCGGACTTAATAATGCACTGTCCACCCCGGCAAATTCGGAATGCGGAAGTGTTGTGGTTGTGACTCCTCCGGAGTCGTTTGATCTTCTGGGATTTGATGCTAACCCAGGTAATGCGTGTTTGTCTGCTGCAGAATGTTCAAGCCAGTGGAATTTGTGATTTGCAGTCAATCAGGAGAAGGTCAATGCTGAAAAACAACAGTGCGAATTCGAAATCATGAAGACTGAAGATGTGGAGGTGAACAGTGAGACCGGCTCCGTGGTGTACGTGGAAACTGACGGAGAAGAGGAGGATGACTATGCTAATCTGCGTTCTTGGGCTGGTGAAGGAATAATTACTCCAAAGGCGTTTCAGGAACAAGATCAACAACAGGAGAACAATAGTGCATCTATGGAACAGTCTTTCCATTCTGTTGCCGCGGAACCGATTCCGCTTAATGATGTCCAGGAGACCATTGTATATAAACCCATGTACGTCGCTGAACCGGAAGAGACGAATCGTATTCAAGGAGAAAGTGATGTTGGAGATGTCCCTGTAACCGTGGAAGGCGTGCAGCAGGCGGTTCCTAGCCAGGACGCTCTACCGGAAAATTTGAACGCTATGCAACCACTGGACGAACAAAATCTGTTCAGGTAAGTGGTGGTGTGATTGCTGTCACCACTGTTTACCACCGTCATTCAGAATTGTTACATTTGTAGCCCGAATTCTGATCTTGGAACCATGTTATTAAGCGCGGCTTCGTCCATTGCGACTGGGTTTATGCAGTCGATGGAGACACTGTCCCGTACTATCCGCGACTATGAACAGCGCCGTGCTCAGTCGGAGGGACAAGCTCTCCTTCAGGAGCCAGTACAACAGCAACAGAACTTGGTCGCCTCTGATAATGAAGTAATTCCGGAAAGTGTTTCAGAGGTATTGTTGCACTGATGACAAAAGTTATTGGTTTATTACAAGAGGAATAGAGAACGGGTTACCCATGGTCGTGAGCAGCGGCTCCACGAGACCCCTGACGACCTCGGGACATTTTTTTAGAGCAAATCTGACCTCGGGATAATTTTCAGCGCATTTTTTTGATACAGAAACCATTTTTCAAAATTTTTTTCGGAAGAAAAAATTTCTGACTGCCGGGGCCCCATACGCCCCTCAAATACCATGGGCGGTTGCAATGGCGCCACAAAAACAGCTTTTATTTTGGCCTATTGAACACTTTTTCTAGGTAAATCGATATCGCTGGTTCTGAATATGTTGTCAGAAAAATTGTTTTAGTTATACGAAAGACGAATTTAAAGTTTTAAAATTTTTGGATAGTTTTTGCAAAATTTTGTTTTTATCGAAAAAAAATTATTTTCTTCGATTTAAAATATTTTTCTGATAGCATATTCAGAATCAGCGATATTGATTTAACTAGAAAAAGTGTTCAAAACGCCAAAATAAAAGCTGTTTTTGTGGCGCCATTGCAACCGCCCAAGGTATTTGAGGGGCGTATGGGGCCCCGGCAGTCAGAAATTTTTTCTTCCGAAAAAAATTTTGAAAAATGGTTTCTATATCAAAAAAATGCGCTGAAAATTATCCCGAGGTCAGATTTGCTCTAAAAAAATGTCCCGAGGTCGTCAGGGGTCTCGTGGAGCCCCTGGTCGTGAGGACTTTTTGAGGTTCATAACGCGCTTCTCTTTGAAAACTGAATTACGTTTGGTTTACATTAAATCGACTTTATATTGATGTTGAGAAATGGTACGTTAAAATATTGCAGTTAACATCGCACCGTATATGGTAAAATGCTCGTCACCTTGGGTTTGATAATTATTGGTTTATGCTGTTATGTAGCAGGCGGTGATTACTCCAACGGCCCCACCGCCAGTGCCTCCTCGTGTCCATCGTGGCCCACCACCGAGCATAGGAGTGAACGTGACACCGGAAGAAATCATGTGGTACCTACAGGAATACGGTATTCCGGATCAGATTGGCGCAGAATGGACACGTGAACAGATGACCCACGACACATTTAGCCTGCGCATCAGCGAATATTTCGATCGGTGTGGCTGAGAATTACATGGCACTGTTTCATGGGGCAGCCTATAATACGTAATCTTGTTATTATCATGACGCTATACAGGCTGGCTTTGCTTTAAGATTTTCGTGTGTACAGCATAACTGTTTGGTATAATGCCGTAATTTTATTTAGCGATGGGTTGTTCTTCTATATTGTAAGCATATTGGAAAATCGAAATGATGACCTTCTACCCTTTTAGGTCGGACGTTCATTCGTTGTTTCATAGCGTGCCAACATATTACTACACAGCATAGGTTGTTTGACTTATCGTTGTGTGAAATTTTGGAATTTCTGCTTCGGGATTATTTTGGCTTATATTTGTGCATCATTAAATATAGATATTTGAGCAAAATGTATCACACCCTTTTTCAGTTAACCCCATGCAGTACCCCATTTTAACTCTTGAATGTTGTACGCATTGCTCACAAATCAGATGAATTCCTTTGTTCTTCCAGAGCGACAATTGATGCCTTCCTTATAATACCTGTTTAGGAGGCAGTGTTTACTGATTTGTATTATCCGTGGCCGGAAAACGTACAATGATGTGGCCAATATCAGCTTTCTCAACTTCGAGTTTGCTTTGGTAATAATGTTATTCGGCACCAGCCAGTACACAGATCGATACGTTTGCGCAGGTTATCTGTACTTCTACACTAACTAAAGGAATAAACTTGTAATTTTAAAAAGAACATCTAAAATTAAAGTATTGTACAGTAAGATTTGCACAGAAGGTTGTCAGTTTTACCGGGAACCCATACCATTTGGCAAAACAACGGAGCAAATAATAACAACTTGGCATCTTAAAAATTGTTACTGTAGATTATCTGGTATATTTCGGCGTTGTACATCGAAATACTTAAGTATCAGTATTATGTACTGTACTAATTTCTAATTTAGCGTAGTGTGATTTAGCTGCATCGCAGTTGTTTTATTAATGGAAGTCGATAAATGTTTTTCATCAGAACGGGGGAGGGTCGTGTTTTTATTTTCACTTAGGTCTAGAAATCATGCGCTGATAATATTGAAACAGCGATGCATGTATGCGGTCCGGTCTCATACTAACTGATTTGAATCCGCGTCACAAGTTTTGGTGCGTTTTTGGTGTCCTTAAGGTCCTTAAGGTCACTAATTCGCTTTCCAATAAATGTTCTAGTAAACGATTCTTAAGCACGACAGAGATGCAAAAGAAATCAGTTGTTGTCCCGAATGCAATCAAATCGTCACAAACGCTTAACCATCACCACCATCTACGTTGATTAGATGTTGTATTAATATTCATGGCATAGTGCGTGGCCGTGGTTGTGTTTCCACTGCGCAGAGATTGACTAGCGACATTTCCTGGTCATCTTCTCGTTTCCTGTTTCTTCCCCTTCATCGTGCTCATAAATCAGTACTGTCCTTTTATTCATCGCAGTCATCAAGTTCATCTAAACGCATTGACTAAATTAACGCTGTTTATCCAATGCGTGTTTTACGTCGTTTCCCATCATTCACCATGCAGTCAGCGTACATTACATATTATACGAGCGCTGATTTGTCCTATTCTCTTCCCGCCGCGTCTATCGGTTTGACTCTGATTTTGACTCCCAAAGCCAATCCGTGAGTGGTTCCCGTTGTGCCGCGTGCTAGTGACGGTGATTGCACCGCGGGGGACAACCCAGGCAGTGAAAAAGGGCGGAAGTGTGTTCCTAATGGAAAAATAGCATTTCATTAATACCGCTTTTGTCCAAGAAGTTGTTACAGCGTAACTACGCGTGACTTGAAAAGATAAACTAAAATAAATCTTTCGATCCCGTGAGACTTACAAAATTTTATTTACTATTAAGCGAACATTCCATCGTCAAATCTTGAAGTAAGTACATGCTCACAAGTAACAATATCTTAAGATTACGAAATAACAGAGTTCATCCATGCAAACGAATCCTTTAATACGACATATGCCATCGCAGATAAAATTAGTTTTACTGCTTATGTGCACCAGTGCATGTACATGTGTTATTAATAGTTTAGTTCAACTATTAAGTACTAATTTCTAATTTCTAATCATCACCACTCAACAATTAAAGAAAGGTGACCCTTCGATTTATTATTCGATAATATTACAACTCAATCGGGAGACAAATGGATACAAATTAAACGAAGATCGCCTAGCACAATAACATAAAACATGCAGTAATTATTCAGCAAAAACAGCGAATGGAATGCTCAGAAATTAATTATATGATGACGACTTATAATTATGACGGTATTTCTTTACAAAGATAGTTGTGTTAATTTGTACGAGTAATATGTTGGAATTGATATCCCTCCTGCAGGGTAGTCTACTGTAAAATCAGAAATAAAGTTCTTGCTGGAATTATCGCATACAGTAGTCAACAGTTAGAAAACCTTGTTGATTGATACACAGCTATTATTTTTAATGCATTTACTCTACTTCGAGATACATTACCTACGACACACAGAAAAGCGCTCCTTCCAGCTCAGAATCACTAAAAGATTCGCTTCCGACTTCGATGATGAAGTGATTTGCGATAACTCATACGGTCTGATTTACAGATGCTGTAATTGTGCCTGGATGGAGGGAATAAAATCGTTTGGATCACACAGATAAATTTCAGCAGATGAGCCATTAAGTATTTTGATGCAGCGACTTGCAAAAGAACACTTGATTGCACATTTCACTTGAAGGACGAAGAAGTGGATGCACCAATCGGAGGATGGCTGCATCGAGACACTGCATACGACGCTCGTGTGTGTGCGATAAACCGATTGGCAGCCGAGTGTGCGCTGCGTTCTGCAATGGGATGCGTAGACTATGGGTATAATTCATGATTGTGATGTAGGAACATTTGGAGTACTTCTAGTCCAACAAGTCAGTTCAGTGGAGGAAAACATTTACATGCACTATTTCCAGTACAGTCCCTATTTCTGTCCGGGCGAAACCTAGTTTCCTGTGGCGAAAAGGAAGTCGGTGACGGTGACTGCACCGCAATAGGATCCGCTCCAGAGACAGCATCGCCTTCACTAATGGATTCATATTTCCATCTTCATAAACAACAATTTGTCCTGGAATGATCATCGCTGGATGGGCCCTGAAGGAAATTGTGAAATCCGCATCTCAACCTATTTATCTTTCTATCATTTGTCGTACTGCTCCCCCGGAAAAGGAAAGCCATATGGCAGACCTAAATGACCTTTGAGAATTCCGTTTGTCGTTATACGCGGCGCATCTGCGATCTGGTGTATGCTGTATGTGTGTAGAGCGCCTGTCGTGCATATCCATTTACGTATATACCCCGTCCTTAGTGTGAAGGAAGGAAATCAGCTAGTGCTACCGTTTCCCCTTTTCTTTTGACGGCCACACACAGGCCGAACCCATCCCAATTCCTGGCTGTTTTACATTTCTGCATCCTGCTGCCGGTTATCGTTTAGGACCCGTTAGCGGACAGTTGTTTTAACAGGAAAAGGAAGTCGTCGGCCTTGTGTGTATCGGAACATATTACGAGTCCACTGCCGCGTCGACGCCAACCGGTAGCCGCCAGTAAGTGTGCACTGCTGTATATTATGACAGCTTTTGGACCTTTTTGTTACTGCGCAATTCCTGTTTCCTTCCTATGTGCCTTTTTCAGGCTTTAACTTGACGAGTGGCGCGCGCGCGACAGGATTCCGGTGTACACCGTTTCACAAGATTGACCATTACGTCCTTCCTTTGGTATGGTAGTGAATATGCGGTTCTTTTCCTGTTTGAGTATAATTTTATTTCCATCCGGTATTATGTCGGCTAGCTTATCGCTTCCGCTACCTTGTTAGCAACCACCGTACGCGTGTTATTAAGCGCCGTCGCGCTACCGGTGGTGCAGATTACGATATAATATCCACATCCTCTCCTTTTAACCTCATTTGTCTCGCAAATTTGCATTGCATAAACTGTGTACCTCATGTGCATGTTATCAGTCACAAACAAAATCATCAATCCGGAAGTTGCCGTACTTGTGACGCAGTACAGCGATAGCACCCAGGTCGAAGCTAATCATTATATCGGAATATTGGGTATATTCTGGATAAACAAATTAGTTGCACTGCACAGCGGCAAGGACTTTGCAAAAATTTCTTGCTAAATGCAGTCACAACATGCAGCCCAGTTACGCAGCTTTATACGTGGAAAAATATTTTCGCTGCACAACTACGTAAATGTGAGCAGCTCGCAGTTGAAAAAAGTCTTATTAGTCAATATATGTAAACGGCAAGTGTGAAGTGTCAAACGAGTTCAATTCAGCAGGCGGAGAAACGGAAACACAGCCATATTATACTCCATGTCTTAAAAAAATTATTACTACTTATTATGCGCGCAGCTGTTTAATTAAAGCCTGGACCTTTTAATAACAGCCTTTTCCTTTTAATTATTTTACTGATTTTTTTTAATTTGATTACTACTGCAAAGAAATCCCTGTTTAAAATATTTCCACAAGAATACAGAAATTTGAAAATTAAACAGGTTTTAGTATTTAATGTAAATTTTCTTACAAAGAAATTGCAGTGTATAACTGTGTATTCGTTCTTTATACTACATCTAGTTTTAGCAATACAAATTAAACGAGGAGGTTACTAATATAGAGCCAGCATATATTTGTTTCAAAAGCAGAACAGTGACCTTGTGAAAGGGCACTCAAATTTGAAAATGGTGCCAATGTTAAAACCGAACAGTTTTTGCCAATTCTTTATTAAGCTTATAATATGTTGCAGCAGCAGCCTAGTAAACTGCTAAGATGCAGTAAGTATAACTAATGCGTAATTATAATTCATGGGTAAGTAATGTACTTTTAGCAGAGAAATGTAGATATTGATATTTTTATAATTATTAAAGGGGACATGTACATGTACATATACATATGAGCCAATATCACTCCATCCGTCACCGGCCGCTCGACTACTGTAGAGTACAGATAGTGCAGGGTGTTAGAAGGTCTCGTTTGATTTCATATCCGCTGAATTTCTGTGCTCCGTCAAAATGTCATACAAGGAGTAGATTAACATGTGCAACTGCGATGCAATGTTGCAGTAGTTATTGCTGGTATCGATTTTGCCCGGGTCAAGCTGCACGCGAATATCAATGAAGTTATTAGCTGCTAGACACGCAATGTGATCTGTTAATTGTTGGTTCGTATCAAAAAGTCCAGCTCCGGGAAATAATAGAATAATTATTAGTATTCAGTAGCGATGATGAATTTTACGTGACTCGAACATTTACCTACTTCTGCCTAGGGAGTTTACATTATGGTTGGTCTCTTACATAAAGCCTAAATTGCCTAATAGGAATGGGCTGACATCTTTATTGGTATCAATTTTCTGCACAGATATTGAAAAAGATGAAACAGCATGAATTACCTGCCCGTAAAATTGGATAATTGCATGTGTGGTTATAACATACCAGACCACCATCCAAATGGGGTAAACAGCACCTGGAATAGATGGTGCGCTAAAGGTCATTGCATCGATGAATACAGTATTCGTTAGGCACGGCTGTCATAAGCCATCTTTTGATACTATAGCGTAAACACGAAATTACACAAATAAAGTACATTGCTTAAGTGAATAATGTTTTGTGCGTGGCTTGCACATCTTTTACAAATGAACGTATGGACTAAATACTCGTAACTCCTAGCGATTAAAAATTAATTCAATGCAAACGATTTAAACTGCTTGGTGTTTTTATTTAATTTAGTACGAAAGTCACCTATCGATCTTTCTAATAATATGCGACGTGGATTTCTTCGATTAACTTGTGAGCGTGAATTCCTATTCCTGCTTGCTTGCAAACGTTAGCTGGTCTCTTACAAGATTTCGCAAAGCTAATTACGTGACTTAAAATTACGGTCAGCTTTAACTGTCCCTAAAAAAAGTAACAATTTGAGACATAATAATGCAGTTTATGTTAAATTCATTAAGATTATATTCCCACTGCAAACTAGCATATATACGAGTATGTACGTATAAATCTTTCGAAAAGGATTTCCATGTGCAGGCTCGCCGTGCAAAATCATACAACATCGACCTAAACCTATATAATAAACTTTAAGTATTGAATTACTACCGACATTATCTTTTATAAAAAACTTTTATAAGAACTGAAATCGCTTAGCACTTATGAGGCCTCAGAGTGTACTCGTTGATTTGCTTTTACAATTTTAAAATGGTTTTGAATGGTTTTTTTACCAGTGTAAACTATCAAGCTGAAAAAAAATTAAACAAGAAATTTGTTTTGTAGCGGTTGGAAATTTGTAAGTGTTGTTGACACCCTCTGCAGCGTACAAATCCATTCAGAACAATTACTAAACTCGAACAATTAATCTCCACTTATTTTGCGAGTTAAGAAAGCGCACAGATAGTAAACACGTTATTATTAATTTATAACATAAGCAGAGCTTGGTTTTTTAGACATTGCACTAATACTTACTATTTTAATAAAAACTTTAAAAGTGAGTCAGCACCGGTACCGCTGCTGTATTTAGATTATTTAGTATGAAACTGCCAAAAAGCAAATTATGTACTTCTTTGCAATCAACGTGACTTAATTTATTGGGCCTGAATGCCTAATTAGATAAACCCTTTTGAGCCTTACCATTAGCTGCTCAGCTACCTCAATATATCTTACACAATTTACAGTTATCCTTTTTTTCGCCTTCGGATGTAGTTTGAAGTTGCTGTTGTGAAATTTTCGTCCATATTTTATGCAGTCCTAATTTTAACTAAAATCGCCTATTGACCCAAAGATGTTGGCGTATGGCATGCAGATGCCGAATACATGATTCACCGGAGCGCAGTGAAGGTCCATTAGTTCAGCAAAAACGAAAAAAAGATGCTTGTTCGTGTACATATTGAAAAATCTAATACCCGAGCAGCAATTTATTTGGACGCTGCTACATTTCCCGCGTGGTTTTCGAATTTGCAGTAAACATAACGACATGCTGCAGCGGTCTGCCAACGCACGCGAAGATGCATTTTCATTTTTGTACTTATTAAGTACAATTATGTACATGCATAGTGTAATACCTTCTCTATACCAAATTCTGATATTACAACGATATTACGTCGACGATTGACGACGATTGAACACGGAAAAACTGCGAAGAGTATGATCACCCTATCTGTAAAGTTTAGTGTGCTGAAATATAAAACACTGAAAACGCCAAGGCGGCCTTAATGCAAAAAACAATTATCATTCATTTATGCAGAGTTCGCAAATTGGAGACCACCGGCGTTTTCGACTGGATCAGTCCGTATGTCTCAACACCAGGCCTTTGGCGACTCGGCCATGGAGAAATCTGTGGAGAGAGAATCCTCCTGTGACTCGTATGGCCTTTCCGGTACGGGTATTCCCCGAGAACCTGGAAGCGGCAACCTAGTGACACGGGAGTCCAACATAAACTTCAGCATTCGCAATAGCGACGCTGCTCATGGAAATCGCTATAATGGTCACACAAAACGTCATTTGTATTACGGTAATTAACTCGGCGTAAACAGTTAATGTGTTCCGCTTGTTCCGGGACATTATGCCATGGCATTGCCGCTCTACAATAGTGCAGACAAATTTTATGTACATAACGTAAAGGCAAATGTTCACTTTTATGTTTAATTTTAACAATGATCACACATTAGCTGATTTTGCGTCAGTGTGGCATTACCAGGAACCCGAAGATGAGCGATGAGATTTTTCTGGAAATCTGAAGTTACAACAGTTATGCACCAGTGCACCACGCACTTGTACATCCCAACCTGGAGTAATGCACAGTGCTGACTTGACAAAGTTTTTGCATGCAAATCGAATACAAACCAAAAATTCAGCTTTCGAACAAATAACAAATGTTTTACAATTACTGCACCTAGCTGTACGCATTATATAAACTTTATTGTAGTGTATTGATATTATTATAATTATGCTTTAATGTTGTGATTGTTTTTTTGCAGAGCACAATGCGCGTCGGGCTTCGGATTCCGGAAACGAAATATACCGGCATGTACCATTTGAGGAAAAGGGTAGGTCCGCGACATAAAGTTATTGTCTCTCTTGAGATTGTGCACCGGAACAGTTACACCGAATCACCGATTGATATATGTACATCAGCAGTTACAGTTACAGCGTATTCGAATTTAAATACTGAGAGCAGCATAAACATTTGGTGCTGTTTAAATACGAGTAGCATTTTAATTAGCCGAACATATATAGGCTGACATATTTTTTTTGCTGTACGCTACAATATCACACATGCTCTTAGCTGCAGCATTTATTTTGTAATAAGTATTTCAATCATTCTAATATCTATGTTTTAGATGCCAAAAAACCCATAAAATCAGAGCCAGCGTACATGGCAAATTGTAAGTGAGAAAGTGCTACTACGGCATAGTACATCCATATATTACTACGATACGATACGAAAATTTTGGCATGACATTACTGTGCCATTCTAAACGGGAATGTTTGGTTTGTTTTACTTCACCATTTGTTTTACTTCACCAGTTTCTGCATAATGACTTTAATTTCACAATAACATAAGTTAATGTTTTAGCGGACATGAATGATGTTGGTTGCATGCAGGCACGATATATATAATACAACATATGCACTTTATTTGGGAACTAAATAAGATATTCACGTTTAAAAATTAAAAATGCATGTACAATGTAACACATGCACCTACAAATTAAAGCCGCCAAATTTCTTTCCGTAAGGCCGATGTCTAATGGGTTACCTTATGCTGCAGTCCTTAACTTTAGATAAAAGGTTAAAAATCTGCTTGAATGCTTCACTCAGTGAAAACTGTTTTTTATTGTTATTGTTAAAATGAACTGTTACTGTCGGCGGTTGTTTGAGTCTTTGGAAATGGATACTAACATAGCTGGTTGCAGATGCGGGAAGCGATAATTCCTATACCATGCAGGATGCTCAGACTGTGGGATCTCGAGGGGGTTCCTTATTTCAGGATTGCGGGACAAAGGTCAACCGGGTGTCGAACAACAATGGACAAAATATCGGTATTGAAAGTAAGATACGTATAAGATTATGTTTAAATTATCATCAACATACCAAATAAATACTCTTAGTATATAGCAGCCGCCAAGACTTTAATTATTTATATGCAGTTCCTCATGATTACTAACAAATCTAAAGACCAGCAGTTCCAACACAACACACAAAATATAACAACATCAAAATTATATTACACCAAAATTCGAACTGGAGGCTTGGTACAACACAAGGTCAACAACACAAGGTCACAACATAAGGTCACGGAATGATACAACACAAGGTCACGGAATGATTACCAGACCTTTTTATTACAAAAGGAATGGCATTCGCATAAAATCTTTTTTCTTACCGACGTAAGTACAGCCCTTGTGAAATTTAAAGTTACAAAAAGATGTAGTTAATCGTTCCTAATTCGTATATCATAGAAAATGCTAATAAACGTAGTAAAATAATGGATGCTGGCTGTAGCCACTACTGCATGCCAGCATCCGTTTAGATAAAATCTATTGTCAATAATATGAATAATTCAAGTACAGAGTGCAATTGCACTGCACAAGCACTGTTATCGCCACAATCTGGGAATAAAGGATGGATTATTAATATGTAATGTTATGTAATATCGGTCTGTGATACTGTCTTTAATCCTTGCCGTTAGTTCTTGTACGTAAACATTATTCCCGGAAATGTCTTTGTCAAATTTGCGTCTTGAATGATCGCACAACATACAGTATGCTCAAAGTCAGGTAATATTGTACTAATCTGCTGCCGTCCGGCCATACCATATGCTAACTTAAACTTAAAGATTAGAAACATTTGGTTGATACTTAATTCTCTGCTTGAAACCCCTCCATCCTCGAAACTGTTGATTTGCTATAGCCTAGGTCTCATCAACCCTTAGGGCAGCGAGCGAGCGACAATAATATTTAATTTTTTTAAATCAGCTTACTCATAGCATTAGGCGTTTTTGTCACTGAAAAGTTACTAAAATTTTGCAAAACATGAAAAAAAAGGCTAAAACCTTATCGTGGCCGGAACTTGAGCGAAGGGGACTACAAATTGCCGGTCTGCATAATCGCAGATTCATATATACATAATACAATACAATGCTTTGTGTACTGCTTACAGAGTAGTCCCACTTTTTACACCTCTGCCTGTTAATTTGAACATTTTTGTTTGGTTCTTTGGCTTTGAGTAGTAGTGACTAGTGAGCAATCGCTGATGCCGATTTATAGCTGCTAGGAAGCATAGTATGGTAAACGTTGAGATCTGTCGCAATAGTTCCCATATTTCTCTTGCGTAAATAATAGATAAAAAACTGTTTTTGGTATCAGTTATTATTACTGCGTAATAAGTAATCTGTAAAGCTGCATTTCTGCTGACAATGGGGAGCACGGAATCTACTGCACCGTTATACTGCACCAATGCCCAACAAATTCCATAACATAAGCCGCGTACAGTTACTTAAAATCCACTATAAATACAGTCCGTTTCGGGCTAACATTGAATATCGTCATAGCTGATCGATATCTGGTAGGAGTACGTAGATTCCTAAAGGAGTGGTCGAGTGTGTCCATGCCGGCATCCAGATTTCTTCTATCAATATTATCCAGCTAAGCTAGAAAGCGAAATTCGATCACTGGCCTTACATACGCATGCGCTTGGGAATGCATATGAATTCAATGATATTTCAAGCCGATAAATGCAAACATATTGTCATCATTCACTCTTTGATCTGTCGGAAGCATGAGCTTTATTAAAAACGCATTTATCACATCTTTCGCATCCTTATACGCGTCCAGAACTGTGCCTTTAGCTGCACTACGTAATTATGTTCCGTTTGAACCCAGCAGCTGAACGTACCCGCTTAAATACATATACAGCAGGCACGCGGCAAACTGTTGTAACTTGTAAGCAAAACAACTACTTCTTTAAAGAGATAAAAAAGTTCGTGTGAAACTGTGATCCAGCTCAGTGTTTAAAATGTCTACGTACATTTAGGGTATGACCCATGGAAGTTTTTATCTAGTGAGTTAATTATAATCATTATTTGTGCATTTTTACAACTTTTGTAGTGAAGCGAAACTTGAAAAATTCAAACAAATTGCGTGGGTTTGCCGATAAACACACGCGTTATATTACTGTTCGAGCAGATTACCACATGTCATGTTATTATGATTATGCAGTTGTAAAACATTTTTCTTTGAAAACAGTAAAATGTAAAACATTATGTACATATATATCATTATGGCCACGATGTCATCTACCGGCATTTCATGTATGGCCTATATATTGCGTTACTTTACTATGTATATATTATATAATAATGCATTGTATGGCCAGCAGTTTCTACAAACTAAAAGAATGGATGGAGTATGTCATGCACTCTACAGCGATCAAGCTGGATCGTACAGGATCGTACCAAAAATTAACATAATATCAGCGACATGCTTTTCGGAATTTTAATTAGGAAGCCGATAGCACTTGTGGGTGGGCAGCCTCCAATTCGGCTCGTTTAACTCAGCAGTTAACATGGACGCCTCATCATTTACGAGAATTGTATGAGAGTAAATAATCAATAACATTTGCACATTTAATGCAATCTGCTCAGGCATATTGTTTGAAAATTCTTAAAAGCTTTCATTATGCATGCGCCGGTTCGAAGTTACGCCATTAATTGATTTATCACTTTCACACTGGGGCGAATGCTGCAGTCAATTTAACTTCTGCTTCAGCTGCTTTATATGTAGAATCGTTTACACATAAAAACATTTACCGAAAAAACTGATGTTGCAAGAGTAAAAAGTGCGGCTACCATGGTCCATTTTTAAATGCCACCGGACGAAATCAACCGATCCGGCGTTTATACCATGCAAATTGCAACGTTAACCACGTACGCAAAAACACACCAATGTTGGCACGTAATACGCCTATTAAACGGAGGCATCCTATTGTAACCAACCATTAAAATGTTCGCTAAGTAAGGAGCCAAAACAAACCTTATTTGGACTCGTTTGCTGTATCCTTCTATCAAGCACAGCAAGGTCTCATTAAATAATTTTTTTTGCATTAGCATGCCTAGCTTAAAGTATGTGCGAGTACTACAGTATCGGCAAAGTTTGGTCGTGTTTGACAGAGTCATTCCTTCGGAAGGAAGAAAATTTCATGATTATCGCCTGCACAAATACTTGCAGCGGAAGTGCCGCTTTCGGCATTGTTAGGGCGCCACGATGAAGAACCACTTTGCTAACAAGTTTTTATGCAGCTGCACGAACGGAAACCGGAATTTAAAATTGAACTCCTAACCAGACCGGAAATGCTGTCGATCAACCAGTTCATGCAAATTTCTGTTTCGTTGATATTTTCATTGATTGCACGTTACCGGTTTTTATTTAACGTTGTGATCCCTTGAAAAACGATTCACAAGTCAAGTGAAATTTGAATGAACTGCGCTAATCAAACTCGTAATTAGTAATATTGTTAGCTATGCAGTTCAAACCAACAAACACTAGGAAAACTTTTTTGAAGTTACAGACAAGATGTTATTTCGAGTCATACGAATTTTATGATCGGTTGTTATAAGAGAACTAATCGCACGGCCAGGACGACTAAATTTTATAATTATGTTTTCCTTTTGAAAAATCTTTTGAGAGTCACCTTTTGAAAAGCTACAAATAAATACTCGTAATTGCGAACGTAAATCGAATATGAATAAATACAAAACTAAGCCTAATAAGTAGGCAGTCTGCTGTACTAATTAGATTAAATTAAAATTGAAAATCATAACTTTTATACTGATATAGCAGCAGTCCGACCAAAGGGGGGTGTGTAGCGCATCGATTGCTTGATCAGTTTCCACAGTCATGCTTCGAAACTACCGCATTTGCTGCAGTATATTGCAGGCCAAGCTCAATTCCATACTATATATTATTCTCCCTCTGTACAAATGTATGGTAATAACACTGTGTAATTGCATTATGCACTGCTCTAGAAAAGCATTAAAAAGTCTTGCGTGTGAAGTTAATCGTAGGTTATGAAAAGGTGCACATATAGCAATGGAATAGTAATCAATTGACTTTCTGATCGCCAGAGCATAATCGATCTCGGTTGATCAAATCATCTCGTGCAAATGTGCTGTGATGTATGTATGATGTATGCAGTGCGCCGCTGCAGAGATAAACACATTTCAGTGTGGTTACGCATTGATTTCCATATGGACAAATATATGAAACACGGCGAATCGCTGATATTCGTAGATGTTTATCAAATCAAAAGCACTCATATAATATATGTAGTTTGGATTAGTCTTTAATACAAAAATTATATCCAGTCCAAACGTTTCTAAACGTACAGGGAAACGAAAGTAAAATTGTTTTGCAATAAAATCACCATAGAGCTGAATTTAGAGAATTATTGACAGTGTTTTTAAGAAAAAAGGATTTTTCGCGCGAAGCCGGTGTTGATCGCGATCGGTTCAGTATCCCGAACATTGTTGAATTAGTCGTCAGATCACGTACGTCGATTCGATAGACAAATATTGACCGTAAATGCCGATATAACAATCACTGCTGATCTTTCACGCACACACTCGTGTGTTGTGTTATGCCCCCATGGAAAAGCGGGTAAAAGGGAAAATGAGAATCCCAGCATAAGCACATAATATTGTATCAGGTTACTGGAGCGTACCTCACACTTACGGAGACATACGCTCACACAGACATATGCATATAGCCAATTGATCCTGGAGGCTGCTCTATCTGCGCGTCCGGGATTGGGTTTGGAAATTCGAGGTGAATGAAATAAATAATGCATTATAGGCTTTTGTTTTATACGTGAGAACCCATTGCTATCACATGCCAAGCGTCTATTTACATGGTAAATAATTGCAATTACAGGCCTGCTTTCATTAACTATTCATTCACAATCGACACGCGCCACACGTCGCTCGGACTGTAAGCGGCCGCTAAGGTGTCCCGGGGGGCTGCCCTTCGACCTTCATCATCTCATTATAACCTGCAAACAGCTAAATCACATCTTTTACTAATCCGCAACTTATTAGCCTACATTTTCAGTAATCTAATCCTTAAGAAGTTATACCACCTGAAAAAAGTATTATTTTTCTGATACTGTAGTTAACCTTTATGGTCAAACTAAAAGAATTTAATGCCCTCGCATAGGCTTTTAAATAACTACGAAAGAAGTAAAGGCATCTGCGTTTGATCGCGTAAATGTAATTAGGAAATAGCGAATTGTCAATGAATCACTCTGTTCAGGAAACAAGTTTGTACTTTTGGTGTTAAAAGAAGATATTACGATACTTATTATGCGGCCTTCAGTTGCCGCTGTTTAGTATTTATACTTCACATTCCAAGGATTTAAAGGACATACAAGACTGGAAGATTATATTGCGCTTCAATAATCCCGCAAACTCACCAATTAACTTTTAATCTAGCATCAGAAAACACAAAAGAAATCCTATTTACGTCATGAACTGTTTACCAGTCAAAAAAATGACAAGAAGCAACTGTAACGTCACACAGGCACTGGTAATTATCACTGATGCAGTATTACAGTAGCATATAATATGCAATTTGGTTTTGCACAGTCAGAGCGAATCCTTATCGTCCTGCTTTGCCGTGTAAACCAAAAGCGATCCAGAATATTCTCACGAACAAATGAATGAGTGTGTTATCATGGCCTTCTGGCTCACAGCAGTCTCCACAGATTAGCCCGCTTTGTAGTTTCGGGCATTGATATTTATCACACGTGCACAATAAACAGCTCATTCCCACTTTACAACTGCCTGCATAGGCACGTGCCTGTAGCATTTATTGGCGAAGGGAAAATTGCCGGGAAGCTGTTTATTCATGCCGCTTATATTCCCGAAGTTAGCGGCGCACATATTGAACGTCTATAGCGCCTACAGTACGTATACAGTACAATCAGACGAATATATTCTGAACGTTCCGTAATTAAAGGGCATGAGGTTGTCTGAAGTGTGGAATAGAGTGGAAAGAACAACAATTCAATTCGCCGTTGAAGTTCAGCCTGAGTATCAGACGGAAGCGATCTATGTTTCGGTACAAGCGGCTTTGCTTTTAACGGAAAAGTTGCCAGAATGGCCAACAGGAAATTGCTTTGCCGGTTGGCTTAATAACTAACCTACCAATCATGTATGTAAAGAGTGCTGCAGCTGTACAACAGATAGACTGCGGGGCGCTGGCAGTGGCCGAGGAAAAGAAAGAAAAAGCAAATACTATTGACACAAAACGGAGTGCGTCCAGGCCGCCGACAAGCACAGGAAACCCTGTTTATCAAAATCGGAAGCCCTTTTGCTCTTGTTAAGTCCTGGATTTCCATGTCGTGACCGACAAAATTACGCTCCGCCACTGTGCGAACCTTTAACCGGCCTATCACTGTCAAACGGAAATTTCGTTAACTCACTCGGGATTAAGGCCCCGGCCACTTGTCGGGCTTACCAACAAAGATTAATACCACTGATTAAACACATTAGTTAATTACCTTTTCACATACTAGGGTTGAGTAGGTTGTGTTATTTTTGCCACTAGTTGTAAAATGTCCATTCTGGTTTATACCAGGTAGAAAATTCAATTAAAATTGACTTCCACATGATACATTTTGACTAAAGTATAACAACCTTGTGCAGCGGTTTCGAATGAGCTCGTAATGCAAAGATTTTTAAGAAGATATCTTGCATTACAGCGTATGCATAAAAAATTATCGCCCATATTCCATGTTCGCTCGTCCATATTAGCATTTTTCCAGTCGAAAAATTCTCGTATTCCAGAACACGACGTCGATATACTTTACCTTCGTCACATGAAAGCATATCAAAATAGCCGTCTATGTATGCACTGGCAACAAAGCCGGCACTGGCGCTCTGGAATTGAATGGGAGAATTGCCCGTAGCGCCATAGTGTAGAGCAGCCGTATACTGCGCCGTACTGTACGACGCTGGACCGTATACAATTCATTGCGCTTGTTAGAAATTGCTTGATCCCTCTGGCTAGTAGGGAGAGCAGGGAGAGAGAGGGAGAGGGAGAGAGGCGGAAGGGAGTCGGGGAAAGGAAATGATGATGATTGGTGGTCGGGCGGATATGTTCCCTGTAGTGCCTTTGGATTTGGTTGAGCATGTCGGGGTGTCTTGTTGGCTGTATTAGTTATATTGTCATCTTGGTCGTTTCCTCTTCCGTTCCGGATCCCGGTTGATCGTCAGGCCAGTAATGAAAGTCATCCTTCTTTTCTTTCGGCTCCTTTATTTTTGCACTACTGCAGCCGCGGCACGCATAGCTATACAGTTGTTGTGTTACGCGCATACGCCGTAATATTATAACGCCGGGAATTGAGTCAATGTGTGGATATACGGGCAGTCTATGAAAATGGATAACCGTATGTATTAATCCCCGAGTTTTCTTGTTGCGCGGGACACTTGAAAGAATAATTTCCGTCGACAATCTTTTCCTGTCTGTGTATTACGACGCGCTGCACATGATTGGTAATTTCCATTGCGCGCCCTCTGACTTGGCCGTTCACATGTTCCATTGTGTCCCGGATATCCTTCTCTTTTTAGCGCTATGTCGTTTCGACTTCCTTCCTTCCTTTCAGCAAACTGAGATTTCCCGCAACGTTTTCTTTGAGCTGGCCGTGTGTGCATATTCTTGCTATGTGTCGAGTCGGCTTGTCTATGCCGGGTTCCATCCCGTAATTTCCATTTCATGTTTACCAGTTTAGACTAAAGTGCTCTTACATTATACTGTTCAATCATTGCGTCCATCACTCTCACAATCCGAGACGATAACACACTGAGTGCAGCCAAATGAATGCTGGATTAAAATCTCTTCCCGTCTAATTGTCAAACTCCGTCTTCGTCAATTATTGTTTAACATTCTGCCGCTTTTTGTGTGGGCCTATGAAACTGGCGCACAAGGAGTCGTTTAAGAAGAAAAAAGATCGTTCTAGGATGATATTCAAACCTGCTCAAGGTAACATCTTCGCAGGTAGCCGCCAGTTCACAGTAGGCGCGGTATCCTGCACATAAGCAGTCTCGACAAAGGTTATCGTGACATTGTCGTAGATATATAGTGCATTGTTGCTGAACCATCAACTTATACAACTGGTTAAGATTTTTCTATAAATATTCTTTTTGCAGAGACCAATGGCGCCGTGTCAGAATCATCCTTCAAAAGAACGTCATCCAGCGGATCCATCGGTCTGAATAATATCAGCAATAGCAACGGAGCCGCATCGGCAGCCGCTGCTCTGGCTGCGCATGTAGCGATGTCATGTAAGCCAAATAATAGCGTAATTTCCTGGATTCGTCTCACGACACTATGAATGTCTAATATCTGATTCCTCGATTTTTAGCAGCCGCTGCTGCAGCCGCGCAAGCTGCGTGGTCACCCGCTCAAAGTAAGTTTACTTATGCTTTGTGAACGACTGAGCGTCCAGGTTTACGATTTCGTACATTGTAATATATGTTTGACCTTACTCTTAAATGAAGTATTACTGTGCCGTATCTGACACATTCGTAATTTCCAAACAATAATTATTACATTCTTGTCCAGTTACCCGGAAGAAAGTAAAATTTGACAAAACCGTAATAAAAACAGAAGTATCCGTCGTTTTTAAATTTAAACGGACTCGCGAGTCAATTCTTTTGCGTTAGCGCTAAAGCTCTATAAACCGCAGACAAAGTACAGTCGGGATGAATGCTGAGGAGCTAGTTGTAGTGCTGTTTGAAAGAGTAGCCTTTAAGATCATGGGTTTATCGTTGTTCGATTTTATCGATACTTGTGGGAAGCTGCATTGACCGTAAGGAAAAGGGTACGAACAATATTGTTACAGTCGGAAAACACATTAACTTTCCCATTAAGCAGTCCCGTTCTGCTATTAACCTTTTCAGATTGCATGCCCATTTGAATCATTCGTCAGGTGAAAAGGAATCAAAATGTCGATAGGCAAACTCGATTTGCGCTGTCCATATGCGTATATAACTTCCTTCACAAATAGTGTACAGTGCGGTTTGACTTCGATCTGTATAACGTCAATGCTGATCGATGGCTGATTTATAATAGTGAATCGGCAACATTAACTGCTTGATTAGCTAACGAAATATTGTAAACAGACCGTGCATAATTTTTTCCTTTGCACAGGAAAGTTAAAATAACGTTTGTTAATTTAGAAATGTGGCCCACTTTGCCGTGTGTCCTGATCTGGTACAGATCATAGCTTGTGTAAAAGCTGAGATCATAATTAATATAAGAACGCTGCGCATTCCTGTCATAAATTATTAGACTTCTTGGTTTAGCTGCGTGTAGCCTAGCTAGGTAAATTTTATTTCGTAGTTTTAATAATGTAGACGTGTTAAAGCGTTTCGTTATTCTGCAATACTTAACTAACAATGTAAGACCATCCACATCTTACCGGATGTAAAGGTTAACAAGCAACACTGTCTATAGAAATATAATAGAATACACTACTGTGTGCATGACCTTTCCGATTGTGCTCGTATGAACCAGTTGTCAATTAACAAAAAATACGAAGGCGATCGACAGCTTTTCTTTTTAATCCCATCATTGTTTTAAAAAAACAAGCAGCGCAAAACTTTTTGCTACTTTCCACGTTTGGGTGAACCGCAAATGACGGTACGTAAGACAAGCGACATTTTTAATTATCCTTGTGCGCCATAATTAGCAGTTTTACGATTTGTGTAATAAAACCGTATCATTAGCACAATTTGCAACCTGGACACTTCTACTTTTTGCACTACCATAAAATTTAATTGGGAAAGCGGTCATTTGATGGCGAAATCTTTGTGGTTGCCACCGCGAGTAAAACGTTAGTAAACATTTATGCAAGACGTGATAACATACAAAGCAAGATGCGGTTCTAAAGAATATTCCTTAGGTTCAGTGAGCGTATTGTGAGCACTCTGAAATTCCGCTTCTTGATCAGGTCGTATAATTGTCTAATGAAGCATTAAAGCGGCCATTATTCAATTAGGGTGCTGCCTTTTAATGGATGCAGAATGTAGTCAACGAGGTCAATTTACGATAGCAACAATATCCAGCGATCCACATATTACGCATCCGTATACGCGGCTTTATCGTCCAGTCCAGTTAAGCCTGTAATTAATCCATGCGACATGTCTGTAATTTTGCAGTTGAGTACCCTTATCAGATGTTTACAACGCCAAACTCCGCCGCGGTTAACTCACGATTACCTCATCCTCACCCGACAAATCCCTGCGCATCCATCAATTCGGGATGCAGTACGAACGGAAACAACAACAGCAGCACAACGGCCAACAATGCCGGTTCCGCATCGCCCTCATCATCCACCTCTGGTTCGTCCATCCTGCACGGTTCCGCCACATCCACACCTACCGGCGCACTGAACCCCGCCCTACATCAGCATACCGGCGGTCTGTCGGCATCCAGCGTGTATAACCTGTCGAGCGCTGCCTGCGCCGCTAATGCGGCCAATGTGGGGAGTGGCCAGATTCAGTTGTGGCAGTTCCTGCTGGAGCTGCTGCACGATGCCAATAACACCAACTGTATCGCCTGGGAAGGCCAGCACGGCGAGTTCAAACTGACGGATCCGGATGAGGTGGCACGACGCTGGGGCGAACGCAAGTCCAAGCCCAATATGAACTACGATAAACTGTCGCGGGCGCTGCGCTACTACTACGATAAGAACATTATGACGAAAGTGCACGGGAAACGCTATGCGTACAAATTCGATTTCCATGGATTACAGCAGGCCACTCAGCCGGCGCCCAATCCAGTGTCGGTATTCTCTAATCATCCCATGGCCACGCACGGGCCCTTCGGCTCACCCGGCGGTGTGGGACCGGGCGCCGTGGGCGGTGGCCCGATGCACGGACATCCCGGTGACTTTGCCGCGGCATACCGGTCAGATTTGCTGATGACGGCGGCCGGTGCGTATTCCAAATTAGGCCTAATTCCGCCGACCGGACCATCTTTTCCGACGGCGGCACATCATCCACATTCGTTCCAAAACCCAGCTGGATACTGGACAGCGATGGCTAATAATGCAGCTGCAGCAGCGAATTTCTACACAAGTTCAGCGGTAAGCGCAAACTGCATTTAATTTCTTTATTTTCACCAAGCTACACGGTAGAAAATAATTATTGGATCCAAGACCATAAGTACGGTATCAGAATATCCTAAGCTTATTATGTCGCATTATTGTTCAACTGAAAACGGTATTGTTTTCTCAGTAAATATACCGCGCGCTGATTGTCTATGCAAGGTCAACTAGTGATCTCGTTTTTATCATCAGTGTCGTGATATTAAAAGAAGTAACGAATGCCGTATTAATTTTTTTTCATTGCGCATTTTTTTCCGTTCTGGTTGGATGCAGTTGTCAAACTTTGAATACAATAACCCATCGAAAAAACAAATTCCAGTAATCGTAATAACTTTCTGTTTAAGATGCACATAGTTTTGTACGTTTGATAATTTCGTGTAGTTTTCTGTAATTTTTAGCAAATCTTGCATGTATGGTCTCTCATTCTCTCTCAAATGAAATTCTTAAGGTTTAGTTTCGTAATGAGGAAAGGTCAAATAATTACCCTATTGGCATTGTATGTGTAGCCAGTGTAGGGAACGTTTAGCTTAATTTAATAAATTTTCTCCATATGACTGATGTAAATGATTATTAATGTGGACGATGATGAATAAGCGATCAGCTCATAACTTGGTTATCGATTCGGTATCTCATTAGAAATTATGGTTGGAAACAGGCGGCGGCGCATGCGGCACTGGTTGCGGTATCTAATCAGAATCATTCACAGAATCACCCCAATCAACATCACCAGTATGCCTCACCCCATCAGCCTCCGCATCACTTATCATCATACTATGGAAGCTGAGACCAAGTATATGTCCTTTAATTCAATGGATATTGGGGAAAGTTTACGTTAACATCGGGATCGGCATTTTATTTATTGCTGGAAGCCTCTGGAAACTGGAGCATTGCAAAACGGTGCAAAGTTTGCGACGGTGGATAACCTTAGCAGCTGGCTAGTCTCGAGTCGCGATCTCATTCAAAGCATACGAGTTTTAACTGCTTTTATTAAAAACGTTATAATAATATTGCTGTTCCCATGCGTGTTCCTTTGTTAAATAAAATAACTAGTTTATTATGCTAGATTGTACATATAGCCTGCATACACTACTCTCTCACACTCATTGGGAAGCCTTTAATTCTTATTACATTGAATGCTTTAATTAACTGCAGTTCTACCGGGTTAAAACTGAATAAAAAAGTAAATCAGAAAAAGAGATACTTCGCTCAAGCATCTATGTACCCTAAAACGAGTACAAACGCTGTGCCGCCTCTGCATAAATAAATAATCAGACTAATCGAATCAAACAAACAAACAAACAATAAATCAAACCAAAGAATAGAATCACATCTACATTCTGCATAATATACAGTCGCATTACCAACAATGGTTGTCTATATAAGTCAGCAGCACGCGCATGATTTTTACCGTCTTTACGATAATATCGAAGCGCAAATTTCATTAATAACAATTTTATTAATAATAATATAGATATTTGTAAAGCGCGACAGGACTATATACCATTAATTATTCATATTAAAAAATTAAAGTCTACAGCCTATTATAAAAAATCGTGCTGTTCTTTATTTATGTGTATTACGTTATACCAAAGGTTAATAAAAATCATTTTATACAGCCTATCTGATCTGTGTAACCATCAAGTTGACATAAACTTCTTACCAGCCCTACTGATCACTAGTACTCTGTAGTAGTCTGTACTGTGTCAAAAAAGTGACATTTGATAAAAAAAACGGGTTGTAATCGTAATCGGCCGTGTGGGTTATGATTAGACTTCGTAAAGTGATATTAACAACTTTAAAACACTCAAATTTTAATTTTGCGGGAAATTTCCTGGCTCATAGCACTTTCGCATAGCACTTTTGCCTGGCGCATAGCATTTTCCTGGCGCATAGCACTTTAATTAAATTTCGATAATCGTCAAATCACCAGTACAATGTGATATCAAGCAGATATGCACTGTAACTTATAAGTACTCGATTTTACGTTTTCGTACGTTAATATTTACTGATGCAGTGGATGCCTTTTGTGAAGTACAGAGTACTTTGTAATTCCATATTTTAAAAAATTTTCCCGATATCGGTAACTCACGTTGCTCTGTTGTAATGACTGTTTTTATTCCTGATGATTTGATGTACTTGTAACTGCGCAATTGCAGAACTTATATTAATTAAGGTCAGCACTCACGAAGTAAAAAATTATTCTTGCGCTCCTTCATGACCGATGACATGATGAGTGATGTCGCTCAGTCGCTAATTTGCAACGCAAAACAAAATAAATGCAGCTTTTAAGTTTCCACGTTGTTACTCGTCGGTGTGCTTTTAATCTTTAGCCGGCCTTACAAAACTTTTACCGGACAGAAGAAAGATGACTTTCTGTAATCAAAATTTAGCGTTTATCCTGCGGATCTGGATTTTTCGATCCGCGGGTGGTGTTACTTTTGCATCGTGTGCAGTGTGCACTGTTCACTTGTGGTAATCGCCACAAGTGCACCTTGTGGTAATCGTGGTTCCGTTATTAATCGGCACCCAGTTTATCACTAACACGAATCAAGCACTCACTTATTCCCAAGCGTTGTTCCTACTGAAGAACTGTTTAGGGGTGCCGAAGATAGTGCACACAGTCCACACTGCTGCTGACACTGACGGCATCGGATGTGACTACCGCCACACGAGCCTGGAAGTTACTGGCCGACACCGATGAACTTCCGGTGGAAGCTTTTCGACACGTCCAGAAAGCCTGGGACACACTTGCGACGCTGCAGACGCTTTGAAGGCTGACCGCAGTAGGACTACACAGGATAAAGTCGCGCACCTGAAAGCGGTATGGCTCCCGGAGTTCGGTGTGTGGATTCGTGCACTTCGTGCAGCATGCCTAGGTGCACCATGCCTGACCGCAAGACAACAACGCGTTCCGCATATATAAGTGCTGCCTTGCGTCTGGGAGCACCAATCGTCATTCCTCACGTATGCGTTTGCGGCGCCCTGGTTGACGGTTCAGGCCGCCACGGGCTAGCTCCATTGTGAACGGTCAGCCGGACTACTGCCATGTCATGATGGCATCAGCAGAGAATTCCACCGTGGTCTTAAAACGGCTGGTTTTCTTCTGTGAGAATGGAGCCAAAAGCTCTATCTGTGAAGGATCACAGAAGGTCAGACGTGATTGCTCTTGTACCATGGGAGCGCGGAGAACCGCTGGCCGTGGATGTACAAGCTTGTCCGGTAATTTCTGCCGGTTCAAAATAGCGAAATACACAAATTTGCGTATTGCGCTAAACGTAGTGTAGTGGCAATCGCTATAGCGCAAACTTCGCGCTAAATATGTGCTATCTGCTGTACCTTTACGACAGAAATTACCGGACAAGCTTGTAACCTGTGACGACGCGCTCGCTGCTTCGTATGTTGACCGCACCTCTAGATCTACAAACGCCGGTGCAGCAGTCGAGCACGCGGAAAGGGCGAAACTGACAAAACATGCCTGGCTGCACCCACGGTAAAACTTATAGCAGGGGCGTTTGAAATGTATGGACCATGGGAAAGCGCCGGTACCAAACGCTAGTGGAAATTAAGGTTGGAAACGGCCACAGGACAGAAACGGGCGAAAGAGGTTTTTTAGGCAGCGGCTATCTATTCAGGTAGAGAGAGGAAATCGCGGTAGGTGTGCTGGGTACAATCCCTGACTAGGATGGCATTCAGCAAGTATTTTTGTTATAAACTTTCTTGTTGTTGTACTAATGGTAAGTGTGTACTTGTGTGTGTGCTTATTACAGGTGGCTTTATGAAGCCCCCCGTAAAAAGCTTTACGCGATTGCGCCCTTTTGTTTCATGTACTGATAGCATTTACCTAATAAATTTTAACTGTGATTAGATTCGCTGCCCAAAATAGCATTGAGGAAGTGTTTTTGTTATGAATTTTGTTTCTATTTTTTACTAAGTGCGTATTTAGGTGGTGTGATACTTACGATCGTTAATCAAAGGTGATACATTTATTTACGATTAGAAGTCTAGTTACTTAGCACACATGTACGCATCCATCCATGTTAACGCTTAACACATCCATGGTAGCACACTGGACTCTCGAGCATATAAAAGTAAAACAAACAGTGGTATTGTTAATTTTTTCTGAATTTATGTAGTAAATTAGTTCGTGGTAAACTCCGTGTGGTAAATTTTATGATGTCTCTACCGGCATGCGGTATTTACTCACTCATTTATTTGTACGGCCATATGAATGTGGCGTCAGTTATGGGAAAACGGCCGATGGAAGCTAATTTAGATCAACTTGTGTGATTAGGCCGCCTCTGCCGGTTGATGTTTAACAAGTGATGGTTTCTGAAATTGTTGAAAGAAATGTCGATTTGCAAGGATGACCATAGCAGTATTTACTCGAGGCGATAAAATATGTAGAAAAAAATTTGATTACTTACTTAAATTAATCAGAAACAAATGCAGTCAGTGCCGATCAGAATCCAGGCCGGCGCCCACCCGCGTGCGTTGCTACTAAAAGTAAGTAAGCCGTCCGTGCAATGTGCATGGATGATGGAAGCCACTGATCACTTGATCAGTGATCACCATCTACTGTACATTTTACAGTAAGTACAGTAATTCTGTTTATCGTTTTTAGATTTGGTTTGGTTGCTCGAAGTTTAAGAGAAAGTGTGACATTATTTAGAGGTATATATTGTATCAACAGAACGAGTGATAGTGGCAATAAGTTTTACCTCTGTGCATTGTACTGGCTCTATAGCAGCTGATCAGTGTCGACAAGCTTGTAATTCTGCCAGAAACATGCCTCCCGCAACACGACGATCCCGTTACATTAGCCCTGTCCCTGTTCACACTCCCGAAGTCTCCCTTCGTGCTAGTGTCGATCAGGCCTCCATACACGCGGACTATCCGGTTAACAGTGAAGAATCCACATCGGACTCCGAATATGCCTCCTTTCATGACCGAGAAGTTATCTCCCATCCGGGCGAGAACGGCATAGATGGCTACGTCAAAAGTGAAGACTCCACGCTGGATGACGAAGCCAACGATCTGTCCCTTTTGGACGAGAATGAATCCCCATCCAATGAAAGAAGCGATTTCTACACCATCAGGCAATCTGGTCCTCCTGTTCTGGCCAATCCCTTAGTTCCTGTGGTCACAGAAGGAGCCCAGCTAAAAGTAAGGACGGACTGTTTTCGTTTGACATTTATGTTGACTTGACAGATTGTCGACCAGTTATTATTAACTACCCTTATTATTCTCGCAGTTTCGTAGTAAGAAAACGGTTTTTGAATCATTTTTTTGATTTTCTTTTTTATCTTTCTCCCTACGGTTAAACATTGAGCATTGAACATGAATTTCTGCATTGAAGCGTACTTTAATTTTACAATGAACCCCGCAAAGACGGCAAACTGCAGACCAGTTCCCGTGCATCCACGCCGGACTCCGACTCGGGCTTCTTGAAAGACAAGAAGTACGCCGCCCATATCTCGCGGAAGGCGTCCGCCGCAGTCGCTGCTGCCATCTTCCCCAACCGCTATCCATCCTTGCCGGCGCCCAGCACACCGAAAACGGAGCCCATTGTGGAGGACATAATTACTCCAATTCCGCCTGGTCATGGAAAAGGTAGAATCATCCCATATTGAGTTGAACAGATTTTATTGTCATATTTGCACTTCCCGGCACACATTCGGGTTTGTTGATGTGCTGTTTGTGTTTCCAGAACTATAAATTGAATAATAGAGATTCTGTAATTCTGTAATCTAAAATGAAATATTTGGAGAAGGAATATTTAAAATTTTTTACTGGGTTTTAGTTTACTTTTGGCTGGCTGGATTAGTTTACTTGTGGCTCATTAGTGAGCGCAAAACCAAGGACGTAAGTTCGTCTGATGTAACTAGTGCGTTCTAGGTATGGGAAAGGGTTCTGGCGCACTGGTGCCGCCGCGCTCATCGGGCAGTCTGGCGGCACACGGAGCTGACGATCTTGTCAGTCGGATCAAGAACATTCAGGAGGTTGAGTTTGGAAAATACCGCATAATTCCGTGGTACTTCTCTCCGTATCCCCAGGAACTGACGAAAGTGTCACGCTTATTAATCTGCGAGTTTTGCTTGAAATTCTACGGAAGTCAGGGCGCTTTCGCCCGACATCGCAGTAAATGTGGATTGTTCCATCCACCAGGCAATGAAATATACCGCAAGGAGGATATCTCCGTGTACGAAATAGATGGCCGGAAACAACGGGATTATGCACAGAATTTGTGCTTGTTTGCCAAATTGTTCTTGGATCATAAGACATTGTATTATGACACCGACCCGTTTCTTTTTACGTAATGACGGTGGCCGATGATCGGGGCGATCATATGGTGGGATATTTTTCCAAGGTAAGCGATTCGCTGCGTTGATCCACTTTGTGCGATTGGCTTTATATTTAAATGTCAATTAAAATTATGACGAAAATGCAGCCATTATAAAGCATGCAGCATAATGGAATAATGGGCTTACTGGTTCAAATTTGGTTTTATCCTTAGGAAAAAGAATCTCAGGAGGACTACAATGTTGCGTGCATTCTCACACTGCCACAGTATCAACGTAAGGGCTACGGACAGCTCTTAATCGAATTTAGTTATGAATTAACCAAGCGTGAAGGAAAGTTTGGGACCCCGGAAAAGCCATTGTCGGATCTGGGCTATTTGACTTACATGAAGTACTGGTCAGCAACACTATTGCGAATTTTATGCGAAGAAAAAACCAAGTCCAGTGGCGCAGCATGTCAGTATAGCGTCAAGTAAGTAAATGTTCCGAATTGTTCCCACTGTTATTGATTTAGTGCAGCAGTTGTTCTTTACGTATTCCATTTTGCATTTCAGTGATTTGTGTGAAGTAACGGGAATTAAGAAGGATGATGTTGCTTCGGCACTCTACAATCTGGGATTGTTAAGTTACTTTAAAGGTTCCCACATTGTGGTACTTCAAGACAGGCACCACAAGATGCACGAAGAATTCCAGGCTAAAAGACGATTAATTATTGATCCACAAGCATTAAAATGGAACCCAAAAGACTGGTCCAGAAGGAGATGGTAAGTAAATATGTTGGGAAAACTTGCGACATTCATATCAGCGTTGGTGCGTGAAATACGATTATTCGTTTAATTTTCCAGATTTCGCACAAGAGGGAAAGGCATCCCGGAAACCCTCTTTTTTTATGGTGTTTTCGCTCTGTTCTTTTCGCTTTGTTTTTATGGTGTGCGTATGTTTTCGCTCTATGCAGACTTACATTGTCTTGTTATAACAGTCGATAATGTACTAGTATCTACACACCAGAAATGTCAACGCAATGCGATACAAATGGCATGCATGATCTTGTATAGAGTAATTAAACTTTGGATTACGCCATCATGATTACACAAGGTGTTGTTAAGGAAAGCGATTTGTAAAAGCCTTCGTATAAATCTATTCGCTTAAACGAGTTTCCATATTTATTAAGAATCTACAACACAATATATCAATCTGTAGCAAGCGGACATGACGCAACACAGAACGGGTTTGAGGAAATGGTCAAAAGGATAAAAATACATAATACAATACACAAGTGCATACATAGCTGCACTGCTTTTGCAGGTCGTCGTCAAAAGAACGGAAAACCAAATGGATATACAAGCACGACTACGAGCCTCGCTGGGCAACCGTAATCGATTAAACCCGATTAAACGATTTTCAAAATAACAAAACTTTTACGCAAAAGAGATAAACACGAACCAACCGGTTAAAGCTATAAAACACGAGATAAAACGATAATAAGCAAAGCACAACCATGCTACTTCAAGCGTTGTCGGCGAGGACTATTCCGAGTTGGAATTGGGGCATGAGTCTCACCAGGTGCTTTTGAGGTAGTATCCAATTGGGTCTTCTACAAAATCACTGCTATAGCAACCGCCGATATTTTCTTTCGATATTTCGCAAATAACGAAAAGTCACCAAAACCCGCCCAGCCTGAAACTAACAAAAAACTTACGATTAAATAGTCCTGACTAACCTTGCAGTTGGCGCACATGGCAACGATGCGGCTGTTGTATATTGTCGAGGGCAGCTGGTCAGGAGGGAAGGCACCATGACATAAGTAACACCGTTCCGCTCCTGAAAACATAAACTTTATCTTATACAAATTCCGGTTCAAGTGATAAAAAGCTTTGGAAAATGTGTGAAAAATTACCATCGGTATCCGTATTGTTTAAATCTCCATTGCTCTCAACCAAAGTCGCAGATTCCGCTACGCAGTTTTCCATTCGCCTTCTTCGTGGAGTGAGTTTCGCCGGTGACGTCGATGCAAAAGCATTCACTGACTTAACTTCCCCTGGAAGAACAAACGGTTTCCAATATATAAAATCTTATACTGATGTGAAGTACGACAACATTCACGGATAAACACTCTTTACCATTTTGTTTTCGCGGACTTCGGCCTGGTGTGGGATTACCGCCTCCATCCCGATTACACCAAGCGTTTCTCTTTCTTCCTCCCGGTTTCCCATTCTTCCCATTACCCATCGCCGATTCGATAATAGTATGCCCCGAAGAATGATTCATGTCCGGTGCTACTACAGCTGGTCTGCTGTACGTTTTACTCAACTGCCGGAACAGCGGAGAGATCATATCAACCGCAATGGGAAAGCGACCATATGACCGTGCTGGCAGAATCATCGGCCCCGGTGGGTCATCTTCCTGGCGGTCCTTACGGAAATTCTCATGGACGAAATCGTAAAGAAACAACCACTCGGGCACCTTCACTTCCAGAAGATTGCCTTCTAACAATAACGCCAGCACAGCATCGCGAGTACGACGGCGCACTCGCGACTCTTCGTCGCGTTCGCAGGCAGTGTTCACTTGATGAACAATAGACGGGAGCTCGTTGATCACGTTTGCGGCAGACAAACGCCATCGTTCGGCGCGAGCAATCACCAAACATGCCAAATCCATTTCAGGAATGGTAATAAAACGCTATTAAAACAAAAAAATTAGAACAAAAATGATATGCCAAAAACCGTTAATTTTTAAATAAGCCACAAATTAAAGCAGGTGCCAACCTGGATTCCTTTGTGCTCGTAAACCAGCTTCTTCAGCTGATCCAGATGAGGGCGAATCCCTCGCTGGCACATATCACACATAAACTGAATACTTTCCACAAGCTGATGAACTAAACCGAACTCTCCAGTACCGTCGTCGCAAATGAATTCCGCCATTCGAGTGCAAGAAACTACAAAACGCTGTGTTGTACCTCGCATCATTATTGTTCGAGCATCATCATCAGTGATGTGGAGAAAATGAATACGTACCATGAAACCAGTCAAAACAACTGTCACACTGAATCATTGTTCCCTGTTGCATATTGCCACAAACACACCAGCGCAGTTCCCTCCGCAACTGCGCTGATTCTTCTCGGCTGTCGCTGTCCAGAGCCGACTTCAAACAGTTAGATTCCCGCAGGCGCTCATAAAAAATTTGTTCGTCCCAACAAGCACGTTCGAACAAACTCGTCTACAAAACATCAGAGTCAGTCCACAGAAAATTCATGGAGTGACTCAATAAGTTTGGTTTGAAAGCAACAACAGAAGTAATGATAATACGGTGCTGAAAAACCGAAAAAGTAAGTATCACGAAACTGTAAAACTGCAAATACAGCAGCAAAAAAATTAACAACCCTTAATTAAATTATTATTCACTGAAATCAATGTACTAAATTAAATTGGTAAACGCCTGCGACTTACCACCTCTCCAACATCGTAATGATCATTTAAGTCCAAATCAAACGGATGGCACTTCGAGTCCATATCTAGGGGATCACCCATTTCAGGATCCACTGTACCACTGTTCTTGGCGTCATGTTCATCGGTATCCGTATCGGCATCGTCTGTTTCACCACCCCGAACCAGATGCACTTGGCGGGGACACAGTACTTCCAGCAAGGTTGTTTCATGGTGGCTGGTATCTGTGGCACCGTTACCGAAGAAAAGCTTGTGCAATTTCTCCAGAAATTCGTTTCCCTTCTTGTACAGCTCCAGGGCTACACCGATATTTCCACCGTGAAAATTTATGTCAAGATCGCTGCCCAAAATGTTTCTGATTTCTTGCATATGGATTCGTTGATTGGAAGCCTACATGGAACAAGGTAGGCCGTTGTAAGTTTGTAAATAAGCGGTCTTTCCAGCGCAAGGTTACCAGTTATGACTATACACAGCGTCTTGAACCATTAAAAGCAGATACAATTCAATGGCTTGATTACGTGTGCACGATAATTTAGCTGAAAATTAAAAGAAACATTTACTGCAGAAATGTTTCCAATTCACAAAATTCAGCTAACTACGGAAAAACCAAGAAGCTACCGCAGTCCCACCTGCGCATGTTGTAATGCGTCTGCAAGCTTCTCCACTATTTCCACACCATCCCGAATATGATCCACGTGTTTCAGATCAAAAGTGTACGCATCAGCTCGATCGATCAATCCTTTGGCTTCCCCTACCGTCACTTGTTTTCTAAGCAAACAAAAAACAATACGGTAAGACCTGAAGACAAAATTAAGCTCAAAAATTATCACACCGATGAGAAACAATGTTTTCAGCATCAATCTCCAAGTTCCGGCCTTCATCTATCAGCTTCGTAATAGCTGCGACCAGATCCTCTATATAAGGGTTACGAATGTAGATTTCGTCTGCGGTCTGTAGAACCTCAGCCAAAGTTCCAATTGTCGTTCGCGGGTCTGTTATAGCAGCAGCTACTCGTTCGCGAAAGTCTGTTTGCTGCACAATCTAACATATAACACGTGTTAAAACAATGTTATCAGAATACATGGAAAAAATTTGAGCTGCACACCAACTGCAGATCCTCCAACGACTCGATAACGATATTTGTCGATCGAGCCTGGTCGTATACCCGCCGGACAACGTCAAAATCTTGATCTTCCGGTTTCGTTTGCATAATCCCACGAATTTCGCTTTGTACGTTATAATATTTACGGAGATATTCCTGAAAAATGCACACCCCGTTCAGAGCTTAAAACACCATTACGTATGCCGTATACTGCTACCAATGCCCTCGTACGTTTATAATGCCGAAAATAATTTTATTAAAAGCTCTTTACCCGAATATGAGACACTTCTTTGCTGGTGCCAGGAAAGGCTAGCAGTGAGCTAATCAGCCCTTCAACGTCTTCGAGTTTCCACCGTTTCACGGCGGGAGATATATCACCGGCATCACGGCCACGAGTTATTGTCTGAGGGGAAACCAGTTCTGCAGCCATTTTCATTGCAGCTTTCAACTCGTTATTTGCCGATCCTTCAAAATCGCCGAAAAAATCCATAGGAGAATCCTGCGAAAGTTTCTGACGCTTTCCCGCTTTCGCATCCGCACCAGTGACTACCGACCAAAACCAAATTCATAATGGACAAAGTTAGCTAATAACAACAATTTACAGAGTAAAATTTTACCTGCACGCTTATTAGACCCATTATTCCCAGTAATAGCCGCTACTGGAGGTTTATACTCTTCTGAGTCCTCTTCTTCGGATCGTTTTAACAATCGCTCCAAAAGTTTCTTTAAATCCTCAATTGTGTACCGGTATCTTGGAAAAGAAACCATACTGCTTATGAACAAAATTTTTACCATACGATTGAATGAGAAAATCGCTTACAACAATCGCTTGCTCTCCATGCCACATGTACAGAGTTGTTCCGCGTGCTTCCCACAGGCAAGCTTTTCGTTGCTGCATTCGCACTGCACCGCCGACAGGAACAGTGTAGTGTGACAAATTGAACACGACCTTTCATGATCGTCCATGAACTCAAATAAAGTTGGTTCGTCATCCAACACAATGCCTTTATCGGTCAAATTCTGCCGGCTAGCGGATTCCTCTTCGACCATGTGCAGGAAGTCTGTGTGGCAAGCCTTCGCGATTGTCTGGTGCAGCAAGCTGGCTTGATCAGCCATCGCGCATATCAGCTCATCGTGGCTGAAGACTAATTCCCGTTTGCAGTTCGAATAATGATTGATACTCAGGCGTCCATGCGGAATCTAACATCCAGTATAAAATTCATGAAGACGAAAGGACTACACACAGTGGTACTGGTTATACATATACCAATATGACAATCTAAACTTACCCAATCAGCCAAGCAAAAGTTCACCGCTTCCGCGAAATTAAATCCCTGATTAAATCCAGCATGGTATGCCCGGGGGAAGGTTACAATGAATTCTCCTGCCCGTTGGTCCATTCGGTATATCGGTACGCCACAGCAATTTAAGACCGTGGGATTCATGTGCGTAACCAGCTGATGTAACAAATCAGGGTTTGATTCCGTCAGAACAGGAACCAACATTTTGAAAGCCTTTTCGAATTCTTCGGCATACGATCCCGGCACGCCGTACCATGTCTTCGGATCGCCCATATGCAGATAATTTATCGAAGCACTCCAGTGGTCTTCAGTGTGCTAAACACCATAAACATTTATACGAGAACAGGTTAACTACAGTATTTACATTAACTGACAGATTATTGAATAAATTATCGAATACAATTGTCAATAAAGCGTTTCAAATCGAAGTCAACATTAACTCTAACTTACCCAGCAAAAAGCGCTGAACACCATCCCGACATACATCCAAGGAGTTTTCATACCGGAAATTTGAGCAGTGATGTGTCGAAGAATCGACAATTCATTATCTGGAAGTTTATTCAAATTCCAGGGATGATCAATGTATTCTTTCTCGGAATCACGAAGGTAAGGACGGTCGCTTTCTGTTGGAAAGCCACTGCTGCCCAGTTCGCCACGATGCAAATCGGCACCATACTCCACCACGGTTTCGCCATTTGGATCTCCCAGAAGTCGCCAGAATTCTTTTTCGACTTCCTGTAGCCCGACAGTCGTGGATCCGAAATGGCTCTTCTTGAAATTGTCAGCCTTCTTTTGAAATTCATCCAGGGTGTACAAAGTGTTGGATGTTTCAAAACCGTATGTATGGCACGATCGCAAACCATCGTACGTCTGTAATGGACAGCAGTAAAGATAATTTTGATTTCGTAAGACTTGTATTAAAGCTTTTTACCTCTTTCATGCAGCGCGGGCACAACCACAACTTCGCCTTATCCTTCCGAATAGCTGCGGGGATGCATTTCAGATGGTATGTTGTTTCACATTTTTCGCAAAACTTCAGGTTGTCATAGTCGTCAGTCTGTTTGCAGACTTCGCACACCATTTCCGACTACATGTCAAAAACAAGAAAGAAATATGGAACTTCGCAATTGAAAAAATGTATCCCAAATTGTGCAACTCTTACGTAACAAACTTGCGAAGTGGAGCGTCGCGCTCGAACTCTTTTTTCCTCTTTTTTGCAGTCCGGTCCGTCTCCATTTTCATCTGGTCTAGAAGAGTTTTCCGCGCCAGGATCTGCAGTCTCTTGTGCCGCTGCACAGGAGCTAATTTCGGAGCTTGGTATCTTCGTTTCATCTGTTTTAGTCGATTCCTCCACTTTGTCAGACTTTTTCTCAAGTCGACGGCAACCCGCGCTCTTGTTTACTGGTGGATTCTTTCTCAGAGACTCGGCAAGATGGTCTTTCTACAGTAACACAACAAGCTGCAAGACAGGCATGGTATTTTCCCTTGGAGTACATTCTTACCCCTAAATACAGTTCCACTTGGGTTCTGAATTCGTCATATGGGAGCAAATTCTTTTCATATAAAGCCTTGAGATCTTTTATGGCACTGGGTTGCCCTGCGTAATCAATCCTCAAAACACTTGCCACATGTGCCCAACCATCCGCCGATGCGGACACAGCTCGGAATCCACCCAACCGCAGTACCGCGATGTACAGATCGCACCAATCAATCACCTGATTTCCAATTTTCTGAGGAACAAGTTCAGCTGGCCAACCCTATAATAAAGATGCCAATGCAAAGGAAGGCATTGATAACTGAAGAGTTCAAGTACTGACTGTACTGTACTCAACACTTTTTAAGAGAACACCAAAACTGAGGCAGTATCAAATAGCTCAGTACGATCTCAGTCACAATTATTCTCAGTCAGTCGCAAAGAACATATTCTATTCCGTGATGAATTACCTGATCTGTCCAGAAACGTCGCAGCATGCATGCAAAACTGTGTCGAGAACGACTGAATGCATCAAGATCGGAAAGCCGCTGATAGCGAGCTTTGAACTTAAATGTGTCTTTCGCCACCGCAAAGGGCGGGCGAAAGCTTTTAGGGGGAACAATCTTGCATAATCCAAATTTTTCAGCTTCTTCTTTGATGGTCTGAATGTACAGCAATGGAGATCGAAATTCCTCTTCAGTTGGATAATAGATGGGAGCATCCGCAGGACGAACAAACGGTTGTGGCACATAAGTTACCATCGTGCCCAATATCGGCTGCTGTCTTCTATATGGTATTCCTTAGCGGGAAAGCAGATTGATAGCGGCTACTCTGAAACACCATAAACGTTGTTTTCTTAAATACTCAGAAATAATTTCCTCAACTCATTTCTGCAGAATTTTCAGCACCGAACACGAAAGGTTACGAAACCTTACAATGGAACGTAATAAGATAGACACTGTACAGTAATACGTAATACAGTACTACACCCAAAAATGGCGTACAAGTAATTACTAATTATACAGATGTTTCTGTTGCATTGTGATTCAACCAAACTTTTGCTTTTTAAGAAGATTATGGTATATTTTTAAGGGATAATTTTTTATGTTAATGCAAGATGAAACGGCACGAACGAGGCGATTTCTGTTTCGATAAGTGATTGTGCCAGTCTACGTGCTATAGTAACACTGGTTATTACGCGGTCACAGAAACCTGAAGTCCAAAACCGTAAAACGCCATGTCGCCTCAGTTACTATAACCTGAGAGCAAGTATACTCAGTATTTGCACAATAATGAATTTATGATATCAGAAATTAGAAGTTAGTTGTAACTTGTAACAAACAACATCCTTCGTCAAGGCTCCATGGCTACTCACCGGATGCAAACAACAGGCTGGAAAGCAGTCACAGTGCACTGCGTGAATACTCGTACATTCATCATGCCCCTCTACACATGCTCCAGATTAGTCCATAATACTTCTACTGGCAGTTGATACAAGCTTCCTTCGCTAAGCAAACCCAGAAGAAAATTCTCGATCAACAAGAGCATAAAATAATAAGAGGCAAAATAATGCCTTCTTCAGTTTTAAATTTTCAAAAACACAGATCATAACTGCTTTCTAATTACAAAATGCCAAACATGAATTTTGCAGAATCGCTGATAGTAGTAGTACAAGCACGCCCTCAGCTTACATCTAAACCCACCACATGCGGGTCAATCAACGCTGTGCTGTACAGGGACAACAGAGGGCACCACAAATATCGTGTCCCATAGTGATAGTGATAAAACCCGGTATCACACGCACAAACGTGTAACATTTGCATTTTAGAAACATTACAAATACTTCGAGTTCACCGCACACAAACGCAGAGAATCAGATGATAATTCTTTAGTAACGACTATTACCTAACAGTTACTGCAAAGGCAAGATACTGCTGTCAACATGAAAGATGTTGTTATCCCTTACTGTCGTTCTTACTTGCTTGCTGTCGCCCGACGAGCCGACTGGTACAATAATCACACAGGATCACTCGGTTTGTTAAAAGGCATACCTTAAAACTTAAAACTTATTAAATTTTGCTGCTGCATCATGCATAATTAAGGGATCACTGCATTGCACCATTTAAAAGTACTTAGTTAACCTACAGCTTTTGAACAATCAAAGTTCAAAAAACAAAACGAACGAAAAATATTATTTAGTTTTGTACTGTACGTATTAATCCGTCAGAGGAAACGCCTTATACTCACCCGCCACCAGTGCATTTTACAGCTGTAGCGACTAGCGAGCGGTATCGTACGGACTTGTACGGTGGACTCTAGTGAATGCCACTGAATGGAAATCCGGGTCCACCGCATTTTCGCGGCGTGCTCGTTGCAGAATTTGACAACGATTTCTACTTCGAGTTTCACTTCGAGTTGAAGCTTTTGTCGGAAGTAGGCCCAGAACAAGTTAAGTACTTCCCGCATAAGTAGCGCGTAAAAAGCGATGTCCGGCGGCGTCCGGCCGGAATCATTTTAAAAAAAAAAGTGTAATTGAAAATAATTAAAAAAATTTCATTCTTAAACATCTACTTTCGATTTATCTTATCGTTTTACCAATTTCTTTAATCTATATCAATTTTTATGAAGTCCCTCAACCATGGTGAGTCTCGGGTCTGGGATGTGACCTGCCTAGGAGACCATGGCCAATGGGAAGACGTCTCAGAAAGCCGGCGGCGGAACGTTGATGGTGGGGATGAAGAAAATTCAAACGCATGGCAGCTTCTGTGCGACAAATTCATTTTTTCTGCGTTGGTTTTGAAGCAGTGGATGCGGTCAGCGGTGCATGGGGAGTTTGGGGACAGGCGGGACTCAGTTAAAAAGAGGCAGGTGCCGTACGAACATCTTCGGCAAGAATCAGACGATCTTCATAAAAGACGCATGAAAGAACGCATGAGAAACGTTCCCACTAAGTTTTTTTTAAGCCTTTTTGTGCGGAAGCGCAGCTCACTTGTCAGTGCGTTCAAAAAGCGTTGTGTTTAAGTATGACGGTACCTAAATCAGTAATGCCGACTAATGCGGTTCGCATCCTTAATTTATGAGATTGGATGAAATTACTAATAAAGCATAATATTGTGCCGTGAAACTGCTATTAGTCTGGTACAGAAATCTGCAAATAGCTTAGAAACTTTCATTGAAAAACTTCGAAACGGGGAGTGACTGACTGGTGTAATTGGGCAGAGTGACCGAGCAGAAAACGTTTCTCTAAATACTAAAAAAATTATTTTGCCTAACCCGATGTTAACACGATTCCGCAAATAATTATCGGTTACCTTAATCTCGGGCAGATTAAAAAAATTTCCAGATCTGGAAGATTCTATAAAGGGTAACGAGTTCACAAGCAAAAACGAACTTAAAAGAAATGTTGATGGTGCCATCGCTTAATCCTTAAACATTCTGTGATTTTTTTGTTTTTATATTTTCAATCGGGTCACACGTGCAAACAATACGTAGCGAGTGTATAAACAGCATGTCGAAAATATTAGCAAATGTGTGAATCCTGGAATAAATAAAATATTTAAGCATTATTTCTAAGAACCCTCGTGAAAGACGACGACCGTCAATTTACAATATTGCAGTGCAACTTGAAAAATTCCCCTGCATCTGACAGTGACATCATCAAACAGCATCATACTGTTTTTTAGCCTTGTAGGTTTCCGTAAGTACTGGTAAAGAGTATCTGTTTACTGTTTTGGTCGTAAAAATGGACTTGTGCCAAATGAATCGTTTCTCGGACTTGACGAAACGGGTTGCCGCGCCCGGCCAGAACGTTCCATCACTTTTACCGGTTTGTACATCACACAGCGTATCCGGCTTTTTATTAGTGCGCAGTCACTACTTATTGTTAGTGCTTACTTAAAAAATATTACGACAGTGTTCCAAATTTCAATCTTTGCGAGATTTAACAACAAAAAATAGAAGCAGCATAATTAATATTATCTTATTGTTAGCGAAAATCAAAATTTTAAATTCCAGCAGTCCAGAAACGGCCGGTATCGTTTTTGTAGTCGATTTTACTTTTATCATAGCCCACTATGTCCAGCACTTCATAGGTACATAGTACATACTCAGCAGTACGAATTATGATTTTTATACGCGTTCGCATCCTACATCGGCGTCCCTCAAGTAAAGGTTTTTATCACTCACAAAATAACGAGATCTTCAGTCGTTATCAATAAAAGTCGCTGCAAGCAAAATTACACCATTTGCATAATATGCAGAAACATTCCGTTGGCACGAAACGGAAGTTTCCGTTTACTCGATAAAATCAGTTAAAAATGTTCCATTCTAAAAAATCAATAATACAAATACCTAAAAAAGCACTTTCCAGCGCAAATAATGAAAAAACAGAGTAATCAGGAAGAAACGGTAAAATCAAAAAGTGACTACATTTGAGCACCGTCAAATTCAGGACTTCGTAAAGAACGCACCATCCTAGCAAAAACGCTAACGGATGCCGGTAGATGCAGAGTGCAAAATAAGTTGCATATCTAACAACAGGATCTTTAATCACATTTGATATTTGCCGCTTTTCCTCGTGAAAAAGCTGCCGAAAAGGGAAGGTTTGGTCATTTTCGAAGGTGGAATGGGTCCATCAGACGACGGGGTGCTCTGTGTGCTGGCGGTACTCGATCCTGGCATGCACATACCGCTGTCTAAAGAACCAGTACTCAACCTCCTCACGACCGGAACATCTGTAAAATTAATAGAAAAAGTTAACTACAGTGAATTTATCACCCAAAGATTCTAAACCAGTAAAACCGATACGAGGATGCACGCAGTCAAACCGACAGTCAATTTTTTCAGCGAGACCAACCGACAACCACGCACACAGGCAAATTATTTTTTAACATAACAGCCACCCGTGAAAGGGAGGTATCGTTTGCACTGTATGCGTGGAACAGGTGACAGCCATCCGTGGATGGTTGGCAGTCGCTTGCACTATATGCACGGTTGTCGGTTGGTCTCGCTGAAAAAATTTACTGTCGGTTTGACTGCGTGCATCCTCGTACTAAGAATAACAGATGCATTAGACTTTGAGCAGAGCGAGTAACGAAACTGACAAAGTACTAATAAATAAATATATGTTGGTAGTTGGTACCACCCAAGCCGAGTCTAAAACATCACGTAGAAGCAACGTAATAATCGCTAATTACCATCCGAAACATCCAACAGCCAACTAAGCAAGCCTGCTGCATGCTCAGCTCTTTTGAACTACCATTTCCAGTGCATATGCACTTTCTTCTTATACATTCGCAATAACTCTGTTCTTCATGAAGTTGATTCTTGCTAACTTCAGTGTTCCCAAACCAAATCAGGTAATCCACTAGCTAATATTTCTTGTGACCGCTGTAGACAATGTTCCCAGATTATTCTCACATTGTTCAGTCGGTTCTTAATCACTTCACGGTTAATCGCATCTAACATCGGCCGTGTAAATTTGTTGACTCCAAGTACTCACGTCTAAGGGTCTGCTGCTCAGTCACATCTAACAACGAACTGGAGAGGAGAACTGTCCGTTTTGCCACGTTCTGGTCAGGTGTCATGCTAGATGCACTAGAATTCGATTTACAATCATCCACATCCGCTACGCCCGAATCACGATTCTCAGCACCGCGAGTAATACCGGCGAACTGCTGCTTTTCCAGTTCGGATTCGATTCGAATAACTTCCATTTCATCCATCTGAAATACAAAAAACAATTACAGCCAAAGACTAAGAAACATCGTATCAATTTTACTACAGAAAAATGTTCACAGTTTAAATGATCTAAAGGCAACGACATCAATACAAACTCATACGTAAGTATTTAGCAAATCCCCACATAAAATGACTAACGATAAGGACATAAGAACATTAAATGTAGTACCTCCATTATCGATTCTCGTAAATCCTCTACAAATTTATCACGATCATGTTCGTTCCGCGCGTTGAGCATAATGAGAGTCTTCTGGTTAAGAGTGTTGACGAGTTTGAGGCCATTGGGATGCTGTGGAGTGGAAAATAATTGCACTTTCGTTCGCAGTAAGGGAAATGATGTGCGGCAACGGTAAATTATGGGAGAGTTCTTCTTTCGTGCTCCATTTTGTTTGGTCACAACCATGAGATCATTAAACAGGAACACCTCTCGTTGATGAGCGCGTTCTTTTTTATTCTCATCATAAACTTCATATAACCGGCAAAAACACACTAATCGCCGATGTGGAACAGGAAGAACCTATAAAGAGCAGAGAAATTGTCAACATTTTCGTGACCTTGATGGTGTACATCTCAAGCAACAAACTTAAGTACAAACATACTTGAAGTACTCTCAAATTTCGTTATTGATAGGCGCAACCTCATTTGTCAGACATTTTCTCTGATTAAGGCCTGCAGTATTATTTTCACACCAGCCATAAAACGTCCGTTCTATTGACAAGAGCTACATAAAGTCCTCCCAAACTATCGAGAGCTTTGTTCGTTAGTTTCGCACAAATCATCTCTAACATACAAAGCTCCGCAAAGAGAAACATACGATTAGCGCACGTACAGCATCCTGCTTAGGCGTCGGATTCGAACATTTTTAGCAAACAAACAGCAATTAAATAAACGATTAATAGATCATTTTTTCGTACGGCACTGGCCATCGGCGACAGCTTAACGGTTGGATAAACCCATGTACTCTGCGTTACGTTCCACATAGATTCACTGAAGTCGACACTAGTGCAGTACTGTAAACCATCTCATAAGAATAAAAATTCGAACAGAAATTTCAACGAGTGGAACACTAGGCATTATAAAACCACCTGCTTAACTGCATATCCGATTAAATTTTCTAGACAAGCACAACTGCTTCACTTCTCCTTCAGTAAATATTATCAGCGGTTGCAGACTGTAATTAACAAGAGCGACCTACATGCCCAATTGGCAAAAGTATCGGCAATAAAGTTTACATTTGTTCGAAAGTCAAGCTTAAGAGTAGCACCGAATTAATACAATGCGCATAAAAGAAAATTAAATGAACGACTTACTGGTTTATTGTCACCGATTATCTGTTTATCCACCCGTTGAACTTGACTGACATGATCATTGCCGGGCTTGAATTCCTCCGCTTTTATACGAACATAGATATCACGCAATATTTGCTCGTCCACCCCACTCTTATCGCCCAGTGCACCGCGCATATTTTTCAGAAAATCCTCCAGCTTCATCTTGCGCTCTTTTTTGATGCTCGGATTGTGCAAATCAGTATTGAGCAAAATTATGCCGTATGCCATGCGCAGCACGGTTAAGCTGTCGCCGAAAATCTTCTCCGTTTTCGGATTGCATGATAAATATCGATCGCTGAACACCTGAAACCAAAAAATATAATGTGATACCCGCACCCAACCGCGCGCGCGCAACTTCTGTGGTGACCTTCAAAAATTCACATCAAGGAATCTTGGACACTAGATTACAATCACACTAATTATCAAAAAACGGAGGAGAAATACGTTTATACTAAAAGTTTTGACCACACCACGTTGTGTTCGTCATTACCAATAATTTAAAACAACTTCCATCATGACTAATCCAGCAATCCATAAAAAGATTATTTAAATAGTCTGCGCAATATTATAAACTAAGTCTAGATATAAAAATAAATCACGTAACAGTCTTTTATTATATTCACTAATCATTATGGCGCAACACGTCACATCTCATAAATACAGTGTAATAAAACCAGTCTGCTGATGACGACAGCACAATGCGATAAATCCGGGTAATAACGGCTCCCTTACCTCCATTACACGCTCGATTTTTTGTGCCTCACCCGGAAGGCGGAAGTATGTCTGAAACTTGCGTAATGCTTGGTCAATTTCCAATCCACACAGGTCGACCTCACCGGCAAAGCACTGCAAGACGGCAATACAAAAGTCCGTCTGACAACCTAAATACTCTCCAATCTTTTGTTTGCTCAAGCCCTTCCGTGAGATCAAAAAACGAGCAACTGCCGAGGGGCTCTCAACCACGAAGCCCTTTTCAATTAGATATTCCATTCCACGTTCAGGTTTTCTGTAATACATCAAACACATTTTGAATAGTGATCAGTTAACAATAAACTTCATTAACAAATTACACTGCGCATTTAAGGGTTGCGGCACGTCAAAGCAAACGTATAATTACATCCAATAGAGCACTGTTATTACTTCAGTCATGCAGCTAAACGCACTTGTTAAATAAATTTAGGCCAACGCGGTACTGTCGTTTCCGTCTGGTTTCCGATATTTTTGGTTGGATGGGAACGCGAGACGCCGAAACAGCTCGCCGTTGGGTTTTCGTCCGTTCCATATTGGATGCTCGACTGACATCCGATTTTCTCCTACTTGGACTGCCCTGCTGCAACAGGGAGGAATTCGGCAGTGATGTTCCTAAAATGTAAACCGCAAATTAATAATCCTCACTTACTTTTGTGACTGACAGCGGCAATGAAAACTGAAAACCAGTGAAATTCAATATTTGCATGATGTGAAGTCCTTGAGTAAAAATATCAATTGTCAATCATGGTAAAATCTTGAGCACTCATAGGTACTATGGATTATGGAACCTCAATAATAACAACTATACCAGACGTTTATCATTTCAGTACCAGAATGCAGATATAGCCGACTTCCAAAAGTCAGTGCTACATTTTCTACTCCAGTTACACTGAATATTAAAAATCCAGTTTCTTCTCTGACGTACCAAATCAATATTTTTCTTATTTATTGTATTTGATAAATATGTAATCCTTTATAAAAAAAATAATCGTCTTCTAAATATCTTAAAACGCATAATTTCCAGTTTTATATCAAACTGCAAAAGGTCAGGTCGCAGCCAACATACGAAGTTACGAACACTGCAGCACAAACGGCACAGTCATAGACGACGCACCCATATGGCGTAAGGATACAATGATGCTGACTGTTTTCTATTTGTAAGCGAAAAACAGAAGCGCGTCGTTGTTAGAGATATGCAGTGAAGCGCGTAAGAAACATGGCCAAATTACCGTGTCTAAATGCATAAATACATAGAAAAAGATTGTTATTACAGATGTCATAAAAATTAGGACAAGCGCTGTCTGCGGTAAAGCCACTTGAATTAGATTCAATAATGATGGACTGGAAATAAAAACACTATAACCCATCACAACCACTTAACGAGTTAATACCCTATTCTCCACACGAAAATGACGTACAAACATACTGACTTACCCAACGGACCATCCGTGCTCGATTCTCCGCTGGTGTTAACAAACTTCACCACGTTATCGTAATCCAAAAACGCAGTATGGAGGGGCGAGGGATGGCTCAGCTGTCCGCTGGAGCCCACCCCGCTGTCCTGATCAGTCAGTTCATCCAGGCGCTTCCACACGGGCGACGTATTAGCCAGGTCGTGGACTGCACTAACTGCGGCAAAACCTGGGGGAGATGGCTCATCACAGATAGATACACTGGACATTGCGCTCAAGGGGGGGAGAACGCTCTGACCGCCCCTTACAGGGGATATCGACTGGACATGGCTCCGCGTATGAATCTCTGTGCGCAATGAGCGTCTGACACCGTCCTGATCAGTTCGCACAATGTGGGTAATTAGTTTGGACTGAGTAGAATCGATAACAATGGGCCGTGAGGCTGGTGCGTCCTTACGTCCCCGTACTGCTGGAACGTTATCGTACACACCGATGCTAGGCGACAGATCGATCATTCTCGACTGTGGCTGCACGACAGCTATCCGGGCCGTTGCACTGCTCGAACAGGAACGCGTCATTCCCAGTTTCGATCGTGCGGAATGATAGATTTCCGCTGTGGCAGCATGGCCATTCATTGTTACATGCTCCGCATCGCAGGCACTCTTGGTTTTAACCGCATAATGCAGCTTGGCGGATGGGGACTGGGAGTGATGGGTGGTAGTGGTGTTAGAGGAGAGTCGATCGAATTTCTTCTGCATGGAATAGCGACGGTAGGCACGCTGAATAACTAGGGCTGCATGCCGGCTGCGCAATCGACCGCCGTATTTCTTTTCTAACAGTTCCAGTTGCTTATCCTAGAAATAACAGACACATCCATTGCAGGTACAAATCCGATTTTGTAAATTTCACCCGATAAATACTTGAAATAACAAACGACAAACAAAGCAGAACCGTCCTAACATGTACTAAGCTCCACAAAGGAAAACACGAGCGTGAAAGAGTGAGCGTTAGCAAGATAAACACAACACCATTATCAGGCTCGCACATGCCATCACAGTATAAACCAAATAACATAACTGCAAGAGTTTTTCTCCGCCTGAACCCGTGTTATGACTGGTTGACACAGGAAACGGTTATGTTTGATAAGGCAAAAATACTAAAACGACGAGCGTCAAGCTTCCGGCCTCCAGAATTACCAACTACAGACTACTTTACGCTCAAATATCAAATCCCCTGCACGCAGCATACCACTCTCACAAGGCGAGGCATACTTACAAATTTCAAGTATGGAAATAAATATCATGTTTAAATTACCACTCTCAATGGTAAGTTATCCCAATACTAGAATGTTGCGCAACGTCACAAAAAGCCTTTCGTAATCCCGTTGTAGCCAGGGAGGCAATTCGCAAGTTTTTTCTTAACCGAGAAACCAGTATATTTCGGAAGGCGCACTATATACCGCAAACAGCGTCTACTGTGTTCAGCGAGTAACTATCGAAATACAACTAAAAGCTCGCAGAGAAAAAGAATGTTTACCGCTTATGTCATCGGCTGTCATCGTGATGAACGAGAAGAAATCAACAGCCGACGACCGACTACACCCATGGCATTTTTAGAATCTGATCATATCTGCATACATAACACAACGTACAATAAGCTAAAACGCCAGTGCACGAGTACCGTACAATCAAAGCATTCTCAAAATGGTTTGTAAGGCAGTCGAGCATTTCCTGCTAGACCAGAGTTTCCTCCAAATGCAAAGGCCAGCGATCCGTATCACCAAATATCGTCGGAAATTAACGCAACAACGTTACAGCAAGCTGTAAACCTTGCACTTGTGACTCGTCTTTGCTGCGAGCTATTACTGTAATTAATATCAACTTCTAGGACAGTCGATTACTTTTGCACTGATATCTTCAGTTAATTTTTCTTGTACGGTTATGAGTTGATCATGAATTACAGCGGATATAACAAAAGTCCAAACTTCCTGAATCTACGAGGAAGAATTGCAAAAAGATTCAAAAAGAGAACAAATAATATGAAAAGTTAAAACTGTTGGAAGTTTATCATATAAACGCGCGAAATCGCCATAAATTAACTTCGAAATTCAGAATAAAAGAAAATATCCCATTAATGTAAGCAGACACATGTTCAGCATGTTTAATTAAAGACAGGAGAATCATCCAAATATCTTCTGACTTCTGTGGTTTGCCGAAACTACGACACTACTGTACTGTGGCAGAATGCAGACATGCTCCTACGACTGTTACAGAACATATCACTATAACTCTATAAGCAATTTACAAACCTGTAAATCTTGGCTTAGCTCATAAACAGCACTTCGATATTCTCGGGAATAACGCCGTCTGATGACACCAGCAGCGGTAGGGTGGTTATCGTTCCGATTAACTCCGATCGAAAAATTGAAAACGGGATGCACTGGGTACTGATCCAGGAAAGCGGATTTGGGACGGACTGGGGCAGCAGTGCCTGCAGCCGGATGAAGAGGCACGAGAACACCGTTCTTATTAATCCACTGTCCGTTGTCTGCAGTTCGTGAGCGAGGTATTCCTTCGGCGCTAAGACACAAGGGCAACTTAGTGGGCAACTTAGTACAAGATGGAATCCAAATGCCGATTTCGGATTTCTCAACAAATCAATCCAAAATTCCAAACACACATCAGAGTGATACGATCATATGACCACGCAACAATTCTACTGTTTCGATTGGCACGAAAAAAAACTTACCAATTTACCACAGAAACTACTTATCAATTCAAATAAAAAAACTAATTTTCCTTCAGTATTAACAGTCAAGGAAGTTGGTTCATGTAAACTGGTTCTGCTATAAAAGCACGACTCTCAAAAGACCACAACAAACGATACTGATATTACTGAGGTACCGTACTTACAGCTTACGGTACGATCGAAGAGCGGCTGCATGCTCTCGTGACACGATCGGCCATTCAAAACGCGTGGGGAACGTGTACTGTACTACACTTGCTGATGCCGTTAATGTACTGCCCGACTGATTAAAGGCGTATTCGGTTATTTCCCGAAACGGTTGATTAAACTTCGTTATCAACTATTTCGACGGATATTGAAAATATTTGTTAATCTGTAGATGTAAACTTTGGTATAAAATTATCAGTGGGGCACATATATGTTACAGTCTTACAGACAAGTTACAACGAAACACGCTTAAACTATTTAATTGTACTGACATTATAATACGACAGTAGAAGTATTATAATTAGTCGAAACCATTGGCAGATGAGCGCCCTCGTCTTTGTCCATCAGAAAAATTACTCGTATTCAACAATTCTTAAATCTTTGAAACATATATTGACAAGATGAAAAAGCAATGGCAGAGTATCGTCATGCTTTTTTCAGACTCATGATGATGGTATTACTGGTGTATCGCGCAGTCGTACGATATGCGAGCCAACGGAGCAGCCGAAACATAATATAGTCTATATAGCGCAATGATTTCGCCTTTCGGCGTCCGCAAATTACGTGTTTTAAGACCACTTATGGAGGTTTAATCACGAACTTTTCTGTTAGCGATTATCGACAACATCAACGTTAACGCATAATCAAAAAAATTTTGGCAGGAAAAAAGAAACGGAATATTCAGAATCTACACAGTAACGTACTGCTGCTTAGTACTCGTACAAAAACTACCGGTATACTAGTACTTATAGATATCACCATAAATAAAATAATATAACTAAACTGACTAATATTACTAAATATTTACTAAACCAGCTAATATTAGCTTAGAAATAAAAGTATTACGATATCAACTACCAAAGAAGAATCATTTTAATTTAAGGACTTCAGTACGGCGTGTATGTATACGGTGTACCAAATGCTTACACGGTATTCAATTAAGTTAATATCAGTGCACCGCTCTCTAGAACGAGATTGAAGCACAATATGGTTCTATCATCTTTGTGCAGCATTCAACAAGTTATGAATTAGCGTGATCAGCAAAATTAAAAAACACTACAAATATGCTTGCTCTATAGAAATGTAAAAACCACCTTCTTTCGTTAATACGATTAAGTGCACAGACGCGTACAACGGGGAAAATCTTGGGCCACAAACTTAGAATTACGCCATACCGCGAGACCACATCAGCGGAGTGGACACTTTGGGACTTAAGTTAACAGACGGTAACAGCAATCAGCAAATAAATATTTGAACGTAAATTATTATTTACTCAAGTTTATAACGAACGAGCTGGTTTTCTGTATAGCATATCATTTATTACAGTATCTATATGCAACACATGACAATAAGTACATTATAACTCAGCCGGCATAAACCGAAACCGCAAAAAAAAACAGTTTGTTGTTAAAGTCTGAACTCACTGCAAGTAGAACCGATCGATCTTACGCAAATCATGTCGAATTTTTTACGGGTTACGTGACGTATGCTGCTAATTTCTTAACACTACCGTAAAAAAATTTTCAGAGGAAAACAACTTTTGCAATTGGGATTGCTGACGCACAATCTGACACTCGCAGCCGTATTGGCGCTTGATTGCCGCGCAATACAACTGCGATATTATCGCAGTAAGAGAAAATACACTAGTAGTTTATTAATTTTCAGAAAAGATAAATTTAACGTAAGCAGTATTAAACCGTAAGGACAATAATCATATATAATGTGACTCATAATCATATAAGAATGATGACAATAATCATATATAATGTATCACGGTTAGTCGGTTATCACCAAGCAAGAATAACCTTTAATTTGTGCAACATTTTTTTGTATATCGTTTAACTCTACCGAGATTGATGTTGTCAGAGGTACTAAAACCCTTCGAAAACGAGTTGCAAAAGATTTTCCTTACAATTAAGCAAAATATTCGTGACCAGGGCGCAGATCAGTCGGATCAGCTGTTAATTATTCTTGGGTTGCACAAAGAATGCCAGGCATTCAATGCGCACATTAAAAACGTAACCGGTAGGTACAGTTCTTTGCTCCGCGCTCTAGGTAGTGATTTGCTAAATTTCAGCGTCTGTCTTATGATCATTTTCGGTAATAAACTACTGCACAAAGCGCTGTTTCATTTTAATATTGCTCAAGGAGATTTACGAGAGCAATCGCATAATTCTCCATAGCACTCGTCTGGCGCGTGTAACTGATTTCACTTACACTTCTTACTCTTGTGTCATCGCGCAAAGTCAAAAAAAGAACAAGTTACTCGTATATTGCAAGCTTTGAAAACTGCTTGCGCTATTATACAAATTATAAAAGCGAAAGAATCTACTTACGTGTGGTCGGTTTATCTGATTGTGAGCATAAGCTTTTCATAGGCTTTTATCATTACAGAGCCAATCCTCTATCAGTTATATGCAACAATAATTTGAATTAATTAATTAAAAAGGGTACATCAAATATCTAGTAAGCTGTGCGTTAAACTTACCATAATAATTATCTTATTTAAACTTAACACAAATCGGTGCACTGACGTTCACAAGAGTACGACAACTTACCAGACTGGATCCGGTGCGAAATGCTATGACGTACCGACACAAAATCAACGATTGCTATTTTTATGGAATGTATGCATTCTGCTCAAACTTTTAACAATAAAAAACTAGAAATAAAATCAAGTATCGATTAATAGAAGTATGGTTAAAATTTGAGCAGGCGACTTTCAGGCTTTGCTCTTTGCGCTGTGCGTGTAACATATATTTCGAATTTCCGACACAAAATAGCACCGTTGAAAACGGTTTTGTAACTAGAATCCGTCGAAGAGCAACGGCACCAAGTTATGGTTAATCCATTAACATTAGTTCGGTTATATCCGTAGATGGGGCGGCAGATGGTCAGCCAGCCAGCCATACATGCAGCACTATTAATATTTTCGGCGTATACTGAATTGTGTGGTCCAGTAGTATGTAAGTCAATATGAAATCCCTAGTTTAGACGTGCGGAACAGATACTCTGCTGCGAGAATATCAGACGATTGCGACGATGTTCCGCACGATGGCTATCTACTGCACAGGGGCAAATGGGACTAATTGCTGACCGGTCATTTGAGTGCACGCGTCTGCCAGGAATTAATAAACTGTCTGCCAGACATTTAGAGGAAAACGCTTTAATCCTAGCCGCAGTCGGTTTGTTTATAATTACCACACCTCGCGGTCAGCGTTTACCTGTCGTGCTGGACGATAAAATTTATGCACTGCATCTCTCACATGAAACACACACATATAAATAATTGTGACATAATACAAAGCATGCAGTTCTATTCCATAATTACGTTGAACCGTACAGCGGTACAATCATTTTAGTTGTACTCGTACACAAAAAATCATCTGGTATGTTGTGTAGCATCTCTATAGTTATATTAAAAGAATAAACCTTCCCCATAAAAGCCAGTGATCGACATATCTACCAAACAAACCGACTTACCTGTGCCGAATTTCGAAAAACTGTAAATGAGATAAAGACATTCTTTTTTCTTTCCACAATCAAAAATATCAACAGAAGATATTGTAGTGGAGGTATAAAAAAATGTTTAGATAGCTGTTAACTCAAAATTAATTAATTTAAGCTACCGACGTGCAACTGTGGACCAGGTCTGTGGTTACTTAACGGGCAAGATCGTGCTGTTACACTCGTAATTATTTACTACAGATAGGCACTTACGAAGTTACAATTGCTTTTAAAATTATAAGCGCATTTACAACTAAGTTTCGTAGGTATATCTCGTATAGCACAGAGCTTTATGTCACTGATCAGATGGGATTTTTCAATGTTCTCAATCCATGTTCTCAGTTCTTACATATTGTTAGCAATATACTTTGTACCCTCGTATAAGGTTGCAAACCATATAATAAAACTGCAAAAGCAATGTCCCGTACGCTTGATAAAACAACATGTAAAGCCGACTTGGTTCCAATTTTCAAAGAGCACTTGAAATAATTTTAGAATGCTTTCAGATAATTACCTGAATATCATGGAAAAGTCTGATTCGATCAGTAATACTGGCGCACGAGTGCTGGAGTCTGTATATAAACAGTGTGCTCCTGATACAACGTATCCGGCGGCATAGCCACAGTTGTGCCAGCGTAACCATTAAGTAATGACTATGCTCCATATATGTCCCGGCAGCAATGGGGTTTCTCTTGTGAAATTGATAAATATTCATTGTATGCCAAACGGAATAAGTAACCGTTTTGTTTACCGAATGGCCGAGACCTACAGCATCTGGCGGTTATTAGCAACTCTGTACACAAACCGATTTCAATCCAGCCAGTTTGGAGTATTCATCAATTATCATCTTCTTCACGTCGATATAATTTTATCTATACTTTTACAGAATATGCGGTCGCTACCGTTTTGCGCATATACAAGTACATATGCGATATGCCCACAGTTCCACACAGGACCACACTCATCCCGTCCATGTCCAGTTATTTGCAGCAAGCCATATGCTGCCATAAAGCTTCTTAATTACCAGAATAGATTTGGCTGCATGTTTTATAAAGTAAGCACCCTATAATTACGAATTATGAGAGAATGTTTGCACGCAATAATTCGTTACTCTACTCCTTAAGGAAGCGAGTGACTCGTGCTAGCAAATACTTATGTTAACGTAAATTTTACCACGCATGTATATTTCCTGTTTGTTACCATCCCACTTATTTTTTACCTTTCACACATTTAATTTTTAGATGCGTATTAACTCACGTACACTTATTGCGAAAATCTCAGCAAAGAAAACAATGATCTCCTCCATAATGTTTATTAAATTATTTTTATAATTGAAAATATAAGAGAACGGAGCATCCGTAAATTTTTTATAAAACGTGTTCGGTTAAAGAGAAATATTATAACAGATGCCAGTATATTATCAAGAGCAGCACCGTACCGGCGAAGCCTGGTTTGCATTCTAAACTTCCAAATCATAAATCTTCGCTTTCTCAACCGTTGTTAAGGCTGCTAGCTCTGAGAGAAACCTTAACAATACCAGTTTAACAGGCTTAACAGCCTAGAAAGGCAGTTAAGTGATTATACAATTATACTGTACAGTAATTTTTAATGAAATCGACTACCATGAATTGTTAACACAAATGTATGCCAGATTGCATTATATATTTACAACATTTCTTTATAATGGGGCGCAAATTTATTCGTAAAAGAGTAGTGCATTAAAGCAATTTCCAGAATGGATAAACATCGCAGTTTGCTTGGGTTATATACGATCAGCTGAATATTTAATCTATTATTGAAATAAAGAATAACTAGTACTACTAAACCAATAAGCTCAATATAATACTGCTAGTTAAAATTAATTTTCTGTTCGCAGTGTGACCCACGCGCGAGGGTTCACAAAACTATGTTGAGTACATACCCATATCTCTGATTTGCACATACGCTTAAGCTTACCTCCAGCTCCTGCGACCCAAACGATCGAACGACACTTTTCGTGCGTTGGCCACTTCCCTTGGGGATGTACTTAAAGAATCTACATTTTCAATATCAGTAGGAAAGGATCTTCTCCTGCGAGGATTGGAACGATATCCCATTTTGGGCAAAAGACGTCGGAAAGATCACGGCTAAATGACTTCGGTGCAGTAACTTCCGGTTGGGTAATGACTGCAGGCCTGGTATGGTTTTCGCAACCCCCCGAACGGGCTATGCTTCGTTACTGATAATCATTCCAGTTAACAAAAGCTATTGCCGAATTCATGTGGTGCAAAGACTATGATCGAAAAACTTAATGTAGATAAAAACGGATAAAAAAGAACGTCCCAGATAACGGACTCGCGATAAAGCTATTGTTTTGCGATAAAGCGCTTGTAATTTCCACATCGGTAAGTATCATCAGCATAGTCATAAAGAAACAATATTCTGTTCGAAATCATCAGTTAATTTCAGTCATTCGGCATCCCCAAAAAATTACGCAGTCATCTTGCGCATAATTAATTTTTTAGCTGCGCAAAGTATCACATTTCCGTGCTGTTGCAGCAGTAGTGAAATCGAAGATGCTACCTGTATCTTATTTTGTTAGAAGCAACCAGGAAACATCACGGCAGGAGAAATGCAAGCCTCCTCTTTTTGGCTGTATTGGATATGTAGTACTTAGTTTGTAAATTAAGTCACGAGACCAGTTCTTTGCACTGTGTTTGTATTGTATATTTTTGTATATAGCAGAGTTGGTAAATGCAGGGCCGTTGGTTGTACGTAGTTCATCTTCCAAAAAACTTTTAAACTCAGGTTTGTAAATCAACTCCCGATAACGTTTGAAAGTCAAAGTGGTCATATTATTTTTGCATAGCAAGTTGCCCTGGTTTCACTAAGGAACCTTGCAATTTTTATCTTGTCTGTGCAAAAACTGCTGTTCGCCATTCCGACAAAATGTAAGTAAGTATGGAACTCTTTGGGAGCATCTATAACACGGTACATATCTGTTGCAAAACCGAAAATTCGAAACAGTTGATTCAACCTGCTTGCGAGTTCCGATCGTCAATTTTTTTCTATTCGCTCATTTAGCTAATGCCAAAAACTGTTCTAATCGTATCCAGCGTATTGAAATTATTATTTATGCCTGCTTGTGTATCCCGCTGATCATATACTTGTATGTTGCATTCATGACCCCATCCGCATTGAATATTCTGGATGGGATATTTTGATGCTCGTGTGAATCAATCGTTTACTATGCGTAAAAAGCCGAAAATAGGAAAGTCGGTCACGACTTCCATGTGAGGATGAGTCATCATTCAGATCCCACTTTGCCGAGCAAAACAAGAAGTTCATCGATTGAATTCTGATCTACATATTACATTCAATATTGCTTCTATAGTTTTCCCAAAGTCGTATTGCTAGCTTTAAAAACGATACTACGTACATGCGAAAGTGAACAGTACGTATAACAAAAAAAAATTATACGAGGCTTATATCTGGTATGAAAACATAATTAGGGGTGTACGCACTTTCCTTGCAAATGTATGCACGAGTAACACGAGCATATTTTGTGATACGACTGTAATCACTATACTGCAAAGACTGAAAAGTAACACTTTAATTGAAAACTTCTTATTTTTAAGGCAACAAAATTTTTAAAGTTATGCACTTGATAAATTATTTCACGCAGGCGCTGACGGGCTATTTTTTTAGGTTTGGGAGAGGGAAACAGGTTACGGCCGTAAAATCACTATGACAAGATATTACTTTGTATACGAGTATGGTTTAACAGGTAACAAATCTGTTTTCCGCCGTGCATTTAATTATAATAAGTACCGCTATCAATGTCAAGCGGTAATCTGTGCACATTTTATCGTTAGTCGTGCTACGTAAATCATGATCACGGTTTCATAATAATAATTCCGTTTCTTAAAGTTGTAAGAATTGCGCACCTGCAGTGCTTGCAACCGTATATAAGACCGCCTATACTCTGCTCCAGGTTTTCTATAAAATGTCTACGGCAGTACAAGTGTAAACAATAATTAAATTCTGTTTCTCCTAACACGCTGGATTTTACAAACTTAACCATTTTGTATGCCTTACTTCCGCACTGTCATTTTGATATCGTATCTTCAAATTTTTATCAAAAATGTTAATGAATGCGATATGATATTAAAACAGTGAAAATAAAACTATTTAACGTACCAATACAGAGGACAAGTCGAAGAGGGCACTCACATACCGAAGCACCATTTCACTCGATACGCGGACATTATGTAGACAGTTTCTTACCTGCTTTTCTTTCTCATTTGAATGGAATCGCAACAGATGGGTGGCTTTGTATCGCATTTCACGTTTAGTGTTCCCATATTTGCACAGCTCTGTTCGGAAAACATTTGATGCGAAATGTCATGGAAGTAAACAGTATGAATATATATGTACTGGCTGCGGGGTCCTTAAACGTTAGCGCTGCTGTCCCGGCATGTCAACACCTTCCGGAAGCAGTAAAAACGGTAGCCGATTATACAATATTTGACTGCTCTGTGTCGAGCTTGACCACGTTTTTGCAGATCAGTTTGTTGATAAAACAATGGCACAACAGCAGATAATTATCGATACTTGAATCAACAAAACCGCCGCATAAATCTTCTTTGCAAGTGCCAGTAGCGTTTGTGCAACATAAATTTTTATAATTAAGGTGATCAAATGACACCTTGTATAATCACTACGCTTTAGTTTACAGCAGTAGAAGTGAAATTATAAAAAAACATTCCCTTAATTTTTAAAATTATTTGGCTTTACGTATACTTGTTGCCGCAAAACGATACCACAAACACAATGCAGTTTTGCGCTGAGAAAAAGCTAGATATGCAGGCCTCCCAACAGAATTAAGAGTGGCAACATGTGAGAAATTACGAGCATTCTTGAGTAAACTGACTGATCTCGGCTTTTGCAAGAGTAATGTCTACAAATGTTCCAGAAGACAACTATAGGGACACAGCAAATTTCGGCCATCCGGATATTGATTCTGCATTCCGTTAATGTCATCGCTAAGAGACGTGCGTCTGCATGTGGTCAAGTACGTACGCGCTACAAGCAAAATTCATCTACATTTAAATGAATCAAGCGCCAGTTTAATCTAGTCCGTGTATCAATCTCGGCAAAACCGCTGTAAAAATACGCCTCAAATAAAATTTATACCGTGCAATGCACGCGTTAAGTAATAACCTTTTAAGCACACAATGCTACTCTCATGCACTTCATCGTGTGCAGCTCGCGAACACCGGCAACGCATAATTACATAAAAATTTATGCTAAAACAATTGTTGCCACTTTTTCAAATACATCCATGAATTAAATAGATCTGTAGGCAATTTCCTGGTAAGGTTTTGTAAATCTGCATCTATTACACAACTTATCCATAACCAGTGAAATAAACTTTTTATCGTTCAGTATGGCAACAAATTCTGCATTAAGATCTTCCACGGCAATCAGTCACACATTATCGGTTAAGTAACGCAGCTGTCAATTTTGATCCATAAGTTAAGAGGAGTTTTTGACACCTTGCATCCTTCGTATTTGTTCGGAAATAACTTAGCACTCCGATGTAGGTTTGTATCATAGGGTCGCTTATGAATGCAACTCTGCACTGGGTTAATCTTTCGGCAAACTGCCTTTCCGCAAGACAGTTTGTATATATTATGGCACTGCTCTATACAGGGCTCCCAAAATAAGTCAATACTGACACAGCTTGTACATAAAAGCATAATAATTAATAAGCATTCATAGCTGCAGTCAGGAACCGCTAGGATTCGGTCATCTTAAAATATCCTGCGATTATTTATTAAGAAGCATCTGTGGTAGCATACTCGTACCGTTAACTGTTATCCCACATAAGGGCTTAATTCTTTGCTTTACCACATATGGCAAAACAATTCTCAAAACTTAGCGCGGCATCGGCATTAGCGTTAACAACTCAATCTGCCTTACTTATAGTTCTGCAACCTGATATGGTTAACGCACTAACGTTCGCATGTTCTCAGTCCCAGAACGGAAAAGGTAAAAAAATTATTCTTAGTGGGTAATACCCTACTGGGCTTTGAATTGTTTTCCCGCAGTGCATTATTTTTCGGAAATCAGATGTCCTCGACAATGTGCTCCCATGATACATACAGTACAAATAATTACAATTACGAGTACTATCATGATTTATTATGATAGTACTCGTAAGTATCACGCGCCCCATAAGTATCATCAGTTTTTAACTTTCATCCACGAGTGCTATAGCATTGCTAAACAATCAAAATAGTTCAGCTCATGATCCATATGTCCTAAAAAATATACACATAAATCCTGGAATTAAAAAAAAAGAAAACCGGCTGGCACTTCACCGAGATACAATCCGCAGTGCCGGGGTAATTGCGGAAGATCAACTGCATTAACAATTCAACAAAACTAGACTGAGACTTATTCTCAACAAACAACGAATTCACTCAAAGCTCTTAACTTGTAAACATATATCATCAGCGACTACATGCAATTAGCAACACTGTCGCGCGCATTAGAAAATGGGATTTTCCGGCACATCCGGTGCCACCGGTTTTTCCTCGACTTTTTCAGGCCTGTCCGGGTATAACTCATTGTGAAACAGCTGCAAACTCTGCTTTTCCTTTGGACCCAGCCAAACCTGTGAGCGCTTTCCATGGACAAATTCAACAGCGGAAATAGCGTCCAACCCTTGTGATTTTATCACATAGGCAGCAGCAAAATAAGCACTACGGAATCGACCTACAAAGAAATTATTAAAACTGATTACCAGGCCAACTGCGATTATGGCCAACATATCATGATTCATAACACTACTAATACATGTGTTTTTCTTCATAATTTACCACAAAATAATTATTACAACGTTACACACAAAAATAAAGGAAAAAAGAAAGTCACAACTGTAAGTCAGCGCAGTCCGTTTTCACCGCAGCAGAACATATTGTTATGTTATTTGTTGACAAACAATATTAAATCTAAGCTTTATTAAGCATTTATTTTACTGTCAGCTGTCAAGTAAAGGTAACGCCTTAATATTACGTAGAGTCTATAACTATTGCGACCTTCAGAAAATTGTAAATGAAAAAGACAAACTGTTACTGTGTAACATTTAATTTTTCAATCCCATAGACAAAATATAAACAATCAAAACTATTAAAAGTTGCATTTAACAATACCATAAGGTACCCATTTCGCTAATCTATGTGGCAGAAAATGGACAAAAGAATTTCCATACATACTAGAAAAAATATCGAGTTACGTTACTGTAGTTTTAAAATTGTTAAAAGCGAAGTAAAACATTATATGATCCAACTCAAAGTATGCTCTAGCACACCTGCTTTGCAGTGGACGTAAACAGTCCCGTTTTCCGCGGCAATCTTGTCGATAAACTCGAGTGCTTTCTGGACTTGTTGGCGATTGGGGACTCCAACGTAATCTAACACAGGTAGTTGCAGAAACTCCACACCGACGTCTGCGTATTCCTGCAGCGTGGGATACCACAGCTGGTTCAGTTCATAATCCTCGTTGAAAGAAATCACCCCCTTGAGATTCTCCTTCTTTTTTAATTCAGCTAATACTGATCGAAATGGTAAAGCACCCAAAATTACGTGTTCGTCCAACCGATCGTACCATCGTCGTGAGGTAACCTTCTCCGCAGCCAAATTATACGCCAGAGAAGGAAAGAAGAAAACCTTGCGCCACATCGACATCGGCAAATTTTGCTCTCTTCCAGAAGAGCTGAATGCGATTAAGACAGAGATCGAGATCACAGCTATCGAGAAACAGGAGCAAAAGTAAAACAAATTTCTACGATTGTACAAAATTAGAGTCATTAATGATTAATATAAACAAGATGCGGCACAAAGCGAAAAACGAAAGTCAATAAAAACATTGTATATCTTGTACAATATATCCACAGCTTTTATCATAATATTACTAAATACATACTGTAGTTTAGTAATATTATGCTTTTATCTATCGATGAACAGTTGAACACTACTTATTACAGAGTACAATACACTGAGGGATGTACCATAGGAATGTACCTGTAGGAGCGGTATTTGTTAGCGTCTTATTATTGTTGTTACTTTATTAATAATAATTCTTTTTGTCATTACAGTATTATTATTATTATACTTAGAATCAGTAAATTAATGGTTAACAACGAAGAGAAAACAAAATTCATTAGGGAACAAATAAAAAAATCTGGAAATGCAGAAAGTACAAATCAACCACAAAATAAAATTAATAATGGTTTAGATAACAGCTTTGAGCTTACTTATACCGGTATGCTAGTGCGAACGTGAGGGGAGGAAAATAATCTGTATAAAAAACAAAGAATACATGTACCGAATACATAACAGATATAAAAAATAAAATATACATGCATCAAAGAGAAACCAGAAATATTCGACTGGACACTGAAAAATAGCGCACCATTCCCGTGCTCACATTTGACTTCTTGATAGACTACTGACCATTTAAATTTAGCTCACAGTATCTGATCCGAAAACAGAAATTAGGTACGCAATCTCATTTTGAAATTCTAAAAGCCAATAATTTCGAGATTGCCATTAAGCAGAAAATTACAGAGTACCACCAGCATAATGGTGATGCTTCATCAGCCTTCATGATGTCATATCTTATGATTACGGACAGTTATAAGTGAGTGATAATGCACTGCAAACTTTCTTGTAACCTGATTTTAGCCTCTATTTACTTACAAAGAAGACGTAACAAATCGTTTTACCGTAACAAAATAACAAAATAAACACGTAACAAAATAAACGTAACAAAATAAACAATGCACCTCAACGGTTTCCTTCTTTTTTTGCTACTATAAATCACAAAATTTAATATTAGTGTTTAGCACAAAAATTTAGCCATCCTTTGGATGTTTTATCAACATGCCATTCCCGGATGAACAAAATTCTGTAAAGCGCCGGCGTACTGTTCTCGGGGTGGTGCGTTTTTCATAAAATAATGGAACAAAATAAAGCATAGCACCCAGACCACCGCACACAGTTCTGGAATGGACAGCAGGACAGGTACCGCACATACAATAAGACTGTTTGTTAACAGGCTACGCAGTCTAGCATGAACTGAAATCCAAGTTGTGTTAAAATTCAAAGAGCTCTAAATTGGCCGCAAGTATCACAGACTGGAATTACTGTGTGCAAATCTGCAAATCCAAATGATATTCTGTCAGTTGCGACTCATAACAACTTTAAATGGCCGGTTATCTTGTCAATTGCAGTCACTTCACCAGGACCGATTGCGCAAACAGTAACACTTCCGGCAGCAATCTGCGTCCGGCCAGCATCGCGCACAACGTACGTATTTAAACCAGAGTTTTTCGCGTTCTGCGCCAGTGTAATGAGGGTCGTCTCATCGGGTACTTTCAGTGCAATCTTGGCTTGTCCACTTCTTTTCCATGATCGCAGATGGATGTCCTTCCGGTGAATGGCTTCTTCATACGCTCCTAGCGCAGCATGTGCACATTGCGCGGCCATTTTGCCTTTACCCATCTCCAAGTCCATCCGCACCAGGAACACCATTTTACAATCCCGCTGCACTGCTTTCGATCTCGTTCGCGGTCGGGAATGTGAAGGCCGGTCCGTATTCTACAAGATGAAACACCCCGTAAGGCGACGTAAGCAAACCTAGAGGACAACAGTTATAGTAAGTACTGCAATTACTAATTACCGTACGTCACCAAAACATACGGTAGTCAAAGTGACAAAAATTGTCTTTAATAAGAACTGAGTCTAGACTATTTCGATCAAAATTACGGAGATGATAAAAACCATTTTGTCAGCGGCGTGGATTTTCGCCAATGGTAAATTACAGTTTAAACGAGTGCAGTTTTTAACCACTTTTTAAAACTGCATTTTTCTAAGTACTTTTTTTTTAAAACTGCAGTTTTCAAACCAGCCAATTACTAAAACATCTGAAAGTTACCTTTAAAGAAATACTTAAAAGAAGTTTCCTTGGATTACATACATGATATCCGAACTGTATTGTAACCATCAAAGTCCAGGAATGTTTCAACTTAAATTATTATAGAAAAATTTTATAATTTCAACTCCTTACTCCTACAGACTTAATGGTCATTACGTTCCTTTGCAATGAAAGTTGTCATCGCGCTAAGTGACCAACGATAGGTCTTACGCAAATGTTATGACTTTAACAGAAATTTTCATCATTTCCTGTAGATAAAGATAATAACACCGCCACTGTAAACCTAAAACCACAGATCGATCAAAATTAAGAGAAGAGTACGTGAACTGTATTCGTGACTGCAGATAAGTACTATGCATGAAAAAGTATCGAACTTTGCGAACACGACGGACGAACCTCATCAGTTTCGCCTTCGGAAGTGTCAGTCCATTCTTCCATAATCAATGGAGACGTGGTACCTCGTTTGCCCAGAATGGACGGGTTCGGAAGAACCTTAGTCTTAGGATCTGAAAATATTAATAGCTGATCTCAAATCACAGTCACTTCGTAAATGTTGCGATAGATAATACACCGTGACTGTGTAACTTTATATCTGTTGTGCGATCACAGCGAAATCCAAGTGCACACGTGGTCATTAACTTGTGAATAAAGGATTCCAGATCGCGAAACAAATTACATAATTTACAATAATTAATTAACTTTACAATTGATTACAGTACTTTGGCTGTGCCTGTAATCATCAACAGATCAATCAAAATTTAACCATTGACAGTACTGTTTAGTAGCAGAATGTTTTCGTCCTTATTTTCCTTAACAACGACGCAGACATCGAGAAAGCGAAGAAAGTTTAAGAATTATCCCGTCATAAAAGCTTTATGTAATTATGAGCTAATGAATGGGAAAGCGTGAAACTAATGAAATTCCTCTTGATTCTCACCTCGAACTTTAGGCATGAACGCAGCCTGTCTTCCTCGCACCAGCCAGCCAAGAAAGGCGCCTCCGACAAGACCACCAATAAAAATCCCCAAATGAACTTCCGTATGCCCGGAAGAAAGCGTCCACTGCGGCATTTGCGAATCTGCTCCGTTGAAGTTGCCCAAAGTTTTTGCGTTTGTGAGCAAAGCGATACGCGATAACGCTGCGTATTGCTTACAAATTTTTAAGCGTCCAAAGACCAAAGTGAAGAATTTTTAAAAGTTTCGTTCGTTTTCACGTACTACCGATTTATGATTTTATCGTAGCACTACTGTACTGCCATGAACGTGCTACTGGCGGGTGCCTCGTTCGCTTCATAGTATTCGGTACGGACGCTCACGTTTGGCAGTGACGTATATAACGTAAATCGCGAATCGCGATGACGAATTACTGCAAAAACACTTTAAAAATTCACAAATAATCGTTTCAAGTTTTATTTTTAAATATTTAACTAGCTGTCTTTGCAGTGCATATCTTATTATTGTTTCATAGTTTGGATTTAACATGCTTATTGTCGTAACGTTGTTACAGCATGAGTACTAATGCAACTGGCGACAGTTGTTGCGGTTTTATTGCGACTCACAGAATTCTCGAAAGAAGAACCTGACTCTTTTTGTATGGGGTTCGTTTCACGTACTGCTTAAAGTTATGTCCGCACTTCGAAAAGCTTTATTTTTCCCAACGATTCTGTACAACATTGTCGCGGATAGCATCACATCCCGCACCTGGTACAACCGGATCGATAGACACCTGGTTCTGGGCGCAATACCCTTTCGCAGCGTCTTGGAAGACCTGGCACCTACGGAGAAGATAAAGGGAATGATCTCCATGAACGAAGACTTTGAACTCAATCCGCGCTGGTATCCGACCTCAAGCGAACTGCAGCAGTTGGGTATCGAATTTCTGCGACTGCCTGTCAGCGATTACACTGGAACACCTACTCGCGAACAAATTCTGCAGGGGCTGCATTTCATAGACCAGGTAATCAAGCGCGATAGCGAAGCCAGCATTTACATTCACTGCAAAGCGGGACGATCGAGGAGTGCCTATTTGGCTGCAGCCTACCTGATGGCCAAGCAGCAAAAAAAAGCGGATGAAGTAATAAGTTTTCTCAAAGAAAAGCGACCACAGATTTGGATTGGATCCCAGCAGACGAAAAGTCTCGAAGAGTACTATGAAGAAGCTGTTGCGCAACCGAAGTGAACGAGACATGATGCACGGAATGCTGAATGGGAACTAAAGCAATATCCCATTTCCCGTTTCCGTTACTGGTTCACCGGTTAGTCGAGTGTCTTAGATTCGGTGTACTGCGGCAATGTACGGATGGTGAGCTTTGCTGTGATAAGATCATTAAAATTCATGTAATGTTGTCGTGAAATATTTTTAATGTTGTTTTATTTTGCGTATGAATGTTTGTTTGATGCTTGACTATTAACGCGATATGATACTTACTTGTTTTTACCATTATGTCGTACGTATGGCTGGTACGATAAATCCTCATCGTTATGATGTTATCAACTGACTGAGTTTTCCGATTTTCTGTTAAATAGAATAATTATGATTTCCATCACATTCACTTCAGGTTTCCAAAGACCCGAAGAAAGTTGTCGGGATGAATAGGTCTAGCCGTGTTCCCCCGTTCTAAAGGTTAATATATCCTGGCCGGAACACAACACCGTGTTATTAGCATGTGTGTAGAAAGTGTGAGACAGCACCTGCGAATTACTTACGCACAATGGCCATTTTTATGTTGCACGTAAATCCAGTATTAGAATCGACTGCGTCACTGCGGCATTGTATTAGCTATTTGACAAGTTTATTACTTTTTCCAGATGCTTAACAATTTTTGTTTATAATGAGCAGCAGCACGGTCGGCTTAAAGGCCAACAGCCAATAGATGTTGTTTAACATCTTTGGTAAAGCTAGAAGCATCTGGCCCGACTGTCCCAGGCATTGGCGAAGCCAATTAGCACAGTTTACAATTCAAAACGTTGCTGAAGAATGATGGCCGACAAATGCGAGCACTAGATTCATTAATAACCAAACGCGTTCCAGCTTAGTAGACTCTATTAACGATAAGTGGAGTGTCGTTATATTATAACCGGTCTGATTTCTCTGATGACTCGCATGAAAGGACGGGAGCTGTTATGGCACAAGGTGCCAGTTCCTGTGGATAGGTCAACCTGACTTTCCACACGTTCCATCAAAAATATCGTAAATCCGATAATTACAGCGCCAACCTGCAAAAAACCCATCCATTCAAACTTCATAAAAAGCGATATCCGACAATTACAAAGATCGTATATATCGATACCATCAAACAATAGAGATGCTGCAACTGCTATGTCAGAATATCTATATACTGGTGGTAGCCGTAGATAAGCTACATTTTGCAGTGTAGTACTAACTCGGAACTTCACGCACCAGGAAGACTTACAGAAATCACAAAAGAGCGAGTCAAATCCATAAATCCTCCCGCAGATATTGTCAGCGGCTTCGTATAGGCTCTTTGTAGGAATGCGGCTAAGGAAATAATTTCCATATTATCGACAGCATCAGAAGGATTGTGGCTGGTGGAGGAAAGTTGTTCGGCTCTCATCATGTGCCGTTTGTGCGCCAAAGTTTGGAGGAATTCCAACGTGCATCCGCTCTTCAAATAGGTATGTAAGTATACGAAATAATTTTTCTGTCGCTAGCAATTGCTTAGAATCTCGTACATGATGATGATCATCTTGGTGTTCATATACCTGTAGCACTGTACTGCTTTATGTTAGTACTTATTGTATTAAAAAGTGTGTAGCAGCAGCTATAGGGTTCCTACGTTATATTAAATGATAAGGTTTTTGACCCAAATGATAAGGTTTTTTTTTGGTTTTGCTAAACCCAGAAACGCTGGAGAATGAATACCTCTTCGTTCAGTTGTATTGGGAATAACGGCAACAGGAACATAATATAAAGAAAGCCCAAAATCGAGAGTACGTAAACACAACAGGCTTCCGTTGATAACGAAGGAGTGAAAAACGATGCCAAAGTGGAAAAAACAATGCAAGCGTTTGTTAGAATACCGAGCAGAATTTGAAACGAAAATAACTGTTCATGATCGCTGCATGCTTCTATAATATCTTCGTGCAGACACCGTATTTTTAGAACATCGTTCAGAAACTGGACTCGGTTTATTTGATGACCTTTCTTGGTATTATCATGACTTAGCTTCTCACGCAACGCGATTATCTGCTTATTAAAGATCCTGCAAAACAACCATAACACTCGGGCAAACGCACTAATCTGGATGTACACTGCAAATGATAAAACCCCTCCCAGGAATTCTGCAAAAAAATAAAATGTGTAGCGCGCCCAAACCGGCGCTTGCAGTAGTCCGAATGGGACGGTTCGATACGCATACGACGACTTTGCAATCACTATAGCGCTGATGAATACACGTAGTCCAATTAGCAAGAACGGGATCAGGTACAAAATGACAAATAAGATTCGATTCACCTTTTCCTGCCGACGAGTAATACGCAGTTTCGCTACTAGCGCATTCATTCGTGTCAAGTATATGCTCATGTTGCGAGATTTCAAAGCGAAAACAAAAACCGCAGTACAGTTTTTGATAAATATCAGTATATAACGCACAGATACTAGTAAGGTGACAATCCGGTTATCCGATTGCATATATGACGTCCAGAATGCCTTGTCCATAAAGAAATAGATAATATCATGTAAAAGTAACAACGCTAGAAAGGTAAATATTGTAAACGTGGTAACAACCCGCCATATGGAAATTCTATGAAAGCGCTGGCAAAAGGTCCCGTTTTCCACTGTTTCATGACGAGGGATCAAATTAAAAAAGGTCAAAATTTGAAAGGATGGGAAAACGTTCAAAATGCGAGACGTTCGAATTACCCTATGATGTGAGGCCAGAGGAATGTTTCCTGGCGTGATGGTACGCCAAGAGAATTGCATCTGCATTGTTGCTGCTGTTGGACTGCAAATGTGACCCTTCCCGGATTTGAATTCTGGACTTACTACAGTAGTACGTGTATGTAGATTTATTCCTACACAGCAAAACGGTTAACTAACTGAGTAAAGCTGAAAACCTTTAAGCATGCATTTTATACTTTAAAATGGTCCGCTGCGTAAAGGTGTGCAGAGGTGTGTGTATGTGCTGTAGGTTTCACTAGCTGTGTTGTAACAATAAAGTCCCGAATCAAGTAATATGACACATTCTAATAAACTATTTTACGATTATTGAATTCCTGGCTCCGAGACAAGTGCAGATGTTCATATGTGTGCCCGGAAGTATTACCGAATAGACTTCTCGAACTACGTATAATAATAACCACACTAGTGCGACATTTTACCTGAAAATACACGACAAACGTGGCGCGGAATCAAGTTCGTACACAATACACGAAAATATGATTATACAGCGCAATGCCGTATAATCGTATATATACGAGCATATACACAGGCTACATAAAAGTATTGCCGAAATGTGAATTCGAGATGTAAAAATAGCACAGAGAACGTTACCAGTTATTGAAATTTATGTTTTGTTAATGATTTAGTAGTTATTAAACTGTAACGGGATTTCGAACTATAACGACCCAAACTTGCTGTAAAATGGGAAAGTATGCGGCGACGACCAATATTAATATGCGAGAGTCGGATTGCAACAGGAGATACTCAAACACACAGAAATGTGCCGATGCAGGGATATATATCCCTGCACATCACGTCTATAGAGATATCTCTAGACGAGCCCTTCAACCCCCTGCAAAAAGCAGCAAACATCAAACACTGCGCAATTAACAACAAATTAAAAGGATCAACAGATAACATTTTCATAAGCGTTATTATAAGGAGGACATGCCGATTGCATGCCGACGAGCGACTACAAAATAGAAAGGTTATAAACTTTCATGGAAGTGATATAAATATTTGTTTAATGAAATATCCAAATGTTAAGACGGGGTAAGCGCGTAATAGTAATTAACCTTATGAAAGCGCGTTGTTAGCGCTTACCACGCGTCTGTCTCTCACGCGCGTCAGAGGCGGAAAAACGCCTAATAACACATATACATCGTAGAAGACAGGAAAACGGCTGAACCGCCGCGGGTGTGGCCGCTTAAACGCGCATTTTACGCAGATTTTTTACCATAGGGATATATTCGCAATCGCACTCACATCTGCTTAATTACATTGAGGTTTTTTGTACTCATAAATCATGGGCCATGTTTTGGTTCGATGCAGCCATTACTGAGCAAAGTTTCGAGTCTAAACCTTCCAAGATATCGAAATATATTATATATTTCATATTATCTTGTGAAGTACATGATTTAACAAAAGAAATACCTCTGTTAGCTACGATATTAATAATTACTGGACGCAACCACGTAAGCATGCGTAAGAAGTTCTAACGTAAGTGGAAACCTGGTTTGTTACGGTAGTATGACTAATGGTAAGATCTTCGCAGACATTTTACAAATGAGTGCAAACAGGAAATGGCTGTGCCGAGAGGTGGAAATAAATAAATTATGATCGTAAATAACAAAGTCCAAATCTGCGCTTTTGCTAAAGTCTGTAAAATTGATAGACAACTGCAAAATACCGAATACGTCATTAGTTCAATACGTATTACAAAATTTTTAATACGTGTAATTAACAATACGTATGACAATACCGCTTAGGAATCTTTGCTCGTTTTAAAACACGAAACTTCGCTTCAGGCGTTCATTTGGGAGTTGGGGTGGCTTTAAGGTTTGCATAGGATATACATACGATGCATATCTGCTTTAGGTCGTATGACACATTCATTTTGCAAACGACAATGGTCAAATAACGCGATAACATGTTCATGCGCTTTTAAAAAGTGCTGTATACTCGTATGGCAATGGCGTATTAATTAACTGCTAAACGTTTGTGCATGTGGAAATTTGTGTGCAGCCAGATTACACTTCCACTCACAGAAAGCGGACCTTGTTGGTAAACTTAACAGTTTTACACTGGTACTACGTATCGGGATACTAACTCTGGATCTGGCTTTACATGTGATTGAATTCAAATTTATATACTTTGTATAATCATTCATGACGAAAAAACTAACGTCTTCTGGGCTAAAGGCAGCTGCAAACAAAGACCACGCTAAGGTGATTTCCGCTACCACATTCCAGGTTTCCAGTGTCGATTCCCCACAAACTCCCTCAGCGAGATTTCGCCATGCGTCGTGCTTCATTGAACCCTACATTTTTGTTCACGGTGGACGGTATGGATTTAGAGCGTTCCGAGATTTGTGGCGGCTGAATCTGTGTAAGGCGAGGATCTTTCGTTATTATAATTATATTTGTCTGTACATAAAATATACGAGTACTATGTATATATATGAGTATATACATGTGCATAAGATTTTATATACTAAAAATGAAGAGGATGGGAAATGCACCTATTTTTCAAGGAAAAAGGGATGAGTACGCGTTAATGTTGTTATCAGATAACAACACATGGGAAAAAGTTGAACCTGACAGCAGTGAATTTCCCGGACTGCAGGAGGAGCACTTTTTTGTGAAATACAAAGACGATGCATATTTAATTGTAAATGAGAACGGATATCATAATCTCTGTCAGATCGAAGTGTGGATGCTGAACCCAGGTAAATGGCAGTATGTCATATTTATATGCCTTTACATTATTAAATTATGTAGCGGGATATAGAATAAAATATATATAAATATTGTACATTTTTATAAATCTATATGCGCGTATCAGAAATAAATAAGTATAAGAACGTATCTGCATTATCTGTCAAAAATGTAAATCGATCTGTGTCAGTACTCATCCTTTCAGGGTCGGCAACCGCAGTATAAATAAGTCCGCCGTAAAGTTCTTTTTTTTATGTGTACATACATGCATGAGTCATGCATGGAAACGAAAATTAAATCGTTTGAAATAAGTGCACAATCATAACGCAAATTTTCAGTGTGTTTTGTATTGAATGCTGATTGAAGTAAAACAGAATGGTGCAAACTTCTAAGTATGTGTCTTTACTCTTTAGTATTAATGGTCACCATCACAAGACTGAATTGAATTATCAGTAAGAACAAATTATGGTTCTTGGCTTCTTGCTAGAAATGCGTTGCGCCATATATTTATTAAAATACTCTGCAAATTTAGTTAAAAGCTAACAATTTCCGGAATCAAAGTAATCTCTGTTTTCAAAATTAGGCAGTGTCGCATGGAGAAAATTGCGCACAGATAAACACTACGACATCCCTTTGGCAAGAAGCGGAGCAACGGGAAATATTGTGGATAAAAAGTTATATGTATTTGGCGGATTTGTAATTTTACATCAGCGACCGACTAATGCACTTCTGGAATTTGACCTTGGTAGGTAAAGCTGGCACACAGCCATACACCATAAAAACTTATTGACGTTTGTAGAGGTATACCATAAAGCACAATAATACGTACTGCACTGTTCCAGTTCCAATGATAACCATCCACTGCATATGTAATTAATCGTTCCACTGCATTTGTAATAAATTTTATGCAGTTATAAACCACACTTTTTATTTGTGTGTATATATGTACTATTATGTAGCGTACCACTGTACCTATATACTGTATTATTGCAATAATTATTGTCTTGTAATATTTTAAACAAGCACTCGTAGATTATGAAATTTCACAAAAGGACTATTTCTTATTTTTTTCTTATTTAATTAATGTGTAATTAATGCCAAGATATTCTTCAGTTTAATTTTGTAATTTAAGGATGGTATTCTGCTATATTAAGTAATTTACACCGGCTGTATTCTTCCAGACCAGTATAACTGGAAAACGATATGCCCGCATGAATACCCAACATCCACAGCGCCGCCACCACTTTATTCGCATTCTTCTGTCATTTTCGAGAAGGAACTGTATGTGTTTGGGGGAACAGCAGGTTACCGAACATACAGCGCGCTATGGAAATTCTGTTTGCGTAAGTACTTTAAAACGAAATTCGGGTATTAATTGGTATTGGTTCTGTTAATAATGTAGTAGTTAGAAATTTAAAAAAATGTTTTAAGGACAGTTCCACCATGTCTATATAAAATTTCAAAAGCATTTTCTGGGTGTGAAAGCTGAAAACTTAAAGATTTTTTTTATTGCAGGGTAATGTGATTTTACTTGCATAATATTTACGCTTTTGCAGTAATTTCAATATTTTGGAGACTATGCAGACTACTCCAATTTTTCGGAAGTTGTATCACAGTGTAACAGTATAGAGATACAAGCAAAATTAATTTTCTACGGATGATGACAGCAGATGTCTGCAGGTAATAAATTTTGGCTGGCTGTGTCGGGAACGAAGGGTCGCTCCCCTTCGGCACGTTATGGTCATTCGGCCATCGAAGTCGGAAATTCAATGTGGGTGTATGGTGGCCAAAATGAGCACGTCATCCATAACGACCTGTGGAGGTATGACTTTCCAAGTCGAACATGGACGGAATTTCAAGTAACAGGTTGCCCACCACTTGCACACCACACCGCTTTGATAAGCGCGCGGGAATACACCGATGAAAGCCGTTCCACGCATCCAGATGTCTCCAGTTACCCAAACGTCAGCCCGTTTCGCTACCCGCGTATTCTGCCAGCTGCCAGTATCCCAGATATTAGACAATACGCACGAACTATTTCCCAAGAGCCGTTAATCATTAAAAGTAAAATTAGCGACAAAGCCCGTTATCAGTATGACAACGATGCCATTGAGTTAACCGATATCAAAATCTTCGATGACCGCAATCTTACAGTCAGCACCATTTCTAATCGGGCAAAACCGATCACTGCCGCGAGAAGCACCGTCAGCACACACTCGCTGGCCGAAACGGAGTCGATAGCGGATTTTAACGCAACCGAAAACGGGAGCAGCAATACGATTTGCATGTTCCTTATTGGCGGGAACACGGCAAATGCTACTGGATTACCAAAGCCTTTAACCGTTTACACTCTGCGACTTCCTTATACCTAAATTGCAGCGAGTCTACGAAAAATAGATTAGATATTCTAATTTTGCTCAAATTTTTATGAATTCATGAGTATGTAAAAGCGCCGCTTGATTTTGTACAGTGTCCAAAAAAGCGATTTATGGAATTATTGAGATTTAAGAAGATAAACATCGGTAATGCAATTTAAAGTAGCCAACTTGTTACAGAGCAGATTAAGCGGTGAATCTCTGCGAGTCATAAATTTCTGATAGCGAAGCTAATTATCTCAAGGAGCAGTATCTGCTGCAGTTAACCAGTATGTATTTTCTTGACCTTTTCCCTATAAGAAGAAAGCATTTGAGAACAGTTTCAAGCATTTAGCTCATCGGTCCCACCTTGATGCTAGTTGTTCCACGAAGTTCACAATACATCCCGAATCTTGTTAAAGCATCCTTGGAAGACTGGCTCACGTGAATTTTCAACACTGTAATGACAAGCGTCGACGTGAATACAGCCTTGTACACAAGAATATCGTACCTGCAGTCGCTACGATCATCACGTTACATTATTTTTATACAGTTAATAATCAAGAATTTAAGGGCCTCCTCTATACCTTCACCGGTTGACATCATTCTCGATGCAGTGTTCATCGTATCTCCAAATCTAGGAAACAAGTCCATGGAAGAAAATTGGGTAATAAAGCTAGCAAGCACACTTTCCCTTACATGCAGTATCGCGGCCGGCGAATTCCAACGACAGCTGTGGCAACGGGGCCTGTAATAAATTCCATACAACAAACATTTTTTGTTTTGAGTCGCTTTACGAAAGTCATAAGAGCGTACCGGTATTAAATCCAATCTTTAATTGCAGTTGATGGTGTTTACATGCAATTGATTGAAATTGTTGACCAACTAAAACAAGCGTACGCGCCAGCTGCGCAATCTGTAAAACAAATTCAAATAACAGTAATATCTTTTCCATAACATGTATGTGTTTTACTTTATGACGAGATATTACGTGTATATTTTAATGCGTTTAATTTCAAAATATGTATAATAAATTCAGCCCCATCCGACTTGTGACCATCCAGCTTTCATGCTACTATTTCGGATAGGTTGTATTGCTTATGAAACGTGTTTTATGATACTGACCTGCCGCACATGCTCGTATCCATTTCGCAATGGAAGACCACTCGTAACCTAAAAAACATTCGTATCATATTCCCTTCAGTCCCTCGCTCACATTTAAAGTATTTTAATTTAAAGTAAGTAGCTATTTTTTCAGGAGCGTCAGCAACTTACAATGTATGAATCAGCAACAGTTTCCACTTTGTATACATCATAATCGGAAATTTTGGCGTCAAATATCGTGTACAAGTCATTCAAGAAGCGAACAATCTGATTTGGTGTAAAAGCAGTTGATAAGGTAGGAAAGTTGTTTATTCCAGTAAAACATATTGTAACCGAATCGTAGCGCTCAGGATACACCGTATTTCCGCTCATAAGAGATTTGGCAACCGCTCTACAAATTTGGAGAAAATGTAAAGCGTACAACATCAAGTAGGAAATTTAGATCGCGCAATTCGTTATGTCATGGTGTACAGTATGATACATGGTGTAGAACTGTTGGCTTCTTACTCTGGAAATATATCCGATAATAGTTGTTCACACTTGCGCTTCTCATCTAAGAAAGCTTCAGTTTTGGCGCCCACGGCTTCTTCCAGTTCGTTAGCATACTTTTCCATACGATCCAGAATATCGTCCATAAGTGATTTGCCGTGATGGAATTCGGGATGTTGACTCAAGAACGTCTGCACTTGTTGTATGGTATATCGCTCGTCCGGAGATTCCGAGCAACACCCGATTATCAAGGCTTTCACATTCTCTGGACAATTTTGCCATTTATTCCAGCGAAATAGTGGATGAAAAACGGAAATCACTGAGTTCACGATTTCTGCAAATACAAAGTGTAACAATATCAGCGTACAACAAACAAAAACACAGTAAACATTACCTGTGCAATATTCTTGAGTGGTAAAGCGACCGGAATGATACGGCAGACATTCGGTGTATAATTCCTGAACAACTATCCCGAAGCTGAATAAATCCGCCGGTTTGGATTGTGTGAATTTTATAGGTGATCGTAAAACTTCCGGCGCATTCCACAGCAGCTTTAAGACATCGCTCGCAAGTACGGTAGTTCGTTGCGATCGGCAGATGTCGATGTCCGTCAGTTGCAAAATGAAATAATTATCAATTATGCAATTCGGGGTTTTCAGATTGCCATGGCAGGCAATTGTTGATCCGTGTAGAAAAGTTAGGCTCTGCGGTCAGAAAGTCCCGTGATATGAATATACGCAAAGCAGTCATAATTAAGGATTTGGTTTACAAACCGCAGCGAGATGATTCACGAATGAGTTTTTTAGCCACGCATCGAGTTTAACGGTTTTGTTGTTAAGCAGATCCGACAGGCTTCTTCGTTTTCGGTATTCGGTTATCAGCTTGATACATAAAAATCCAGGAAGGAGACCCAGAAATGGCACAACATTAGGATGGTTTAATTTTATATACTGCAAAAAAAGCAATTGTGTTACTAATTTTGTAATTTAGCTAACACTGCTCCACAAATAGTTTTTTATGCGCAACAACGGTACAATTATAAAAGTATCATTTTCATGTGCAACTGTTTGCATAAATGCGTCTTGCTTTATATGGTACATAGTAAATATTAGTACTTACTATGACCTTTTGGCCACTGACCATGCGTATGTCGTACTTTTGCTATAGCGGATGTCGCAGTTGCATCGCATCCAGCTTTATGTATTGCACAACTGACCTCTCGCAACAGATGCCGCTCCTGATTATTAGGACTAAATGGCTTGGCGGTGTCAATGGATTTGATCCACACCTTTCGCTGCTCATAGTAACCAATGTGTCCGCTCGGGAAAACGCTGTTTTGTCCCTGTATCATCTGCAAATCCGTATTAGAATTTTCAAAACCTATAATGCGCATGAGTCAAAAACCAAAACAACCTTACCGTGGCACTCGATACCAAAGCCTGCGGGCGACCTTTTTGACTAAACCAGTCCCAACCTCCAATATAAAAGGGCACGAACAGCTTGGCATCTTCCAATTTCCAAGCTGTCTCCAGATCGTTTTGGTGGCGAAACTTTCTTCTGTAAAGAGTCACACTCTTTTTGTCTGACCAATTTTTATACATCAGCGTAACAAAAATTTGTGCGCAAAACATTTCTGAATACTGTATGAGTCGATGCGAAACCCAGCTAAAAATGCTTGATAATCAAACCTGGTATAAACATGAAGAATAACGCTTCCAATAAGGAGCAATGCTGTTATCGGTATCCATACAATTGCAGAATGGTTTTCTGTTAAAAAATAATTTCATCGTATGCCAAAAAATTCTTGAAATGCAGTCATATTGGCTAACCTGGCCGCTGAGAGCAGACTGCTTTATTCCCCGTATAACCGCAAACCGGCTCATCCAGTGGCACTTTTCCACCTGACCACGTAACAGTCTTCCCCGGCACCCGTGCCCAGGTAATCGTACAAGCATCGAAAACGTACACTTCTTCGAACTGACCACTGTCTTGGTTGAACGACAGCACTGCATACTGCACTTTTTTGTCTCCATTGGGATCAATGAAAATCGGGCCAGCCACATCGTTTTCCAGAGTTTTATTCCACATAAACTGGGAAACTGCTCTACCATCCAGAATATTCCCAGTTTCATTCCATACTGCGAAATACGCCTAAAATATTCAAACATATGCTCCATTGAAACCCTGAACGATTTCACTGATCCCATGCAATTTATGTACTGCAGTTAACGCGAAGTGGCTAGCAACTCGGTCCTTCTGCGGAAAGGGGCATACCGTCGACGCGCTACACTTTTAGACAAAACCGTAGCATATGACACATAAAGAAATTATTTTTGTACTTTAAAATGGGTTCAGTAATGGTAACGCATTTGTTTTTGCTGAGAAATTAGCTTTTAAAGTGAAAAATTTGAAGTCGATTTTCACAGAGTAGAGATGTGAAAAAAATTATTCTGAAACGGCCATTTTATAGAGTGAAGTATTAGAAACTTATTATACGGACAGAATTTTGATTGATAAAAAACAGAAAAAGAAAAAAAATCGGGGGTGCCAAAGAAGTGCCTGGGGCACCCTACCCCTGGATAGTTCTGACCATATCTGCCGAACAAAACCCTAAACAGAGATTCTGTCCGTATAATAAGCTCAGGCTGCGGTACTTTATTTAATGCAATTTTATTCGTAATTTTTGGCACACAAATGTATTCACAGCTGATTTTCGAAGTTTTTTTACGTTTTGTTCACTGTTAGCTTGCAAAAGTACACTTCTTTCACGGCTTTGGTGCCGGTACCGAGAGGTGCTGGCTGCCGCACACAAAAGCACATGCACATGTTGAGCAACGCAGAACAGGCAGGCAGCCATGCAGGCTGTTGCAGTCATAGTCACTAAAACGAAAGACTGCAATCAGACGGCAGATTTGCGTTTATGGCGTCTTTTGTTCCTCTTTCTTGTCAACAAGCTCAACAAAGCTCGATGGGGCAGTTGCAGATTTTGATCGCACCTGATTGCGATTACTTCAATGCCAACCACTGATGTCGGGGGCGATTGAAGGAATATGCCATCACTCACAATAAGTGCGGCGCAACCCATTATTTTGCGGTTCACCTTACGTGCCCCCCTCTACCACTAGTACAACTTTAATTTTTTGCGTGTTAACGAACAAAGATATACTCATTACAACTAGTATAAGGTCTCATACGCCCTTAGGGCAAGCGGGCGGCGGTTTTTAATTTTGAGTGAACAACGGCGCAGTTATTTTTTAATTTAGAAATAGTTTCCAGAAATTATAAAAATTATTTCAAAGCTTGGGGGAAACAGCACACTTTCGTGTGAAATCTCCCCAATTAATGTTGCGCTAAGTTTTTAAGCCCAAAAGGTGTCCATGCTAACGTGTCATCTGCAGATTAGAAAAAAACTGTCGAAATAGATTTTAAGGAGAATTCAACGTTTCAAATATCCAGAGCTGTTTTTGCAAGAGTTCGTTTTTCTGCCGCATTCACGAAAGCAAATAAAGACGCATGTTAAAAATGAATTCAAAATGTAATATGGGTTTTCGAGGAGCAAAGATTTGCGGTAACAATTAAAAATTTAATCGAATGTGGTGTTCGGATTTACCGCTACTGCAACATTAGGAAAAGTAATTTGATAAACTAATTAAAACTTAGTCAGTTTGGAATCATACAGGGGTGCTACTGCTACGCAAAGTTGGGCAGTTGCGTAAAATAAACTACCAAACAATTTAACACGTAGCATTGCTTTTGATTTTGCACTTTTCTAGCGTAACTGTTTATTGCAAATCTAGAAATACAGAAACCGCAATCTTTTGAAGCACCAGTAGGGAGCCGAGCACTTATTCAGGGGATGGGGTAGTGGTCATTCTGTGTATGCTTATAGCTCACTCTATAAAGTATTTCCCAACCGATATATGATTCGTAAACTTTTTTGGGAGCCGTTGAGGGTAACAAAATGTTGTTCGCTATCAGTTAGCCACAAAACCTTGAGCGATCAGGGTTTAAGCTGACGACCGAAGAAGGTATGTGGCAACAAAGATCTTATCAGGAGTGGTTGTCTGTGGCATTCCGCGACTGTCTAGAGAGTTCGAAAAGGAGGTCGCCCTCCACTTTGACAGTGCTCGCAGTCTAACTGAAAAGGTCACGCTGGCTAGACTGCAATTCAAGCATGTTAGGCATGATTCAAAGGAGGATAGAATGACAAAAAAACTTGGCTTATTACCATTAGACTACACCATCAAGTGAAAGGTTAAAAAAATTTCGCATAATAGGAAGGCTGCTCCTGTCCACAGGTTGACCAGAATTTTTATGCATGTCAGCTCTAGTTTTCACCTCACTGGAACTCGAAACACGCCCTTAGCGTAGAATATTGTAGTGGAAAAGATGCTGGAGACATTGAACAGCTATGTAAAAATTAAATAATTATTCATTTGTTGACGGTTGGCTTGTGGCAACTTTTGGAAAAAAGTGTCCCAACTTGGCGAAGCATCCTGTATCTAAAAGTGATGCATGGAAAATTTTATTGCGAATTCTAAAAATTGGCGATGATTCAGATACAAAAATTACAAAAATAATAGAGATTCAGATTTGATTGTACACTTATTGAATGAACAATTGACTGTGCATTAAAAACCGACTGCACGAATCAGCAAAAACAAATTTCAAAAAGTCATCAGATTAAAAACTTGATTTGAAAAAGCATGGCGCGTAAATTTATTTCTTTCATAGTACCTTAGAATTTAACCGTGAGTAAAAACGATTAAAAAATAAATTTGAGAGATAATTTATTCGTTGGGAGCCATGATTTGGTTTCTGTATGAAAGTTCATAAATATTACATAATTATGGAAATTGAATTAGAAAACTTCGTTATTAATTTTGGAATTTCATAAAACTTTTGTGCTTTAAAGAGCAAAAGTTTTGGTACATTTGAATTTCGCATTTTAAAGCGGCACACAAAATGTGGGAAACCAGTTTTTCTTCATTAAATTTCAAAGGCAACTATCAGTTTCTTTGAAGATGAGGCTTTAGATGTATATTTATCTAAGGTATTCTAACGTCCGATATTCCCCCAATCAGCGACCTGAAAATTGAGCAAATTTATTATTAATTATTCCCGTAGCTTGCTGCTTAAGATTTCCACGATTTAGTTATCCGGCTATTCGGTTATCTTATTATATAGGTTTTTTAACTGATTTGACAATATAAATATTTCAAAACGAAAAGCTTGTAGACTTGTAGTTTTTAAACTTTTCTAGGGGAGAATTTAAGTTTGAAGTAAATAGATATGTACGATTGGCTTTTTAATTTCTCAGAGGTACTTAAGATTCAGATAATGAACCTTAATGCTGAATATCCAAATAATTGAATTTCTTACAGGTAAATTACGAAAAAATATCTAGAGCTTTTTAAAATTATTTAGGAATGTTTAGAAATACTCAGAATTTTTTACTATTTAGAATTATTTAGAATTACTTAGAATTATTTAAAATTATTTAGAATTATTTAGAATTATTTAGAATTATTTAGAATTATTTAGAATTATTTAGATTTATTTAGAATTATTTAGAATTATTTAGAATTATTTAGAATTATTTAGAATTATTTAGAATTATTTAGAATTATTTAGAATTATTTAGAATTATTTAGAATTATTTAGAATTATTTAGAATTATTTAGAATTATTTAGAATTATTTAGAATTATTTAGAATTATTTAGAATTATTTAGAATTATTTAGAATTATTTAGAATTATTTAGAATTATTTAGAATTATTTAGAATCATTTAGAATCATTTAGAATCATTTAGAATTATTTAGAATTATTTAGAATTATCTAGAATTATTTAGAATTATTTAGAATCATTTAGAATCATTTAGAATTATTTAGAATTATTTAGAATTATTTAGAATTATTTAGAATTATTTAGAATTATTTAGAATTATTTAGAATTATTTAGAATTATTTAGAATTATTTAGAATTATTTAGAATTATTTAGAATTATTTAGAATTATTTTATTTAGAATTATTTAGAATTATTTAGAATTATTTAGAATTATTTAGAATTATTTAGAATTATTTAGAATTATTTAGAATTATTTAGAATTATTTAGAATTATTTAGAATTATTTAGAATTATTTAGAATTATTTAGAATTATTTAGAATTATTTAGAATTATTTAGAATTATTTAGAATTATTTAGAATTATTTAGAATTATTTAGAATTATTTCGAATGAGTACTAAAGATCGATGCAGCACATCAAACTCTACATTTGTAGTAGATATCGTGGTGGCGACCTCGGGGACCTGGGTTCGAGGTCCCCGAGTACTTTAGTTCGACTCAGCACATCAGACTGTACATTTGTAGTACATATCGTGGTGGCGACCTCGGGGACCCGGGTTCGAGGTCCCCGAGTACTTCAGTTCGACTCAGCACATCAAACTGTATAGGAATCACGATGAAAATCGGTGGCGACCCAAAGGTCACTCGGCGACCCAAAGGTCACTGTCACTTCCGTTACATAGAACCCTCAACATGTCTTGAATTAGAAACGCGGGCTCGCTTCGCTCGCCCGCTTGATTATTGCGTTATGTAGTATAAAAAAATCTCTGTAAGATGAGCTAAGGTAATTTTTGGGAATTATTTTGAAAATTCGCTAGCCACTTCGCGTTAACGAGCAATGCAGTACATAAATTGCTGCCACTCACCTTTGCAGCTTCCGTAATTGCCGAATAGGTATCCACAATATGCAGATCTTTCTGTAGCCGAATGTAAGTTGTATATACAGCAACCAAATAAATTTTTTTGCACAGCACCTGACCGCTCTTTTCTTTTATGGCTGCTGCTTGGTTTATCGTTGGCATAGTGAAATTGGTAACCAACGGTGAATTTACCGCCTTGGGAGTCACAACCAACAAGAACTGGAAAGCGTTCCTTACAATCTAAAAACCATACTTTATCTGCAGCCAGTAACACTCATTAAAAAATTAAAGTGTGTTATTTTATTATGACAGAAGGCAGAAGCTAGCAAAAGTGTGTGCAGCTTGTTTGACGTTACAATGTCGCTTGGCTCAAAGTACTGCGTTGAGAGATTTCCATAATAATCGTGCTGAAACGGCCATATCGTGATGTAGACGAATTCTTCGTTGATCATACCATAGCGATACGCAGTCACCTCCACGCGTAACATATCAAAAACAAAAGCCACACTTTTACTCCGTAAAATAGGTGCTTTAATTCAGCAGATTTACCAACAGCTTCTGAACTTCCAGCATCGGAGCCATTAGAAAAATCACTAAAAAAACGCACCGTAAAAACCTTCCGTTCTGAACAGAAAACTCGGGCGCACGCATACGGACCTCTTGTAAAGCTTTTTGCCGACTGCAAGAAAATCTCAGGATCCTTCCAGTTATCTTCATCGCTGACCGTGTCATAGGAAAAGTAAGTGGGGGTAAAATCTTTGTTCCATATCAGCATGTTGTAGACCGTTGATCCCACGCTGCTGTAGAAAGCACTGCTGGTCTCGTGAATGACGGTGACCCGGTGCCATGAGAATTCGCTAAGCAGGGCGGAAATGCAACCGGCAATATCCTGTGGTTGGTAAGGAATGAAACGGGTCAAGGTGGGAAAACGGACCTTGTCTTCGAGGCGCACATCCGCGGGAAGACTAATAATATTTTAAATGTGGTATCAGTGAAAAATAAAAATTATTCATAATCCTTAGCATGTTCAGTTTATTAAAACTAGCACTCACCTCGTGACAAACAGTGCGTTTATTTCTGTGAGAAACCCAACAAGTTCTAGTTAAACACGAACAACTTTATAAAACATTAAATAAAAAACAGTTATGATTATGTATATTTTTACATAAACTAATAAAAGAAATTTACACACACTGTAATGCACAGTCATTTAGGTTTAAGTGCAACTACCGTACTTGTTACCTCTTGCGTAATCTCCGATAAAGTTCATAACAGCATCGCAAGCTACAACGAAAGAACAAAAAGAATCGAACAGGTTTCTCTGAAAAACAAAGAAACAGTAAAATTTTCTAAAAATTTCTAACCTGCAACAAAAAATGCAGGAACGGAATCTTGTTCGGCTTCGATATAGTCAAAATAATACTTCGCTCCAAGTTGTCCAATCACCGATAACGTCTGATCGCAGCGGTAGATCGACGGATATATTTGACGATATTGGGAGAACTTCAAACCAGTTCCCTTGTATTTCTGATTAACATATTCAAATGCTGCATCAATTACCGGTCCTAAAATTTCGTAACTGTACGTATACTGCGTGTACGGCAAGTGAATAAAAAAACGAATGTCTGTGACATTCGAGCATTGTAGCCGTATTATGCCACTAAACATCAGGAAGAGAAGGCTGATAACAACGACAAAATTCATTTCAGTCGGTAAAGACAAAAGCGGTACAAAACTGCAACTGTGCGAGTACGTAAGCCGTTTTGTTGGCGAGTGCAAGGCTTATAACGAAATTAGAAATAACTCATACGCAGGTTGTTGCGAGATATCCAGAGATTTAAGGTCAAGCATTGTAATGTAAATTGTAAACTGAATCAACAGGAAGTGTCGACATGTCACGAGAACAGAGATGGACGATCGTTGGAAGTTCAAAAATGTTTATTTATTAATTCATCATCTAGATCTACGCAAAGGTAACCAATCCAAGCCGATATTCGACAGATTAATCGACTCATTCGGGACATAACTAACATAAAAACACGAAGTGGCGTTTTCTTGTCTGCTTCGCAGTCAGCGAAAACATTCCGTCGCGGACTCGCTGTGCAAATTACGTATTATTATTCGTGTACTATAAATTTGTAATTAACGGTATAGTTAGGGACCATACACAAACTACGTACAGAACGAATTTTCGGGAACGTAGTTTATACTTTATAGATAGTCCCTTACAGTATCTTCCTTTGTGTAACTTGATGCTTGTGCTGTGCTAAACCACCCCCCTAAAATGTGCGAATCAGAATCGTGTAACATTTTGGTTACAGACTTTCCATAGACCTGACGAAAACAAGGCGTAAACTAAATAGTGTACAAAGACTAGTCTTTGTAATTATTCTAGTTTAACCGACTGCCAACTGGTGTCAGTCCGCTCCGGAAAAGTTTCGAAATATGTATCAATTCTAAGGGTTTTCAGATTTCATCTTACGTACAGTGACCGTGCATCTTCATTTAATTGCAAGTCCATGAGCTGCCACTGCCAGAAAACCACTTTTTTCACACCACGTCGGAGATTATTAAAAACCCTCTTAAAAACGCTCAAAACTTAAAATAATAAACCTCTAACATGCAAAAATAAGAGCAGCGGGCAAAAGCTGCATAAAATAGAAACAGTTATAAAAACATTGCTACTTTGTCAACGGAAAAGTGAGTCAGAGCACACAAACATACAAGCTTAACTTTCTGAAATTAATTGCGCCGTACCCCTCTTCTTACTCCTCGCCGGAAGTACACGACACTAATATACATAACTGCAGTCAAAATTAAAAAAGTCAAAAATATGCAAACGGCGCTGGATACAAACAGGACAGGATGGCAGAATTCGGCGCTTTCTGGCCTGACTAGATCAACATAAGGAATGCTCCCGTAAACCCACACCAACCCTAAAAAACCAATTTGCATAATTATAATGCGTCACAAGTACAAAACAGCCGCACGATGACACATGCGATTTCAGTGCTAGATGCAATCCAGTCTCAAAGATAGCAAATTTCTTAGAACGTCGTAAAAACAGAAGGATAATTTCGCTGCTCTAAAGGAACCCATTAAGACAGCCGTTGTTTTATTCAGTGTTAGTAATACATTTCCCTTAATTCGTAAGCGTGCTATCAAGCTATAGCAAAATTCTTCGGCATGCGCATCAATTAAAAGCAAATTACCAGTCGGATGCTCTATACACAATTCCAAGCAGGAAAGCACGCAGTGGAGCAACGAGTCTGTGTTTTTTTCGTCATAATATTCTCGAGGGTGCAACACAGAATTTAAGGATCGTTTTGCGGATCAAAAAATTGTCTATGTTCCTCTTCCACTTTTAAATTCTACTGATCACTTCCTCAACTACTTACCAGCGATACTCCACGCAAAAAGAAACAGTGCTATGGGCAAGCAAATGAGGAAGCCTAATATTTTCCACAATCCTTCCAAGGCTTTATCCGGTCGATTGTTTCTCATATAAAGTGCAAACAAAACGAGTGGCATCAAAAACACTCCTCCAACGATCATGTATACTGGAATTTTTGCGTCAGCCAGTGGACAGCTGTGGAAAAACACTCCTCCAACAACAATCTGCAATATCAATCAGAGGCATTCAACGAAATGTTAGTTAATGACCGGAAGACACTCCTCACCATGTAAATACCTATGGCGAACAAAGCCAACCTCCATAGTAGCGCGTAAGCTGCAAGAACAATTAAATGGCAATAAAACAACTAGAAAAGCACTTTTCACAAAAGTCTACAAAAAATTTTTTAACAACAACAGTGTATTCAATAAATCGAGTGCATTGAGTACAGATGTTTCGCAGTACAGCAACCGTAGTCGTACCCTTGCAAATGTAATATGTCGGGTTTTTATGCGTCAGTCGGCCATCTTCGGTCAGGTCCCAACTTGTATGTCGCTCCGGAGAATCCGCAACTACAAAACATGCAACCTTAAAAAAATCACAAGCTTAAAAATCACAAGCTTTTTATATCGTATATCTTCGAAGTTAATTTATCTTTTACTTCTTCATTTCCACTTCTGAGTTCCCATAAAAAAAACACTCGCAGTGAATGAACGCAGTAACAAAAGCGCGTACCAAGAACAATTTTGAACACACATTTGCAGTGCAATCGCGACCTACGTAAAGTAATCCTAAAATATTTCGTCTGCCATAAAAGCTGCCCCACAGCAGCCGGGTACTGATCAACAATTTATATCTCTATCAACGACAGATTTCCATACTTGTGCAATTAAAATTATTAACAGTTTTCACACATACCTCGTGTTCTGTCGTCGCGCACTGTGGTCAGGAGCACTTGAGGATCTCGGGTGTCTTTCCCGATGACGATCTGAGTTTCGGGCATGTTTCGGCTCTGCGGTCCAATAGAAATAACATTCAACGGTACTCATTCGCATGACACTAACAGGACATCCTTTGTGTATGGAAACTCTCTGCAACGGAGAACCCGCAGAGCTTGCACAAGTAATGCAAACGTTTTCAAAGCATAATGGGAAAACTGGTTTGCATTCTGAAAGCAGTACGCGCAAGAAAAATTTCAAATTTTAATACGCCGTGTTCAGGGGAATGCGAACACAGCTACTGCAGCTCTTCTGCTCGCATCGAATTACAATATAATATGGTTTGTTTACCTTTCAGTTTATGACTTAACGGCTATCGCTACCAAATTGCGTCAACAAGTAACACAACATTCGCAATACGGCAGTACGTTAGACACGGTGTCACTCACCGGATTTCACTGGCAGAAAGAAATATCAAATTTCAAAACATCTCCGCTAGTAGACTTCCTACTTATGGAGTTATGGTTAGGTACTAAAAAGATATATTTGCGAGTTTCGTATACTATCTCAACGTTCCAAAAAGAAGAATCCAACAGGGAACTGTCAGAAAGGAAAAATTATAACCAAAAACTAAAAAGCGAAAAAAGTGGGATAATGCTAATGGAATGATTACCATTTACAACATTAGCCATTGTATTTATTAGTCTATTTCCTTTCTCACTACTTTCGAGTGAGTTTACGACTCTAGACTGACAATAATATAAAATTATTTTGTATTATTATGCAAAAGGTACCGTACAGGTAGATTTTCAAATGCTTAATTTTTAGCTTAACTTATGAGCATAAAAACTTATGAATTAATTATGACTTAATTATGAGCATATAAATCCTAATACAGCCCTGCTCAGCCAAGTTGGGGCAGTTTTCTCAAAAAATTACCACAAGCCAGCCGTCAACAAATAAATAATTATTTATTTTTTACATAGTTGCCCGATGTCTTCAGCATCTTTTACACTAAAATTTTCTATAATGAGGGCGTGTTTCGAATTCCAATGAGGTCAAAACTAGAGCTGGCATGCATAAAAATACTGCTCAACCCGGGGACAGTGCTAGCCTTCCTCCCATGCGAAATTTTTTCAACCTTTTATTTGAGGCTGTAGTCTACTGGTGATAAGTCTGGATTGTTTGTCATCATAACCTCTTGTGAATCATGCCTAACATGCATGACTTTCAATCAAGCCCGCGTGACCTTTTCTGTTAGACTGCGAGCGCTGTCAAAGTGGAGGGTGACCTTCTCTTCGAGCTCACTGTACAGTCGCGGAATGCCGCAAGCAACCGTTCTTGATAAGATCTTTTTTACAACGTACTGATCGTTAATTTTAAATGTTTCGTGCATAAAAAAACCTTAAACTGTTCAATGCAACGAAATAAAACGGCACGCGTAGTCTTTTTTTGCGATCTGCTTTGGCGGAGTTATTTGCAATCGTCCCGGCCCTTCCGTTTCCCCACCGGTGCGCTGGATATTTGTCGGTACATCAAAACTGACTAACAGTACTTCGCTTACTGCCTTATATGGGCTCCCCTTACCTTACTCTCCCTTATCTGGGCTCCCGGCTAGTGAGCAATACCCGTCAAATTATTTATCGGATTTATAGCAGAACCCTTTTCTACTTCTTTCAACCGGATTTACAAGTGAGCACACCAAAGAATTCCGAAATATCACATCCGAATTATATTTATATAATTATATTATCTATATATATTTTTCATTAATTTCAACCGGATTCGCCAATGAACAAACTAAAAGATGCCGAAATTTCATATCACATTATTTTTTTTCACAGTATTTTAAATAAATCTAAATTTTCATTCAGTCATAACACTGATAACAGCTGCAAAACTGTGAGTAATAACGTAACCGCCGATGTAGAGGGTTGCTCATATTGCTCGGGAGCCCAGATAAGGGAGAGTAATACATGGGGAGCCCATATAAGGCAGTAAGCGAAGTACTCATGTCTTGTCTGTAAAAAATATCAGTCCAAGGGCACCTACATCCGTCAGCTAGGCAACCATATTCTACGACGGGTCATTTTTAACATACAAGTCTATGGGAGAGGCAACTTCTTTGAGCGTTAGCTCAAACCCGGATCGCTCAAAATTTTTTTGGTAACCGACAGCGAACACCTTTTCTGGCCCTCAACGGTTCCCAGAAAAGTTCACGAAAAAATATCGGTTAGGGAATATTTTATAGAGTCAATTATAACCATACAAAAAATAACCACTACCTCAGATCCCTGAACCAGTGCTCGGCTCGCTGCTGGTGCTTCAGAAAATTGCGGTTTTGTTATTTCTAAATTCGCAATAAAAAGTTACGCTAGAAAAGTAAAAAAACAAAAGCAATGCTAAATTATTTTATAATTTATTTAACATAACTGCCCCAACTTGGCTGAGCAGGGCTGTAAATAAACAACGATTATAAGTTTTTACTTATATATTATTATAGCAAGTACCGTAATGATGTTTTGACTGGAGAGTGGAGATTGCAGGACCCACCGACCAGCAAGGTGTATACCAGCATAGCCTTATCGTTAATTTGCGCTAAATAAGTGCTATTAACGCGTATAGCACAAAAGTATTGAACTTTAAATTAATATTGATAAGTTGAACCCCAGAACAGCTTTTAACAAAAAAACTTGCTTCAATAAATACGATTTTGAAGAGTATGAATCTGAATTATATTGGCAGTATGAATGGTTATATACGACTAATACGAGCATACAACACAAGTATGCGTATATACCCGAAATTTCGTACATATAATAACCTTTTATATTGCCAATATTATTTACGCCTGACACAGAAATAGGGGCATTTAAATGCACATCGCAAGCATTCCTAATAATTTTATATGATTTTTTAAGCTGTGCAACATCCAAATTATAGAGTAGTAATGTCAGCTGATCCATCAGATATCAGCAAGAAAGACTTAATTATCAGTGATGGTTACAGTCTGTACAGTAGTTATTCTACAGACTCAGACAGAGTACAGAAAATCAACTGTGGTTTCCCACCAGCCGGACATTAAACATCAATAACGCTAATTATTTCTGTGGCTGTATTTACCTCAATATATCACAGCGGATAATTAAAACAGTAACCACTACATCCTATTCACAAGCTCACACGCTGTCAAGCTATAGAAGTACTACTGTACAGATAGTGTACCAGTATTTCCTGGGTTCCGCACGGAAATGATCGATCTGTTTACAACTGCGGTTCTGTCACAAGAGACGAACCGGAAATCGGCAATTGTTTCCTTCCCGTTTGTAAAATCACTTGTAAGTACTACTTAGCAATTCCAATCCGCACTTGTATCCAGACAATGAAGCCAGCTGATTCTCAGAATTTGGCGGACGTGCATTTATCAATAATTAGATGAACATCTCTAAACTAAATTAAATTTTGAATTTCCTGCGGCTCTTAATTTCCTTAAAGGTCATCAGCTCTTCTGGTAAGCAAATGATCATTAGGATGGTAGTACAAACTTACGAATGTTTTGTACTCGTATACATTTTCTACTGGACTTAATGAGGCGCTTCCCGAAAACAGCTTGGTGTGCGTACGGTAGCGAATTTCAATTGCAAACGATGTATTGATTGTGAGCTTGCAACCACAGGAAGTTGTAGGTTATATGTGAACGCTGCTGGAGACAGTCAGACAGTTGCACTTATAAATCAGGACGACCGATGTAAAAGAAATAAATAAACTTTTAAAGAAGCGCGGAAAAGCTCAGATGAAAGCTAAGTTAATCATCAAGATATAAAGAACAATTTCAGCATGACCGAGTGACGTTGTTCATCCTTCCTTGATCCCTTGTAGATCGAGCATTTAAAGAGGAACGGCTTCGAATCGAATCCGCTGCACTAATCGGCGTGCAGTGCCGGTGACCTTATTTCCGACCGGGGCCTACAGACAAACGTCACACATTCAAATATCACGTCGTAATCGTATACATACAAAGTACGCGTATGTTGCCAAACAAACAGAAAATTAATGGTATACGATGCATTGATTGATTACCTCCTGCGAAGTTAGCCGAATCCAACGCCAGCAGACCATTAGCTGTTCGGGATCCGGAGCTAAAGCGGCCCAATCCCAGATCGATCGCCTTCTTGGCCGGACTAGGATATCTGATGTTGATAAAGGAATGTCAGCTGTCGCAATTAATTCATAAAATTCAGATGTGTCAATTTGACTTACATATGGTCGGTATTGACTAGATCGTGGACGCGTCCATAATACAGATCGTAAACCGCTCGTTCGTATCCGGCACGGTACGAAGGGTCATTGACGAAGCGGTTCAAGGACTCTTCGTTGGCGTCATACAGCGTTCGCATCGCGGAATCTTCCACTGCGCCATTTCCCTGTTTGACCGGGTTAGCCAGGACAATTGCGGTCAGGTTTACCAACAAAGTGACCAACAACAACATGCTCGTGGATTCTTGCACCTTCACCATTTCTCTACAAGATTAGAATACCATATATTATTTGAGAAAAAATACCATCCAATATTGGAAGAACCACAAAGACCCATACAGTGCAAATGTGTAAGTAATGTACTTTTCAATATGCCAGTATACAGAAGTATGCACCGCCCAGGTTCATGGACTAGCTAGAACTTTCTTTCGGGTAAGAGTTCGTATTAGTTACGTGGTGATTTCTGGTCACCTCCTGGTCATAACCGGCCCCTGCCTTATGAACGGGTTTTCGTAAAAGAAACTCATGCATATTGATTGCTAAAATGCATTGTACATTGTAGTTAAATATTACTCCTGATATTACCTAATAACCATTATAGTTTCGGAATTTAATTTTCTCCATGTTATCGCTACTTGTGCATTCAAATGTTATAACCAAAACGGAGGAAAATCTTTTTCTGATTTCACGAAACACGCTAATGAACATTGTTACAGACTTGATCGTTAAGCAAATAGCAAGCTCTTGGAGTACCATTCAAAGGCAATGAAGTTTCTAAATTTTTCGAAGTCTCACATGTTTAGACTCAAAATGACATAATGGAAAGTTTCGAAATGTTAAAAATTTAAAATCGAAACAAAAAGACACGACTTTGTAATCAGAAGTAACATAATCGTGTAGGGAAATTTATTTTCAGATCTTCTTGGCTCACCTTGATTATTACGAAAATTTAATTAACATGAAACTAAATTACAGTGGAAAAAAGAAAGGACAAATTTTAGTCCTTTTGACACGTTTTAGAAAGTAATCGCAGCACTTAAAACGTTTCGGTGCAAACAACGTGCCTCAAATTTCTTTATAGGGTATACAGATACCAGCATACAATTTATAGTATATGGTGTAGTATTTATAGTATTATTGTATCAATCAAAGCAAATTACTAAATGAGTTATGTCAAAGGTCACTTACATGATCAACAGGAAGCTAGCTAAAGGAGTACGTAAATCAGCAACACAGATTTGCGAGCGGCTTATCACTAAATGCGATACGAAGGTATGGAAACGATCCACGAGCGAAGTCAAAGTATGAATGAACTGTGGAAGAGTGCCCTAGTATCCTTTTTTATAGCATACATGCACACTTGGAGAAACCACTGCAAGAGCTGAAAGGGTTCAACACAGGAAACAATAAGAAATCCAACCTCCAAAATTCCAGCAAATTACCAATTGTGGAGCCGCAGAGCCATAACCGTTAACACAGCGAGCGCTTACCAGGAATGAGCTGGGTGGGACGTCCTTATCGGTGCAGGGAATATGGCTCTATATTGCTTGCTGCGTACGAGGCAGCCAAAGAAGCGGATCCCGTGCGCCGGACTTACATTGTAAGTTGTACAGCGTGTTTCCATGTCGCTTATCAATTTATCCCAGCCGTAAATTAAACCCCACATGACTAGCTAGGAACAGATGGACCACCGCTATTCAATGCCACCATTGCCCTTGCTGACGTAATACTGTGCACGTTTTAGCGTTAGGGCATTCTTTCTGTGCAACGGATAGTTAAATCCTTTTCCGAATGTATTTGAATTGCATGAATTAAATGAGCCCCCGGTTTGATAAAGTGTATCAATTTTCACAATTACAGCGATGCATCCGCCGGCTCGGCAGCAGGGATCAACTAATCAAAGCTGATAAGTTGTTAGCGACGTTGGGGTTTTCCGTATTATCAAATTCTGATTCAGTGCGCTTTTAATTCAGTGCTTTTACAAGTGTTTCCCGCTCGTTGTTGTGTTTTTGTTATATACAGTAATACAATTTTATTTAGAACATATTTACTGAACACAAAAAATCGAAAACGCGACAATGTTTATCGCAATCGTGATATATGGATAACGATATCAAAGTTAACTGCAAAAAGTATGAACAACTGCATTAAACGCTTAATTAAGTGTGCCGGCCTCCGTATGGAAGTGTAGTCTTACTCACATACTGTATAGAAGTATGCGTTTTATCTGAACGTTGGAATAAAACTACAATGCGATCTTTTGCAAATTTTGTTTTTGAATTAATCTTTTGCATTGATAGTTTACTAATGGCACTTAGTGCAGCACTAACGTAGTGTTTCCGTGCCAATAATGAACTACACCAAATCTTCGAAAGTTTACAGTGGAAGCAAGTTTTCTCCTGAACAAAATTCTACTTGATTCTGAGAAATGGTCTCTAGCTTAAAAACTTTATTTTGCTGCTTGTGATATGGGCCAGTGGTCAGATCATAGCAGCTGTCATAATAATTAAAATTGTGTAAAGAGAAAACCGTAAAAAAATAGGACATGCCGTAACTGACGGTAAAAAAATATCTTAGCTGTATGAGTATCGTTTTGGTAAAAAACCTGCAGCTTTGCTTATAGTGATGATTTAAAAGAGTTTTTCCGTGGTAATATAACGTGCAAGTGTACAACCACCCTTACAAGACAAGACTAATTAAAAACTTTCATCTTCAATCTAAACCTCATTGTTACTGTAAAAGAGCTAATTTAAAAAGTTACCGTGGTAATTATTTTAAAGCTACAGCGTCTTTTTGTGAATAACTTCACTCCAGGAAATGCAAACAAATGAATTAAAATTGATTAAATATAGCCTAGTTATAGTAAAAGCTTCGGAGTTTCTTACGAAGATTGCTTTTGAAATGCAACTGTACATCTATAACGATAGGACCGATATAGTGACAACATTACTTTAAGTATTTTATGCCGTGGATATGAGAGCGCCATACAATGTCTTCTTTCTGATTCAAGTACAATATGATGTACTAGTGTTCGTATATAATATTATTAATTTCTCCATTAACAATAGTACAAGAACTTATCGGCTTGTCGCACAAAATTCTAGTTAAATAGGCTACGTTGTCGTCATCGTTCATGATCAGTATGCGGCCAAATGCAATACATTTTTCCTCCGTTAGAGCTTTCAACTAAAAACGAATTTATCGTTGAAATGCAGCCCGCGATGATAAAATTTAAAATCACGAGCTCAGCGGGTGGTTGTTTTCCAAAAACCTGCTGCAAGGAGAAAATTAGACATCTTCTAGCGTAACACCTGCAAAGGTCACGGATCAGGCTAACCACCCACCTTTCCCAGACCGTGCCCAGCATCAAATTTTCATCGTTACCAATTACTTTAAAAGCATTATCTATGAGAAGAACAATTCGGAGTCGTGGTATTTGTGAATGGAGCTCGAACATTCAACCATGCGTGATATTACAACAGCGCACCTTTATATTGTAAAGGCCCAGCAATTTTGAACGTATGATAGCATGTAAGACACCTTTCATTCAAACCTTTCTGCGTCATTCCTTATAATTAGCCGTGATCATCTTTCAGTAAAACTACCGCATTTAATATCTGCTTGTTTTTTCTGAGCTTATTAATATGATCAGTGCCAAGCCGGAAGGAAAACCTACTAAACAACATATGAATGAATAAACAAAATGATCATACTGCATCCCTGGAAAGTGTTCATGAAGACCAAATTCATTCAAAGCGACTAATTGCCCACTCGTGCATTGCTGATTGCTTGCTGTAATTCGTACAGTAGTCGCCTACGTGCAATTGTAATACGTATTTTATCGTCTGTAGACTACCGTCATTCAACATGCTTACTTTTATGAGAATTTTTGTTATACAACTTATATTTTGTCTATACAAATTAACTCGCCAATAAATTTTTGTTACAGTCCGAAGCCTATACCTTTTCGATTGATTGAGGAACTATAGTCCTCCATAAGATGCCGGCAATACGTAAATCTTCCTCACATTCACGTGCACTAGCATCAGCACTGTTTATACTCCTTTTGTCCATGTATCCGGTTTATCCCAGTACGCGTACACAAGATACGAGTAATACGTACTCACCATTTCAGGCTGATCTGCCAGATCGGAACTTTGAACTACTGCAAATAATTAAGAGTTCTAAAATTTAGCCTCCTTTACTAAATCTAAAAACTGAGTGATGTGTGTTTTTACGTACACTTTCGATCGTCCAACTCCAACCCCGAAGGAAGTAAAACCAGCTTAAAATAAATACCGAACAATAATTTTGTGTATAGCAAAACGAAAACTACGACGCCTTGTGAATAATAAAGGGTGTGTTCTCCTGGTTAATAGTGCGCGAATATCAATAGCCTTTACAGCCCGGACTTATTATACAATGCGTTTCCCAGCAAAGCCCCGCAGCATTCCTGTTTGTGTGTGACGTACACCGCATCTGACCGTGGTTCATGTAACAAAAACGGACGAAAACAGATGAGAATCGTACCGGAAACCGACAGACAATTATGCTTATCGGTCCGCTCGCCTAACAGCAGATGAAGGCTTGTCAAAAGAATTTTCAACACTCGTTAAAATGAGGATTATAACTAAGTCCCTTTACAATGAACTGCTTCCAGAATAAAACAACATTATAATACTGGTGCTCTTAAATGATTATCAGAATTCCAAAGAACCGTCTATGGCGAAAACAGTGTCCCAATGCCCGGTTTCTTGAAAATGTCACTTCACATACGTTGTATAACCGCATTCGAGACAAACAGTTAAGCCATTATCATGTCTGCTATACAAAAAAAGTGGAACATTACTCGTTAGATGAATATTTTTACTGGTTTTCAATAAAAGACGTTTCTGATCTTCTTCATTTATTCAACTTACAATAAGTTCTTAAATTTAATGACCAAAATTATACTAAACGAAAATTTCTAAACTCCGAATTCGTAGAATAATTTGCATGGTTAGAAACGGCAACACAGAGTATAAAACACAAACGTAATTATTTTCAGATGTAATACGAAATAGTTTGAATTAGGGCGTTCACAGGCGCATTGAACCGAGCTGCGGGAACGACGCTTTATCGGAAGATGGCAGCAAAAGTTTTCCCTTCGTGACCGATTTCAGATGCCGGTTGATCATGGTACGAAACATAAAATCTGAAATATAAAAGAAAATAAGCGAAAACAGATCAAACAATTACAATCCTTAAACCAGCACCAATCCTTGCACTCATGGCACTACGACAACCGGTTATGGAATCATTCGGGTACATAACTGCGTTTTAACATGCGCTTATAAAGCATAGAGATCAAGATCAACAACGTACAGTTTGAAAATGCTTAAAATAAATATGAACTTGCAACCTTGCAACTGCCAACGTAAGCGTGACCAGCAAAACCTACTACTTTGGAGAACTGTGTAGTGAACGGAGAAAATGCAAACATGCACAACAACAACAAAAATTAGCAAACAATTTTTCTTAGAGGCCCTGTGTTGTTCAATCTTTGTTGCTGATTCCAACCTAGCAAACTTCTGCAGTTGACCGCAAGCATTTTCACTATAAAGTGTATAGGAAGTTACCGCTTAATAAAAACGGCAAATTAAAGCGCAGACATATTACCTATCACCAGGAATGCCCAGTTTCTTCTCGATAAAGTCAAAGATGGCTTTGGAATGTCCTTCATTTTTGTCCCCTCCGATGGCGCCGATTGAGACCAACACGGCATATCCACACGGATCAGTGGTTCCCGCAAACGACATGATCTGATCCGGTACGACATGGATGCACAAATACTGCAACACACCATACGTATGTCAGCTGACACACAATTCGAATTCAAATTAATTTTGAGTCCCTACCTTCACCGGTTTTCCAAGGATCTTGGCCAGCAGATCCGTCAATTCCTGGCAGAAGTTGGCCGGAATCTTGGCCTTGGGCAGATTTGTGTTCAGCTGGAAAGTTGGCATGGTGGATGTGTGGTCACGGAAGACTGCAAATTAGTAGAATGTCCGAAAACAGGAGACGATGCGTGGAATCTAGCAAAAGTTACAGAGCAAATGCACACCTGGATTTCCTGTTTGCAGACTGCAACCTGATGATAACGGGGCGTCGGATGGATACGTGTTTGAATAAATAATAATCGGAAGAAAATCTCACTTGGTAGAAACAGCTGATTATGCTGACCGAGGCGAGCATAGTTAGCGGCAATACACCCCTATCACCATACAAACGACAAAAACCATACGAACGCTTATTAATAAAACGAATATAAATTTTTTTAACTTTCCTGAATTCATTTATAAATTTGGTAGAAGTGATGAAATTCTTTTGCCACGGTTGTATATCATAGTCGCAAAAGAAAAAAACAACACAGGCTACACAGCGATACTTCCTTTATATGATTACTCGAATACTGCCTATGTCTTCAGCGCGCAACTCAACAGATGCTCGTTGCTTTCCAAATCTCATAGCTTCGTAATTAGGTAAACGTAAAATTGCAGCTGCCTAATTACAATACTTACCTTCATCTACATATCCATGTACTTTAGTTTTAGAGCAACTCAGCTGCAACTGGTACTTAAATTTACATTTATGTGAGATAATCGACATCCGTTGATGCCTTGATGGATATACAAGTGCCGCTGGTCAGCTCGAGTCTGCGACCCGAGGAAGCTTACGTTCAGCTTTTAGATTCTTTGCGATACTTGGAGCAGGTATCCGACGATGTATTCTCCAGGATTGAACGCAAGACCGCTGAGCAGCATCTCCGCTTACAGGTAAGAAACGTTTCTGCACTGTTACTTCTTTAAGCCACAATTTATGGATGCTCCTCCTGGCTCCAGGCCGTCAACAATCGACTGGCTGCTGCTGAAGCGCAGATCAGCCACATCAAAGGCAGCAAGAAAGCCATTCGAGTGTTCGCCGCGCCGTCCTTTCCTGCCAGCGATCAACCTGCAACGTATACTTCCATTTTCTCAGAAGAATCCCCAGCTCTAGCCGAGCCTCTGCGATCCAATACGGCCATACGCTCGAGATTTTCCCGTGACGTGAAGCCGCCGCAGAAGATTGAAATTCTTCCCTTGGTGGCTGCTTTGGATCCTGGCTTGCATTTTGACGAGCCACCGCGCGATGTCGGACTGGGCAAACTGCCTAATACCGTCAAAAGCGTCAGCAGTCTCTTGTTGTTCAACAGCGACCAGAATCCGTACAACCGACACATCGCCATAGATCCGCTGGGCGGAACAGGCAAGAGTCGTCGCCTGGCTGAACCCGAAGTGCAGACGCCGTCGCTTGACGCCGCTCCCGCCAGCTTCACACAGTTGGATGTAAATCAGACGAAGGACGATTTAAGTTACATCCCGGGATTTGGCGACGTACCGGAGTTTGTGTTGCCTAATATGCTACCGGATCTTCCAGGTGCTGAACACTTGAAAATGAGAAAATGCTACGCAATACAAATATTAGTACCTTTTTTATCTCATTTTTTGATACTGGTAGCTGGAAGTATCGTACCTTGCTAATTTGTTTATGACATTCTTTTGCTTGAAATTGCACATTTCGACAATTTTGCATTTCACTGATGGTAAAACGCGAATTTGAATTTACGAGTTAATGTACCAAACGTAAGCTCCGGAAATGGTTTGAAAATCACGTAGAAATCCACGACAAAGGAAAATCACTTATGAATTCCTGGTTATTACGTTGAGCTGTTTTTATAGGTGTTGTTGAAGACTTTGGATTTGGTGAGCTGAGCGACGATTTCGGCGCCGCAATTCCTGCTATTGGAGCTTTTACCTTGGAAACTCCGGTACAAAAGACCGCTCCGGAATGGCCGAAAGTTGTTGCTGTTCCGGAAGCTCCACCCCGTGCGGTGGTTAGTGCTCTTCCGCCCATTCCCGGAGCCACACCTCCGCCTCCACCGCCCGCACCGGCGCCTGTAGCTGCGGGTCCTAAACCACCGGCCCCACCACCACCTCCGCCTCCAACTGCGCCCGGTCCACCTCCGCCACCACCGCCAATGGCCGCTACATCGGATTCAGCGGCAGCGGGCGGCAATGTGCCAGTTATGAATGATGCTCGCAGTAGTTTGCTGGAAAGCATCCGTGCGGCGGGTGGAGCCGGTAAAGCCAAACTGAAGAGTGTCAAAGAGCGGAAGCTGGAGCAGAAAAAGAAGAAACAAGAGGAGAAAACAAAAGGTGGGGGAAAACCTAATGAAACGAATGGTTTTCATTGTTTCACCACTGTAGTTTTGTCTGGTATCTAGCCTTTACGTTATTGCCAAATTACTGCTTGTAGCGATAATTGGTAAATGAATTAATTGCGCCATTGTAGCTGTTTCTGGAGGAGGCGATTTGATGGATGACCTTAAAAGCCGTCTCACAAACTTGAGGAAGGGCATATCTGCCGGCAAGAAAGGCGGCGATGAAGAAAGCAGTTCATCACGACCCGCTAATTCTGGATTCAATAATGCTGCTATGAATCGAGTGTCCGATTTGATTCCGCATTCCCCGACAGTACCCAGCAAACCTCATGAGGACAACGAAGAATGGAGTGATTAGTGAAACATTCTTGGACGTAGCATATTTTGATTGTGCCTGTGATTCGTTGAAGGTAATAGCCGATTTATTGAATTTTTCCAGTGGAAGTTTTAATTTTTTACTGTTATGATGTAATTGCTGAGTGACTTGGTCATGTTCGTAATTTTCATGAATGATTAACGTTGTTAGTTATTTCCTGATATTGTTATCTGGAGTTAAACATGTTTTGTGTCCAGTTATTGACAGTGTAGCTAAATTATAATAAAATTTGTTAAATTACCGTGGAATTAATTTGGCATTGTATTTTGTTTCGCGATATAATGCTTTTCTTTTTCGGTAAAGCAAAGTAAAGCTTCTCGGGTTGCAAAGTAGACTTCAATAGGGTTTATCCAGTAGCTCGTTTTTGCTGTATGATTTATTTCCGGCATGCATGCAGGTCGGATTTCTTATCCTTTCCGTTTTTGCAATGTGGATCATTTCAGCAACTGTAGCAACTGTAGAATGTTGTCATTAAACACTTTGTAAGTGCACTTCGCGCGATGCTGTGGCTCAGTCGGTTTTCCTTTCTGTTATTTTGGGTACTTATTTTATCGAAAGTCCTGTGAAATTACTGACAATTAGGCCTTCTTCTTCCGGCTTCCGGCATTTCTGAAACTTTGTGGTAGCATCATTTTATCCGATTTGCTACACCTTTGTTTTACAGCAGTTGTGTTTTGTTAGGCAAATATTTTTTGACACTTCTGGTATACTTGCCATAAATGCTACATAGCCCTCACAAGAGTCAAAAAGTTTCAGACTTGTATGTTATATAGATATTGTGGATTTGTAAAGATATTTGTGGATTTTTTTCGTATTAGAAATGACAGCCTTTCTAATACGAAAATGCAACCAAGTACGAGTAACAGTGGAAAGTATAGAAAGAAGGCAGCATTGCGTGCCACATTAGTAATTATTATCTGTGGATAATGCTAGGGTAGATATTGTGCTATCGTGTGCTGTCGCCGCATGCAACGGGAACGGGAGAGACACTGTTTAACTGCGACGGACAAAGGCTGGTCGATGGTTGGTATATCGGGTCGTATATGTGTATTGTAAGTGTATGACTGTATACTTTCAGGTAACCTGCCGCACAGTTAATCTCAAAGCGGATCGATCACCGGAAGACCATGCTTGTTGGAGCATCCCCGACCGGTGTAGCCGTGTAGCTGTGGAGTGGAAAGCAAACATGCGGTAACAGCGCCTGTTTGTTGGGAGGTATTTTCGGGAACGTTCACTCCAGCGCATAGACTGCATGTTCAACCAGCGTACGAATGCCGGTTCAGCGGATCCGCCGTGGCTGCGCTACCTGGCTGAATGACGTGATCATGAGTCGATATTCATATTTTGTCCATATTTGAAGGTCTAGTTCAGTTCAATACAGGATACAGGAACGAGGAAAGTGCAATGCTGAAGGTCCACGAGAGTGGCGTAGGACTCGTTGCCATCATCTTCCACTTCAATTAGACGAGCTGCGTTATTGTCTGAGCATTGATTTTGAACAATAGGAATGGACACAGTGCAGGATAACGTACGCTATACCATAATCTACCGTGACAACGGATAATCTCCTGAAAGTTACTCCACGTTGACGGACCAATTCCTTTATTGTTTCTTCTGTAACAGTAAGTGTGTTTAACAAAATAATCGTTACTGTCAAGGATCATACATAATAAGAGCAAATGTTTTGCGGTTTCGAAATTCGCTAAGGATCTACGATAACCAAGTAATCACTAAATAATGTACGAGTACTGTATTTATAACGCCGAAATCGTATTGGGAATGCAATTCCACTTTGTAGTTTGTACAGATAATGCGCATTACGATTTATTTCACATTTTAATTGTAAGAATTTGGATGACTAATTAGGGGACTGTACAAAAGATATTTTCAAAGACGATACTATTGTATTCTAAATTTCTAATCATGAACAACAGCTCCAGACCCAAACTCAAGCGGCTGTTGTAAAGAAACAGCTGTATTGCGGCGTTAGGATTTAAAAAAATACTAAAATAAACTATCAAAAGCCGTTGTTTTAAACAAAATTAATTGCTAGATTTAGCCACGGGTATGACAAAACCGGAAAGGTATGAAAAAAATCTTCGTCCTTTGTCGCGTTACTAAAATGTCAGCAGTAACATGCCGACAGCAGGATATATTGATTGTAGCTGGAAATGATAATAGGTATATGCAGTATCGAAGCTGCCCTCATAGATATACAATTGCGTTTCCGTTCATTATTCTGACCCTGCAAAGTGAGAATTTTCTTGTTAGATCATATATGAGACCGTATTTCATCGTCGGGATGGTTGTTGCACAATTTTGTTAGCGGAACGCGGGAGTTAATAAGAAGACTCGAATTAAGCGCTTCAGTTTGATTTCCTCGTTTTCACACTTTTCTGATTTCAGCTGTCGATTAGCGTGCCATGACTGGAGCACCGGCTGCCGTTGGCCCAACGCTGGAAGTGAAGGATCCTTATAAAATCGGACCTTTCAAGTAGGTGTCTGTTTGGCTTGGTCATAAACGGCATTGATCTATTTGTATGGATTGTGTGTTCTTAGATTCAATCCACAATGGGTGCAGAAACCATATTCGGACAGCTACTTTAAATGGCTCATCGTCATATCCTGCGCCGTGTGGTACAACCTGATATTGACCCTTCCACGTGCCGTGTTCCACGAGATACACGAAGGCAATCAGTTGTACTTCTTCCTTTTCGTCGATTATCTCTGTGATTTGTTGTATCTGGTGGATATGGGAATAAAGACTATTACAGGCACGTCGATTATAAGTGTTAGCATTTACTGTTTAATATTGCATTAACAGTGCACCTGCAAGAAAGAAACATTTTCGTCTTGCTTTAAGATAGTAATTAATGTCTTGTGTATGTTACTGTATTATTATATACACTTGCTTAATTGCAATCTTTGCCGTTTGTAGGTTATTTCGAAAACGGTATACTTATAAAAGAACCACGGAAGCTGATGGCCGCGTATAAGAAGTCCAGCACTTTCATCTGGGATATAATCAGTATACTGCCGACGGATTTGTTTTATTTTTTAACTGGCTGGTACGCGCCATACCCCATACTGCGGATTAACAGAATCTTCCGCTTGGGTCGCACGCATGATTTCTATTATCGCGCACAGACGCGTTTGGATTCTCCCAATACGTTTCGCCTCATATATTTGGTAGGTCCTTTTTGCAGGCTTTGAAATAAGCTTACAACATGCGGCGTATGATTCAATCGTGGATCGTCTTGTCACTTGTCACGTATTTCGTCGAATGTGCTATGATCATCAAATTGTCATATTGCAGATTCTGACGATGATCGTCGTTGTGCATCTGAACGCCTGTGTGTACTACTGGGTCAGCTCACAAGTCGGCATCGGTTCCGACCGGTGGGCGTATCCCGGCCGGGCCGGTTGGCGTTATGCGGAGCACGGTGGTGGTCACGGCGGTGGACACGGCGCGGCTCATGGCGGACACGAAGGCAACGCCACAGAAGACCTTTCCTTGGACCATAACGAACTGGCGCACGATCTGGGTTTCGCTCACGGAGTGGAGAACGGAACGGACTCTGGCCATCTGAACGGCAGTCTCAGTCACGCATTCCCTCTCGAGCTCGACCACTTGGATGCCGTTCATCACCGAGAATGAAACATTAGCGCGGCCGGTGATGATCACTCACACTCGGAACACGGCACGGAAACGCATGATAACAGCCACACAACAGAAGGATCGCATCTCCAGGACGATAGCGCAACTGTTCCCCCCGATAAGTCCGCATTGCATCATGACGATAGCGAAGTTCTGCCGGCTGATCACAAGCAGTCCAAGTTGAAATATCTCATCGCTGATTCACCGAAGAGTATCGCGGCCGAATCACCATGACTTTCCTTCAATGTCAACCGTGCCGCACCTGGTGTCTCATGCTGAGCGGATGCGACGACAAGTTGTTCTGGCGCATAAGGAAACCGATATCGATTTTCCCGGATCACTCAACAGTTCAACAACGGCGCACGTCTCGGTGACGATTCGCGGAGGCAGTGAGCTGGGACATGTCGATTTATCGGTTACGGGATTCGCCGGCGGTCCGACCAAGATGAATGTGGAGCGGTCAACCGCCCGCGTGGCTAGTGCCGGTCTGACGTCAACGGACCGTCCGACAACTGGCCAATCAGCGCGCACGACGATCATCGCGGCGAGCGTGCGGTTGGCTAGCTCGTTTCCTGATTTGCCGGGTTTCCCGAATCATCATTCGACGGATTCGTTTGCCAACAGTGTTAGTCGTACGATGAAACGAAGCTTACCGGAAAGTACGGTCACGCATACACCTGCCAGAACAACAACGAGCAAACTGCATTTGTCGTTGGACAACGCCCATGCGGCACAGGAATCGACCTGACGCCGCAGGTCACGGAAAATCCATTAAAAGCTCTTGAACGGCGGATGCAGGAGGAATTTGATCAGAGTACTACAATTCTACCACAAACTACTGCACCTACTACCGGTACCACCAATGGAAACGTGCAACATGAAACGAATCACAATCCCAAGAGCGATACCTCGCACCAAACGGCCAATGGGGAATCACATGCCGATGGGAAAACAACTGACACTGAAAGTGCCAGTCGCACACAAGAACATACAGGCTCACCAGCGGAAAACCATGAGAGTGTCAGCGGAGCCGGTGGGCACGCTGCGCAGGGACAATCGGCATCGGGGAATGCCGGCGGTGTCGATGAAAATCCCCGTGAGTTGAACATGTTGGCTGCGTCATGCGGATAGAGCGTTCTGAATAGAACGTAATTGAATGTTTATTTGCGTGTTAATGGTTTGAAAGATTGGGACTCCTCTCACGCACTTCTGCATATTTTAGTTATTATTTAATTCATGTTCGAAATGCCAGTTAATATGATTGACACATAGTGGAACTCGTGTGCGTGGTTTTCCAGTGATATCGTTCTTGATTTTTGCAGCTAATGCACACGGAACAAGTCATGGAACGGCAGGAACGCCACAATCTCCACAATCGCGGTCTGATGATTCCCAGAACCAGCATTCAGGTAAATATATGAACACATAAAGATATGACCCTTTTGGTCAGTCCCGGTGCAGCGATCAGCAAAATCACACAGTTACAATAATCTTCCTGCGGTTAATAGTACCAGTGATTTTCCAGTTGGAATCAGCTAGTATTTATGGGATGTATTTCTTTCTTTAATCGCATACAGTAATTAACGAGTAAAACTGCTGTGGAGTTACTGAAACGCGTGCAGCGGTGGAGTTACTGAAACGTTTGCCATATTAATTATCCGAATTTTATTTTATAGAGGGTCAAGCGTCCGAAACCCATGGATCGTTTGCGGACACGGGAAACTCTTCAGGTTGGTGGCGAAAAATTACAACAGATAACCGCTGCTCAGTGCTCACTAGTCACAAAAAACAAATAGACCCTTTTTGCAACTGCTCCGCTTGTGCCGTTGTTGACCTTTCTATATGGAGTACTGCTGCTGTACACACCCTGTGCAGCTTGTTGTGTGTATATGGTTTTTTGGAAATATTTACGTTGATTAGCAGCAAGTCTTTTTTTTGGAGTTGCACTTAATAGAAATCATAGCAGCTTAAAAAGCGCTTGATTTTGAAGGCTTTTTATTTTTTTAAGCCTAGTTTACTCCACTTACCACTTTCGAACAATGCAGGTGATCATGGAAATACACATACAGAAGACACTACTGGTCACGGTGAATCGAGCGCCCATGCACAACCAGGAGCGCACGATAACGGATCCGGTCCAACCGAAGGCAGCGGTCACGGAGAGTCAGGGACACATGGTAGGGCCGATCATGCCGCTGGGGATCACGCAGAAGCGAGTGGGCATGGTCAGTCAGATACTCATGGCGGAGGAGGCCATGGCGACAGCGCAAACAACGCACATAGCGAGGGAAGCGGCCATGGAGAAACGACGGGGCATGAAACTGGTGGACATGGTGCTAGTGCTCATGGTGAAGGAAGCGGTCACGCATCCGATAGCCATGGCGCAACCGGCGGTCATGGCGAAGCAGATCATGGAACAGGAGCTGAACATGGTAGTGCCGAACACGGCAGTACCGGGCACGGAGAAGCTGGCGGACATGGTGGAGGAGGGCATGGAGAAGGAGGTCACGGGGCCGGTAGTGGGCATGGGGCGGAAGGTGGGCATGGAGGTGGAGAAGGAGGCGGAGAGGGAGAGGGAGGGGGCCATCACAAGCCGATCGTGATTAGCGACAAATTTCTCAACGATACGCTGCTGCAGAAATACTCGTACTGTCTCTACTGGTCGGTAAAAATGATGACATCGAAACCGTACGAATTGGCCAACCCCACCACCACCAACGAATTCCTCTTTCATATCTTTGACGCTTTCTTGGGAATATTTATGTTCGCTAGTATTGTCAGCGAGGTCGACGGGATTATTGAACGCATCAACAAGGCTTCCGACGACTTTAAGGAAAAACTGGATTCCGTGAAGCAATATATTAGTATGCGCAAGGTAATTACTACGTTAAACGTTGCTTACCATCAGTTAGTAAAGAAGCGATGGACATATGTGAGTTAAGCTGTTTATTAAATTGGTTATGCGTTTAACTAGGAAGTAGTGTCGTGAGGGTAAATATGAGAACTTGGGAGCGTACATAAGCAGAACTATAATGTTATGCGTTATTATTTAAAGGTGGGACGTGAAATGGAAAGTCGCGTGGTGAAATGGTTTGATTATGTTTGGGCCAATAACGGATCACTGGACGAAGATTCCGTTCTGGCGGTATTACCGGCGTATCTCAGGATGGAAATCGCTCGCTTCGTCCATCTGGACGTCCTGAAAAAAGTGCCTATATTCCAAGGAATTGATGAGCAGTTTTTGCTGGAACTGGCCGAGAAGTTGCGCTTTGAGGTGAGCCTCTCAAACATTAGTACACTGTGGCATGGGCCATTTCTGATCGATTATTGCCTTATCAATTATTTTTCAGGCATTCTGTCCGGGGGATTACGTGTGCCGGAAAGGTGACATTGGCCGGGAAATCTATGTGGTACGGCGTGGTCTGCTGAATGTGATTGCTGCGGATGGAGTGAAGGTGATTGTGACGCTGAAGAGCGGTGTGGTCTTTGGCGAATTAAGCCTCCTCAACGTCCCTGGCTCAGCTAACGGCAATCGGCGCACCGTCACGGTCCGGACCGTGGGCTACGCTGACCTGTTTAGTCTTTCCAAAGAAGCCTTCTGGACGTGTCTGGAAGAGTATCCCGATGTTAAAGAACAGCTTATGGAGAAAGCTCGAAAGATCCTACAAAAGGACAATCTGTACAATGAAGAAGCGGCCCGGGAAGCTGCCCGCCGGGGGCGGAATTTTGAGGAGGTAGCCGGTCGACTGGAAGAGAATCTGGACGTTATGTCACGGCGCTTAATGCGCTTCTGGCAGGAACAGATTGAGATTAATCAGTCGCTCCTCAGTAAACTGGAGCGATTAGAGACACTGCGACGACAGCAGCGGAAGAACCAGACTAAAGTGCGCGAAGTGGGCGATTTGTTGGACCTGTCGCAGGATATAACCGGCGCTACGGTTGCGCCGTAACTGTCATTATTCTGTGCGGGAAATGCAGGCATTGGGTCGTGCTTTCTGGACACAAAGTGTCCGTAGGGCTTTACAACATACCTGTCATTTTTCGGAATGCGTTTTTTATGAAACGCGTTACGAATTTGTATAAATTTCGTTACCGGCATGTTTTAAGCTTGCAAAAAATTTAGGTTATGAAATTTACTACTGTCTCATTTTTTCATGGTAGAAGCTTTTTCTGTACGGAAGTACAGTTCATAGCTACGGTACTCGTCAGTCGTCACTGATTTTACAAGAAAAAGGAAACTTGTGGATGTAATCCGGAAGTCAGACATTTTGTACTGACAATACACTTTCGACCGGGGTAAAATTAATTTAAAAGCAAACATACAGCAAACACAGCATGAGTACGCACTGATTTTGTGCAAGGCCAAATATACCAATAAACTCGCCTACTCACGTTGCAAGAAATTTTTGACATCATCCTTTTCCGGGCACTATGATCGTTTATGTAAATCAGTTGTCGCCACAAATTAATGTATAGAATGCGCTTATGGAAGGAACTATGCTTAAACACCCAGAAACCGGCATAAATATAATTAAGCAAAAGAACTCTACGTACAGTAAGTGTCTGGTATTTACATGTCGGTGAGTAACTCGCTTATATGGATACAATAGGTTATAACTTCTGATCAGAATACTTTTTATGATTACATGTACGCTGCTCAAGTAGCCGTTTAGTTTTTGATAAAAAATTTCGTTCTGAAACTTCCTTTAATCGATACGAGCACAAGTCTTATCTCACAATATAGATATAAGTAGACATAATAAAATGTCTCGCGCAAACACCTATCGTATGACCCATGATGTGGTACTCGTAATTCGCCGTTATTGCGCTTGGGAAGAAAGTGGGTATCGTATAGAGAAATAAGAAAATGCAGGGAAGTTCATCACATTCCTACTTTAGCCTTTCAAAAACAACTCACCACATATTTGTACCGCTCAGAATTAAGACAAATATATTGCACAGTGACAGGGACATTATTATGTCGTGCAACCTTCTGGCACACTTCGTTGTCGCATTCATGTGCCGCGAATATAATGATATTAATATTGGAATGTGGGAGATTTCAATATACATAATATGAAGTGCTTGTAGTGTGTTGTCAGTGGGCTGCGTCGCAAGTGTTTATTAACCTCACGGCACAGCAATATATATATATGTATTGTATGTGGCCATGGGCGTTTGTGCACGTAACCTTTAATGCGGAATACCGGTGTTGTGGCTGTTGTACAGGTAGCTCGCCGGTTGGATCGATATTGACTTTGACATTCGGCTGGTTCCCACTTATATCCATCGTCAAAAGAGGAGAGTCAGGACGATAAAATAATGGAATGAACGAGCGCATGGACGGTCTATTCAGCGCAGGTATAGAATATTACCAGCACACATATTGCTGCCAGTTGGCACAACGCCAAAAACCATCCCTACAAAAGACAACACCTCAACCCCAGTCGATAAAACAAATCTAATAACATGCCTCATCGTGACGCAATCCTTATCGACTTTTCCTTCCAGCCAGCGTTTCCCATGTAGAGCAGGTATAACGCAGTTGCGCACAAGTTACACGCTCGAGCATGTTACGGTGAAACGTTAAAGAGGGAAAGTCAATCCTGCGGACCGATTTTATTCCGGATCTACCGGAACAGCGAATGAGGCCTTTTCTGTAACCGAATACGTCCCGTGGAAATAATTTGCCTTACTCTTCTGTTTGTAAATGCCAGTAATTATACCGGCTACGGAAAAAGCTTTTAATTTGAACATAATTTCGTTACGTCCACATACGTTGTTACGTCTGCCGTAAAGGTATAAATTATAATAATTGCAGCCATGAGCAGGATCAATAGTTGTGTACCAGTTTTATAACTATGGGATACGTGAATGATTGTTGAATGTGGATATGCTACGGTTATCCCAGCAGCGCAAATGGCTTATGCTGACGCTTTCCCATTGTAATCACCAGTATGATGAGGACATGATAACGCTGGCGGCGTATAACGAGCGATTTCGATGGCAGAAGAATCTGACGTTAACAATATCCCTGCAAATGAAGATGCTCGATCTGAAAATCCTCAGGCCCTACATGATCATCATCATCAGTCGTTTTTCGGCGTCGCGCTTGTTGTCAGGCTTCTTGTGCTGGTAAATAATAATGACATTTAATTTTACGTAATTATTAGCGCTCTTTATCCCAATCGCTAACTTTGCCTAGCGTGGACAAAACTGGACGCGCTTATTAGTCATGTTAAACTGCTAATACGAATAGTTCATATAATTTCAAAACAAAATTTTATACTAAATATGTTTTCTACTTTTCTTGAATCTTAATTCTTGCCCGCGAGTCTGCTGCTTCGGGAAGGAGGTCGAGAAATGCTTGTAGCGCACAAATGCAGGAGAGATACGTAGGTGAATTTTTACCTATGGGCCTATGGCTAAGTGATGTAGCGGGAAAACCAGGTTAAGAGCGAAATAGATACTGTTCACTGGCGGCACCACTGTACAAGAAACGGAAAATTATAATTTTTAACTAAATATATTTTTACGTTGTTGTCTTAGTTTGGGCTTTTTTAAAGCATTGTAGAAGCAAAATTTATTGGTCACCTTGCAGGCTGCTCGCCGACGACGGAATAGGAAGGTGCGACCGGACTTGGACCCTGACGCTGTTACGGTTGATCCCGTGGCCGAGCCAGTTCAGTTTCACGAGCAACTTCCTGAAGCTGACCCTTACGCATTACGATGGGGATTAAGGTGATCCGTATATATAACTTTGCTCTAATGACGCAAATATTCATTTTGCATCGATATAATCACATCTACGCAGATAATTGCGCATTATAAAATGCTACTGACGATTACCGCCAGTGGCTCTGTACATTGCTCCATTGTAGAACAGCCAACTCGTAATCAAATTCAATTATCACCTGCCAGTGTATTTAGTTAACAAGTGTTTCATGTAGGTTTAATCCTAAATGGGTGTTAAAACCGTGGTGGCGATCTTATTTTTTCTGGCTGATGATTGTATCGGGCGCGGTGATGTACAATCTGCTCATAATATTTCCCCGTGCGGTTTTTGAACAAATGGAGAATTACAATACATACCGGATAACCTGGATTGTCCTGGACTATTTCTGTGATGCACTTTATCTTTGTGATACGGTCATCAAATTTTTGACAGGTAGAAGGATAATACATCTGTGTTTTAAACTTTTAATGATATCATGCCACTTTGCATCGGTTTATTTCTGCCCCACATCAGCAGTTCACTTAAACATATATCGAGTTCATCATAAATGTTTACCGACTCTTAAGTAACTGGGCAGCTGCGGTAAAGTCAACATTAATTTTATTTCATAAACTATTGTACACCTTCATGCTTCACCATAATTTATGTCAGCCATTCGGTTGAATTAAATTTTGCTCAGAATTATCTTCGCTCCTGCTCTTTTTCTGGTTTATAATAATCCACCGCGCACACATATCTTCGCTTAATCCGCGTTTACGAGCTTTCGTATTTTATTTCGTAATAGATTTAAAGTTGACTGTACGTTACGGTAGCAAAATGAATTAATTTTGATGAGAATGAAATAACTTTTGTTTATATAAAATAACAGCTCCACTAATGATTATGCAGAGTGTAGAAGTTTTTGCACTTAATTTTTCTAGTGTAAGCAATTGAGTAAGGACTATACGTTGGTAAGCTGTGTCTGAGTAGAACACATTGGTGAAATTCGTAGAACACGTCGACATGATATGGTGTCTTAAATAAAATATACATACGCTACCGTTTCCTTACAGGCTACCTCGAGAACGGCATAATCGTCCGAGAACCTCGCCGGCTATGGGTGAAATACCGGTCTAGTCGAGATTTTAAGTTGGATTTAATCAGCATACTACCAACTGATTTCGTTTTCATCTACACCGGCGAGCGTGTCCCATGGGTAATTCTTCGTGTGAACCGTCTCTTCCGGCTACCTCGCCTCGCTGAATTTATTTATCGAGCCGAGACGAGATCTGATTATCCAATATTCCTGCGGATATCCGTTCTTGTAAGCAGTGCGATCTGGACAGATGTCGACGTCAATGCTCGTTATATGAGCGCTGAATTATAAAAAATTTTCCTTTCTTCACAGATAGGGTCCCTTTTAGTCATCACGCACATTAATGCATGTCTCTACTATTACGTCAGCTGTCAACTTGACCTCGACCAAAGAGATGGCTGGAAATATCCAGGTATGTGTACGAACAACAAAGTGCTCAATTTTAAACAACTATACGTATAATTGTCAATCGTAACTCTGTAAGCATGATTAACGAGTATGCGCTATAATTATGATACTGTTAAGTTTAATTATCATGCAATAAGATTTATTTGAAAAACAATTGCGCACACGGCAAAGTATCTGTACATGTAGTTTGCCGGATCAGATGTCAGTTACAGTATAATAGAATATTTGTTTTCAAAAAGTAGTTCGTTCCAGAGTCTATCACACTGTCTGCTCTTACCGTAGTTTAAAATAAGTACTTATATTTTCATTGCGTTTTGATGTAGCAGTGTCAGTTTTTTAAATGAGACGTTATAAGGAGTTCTCTAACCGAAAGCACTTCCTTTTAGGCACGGCGAGATGGAACGACACCCTATCCCACTACGACGACACGCTACAGCAGAAATACATCTTTAGTTTTTACTGGTCAGCGATGCTGTTAACGTCCATTTTACCCAATATGAATAACCCGCGCACTACGGCCGAAATTTTCTTTCACTGCATGGAGATCTTTGCCGGCATGTTGATTTTTGCCACCATCGTGGCCCGAATCGGTGGGGAAATAGCTAATATCAGCCGGAAACGCGACATCTTCCGGCGGAAAGGCGAAGGTGTCAAGGCTTACATGAAAGTTCACCGGGTATGTGCTCAGGCGATTGTGCGAAATTTTATGACGTACAACCTGTGATCCGACATTTTATTTTGACTGCAGGAAGTTGGGGAAGATCTGGAGACACGAGTTGTTAAATGGTTCGATTACATCTGGTCGACGAAGCAGGATTTAGATGAGGAATCCGTCCTGACGCTGCTGCCCACCAAACTCAAAGCAGAGATTGCCCGTTTTGTGCATTTTGAAGTACTAAAACAAGTACGGCTATTTCATGACGTGGAGGACCAGTTTCTGGAAGAGCTGGTGCTGAAATTAAAATTCGAGGTAAACGGATGTATGTATTGCATACCGGTGACGTCGAATACGTCGTTCTTGCACAAGTCTACAATAGCAACGGCGTAAATCAATACTGCAATATTAATTCTGTATAGCCCTTCAGTCCCGGCGACTACATCTGTCGGAAAGGCGATATTGGAAGTAAGTGAAAGAGTAAACGACAAGTATCATCCCTAACCGGTGCAAAGTGAACAGCTTTCAAGCTTTCTATAACAAGTTGACCTTAGTAATCATAATCAATGCGCCAATTTCAAAATACATTTAACAAAATAAGTACGGTGCATGATTAAATGTTTTCTGCAAACTGTTGAATTTTTTCTTGTAAGTACTTAATTTCGATTTCGGTGGTGGCTTCTTTGGTCATGAAATAATACATCTACAATTCTACACGTCAAATTGTGTCGCGCAAGATACCATTACCTTTTAGCAAATTAAAATAGGTATTATAATTAAAAAAATAAGAAAGCGTCTTAACAAGTATAATTGAACAACCTCTTTGTGCAGGACAAATGTACGTTGTTCGACGTGGAAAACTGAGCGTTGTGTCAGATGACGGTACGAAAGTCTTCGCCACACTGGCCGCCGGAACAGTTTTCGGTGAATTAAGCATTTTAAATATTCCGGGAAGTAAAAACGGCAATCGCCGCACCGCTAACGTCCGCGCTGTGGGCTATGCTGACCTATTCAGTCTGTCAAAGGAAGATCTATGGGATGCGCTCAAAGAATATCCCCAAGTTCGGGACAACCTCCTGCACAAGGCCAGCACAATACTGCATCGTGACGGACTGATTGACGACAGTGTTGCCGAACAGGCCCGCCGGCAGGAGCGCGATTGGCCCGCTGTCACTGAGACCATTGAAAAAGGCCTGGAAAATCTCAACCTCCACATGCACAAATTTCTTAACGATTACTTCGAAGCTATTAGCAATTTGAACAAGGAACTATCCGAGCTGGAATCTCGTAATCACGGCATGTTGCACCGCAGTCATAAAAGTCATTCAAGCGAGCGGGGGATCGGCGCCGATTACGTTCAGCCGGCGATATTTTTGCGGATGACTTAGCCGAGCCATTTCCGGTCGACATCGTGGATGTTTCGTTCCGTTAATTATCCGAATCACACCGATAATAATCAAACCATTCCGTCTTCTCAAAAACTCTTAGAACTTCTTTCCTTTTACACATGCCCTGTAACACTGTACCAGTTTTTTTGCTCACGAGTTCCAAAAGACTACTTTTTGCCGCTACCTGTGATACGCCCCTCTCGAGCTGCATTATAAGAATATTACCGTGTCGAACACAAATCTGGTGAATATTTATCTTTGGTCTGTCATTTCCCTGTTCGCAATATTTACTAGGCACAAAATTTTCGGAACAGCTTTGTACAAATGAAATAAAAACGCAAGCACATCAGATTTCCATCTTCGGCGGTGGTCGTTGCTTCACTCCACCTCCGAAAACTGTCCGCTGATAGAACGGAACTGTGCTCGCTTCCGTTTTCCAGTAAGACTTTTCGTCTCTTAGAAGATATGGCCGCAAATTCACATCCGTTGCCTTGCTCGGAGATTTCAAGTACTGCCGCAAAAAATTTTTCAGAACATCATCATTAAATTCTACCACTTTGTCGTCTTCCAAGCGCTCAAACAGTTTAATTGGCTTGCTTATCCAGCACAGGTTCCGATGAGGATTGAACTGATCCTCGTGCCAAACTGCAATGGTGTTCGCTTGGTATGTGCCAAAAATCCAATCACGCCCATTAGTACAGATGGACTGCGTAGTTATTGGATAAGTCAGTTCATTCAAATAGGAGAAACCTAATAAAAATCCAAAACAGTACAGCAGTTTGCAAACTTGACGGATAACATTTATGACTGTACTACAGTAACAACCAAAAATAAAACGAAACAATACTCATGAAAAGTAGTATTTACCACCCAAAGTCAGATAAAAGTAAAACCAAGAGCTGGCTCACGGTTTAACCATACTCGACAACGGGACCAAGTAAATGACCAAAGAGCAAAAAAAAGCTATTCGTAAAGCATATTTAAATGGTTGAAGGAAATCACTTACCCAAATATAGCGCCTGTGCCATTACCCGTCCAAATGAACCGATAATCAGGTTGGCCTTCATGTTCTGCAAACCTTCCTCCTCGCCATACTTCTCCACTATTTGCTGCCAGGATCCGGGGATCTTCACGCTTAGTGTACTAAATTCACACGGATCTCCAGGCCAAAATCCTGAAAACCATCTCTTGTCAGCAACTTTGATACATCTACGGTGATCTACCTAATATTACCCAGAGTAGTTTAATTCACAACTGTCAAAAAGAAAGGTTTTGAAGTAATCGCTAAACCTGAAAATGGACCAGCTCTTACGATTCCTTAATGTAATCCATCACCGCTACGACAATGAGGGGAAACAGAGGTGAACACACCGGCGACTTTTAAAACAGCTCAGTCATAATATGTACATCCAGCTCACCAGGAATCCATTTGGGATAATGCATGTCTTCTTCCACGATCTCAAAGCCATACGCGCCAGGATGATAGGTTTCCATTGCACCGGAGAATTCTGGCTCTTCGCACGGATAAAAATCTATATTGACCGGCGTTCCGATAGTCAGCGACGACTCGCGCGGCACCACCTGTAACAACATCCAGTCAGCTTTTATACAACCTTTGAAGTCTTCCGTATTTGGAAACGACACTGGAAAGTCTGGAATACTGCATGCGGAGCGGGTTAGAAGAGGAATTCTCTTCCCCTCAAGAATATCCTATTCTACTGAAAATTATTACAGTATCAATTCTGCCAAGTCTAGGAGCTGTACGATAAGCACCAGAACCGATTAGGAATCCCAATAATAACATGACCGATTAAAAGTTTTAAAACTTACATACATCCAGCCCCAATTCAGGGACTGTTATCGGCCAAAGCCGCGATTTGTGAGGGTATGAAATGCGCTCACAAATTACAGTTATCATTAATTCCCTACCGCATTCTTACCGGAGGCAGTGGATTTTCATGGCGAAAATTTTTGAACAGCTTGTCAGATTCTTCGTACTGCACTCGCTGCTCTCCACTGACATAGCAGGCCGTCTTAAAACCCAAGTCCCCCTTCCACCTTTTCGTGTTGCGCTGGCTTGGATGTGTTTCTCTCGCTGCTTTCCTGTACTTCGGATAGTCCGGATATGGCATATCTTTATGCTTTTCAAACCCCGATCGTCTCCACATCGCTTCACACCGCGTATTCGTGTCCACCTGCAGCTCCGTCAGGTGCGGATAATCTCTAGCGCACACAATATCCACCGCACGCACCAGGGCTTCCACCACATTCTGGGCCGAATTCAGTAGTCCCTGTTCTTCCTCGGGAATAAGAGTCAAATTCTTATTAAAAAACTTTTTCTGCATCAACAGCGCATCGATGACAGGCAGGCGAATCTTCTCCACGATGGCATCCAGTGTGGCCGCATTAATATAATAATCCAGCGGCAGATCGTCGCCCACCACGGCCGTATGTGTCAGATGTTGGTAGAACGGAAGAATATCATACTTGAGCGAAAATCCCGGAATCATCCATGGCTGCCAAAACGCTTTGTAGCGGTCGTTTAGCCGCTGACGTCTTTTCAAGATAAGAGGATCAGGAGCGTAAGTGAGCGATCGGATTTTGTCATGAACACCAGGTTCAGCGGCAATCTTCGCGCCTTCCAACCGCCTTTGGTACCGAATGCCATCGGGAGTGTTAAGTGGCTGAATGATCTCTGGATATTGAGGTTCTTCAGTCCAGTCATCCGGATTGTGGTACAGCGATTTGCTTACTTTGGCATAGATATCGCGCGTGTAGTCTTGGGGGCTGTAATGCAGAGTTTTACTGGTCCGTTTCGTGCCGTGGCGTACTGGAACGTGATGGACAGCTATGGGACTGACCACACTAACACGATCCCGGAGTCCGCAAGTCCCCGACGAATACAGCGATGATACAGACCGAAGCAGACGCATGACTTCTCAAATTCAGGACTTATCGTTAGAACTTAGAACTGCAGCATGTCAAGTGGCTGGTCCAATACCCAGTGGCTTAAATTTACCACGACACTTCTCTTCCGTTACAGTTTCCGAGGTAAATCTAAGTAAGTAAACTGGAACTTCTACGCAAACATTCCGAAGAACAATGCCAGGATTATCCGCGGAGTTAAAATCAGTGCCTTTACCGTCTCTGAAAATTCATGTTTCTGTTTTCTATGCAGTTGTTCCGCTCGCGGGCGACAGTTGCTTCCACGTGGTAACGTGGCCGCATTCGATGAGGCCGTACAATTGTCCAAAAAAAACTGTTTCACGGTGACTTAACTTACATAAAGTAAGATAAGTGACTAGTGAAGATTAAGATTGTTTAAGATTTCAACTAATTCTAAAATTTCCTGTCTGTCAAAAAGTAAGAAACAGCAAAAAACGAAACCTTTATTATCAATTATGGTACGTAAAAGCAAACTAACTCCACAGTCCACACACACTCCAATGACTATTCTGATTTATTAGTTACGTAAAGTAAAGCTATTCCAGCGATCTCCTATCCCATGTTCGAATCTTGGTCCACTAACAGTAAATGCCTATTTACTTCAACGAAAAACCTTTTCAGTATACCGCATGCTGCACGACTTTCAACAAAAAATACTAGCAACTGCAAAACGTCGCTATTGAAAACGTCGCTGCCGGTCGACCATGCCATCCATGCGTGTAATATAGGTGATTCGAATTCGAACAATCAAGGTCAATTCGAACTAAAAAATCACGGTATTGCGTACTAGCGAAATGGCGTTTATAACATTCACCAACGTGTAGTTACAAGAAAAGAATAAACATCGTCCACGATTTCAGTCGCTGTCGGCGTCCTCATAGGGTGATGCCGGGATTCCTGGAGTACGCTTTTTAGCGAGGGGCTCGCCATGGGCGGTTACGGCCTGTGCACTGCCAATTTTGATTCCGGCTTCGTACGCAGCCTTCTCCTATTAAATCAAACAGTTAAACGAACAGAACTTGGTTTTACATCAACAAAATTAATGTCATCAACAGCAACATTAATTTGCACAACAATTAGTAGCAAACATATTAATATGCACAATCAGCAACTCACTCTGGCATATCTTGCCTTATCGTCCAGTGCCTTCTTATCAAAGGGAGTCCTGTCTTGAACAGCGGCCCATCGACGACCCAATTCTTTTGCAATTTCCGCAACCGAAACATTGGGCATCTGTGCTCTCACACGCGCTCGTTCATCCGAACAATAGTGAAAGAACGCCGACCTTTATACGGGAGAGAGTAAAATTACAAGCATACAATATTTAGTTCCAAACTCTAAAGTTTGACTTAAAAATGAATGCCTAAAAGTTCACACGCAGAATCAAAACTGATACGTGTTTTCGAAAACAGACAAAACAATGCATGCAGTCTACATTTTCAATGCCGCATACTCTTTAGACGGATTAGCTAAAACCAACACTTACATGTTCCGTTTAGGTGCATTTGGATCCTTGCGCTTGCGCTTTCCAGTGCCCGAGCCAGAGGTAACAGCTGTGCTGGAGTCCGCTTTTTGCGGACGTTTGGACTTCTCCGCGACCTCGACGTTTGGATAGCGTTGTTGCTGCTGCATGGTCATATTGGTCAGATAAGGCTGCGGGGGAATGTCAGACATGTTATTGTTATGTAATGTAAATTTTATAATACTGCGTTAAAAAAACAAACACCCAAAGGAAAGAAAACGGAAAGCTGCAAAACTAACAAAATTTAATCGCAGCCCAAAAAACGAATGCGTCGAAATTGGTCATGTTCGTTTCGGTCTACAGCCGGGCTGCAGCCGTGACGTATGCATACGCTCCTGTCTCTTTATGACGTCACTTTAATGGCATTAAATTTTTTGTATCCGAAGTTCGCCAGTACGTATCTGTATAAAAGTGGTAACTGCGCAGCCAATAGTTTTCTTTATCCGAGTTACAAAGATGTTTTTCACTTATTTACGTTGGTTTCATAACTTCGCTGACCTTTTATAGACGTGCAACATTTCCTGTAGGCTCATCGGGAGGGAAATAGTGGGAATTGTGTACACGTCCACTCGTCCAGGGATATCGGTTTTGCTCCAAGACCGGCAACGAAACCGGTAACACTTCCACGATAACACTTACATAAGTATCTCATGATCAAGCTCACTCACCATCAGTACATTGCGCAGTTATTGTGTCAAAACCACCATGGTGCAGTACCTGTATGTGCATACTTTATCCTATACATACACGAAATCATGGAAAGTGGATTCATAGTTTAAGTCACTGTAGAAATATGACAAGGATCGGTCCACTACTTTTGTATATTCCAGAGTTATGGGCAAACAAATAGTATAACTGCCTAGTTTGATCGTCTATATTACTAGTAGTTGATGTTGACAGGAATTCACTTTCCCAAGAAGGTAATCACTTCAATTTCGTCATTAGGGAATAGGGATCAAAATTTCTTTAATCACGTTACAAGTACAATTGTAAAAAGCACGAATTCTCTAAATCAGAATCAGGCACATGATCACAACTACACTGAAGCAGGCAGCTAGCAGCATTTTAATTGATTTGACGCGATGGAGCGAATTGTTTTTGGCTTGTCCAGTTCGTATATTCAGTTTCTCACAGGGATTCGTCTTTCCACTGGTGGCCTTTCGTGTGGTGGTATAAACGATGACCACAGGGACAACCCGGAATTTCACTTAGTACCAAAACGATGTGCACGCAGGCTGACCATGTACTGTCGCATTTTCCGATTTTTTCCGCTGTTGATCTTTTGCGTCATGTTGTTTTTAGATATTTTTGATTGGCTTCTGCATAATCAAGCTTTGGCAAACGTTAATGCTAGTGATATCCGCGAATCACGACAAAGTCCAGTTATTACGCAGCTGGCATTTTTACGCAGCCAATTCACGCTAGCGGTGGCTGTAATGATCAGTTTATATTTTCTGCGGAATTCTAAGCAAATAACTCAGTGCTACCGCATGTTGCATGACCTGCAAAAGCTTACAGCAGCTGAGAAAGCCAAAGGTTCTACCATTCGGAATCTGGTGTGCATTGCGATAAGTTTGTTATTTATGACGAGTGTATTACGGTTGATATACTACTGCTACAGCACGACAAATGATCGGTCCGCATTCTGGGAGAGCACGCAATATTTTGTTTTTTACCTGCCAGCTGGCCTAGTAATTCTTGCGATACAGATTGCGGTGATATTGTGTGAATTGTCTCTGCTACCTGCTTATGTGCTGATTGCCGACTACTGCATTGCATTCTGGCAGTGCGCTACGTATCTCAACTATCGCACTGCCCTCGTGGGCGAACAACTGTGGATTAATTCGCCACTGTCCACTTCCTTGTTTGATGATGTTTTGAAACCTTTGATACATCTGGACAGCAAACTAAATGAACTTCTCGATCACCTGGATCGTTTATTGGGAAGTTTATTGGGCATTCTGATTTGTGGAAATACTATACTTTTAACATCAATAACGGCCCAAGGTGTGCATGAGATAGTTCGCATGAAGTAGTATTCAATCTATACTCGCTTCTTTCGGTTAATCTAGATCTGTTGGTAGTGATAATTATGACACATAAAATACTTTTAGGAAACTGTCTTTTTATTTCCATTAGGTTTTATTTCTGCAACATTGGTTACACCAATTTATCTGGCATTGTTTTCCGCGAGCGTATCTTCGCCAGTGATCGCGCTCATTGTGGTGATAACGGTTTCGACGCTCGTTCACGATTCCGTAAGAAAACGAGTACAGAATTAGCGATTAAGAACAATAGGAGTACAGTATTAGCCCAAAAAGTGTAAATACATTATACAGTAAATACATAGGTTTTACTGTATAGACATGTCTTCACAATACCTATTATCCATACACTGATTTTATAGTCTAGCCGTGTCGCACTTGTCCTTAAAAATTGTGAAGTGAATTTATAGTTATTAACCTGTTTTAAAAACAGCATGCATGCACCTGTTGCGAAATTAACCGAAGTTGGATACTTCAATTGTAAGTATGATCTCGATAAAATCTTAGTGCGAGTTTTATAATGCCGGTATCATAGCATTTACAAATCAGCAAAGGTTCTTCGTTTTCGCAACAGTTCTTTCGTATTAATTGTATTTTCCTTACAGGCTGTTGAGTCCAACAAACGATGGGTGTCTCTGCTGTTATCCCGCCAGCATAACCGCGAGAAAGTTCGTCTCATATTCTCGTACACACAACGCTGCGCATTCCAGGCGTTAAAATGGGCTTAAATTATTTTTACGAAGTGTTCTGATATTACAGGGAAATTTCCAAAGTGAAAGCGAGCGACTTATGACCCTTATGTACTTAACGGCAAATCGGAAACACTCGTTACTGATAATGGGTGCCATCCATGCTCAAAGGTCATTTGGAGTAACGGTAAGGATTCTGGAATCAGAACATGAGAGCGCTACCGGCGCTCCTAGCCTTACGTTTATCAAGTGGTAGGTGGTAGGTGCAGTTTATGCAATGCTAATGTTTCATGACGATAACGGCCCCATAGGAATGCAACTCGGTGACGTGATATATACAGACTTACAATTCTTGGTCGGCTGGTATATTGCAGTTAATTGCTGGATTCGTGGGATTCATCTGCTTCCTTATTGAAAGAGCGGAACACTTCGCACATTCTAATTACATTGCAGAATTTGTAACCCACAACAAAACGTGACCTTTCTGCAAGTGTTAATGATGTCACAGCGAAAAGGCGAGCAACGAGTTGGAATTGTTTATTAATCATGTAATAGTGAGCGAAGCATTACAAGATATCCAGAATAAGTTAATAGACTATTAAGGTCGTTATTACGTAGTTAACTGCTTGTGCGTTGTACCGTTTGCCCTTTTTCCTGTACCAACACGCCTTTGCATCGACAGCCCATTTCTTCAATTTAATGTGCATACATACCACTTTCACGGCATATAAATAGTAGTATCACGATTGTGGTATGAAAATCCGGTTCCGCTTCATATCGCGGTGACAAAGTACACTCCATCGCTCCTGGCAGCTCATAATCGCCTACTGTGCAAATACAGAATGAACATCCCCAAAGTGGGCATCTAAATCTTCTTCGTTTCGTGGAAATATTTTGAAAAAGGAATTGTACATAGTTTGAAATTCCGCGCAATTTGCATTTGCGGGAAATGGGCCGGGGGAAGAGAGCGATATTTTGGCACTACACTTGCGTTTTATATGGACAGACCTCACTATACTCAGTATTACTCACATCTAGCAAGCGGGTTCTTTCCAGACTTGTAATATACATTACAATGCAGGAAGAGTATGCGTGAGGGAATAGATAAAACAAATCTCCGTGTTACATTTTAACTTTCCCGACTGTTACGTAGCACACGTCACAGTCTATCACGCGTTATTTGATACAGCAGCTCAAATAATACAGGTCGAATGCAGCTGTTTTTGCAGTCTTCTTATCTCTGGATGTTTATTTGCATTTGACCTTTAGCTAACGGTTTCAATGCTACAATGTTCAATGATAGGCTTCAATAGTAATATAAGACAAACGCATGTATGTTTCAAAATAAAGCGTGAGTATGTTCCCGTTGAAAGCCAAATTGATGCCGAAGAGGGTTATTTCCAGCGAGTCATTTGATTTCCTGATGGATTCAGCCTTTGTCAGTGCTGGAGGATCTCTCCCTAGTTTAGCTGAACTCGGTTGGTGTCCGTGCCGGTCTTACATTCGTCTACTACTCGGAAAGCACTGCTCCACAGCAGCGGGATCCTCGTTTACCAAAGTGAAAACATTTTATCATGATTTGTTTTGGTCCATACGGTTTGTGCTGCCGATCCTAATTTTTATGGAGTTTTTCATTGATTTCGGCGACTGGTTAATGCATGACGAAAACCTGACCGGCCTTTCGTCCCGCCATGTTCGGGGTGAACAAAGTTATATTATTACCGTGTTTGCGTACCTGCGCAGCCAGTTTACCTGTTTTGTGGCCTTGAACTCCACACTGATCTTTATTAAACGCGCTCCGAAGTTTGTTCGCTGCATGGATGCCTTGGTAGAGTTGCGCAGGGCGGTGGTCGATGCGAAATACCGAAGTGCCACTAGATCCACATTCCGGTTAAAATGCGCGTATGCTGCAATTGGATATGTGTGCCTTTGCAGTCTATTGCGATTAATTTATTACCTGTACTCGACGTACGAGGACCGAGCCAGTTTCTGGAATCCTACCAAATATTTTCTGTTTATGCTCCCGGAAGGAGTGGTCATGCTGATGATCCAGATAACCGTGATTATCAGTGAGCTATCGCTGATACCGCTGTATTTCTTTTTTGTTGCCGTTTGTACAGTCTACACACAATGCTGTAAGGCATATAATATTCATCTACACGAAATTATCCAGACAAAAATTGTAAATTATCCATCAAAAGGGGAAACCTTTGATTTTGATGCTACTTTCCAAGAACTTATGAAGAAAGAAATTCTCTTTATTGACGTCTTAAAAGAACTGGACCGGGCTTTTTCGATATTCCTGGCTTCTTTGTTACTGGGTAATTCTGCTATGCTGGCGTCAGTGATTGCACAAGGGTTTATGCGAGCAGTTTTTGCCACGCCTCTGGATGCCGCGTTGTTTTTGGGCTCTTTAAGCAATCCTATAATTTCCCTGCTAACCCTGATAACATTTGCAACAATTCTACATGAAACCGTAAGTTGCCGGTAACAGGTTTTATGAGCCAGCTGCCAGATAATAACTGCTTTCGTCATGTATTATAATGTATTCATTAGTGGTGGGCAGACGTCGGCTTTGTTAGCTTTTTTATTCATATTTATACAGAGTTTGGAATCAAAAAGTCTTTGGACATCTTTGGTTGCAAATCGACAGTTCTGCAGAGGGAAGGTACGTACGCACGGTGCACGTGTGTTTTTATATTAACACTCCTGCACCGGCTTTTTGAGATATACGTATCTGTATTGTATATAATCGTATGCTATGGTTATCGTAAAAAAATTAAAACGTACCTTTGGTCAAATTTTCAGTTTTAGCAAGAGCACACTATATCAGTACTTGCACCTTCACAACTAGCTATAAAACGATAGTCATAAACACATTTTTACAGTGCAGTTTTGATCGTTAATTTAAATGCAATAATATATATTAATATTGATCGCGCTATCGCTCCAACATGGCATCGCGAACACAATCGTTCTAGCGCGAAAAATTTATTATTTCTCGATATTATGCAGAAATTTGATTCAGAAGAAGGAGAAAAACTCCTAACGATTTTGCACATCACGGAAAGTCGTCCTCACTCACTCAGTGTTATACGAACTGTCAATATGGAGCGCGGATTCGGGATAACAGTAAGTTGGAAATAAAAAATTTGCCGTACAATCCTGCAGGTGTGAAAGGTTCAGATATCTTCATGCCTATTGCCATCTGTAATTCAAAATTATACAGTAACCTTAAACATAATGACGATGATGATGGATTTTCGTTTTCGACAGCTCGTTATGGGGTTCTTTGGATTCGTTTGTTTCCTGATCGAGCGATCAGAAAACTTCAAAGCTCAGGTGGATTTGGTGATGGGAGCACTTAACGCCACAATGAGCTGATCAATCTCCTAAACAGCTGCTGAACGTAACGGAAACCTGTGGCTGCAACACTGGTGTATGTGTCGCTCCAGAAAATTTATTGTTGGACATACTTAATACAGTAATTTAAAACCTGTGCTCAACAAAGATCTGATACAGATGCTGTGAAAATTCTATCGGTTTGCATGTGGTACTCGTACTGATACATTTGCGTAAGTACAGTTATGCAGGGGCCTAATCCTGCCGGCTAACGCGAGCCACCCGGCTGGAAGTGGACACTCAATCTGGAAATTAACCTTGATACAGATTCATGCAAGAGGACGAATTTAAATAAGATGATTATCTTTTCATAAAAAGCATACTTAATCTTTAAGGACTTTTTTCGCCACCCTGTTCTTGGAGTGGACGAACTGGAGTGGACGAACATAACTACGATCAACTGTTGCCAGAAAGGTCACTTCTCCAAAGCGACATTAATATCAATGCGGTTGTGTAATGTGTTACGGCAGAATGTTTGTCTGTTTTCTGGAACACATGCAGTCGCATGCATGTACAAATAAGCGTGCGCTTTGAATGGGTCAAATCCATCTGAATTTCAAGTATTGTGACAAAGACACAAACAAACGTTTAGCAGCTTTTGTCATTTAATTCTGACCATGTTTACGCTCATATTAGTCATATAATTATATGATATTGTGTACTTGCATGCTTTATGTAATGTACTCGGTGTTTTGACTACTTAACAATAAATTTTTTGTTTTTCTCTAATTATACATGACAATTATAACACTTACCCGATCCACTATACTCCAAACAAATAAATTATGTCTTATAAAATAACAAATCACCAGTTGCCATTTACATTTACTGCGTAAATGACCAATTTATATTTACATTAAGGACGAAAAAATTCTGAAAGACAAAGTTAGCAGCTAACCGAGCGAAGCACTAATCTATTATAAATACGAGTATAATAATATCGCAGTTATACTGTACTTTTTGTCTTCCTACTTTGTACTCTCATCCAGTCTTCAGGAATAATTTTACTGACCACGGTCAGTTTATCCCGGCTACATAGCTGTAAGAGGTAAGTATTTTATGCAGACATAAGAACATATAATATACTGTATCTATAGCCGAAAAAATTGCTCCCGGCAATGCCCTAATCACCTGCACCAAACTTAGGCAAAAAAGTGATATAAATTTTATTGATTGCACAGTCTTCGGGTTTTAGGAAAAACCAGATTTTTGCAGTACCTACTGGTACTGCTAATTGTGCCCAGTAGGCATTACTCTGCCGCGTCGGTCTTTTTGCAGACAGTTACTGATTTCTTCGGTTTTCATTTCACTGCTCAAAATTTTTACGCGGAAGATAAGTACAAAAATACCACAGTCAGTTTGAAGCGTTAACCACGTAACAAAAGTTTTGAAAATGGGCGACGATTATGAATTTGAAAACGAAGGGTTGCCCATCGACGGGGTGGGAATACCGCCTCCTGTTTCGTCGGACTGCTCTGACTGCATGTAAGAACACAAAAGTGATGCTAGTATTAATTTCACATAACTTATCTTTATATCAAAATTTTTTCAAGCAAATTGCTTTTTGCAGCAAGGTTTATAAAGGCTGCAACGTGAACTATCCCTACTATTTGGCATTATCGGATCTGGAGCGCCTTCAAACCTTTCCCAACGATGTTGCTATTTGCGGGTTTCCGAAGTCTGGTAATTACACAGGCTATGATGTACAAAAAATTAATGAGTTGCGCATCGTGATAGATTATGCGTTACAAGTCGTGATAGATTATGCGTTACAACCTTTTATAAAAATTATCTGATTATCTGACTTAATAATCTACTTATTCTTTGCTGTCTTTTATGTATGACTTCCACCGATTATACGGATTACAATCTTGCAGGTTCTGCGTGGCTATCTGCAGTCGTGGCCATGATACAGGCGGATGGGGATCCAGCAACACTGCAGGAAGGTCCTCCTCTGGAGGAGAAAATACCGTATCTGGAGTTCTGCACACCGGCAAACTACGCCGGTCACCGCGTTGTAGACTCGTTGTCTGCAATGCCTCCAGGGAGAACGTTCTTCACGCACCTGTCGTGCGATGCGTTACCTCCTAGTATTTTAAAGAATAAAACCAAGGTAATTATGGCAACGCTTTAGGCTTTCAACTATATGGATCATATTCGCTCTAGATGTACTTATTAATTCGTTTTCGTACTCGCCAACTGTTATAGCTGTGCATGTTGCAATATGACATTTCATGGCTTGGCATCATATATATAATATATATGTGTATGATAAATACTTATATAATTATCAAAAATTCTTAGAAATATTAAAGTTTAAAAAATATTAAAGTTTAAAAAATAATAAAGTTTAATATTAAGGTTTAAAAAAAACAAGGAAAGTGAAATCAGTTTTGGAATTTCGGGTTGAACATGCATAAGGGCAGAATTATCATCATACTACCGGTAGAGCTCTTACAAGAACCAGTGGCCGGCTCTCTTTTCATGTTCTTGACTGATGTGAGAGCTTATTCTATCCCACATAATATTACAGCATATAATATTATGTAATTTAATTTTTTTTGACTGCCATTCCAATATTATAACAAATGGCGTTTCATAAACTAAAAGCGATTACAATATGCAATAAGCTGTAAATGTTTGTGAGTCGAAAGGTCAACAGTATACTATATTATACATGTCCCCGTGTCCTTTTCAGGTCATTTACCATATTCGCAATCCGAAAGACGTTATAGTCTCAACGTATTTCCATTTGAAAGCGAGGCGGCGATCGAAATTTGCTGGCGATCTCGGCGTTATGATCGACGCGTTTATCAAAGGAAAGATCTGTTATGGACCATACTTTGACCACATAGCGAGCTACTGGAAACATCGCAACGATTCTAACTTTTTTGTTCTCTCCTTTGAGGAGCTTAGTGATGTACGTAATTTAAATTTCTTTGCAATTAAACATTAGCTGTGCTCCAAAAATCACCCAATCGTACGGAATCAAGCTGGCTTAATTTGCGCATGTATTTTACAGGATTTTACACTCACCGTTTCCAAACTTGCTCATTTTCTCGGAAAGGATTTATCTGCAAAACAGTTGCAGACAATATCCTATCATTGCTCATTTGATCAAATGAAAAACAACGACTTGACCAATCGCATTGCCAGTGACCGGGCGGGAATTCTGGATTTTCAAGTTTCTCCATTCTTACGAGCAGGTGCGTTTCATAAAAACAAAAAGCTGTTGAATAAGACGTGAATTAACATTTTCAGCCAAAGTAGGTTGAAGTTTTTGCTGAAGTAATAAATTCATTGTAACGTAAAGCTTCTGTAAATATTATAGTAAGGAAATTAGTATAAGATACTTGAAATTAAAGCAGACTGCCGTAACCCGAATTAAAGTTCCATACCGAAATGACGTACATAGCTAGTATCTATGCAGGGAGCGTGGGAAACTGGAAACTACATTTCTCGACTGAAATGGACAAAATGGTGTCGGCTTGGATTGACAAGAATATGCAACGTGAAGACCTAAAAGAACTGCAGTTTACTTACACGTAGTTAAAAACTTAAACTTAGCCCGGGACAGTTGCCAAACTGGTTGATTTAACGGACTTTGTTATAACAATTTTATGAAAGAATAATTGTTTGGAAATTGTGGGACGCCGATGCAGCAGTTCTGCCTGCAAGGCTGACGCTAATAAATTTTAAACTTCGAAGCCGGTTAACGAATTTGCTGTTATACGCGGGTCTGTCTCCGGGGAAATTAGAAAAAGCCCAAGAAAATACTTTTCTCCTGTTCTGTTCGTACGTTTAAAAAAAGGAAAATGTTCACAGATGAATAGTATAATTTATTTATTTACTGCTATGTCGCTGGATAAAAATCTTTCCAGATTTCCAACAAGAATGGATCACAAACTAATAAGATCGCAAACAAGTGCATTTGTAACGGACGCGCGCCAAATGGTGAGCGACGTTCATCCGTGGTCACCTTTCCCCGGGCGTAAAAACTGCAAACGCAGTCCGTGAGAAACGGTTTTGAGAGAGAATAAAATCAATAATTTGTTAATTTTCGCAATCGTAACAAATCACCAATTCAGAAGTATGTGTTTCTACCGCTAGCGCTGTTATCTACCATAGGACTTTCTGATCTGGTATTCTGGTGGTCAGTTACATCCTGTCCTTCTCCTGCGTTGTTGGCTGGGCGTTCCTGGGGTGGTGTGCAGGGCTGTCCGGCGTTAGTGGCACACCATTTTCGGCCCTGGAGTACGCGGAAATTACTGTCGCCGTCAATTACCCTCTTGGCCATCGGCGGACTGCTCATTCGTGACAGTGTCCGTGTCTTCTATGACAAAGTGGCATCAAGGGGTCGTAGCACAGAGAAGCATTGATTCCGGCGACAGCGATAAATCGTCGAAACCGTTAAATGCGGACCTTGCGGCACATCAGACCGGTACACGGGACAGTTCCTTTAGATCATTTGCCTGCACCAATTAAAGCGATCTACACCGTGCCACTCACCATTCGCCAGGGAACGACATTGCCAACCAGGTCATCTGGGGAGAGAAAGTGAAATCCGGCGCGCGCAACTATTGTGTGCGCACCCAAGGCTATCACGCCGAAAAACACAACATCCTGCCTGTGCAAGAGACTGCGCTATTGTGTGTTTGAGAGAGTGAGCAGTATCTGGACATCCTGTTCCTGCCTGCCTGAACATCTGCAATTGCCCGGTCTGCTGCTGCTCATGCATGACCGCGTAGACGGTTTGGATGTATCTCGGGTTTATGGAGTTTGTGCGACAGATGTGGTTCTATGTGCGATCCAGAAAAAAGAAGTACAAAAACTGTGACGTTCATGGTGGAGACGGCATTGCAGCGGCCAAGGTCAAGCGTCCAGCTGCTGAAACGCTCTTTATCAAATGATTCGATCGAACCCCGAAAACACCGGCCGCCGGATAATCACGTTGACTCAAATTGCAAAAGTCTTCGGAATTCGGAGTAGCTCCATATTTCCCGCTTTATGCTATAAGTACTACACTAGATACTTGACCCTGCTCTCTGGGAACCGACCGTCTGCCGAATAAATCCTAAACTTTTCTTCCACGCTTCCCTGTGCGGTGATCTGTTCGGCACTTCCGGAAGGGTAGGGCACCCGCGAAACCGCTGCTCCTTTCCCATCCGGCAACCGGCTCATTTATGTTGATAGCCTATGCGCCTGTGGAGTATTTTTTGCAGAATATTGGGACGTGTAAATAACGTGAATTCGTTACTGAAGCACAGAATCTCATAAAAATGTAGGGTAATTTCATTTAACAACCTCGCTTTGTTCAGAACTTCGGAATCTACAATGGTATTTCCACCTTTCTGCATTTTGCTTGTAGTACCGTGCAGTGTGTCCCATTAATGAGCATTTGACGATGAAATCAAATGAAGTTGTCACAAGAGTACGGGATCAAGTAGAACAAGAAAGGATCAATTTTCTCCTTATATTCTCATTAATTTTTTTCCAAGAGTACTAGAGTAGTACTTTTATAAATACACAGAAGTCACACTGTTACACAGCCCTACCTACCGCCCTGCGTGTTCGGTATGGTGAACACGAGCAGTTGTTTGTCAAAATTAATGGTCAAAGATTTCCTTAATAAATGGCTAATAAGCCGTTTCCACTACGGTCTTGTGCTTTCTGCAGCCACGCATATCTATATTTGTCTACGTAGTATTTTAAAGTTATGAGTTAGTCGACCATTGTCCCATCGAATCCAAAGCTGTGAATTCATTAATACAGTAAATGTCTGCTTATCTTACCTGCAATTTTCCTGGATGCGGAGCAGTGGTGCAAGAGTTCGCATGGGTAAGGGAGTTGCTAGACTTGTTTGCGTAAGACGGCTATCTGATACAGGTGTACACAGGAGTTAAAACAGATACGAGATTACTTCGTATTTCCCAGAATGGTTTACGAAACATCTGAATATTTGCAGATCACTTCATGCTCTCGTAAGTCTGCTCCCTTTGGACATCTTCGTGTGCTTAATGACGCATTCTGCTGTAATGGAATTACCGCAATCGCCAACCATTTCAGATGTGTTCTGCAATGAGCACGGCCAGCTCGAATTCTCCTCCAGACGCCGCGAAAGCCGATGCCCTTTGTGTGAGGCCACATTGACTTCTTACGGCTCGCTTCTAAGTTCTAACCTTACCTAACCAACCTGCTGGTTCTGCTAAAGGTTCCACGGAGCTTCCTGGTCAGTTAGATGTTGTTAAAACAGAAATTAGCCCTTCGGAGCAATACAAATCGGTAAGGTACTCTACTAGCTCGTATTCATGGTAAAGCCATTACAGTACGCGTTGTTTGGGTTTCTCGAGCGGCTTGTTTTTCCTTCTGGTACTATTCGAGCGCATAAATATGCGCATTTGTGTTTCTTTAGTTTATGCGCAAAATTTGTCGGGCGTACGTGCTTCGCAATCGTTGTTGCTTTTAGATGATCTTAGCCGGACAGAAACCAGAGGTTGTGGTGGAAATAGCATCTCGAGCATTGGCTTTGTGGCACTACCAGGTGCGGCAAATTGAATTTATTCGGTCGCTGGTCATACTGTATATGGTACTTCGTTTTAATAATTTGCTACTTATGGAAATTGGTAATCGTAAGCTGAATTTTAATATTGACTGTCTTCGCGGTAATTGCAGACTCAGCTGGTGTTCTCTCGAGAAAAACAGGAAAGACTGGCAGCCGACAAGAAAACACAGGAAATGGTTGCAAAACTAGCCCAGGAAAAAGCCGGTAAGCCGATGTGCAGTCACGAAATTACAGTAATTTTCAACAGAAAATTAAGCAATCAAATAATAATTAAATTAAATAATTTTCAACAGAAATTAATTAAATAATCAACAGAAATTAATCTCAACAGAAATTTCAACAAAAATTAAATATTTAATTAATAAATTAACTGAATAATTTGACTCGATCACCATTATCGCCTAATCCTACATTATATATCTGAATTTGCTGAAAATATCTCTTTTTTGCAGCACTGGAAATGGACTTAAAAAGTTAGACGCGAGCGGTCTAAAGGTCAAGCTTTACTGCATAAAGCACAAACAAGTATTTCCGTTTTCTGTATAGATGCAGAAAGGGAAATTGACGAATTGCAAAAGAAAAACAGTGATCTGGAAAATATTCTCGCGGAGAAAACACGTCAAAATTTGAAACTAAGCGTCAGCTTGATTGCATTATAACCAGCTTAATTAAGTTTCTTTAACTCTTCTTATTTCGCGTATGCGTTTTGTGTCTCGACTTTAGGCTGCGTACGACGCTCTGCGATGCCGCCTGACAGAGCAGGACGCCAGTCGGCAAATGTTGACGAATTCGCGCTGCGCACAGGAGCATCCTCTTGACCACAATCAGCGAACACTCCCGTTGCAAAACAAAGGCACTGCTCGCTCTGGTAAGTTTCCGTAGATCTATGCATGCCGTAGGTTCCTCGCACCTCAGTTTTCTGGATTGATAGCAAACCATAAATCTTTGCTAGCAGATTACTTCCCTTCCGAGGCAAATCCAAATACACCTCCTGTGCAATTTCGCGGTACCATAGCTGCTAATCGTAATATGCTTCATTCACGGCAACATATGGGTCCGCTGCAGACAGCAGAGCATAATGGTAAAGTACTATCCTGAAATTCTTAAGAAACTGTTTTTGAGATGCTATAATTATGGTAACTGGCTCGGTTGTGCCGATTGTATGACTGTTTTATTTGGTTTATGATTTTAGAGCACAGTCATTTCCCGTTCTTACTGGGCAATACCAACACCGAGCAGCATCAGAATCGAATCCGTTTACCAATGGCGCAAAGAGCCTCAACCCGGAGCATACCATCTGACCCTTCCGGCATGCCCAGATTTAATTTGAATTTTTAACTGCCATGCTGGAGAAGATTATCGTTTATTTATTGTTGTTTTCCTTACTTTATGTTTGCCTTGTATATATTGCCATGGTGGTGCGATAATTTTTTGTGAAGTTGCACACAGGTAATTGTACTCGCAGTTTATCAATTTTTATTCAAATTGAACGAGTTAGCACTTCCTCATCGGTCAGTTATTACTGCAGAAACGCAGCTGTAGGCTTTTGTGCCGTATGGTCTCATAATATTTTGCACATGGTAATCTTAACTGATCTACCGATACTGATCGATATTCTGAATAAAGTAAAACAACGAAACGTACTAAGTATCGTGGCACTTTCAGGTACAGTCCGCAGCAGTGGTTATCTGCAAAATTGAAACGTTTCTGCATAGTGCATATTATTTGTCATTCTCGTAGCCGCTTGTAGCTACGCTTTTTTCATACGAGTGTTGTTATTATGAATCATTTATTAAATTATTTGATATTTGATATTTAATTTAACAAAATCAGTTCATGCGTATTGCGTACCTGAATCAACAAACTGGGACAATTTTGCCCGACAGCGTTTGTGGCAGTTACATTGTAACGCTCGATAAATATTCCGCCATGTGGTTGTTTCACTATTTGGATTAGCCCAAGATTTGAATCAATTTTATAATAAGTGTTGGCCAAAATTGAAGTGGATGATATGAGCGTCATTGTGAAAGCTGTTGGCGCAACACTTCCAGTAGCCTACAAAACAACACAAAACCGAAATTATAAACGAGGTAGGAGTATACAGAGATTAATTAATATTTAAAGAGTTTGAACCATCTACGTAATTTTAACTTATTTCCTTACTAGAACGGTGGCCACGGTGCTTCCCACAGTGTTAAGTGTGCAGGATACAAAAATATTGTTCCCGTTTTCAAAACTGCAAGTTGGCGCTACAAAAGGGTAGTCAAACTTTACTGCACAATAACAGAAACATAAAAATATTTCAGTGTACACTAATTACAATGTCATTTCCAAGGGCATCGGTTACGGAGCACAGTATTATGTGAGTACTTACGTGTACAGTTGTAGGCAACCTAAAATTGTAGCGACTTTTAATACTCGTACATGTATTACAATTTACAAAAGCAGCCATTATGTTATGTATGGTAAGATGCACGTAGCCTATTAAAAACGATATTAGTTTGTCTCATTACAGCGCCTGTGTGAATGAAGAAGTGCTCCACCGACGAGCGTTATTACCTGAAAATACTAACCCGAAATATTAGCGTGCTGTATGTTCCTGAAGAACTTCTGGCGGTGACCTGATACGTTTGATTTTGGACTGTGGCTGGGGGTGGCTTCACCGATAAAATATTTCCGTTAGTCTGATCAATCGTTATGTATTTGTTCGTATCGCCCAGAGGAGAAGAAAACAGCAGCGTCAGATTGTAAAACGTAACTGCTTCATTCGTAAGCTTCTAAAACATGAAAATGGGGAAAATAATTTTTTTTATACCGAATTTTCTTTTAAAAGTCTTAACGAATGCAAAACGACAATCGTAGAACACTATGATGATCATACTCTATAGACAAAGCCTTCTCACCGGTAATGTGCCGATTACTCCATTTGCCGGCAGGAAACAAGATGCCGTGATTGTTGGACTGCTGATTACAAAAGGTCTCAGGACGTTTTCTAAAAATATGTGCGCCAAGGCAGTCCAAAACATATGCTCACGCCACAGCCGTTTCACGGTTACTTACGGAGTACTTCAAGCACTGACCTATACTTAACAATGTTTCGTAGCAGAAGAAACTAAGTAAATTTAATTTAACTCAGTCATGAATGTTATAGCGCTGAATAATTTTAATGAGAAATCAAACATTTACTTGGAGTACCGTAAAAAATAACATAGTAGCGATAGTACCATTATTAATGCCACTAACGTTATATGGGGTAAATCAACACCTAATGGCTTACGCGTATAGTACTGCTGCGTGACGCAAGTGGAGTTCAACAGAACGTATCCTTTAGCACAGGCGCAGTATCCATCGCCGTCTGGATCGCGGGTACACACGGAATTCGCGGGCAAACAGGTCTCTCCAATCAGTAAACACGGACAATCTAGATTGGCCCTTGCAGTGGTTGATCGGCAGAATTCCGGTGGATATGTGGATACATAATGGTCATCGGATTTTAGTGGAGAATAGTCCAGTGTCGGTAACTGCACCGCCACTGGCAGATACTCCCAGTGCAGCGGCTCCGCAATCCGGATCGGAGACGGTGACGAGTATCCCGGCTGAGCATAGGATGGCTGGTGTGGCTGGTAACTACTGGTTTGTTGCCTTTTGGATGCTGATTCCACACAACGAAACCGGAAGAAGACAGATGCAGTCGTCAGTACGAGCAAGTGGAGCATGTGTACAGGTAGCGGAAGTTGTATAAGACGAACCATTTCGATCGAAAGTAGTATGATGTTTTACCACATTTAGGACGATTATATGTACACGTGCTTTTAAGTATAATTTAACCAATACTTCTATTAATTAGTATTCAGTAAGTGTGTGTTTCCCTTGCCTGTGTTTGCGGTCTATAAAAGCAGTAAATATATGTTGCAGAATAAGCGACGCTTATACTATAATATACGTAGTTAAATGACCGGTAAAATAGTGAAACACAGTACAGCGTTCATTACTATGGTTCAAGGCTCGCAGCTTTGCAAGCTAAAGATACAGTACTTTAAAAAAAGGTTCGCATAGGCGCAATTTGCTTAGAAATTTCGTGCAAAGCTTACTGCAGTACATTCAACCTTTGCCGATTTACTTTATGTGATTGACCTTTGTGACATGAAAGCGGTTTAGGCAACAAAAACCTCGAAGCTCATCATTAATATTGCGATCGAATATCTTTTTTGATACTCTTTGTTTGCAAATTTCGTTCTGATTTATAACCGAAAGAAATAGCAGAATAGTATACATTTTCTTCGTATCTGTTTTTATCTCAAACTTGTACAACCAACCTATAAATGCTCTTTACACTTAAAGAATCAAATACCTTGACTCAAATATCCAATAGCTAGAACAAATAAAACAACTCTTCTAGATTTTTTTAGCAATCAACAGTTCGCAGAACAAAAGCGGCGGCGGCATTTCCGCGCTGAATTTCAATATGTATGCGCTGCCACAACTCGGTAGCGCGCGCCTCACCTTTTTAATCGTTTATGCGTCGACCAACTGACCGATTAACTGACGGGTATTGAACGCAACTTCCCGTGGTCTCGAAGGCCAGAGGTTGGAAAAAATAACGATCGGTCAGTTCTTCATAATTGCGCCCCTTTCGTTCTTCCGTATCCTCTGGTGCTGATCCCGCTAGTTCTGATGAGCCGGCTATGTACGATATTGCGAATGTATCACACACTGCCACATCCCAAATCAAAGGGAGATCGTTCTTCCAGGGGAAAAGTGATAACCGTCTAGCCGCATTTTATTCTGTTTTCTATATTTGGTTGATATTATTAGAAAAACCTCTACGAATTCGAAGCCGAAAGTTTACCGTTTATTTATGCCAGTAAAAAACACTTTATGGTACAAATTATACCACACAGCTTTGCAAAATAATGATTTGTGTAAAATTGTGCATGATATAATTCTGAACCAATTGATGCATTCTTAAATCTATATCTAGCTGGGCGTGATCGAATTAAATTTGAAACTGCGTCAGTGCGATCAATCTTATAAGCATAACGATTTTATTTGCATACAAAAGATTACGATTTTCGCTACCATCGTTTTGCATTTCAACATTCATAATTATTATTGCGCCTAATTAGTAGAGTCACATTCCACGGGCTATTTCTTTAACAACAGACTGGTGTTTCTGAAGATGTCCAAGATATACGAGTACCAAACAAAAACTTTCAGCGGCGCTGCACTGCTGTGGATCTTGCTTGATTAGGCGCAATTTGCGGCAGTCGTAAACTAGAAAGAAACACAAAAACATGTATTGTATACCTTGGCCGTATGCTCGTTAGCATGAGCCGCTATAATCTCCGCTGATACGCCTTAAGAAAAAATTTATTATGTTTAAACAGTATAAGATAGCAAGTAACATTTACTGCGCAAGTACAAGTAACATTTTATTGCAGCATGGGAGTTAGCAGAACCAGCGGAACTCGATCAGATATGTATCAGGTTAAGGTATTGCCAAAAAATGCTTGTTGTTGTAAAAAGCTGTGTTACTGATTTTGGTCTAATAGGTAGCAATAAAAATTTAATGGCCTAAAAGATTACATTTTCAAATCCTACGTACTGTACCGATCTTCAAACGTACCGTAATATTTTTCGTCGTGCACGTTAAACCGGCAGCATTTGTTGCGGATAGACTATAGACTTCCACGAAAATTCCCCCGTGTGGTTCTTTCTGCAGAAATATTTGTCCAGTTGTAGGATCAATGGCGTAAAAACGAATACCAAGCGTAGACGTTGAGGAAAGGAGTGTCAAAGCAAAAGTCGTCGGCGCTACAGTTCCTGTTGCCTGTAGGCGATAAAAAAATGTGTTAACTGTGAGCATTTTTCTGATTGAACTTGTTTTGTGATCAGCTGCAAAGTACAGCTTGTTATCGGCTACCAGTTCAAACTGATTAAAGGTGATTTCAATACAGCCAGAGTTAATTTTGTTCTGGGTTCAGTATTACTCAGTATCCCACAAAACGTGTGAACGCAGATTAATAATAAGGTCACCAACCAGTGCAGTTACGATGGTGTCAGCTACGCCGAAACGAGTGCAGTCGATCGTGAAACTATTTCCCAGATCAAAGGAGCATGTAGGAGCTGCAATTATGAAGTACAGTGATGCAGGAAACAAGTACTTTAAAGCGCAGTAATTATTTTGTCATACAAAAACCCAGGAGCCTGACTTTACCTGTACAGTTGTACCCAACCTGAAAAAACAACTGGTTTATGTTAAACCCTGGCTTTTATTCATATAAAATTTTATTCAAGATTTCATATGCAGCATGAATGTTGCCTGTGATCTACAAGAGTTGGTATCGATTACTCAAAGGGCAAGTACCGTAAAAGTTACGACGTTGCTAGTTATTCCCGACGCATCTTTCCCCACAACTGAGTACGTCTGGCTGCTGACGGTGGAAAGATCGGGCGTTTTTAGAAAAAGAAGGTTGCCGCTTGGTGATTCAACAGATATGTATTTGGTGGTGGACGGATTGGGAGAAGATGACAGCAGAGTTAGCGTATACGTGACCGATCCGTTAGCACCAACTTGCTACAATTTCATGATCAACAAATCATCGTATCACGTTTGTAAACTTATTAATATTTCTGCGAATAATCAGAATATATACAGTTCGAACCACATTTTGTCGAACACTGTACCGGTATATTGCCGATAACAGAATTTGCCGGCAGGAAACACGATACCAGAATGGTTGGCGAAAGTAGCGTAAATGGCTGTATCGTCTCTGCAAATGTCATTTAATGATATAGGTACGGTATTATTCATAAATACTACAGTAGTTATGTTTCTTGTTTACGCTTGTTTTATACAGTAAAATTTTAGTTTCTGTTCATAACCGGAAAATCAATTTCGTTGATACTTCAAGTATAGGCTGTATGTATATATAGCTGTAGAACCGACAAACACCGGCAAACCGACACGACTGCATTCATTATGTTATAGTTATTATCTCAAATTCTGTTTGATAATTACAAGATAATCCGGTATAAATTCAAATCACGGTAAATTTGTACTTCACGCACGATTGTAAATAGTTGCGGAAACGCAGGTGTTGTTAACTGCAACGTAATTATCCTTACATCCACATATACCCCCGGTTGTTCCGGAAATGCTTTTGCAAACGGAATTTGACGGAAAACATCTAACGAAATAAACACTTTATGCATTGGATTACTCACTGTGATTCAAATAGTTCGAAAGATTCAGATTATTTTATGCAGGCTGTCCTTTCTGAACATTACATCATTCCTCAACGCAGAAAAAATATATATAAGTTTGTGACCTTTCGTTAACAAGTTTGCACGGGCATCCTATGTTTGTCCGAAAAGTAGTAGATTTGCAAACAGTCGGTGATACTGTGCTCACTGGCAGCTTTCGAATGCCTCCAGCATACTGGAAAGAAAATCGGCTAATAACACTCATTGTTTCCATTTTGTGTTGGCTTACCGGATATTCAGATGCAGCAGGATTCGGCTCAGGAGTAGTAAAAGGCACGAAAACGTAATCATAGCTGCTGATTTCGGGCTTATAAGGGGCACTGTAGCTGTTGCCGTTGGGGGACGAGTAGGAATTCGAAGTAGAATAGCCATATGGGTAAGGTTTATCCGCGGAATTTATTAAAAAATAAAGCGAGTGCATCCATGCAATTAGGAGATACATCCTGACGTACGCCATTTGCCCCGTTTTAATTTGATAAAGTTTGCTTGCTGGTTCGAATGCAGTACTTGATTTTGACCTTACGATTACTTAATGATTATAGACACACTTATTTTTGCTTCTCGTATATTGATAAATTTATATCGATATGGTAGAAATTAAAATAAAAAGCTGAAATTTTGTTGCTCGTATAAATAAAATTGCACGCATATATATACTCGTAGGAACTGTTTTGCGTTAGCGGATCTTCGAAATATTTTTCCGCTTGATAACATCCTCTGTGACATTATTTTAGCGCAATTACATACATGCTTTACCGCGCTGCCCTCCAGCTAAAAGGTAAATACGAATTTTATGTACACGCAGAAATACTGCTCGAGAATGGCAGTTTTTTTTAAAATTACCAGCAATTAATAAAAAACAGGCATAACCGCACAAGTACAACGAAAAATTTATTAACCTGCACCTGTGGTAACTAAATCAATCTGCAGTTTTAATCCAAGTAACAACTATGTATGTAATTTATAAATTTTGCCGGGTTGACCGACGTCGACACTCCACAGAATTCAATATTTTATCGCTCCCGCACCGGAAGTGGGCGGTGCATTCACTTATATGTTAGTGACAAGGGGGACTGCAAATGCAGCAGCTCAGCTGACATTTTCTACGGTAGGAGTTTCAAGCAAACCATGCAGTGTTGATCCAAAATGGTGCATTTTAAATCTGAGCTCTGGATCAGTAGCGTATGCGATTATAGCATTAATTATAATAACCACTGATAAAAACCTACATGCATAGAAGTATTTGCTCCGCACAACAAATGCGTTCTTGCGGTCAGTGATTCGTAGACATTCTGTGAGTCATACGGCGCAAGAAGGTTTGTGATTCGACAACCGGAATAATCACGTCTGAATGTCCAGATCTCTTGCCATCTTGTGGCAACTGCGCGCGTGTTTGGGCAAGCTCGAATCGGTTTGCATTTTTTATCTTGTTTGTACTTGGAGCACTGGAGATATGAGGGCACCAAACCATTTTTAAAAATTGTTCATTAGTTTCGGAAAACAGAGAAGCTCCTTGGTTATCACTTCGATCATTCATTGGCCATTGCCTTAACTGCCCCAGCGTTTTCCTGTTTTCTGTAAGTATTAGCTCAGTAGCGCGTAAAGGTATCTGCCGTTCTTCGCTTATTTTTGTATCACTCCTGATCATCTTCCCGCAGCGCTGTGCAGCTCTATAAATGCTAGTTGTCGACAAACACCTTTGACGAACTTTTTCGCTGGTCATTTATTTATACTGTCATTTTATTTATTCAGGTTCAACCACCAGGAAAATGGTCAATTTCGCCCGTTTCGGTCCGCTTACAGGCGCCAAGAAGGCTCCAGCAGTCGAGAATGATGTGAGTCTTCGTCTTTCCGAAAAATAAATTTGTTGCTGTAAATTTAAAAGGAGAGTTATTGTACTTTCGTAGCGCAGAAATAATCGTTTTGTTAAATTTCATCACGGGAAATGTTTTGTCACCGTTTGCATTAAACTGTGCTGCTGCTTGATGATAGAATTAGGGAAAGCCGAAAATGTTTTGTTTAGTTAAAAGCAAAGATTTAACTTGATATGGCTACCGCTTACAGCTTATCGACTGCATTCTGCAGTTAATGTATTAATCCACTTCATTAGAGTAATCGCCGCTAATCGGCACGAATATATGATATGACACTGTCAGTAATGTTACGGAATTCAGCTTTTGTTCGATAATTTTGTTGCCCTTGGTTTGGTTGCAAAACATTCAGATTGCATGTCAAATGATTGTGCGAAAAAAGCTGTGCTCAAAACTGTACAAAGTGGTTGGAATAAATGGCATGCATTTTTTCAGCGAGTCCCATGTGTTAGTCGACTCTTTTTGAGCTCTTGATATGCTTATTTTAGCTGTCCTCGGGTGAGAAGGGCTGCAAGATGAAGTTGATCTCACCCTCACCATCGGATGTGGAAGCCAACTTGTTGCCGGTGTTGGTAGCTAGTGAAAATCGATCAAAGCGTGCAGGCCGTTGGTGCTGTATGGCGTGTGTGGCCGATGTCTGCGCAGTAGTGGCGCTACTTCTCATCGTAGCGTCGACCGGCTTGCTTTTGTACAAAGTCTGGTGGGTGGTAAGTGATTTCTGTATGACCGTGTTTATTGAATAAAATGCTAATATGTCATACGCGCGATCATAAAGACATCTTGTTACTGTAAAGTTTAATGGTCCTTCTCTAGAAGAAAGAAGTGGACCGCATTGAACCGGTGGTGGCACAGCTGAGCACCGATCTCAATCTTCTCCAAGCAGCAGCACAAAATGCCGCTGAGTTTGATGCGGAAAATGATGGTAAAACCCAGTTCACTCCGGGATTCAATGTTTCGCCGTTCGACGACAAAGTACGAAAAAGGAGTTAATTTAATGGCTTCAGTAATGGATGCCGGCCGTACAATTCGACTAAATAGTTACGTTTTATGCTGACATAAGAATATTTTTCCAGCTGGAAGACGTTTCTCAAGATGCTCTTCGGCAGCTGAAAAAAGAGGAAGAAATGATGGAAGCACAGGTGGGGATAAATTGGCTTCTTTGCTGCAGCTTATTGTAGATTCGTTGAAAAGGTAGCTCTCTTAAAGTAGCCGAAAATCGCCGGTTAGGCACGGAATCCGTGCCGCCTATAAGGAAGTATTTTTATTTCACGCTTCGTTTTCTTGGGCATTATGCATATGCCGTACAGTGCCTAATTTGACGCTCACTGGCTGCCACCGTAATAATGACCGTATGCATCTATCGATCAATGATCAAAGTTTTTGGTAATTGTGATATTTTGTTCAAAATTTTTAGGTGGAATCCATTAAAATTGCGGCACTGTTCATTCCGATTAGTGATAGTATGAGTTCCAACTTCTCTTTCAACAAACTAAACGATAACGGAAGTGATGAAACGGTGTTCGACGAGCCGGACAACGATGCGTTTACCACTGAATCGGAAACAGTGGCTGTCAGCACCGCAGTGAGACCGGTTAACACCAAGAACGATGATCAGGATGATAATGACGACTCTGATAATGAAGACAACGTTGCAGACGACGATGCTTTGGATAGTGGAGATGACACTGTCACTCCGGCTTTTAATGATGGGAATGACAGCGATAAAGGTGCGAATTCGGATTAAATCGCATTGCTGTTTTCTCCCGTCTTTAATATGTTCCTACAGTCATTCAGCAATACCAGTTGCCGGTAGCATATACCTATTCCGCATCTGCAACTATAAGCAATGGCGGAATAATGTCCGGTTTGAGTTCAGCATTTTGTTTTTAGTTTTTCTTGTTTCTCTCCCATTTAATTTTCTTTCCATTTAATTGCAGTTTTCTCACTAAAGAGAGCAGTATTGTATTGGCCGTTTGTTGGAAAGTATTGCTGTCTTTGAAAAAAGTTCGAATTAAATTGTAAAACCAGTCTTACCTGTCAGGACAAGAGTCCTGAACGTATTGCCCGGCATCTTCTTGCATAAGCACACATCTACCGTACAAATGTCAAATACTACTGTATTCAACGGTGAACTAGTCATCATCATAAAGATTTATTTCTGCAGCTGTTCTGAACGCCGAAAACATTTTTCCCATTTCCAGCGGTCTGCGTCAACAGTAAAATGTATGCATTCATAATCGCAAGAGAAAAAAACATTCCATCATTTGTTTATCCAGCGAAGTTCGGGCATCCAGTGTCACACCGGTATTATTACATTCCTTTTTGCTTCATTTTGAAATTGTATAATTCACCTATTCGTTTGGCATTTAAAGCCGATAATTCCTGAGCTTTTTTCTCATCTGAATCTTGATGCCTTGCCAGTAGATTATATTCCGTTAGAAGCGGGTCACCAACACCTTGCTGAGAACCGTCAAACAATCTGTTCCAGTACCAGGGCAGCAGAAAATTATCTTGTAATAAGATAACTGATGTCAGCGGGCTGCGATCCGCGTCCAGCAAAACCACATTCCCCAAAAACTTTCCAAATCCCTCCCTCTGTACGTGCTTAGCATGACCAGCCTTGATATGAAATGGTGTCGTCCTTCCCAGGCCGGTGATTTTAACCAGAGTAAATAAATCCGTTTTGGAATCGTAGTAGCCGCGCAGTATCGCTCGTCGCCGCAAAAAATTTACGGCAAAAAACGTAAGAAAGGCAAAACCAACAGCAATGCCGTACTGGTACCGATGATCGAACTTTATGGGATTTCCGGCCATTGTGCGATCTACTTCTTCGAATGACTTAATCCGAAATCCCGATTCCAAATACCATTTAATTCCGCTCAGCACGATAAAAGCGAAAACAATGTTGACTACCGTACAGGCGGTACGCAGAGTTCCGTCCAGTTGGTAACTACGAAGGTATGCAAATTAATAGACAAAAGCTGGAAACGTCTGAAATAACAACGCATGCTTACGTGTAGACCATGGCAGCAAGTGGGGAAACGCAATCTTTTGCTTTCAGCTTCTGTATTCTCATAGCACTCATCGAGTTCTGGCCTGTTATAACGCGAAATACTCCGAAATTGCTAATGTATTTCCACAGCCTTCGAACAGCCGACAGTTTTTCGGTCGGAGATGGCCCGGACGATGCGCTGCCGGGATTAATATGAGGACGAACTTTGGGAATAGAGCTGCTTATCGTCGGCATCCGACTTTCAGCCTACCAAATTATGAATCTAGTTAATGACCCAAGAAGGCAAGGTATAAACGCCCATAAGAATACTATTTACATATCGCGTCTTACAACGACGTCGTTACGACGACAAAAGCACAACACGAATAGCAATGGACTTCATAGCCACTGCTTACGTTATCACTGCTAATACAGTTATACTAATGTTATTACTAAAGTTAATACTAATGTTATTACTAATGTTAATACTAATGTTATCCTCATTCAGTTACGCTGGACTGGTACTTCTTAGGTACTGTACGTAGGTACTGTACCTGGATAAACAGCCATCGCGACGCCAACAGTCTGGAGCGACTGCACACCTGACAGACACCGACAGTTTGCTGCAGAAGCATGGCTCAGAAAATAAGGCTTCCCGTAGCTTCAATAGTCTGAAAGTATTCGCATCGCCCAGGATAAGACTACATCTACGGACTACGACCACAAAGGACCATGAACAGCCAAACAAACAGTCCTGCACAGGGATCTTCAACGCAAAAAGTTAGACAAAAATGCGCACGTAGTTTACTGGTGATAAGCCAGATAAGGTTATACTGATCATGATGGCGGAATCTATTTATAATTCTAATCAATCTGTTAATAAATACACCAATTCATAATTATAGGTTTGAACTACGATTAGTATTCTAAAAAACTGATAAAAAGACTGATAAAAAATAAAAAAAAACTAAAAAAACTTAACTTATAGGCTTTAGGCTCTAGCCTTCTAGGTACTGCCACTATACTGGCACCAAAACCATCCAATAGAAAGCGTTCATTCCGCTACAACTGACCGCACGATCGCGGGGGCGCGCTGTAAGTAACCTCTGAGTGGCTGCGCTTGGAGCTTCCCGACTACGGACTACCCTACAGTAGGTTTAAGTTATTTTTGCCTTCCATCATTTAAAAGATTTTCATAATAATTTTCTTTTTGGTTTTGCAAGTGTTAAAATCGAATGCTGCCGCAAGCAACATCTAAAGAATCTAGCAGGCATTAAAGTAATCACGGCTGTGAACTTACTCATCATAATACTTGTGAACTTACTCGCTGCAGTGTTGACATTGGACGTCGAGAATGATTTAACTGCAGTGTTGCCCTTGGGTTCTTTGAAGTTTCCAAGGTCCTCTTAGTTCTTACCCAGTAAATTTACTGTTTTATATCGGGACGCGTCGTTGTGACCATTTGTTCTGCAGGTTCGTATGGTCTTTTGCCAATTTGTTTGATATATGATTCGTATGGTCTTTGATATATGATTCTAATGAAAAAAAAGCTTACTAAAAACGTGGAGCACTGTCATATTGGCGCCAGTGTCAGCCTAGAATATCCTTCACTTTTCCCTTTTGTTGCAGGAGTTGCGAAGTAACTCGGCGCCTTGCTGAATTTATCGTTTTACAGTTCTTCGGGATCTGAATTCTGCAATCTGACGGAGCCATGTCAATGGCGCCACCACAGTCAACTCCTAAAATGTACTCGGTTCCGCGGGTGCGTTTGTGGAGAATCAATGGTCCGTCATTCGAACCCTTGTCGGCAGACAAGGAAAATGCTTGCTCCGTGGTTGTTCAACGTACCAACGATCTAGACTCGTCCGCGGCATTCGTCATGCACGTTCTGATGGATGATCAAGAAGTAATGAAGATCCCCTTGAACAGCCACACAGAAAGTGCTGTCATTGGTGACAAAACGCTGGTTTTCGGCCCCAACGAAAAATTCCAGCAGTCTCTGGCCGTATCCGTGGAAAAGGAGGAAGATCTAAAAAAGCTGAAAGACATTGTTAATAGCATCAAGTCTGGCAAAATCCAGTCAATTTTCGAGAAAAGAACCGAGGAAACGTCGGCGATTCAGTACTTCCAGTTTTACAGGTATTAAAATAATAATAATTAAATATTCATTTGATCATCAGTTTTTTAATGCGGTGACGCCATAATCATACCATAAGCAGATTAAATGAACAGTGAGTTCCAGCGCATTGTTTTCCGGAAATTCAATGATTCAATCCATGTTATTTTACGGGAAATGTGCTTACCATTAATGAAAGTTTTGCGTCGGTTTGCAGTTTCCTTTCCCAACAACAAAACATGTTGCAAGATTTCGTGCGCACTGCAACCTATCAGCGTGCGATCCAGTTGAATGATGTGGACTTTCGTGATAAAGTGGTGCTGGATGTGGGAGCTGGCTCAGGGATTCTTTCATTTTTTGCCTGTCAAGTCGGTGCTCGGAAGGTGTACGCCGTGGAAGCCAGCTCCATGGCGGAACACTGTAACAGCCTGGTTCGTCATAACCGAATGGAGAGCGTGGTCGAAGTGGTCCATGGAAAAATTGAGGAAATTACCTTGCCGGAAAAAGTTGACATTATTATATCCGAACCCATGGGTTACATGCTGCTGAACGAACGCATGTTGGAAACATATTTACATGCTAAGAAATTTCTCCAACCTGGCGGAAGAATGTTTCCCACCTTTGCTGATCTGCATATCGCTCCTTTTAGTGATGAGGCTCTCTACATGGAACAACTGTCGAAAGCTAACTTCTGGTGAGCGAATGGATGATTTAATGCAGTTATTAGTGATGCCTCAGTATTCGCAGTTGTCCTTGTACTGTTTGGAGCTATTTTACAGATTTGTGGCGTTTCGCAATTTTTGAACATCTCATATGTTGTCCTTTTTAGGTATCAAACTTCTTTTCATGGAATTGATCTGAGTGCACTGCGAGAGAAAGCCTTTGAAGAATACTTTCGACAGCCAGTGGTGGACACCTTTGACGTTCGGATATGCCCGTCTGGTTCCGTAAAGTGGAGCGTAAATTTCGAGCGCGACAATGAAGCGGATTTGCATCGCATAGATATTCCCGTTAGTTTTCCATTGATTAACACTGGCATGATCCATGGCTTGGCGTTTTGGTTCGATGCTGCCTTCCAAGGAACGAATACGACCATCTGGCTGACAACCGCGCCCAATCAGCCCCTCACTCATTGGTATCAAGTGCGCTGTTTGTTAAAAACGCCGTTATTTGGCGTGAAAGGGCAAATACTTAGTGGACGTGTCCTCATGGAGGCCAACGGGCGACAAAGCTACGACGTGACCATCGATTTGGCCATTGCCAGCACAAATTCGCGGTCCGTTAACGTCTTGGATCTGAAGAATCCCTACTTCCGCTACACCGGCCAACCTGTCGAACCCCCACCGGGATCAAATACTGCATCGCCTAGCGATGCATACAACGCACAGATCCAGCAGCAGTATCAGCTGTGCCAGAGTACGGCTAATATGCAGGTGAACACGCCTTACATGGCCAACGGACCGGCGGCGAACTATCATGCTTACGGTCATCCGGGTGGGTATGCTACTATGGCTGCTGGAGAGACACCTGTTAATGCGGTTGGATACCAGCCCACTAATCCAGGCGGTAGCCAGATTCAGTTAGGACGAAATATTCATCCAGGAGGAATCCCTTCCATTGGTGGCTTTGCAAATACCAGCACGGGTGGCCAGCCACAGAACGCGCCTCCTGCTCGCTATCAAACATCGAACCACGTTCAGTACGGTTTTAGTTAGTTAACCTCGGCAGGAATGCCTGTTATAGACAGTTTGTGACACAACCTGGCCTGTACTGTTTATTTTTCCCGCTTTGATCACGCTGCTAGCTTTTAGCATCTGTTTGCGTTACAATCTTTCAAAGTTTTCACCAGTTAGCTGAATTCTCGCTTTTTGAATCCGTTATTTAATTTGGTAGAATGGAATTTTTTTTGTTTCCGTTAATGTTCAAACGATCCGTTCGATGTAACAGCAGCGTTTGCAGTTATTAATTTTTGTATGTTAGGGGTAACTGGCTATCGCGTTGAGTAAAGACTCAGTTAATTCTGCAGCCTCGCGCGCTGCCATTCTTATTTACTTGCATAATTTGGCTAGTAGTAACGCACCGTCAACCGTCCGAAATCATACTTCTTCATTAGAAGTTTATTAAATTATTTTTCGACAGTCTCATTCAGTCAGATCAGTAATAGATACATCGAATTTTATGAAAGGGTACATCTTTCATATCGTCATTGTGCGCCTGCCTATAATCCCAAAGATAATGATCCAGAACAATAGCATTAACGGAACCCACTGCATCTTTTCCCATTATATCTGAGATTTCCTTCCAGAGTAACTGTAAAACAAACACGAGATTTCGTATAATCCCTGCTTGCGCATTAAGCAACCAAATGTACCTACAGTTACTGCACAACGAGCAATCACTCACTTCAACCACCCAAACACTACTTCCCCTTATTTCCAGTTCCTCTTTCTCCCCATAATGAAATAAATAATTTTTTCGCAACTTATTTTCCAGCGTAGGAGAGTAGACCATTGTTTTGAAATAGTTCAACACTTGAGGTACTCGGTAATCGGGGAAAATTGTGAGATGATCGATGTCAGCGAAATTCAACAGATCCTTTCCTTCGAAGCATGCCCAAAGATCGGCCACGAGAATTTGCGCTCGCTTGTAGAAGTACACTGAGGAAGATTATTTGTTACAGTACAGCTATGCAGTAGTTTCAGTGGAAAGTTATTCAAAAGAGGTTTCGCTCACCTGTGCGGCCCTCGAAGATGGATTCATCCCGGTAAGAAGGGAAATCATTTACAATGATATTCAAAAGTTCCTTAGCAGAATGCGCTGCCTTTTTGATGCATGTGGCAAATGTTCCATCGAATTTCTGCAACCGATATCACGTAAATAAGTCCGTAAATAAGTTCGAAAACCTGGTTCTCAACGGCGTACTCGGCAAGCGATACTCATGTACAAGCTTGTCCGGTAATTTCCTACGTAAAGGTACAGCTAGCGCGAAGTTTGCGCTTATAACGATGGCCACTTCACTACGTTTATCAAATTGCCTAAATGCGCTCCGCAGTCAGGTTGTCGCTTACTGCATCAACCATTTTCTAGCCACCTTCCGCCAGACAGTTCCTATTATTTCATAAAATTAAATGGCGTGTACCAAGCCACCAGGCAGCCAAATGCTAGTTACGTGTTTAAGCAGTGTTGGCGCGCCGTAGCGTGAAGTTTGGCGTAACACGCAAATTTGTGTAGCTCGCTGTATTGATTCGTCAGAAATTACCGGACAAGCTTGTACTCTTGCTTACAGAGATTAATGTTTTAGCGGCATCATGGAGATTCTGTTTCCTTTCTTGTATCATGGGCATAACACCATGCGTGCTAGTACGGAAAACGTATTCAAGCTGTTGATCGGTAACTGCCTCATAATATTTCGGGTCCGTAATCGGAATGCCTTCCTGAAATAACACACAATAATTATACAGGGAAATATGAACCATAAAAAAACTACCATCGTTCTGTGCGTATTGTACAGTATATTTATAAGAGGAGCTTTTCTGAAAACGGTTGTTGACTAGTTGACAATCGGTAGTTGACTATTTGGCAAAAGAGAGCAATCTCAATTGACAAAATACAATAATAAATATCCACTATATAAAGCAGCAGTCTTCTCGACGCAAAGCAGCGGTTACTTCAAAATTTTTAGCACGTTTCGTTTGCTCTAAGTGACTGCCGAATATACTCGCAAATCGCAACAAACTTTAAATATCACTAACCGCTGAAAGGCCAAGATCTTACATCAAGAGCTCGGTTAACAGCTGCACACAATGCCCAGTAGCCAGTCCACCGCTTGCCATTGTATTCAACGCAGAATTTTTGATCGGATTCATCCTCCGACCAAAAAGAAAAATTCAACGTATCCACGAAGAAAATCCTGTAAACACCTGAAACGTTATCATCGTTACAGTCATGCCAGAATCCGGACCACGTTGTTACCACAAAATAACTGTTTCACCCGGCAACCCACTTTCTAAAACCTCATTTCTAATTTCACCACATACAAGCAGCGAAATTTCATTCAAAATTATTTCGCTAAAACGTAACAACGGCGGAGAGATTATTAAATGCAAGCGTTAAGTAGTTTTTGGCGTAGTTAATATGACAGGTATTATATTAATTTAACTCACCAATCGACCGCTTTCTGGTCTGCTGTTTTCGGGTGCAGTTCATGCTTCTTCCACCGATCCAAGCCCATATCACCCTGGGCGATTTTTCTCGACAATAACCCGGCCAATTCCCGAATTTTGGTCATATCGACGGAAACGCTTTCCGCATGTTTACAGATGAATTCCGCTGACTGACGCACTAGATCGCTGCGGTGTGGTCCGCTGTCGCTTGCGCAATCGAGATTTTGCTCCTATGCAGAAACCACATTGTTATCGCCGGCGCTTGAATTTTAATTACGTACTGAAATCTAAACGGAGACAATTCTCTTCACTTTCTTTAACTTTAACACGTATTATATAATAAAACTCGATTGTACAAATGCGTTTTCAGCAACGACTCTGAAATGAATCGTTCCAAAACACAAACGCAGTTAAAGTTCTGTCGCGTACGCGTCCCCTGCGGACAGATGAAGCCGTCCGAGCTCTTTCGCACGCAATTAAAACTATGCAACTCCTGTAAAGAATCACCATTCCTCTTTTTCCCATAACGAGATAGGAAGGCGAAACCGATAGTAGAAATATGTATTTAAGGCTACAATATCCTTACGAATTTACCGTACCATGAGAATATTTCGCCGGCGATCCGCCGATGTGCGGGTTTGAAAAGCGGAATAGGAGCTTCAGATTCTGGCTCTCCAAATTCCCGGTACGAAACCCTAAAAGTATTCCAAGTTTAGCAAAGCGAAAAGCCACAAACAGCCTATCCCTGTTTCCAAAACCCGAATAACATTTGTTGTAGCATATTTGTCCATGCCAGCGTTCTCAAAAGAAAAACCCTGGTTCTACTTCATATGCACCACCGATCCAAAAATCACAAAGTTTCTCTGTTTCTGTTTACAGTTTTACTGCAAATATTGCCGGATTATTTTAAGTAAGTACTTACAACAAGCACTGAGTCTCACCGAAAGTCGATAAACACAATTGGAATACAACTTCAGTTTATTAAAAAATGGCACACACACCGACAAAAAAGTTGCTCCGAATTCTGAATTCGCGAAAATGTTTTGTGAGAAGTGAGAACTAAGGCTGGTAATAAGCCGCACTCGTAGTTGGTGAGCCGGGAGCCCGGGAAACACTACGGTATTTTATTCCGTATGTATTGTACGTACGGTACAACAGACGCGAGTGCTGTACCATAGAAAAGAATAATACTGTGTAGTACGTGCGCTCGTAGCCGATCCTCTCTGCCAGTCTTAACAACCTGTGGTCGAGTTGTAGTGAATTGTGTAAACACGCTGTGCCTGCATATTTAATGAGAAGCGATATCTCGAGATATTAGTGAGTCGGCGGCAGTGATGTCCCGTTTTTTTCACGGGCTCGGTAAATCACGGGAATTTCCCGCACCCCGCACCCGCTTTTGCTCGGAAAGCGGTGCGGGAGATTTTCTGCTCGGATCGGGTGCGGTCGGGATTAAAGCTTGATAAGTACGCCCGCCCGCTGCTCGGAAAAACTCGGGATTTATTTGAATGGTGAAAAATTAAATTATTTGCAAATTAGAAATTTGAAAATTATTTTGTAAGCAAGCCAAGGTAGCATGTAGCAGTAACTTGCTGTAACTAATTCCACTGCTCCGCATTCCAGTAGCTGTTGTAATCCCATTGCCGCTGGCTGGCGGCTGCAGACTGCAGTACACTTTCAGTACCGTAACTTTCACACTTCCAGTATCGCGCTTTGTCTCGTGCCTTGGCACTGGAATTAACGAAAATTCAATTTTTCTGCCAACCATCTGTTTTTAACTGTTTGGCCAGAGACCGTAAACTGTAAAGTGGAGATCAAACGTGTTATGATTTATCGGGAGTTTAGAGTTAGTTAATTTTTATTCCATTTCTAAGGAACTGAAGATTGTTCTTTTATTGCTCTAAAGCAAGGCTGGGTTACTGTGTTGAGTGTGTTCTCATTATGTTCGACTTCTTGATGATTGAAAAGCCATGCAGCAATCTATTGTTATTGACGATGATGACGGCCAAGAACCCGAAACCAGCGCTTCTTCTCCGAGTTCTCCGACTGCCCCGGAATCTCCCCAAGCGCCGAATAATTCCTCTGCTGCGAAGGTTTCCGCAAAAGAATACTATGAGACATTCTTCGTTAACCCCGTATGCAAGACTGAATGTGCTAAAGGACAGGCGAGAAGCTGGAAAAAGTACTCCGCGACGTGTAAACTCTGTGCTGAATCGGATGCAAAGAGACTGGTGAATGGAGGAGCGGATAGCTTTGACGCGTTCAAAAAACATGTTACGCGGCATCATTCGAAGACGAAGGTACGGTTTTTATTATGCATTTCTGTATATCAGCTGATACAGAGTATGTAGGACAAATGCAATCTAGAAACTAGACAGTATATTATAGCTTGCCGTCGCGTTTGGCACTATTATTTCATTACTCAGTGGCATTTTCGTGCTTTGCAGGACTATACGGAGTTTATTGCCAAAAAAGTCAAAGATAACGAGATCTCGCAAACTAAGCTGTCCAAGGAGCAGCCAACCTTGACCGAATTCGTGATACAAAAAGTTGAACCGTACGGCAAAAACCATTGGAAGCAAGTTCGGCTAAATGATGCAGTCGGAAATATTATGCTAAAAACCCTCGCACCGCCGTCCATGCTTGGCGACCTAAGTTTCGATGAAGCTATCAAAATTGGTGATAGCAAACTCAAGGTTAGTACATACTACATAATACATAAACCTTTTTATTAATTGACTTGAAGAAAACAACTGTTATAAGTGCAACGTAAAATTCAACATAAAATTATTTTGAATCTTTCCATGCTCCTTTATTGTAAAATTCACTATGTTGTAAAGTTTTCGTTATTTAGTGGCCTCGACGACACCAGCTGACGCGCCACATCCTGCCGAAATTCGAAAAAGAAATTCGTGGGAAAATACAGATCTTGTTGTCTACTGCCACAGCAGTATCATTAAATGTGGATTTATGGACCAGCAAGAGGTGCCATGGCTATATGGGTGTAACTGTTTCGTTTATCGATGAAAAATTTTGCCTACGAAATTTCGTGCTGGGATGTCCGCGTTTTAAAGAGTCGCACACTGCAGAGAATATTTTTCAACTAGCTACCGTCTTGATACTCGACTACAACTTGAAGGATGTCCTGCATTATGTTGGGCTTGACAACGGCCGAAATTTTGTAAATGCTTTTGACGACTGGATGCCAAGCCTTTTTCCCGCGGAGTTTTTGCGCAAACCGGATGCGGAAGATGAACACGTTGTCGGTAAATTGTCATGTAGTAAACTGTGCAATTAAAATCAGAAGCATCTGCATTTTTCAATGGCTAACTCTATTGTGATTTTTAATATACTAGTTTTGTGTTCTATGCTGCTTACTGTGTAGATGAGGACGGATTGAATGACTGCGTGGAATCCGTAGAAAACGATGATGAAAGAGCGGAGGAAAGCGACCTTGATTTTGATTCCCAGCGCACAGAGCAAGCCTTTCAAAAAATCCGTGACACATACTGCCGGATTCCCGATAGAAACATTGTGGTAAGTTTGTGTGCGAGTGTTTTGTGTTATAGTGATTTCTTGTGTATTATTTATATTTCGTATTTAGTATTTTCGCAAAACGTTTAGTTTTTTTATATACTCGTTTGTTGTATTTGTCCTCGCGCGTACTGCCGCATAGTTTATTTGTGATTTTTTTTAATTTTGATTTGTAATCATTTTGTTTTTTCGTGTAGGTCCGGTGCGCGGCGCACACCTTATCTTTGGCCATTGGTAGCGCAATGGCAGATGCGCAGGTTATCAACCAAGTTATAGATGGTCTTGCTGGGATCGTTAACCGTGTTAAGCATTCGCATTCGGAGACAACCATTCTGGAGGAAGCGTTCAAGAAAACCTTTGTCAGCCGCAATCAGACCAGATGGAACTCGAACTTTTTAATGGCCAAGCGGGCAGCGGAATTTGATTGGGAAAGATGTGGACTCTCTCAGAAAAATATTTTGAAACCTGCGCACCGCCTTGTATTGCAAGCGTTTGTAAATCTTATGGAAGTTTTCAATGCATCGTTTAAGATTCTGCAGACGGCTGACTATCCTGTAATTGGAGACGTTATTCCTATTTTATGTGGACTTCGCAGGCATATCAAAACATGCCAAAGAATATAGACTTCGTGTTATTGCAAGATTTTATGAAAGGCTTGCTGAAACAACTAGACGAAAGATTTGGTGCTGTGGAAAAGACAACCTGTACCTTGCCGCTGCTTTTGGATCCCAAATATAAGCTTCTGTGGTGTAATAGTTTTGGACCTGAGAAATCTGCTGAGATGGTTATCAAAATCAAGGCGCTCATGCTGGGCATGATGCAAGAAGTTGGCTGCGGTCAAGACGTGCAGTTTAAAGAAAGTAAGTGAAAAAGAATCACAGTTAAACTAATTAAGTATTAAGTCGTGTTTGATTTTTACTGAATCATTCGCTTATCCTTTCCGCATATTGATTATTTATTTATGTTTAGGCAAGAATAGTTTTGTCGGTCCGGATTTCCTGAACTTTTTATACAGAGGACAAAGTAGCTTGAGCGGCCGTTTGTCGATGCGACAGGACAGCGGAAGTGACAAAGCTGCAACGTGCGAAACTGAACTAGAGATGTATATTGCCTCTTCGTGGATAGGGACGAACCCCTTGGAATTCTGGAAAAGTGCTGAAGCGGCCTGCTTGCCACGTTTGAAAATTCTTGCCAAACAAGTTTTATGCGCTCCAGCAACGACCGCTGACGTCAAACGGATGTTTAGTGTTGCGGGAAATTTGCTCAGTAACAGGAAATTAAAAACTTCGGATGAGCATTTCGAGAGATTACTGTTTTGTAGTATTAATAAGCGGCGGTTAGATGGTGATTTAAATGTCGGTGGTAAGAGAAAGCTGAATAGTTGACGGTGATAATAAAATGTACGGCGATACTATAATTTCAAGCTAAGGGTGAAATTTCTTAAAAGTAAGATTTACGATGCAGGTTGAAAAAATAGTAACTTTCCAAACGTATGGCATACTTGAAACATTTTTAAAAAAAAGGCTGTAACAATAACATGGTTAAAAAAAATTATTTTATTGAAAATCGGGAGTCGGAGCGTGGTGCGGGACTGTCCGAGCGCTCGGGTGCGGGAGCGGGTGCGGGAAAGTTTTTGATCGGGAAAGTGCGGTCGGGACATGAAAAATTGTAAACGGGACATCACTGGTCGGCGGTATCCGCCGTAAACCGTAAAACGGGCACCGCTTTTAATCAAAAGTACAGAGTTAGACAGTGCGTGTGTCTAACGAATTTCTGTCTGCTCCCTTGATTAAATGCGTTTTACGGCGCCCGGTTGCTTCCCCAGGCGGACATCGCCGACTCACTATTGTGGTCATATTTAAAAACTAAACAGACGGTTGTGATCGTTAAAGCGTAAGGAGAATGAATCTTAAAAAAAATTTGAAAAAGAACATACGCATAAGCAAATAATTCATTATCCAAGCTAACGGGGGGCATAAATCGCGGATGGAAATGCATTCTCAATGGGGCATGCCGACCTTCTGTCCGGCTCCCTTGGCTCGGTTCCGGACCAGTAGCACTGCACGTGTGCCTTTGTTTGCATAGACCGGCCGGACCAGCGCGCGCTATTTCTGCGAAATGCTCAGTGTATTTCTGTTAGCAGTTTGCTCAACATAATAATATTATGCAACTTAAAATGCCACTTTGTACTCAAATATGGATGGATGCGTGTTTGGTTAATGATTACAAATCTTTTTGAATGGACTCAATGCACATCTCGGGGATATAGTCTGATTGTGTACCTTTAAACGGCTGTTTATTTGACATTGGAAACAGCAAGGCAACCAAACCCGTATATTGGTGATTGGTGAGCACATTTGTACAAGAACCTGACGCATAACTTATCAAAATACTTGAAAAAGGCTTTTCTGCATGACAGTATTTGGCCATCCGTCGTAATTAATGTTAACGTTACGCACAACTTTGCAAGGAGAATAATTGTTTTTTCGTCATAAAATACTTATGTAATAACATGTATGTAGCATGCACCTATTTTAAATTTTCATGTTGGCAACCGCCCACGGGAGTCAGTTACAAATTTTAGATATTTTGCAGGCATTCTAGCACTTATGTACCTAACTCCACGGCGTTCTTCTGCAAATGGCAACTAAGCCGAAACTAAAAAAATACGAAATTGTCATTAAAGACGGATGTAGAAAGATCTTTGATGGACGACAACTTAGAAGATTGTGCAACGGGTTAGGCGGAGAACTGTGCAACAATAATGCCACCGCGAAGCAGGGCTACTGTGCCCGACATGCTGCACTTCTTCCGCCACCCAGCTGGGAAGTAAAATCAAGCGGGACAAAGAAGAATCGAAACGACAAAACGCGGCCACGAGAAAAACGAAAGCGGTCAACAGATATGGCCAGACGTAATGTTGCAACGTTGTTTTCTTTTTGTCACTGGAATGTTCTGTTGCTTCGTACTTGAGTTTTAAGGGTAGTTTTTTTTATGTTTGTTTTAATTGTTTTCTGGTATTCCTTTGTTATCGTCGTACAATTGTGAATGCTTCAACTTGTGAACTGTAGTGGGTTGCTGTGTTAAACTGATTTTTCTGCACTGATTCCTTTAGTATTACGCTTGGATTGCAGAGTTAAAAATAATTGTTGTTTTTCGTTGAGAACTGCATGTGTCATTGTTTGTAATTTCCAGTACGTAATAATAAGCACCAGTTATATGCTTGAATGAAATTACACCAATATATCTGTACAATTAAGTGCTTTAGTAGTAAGTACATCAATAATTTTGTAAGTACGGTACTTTATGGTATCCTTTTTGGAAATAGTAACGGCTACTGTAATGGAAGTACTGTAAGTGCTTCTACGGCTCGGAATTAGTTCAGCTCTGAACTGCAAATTGCCTGAGCCGTTGCTTCGCCGCCCGATCAGCAAATTGTGGGTACAGTTTGTTTGCACAATTCATTACAACTCGACCACAGGTTGTTAAGACTGGCAGAGAGGATCGGCTACGAGCGCGCGTACTACACAGTATTATCCTTTTCTATGGCTGTACTGTATCTGCTGCTGCTCTGCCTGTCTGACTCTGCACTATTGTAGAGCGTCAGTGTTCTATCCTTAGTTCCTTACAATTGTTAAAACAAAGGTCAACCTGAAAGGTATTACTTGAAATATTAATATTATTTACGGAATTACAATTACTTTACATTGGCAGTTTACTGAGCTTCGGCCTGCGCAATTCAGGACCGGTACGAGTATCGTTTATTGCCTTTTATGCTATTGGTTCTATGTGCGATCTTTCTCTTATTTAACACTATTTTTCCCGTATTTTAACAGCTCAAATGCGTAAAATACTTATTTATGTCTTTTTAGTAAGTAAGTACCGTAATTTAACCCAGCTCCAAACATAACACAGGAAATTACATAACTTATTAGTGCTTGAACGTTTGTTATAAAATCGGAAAGAACTCCTGTTTACGGCAGTGTGCGATAATGTGCACAAGCATTCAACAGTGAACTTTTGAACCTTTAAGAACACACTACGAGTACAGCAATTCTATTACCAAGAAAGCACGCGATCGATGGTCAGAATTTAAATACTCATTTTGTTGAACAATGCAAATGAATCGCATATCTCCTAACTGCTATTACTCTAGATTTAAACAATGCTCATATGGTAATAAACGAAATCTGCAAATCAAACAAATTTCATTCCGGTTTCGACATTTAAATTAGGTTGAATCAAAAAAGAAAAACAGCGCTGTTCTTTGACTTACGGTAACTAACCGAAGAATCTGAAAAATAACATAGAAAATCATACTAGGTAGGAACGTCCATCGGACAATTCAACAGGGATTTTCTAAACTGATCGCCCAGTCAGAGAAGTCATGTCAAATGGTGACGAAGTCTTGTAAGTTATTTCACATAAAAAAATCCAGACATAATTTCCACTTCCAAGCAGGAAACCGCATAAGTTATCGCCACTTTTTCACTACGCCAACGACACCCAATAAATTCCATAGTAGAGTAGTACCCAATGACTACCCTCCAAGGAACTAAAACTCTATCAGCGGTTTAACATCGACAGAAGGTGGCGGGACATCAGCCGGTCGAGGAGCGCTTTTCTGCACCGCACTGGCTTCTTGATTGAAATTGGTTGTTCCGGTGTCTTTTTTAGTCGGCTGATAATTTTTATCCAAATACAATTTCCGCTCATATTTATCCCGAATGAATTTTTCCAAAACATTGTCAGTCTCAGGACGGGAAAAACGCAAATTCTCCGGCAGACTGGCTTCGTATTTTGCAGCGGCAGCTGCATTCCCCATGCTCTGCATGGAATTAATCTGCTCCTCCGTCCAGGAATCCAATCCCACAGATTTCACTTTAGAGATATGCACGCCCAGATTTCTATGAATGCCCGCACAGCGAATACAAAGAAAAACCCCCAAGTTCCACGAAGCCCAACGCGGATTTCTGGCCCAACAATCGGCGCACTTCTTGTTGTTCTCATCCTGCAACATCTGGTCCAGGATTATCTGGTACTGCGTCTGATCGCTTGGCTTCTTGGAGGGACCGTTGCGAGATGCCATTGCGCGGACTGGGTCTTCGAGAAACAAATAATTACAAAATGCACAAATACCAAGTACCTAACTTGAACAGGACCACCAACGATTGCACAGAAACTCCTTCGCAGTGATCTAAGCGAAAAACTCTGCAGTGTAACGGCGATTCGTTTGCCACTTTGGAATGGTTGGCCACTTTGTGGATGGAGTGGTTGGCCGAAGATTAGCTGTATACTGGATAGGAGACTCCAAACTTAAGAAATTTCCTGTTCTCGAATTCCCCTGACAACTTTCGACAGCAGATCACAGATCAGAGATCGCCGATTCAGGACTACACACAAGCCGTTCACACACACACACAAGCCGTTCACACAGGCACATGAAAATCGAACAAGGATCTGTTCGAATTTAGTTGCCGAACGGCAAAATCACAATCTTCCTTGAAACTCAAATGAGAGCAAAACTAATCAGAAAATTTCATTGTGAACTGGGAAGATAGATTTAAGATTTTATAATTTTTAAAAGTTAATAGGAACAACGAAAAACAATTGTTAGGGGATGCGAATTGTTGTATTGATTTTGTTCTGGTCCACGAACACGTGTAGCGACGGTGGATGCGTTTTGCAGTAGTACATGTTTCGACTCATGACAAGCACGCCCTGCTTTTTCACAAGTACGGTGCAGCTGTGCAGCTGCGCTGTGCAGACAGTGCAGTAAGTATTGCTACGGTGTTAAGGTGTTACTTTAATTTTCTGCACTTTTAAGTTCGGCTGTTTTTAAGTTTTTGCTTATTTTTTCGACTTAAATGGAGTGAAGTTAGACGGCTCAACCGAACTATTAATTCGGAATTGGAAAGTAGCCTTAGTCCCGGTTTTCGCGATCACATCTTGGTAATTAACTGCGTGATTTATCCATCAGAGTAGAGCTGAGATCCGTTTCGCCAGTGTTTTTACCCTGTTTGCGTGTCTTGGTAAGAATGTGACTGCGGAAACCGTCCACGTCGCCAAAGGTTGTCATGGTTTTTTGTTAGATAACACAACTAATATGTTTCTTCACAGAAATTTGCCAGCCTCTCATTGAAGATGGGTTTAACAATCTCCAGTTTATTCGGACGGCTATTTGGGAAGAAGCAGATGAGAATTTTAATGGGTATGTCGTGTGTGAGGCATTTGTAAGAGTAAGGCCTAAGACTAAGTTCGCTTACGGCTTACACTGAAATTTGTTCTCAAACAATTAATACTATTTGGTAAGAATAGGTAGGATCATCGATTGGCCGCCATTACAGTATTTACGATACTTTAGTAAAAACTGTCAAAGTATATATTTTTATAGGCTGTTCGCAGTTATACCTATGTACGTTACAGTAGGTAAGCATTATTATGGAAAGTAACGAAAGTTGGAAATTTGTCCGGTTTTCTTGGAAGTTAAATTTGCTGGTTTCTACAGAAGTGTTGTGGAATTTCTTGGTGATAATTTCTTCTCTAGTATTGTAGTTAAGCTTAGCGTCGTTGCCGTAAGTCTGTACCGTTTATGCTTTGTGATTTGCTGTTTTCTGTTAATTCTTAAGAGTCCGAATCTTTCAATTTTAGTGGGGCTGGATGCTGCTGGGAAAACAACAATTCTGTACAAACTGAAATTAGGAGAAATTGTCACAACAATTCCTACCATCGGTAAGCTGAAGTTACAATAGCTGTTTACTGGTTTTAACATGTTTTGTATGTGTACGGCGTTTCTGGATTCCGTAATTAAAAAACTAAGATAAACAGCCTGAATGACCCTGAAATGAAATAAAAGCTGAAACAAGCGGCAGGTTTTAATTTCTCATTTCTTGGATCGTCTGCTGGCCGTAAGTGCAACCTTTTTTTCGACAGGGTTCAATGTGGAAACGGTCGAATACAAGAATATATCTTTTACCGTGTGGGATGTTGGAGGACAGGACAAAATTCGTCCTCTGTGGCGACATTATTTCCAGAATACACAAGGCTTGATTTTTGTGGTAGACAGCAACGATCGTGAGCGAATTGGCGAGGCACACGAAGAATTAAATAAAATGGTACGTTGCGAGATTTGCGAAGGGCTGCATAGAAAACGAAACAAAGTTTATCAATTTAGGTGTTTATTTTCACTGCAATAAAATTGAGTTTTGGTATTTTGTTGAGTCTTACTATTGCTTCTGTGCTGTTTTTGATATATGAGTATCATAGTTGACTCTTTTGCTTTCCCTCTACATGCAATCCATAAGCCAGTCGTCGTCTAGCAAAGAGGGGATTTTTCGTTCGTTTAGATTATTTAAATAATGTGTTTTCAGCTCCAAGAAGATGAACTTCGGGATGCGGTTCTGCTTGTTTTTGCCAACAAGCAAGATTTGCCGCAGGCTATGTCAGCCGCAGATTTAACAGATAAGCTGGGTTTAAGCGCGCTTCGTGGACGAAAGGTATTTATTATCTGGTGTCTGTTCATTAACATGTGTATTTTGATTTTGTTGTACCATGATGAATACGCGATAGATAGTTTTTTTTAAATCTTCTTGATACTTGTAAAATTTCAAGTCTTAGTCAAGATGTCTTTGACAGCCAATTTTTGTTGACCTATGACAACGTTAAATTTAAGTTAAAACTTAGTATTCAGTTAAAAAGCAATAATTACAGCGTGCTGTGGTTTTTTAATTATTACTTTATGCTTTTGTTCTAACAGTGTGAGTATTGAAATTGTCTCTTGTTCCAGTGGTATATTCAGGCAACTTGTGCCACTCAAGGCCATGGATTATATGAAGGCTTGGATTGGCTTTCCAACGAGCTGGCAAAATAGTTGTAACGATTACCCTTTGATGGATTAGAGCTGGGATGCTTAAAAGCCGTACCGCTTGTTTAAGTTTTTTTCTCACTGTTTCCGTTTATTCATTCTGAGCTGTTATTCCTCCACGTGTATATTGATAACTGATAAATGCAGATCACTTGGGCACATTTATCAAGCATATTTTTAACGATGTGGAATTAACTGATGGGCTCTAGCACTACTCATACTAATATAGCAGATATTTTAATTTTGTACTGTTATCCTGAGGAAGTAGGAGTCCATGAATTTCCTGTTTTTGTTCGGCTGTTTATTTACTTGTATCAAATCTTTTGATCTATTACGTTTCAAACTTCCTTGATTTTAACATTTTCGGGAGTTGTTGTTTAGAAGCGTTCCGTATTTGCACATGCAGACTATAAATCAGTGTTTCTCAAGATTGTCTGTGGCCCGAATATGAGAAGTCAGCATAAGTCACGGCAAGATTTATTCACAATATTCTGGGCCACCTGCAGTACAGAAAGCGATCTTTTTCAGTTGGTCAAAAAGTTGATCAGCGAAGCTTGCACATCCTTCGACTATCAAAACAGATATGAGAGTACTATGAATCATGTATCAAATTTTCCAGTCAATCCAAAGCAACAGCAACAAAGCGTTACAGATCAATCGACACTTTTAAGCCCAAACTGATTTTAAGACATTTAATAAGCATATCAACACATTAAGTTGGAGTTGGGTCACTTCTTAACAAAGTCAACCTGTAGATCTCTCCAGTTAGTTCACGGAACTCGGCGTTAGCTGAGTTACTGCCCAGCACAAGAGAGCGCTCATGTATCTCCGTCAGCAATGCTGGCGAACTTAGAAGATAACCAAGAGAATCCTGTGGATAACCGGAAACCGCTGATTGGCTCCGGACCTGCTTCAGTACATTCCGCAGCAACAGGGACAAGCGCAGCAATACCGGTTCAGCGACGCTTGGGTTGAAAAAAAGGCCCAAGAAAGTTTTCGGGATCTGAAGAAAGACATCACTTGTTGTTTTCTACATTATGCTGCATCCAACTTCAGTTTCCTACCTTTGTTCGAAGGAGTTTGGGTACAGTTTCATCACTGCATGAAAGATTCACAAGAACTTTCAGAGCATGGAACTTTTCATTGTCAGTAGACTGGGAAACTACATCGAATTTGGAGAACAAAACCTCAACACTTTTTTCGTCAAAATAGACATGATTTTGAGGGAGAACTGATAAGTTCAACAGGGCGTTCAGGCAGTTCAGTTGCAATCCTTCGAACTGGGCGGTTCGCAATGCATTCAGCAAATCCGGAACACATTCCTACATCAGACGTTTCGTTAATAAACACTCTAACAACACAACTGAAGGGCACAGAAACTACTTTGTACCTTCAAAAAACCTTGATTAACTTCGTTAACGGCCAGATTAGACATAGCCTGGGCAACAACGCTTTTAATCCTTTCCGGTGCCGACGATTTCAACAAATCACGCAATGCTTCCAAACAACCTGCTTCTCGAAGAGAATCCTAAAGGAAATAAATAAAATTCACGTGACAAGAAATGTCTGAATTAACATCACAAATTTACCTGATTACTCGTGAAGGTAGAACAATTCGCTATCGCAGTGATAAGTTTCATAAACAGCTCTTCATCTTGCTGCGCATAGTGAGTGGATACCAATTTTACCAAACACTTTGCATCCAAATTGGAAACACTTTTCAGAGACTGTTCTGTCTGACTGGCCATGACCTCCAAACCAAAAGCTTGCAGCTGCTTATCGAACTTTAGTGAGTTAACGTGGATAATGGATCTGGATTCTTCCTGGGGAGAATTTAAACCATTCAGCAATGCATTAATCCCCACATCCAAGGGCATCGTCATGGGGAAGAACAAACTAGCGCGCGGTGTCGACGGCAGGCTGGTGTTGCCGCGCGCCTTTGATAACTGCTTCAGGCGGCGCTGAAAAGTTGGATTGGGGGACACGGTAGCCGACGAAGACATCCAGGAGCTGTAATGCTGACCATATGGAAGATCCAAAGCATCAAAACCAGACGAACCAGAAGTACTGGATGCAGATAAGGCGCTTGTCAGTGCCAACGCATCGGATGTTTCTAAAAATGCACATTTGCATTAAACAATTTAACGGCAATCGTCGGTAATAAAAACGCAAGAGCAATCCTGGTACTTCACAGGTTCATATGCGCGAACAGTCATGCAGTGTCCGTGCTCATGCTCGTTCTGATAATTTTAAAAAATATCCCACCTGCCACATCGCGCGATGTGGTCAAGGAATTTGTTTGCATTTGTTTGCATTATAAATATAATTGTGGTAGAATGTTAAGATGTTCTTGTACGGCAGATATATAGATGATTTTGCTACGGTCTAATTACCGCTTCAAAAAGATTAACCCATTCTGGATATAACAACGCACGAGTACAGAAAATAGTTGCTAATAAAACTCACCCAGTTCGGGGATTTCTCCTCGATTCCAATAGTTGACCAACTTCAACAATCGAAATCCCATATATGCAGCACCAGCGAAAGCTGCAGTGCCGACTAGTGTCCGGTTTAAATGCGGCTCTCGCACAGAAAACATATGGCGATGATCCATGATTAGAGAACAATCTTGAAAATGCCGAAGAACACAAACGACGACAAAGTGGTTGCAAAGTCTGTTTACCAACGTCCTTTACACCGTGTTTAAAATAAGGATCCGTTTATCTGAAATAAAAGTGCTATTTTTAAACTCTGCATTGCAAATAAAACCGTTTTGAAAGCGGCAAGCAGGCTCTCAAAAGGCATCACATAAATTTGGTATCACAAAGAAAACTTTGCGACCAGGTATTTGAACGTAATTTGGAAGTCTTAAATAGTGACAATTCGATAATCCACACACTGTGACACACAAAGTAGAAGCTAACTTGTAAGTATAAAAATGGGATTGGCAAGAGCCCTCTCTTAATTCCAAGCTCATATGGCATACGCTGCAGAAGTCTTCCCTGCATTTGCATTGTGCACGAAAAATTTAACACTGCGATCTTCAGTTGCAACAACCACGCTGGTCTTCGTAGCACAGACCAGTATGTACTCTATAGCGCTCCAGTTCTAATTTTATTCTACGCAGTTCTCAATCGACCAGCTCTGAGAAAAGTTCGTCACGAGCTGTGGATATGGACTCAGTCAGACGTCTTATTTAAAAGTCATTAAGTTCGTCTGCTTCGCTTTTCCGATCTGTTTCATTTAAACCTGTTACATATTCCGTACACGTACTTCCATACTTCCAGTAACATTTCTAACCTAGCGATTTCCAACGCGCAACATTCATAACAGCACTCTCCAGTCTTTACCAATATCACTATGTCATAATTTTTGTCAAATTCTTGAGGAAACACCGGCAGTGGCGATCGAATGATCACATGAAAAACACTGCCAATGAATACTCTCCACAACGCACTAATCAGACGCTACAAGTAATAAAACAGAAAAGTGGAAACACACCAGTGCCGGACTGCCGGTACACATGGCATTCATAGAAGCAAAATTTATGCAAAAACGCTTACAACAGCAAATGCTGCACTCCAGCCAACACCTCACTTTCTTTCTTCACTTCCAGAGATAACTTCTTCATAACTAGTATATAAAAACAAACTTGTTAAAATGTTTACAGTTCAATAAATTAAATAATTTAATTTAAAGTTTATTACTTAATAAATTAAAGTTTATTACTTAATAACAAAGCAGTGAAGTGGAATCTACAAACTAGCTGTTCTTCTTACGTTTTAACAGTACTTAATATTATTATACCAATGCTACGGGCTACAGGCTTACAACTCTCCCGGCTATCCATCCCCAAATCCCCCACGTAGTTTTATGATTAATTTCTCTGGATTCATCATTACATAAACACTAACAATTTATATAACGTCAAACTTGCATAGTTAACAATCAAGTAAATACCAATAAAGACTCGAATACCAATAGTCCAATGCCATTCGTAGTGCCTTACCTGTCAGACGGCGGATTTGACCGCGAGCAGCCGATATGATCCTAGGATTCCAACAAATCCCAGCTGAAAGTTAGTTCCTCAATGCAATTCGCAGTCGTCAATGACTGTCGAAAAATAGATACCGTGGAATCCATACATCCGCGGATATCGGACTTCCTCGCGAAATAAAATTTTATTATGACGGTGAAATCGTAATTGCTCAGGTCTCAGTCTCCTCAGCCTCTCCTGTAGCACCAGAGGTACTTAGCAGGCAACAGCAAGTAACTGCACGTTTATTTGCGAGCCTAAATGGCATACTCTTCAAACTTCCAACACACAGCTGATATAACTGCAAATCTATGACAATCATAAAATAACTAACTTCAAAATTGTAAGATGTCTCCTCAAAATTTCGCAAAAAAAATCAATAACAATAATCACCTAAAAACTTCTGCAGTCGTTATCCTTATGGCTTATGTTATGGAGCGCACGCTTCCAAAATCATCCACATTTTCGTAAGTCACATTACGGCACCACATCGCGCCCGGAACACAAACAACAAGTCCTGGCCGTGACTGGAAATCTGCTCTGGCTATAGCCAGACTGCACGTGACTCAGAGCGCGCCGCCAGATGCACCGGAGTCGAAATTGTTGTCGACTCGAAATTAGTCGAGAGCCAGAGTCATCAAGACTGTCACAGAGCCACCACAGCAGTGAGTACTGACTACTGAGTGCGACTTTTGTCGAAATGTGAGCCAGCGTACAAGTCAACCGCCACGGAGCGATAATAAACTTACTAATTTACAGTATGTAAGTAGTACTAAGTACTACTTTTGTGGTTCCTAATTTCCTCATTTTCCTGTTTCTTTCGAGATAAGGAAATTCGAGCTTTAGAAACGGTAAATCATCAATTAAATTTGCAACAGCTGACTCACACCTATACTAGTAAGGACCACTGTAAACAAATTTTAGATACCTATCTAATCGTAAACATAAGTGAATCGTTGTAAATTCTTGTTACCATTATTTAAGACTTCCTTTTTCGGCACATACCCAGATACCGGTTACTGGGGTCACCAGTGACCAGTGTGTTGCACTTCCGCTCTTTCACCGAATTTTCGAAAAGCGGTTCATATTTCAAAACAGTAGTGCAAAAATAAAAGCCGACCATATCATCAATTTTCTTGGTCCGTTGAAAAACCATGCGAACAAAATTCCGTACTTTTTTCGTACAGACAGAACAGCGAAACAGGAATTAGTTAGGCATGCCAGCAAGATCGGACAGCAAATTTATATAAAATTAGACACCCATAAAACAAGTAACTAACATCTTACGAGGCTTCTGAGAACCATTAAACTTTGTTCTTCATAAACCTCTTTCGTTTACGAAGCCACTAACTCGTCCAGTGGCATGTCCGGTGCGTCCACTCCTCGAACAACGATTTTATGAACCTTCTTATATTCTTGTATCTCTTTACTTTTTATCTCTAACTGCTCGCGCATGGCTTTTAATGTGGTAACAATCTGAAATCAATGAAACAGATGTCAGAATAGTCAGGTTCAACCGTAGTCAACCGTCAAGGAAAACTCCGAACACAACTGTTCAGCAGTCCGCGATGACGCGATCCACTACTACTTTAAACTTTATAGCAAATCATCCCGAAATGCAAATCTTATAGGACACTATGGATCTACTTTACTGTTCAACAATTGTACTCACTACTCAATAACAGATCCCCACCTGAGAACGTGTTGAGGAAATTGCCGGAAGAACTTCGGCTACGGTGCGCTCAACAAGCACTCCACCAACTCGTCGGAAGCATTTCCTTTCTGGTTCGAGTTTCTCTAGCATCTGCTCCACCAGTCTGTTCAACAGACACAACTGTATGGCGGGTCTCTAGCCACGTAGGGGAAGAGCAATACCACTTACGTGTGTTCGTTAACATCAGCTTCGAGTTCCGTGATTTTTTCGGACAGGGCATTTTGATCTTGCCGTAAACGATTGAATCCGTTTACAATCTGCTCCGTCTGCATCTTTCCTCCCGAATTATCCTTGGTATCACCGTCTGCCATCCTTACGCTTTAACAAAACTATGAAAAACCTTTCCAAACTCTCAAATTTAGCAACCGTAACAACGGTAATGAGATCACAGTTATCGGAAAACGGGAAGTTCAGAAACCGAGAAACGGCAAAGATCTACGACTACGAGTACTTGTACTAGCAAGGTGCTAGCAATAAATCACATCATACGAAGTTCGAAGCGGAGCAGAATCTCAGAAAGGGCCGCTCAAATCACTAAATTCCGATTATCTTTTTAGACCGAAAAATGACCGATTTAACAAACCGTTTTGAATAAAATATGAACTGTGCAGAGTCTGCAAAATGTAGAATTTAAAAACGAATAAAACTGTAAACTGATTATAAACTGTAAACAGAATTATTTTATCTTACTGCCATTACCATTGTATTCACCATCCGTGTCCGGGAAGCTGCGGCAGCGAAGCGGCACATTGTTTTGGACTTCGCTACTGCTTCACTTTTGTATTGTTTGCGTTTTCTGAACACTGTTGCCGTTTCCTGACGTCTTTGACTGATGTGTATTAGTTCAAGCCCGATTTTTTATCTTCCAAAACGAATATTACGCTCGTAGGCTGCAGTATGCTTCTCAGTCATCTCGAACAGTAGGAGATTTCTGTCTGAACGTTGCTTAACGAAGAACTGCAGCTCTCTGGCACCAGCGACGATGTTGCTGTTACCTCAGGGTATGAGATGCCGCGGAATTCAGATAAGGATTTCTGCATGTTCTCTTTGGTTTCGCAATCCCCACCGGCACATATTTTCGCAGACTGGAACCTGGGTAAACCGTGTATTTCAAAGAATACGGCAGCAATGGAGCAACATTATTTAATGACTGTTTACAAATGATTTCATCCTAATTTAAGCCATTTTTAGGATCCTGTCTTAACAGTCGAGAAGAAGAAAGAAATTGAGTCCTTTTGGAGGAAGCAAGTGGCCGGAGAAATCTCGCGACCGGAGACATCGAAATCATTGGGAAAGTATTATGTGTTGTCGATGTTTCCGTATCCTTCGGGACGTCTGCACATGGGACATGTGCGCGTATACGCGATCAGTGACTCTATGGCTCGATATCGCAAGATGCAGGGATATGAGGTTAGTTCCGAAGCGGCTCTACCAGTAAGCAGACGGTTTCCTAGTTTTCGTTCTTGTCCAGGAATGATGATTGCAGGTGCTGCACCCAATGGGATGGGATGCATTTGGATTACCGGCAGAGAACGCTGCCCGGGAACAGAATGTGTCTCCGCAGACGTGGACCGAAACGAATATTGAGCATATGAAGAAGCAGCTTTTAAATATGGGCTTCGGTTTCGACTGGGATCGAGAGTTTCGAACGTGCGACCCTTCGTACTATAAATGGACACAGTATTTATTTCTGAAGCTATGGGAGGCCGGATTAGCATATCGGAAAGAGGTGCATTGCCGGTTCTGCAACCACAGTAAAGGATCCTGCCGGTTATTTTTAAAAAAATATTTTTTATAAAATACAAGCCCAAAGTGTTTTATGGGATTCAAATTAAGGATTTGATTTTTTTAGCCTCATCATGTTTTTAGGCTTTTGTTAACTGGGATCCTATTGATAAAACAGTGCTAGCCAATGAACAAGTTGACGAAAACGGGTGTTCGTGGCGATCCGGTGCTAAAGTGGAGAAGAAGCTATTAAAACAGTGGTTCTTCCGGACATCACATTATTCGGTGCCGCTGCGAGATGGCTTAAAGGACGTATCGAACTGGAGGGATATTGTGGCTCTGCAGCAGATGTGGATTGGTGATATCTGCGGAAACGCAGTGGAATTTGAACTACTGGACAATAATGGGTGCGTTTTGGAAGATCGCATACAAATCCTTGTCAAAGACGCCAAAGAACTGACTGATATAAATTTCATTCTTGTGTCACCTGCACATGCACTATTTTCGAAATTCCCAGAAGTAGCTGCAAGTGGCAAACTTCCTGTTACATGCCGAAATCCTCTTGATGGTACCGCTGTCCCCATATATGTCGAGAAAGACTCAACCTATTTCGATAAAGACTGTGATATTCGCTTGGGCACTCCGAGAATAAGTGACCGAGACAGAGTATTTGCACAGCATCGTGGGTTACCGGTTTCAGACGAGCCTATCGCGACTGGAGTAACCATGGAAAATCTGAAGCAGATGGTGCGTAAACGAAATGGACACGACTTACGCGTCTCACCGCCGCAGAGTCATCGGTTGAAAGATTGGCTGATTTCACGTCAGAGATATTGGGGTACACCAATTCCGATCGTGCATTGTCCGTCATGTGGCGTAGTACCGATTCCGTTCCACGAACTCCCCGTTAAATTGCCTACTGGCAGTGCGACGCCCGGAAAAGGGATTGGTAACTTAAAAGATGAACATGAGTGGTTGGACACCGAATGCCCAAAGTACGAAACCTGCACACTTACTTTGTTGCTTACATTTAGCAAAACCTCTCACCGTTTCTGTAAACTTAACTTTTTTCCATAGATTCCTGAGATTCCTGAAAAATATTTTTTGCTGATTATGTGCCTCAACAATTGATTCAGATGTAGTTTGAGATCGTACACACCGGTAACGATTTTGCGGAATTTAGATGTACTGGACCAGCAAAGCGGGAGACTGATACTATGGACACTTTTGTGGATTCTTCGTGGTATCTTCTCCGATTTCTGGATCCGCGGAATGATTCTGAACTCGTTGCCAAAGATAAAGCCTTTCAGTATATGCCGGTCGATCTGTATATTGGTGGAAAAGAACACGGTTAGAAACTTGAAGTTCGTCTCTACCGAGCGATACTGTACAACTGTTTGTCACTTTGTAATGAACTGTTATTTTTCAGCGTTACTGCATCTGTTTTATGCTCGGTTCATCGGATATTTCCTCTACGAGCAAGGCCTGCTTCCAGATCCGGAACCTTTCAAGCAGCTGTTAACGCAGGGCTTGGTAATGGGAAAGAGTTATCGCAACAGCAGTACCGGCCGTTACTTAAAACCTGAAGAGATTGATTTTCTGGGTAATAAAATCCACAGAATTGATTAAGATTATTCAGAATTTAATAAACCATTTTGCTTGGTTTCTTCGACAGAAGGAAAACCTGTGGAAAAAGCTACCCAGAGTCCGGTGACCGAGGACTGGGAAAAAATGAGCAAGTCCAAATATAATGGTTTGGATCCAGACGTAGGCAGCATATTGTGGTTTTGCATTAAATAATATAATACAGCGTGTTATTTTGCCGGTTAATCTCCAATGCAGGAGGCTATTCGTGAGCATGGTGTGGACGCCATACGACTTTTCATGCTGGGCAGCATAAATCCGCGTTCTGATCGCAGGTGGGATCCAGAGAGTAAGTAAGCCTGTATTGTGACATAATTGATTTAATGCGTACTAAAGTGGTTTATGTACAGAAACTGCAGCAAAGAAATAAGATTATGTGCTGTATAGTGTTTACTTACTTCCTTAATTTTTGTGAAGTTTCTCACTGATTAAAGACCACGTGGTGTTCAAATACATTGAGATATATAATTGTGCTGTTCGTGCTGTTTTCTTATTTGTCCGGGTTCCGCTTATCCACTTTGGTTCGGTTTTCAGTTTTTAAAGGGTTGCTCAACTGGCAGATGGCGATATGGAGCGTCGTGGCGACGTATCTGAAAGCGTGCTCAGGCGCTCCCAGTACGCCGACTCCAGACCAAGAACGGGAAAAGTGGGAGGCGTTTTTATGGGATAGTAGGAATTATTACCTGAAAGGCGTAAGGAAAAATGGCTCATTATACGACAAGTCGCAGAATGAACCCCTACTCAGTACTAAATTGCTTATTTTCTAGGTAAATTGGGCAATGGATATTTCTTTCAGTATGAATATGGCGATCGCAAAACTACTTGGACTGACTAACAGTCTCAGAGTGAGTTCAAGTTTAATTATAATTTCAGTATCTCGGCTGACTTGTAACTTGTGTTTGTCTGTAATTTTTGTAAGTGCGAAATTGCATGCAGATGAGAATGATGATATACTTGCTTGTTTAATTTTGTTTATCTTTTTATTTAATTTGAGGTTTTGTTATAGAAAATCCCTTCTTCCATAATTGCGTCCAGTCCAGAGTATCATAAAACTCTGCAACAAATTGTAATTATGCTCTTCCCATTCATTCCACATTTCTCGGCGGAGCTGTGGAGTGCAGTTCGTAGCGTCCCGGCGGCAGTCGCCGTGCGAAATAAGAATGTTTGGGAGATGACCTGGCCGGAACTCGACTATTCTTATCCTCTCGATTTGACTATCAAGGTACGCTCACTGTGATTAAATTACTTGGCGTCAGCTTCATTTGCAAGTAATGTCTTTGGTGTTGACTGTTGGAGTTTAAATTAAGTATGGCAAGTTTCGGTTTTCATACAGGTGCTGCTGCGTTGCACTAGTGTTAGATAAAACAATTTTGTTATTTACGTAGTAAACAAGTGAATGTAATGTGTTACAGAGCCATGACGTCGAAGTTGCAGTCCTAAAGATACCACGGAAAGATTTCGATGTCATGACCAAGCAAACCGCTTTTAAGATGGCATTGGATTCACCCATAATCAGAGAGATCGTTCCTGTGGACCTTCAACTAGAAAGAGTTGATTTTGAACTCTGTGAAAGGCTGGAAGCTTTCTTGATTATGCATGACAGCAAAGTTCATAAGCTTGTGAAAACAAAAGTTAAGGAGGAAAAAGCCGCCCGTAAAAGCGCTAAGGCGGAAAAAATTAGAGTTTAGTTAGATTTGCGCAGTATTGCAGTGTGGAATCGGCTGCTGCATGTGCCTTTTGTGCTAAAATCTTTAAAAACTCTCTACAGACACATCTAAGGAAGTACTTCTACTGTACATATCTTGGCTGCTCATGGAGTTATTTCCTGTGAAAGTCGAAATAAAATTTTAAGCTGGCTGACCAGTACTTAACGACACATCCGTACAATCAGGAGCAGTAAAGGACAGGTTTATTTGAAAATACAATAAATGCATGTACAAGTACCAATAATCAATCATACCAATACCAATACGTAATCAATCTCTAAAATAATTCACCAACTTTACATGTGAAGATTCAAATTTTGAGCGTCTACTAACTGCCACAAACTGCAAGACTAACGTAATTCCAATTCTGACAGATCCAGTAAAACTAGACAAGATTCCTAATACGTACAATCTAAACTGGTCACCTAAAAATAAGTCCAATTTATAATTGGGTTATACGTCATAGCAACCACACACTTTACATCTGACCGGTGAGTACACGGACTACAGCTTATGGCTACTGGTACTGTAAGCTCTGTTCAATATGGGATATTCTGGATGCACAAAATTTTCACGAAAATACCCAACGCGATGAACGCCTGATCTACGAAAAACAATCCAAGTGGCTTGCGCCCCCAAAGAACTTGCGGGATCTGTGGTATTAACTGTGCAGCTGAGATTAATCCGGCAAACACCAAAGCGTCCTGCATTGTCGCCGGACGGAAATAGCGGCTGTAAAAAGCAAAATTTATTAGGTACTGTACTTTTTCAACACTACTATATACAAATGTTAATACCGGAACTAGTCACAATTGACACGCAAACCCCAACCCCAAATCAACAAAGAAAAGATGGCAAAAACATTTCAACAAACGGTAAATGTGGAAAAAGTTAAAAATCGTTCAGCGAAAGCTTCCCGGCAAACGCTTTCAAAATCAGCCAATACAACATAAGAAAAACTGCGTACCTCGACAGATAGTGCAATAAGAATGCGAAGCCGGTATCTACGGCTGTTTGAGTGATTAGATTGATGGTCATTTCCGTGGATGACTGTGAAAATGTTGTAGGAGGAAGTTGACGGGACCATGCGCTTCCGGGAGAGTACCACATAAAACCAGTGACTTGGGTTAATGCGACCCCTACGAGCAAAAGGCAGAAAACGTTAGCCATTTCGTTGCGTTATTGTGAGTACGAGTATGTAAGCCAGTGTACTGTAACTGCATAAAGTGTTCACCGTTTACAATGCAAAAAGGGAGAAATACGCTTACCTGAAGCTATAGCTCCATAACGCCATTTTATAGGAAGCCTTAATACATTTCGCAACTGATTCTGGACTCGAGCATCCATTGCAATCCTATAAGTGTGGTTGCTGCGCTCTTACCAGAAGCGAAATAAAATTACTACGGTGGCTTTTAGAACTCAAGAAAACAATTAAGGCACAAGCTATTGAAGGGACCACTTGTCAGATGACTTAGGTATGTAACCGCACGGTCCAATGCCAATGGGTCCATAGGAAATACACATCACACAACCGTAAAACGACCAAAGTATCAAACGGGCTGCAAGCGGGATGATCAACGTTGGTAAGTGCTTACAAAAACATTTGTAGAATGCTGAAATTTTTCCCAAGGCTTAAACCGGAAACTGAAGCATAACGAATAACGCTGCAGCGACTGCATCCTATGCTACTGCGCTTCCGGTACCGAAATAACTCAGCTCGGCCAGAGTGAGAAACGTCCGTTTTTGCCGGTGCAAATACACTCCGAACTTTTTTTAAAATTTGATTACTTTTAATAAAGCTTCAAGCAGATTCTCCTTTTTGTTACTCTGTCCACGTTTAATTTCAGGTTTAAGATCCCAAGCGTTTACGCTTGATACGCAGTTCAGGCTGAATTAAGCGAAATGTTGAGTATGAATGTAAGATGCGGACGAGTGTGTAAATTGGATCTTTAATTCTCACAAACTATTTTCGGATCATGGGGAAGCAGTCACGCAAATATACCAAGGGGAAAGGGAAACGATGGAGGAAAGGGGAAAGCGGCAGCAGTAATCCCGAAGCAAGAACACATCGTTCCACTGCAAAGAACTCATTTTTCCAGTTCAAACTGGGTAAGTCGTTTCGCGAGCAAAGGTTGATTTTCCTACCAAAGCATGACTTATCCGCAGAGCAAGAGAAAGACACTAGAAGGGGAATTCTGGCAAATTCTTCAACATGGGATGACGAACGTATGGACACGGGTGACGCCAAAAGCACTGCTACGGGCTTCAGTGCCGATACGTTCAAGAGCAACATCAGTGCATGGACGCAGTGCTCCATCAGCTCTTTTAACAGGCTGCAAAGTATCTGGTCCTCTAATTCCGTTCTCCATCGGGAAATGCTGGCCCTACTGGCGGCAGTGACGGAAATCATCAGGGAGCGCAAGGGAAAGGAAACCGAGACGGAGTACTTCGCGGCGCTCATGACAGCGCTGGATTCAGTGGAATCCGCCGAATCGCGCACGGCCGTGCTGTCTCTGCTGAGCTTGTTAATCAAGCGGGTTCCGGTCAGTGTGCTGAGGAAACAGTGCTCACAGATTATTAAACCCCTCCTAAAAATACTGGAGGACAATATTTCTGCGGATAATAATGCGCTGTTGAGATCGGTGAGTGAAACGCTTACAATCGTTTTTGCAAAATAATGATACATAAATTCATCACACTATATATTTAGATAATTACAGCCTAAACCCTACAGGACTTATTTGTTCCAATTTTATTTTTATGATGATGGTGTAAGAATTCTTCGTGGCATTTTAAAACATTTTTTTTAAATGGATGCCAATTCATATGTCGGTTTACCTGGGCATTTTCGTTAGAATTAACACAAAGTTACCAAAAGTTTTCTTAAATGTGAGGGATGTAGTAACAATTACTTCCAGCTTGTTCCCTTCTTGTAGAAAGTGCTCTTACATTGCACACGACGCACCTCGCACTGCTTTGCCTCATTTTGTTTGGTGTATTGGTTTTGTTTGCAGGTCCTCAAGTGCATTACCATTGTCCTTAAAGTGCAGGAATTATCGGTTTGGAGAGAAGCTTCAACGGAAAAATATTACCGAGCTATTTTGCTGCTGCTTAAACATCACAAGCCGAAAGTACGAAAACAGTGTCAGAGCAGTATCTGCTCCATTCTGAAAGGCAGCGATATTATGACGGGCCCCAGTTCAGTTCCGGTGCATCCCATGGCTGTTTTGACTGCCCAGCACTGCGTAAATATGATTGAAGTTGCTCGAGGTGCGTTTGAAGGCTTTTAGCACAAATGAAACGTACTTTTGTAGTAAAATAGTAGATATTAGAAAGTGATCGTGGATGTTTTTAGCGGATAACGATGCGTCTGTGACACTCCACGTTCTCGGCCTTTTAAAAGACATCCTCATTGATTTTCCGAAAGCTGTTATCAAGCAAGCTGTGGAAGCAGTTTTCAAATGTATTCTTTTGGCGAACCCCTTAATTACGTCCGTAGGTTTCAAAGCCTTAAATGGCCTTTTCACCTCACATCCTTCACCGGAAAAGTTGGACCTCGAAGTTAACACACAGATTATTCATGTGGGTGCAAGTTTTCTAAGTTTCCTGAAACTATGGCGGTTGAACATATTGCTATGACTTGACAGGCTCTTTATGACTTTCAACCGGCATCAGACGATTCTCAGCTGCTACTACCATGGTTGGAAACTGCGAAAAACGCCCATATTTCGCTTTGCACACTTGGCTTGGATGCTGCATTGCATCTTCCAAGATTTTCGGTTGTATGCATGAAATATCTTCAGTCTGAGAAACCTGAAGTTCGGTTGGCCTCCGTCCAGGTTCTGAAAGTAAGTCACTGCAGTTAAATGATTTCTGGTTTTTGAAATTGTAAATGGGTTATTTGGGTATATTGTTTCCGTTTTAAAGTAAGCGGGTAGTGTATGTACAGTTTCCATAATTCCATATTTGAATGGTTTTTACACAGATATCCGAAATCTCTTGTTGCAGGAAATTATTACGGTTTGTCTGGAACCCTATTCTGCCAACGCTTCTGCATATGAAAAGTATCTGCCCCAAATACAGCGATTTTTTCTAAACCTTGAAGAAGGTCTGACTTATCAGTATCATGCTGTATGGAACCTGGTCCTGCAATGTCTGGCCGCTTTTTATGATGTAATGGGTCATCACGGAAGCAACTACATGACTAAGGTTTGTTGTGTTAATTGTGCATTAGCTTTCAAGGAACTAAGGTGCATACTGCATTTAATTTTTCCGATGTAATAAGTTACAGAATGTGGTTTCAACTCGCTAGTACGTTGTATCTGGTTGGCTTTAACGTTACTAAACGTAGTCCGTAGGTATTGATTTGTGCCCTTTTTCGGTTTCAGTCATTGGAAAAGTTAGCCGATCTCCATGACACCCTTCATTTTCCCTTCAAATCTGATTTGGATTACGCCTTTGGGCGCGCTGTTCGTAAAATCGGTCCTGCAAAAATTATTCGTGCCGTCTCCCTGAAGTTGGACGTAACTCAGTAAGTCAGCTAGATAACTGTACTGGAATTCTAGAATTGTTCTGGCCAGTGGCCACACCGTATGTTAATCCATGCACCGTTCCGCAGGACACCCATGGACTTATCTCGCAGTTGGATTATACCAATTTTACGAGATAATGTTCAAGATACTGAATTGGAATATTTTTCAGCATTTTTTCTTCCGTTAGCGTCACAACTTCGCTCAAAAAGTGGGTATACACAATTAAATTCTACTAAGGTTGTGATTGTTTACTGTGTTTGAGAAACCGGCGAAGTAATTGGCTTTTCTGTAGGTGCACTTTTATCGGCTGCTGGAGAAACTGCAGAAGCCAAGAGCTGCGATATCTTACAGGAACAAATATGGTCGTTGCTACCCGGATTTTGTACCCGCCCCAAGGATATTGTAAAGGTGATATTCGGTTGAAATGTAGGCGGTTTTAAGAATTGTAATAGATAAGTAATATTGATTGCAATTTGCTGCAGTTGAGTATCGTACAACAAGTTTAGTTGTTACCCGTAGTTGTATAGTAAGTCAGGGAAGTGGCTGTGGCAAAAGCGTTGAAGTACCCGCCGTATCTCTGTTGCCATTTGTGATGCAAGTGTTTTTAGTCTTGTACAGCCTTTGTCATGTGGATATCGCAGGCGATAAAATTAATGAACATCATCCGAAATCGTAAAAAATATATACTGAATTTCTAACGTTTTATTTTTTTGCAGAATCTCAAGTCAGTGGCAAAGATTTTGGGTCAAGCACTGGATGAACGTCCAGATTTACGGCTTATCGTGATGGCTGCGCTGAGAAATCTCGTCACCAAACATCGTCAAAACGGTGAGCGAAACTACGAGGTTATTGTAAGCTACGCTATCTTGTAATCCCATGTACAGAAAGATAGATTTACATACAGTTTTACTTTTTCGTGTGAAAGTTTGGTAGCCATTTTAATTCACTGTTGTAAGTAATCTGTATTGGCCCGACAGATGCTAATTTCAAATTTTATAGAAATGGATCGCAAGGAAGTGGCTAAATATGCGAAAAACTATATCCCTCGTTTGTTTCAAATATACACGTTGGAAGCAACCGAGACACCTCATCGTTTGGCAGCGCTGGAAACCATTAAAACCTATCTTGGCATGGCACCGCCTGAGTTAATTACGGAATTATTGGATAAGGTCAGAGTCAAAAACACTTTTATGCCTCCGAAGGCATTTGCTTCTGAATTGAACAAAAGTTAAATGCTTAATTGCAGGTACTGGAAAAACTTGGAGAAGCAGACTCCTCGACATTTTTACAGCAGGCATGCGTCGACTTGGTGGCTGTATTACTGCCATACGCTCCACATTACCGTCTGGAAGCCGTATTGAATTTCTGCCGGAAAGCTTGGTCTAGTGCCGACCACACACTGCAGAAAAAAGGGTATCGCTGTTTGGAACAGTTGTTAACAGTGGAAAAGGAGCATCTTGGGTTATTTGTGACCGATCACATGGATACGATCAAGAAAGATCTTCTTGCAACGGGGAAATTGGTTAGATCACCGGGAAAAGCATCACGAATGAAGTGCTTGATGGAACTTGTGAAACGCGTAGGCGTCCAGGATTCTGGTTTTATTAGAGAAATTTTCCCAGAGGTATGGCGCAAACGAATCGATGTTCGATAAACTGTCGACTATAATAAAGTTCCAGTTGAATTTGCACCTTAAGTTTTGTAGTGTTGAATGGCAAGTTGGTGAACCATGTTTTTCTACGATTATGTATACGTCTCTACAGATAGGCTATAAATATCAGTTTTTCAGGTTGTACTGGGCGTTAGAGAAGTTTCAGAAAAATCTCGCCGAGCGGCTTTTGAGGTTGTCAAAGAAATCGGTTTGACAATATTGAAAGACCAGTCAAAGACGGAAGCGGAGAATATTGCAGTGTTCTTTGAATTGCTGCTTAGTGGATTTGCGGGGACACCGGAAGGTATTTCGGCTTCCCTGTTGGCGCTGAGTCATGCGGTCCATGAATTTAAAGAGAAAATTCCGAAAGAATCTAATAAAGATGTTGATGGCGAACTCCACGATTCTTTTGGGGTCAACTATTCGAGAAGTCGTGCAGACTGTCATTGGTTTTGTGAAAACCATGATATCGGTATTTGACGATGTGGAAATCGGTCCCCATGTAGCCAAACTGATCCAAGCAGTATCATCGATGAATGATAATCTGCGGCGTCATGTGCGCATCAAGATTAAGGATTTGTTTGCTAGCTTGATTAGGAAGTTTGGCTACTCAATGATTATAGAACTGGTGCCTGAAGACGACCAGAAATTACTCAGTAACGTCAGAAAATCTGAAGACCGCAAAAAGAGAAAGAAACTGGAGAAGCGCGAAATCAAAGATGACAGGAAGAGCACGACCGGTAGTATTAGTGCACGGTCACGTGCAGAAACTGTCGGCGATATTTTAGATGAACTGGCCAGCTCCGACGACGAGGAGCCGGAATCTGAAAATGTTAAAAAAAGGAAGAAATCTGCTGTTTTCATTGCGGAAGATGCCGAAGACGACATTGTGGACTTCACCGATAGGAAGGCCGCACAGAAGATAACATGTACGTACTCGTTGGTGAACTTATTGGCTTTTCTTGTTTAGACATTCTTAAGTTGACCGTTTTGCTTGTGCAGTGCCACAGTTTAGTTTAATTTGATATATTTGGTATTAGTTCGTTTAACTTTTCGCTGTCTGTCAGTATTGAGTAAGATTGTTTCTTTGTGTCAATAATCAACGTTGTTGCACTGTTTTTGTTACAGCTTCCAAGTCATCTAAGAAGTCCAAGCGAAAGGAAGAGGAACTGCAGTTTTCTGCCGATGGAAAAATCATTATTCCTGATGACAATGCTGAGGATAATATAAATGATGCGATGTCGTTGTCATCCAAACTGAGTGGCTTGTCTGTCTCAAAGAAAGGAAAGGTGGGAAAGTTTAAGTTTGATTTATATGGCTGTACAATACACTAACCATAGGCCTATTGGATAGGACATTACTGGTGCTGATGGAGCAGATTCAGAAGACGAATTCAAGTACAAAGGTGGGTTGTGTGAATGTGCCTTAAAATCAAAGTTTCCGAGACAGCAATTTGTGAACACTGTCATTATCGGGTTTATGGTTGATGCAGCTGGTGGCACTGGAATTCATCGCTCGCTTAAAAAAGGGCCTCAAAAGAAAGTTCACAGTGGAGCCGAATATCGTGCCAAGGTGCGTTAAATATTGGTGTGTTTTTCATTGATTACGACAAATTATTGTGCCCTGCGGTCGATCAAATGGTGCTTGTTTTCTGCTGTTGTTCACCGGGGTTTCTGTCTTGTGCAGAAAGCTGGTGGCGATATGAAACTGAAAGGACGACCGGATCCTTTTGCATACATTCCTTTGAACTTGAAGGATACTAACAGGAGGTACCACTGAAATTTCTTTAGTCCACCTTTTTATGACTTTTTTTACGACGCCGTTATATCCAAATTACCGTATTACAGAAAGAGAGCCAAAATTAGCGGTCAGTTTAAAGGTATTGTAAAAGGCGCAAGGAAAGGTGCAACAAAAGGATCGAAGCTCAGAAATCGAAATAAGGGACTGCATCCTCAGTAATTTGGATTGCTTCAGCATACGCATGTGATAAGAGCTCTCCATCCGTTTGTGGTGTGAATTTCTGCTGTAATATGCATGTGGCTTCCGTGGAAAACTGTCAGTGGAAGGTTTGCTTTGCAATATTTTGTTATAAAGCCGCTTCAATGTAGATTACTTACAGACTTTTTAGATAGTGTAGGGCTTAGATAGTCTGGTTTTTCTTAATAAAATGTGGTTTTGGTTTTAACATACGTCATTGTTTCTTGTTAATGATTCGATAAGAAATGATTCCCATTTCCTTCTATCGATCCGAGTTCTGCGGATTTCGATAGCCTGTCAGGTAATTACTGATAACACCAAATCCACCTCTCCTTTACCATTCATTATTTGAAAAATCTTGCAAGCAAAAACTGTAAGAAGATTTAAAGTCCAAGCAACGAAAGAATTCAACGAAAGCAACCATTCTTAAAATGAAGGTACAAAAGATGGTGAATGCATTGTACAATAAAGAGGACTTATCAGTTATCACACTCGATTATTCACGTGAAATATAAACTGAAGCAGCTATACATCTCCTGAATCGCAATTTCGCACCTATATCTTTCTTCCTTGAGGTTTTTTCGCATGGGTTGGACCTAAAATTTAAGTGGAAGAATTATGTGTTATCCAAGACAACTATGTGTTATCCAAGACACCAAGTTACGGTGAAGCGCAGTGTATGCTGATGTCACATTAACAGCACCAGAACTAACCTTTCTTCGGTCTTGAATTTTTGGAACTGATAACATCACAACTGAAATACATGGTTGGGGAAATCGGCTTCGGTAAACGAGCCAGAATTTCGGGAGAATTATAGTTATTCCCAGAAGTTGACGGCCCCGAGGGAATTTCCACCACGGTAACCGATTGCGGAGACACTGACAGAAACAAACCGCCGTCAGCTTTAAGGAAGTTCAAGTAGAGCAGTCATTTTCAAACTGATTGTGTATTATCATTTTATCATAAAAACTATTTGTGGAAGGTGGTTGTGACAATACGTATTATCGCCTCAAATACAGTTGTCCTACTTAGTTCCATTTCCGATAGCGAAGAGTCCCTGGACAAAGCCGCAACGCTGGGGATATCCGGTATGGTAACCGTATCACCAGCGGCGGCGTTGTTGTCACCAAATTCAGCTCCGGAGTCCAGGTCGTCCGACCATTCAAAGGGGGTGCCGTTAACCACTTTAAAAAGATTAAATATGAATTATTCCGTTAATGCAAATTCAACTTGATTTACCTAAAATAAAGCATAGATGAAGCTCTTAAAAAAACTGCATTTATCCAATAAATATCGCAGAAAAGCCATGACATTAGAATGGGAGCAACAACTAGAAACACTAACCTATCTTTTTCGAGTCTGACGTAGAAGAACCAGAGTTGATACGTTTTGCGGTTCCACGCGGGCGGCCACGCCGACGTGGGATATGAGCCCTGGCTGTGGAGAGAATTCCATCGTTACGCATGTTACCGGCCATTGTCCTTTATACATGTTCCAATAAACTTGTCTTACGCAAAGCAATCGGTTGTTCTTCCACTTCCGGCCCCAGTCGGCGGGCGAAGTTGCTGTTGGGAATTATGGCAATGTGCTTCTTTCGTATAGGAGACCGGATGGCCTCCTTGGTTGTACTTTTCTCCCTTGTCCGCTTCGTGATCTTCCTTGAAGTCACTCTGAATAGTGCTTCCGGATCTGGCAAAATCTCGACGAAAGGTACTGACAAAAATTGCACCGAAGCATCGTCATCGTCCAATGAATCAGTCCTGGCCGTGGAATGCGGCGTAACACGTTGTCCACTGCCTAAACAAAATAAATCCGGCTAACGGGTGAAGAACTAATGCGTAGCACAAATACATTCAGGCGTATGACCTATTAATAAGTCAACGGATCCGGATGCCGAACTGGAAATTCCTCTGGCTGCAACGCACCATGTTTTCCGTTAGCACTCATCGATACGGTTAGAAGCAAAAAGATCCCACGGTTTTGTCTAAGGTAAGTTCTACTTATTTCTTCAGGTAGTGACGGTTTCTGCTCTATATTGTAGCGAAGTCAACAAGTTCCGTACTCGCAAAACTCACATTCGTTCAGCAGAGAAATATTTTTATGGATGCGATCGAAAATTTCCGGGGATTCTTGCAGTGTTGGTTTTTCTACGGGAGTCGGAGTATTCAGAACGCTAACTTCGTCTTTGAAAAAAAAAACACCCGATCAAAATTTTACCCAGTTTCTGATAGAACCCAAAATATACTAAAATGTGATGTTTTCGACAGAAAATTCCTGGGGTATCTCTGCATCGTTTTACAGATACTGCACGTAAAACAAACGTACTTTCCACAGGCTTTGTAATATAATTTGGCTTTTCCATTTGACCAGCACATTTAAGGTGCTCCTCTTCATCGGGTAAACTGAGCAAATTATTGCATGCCGGCAAAGGACACAATTCTTCCGCCGACGCACCAGTCTGCACCGTCTGTGCAATTAACTTTTGTGCGGGTGCTTCGTCGAATGCCATATCACAGCACATTGCCATATTGAACAAGCCACAGGCCCCATCTGGAACAACTGTGAAACAAGCAGGAAATCAGTAGTAAAAAACACTGAACAAAAACAAATTGTTTACGGCGGGTGCCAAAAAAACCAGCAACATCTGAACAGGCTACTTGCCAGATATAGATAAGTACTTCATCTTACGAAATTAATACCAGTAATCAACAGATACATCTATATCGCACTGGAAATCCTAGTTTTTATAACACATACGCCATATCCAGAAAGGTGAAAGCATTTCGCGGTATTTCGCGGATCAAACCGCCTATTTCATATAGTACTCCCAAAGCATATTTCTGGTATGCTGATAATTATGGTAATGCGGTATAATGTTTAATGAGTGGTGTAATTTCGCATAAGTGAGCCAAAAGCAAAAAGCGAGCACTACCGAATTCGCTAAGGTCAATCTCACTTTCTCCGGTATCTGACGAGTCGCTTTCCGAGTCCTCATCCGTCAGCCGATTTTCCTCCATCTCCAATCCTTCGGCAGTGTATTTGGTGGTATCTAACTGAGTTATGTTGTTCGCAACCGGCAACGCAGTCTTCCGTGCCCGTCTTCTGATCGGCTTCCCTGAATAAGATGGTGTTTGGAGAATCTCCGCTTCCAATGATGCTGCCTGAAAATAAAAAAATTATCTTGTAAAGAAAAAATATGGTTCCGCAAAGTGTAGAATACAACGCTTACGAAAGAATCCGACATGTACCCAAAAAAATACGTAATACACTCACTGCACTGCCATGCACAGTACCGAACCGACGTCGAAGACCCGTCAACGTGGCTGTCTGCTCTTGATTTAATAACAATAACTACAGCAGCAGAAAAATTTAAAACAAAATACAAAGAAAGCATCACACATATAGACGAGATGGCGAAAAAATTCTCAAGAACATTTACTTAAGCATTTCAATAACCTGCAACTATACCAGCCAACCGCCAGGTATTCAAGTGAATTCAGCAAAATCAAAAAGAAATGTGAAATTATTATCGAATTTGTGGCTCCCCCACAATAAGAGCCTCCCCCTGTAATAACCACCCCTCCCCGATCCTGTTTGAAAAATAAGATTCTCAAAAGTTCTCCGCTAAAGATATAAATGTCCCCAGTGACACCGAATGTGTAAAACCAAAAAACGTCACACTTTAATATTTCGACCTTTCGGAGTACAATCATAAAACAGCTGGAACATCGAGACGTACCAATTCATCCATATTCAGTTTGTCAACCGAAGCAGCCGGCTCCGGTGGCGGCACACTCGGGACCGCATCAACCCTGCCATGGACAGCATATTCGAAGGCGGACAGGGCGCGGCGCACTTTGGACGCTTTCTCCTTCTTTGTTTTGCCATGCAAGCAGGCTTTAACTAGAGCAAACTCACTGCTGACCCCGCCCTCCTTGAGCACTGTGACCTGTCCACAGGCAATGAGCAACTCCTCCACAAAGATACAAGGGACGACAGACTGGTCGGGGAGCGGCCTCTCCTCCGTCGTCAGCGCCTGCGTCGCACAACTTCCGGTGACGATGTTCAGGTCATCCGGCACATGATTCCACCAAGCATCGTGTGCGGCTAATTTTGCGGTCACAACAGCGCGTATCGGCGGAGGCGGCCCGACGGCAGGTTTTTTCCATTTTGGCCTTTTAGCAACTGACAATTCAATAAATTATAAACAAGCAATTTGGTAAACTTATCACGGTGTTCCGGTAATAATAACTATTAAATGAGTATCAGTAATATCGAATAATCGAATCTGCATTTACCATTTCGCAAAACGGTATTTACCACATTACCTGAGGGAGTTGGAATTACGGGCTGATCACTCGTGAATTTCGGGATATATTGGCAGGCCGAACCCGACTCTGAAATCCCACAAAATATTATATGCAAAATTGCAAAAAGTAAAAAATACTTGGTCAACCCGACTGCACGCACTCGTCCGTAAATTAAAGAAACCATTTGTCTTAGAAGCCGCCGAAAAAATATAAATAGCGTTTTACGTATTTTAATACGCAATATAATAAATTTCGGTCCGGACTCCGGAGTGCCCGCAAATATTGCCAAACCATATTCCGTGTGCAGTAATCACTCGAAACCGGTGTAGAAAAGACAATTCTCACCTGGATCCAAATCAGAGAAGGTCGGTTGTGGAGCGCACGGCGAACCATCTGCCACGGAGGATGATAGTAAATCGGGCAAGACTGTATCACCGACTGCATTGTTAAAACAATCAAACAGGGATGGTTGATCAAACGGAAACAGATGATCGAAGTCAGAGGTAAAATCCATCAGAATTTGATAACAAAACAATGAATGATCGAATCTGAGATCTTTGCGCGGCGTCTCACGAGTGTATTTAATTCATTACTTGCAAGTTGCAAAGACTGTTAAGGCTGTGCTATATTCGTTTCCGTCTTCCGGGAACTGCTAACTAAAATTCGACAGCAAATAGAAACTAAAAATATACAATAAAAAACAAAATTTAAATTTTTAAATTTCAACTAATCTCTGCTTGCTCTTCTGAAGAAAATACAAACAAATAAAAATCCTTTCTGAGAGTGCGCGTACCTGGGGCCTGGGCTTTTGCTCTTATACTATTGCACAGCGTTCCGAGCCCAGTTTTAAGGGGCAAATGCACTCAAGAGTTCGAATGCGAACGCGACTGGCTAGAGATTTTACATTCTGATTGCACTGATATTTGCGATTTAGCCGCACAAAAGTTTACAAAACTAAGTACGTACTTAATCTTAAATTAACTTTTATATTTACCGTACTTTATTACCAAACTACAGTATCAGATAGATTTTCCTAACAAATGCAAACAGCAGCAGTAAAATTTAATTTTCAATTTAATTCTGCAGTTGTTCATTAATCACTGTACTCATATGCCTGGCTGTTTTTACATATACTCGTATAATATCTATATACAGTACTTCCAAAGTCAATATTAAAATTAGAGGTTTTGAGCAGAAAACACCATAACCTTCTATGCTATCTATACTTCTATGCTATCAAAATACGAGAAATACAGTACTGTAGCAGTCTCTGGCATCTTGAGGGCGAGGGATTGTATATTTATAATTATATGCCATTTTTTCTTTTTTCTTTCTTGTATAAGTGGATTATTGAAAAGTGAAAACACCCCAGGCGCGATATACAATACTACAGATCTGTAGTGTTGTTTAGTCATTATTGCAAATTTTCAACATACCGTGGGTTCGCACTTATGTACAACTTACAACAGTCACAAGTTACAAGGCATCAATCTGCCTGCTTGTGAGAAAAAAAGAATTATGCAAAACACTATTAAACAGAAGTTCGATGACGCAATGTTCGATGTTCGTGAAAAAAAAATAAATCAAATTATTGAACAGCTTCATGCAGTTCAATTCTGATTGGCATAATCGTAAGTACAGTAAACGTTTTATCCAGCAGTTCAATATCGGATTTTTGTCGCCTCGATGCACGTACTAGTACCATCAAGTGACCTTTCTGTGTTATTACCACGGATCGTACTGCCGATTTACCATAAAGGCACGCGTAAGTTCATATATTTAAAATGCGTCACTTTCTTCCGCAGACGCTGACAGACACACACGAAAAAACTTTGTGCAAAGCTTTGCGCTAAAAAATCTTGTATGTAATTAGAAACTTCGAATTTTGAAGTACTGTACATATATGGACTTCCTTGAACCTAATTCATTAAGATGAACAGCAGCTATAACCTATTTCGTTACATTTACTGAAATAAATCATTTTATATTAGCAACCTTTACGGCAACCTAATCACAGATGCTGCCAGAAACTAATAAATCAATACGAGTCCAACTCTTCCAAGAACGTACAAGTAAAACGTTAAACCACTACATTTTTAACATAGTATAAACATAATTAACTCGTAAATTTAAAGAATCGACAAAACTCTGAAAACCAAAAATGTTGTGGTTACAACTGTACGAGATCAACTAAATTCTGGCTAGGCGGAACCATTGATTCTGGGAAAAAGTGGCATAATCGTGCAAACACTTGCACCCGATTTTCCAACTCCACACCGGCGCCTAAAAACCGCTTGCTTAATTTGTTAAAAATGCAATATATTTATCAAAATAAAATCCTTAAGGTATGTATCTACAGTGCACTTTTTAGCACACCTTGTGAACTTCACCGAGGCTATGTAGGAAAAATTTAATCTTCGACAAACCTGTATCAAACTTCACAGACGGTAAACTTGGTGGAGCACGAAATAAGTATGCCGGCAACTGGTGAAACTGTGAATAAAATCATGTATATTACAACAACATTCCGATAAACGATTCATTATGGCAGCGGAATATATGTACCTCGTGCATTTCCTTCGCCGAGCTGCTGTCCACAACTCCTGCCACATCATTTTGCAGAAAATTTACAGCGGCCAGTGGATTATGCGAACACAGTTCCAGAAACTTCTGTTTTCGAATAATCCATCGCACTTGCCGCAGTGTTGCTTCCAGTTCAGGCTTTCTCAACTGCAATGGAAGTAGCCAGTTAGTATTTTTGACTGTTTGTCGCTGTTTATTATTATAAAAACGTGCCACCATACCCTCAATTCCCAGAAATCGCCCAGTCTCAGCTTTGATGCACCAGACGCTTTTACCGCACTCCCCCCAAACAAGAAATGTGTCTTCGAACCCGTATCATATACAAGCTGATATGCATAGCGAGGGGCTGGCTCGCGATTACATTCATCAGATGCTGTACGACATGCTGACCATTTCCCACTGGCAACGGAGAAAACCCAAACATTGTTCTGTGCCTGTTCGTCCGATTTGTTCTTGTTTCTAGCTTCCCCCTGGAAAAAATCAACCATCAGATATTTAAAAACACCGACTTCTAAACACATTCTTCAGACTATTATGAATTCCCGTAACGGGGACTCTAGAGACAAAATATATCGTAGGTCTTACAAAATGCAGGTGTATTTCTTCCCGGTCCGGATCGAAGGTTGCTCGTGGACTGAAACCAACCGGCACTACAAAACAAATACGAGTTAGAGAAGACCGTACAATTTTCAAAAGATATAAAATATCCTCACAAAGGTCACCCGCTTCGGCATCAGCAAGTATTCTGTAGTCGTTGCTATCAACGTTGTAAACCAGCATATCTTTGATGGCATCTTCAATACAGTGTCCGCCAAATATGTACAAAGCACGCTGACCCTGAAAAGAATTGTCTTTTTTCAAAACTACTGAAATCAAACGAACATAATCACAATTTTTTAAGTAGTTAAAAACGAAAAGCATAAGAAACGGGATTTACCAGAAACATACCGGATGGAAGATCATACAGTGTCCCGCTCTTGGCTTGAACGACACATCTCGGCCACGGGAGGCTCTTACATCGGGGCGCAAGCATTTCCAGGAATTACTACGGATGCTGAACACATACAATCCACTATACCAGGCTCCTTCGGTATTTTCTGTGGCTTTTCTCTCCACAATCTTCCCACCGCATACATAAACAGCCTTGCTCTGAGGATCCAGCGCCATTTGATGGTTCATCAGCAATCTTGGTCCGCCGTCGGCAAATGTGTCTTTGCTTATACATGTCCAGGATCTTCGTCTAATGTCATACATATATAAATCGCTTTTCATTGGCTCGTTGGTTTTAGAATTGGGGTCCACGAAGCGGCCAAGAAGGAAAATCGTTTGATCATCTTCATCCAGGATCATCTTGTGACACGAGCGTGCAGATGGACCATTCTGTAAAACTTCTCCATCGATAAGCTCATGCGGAAATCAAAATAAAAACCGCAACAAACATATAAAAAAGCTAACAAATCTGAAGTATAATGATTCGGAAATCGCGAACACCCAAAACAGCGAATTTGAGATAACCTTCTTTTCATAAATGTACAACACAGACATAATACGATTGTACCACAGGTGAATAAAGGAAGAGATTTTATAAAAAGATACAGACAAAAACTTACGCTCACCTGTTCGGTCGCATTGGCAGAAATAAGGGTCCACTGCCGCTCCGAAATGTCATATCTCCAGAAGTCCGACAAATCTTTACTGCCATCCCAGCCTCCAAACATATAAATAGCACGGGCGCTGGAATCCATCACCATTTGATGACCGCCTCTCATGCAGGGAAAAAATTCTACAGCAGAAGACTAAGTGTTACTGCAAAACAAAAGACAATTTGAGCAAGTTGCGGCAGTTCCAATACCAACGACAGTAGCGGCAATTTCGCCATAGACGCACTATAGCAAAATAGCGCTGCTGTCACTGGTACTGCTACGGTCGCAGCTTTTCCTAAATTGTCTAAAATGATTGGAAATTTCTTCCGTCTACCTGGGGATACAATTGCATGGTCAGACATCAGACGTTTCCACGCGGGTCTGTAAGGCTGTCGTGAGATGAAATCTTCGAGCAACCCGTCATTCCCTGCTTGCTCCATAATGCGTTCCGCCTTATCGAAGTCTCGTTGATGTACAATTGTATCATACAATTCGGTAACTCGGGGGCTTTCCAGGTCGAAGTCGATTTTCTGTTTGAGCAACTCACACACATCCTCCAATCCCAATTCTCGAAAAAATTTCCAACAGACACGTAATGCGGTTGAGTGACGATACTGAAATAAAATTCCGTACATTTGTTCGTGCATAAAACTCATGTACCGATACAATTCATTTATAATTTTTATGCTTCCTTAAGATATTTGTGTCATATATAGCTCTGAAACTTAACCCAGCTTGATTAATTTGCCAGTGTGTATAAGTTAACTAACTGAGCAAACAGGAAGCCAAAGCCATTCTTTTTCCGAACAGAAAGCCGCCAGCTCAAGCAAAGAATTTTGCTTAACCGAGACTTACTTTTTTAACAACCTCCAAATTTGGCCGCACTAAATCGCTGTCGTCGACGCCACTGAGCTCCACATGCCAAATGCAATAATTGAAACCAGAACCCCATGCTTGTATTGGAAGGATTCTAACATAACGTACAGGAAATTCCACTTGGTCGATTGTGTGCCGCAATGGAAAGGACTCGGCAAAACTGTCATTGCGCAATGATCCTTCGTATAACTTCATCAGTGAGTCCAGCGTCAGCCCTCCGTACACTTCAAATTTTCTCACATTGCAAACGTTAGCTTTCTCATTTTTTCCAAATGTTATAGCATGAAGAAATGCAGGCGCTGAAAGCTTCAGCGTGATGAATTGTGGGTATGAATTACTGTCCGAACACCATCTACAATACAGAAGTGAGGAAGCATTTTAATTTTTGAAGTTAATTAGTTTCTACCAGAGTACGAGTAGGCTCATTGTAAAGTGAACTAACTACTGCCAAATAAAATACAAAAACATTTTACATAAGCACTGTCAGACACTTGAGCGGCGCCGGAATGTAGTTTAAAAATATTCCAGAAGCACCAATAATCAGGCCGCAGACCACAACATAAACCAAGCAAAGAAGCAAAAGAACTTATTACTTATCATACTTATGGCTTATAACTTCCGTACCTGGATCCCGAATCACTGGGCTTATTCTCCAATATTTTTCTGAAGATAACAGCACGTTTGCAAATTGCAGTTAACGCAAAACATTCGGTCAAACGGAAACACAGTGTCGAAGTACTATGGTGATTTTAACAATCACAGTCGTATCACACTCTCTCATGCGCAGGAGCTTGAAAACTTACTCGGCTGGATAATCGGCAATAAAACTTGAAACTTCACAAATTTCGTAATTCAGCTTGCGGGCCGTTGGCTTTTTATCTTCCATTGTTGCGCTAAGGAATGCCAAGGAATCCAATGCAAACGCAAGATTAATCTTAAAAAGGATGAAATGCTCTGCAGCCCAAATACTGGATTAACAAGTAGATACAACTTTTAACTTCTGCTGCTGCTCTTATGTTTGCGTAGCGTGACTCAGTTTTCCAAAATAAAGAAGAGTCGGATTCACTGAAAACAATTTAGCCAAGAGTCTTTTGAGAATACTCGAAATTGTTTGATATGAAAACGTTTAAATTCAGAATTCAAATTGCATCAAATTTTGTGATTTGCGCAGTTTTCGACTTTACAGTTTACATATCAAGGATTTCGGCGTCCGCCGTCGCGTGCCGCTTTCAGGCAACCCTATTGGTGGGCGTTCTTAACTTGCTGATAGAGAAATTTTTAGGGCTTGAACAGGGGGCCTTGATTTTAACATCCTCGGCGCGGCAGGAGGCTCAGCTTGTTGCACAGTCGAAGGGATTTGCAGCCGCAGAAAATCCCGTTTTTACACTTTTTCACAATTATTTGTGGGAGCGATTTGTCGTTTACAACATAGCGTTCACCGAGAAGTTGTAAGATTTAGGAATGCCTCGATTCAAGAATTTCTTTATGTCAGGACCTGCTCCAATCCGTAGAACACTTCAGTATTTAGAGGGGGGACAAATTCAGTTGCGCGATGAAGTACGGATTGTATGCATGTACTGGCGCGATCGGGATTTCGCGCACAAAGGAGCCAGGTGAGTGTTTTCGTTCAGATATTTTGCAGATGGGTTCTCAAAGGAACTAGATTGTCGGATAAGATTTGACGCGTCTCGGCGCCTACGCCGACTGTGAAAATACGATGTTGTAGATCAGGGGAAATTTGAGTGATTGATGAGACTACAGAGTGCATACATACTTATGTGTATTACTATTTATACGGACTACTTTGCAGAGAATTTGTGTTTTGGAATTACCCTCAATTGCAATACAAGAATCCTCATGTTCAATTTTTGACGTTTACAAACTACATGCCAACTCCGGTTATCCAAGCATATCTTGGTATTGCATGCTGTGTAATTTGTGTTTGAGTGCAAAAGATGCTGAAATTACACCTTCTGTGCTTATAAATAATGTAAAAGACAGTAAAAAGAAACAATATAATTTTGTTCTAGAAAACGGCCAGAAGGTGCTGCTTGATGTATTTGACAACACTCGCCATGAAATCCATGAACGTGTACGAAAAACGATTGGGAAATCAGAGGAGATTTTGGCAGCGGAAGCAGTTGCCCGACAAACCATCGCCAATCCTGCCAATTTCGGCAAGGGATTTCCTCGCCACTGTATATGCGAAGTTCCCGGACAGATTCCATGTTCTAATGTTGTACCTTTTCCCAAAGAAATGCGACGGAAATTTTATGAGAATCCTTATGACGTCGATAGCCCGATGAAGGAAGAATAGAACCGTCAACAGGATAATCAGCTGTACATGTATTTGAGTGTTTATTTTCAGTTTTTCTCGTATTCAGATGGACTCCTCACGGTAAAAGTGTAAAAAATCGTAAGAAAAACAGTCGTTACTCTGATGTCATACAGTTTTCTACAAGTAATCAACGGTGTGCTATAAAAATAAAAATTTCAATTATCACAGGTTGTGCACCACTTTTTGCCGATAAACCTTGGTCAGTTCATTCAAATTCTCTGTCAAAATACTAACTTCATCTAATCTACCGGCTTTTCTTGCTTGGTCGACAGTTTTTTTAATAACTTCGATTTGCTGTAGTAACGGATCATCCTCGGTGTCAATTTCCGTCGCTTTGACCTGTTCCGGTGCCCAACCGGCGTTCAACCGACTTGACGGCCGGCTGTTCGGTTCATCGGGCTCATTAAATGGATTGTGATCATCCTCACCGTCGTGGTCGCTATCGAAGGGATTTTTCGAATCAAAGGGATTTTTTGTTTCAAAAGGATTGGCATTAACCGGTTTGGGTTTGACTAATTCTTTAGGGAATTCTCGACTGTGTCGCCTGGTTTCGAGTTTTCGTTGCTCCTCAGCCGCCTTTTGTGCAGCCAACCGTCGTTTGGTATCTTCTCTCCGCTGTTGCTGCAGTTGTTCCAACTGCTGTGGAGTCGGAAGGGGAGGAAGCACCAGCACACGTGCTTTCAGATACTCCACTGCGTTAATTCTCACGTTATTCCTCAGTTTTTCTTCCTTCGGATGGCTCGCGGGGGGAAGAGCAGCAATCTTTTTACTGAAAAGAATGGGTATACAATTTTCGTTTTACAATGAAATGCAATTTTTTACAATGGAAAGCAATTTTTTACTGAAGCCAAAAGATGACAATTTTAACATAATATACAGATACCGAGCATCAGCAAATATAATATGTTACGAACCTTACGACATCAATGGTGTCGAAATATGTCTGCAGCTGTTGTCTCATTTCCGCAGCCTGATGCAAACTGTAGTTTGTTTCTCCGGCTCTAATAAACGACACAATTTTTTAAAATAAACGACTAGCAAAAGTTCAACATGCATTCTTAGTTTTCCATTCGCACGATGGTGTATACTCACTGTAGTGATATCGCCATTTCCTGATAAGCTGGATAAATTTTCTCGGCATCAGTTATTGCATATGCAACACGCTGCAACACAGAATATGAAAGACAAATCAAGTGCGGATGCTAGATCATTCATTGATTATGTCTGCAGAGTACCACAATGGCTTTTGGCCATTGCCTCGCACACAGAAAGCTAACCTCATGAAGATCTTCAAGCTCCGTTCTGCTTCCCTTTTCTTCTAGCTGCATTATTCGGCGTTCCAGTAAATCTTTGCAAATTGCACAGACGCGAATTAACTGTTCTTTATCCCGACCGCCCATCGAGGCAACAACTGACATTAAACTTTCACTACTGTTGGACCGCTTCATCATGGATCCGTTTCGGACACGTTGGTCACTGTTTTCGCCGACCACCGGCCGCAGGGTGGCACCCACCGGATTCGTAAGTTTTTCTAAAACGTCGGTAAACAATATGTTGATACCTTCGTCCAGGGCGCGCTTTCAGAGAGCATAAACAAAATTTTACCAACAAACTCGGGGTCTAGAAAATCGCTACATTCCCCGCAAATGATGGAACCACAAAGTCGGCAGTGGTGTTTCCGCATAAACATTCGGAATGATTTCCCGCATCCAGGGCAAATTGGAACGTCCTGATCCGCAACCCAAGGCGCCAGATGCTTTTCGAAAACTGAAATGGCCGACAGCGATATGATTACACAGTACTGATCATCAACACAACATAACCAAAATTATACTGATCACTGCTCCAGAATTAAGTAATGGGGCTACAGTTTACAAAGCACCGTAATTCAAAAAATAGCTACGATAATAAATACGATAAATACGATGCAGCAGGGCTACCGAATCCGATTTCATAAACAATAAACCGGGGAAAAACAGACGCACGCACAGCTTTTCACACTCATTCGGATTTCACCGCAGAGGTTGGCATGGTTTGATTAATTCTTTAAGTGGATCGCCTTCCGAATCGGATTCTGGATCTTTTACTGTTGAAATCGCTTCTGCCTTACCTAAACGCTGTCTCGGATCGGATGGCGCTTCGTGTGCTAATTTATCCAACCTGATAATCAGTTTATTCGTTTCAACCATGAATCTCTCCAGGCGGGAATCCCGCACTTTCCGAAAATAATCCGTGTGGCTGCTGGACAGGCCAAGCACTTGTGGTTCCCAAAAAATCTGATGGTCATAATCCTGCTCCTCAGAGTTATCACGAGAAATGCCTTTATGACTGGGCGTAGAGTGCGAGTTGTCCACAATGCCAACTTTGCGTAACAAAATCCCTACCAAAACAAATGTTTAACTGGACATTGTAAAATGGGACTATAATTTCTGCTAAACCAATAATTACTGATGAGCAAGTTTCAGTGATCCATACTCGAAATTCCCAAATCCGTACAAACTCCTTGCTGACAGATAACATACCTTTCAGCTGCTTAATCACTGATTTATCTTCCTCCGCGTGATCATGCTCGAAGTGGTCCTGCAGCTCGTCAATATTGCCACAGTCCTGCATGCATATGGGACAAATGAAGCCTTCTCTAACGACGACTTCTGCGGCGGCCGAAGGTTTTGCCTTCTGCGGCATTCCTCGACGGGCTGACGTCGCCATGTTCAACCGGATAAAAGCCTCTTCAGTTAATTGACAAGAACTGATTTGATTTTGAATAACACGACCGTGTGTACACTGGGTGTACAGTACACGTTAACTTCCCAAAGTTTCATGCTGAACCTTCCAGTTACGGTCTGTGCATGGATAAACCCTCCATAATTATTAAAAATAAAATCACTCCAAGACTTGCAACACTAAAAGACAAGGAAGCTGATAGGAAGAATGACGATGAATACTTATTGAATATTACAGCAAAGGATGGTTTATGGAAAAATTAATAACATTTTTTGCACAGCGAGCAGGTGGATTTTTTTACCGCTCGTCGTCCCACTCACTGAACCTCGTATTCGCCACCCATTTGCGGCAGGGCTGCGACAGACTTTTGCGATAAAATACTCGAACTTTTTAACGGGTATTACTATTGGCGTATTGCAGTTTATTATTTGTTATTTGCAGTTTGTTTGCAGTTTGCTGTTTGCTTGTTACATTTTTTTCCGATTTATCGATAAGTTCGCTCTTCTGCATTCTGTTGGCGAAACATTTAAACCCAGATTCTGCACGCAGTTTTGCGCACCCATGGGAAATGGATCAACAGATTAGAAGTTCGGTAAGGTTTGCTGCAGAGTGCAGAACAATTGGCACAGAAAAGAGGAAACCTCCACAAAATGATTTGAAACATTTAACTTGAGCCGTCGAGGTTTTCGGTGTCGATCGTCTTCTACTTACGACAATTGTGGCTAATAGTATTTCTGGTTTTCAGAACAAGAGCCATTACGATGCTTTTCATTTATATCTCCGGCAAGAGCGGTTCGATTTAGCCATCAAAGAAGTTGCGCAAATACGCAAAAATCCTCGGTTCGTTCCAGTTGCGTAGTTTATTCTTGGATTGGTATACAATGCATTCCTTTTTTCTGTGTATACAGACTTCGGCACGAAGCAGTCAGAAGTTTTCTCACACGGGCCAGTGCGTTGTTCCGTCGTGTTCGGCTGGATCCAGCCGTCGGATGGTTGGCAGGGGAGAATGCGGATTTCGCGGATACTGTCAGAACCGCTGTTGCGGTGTTGGGAGATGATTTCTACGCTGTCCTGGTTGAGCATTGTGTGGCCTCCGGGGAAGAAATAGATCGTTCGTTGGTGAATTTATTTCTGGAGTTTTCTCAGGAGGGATATTTGTGGACCGATGGTGTGGAAATTTAAAAATACTGCTACTGTTGTTACCTATCGTTCATTTGCTTAGCGTATATTTGCTGTCAGCCGGAATTTCATTTCTTTTTGTAGTGATTCGATTATGCTTGTCGCTGGCTGATTGGGAGTTACACCAGCATCACGACTCTTTTCCAGTGAATTTTGATGCAGTTTCCGAGCATTTATCCAGTATCTTGCAGTTTCTGGATGCAGCACCAAAAAAATCCATGCCAAATCCTATTTTCAGGGTACGATGTACCATTTTGACGTTTAACACTTTAACTTTTATTTTACCATAAGTTTTTGCGTAGAAACCGGAGAATACCAGCTCCGGAACCCGCATTTCTCCTGCTCAGTTTGCTTGGAATAAACCAGAGATAACGGCCGCGGAAATCTCGTGCCAGTTGGCACTTTCCGTTGTTTGTGCAAATTTGTTGCGACAGGAAGCTCCGGTTGGAAGAAATATTGTGGTGGAAGAGCTCTATGACAAAGCGCTACAGATGAAAATGTTCCGGGAAGCCGTATTGCTGGCAAAACACTGCGGTGTAGGAGAGTCTGCAGCAGTATTCCGAAGTTATGCAAACTGGTAAATTATGAATGTGCACTTGGTGACATTTGAAATTTCGAACACACTGGTTAGATTCTATTGCACATTGTCTTCACGTTACAGTTAATATCGTATTATTTTTAGTATTTGTTTTCTTTCAGGATAATACAAGTGTCCACATTAGCCAGAGAGCAATGGGAAGAATTTTTCGCTCAGATCTCAGTTTTTATTAACCGGTTACCTCTTGTTCCGGCGGAAATAAACTGGCAAAAAGAAGTTGAAGATTCCGCTGTTTTCGTGGAAAGGTGAATTTGATTTGGCTGTTTCGAAGTATCCAGTATTCTCAGTCATCTTTCGCTTACAGGATACTTTCCATTCTTCAGACTTCCCTCGTTAATTTGTTTAAAGAAACGGGAACGATAACTGACTTGCTCACAATCGTCGATGCATACCATATGGCCAGTTTTCCCATATTCCTCCAACTGGACCAGCTTTTAGTCAGTGTTAAATATTTCCGAGAATTATTATGGCATTTGCTGGGCCAGAGTTTTGCTCATGAACGGATTTTTCATTACGTTGTGGACTGGATTGATGCAGTTAATGGCGAAGCATGCATTGCAACAAGGCCCACGTTTTCTTTGGTACTTATCACGAAGATCAAGTCGTAAGTTGCGAACAGTTTACTAATAAAACTACATTTTTAGCAAGGTGATACTCGTGTGGAAATTCCATACATTGGCTCCACCTTATGGAATTCTATTCGGAACTATTTCTGCTCTGGAGACCCTACAGATAATGTGACAAATGTAATTTGCTTTTGCCGTTACACTTTTAACAACCAGGGTTTTACAGTGTGTTACTAATTATTGATGCTTGTAGATGTGGGAAACGCTGGAACATAAGTATAATGGCAGGAATTTAGATAGTCAGATTCCAAACACCCATGATCAAACTGTGATAATATTCCGCAAGAGAGCGGCATATCCAACTAGCGAAGACGAAGAAAGCTCTAGTAGTGAAAACGAAAATGATGTGGAAATGCTAACTGGGAATGAGTGAAAGTTGGCTGTTTTGAGTGGCATTGCTTTTCATTTGTGTAAAGTATTTTTCGGTTTTCTCTCGTTGTTTGAATTTTGTGAACTCTGCGTTGGGTTGGAAAATTCTGGTTATTACAGCTTTCAGTCAAAAATTAATGAAGTTGCGCATTCGAAGTATGCTCTACAGTAACTGAGAAAAATAAGTGCAAGTTATTTGTTGTATACACTTAACTTGCTTTTATATTGCAGTAAATTGTGTTTATGTTGCAGTAAATATAAATATGTACGTACAAGACTGCAACGTGCCGTGTGCTTATTAATTGTAAGTATTCATTAAAATGCACTCCGTTATTCTAAATTTACGAAATGGCTGTGGCTCGACAAACCGGGCGCATAGAATTTCGTTTTGCACCTTTCTATTCCCGGTAATCCCCTCAAGAAATACCAATTTTTTAATCATTTTCTTGCGCAAGATACTGTGCAGTTTCAAAATGGAAAACAACACATAATTCTGCAACGGGAAGCCAGAATATTTAGCGACTTATTGACCCCTACATCTTAAAACAAAAACGTATAAAGATGTTCCAGTTGGAAGGTTCTTTTTGCCTTCATTCACCTGTAACTTCCAACATTTAGTAAAAAATAGACCAAATATACTACAATTACAATAACCCCATTTTTTTATAAATGGTATCTTTGGTTCCTAAGTACTCGTAGTAAATGAATGCCTATTAGAAGTTCAAATTATCACAATGTACAGAATTTCAATAAAATTACAAGAATCTCAGTCAAATAATACAGATTGGACCGCATTGGATGTTGTCCACGACTGACACGTTTTTAAGCGCTGTGCAGCTGCCGAAATTCCGCCCGGCGAACTGTACGCGAAAGGTCATTAGGAATAGGTGCCAGCTTAATAACGGGCGCAGATTCCGCATGGTGCTCAGGCTGTGATTCACTTTTTGAACGGGGCAATTCACGGGTTAATTCACGAAAACTGCTTTCCGATACACCTTCAGCCATTAGACTGGGGAAAACGAATGCGCCCACATGTGGACTGTCCGGTCGTTTGGGTAGATCATTAGGGGAAAAGATGGTGCCGCGCCGGGCAATGGCGCGCATCATCAGTGTGGCCGTTGTGAGATTGGGTGTGGTCGGACTGAGCCTTTCCCGTACGCTCTCCTCGTATTTTTTCCTTAAATTCGCGAAATCATGCTCCGCGAAGGCGTCACTATTTCTGCGCATCTGTCCGTGCACGTTTGCCAGACTGCGTCGCGGACTAAAGCCACTACGTGGACTTTTGTTGCGAAATGGACTGAACTGGGTGTAATGGGAGTTTTTTGCCGCTGCCACGGTGACAGTGTGTTCAATGCGCATTGTGCGTAAATCGAAATCGGGAATTTTGAACAGCTCCTGGATCAATTCTTCCGGGCCGATCATCATCCCGTCCAGTATGCTCTGCTGGAGTTCACTCATGATGGAATAAAAGTCGAAGGCAGTTTCTACTGGCAGAAAATACCTGAAGAATATGGAATCGATTAAAACGCAATCCTTATACACAGAAACGTTAAATGTATACGAGTATAATCAATACTGTACAGTAATCATTTTGTGCAACACCGATGTACTGTTACTCGACCGGAAAACCGCGGAACAAAGAAATCAAGTGCACAATTTTATTGTTAATCAGTAGGTGTTGTATATCGTTTTAACAAATACCTTGTATTAGAAATTTACTAGTGTACTAAATGCAGGAACAAATTAAAAGATAGTCTTTGAATATATAACACTCGGATTCATGCCTGTGACATGCACGATGCAGTAGCCAAATGTCTGCACGATATAATGTTAAATAATTTATCATTGATTCAGATCTAAAAAGCAATAATTTTATGCTCATTCTGTAACTCGAAATTAAATCGAATTTCGCATCAATGTAAATCAATTAAAATTATCTCACATATTCACTGTACCGGTTTCCGTATTTTTGCACAGCTTATAATACCTTACTCCATAGTATTTTGTAGCCGTCAACAGTAATATTCTGTATTTACAGTATCTGCACTGGAGCGGCGTTCGATCTTCGTGCTTTTTAAATTGGATGTACATTTGCGCCCGAATCAAAACATCGATTAACTCAGTTGCGTCATTCAAATAGCCGAACCTGATACCTGCGTTTCATAACCTCCCCTCGAACGTTTCATGTTTGATTTACACTTGATCAAATGGTAACATTAAACATACTTCTCAAGTTTCACCAGCAGGACGAGGGCCGTCTTCATGAGAATGACCGAGCCGTACAGGAAGATGCAGTCCCATACACGTAAAGTGGCCTCATGCTGCAGACACGTTGCAAAGAGCGTCAAAAACCATTGAATGGAAAACAGATTCGTTAACGGCGGCTCGTATCCCCCGTTTGCTCCTGTAAATGCACACCGCACTATATTACCCAGTGATCAATCGATTTCTTAACTTTGACGTGGCTGAATAGCCATTCCATGTCAACATTTCACATGCATTTACTTGCCTCGTTCTTCCAGCGACTGCTTGCGCAGTTTATCCAGATGAGATGATAGTGCCGGCAGATAATTACTGACCAATTCTTGAAAAACCGATAGGTCGATCGTTAATGCCTCCAAATCATTGGCGAAATAATTCGGCGGCAAGACATGTTCGATAAGGTATATCATTATCTGCAAAGGCAATGTGATAGTTTCTCCAATCTTGACATGCAACTGCCGACTGGAGCTTGTCTGCGCAATTAGTTGTCTGATTCCGCACTATCACCAGAAAGCGTATATACTGGCTCATATTAATAATTACAATAACCGATGGCGACCTTTAGCCTCATTGATAATTTATGTAGATCAAGGGAAACAAAAGCTGAAACTTTTCGCTTAAAATATCAAGAAAATTTAAAGGTATAGAAAAAGCTCGCTTCTGAAGTGGTTTTTTTGCGATAGCTTTTAAAACCAATAACCTTGCACGAGTAAGTAATCAAATTTATGAAGGCTTACGCGAGCAATACACTCTATTTCGCCTGAATAAGGCGTGCGTTCTGCTACGTCATAATCCGATTTCATCCACAACTCAGTAATCTTTGGACGTTTTCGATTATTACCTTTAGAGCCTCTTCCTCATCTTTGTCAACGACATCCAATATGACAGCTGCTATTATATTAAAACCTTGGCAATAACCAACAGATGGCCGGAAGCGAGCGTACGCTAACAGCACTCGTTTCAGCAAAGAGCGCTCTTTTTCATTATGCTCGCCGCAGAAGCCGGAGCAACCGGTGCGGTGTAGGTCTTTGACAATCTGCAGTCCCAGCGCCTCCTCGTCCGGATTGAACCGGTCATGCAGTAAGAGTTTTTTAATCTTTTCCCATTCAAATGGCAGCTGCGAAATGTATCGATTGGCGATAGTTGACCACATCTGAAATTAATGACATCCGTTAAAATATGCTTAGGCTGCACGGTCGGATCCTGTGCGGCTTCTGTCACTCCAGTTCTGTCATGGACGGCTAGGCACGTACTTGATACAAAAAAATATTAAACATTTACGCTATCAAAATGAAAATCAATCATGGTTAATGAAATATGGGAATTGGTTTGCGTCATAATGGACAGAAGTGCAAATAATCATACAGTTTACATTAGTCTGCACTCTGCATATGTAATGTGTCCACCTTGTCCTTACTGTTTTTCGAAAAGCTGTTGGCAATCCACCCGGAAGTTTCAGCACGGCTCTCATCGCTTCGATCCACTGCAGGTAACCATCGCTGTCACCTACCGGAGGTGTTACGGAAAACCGAAACTTAGCGTGCCGTTGGCCTAACAAAAAAAGGACACCACGCAATTATTTTAACGCAAATCGATAAGTAAAGCGTAAGCAAATACCGCATCAACGAAATTAATTTCTGAAGGAGCATTTTTTTTATATAACTATTATGCATGGCCCATGGGAATTCGAGACACTAATTCCGGATTCGAGTAAAGTACTGAGTGTTCAAGTTGCTAAATAATTATACGTATGTTTTACCGAGAAATATAGCTAAGCGAAGCGAATATGTCAGCCCTGTTAAATTACAGTGAAACCGCAATTAATTGCTTACGTAGCACAACTTACAGTTGTAACGGTGGATTTGATCGTGAACAAAAGCCACGCCACAGGAATACATGTCTGTGCGTTATGGCGACAAAGTAATTACTGATTTAATTGATAACTGAGGAAGACTTTCCACACTGCGTATATATAATACTGCAAAATACGGGTCAGCACGCAGATTCGTACAAGGATAACTGCCGACTAGAGAAACAAGAAAAGAGCAGCGGAATGAAAATGTTGTTCAGCAAGGGAAAATTTATATACCATTCCTTTGCACTATCCATCAAACCCATCCCGAACTGTCCATTAAAAATAAATCAACCGGTACTCCCACTCTTTGCTGTCCGAAATACATTAATGCTAATACCAGCAATATATTGCTCTCTCTAATAGCCGGCAATTGCTTGGATGATTTGAAGATATTAAAAACGACATGACCTATTTTGCATTAAGCCCTTATATGCACACGTCTGACAATACAAATGTTAAAAGATCTGATATGGTGTGCCGATTGTGCGGCTACAGTCTGCTGCTCTGGAAATAAGCAAATCCATAGCGAAGCTCGTAGTTCAAGGAACCGCTTGGCTCCACCTTCCATGGAAATACTCTCTTACTGCCATAGCGTGCCTTATTGCCACAGAAAGGGAACTTACTTCCTTCCGGTGATGATGGCGCAGCCAGAGCCTGCAGTGCGCTGTTGATGATCAAATACTGTTTACTTTGGGCTATTTGTCTCTTGTCCTTCTGTTTCAGAGTCTGCACAAGATACCGGTTCACTCCCATGATGGTGTTTTCGTATGCGGTCCTTAACATTTTCAGCTGACTTGTATCTAAAAAATAAGTATATATAAAATTATTTGAATATCTGCAAGAGCAGACCGGAGTAAACTTTGAACACATATTGCCGATCAAAACTTCTGCATTATGCATCGTCAAGGAAAAGTTTTTGTGCAAATGCAAAATTTTTTATTAAAAACAGTGCACCGCAAGAACATAAAATTAAGAACGCTTGCTTGCACTTTAGCACATTTTAAATTTACATAACAAAGAATAAATTATCAGCATATAATATTAGATCTAAAAATTGATGGTTCACCTTCCCATTCAAAACTATCAAAAGGGCAACGAGAAAATGTATACACGTCCTGGTATATTATCGACATTTATGTGCGTTATATATTACTCTGTGTATGGTTGCACAGTACGTATCACGTGAGATTTCATATATAGCAGATGTTTTTGTTATAAACTTTTGATATCATTTTATTGGCACATATTTCTCTTTAATAGTCCAATGAAATTATGTAATTTGCGGCTATATTCTAACATGGTACGTGTCCTAAATGTGACCAGCACTCCCACCAAAACTTTTTTTTTTGAAGAAACATATTTGTACGAAACACAAAAATATAAAATTCTCAGTCTTACTAAGAGCGCTCCGTCTAAGTCATACAAAGATCGCATCACCGATCTGTCGTACGTGTACATCCAGTTCTATATCTATATTTTATTTAAAATTTACTTGTTAATAATTGGCAATTTCACAAGATCTCTGAGTTGGGATAAGCATATATATATACAAGATCTTTTAGATGGGATAATCTTCTGGTTGGTTTCCGAAAGCCTGTGGCTAACGATACCAACTGCGAATATGAAATATATGCATTTGCAGTATTTTTTAAATTAAATTAGAGGAATAATTGTTAGAGGATTAATTGTTAGAGGATTACATTCCTAATACATGTACAATACTTCTTAGTTTTTTATGTAACATGTAAATTTCTGTTAATAATTTGGGCGTGCCAGTAGTAATGTTTACCGGTTTCGGCATTTAACTGCTCAATATACAATTTGTTAGTCAAATTTAGGATTGTAGTGCAGTACTAATTTGGCAATCAAATAAAAAGGTTTTCGGTCCGCATAAATGCAACTATATTGCTTCGTATTTGCCTGATTTCAAGTATGGCGGGTTACTTTCATGCCAACTGCAAAAAAAATTGTTTTTGTAACAGCAGCTAATGCCTGCTTTTGCTACTGCTAAACAATTTTGAACACGGTATTGCTGTAGTTCACATGCTATACCCATTTGTGTAAGCAGCTGCACGTCCAGCTTGTCATTTCCCTGGTATCCAAAACTCTGCAGCGTTTTACTTAATTCTGCATAATATTCAATTCTCCAGGCGGTATAATCAATAACTGAATTTTTCCTTCCAATACTGCTTTGACTGGCATCTGAACTTCGGCGCACAAGATAGCGCGTTTCCTCCAGTTCATCGTGGTACAGCTGATCATCCACATAAATTTCATGCAACAGATTTTCAATCAGCTGTTTGCGATTTCTGGCACTTGCATCATAAAACTGTTGTTCAAAAATGCGTGAATCGCTATCGCTCGTTTGACCAGAGTCAGTGGCTGAGTCCATGAAACGATCCCCAAAACGCATCGTGTAGGGCATTTCGTCGTGAATATCCGCCGAAATGGATGCCTGTGCCGAAATGGAACCAGCGTCTAAATCCGTTGTGGCTGGTGATGGGTCTTGTTGATGCTGCTTGCGGAAGCGCATTAAATCGTGCCACGCCAACAAATCCCCATCATCCATAAATTCCGACTGACCTTTTTGATCAGTCTGATTATTCAGCTCGTCCATCGCAAAACATACAGATGTGAGCCCAGTTTCGATTTAATATACCGAGACGTGCAAATAGCATATGCAGGTGACCATGAAAATCAAGTACAGTAGCAAGTGAAATCATGCAGCTTACCGGCACGCTGCATAATTAATCTTAATAAATTTGTAGTACCAAACAATTCTTTCCCAAAAAGAGTGCCAGACCTAGTGCAACCAGTCATGATTGCATTGTAATTAAAACGCATTTGAACTGCTCCAACTGGGTAAATATCACAGTTTGTTGTTTCAATTATCAGAACAGTAGCTTACAGTGCGATAAATTTTAGCTTCTCTAAAAAGACTTTTCCGAACGATAAGCGCAATAACACCAGATAAGATAATTTATATTGTCCGCTATATTTCTTGCCGAATTTTGGGGATCGGTTACCACAAAAGCCGAGATACTACTGAGCTGTCCGGTTAATGTTAATGAAACGTTTTGTTCCACAAGTATTTGACAGTCATTTAGCAATACGCACGTTATTTAGATTAGGTTTAATTAGCAGTCTCCAATAAAATATTATTAGCAAAATATTTAACAGGATATTTGAATCATGATTGCAGGACTGCACATTTTACAGCCCTAATATACGTATACTACTCGGTAATGATTTGTCTGTGCTAGCAATTCTGTTAACCTTCGAGGATTCTTTTGGGGTATTCACTAGTACTATCGTACGGTTAAATACCGTAATTAAATCCGTAGTTAGAGTCAAGTTAGTGACGGTGTTGTGCACTACTCTAGGTAAAAAGTAAAAACTTTAAAGATTACATGTTATAAAATAGCAAAATAGGTTTTTAATTTCGTAATACGCAATATGTAGCTGATGTAGGCCCTTTTTCAGTGTTGAGAACAATCTTTTGCAAAGTATTGCGCTGCTCCCTGCAGGGAAATGTAATCAGTCTCCAACAAAAGATACGAGTATATGTGAGACATGTAAATGTAAAATTTTTTGCACTTGAGGAAATGTATTAACTTCATGGAATTATTGCACTGCAGCACATACTTATAGTTAACTAATAAAACTGCAAATTGTTTGCATGTACCTGACTTTTACTAACTATGACAGACGTAACAACTTGTACGCTTTATATGTTCGAAGTCAGTAAATAAGCGCCTGTAAAAACGGTTTTTTTGTTTAAAGAAAAAAATCAAGTGTTGCAGGAATAAAGTGTTGTATAGTCACAGGTTGCAGTTCATACTCGATTACTATAAATATTAATTTAGAGAACCAGAATAAGAATAAGCAAGCGTTTTTCTTATCCTGGTTTTTGCCACCTTTATAACATACAATGCGTATGCAGTCAACCATTCTAACAAGACAGTGTAATTAACATATATACCTACGCCTTATTATAAGACAGTCGTGACCTCGTAGCGGCATCGTTTATGCCATGTTTTTGCTAATGATGTTGTACATACCGGTAAGTATGCGTAATTTTCAAAATGCGGTCATTCGGAAGAAACACATAATAATGATAGCCGTTAGTTTAATCGGCAGTTTTAGAGAAATTTTTGAAAGAGTACACGTTTCTAGATGTTTGTCGTAGATTTCAGTTACGTACCCATTAATAATTTATTTGTCAAAAGATTTCTGGAATCTCAGTCACAGTATGCCCTTTAGCTTTTCGGTAACCTTGTGTACCTGCATATGGACATTATCGCTAACAAGCATATGCTTTGTTTTCTGCTATCACTTCCAGCGCAAAGAAACAGTGCAAACGTCCAGCACCGTAAATCCGGTCACCAGAATTCCTGACATTGTGCCTGCTTTGCGCAGCTATGATACCTCGTATTCTGCGGCAAACAATGTTGAAACGGCCTCATACTACAACACTAATAACTATAATCCCAATCCATCCATGACCGATTCTGTTCCAAAATACAATAATGGGCTGGATCCAGTGTACGCATCGGCATACGCCATCGAGACAATTAATTCCGCCGACCTTTTTCATATAATAACTACAACACTAGGACCTGAAGCGTGCCGGTCAACGACATATCGTACCATTTTGGGATGTTACTGTCGACTGATTGGGAAGCGGTGTTATGCAGCGAATTCCATTTGTAAAGCGGATCAGTTGGGCGATGGCTACTGCGAATGTGACACTGGATACGTAAAACTGGGACTGCAGTGTGTTACGCAGGCTGCGTACAATAATATTACTATGACTGCTGCCCGTGAGAAAGCGATGCAAAAATGATATTACGAATTTACGACTACCACAAGTTTTTTCGAATGCCAATTCTAGATTTATATTTCTTTCATAAGTACGAGTACGGTAAACGGACCTATCCAGCTTGGGAATTTTATGACAGGTTTATAAATTTGATTGTACTTTATTTAGGATCGGTAGAATTTTTAGTCACGTCTTCACCATGGTCAGTAATAATCTTTATCCACAGAGGCATCTTCTTCGTTTACAATTTATCCCCCGACAGTAATCGCGTCTTGCTTTTTGCCTTTGAATTCTGTATTTGGGAACGTTGGTGTAAGTTAAAGAAACAAGACCGTGTAGCAGCAACATTTTGCTACCATATTTTTCTTTGACGAAAAATCTTTGAATTATAGTCCATTGCCGGAAACGGAAGCCTAACATACACACTTACCTTGCTGTCTTCCAGCCCACTTGGAGATTCCACCAAGCATGTTGACATCGATCCAGCTAATGGCAATTTAATATATAAATCAGTTGCTCCCGGATCGGTAATAAATCAGATTTATTCCTTGAGTGCAAAAGATTCCCGCGGGAATACAACCTCTAAAAATTTTACGGTAATGTTTCGGGATTGATTTGGCCGAATGCCAAATGCCATAATACAGTAATATAAACACCTGCATAACTGTGTGACATATGATCAACTTGTTATTAATTTTATTGAAGTTTACAACTGCAACATAAAACAGTCATGAATAATACCACTACGATCGGCATGGCACAATCAAGAATTAAAGAAACAGCCAAAATCACTATTATATATTATTATTATTATTTTATATATGATTAATATTATTTTTAGGTGGCCTATAACTGCACAGGTAAACTTCGTCCACACAATGGAACAGATGCAAAAACATAAAACTTTCTCATTAGCTCCAACGTGCTCGTTTAATTTCGGAAACAGTTTAATCGTGGACTGCTTGCGATTCACAACCGGCGACACTATAGTGACCTTTATTGTAAGCTTAGTGGGTGTGCTAGGCTAACGTTAGTCTTAATGTGAATTCGTCATCAACTGCAGTTACTTTTATTACAGGCTAACAATAGTTTAACTCCGACGGTGTTTTCGATGTCACTCATCAATTCTTCATCAAGGAATGGAAACAATTTTTTCCAAATTGGTTCAAACACTGGTCTAGTATTTCTGCAAAAAATTCCTCATGGTGGCGCATTTGTGGAGAACTACAGTGTTTCCGCTACAAATGCGGCTGGACAAAGTTGCCCAGCTCAAACTCTTACGGTTAGAAAAGATCGTTTAATTGCCTATTCATCTCGAACGTCATGGGCGACTGGATGAATAATATTATATGAACGATATGTACGCGCGTATATGTACCTACATCTGAAATGAGAAGGTACTTTTTGCGTTGCAGCTTACGACAACAGACACTTGTATTTGACTTCCCGCAACACCGTCGACACCAGACGAACAGCACAATAAAGGAGTACAGGTATATAGATATTGTATAATATCTCATATAATATATGAGTACCTTGGCACAATGAATCGGACAGTACAAAATTTCAATTTATTTTATAAGGCTGGTCATTTGACGCAGTTACTGTTAATTTGGATTTAGAAACGCTTTTATCTATCCGGAACTATATGTGCCGTACATTTCAGTAAAACTTGACCATAATTATATGGTAATATTGGAACGCATATTTACTGTCTGTTCAAAAATATCTATGCGACAACACGGGTACTCCGTACTCGTATATCAAACGATGGATTCTGGCTAAATTAAACGCAATTAGCTATTTGTCTTTGTCTGACGATAGAAGTACTTGTACTCTAAGTTACGAACCTCAAGTAAACGCCCGTTTCGCTACACAATCTGCGTAGCCATATCCGGCCAGAAAAACGCGCACCGGAGCTACTTTGTATAAGGTTGAAGAGGTTCGGTGTTATCGTCATCGTTTTTTGCATAGCCGGCATTTGGTGCTGTAGGCTTGGCACTTACTATCTGGCCGTGATTTCGTTTGTAAGTTAAATGAATACTAACTTTAGAATCCTATTCCTTAGATTGCCTCAAAATGAAGATTGCAATTGTCAAAACAACAAAATTTTTGTTTCGCTAGCAGTAAGAGCATCTGATGATTCTGATCATGCTGTCGAAGAGAGACCGTAGCAGCATTTTCATTATCCTCGAGTACCTAGTAGCATGGTTGCGAAAGAGAATCTTTTAAAATTTTATTGTACCTGTAGTGTTTAAGATTATTTCAGCCAAAGCGTAACCCGCACTGCATAATTTGCATCACTGTGGACAGATTTAATCAGGTTTGTAAGTAGATACTTGAACAACCGGAAGAAGTTATTCTGTACCAGTTGTTGGCTTTCTTTTCACGAGCACATGTAAAGAACAGAAAACCAGCAAAGTCGATAAATTTAGCTTATTCCATTACGGAGAATAAAATAAGTGCAACTGCAGTGCACACCGCAGAGCTGCAGCAAGCAAATGGTGAAAACGTTATTTGCGCGATAAGGCGTTATAACTTGCACTGCGCGGCAGTCAAAAGCATAATAGCCATTTTGTGGACATTCCAGCGAAGGAACTTTCCGGTCATCACATAATGTCAAACACTCCCAAACGCTAGCAAAGGATCCAGCTGCTTAACAGCAATTGCAACCATAAATTTTGCAGTCATGCGTATAATCACTAGTTAGCAATACTATTAAAGTTCTGCAACAGAATTCGGTCCAGGTGCTGATCAAAATTTGTGTAATGGGTTGTAACTTTAGCCAACGTAAAAAACGACTCCAGCTCAATTGATGTACGTCCTAGTGCGACTGTACCGTGTGGTCCGGAAACAGCACCATCCGCAGCAACAACACAACAAAATCCACAGAACAATAAAGCCAACCTAATAAAACATGTGCATATATCACTGAAACGTTCAGCATTATTTATGTAAACGCTTTGGTATTCGTAAAGTATTGAGCATTTGTATTTTAAGCAATGAATACGCATGCACTAGTAACAAGCTGGCTTCGCTTACCGCAACTCCGACAACGATCCCGATTATTGCCCCAAGCGAAAGACCGGTCCTGTTAAAACATGACAACATTTATTGCAAATTATAATTAGCCAAACACAAGAATCGATCAATTTTCGCACTTAGACATTTTCTTCGTTAAAATATAACTAAAACTGTCAGTTGCACTGATAAATTTGTCAACGGACTACGTATGCTCCAGTATTTACATAGTAAGTTAGCAGCGATTAAACAGAAAGCATTGCATCCGCCTTTTGCTCCTTAATATAACCATTTTTCTTTAAGTAAAGAAATAAACAAACTTTTTTACCTGTTTTGGATGTAATCAGAAAAAGTGCAGCAGTACGCGCTTATCGTGTCCGCAGTCGCATAACAGCAGTATTCGCCGGTTCCCACTCCGATGGCTGATAATACAGCGGCCGGACATGATAGAATCCCATTACACTGAGAGGAAGCGGAAACACCTACCATACCCACGATTTGGTCATCAGCTTTCACAATGAATTTTGGTTTACTACCCGCCACACAAACATAACTTTAATGATGCTTATTTGCTTGTACACACCTTGAGTCTGGACTGCGAGACAAATCACAAGGAATGCGCAAACAATGCTGAATAGTGTGTTTCGCCACATTGTCAGCTTCACGTTGCTAAAGGCCCGGTTGGTGCAAAACAAGCTGAAAATACAATAATATGTGGGTGAAAGATTCTCGTAGCTCTAGCGTACCTATACAAATATCCAACTAAAAGTAGTGCATCTGTACAACTTAACTTTTTAGACGCCTGTAAGCAGGCCTTGGCACATGCAGCTCGATCGTACGACAATAATATAATACTCATTATATGCTCATCAGCACATGCCGAATATTGTAAGTACTTCTACTTAAAATCATCTGATCATGATGAGCATATGCAAACAGTTACTATAAGCACAGGCAGAAATAAGCATAAAACGTTAGAAAAAAAACTGGAAACGCATAATGACATCTGCTATCAGCTGCCTACAGTTAGTTGCAACCAAGTACTATCTTGCTGACTGATGTACAGCAAATTGTTATCTGATCAAGTTTGCCGGTATGAGCGCTCGGTATTTACCTGACAAGGAGGAACTCAAAAAAACAAACGGGCAAAACAGAAAAAGGTGAATTGTGCAGCACCTGTTCAGATTAAACTTAAAAAGTCCTGCAGATAATATTATGCGGTTTGGGACTTACAAACTTACATATAGTAACAAACTGTCTAGAAAACTTTTGCTTATGTAGCAAGCGTAGTAATTCAGCGTGAAATTACCCAAATAACACTTATGTACCACGACTAAGGTTTACCAATAGGCATACGCTAACAAATGCATGCGTGTATAAACCAGATGTCGTCGTGTCAAATAACTTGTTTAGCCAACAACTCGCAGCAAATATGTTCACGTCGAATGATGGAATTAAACTCACAGTAATACGTATGTCAGTACTGCCGCGGCTGAGGACGTATTAAACGCTGCAACAACGCGTTCCGGCATGCGAAAGCAGGATCACACGCAGCGAACCTTACAGTTGTAAAAGTACAAATAAGTGCGGGCCCTCCACTCCCCTTTTCAATCTAATCACTACTGTTGAACTCTGGAAATGCTCTGTATACGTAGATGAAAACCAGCGCTTTGCGACGCATGGGAGCATCGAAGTATGTCAACAACAATACTCGCAATAATTTCATAAGCTGATATGCACCAAGTAAATCAAACATTCATCAACCCACCGACACCGCTCAAATGTAAACAAGAAGTTTATGCGTAAATATATATACTGCCTAAAAAATATATGTATGCCAGTGTGCTTTTTAGCACTTACAAGCTTTCCGTTGGATCACTACTATGGTATTTGCTGAAATAAACGCATCTGACAATAAATCGAGTAGCAAAAACTGTGTGTGAACTTTTGATTAAATGGTAGACAATTCATGATCATACTTCGAGTATGGTTATCGGAAGATAGTTTAAAGCGGACAAGGAAATACCGCGTCACTTCAGTGGTATGATGTTAGGCAGATTTGTGGTACAGAACGGAAATATGAGCCGTGCCGTACCGTACCCACTTTAACTCTAGTAATCAAGCACCTTTACGCACTGAGTGTATACGTAAAAGAATTAATCATGCAGGTGCAGTAAACGGTGAATATCATCTTTGAATCACAATTTTTGACTTTCAGTGAATCGTGTTATCTCAGGATGAGGAGCAATCTTTCTTAAGCGTAGGTTAACTTTGATACAAATGGTGAACTTAGCAAAGTAAATAGATTTGTGGATATGTTTTATATTAGACACTACCAATTAACCATAGGTTCAAGAATATTCTGTAGCGTTGGTCAGACAGTAGGTGAAAGATTAGGAATTCCTGAGATTTTTGTCTCATCGTCAGTAAATTAAAGGTTTTGCGTTATACATAATTTGACCTTCATAAGTGTAAGGGATCTGTCACATTGTTGAATTAGGAGCACTGTTCAACTTTTGCCGTTTGTTTTTTTCAATGGCAGAAATGTATACTTCGCACACTACCGGACAAGATGTCGCTGTACCTATTGATCATTGTTTAACATCGTATTTCACCACCACCTTTTACTTTAACACGCTGGTAATTTTTATTTTCTTCGTAACTGGTAAAAACCGCCACATATCTTTCCAGCGTAAATTTTTTCCAAATTTTTCAGACTCTTCGATGGTTTCTGGTAGCGGACAGTTTAGCGTTTCCGGTAGAAAAAACACACAAACAATACCACCAACGGTTAACCCACCAAAGATTAACATCGGTAACGCCAAGCTAGTGCCACGGAAATGAGTTATTAGCGGTCCGAAGCTGGAAATTATATAAGAAACAATGGTTGTGACCGCCACGCCCTTGGTGCGAACTTCCGTTGGGAAGGCTGCAACAGATTAATCAGATTAGCCATCGCTGATTTGTGCCTTACTAATCAAATCCTGATTAATTAAGTACATAGTGCACCGACTGAACCGACACGTTGTAATTTATATGTTGTGCGTATTGACATTCTTACGATATTAGTATCGCGGAGTGATATTTATTTAATATGTGTGGGAACTGATTAATAGTTTTTGTTCCATATTATCGAGTAGTACATAGTAGAACCTACATAGCAGTACTAGTATTGTGAAATGTGCGTACCTTCGTATATCATAAGCTCCTGCACCGTGTACGCGCTTGTCATAAACAATTTGGCCAACAGGAAAACGGTGAGAAACTGCATGGCGTATGTGTCGCCTCCCACCGGCAGTGCTGCCGTACCTAAACACGCAGCGCATCCCAGTGTGAGGCAGCTGATAATGGTCAATCGGCGTCCTAGGCGATCAGCAATAACTTCCGTCAACAATGAACCAGGAAGTTCAATCACACTGGACAGGAAGAAGCCCAGATAGGGATCCTCTGCCAGAGACGGTGCATAAAAGTTCAATCCGACATAACACACGGCCACATTACAGCTCAAATACATTTGCAGCAACAACTTCCGGCGCGTGTTGGCACCGCGCAATAAATCCACCCACGATGTTTCCTTCTTCTTCACACGCCGTGCCGTATCGTAGTGTACGGTTAGCTCACGGTACAGGTCTTCGTTATGCTCATCGAAATGACGCCGATTCACATTAGCGATGCGTTTCAGTAGGTGTTTGGCTTCTTCATGTCGGCGATTAGCAAATAACCAGCGCGGAGACTCCGGTAAGCAGAACCAGTACAGAAAAAACAAACAGAACGGAGATGTGGATACCAAGACAAGGATTCGCCAATTGCGGAGAAGGTATGCGACACCGGTGAAACCAATTCGGCCGGCCGTAAAGCAGATGGTCAGCAGAACGGAGAAGGTTGCCCGAAATTTCGGTGTTATGAGCTCGATGCCCAGAGTGTACGGAATGGAATACAACGGATTAGTTGCCACGGTTTGCAGAGTGATTAAAACGATAAAAACGGTGTAATTTGGAGAGAAAGCTGCAGCAATGCCAAAAGACAGCAAGATGAAGAAGAAAACAAAATACGATCTGAAAAACAACGCAATACTGATCAGTATTGTTTAAAATAGTTGATTCAGTTAGTTTATATATTATTCGTCATAAAAACAAACAATTTAAAAAATGCTCTCAATGAAATTCTGGCAGAATCTTACAAGATTTTTACGTGAAACGCAGTGAAGAATGTATAACGCAACAAATAGTAGCAGAAATATACAAATTTAAGATACAGTTTACATTTTACAACATCAGTGTTTTACATACAATATACTACCATTCACATGTTTCGCAGTTTTAGCTAATTCGCATTTACGCATTCTAGATAATCAGTAGAAAAGACTCTGAAGAGTGCATGTATTAAAAAATGTCACACACTTTTTGCGTCCATATGTGTCTGCCATGAAACCGCCAACCAAAATTCCCAGAGTGCCGCCCACACCGGAAACGGTGTACGCCAAGGTGGGAAGAAAGCTCTGTTCGCACACCAAATCCCATTCTTCCGCAATGCCCATCTGACCGTTCTCATAGTCGTAATTCCAGCCATTGCGACACGCAGTAGTGGTAAGATTATGCTTGACAGTGTTCCATTTATCCATGTATTCACTGGCGGTTAGATTTTGTTCTAATATACTGCTGTAGTTGAAATCATAAGCTAAACAGGATGTGTCTTCTGGTGGCAAGAGTAAATGCTGCTCGGTTTTTGTGAAATTCAGTTCTATCCCAGTTCGGCACCAGTGCTGCTGAGGCGAAGCAGTTACAAATAACTGCAATTTGTCGTCACCATAAAGTATAAGATAGAGAACGTAAGTTTTACTGACTAAAATTAACTACTTGGACTTGAAGCGTAAAAAATAGCAGCGAAAAATTTTGATTTATCACATAAAGTGATAAATTAAAACATACAAAGTGAGAAAATAGCAATTTCTGGTCACTATTAATTTTGTATTTTACTGGTAAATACTACACAAGAATACTACTAAATGTTAATTTACGAATTTCTCCTAATGTGTTAATGTGTATTAAATGCTACTAAATGTCAATTTTTCCAAAAATCAGCTTTCCCTGTTACTGATGAAAGTGAAAATAAAAAATTATCAAGTCAGTTGCACGCTAAAAATGACAGCGCTAAACTGTAAAAAATAGCAGCAAACAGCTAAAACAAAAATCATAAGCAGTTTTAAACACATCAAAACTGGTGAATTTTGCTCACAAAAAATCAGTAAAGCATATGCAAAAACAACGGTTCTTGGGACAACTTTTCTTGATAATTATTGCAAATAAAGATATGGAATTGACCATGTGCAGGCAAATTAAAATTTTTTAATTACCGCACCCAGGTGGATTGAATAAACGACAACGCGAAGAATGAAGGCAGTACGGCAAAAGCCATGAGCAGCTTTTGGTATCTTCCTATTCCGCCGATATTCTCCAGCAGTGTTTCAAACAGTCGTCCACATTCCGTGTCATTGGTGGAAATGCTGGATTTCTCGCTGACACTTATTGAACTAATCCTCGATCCCACTTCATCTTGGCTGTCCATGACGGAAAATGTGTGTGGCCCAGTGTGGGATGTTATAATGCACACAACAAAAACGTACTGCTTATAAAGCTATAATTGATGCTTGCCTCGACCGACTGCATAACGCTGGTTTTCGGGGGTTTAATTAAAAAAATAATATAAACCACATAATGATTTTATAAGCTCCTGTTATCTGACTTTGCTCTTGTCGGTGACCTTTGTGCTAGGTCTTAACAAATTTATTGCTGGTAAACTAGTGTAAATACAATACTGCGATGAATTGCACATACAAGGTGCTGGAACGATTCGTTCCGTAAATCGTGATAAGGACGCCTTATCATCCCGCGGCGCACTTTGATTCTCACATACAGCCCAAGAAAATTAATACTGCTTGCTTTAATTATGAACTTTGTACACCGAACAGTGACATGACAATTTCAAATACCTTTACAAATCAAGAATTATCAGGAGAGATTACTATTGAAGAATTCTTCGAACGCGCACATTTTCGTTTTAGGTACACCACCACAACTAATATTATCGCATCAAACACCAGTAAAACGCAGGCGATTATAATTAAAACAATGCCTATAGATGTTGCCATGCAAACATTGGCGGTAGTCTTTCCGTCTAAAAATTAAGAAGAGCGTTTAGCTTAAGTACCAGATACATTTTTCCAAAATTTTTTCATGAAAGTACACTTTGGTAATTTCATCGTTATAAATCTGATCAGACTAATATTTCATCTACAAACCATTTCCGTTGTGCGCAAAGAAGTCTTTAACCGCAAAATTTTTGGAATAAAGTTAAACAACCTAAAATAGTGGAAACTGCAAAACACATACCTTCTACAGAAAACTCTGCGCGAACAGGCATATCTTGAACCTTTAAAATTTTGCGAATATTGAATGTTCCAATATATATTTCATCTTCCCAAGTGGACGCTAACCGCTTTGCACGCTTTGCCGCTTTTATTTGCATGCCTGTCACATTACTTGCGGATCCGTTACATGTTGGCTGCAAAAACACATAAAATGAAACAAAACCATGTCCGGAATTTATTTGCTAATTACTTCTGTTTCAGTTCATTTGAAAACCGGAAAACACGTGACTCTTGTTGTTATTATCAAATGCTTGGTTTTGTAAATAACCTGCTGAGGCAGAATAGACTTTGCGGTAATTAGCCTGCCATCTATGCTTCACGCTGCTAATCTTAATTGTGCAGCAAACGAAAAGAAATTAAACGTGCTATTCTATTCAAAGCTGCAGGGTAGCACAGTAACTTCTCCAAATTTAATTAGTAAAAATATGATTAATTTAATAATAAAATTTAGAAAAAAACTAACTGCTTGCGCTGTGTATGGGTATTGCGCATTGTAATTATCGTACTCATCCGCTATTAATGATGTGCTTTAGCACTTTGACAGGCTGTGTAAAATCATTCATGATGGTTGAATACAATGTATATCAATCCATCATTTCGCTTTACCTGAGGGCAAACGTCCACACAATATTGCACGGTGCACTGATATGTTATATCAAACGAATTTTGGAATCTAAAAGCGTCGAAGTCGGCTTGCAGGCTTTTTCCCTTAAGAACAAACGGACGAAAGTATTCCGGTAAGACTGGACATCTACAATAATTGTATGAAAACATGTTTATGGAAGTACTTGCCTACATGAATACAAGCATATTGGTTTGTATTACCCAGTATCATCTGTCAGCTGCATTCTCTCGTTCGGGTTTTCCCCAGCCGCATAGCAATTCTTAACTCCAATCCCGTAAGTACTATTATCCGGCACGTAAATGGTCATCAGCAGTGTGTCTCCAACGGTTGCCGTTTCCACCGCATTCCCTTGGAGGTCGGTTATGGCGATGTTGAGAGTGGGTGGCACCGGGCTGGCGGTGACCATACTGGTCAGTTCGGTCGATGACACTGTCAATGTATCGGAGGTGACATTTATAACGCCGATATCGTATTTGCAGTTAATCCGGTACTTCCGGTCATTTTTTGTCACCAGCTGATCGTGGTACTGCAGTGTTATCAGATTGGAGAAAAGTCCATCCCCTTCGTACACCGTACTACAAGGCTGAGCGGATAAGGGAAGCGCCCAGGTGAAGCTTTTCTGGTTTGGAAAGCGACTGCTGCACTGCGTGGTACCCGATACACCATCCACAAAAATGCGTCCGCGAAATGGCTTGTCCAAGTTGACCTTTATAATGATGTCGCTATCCGTGCACTCAAAGCGAACTGAAACGTTTGAATAAGGTGTCCGTATATGCTAATTTGTATCTACAGCACTTACTATCTGTACAGGCGGTTCCTTTTTCGTAAAACTGAAAATCGGAATTTGCGATAAATTCCAGCATGCCTCGCTGAGCGGCATAACTGGACGAGCTAACCAAGCAGGTCTGTGATGCCTCACTGTGACTGAAGGACAGACAGTCGGAATGGGATTCGCAGTAAATCTGACATTGATTGAATGCAGTATTTTCCATGGTTTTGTTAATGAATTCATTGGCGATTTTTCCGTTGGTTGTGCTGAATCGGCATGCCACTCCAATTTGTGGAGACGCTTCCGCAAAATTCGTTGTCACCAGATTACCCAGGGGAGCAGATGGGGTCACTAGAACCACATCGCCGAATTTCGCGGTGGACTCAACGCTGGTGGGCGTTGCAGTAGAAGAAACCAAGCTCGCCGACGAAGCCAGGAGACTCGCATTGGTTGCGGCATTAGTACTATTAAGCGTGGTGGAAATTGCTACAGTGGTTGCGATGCCTTGCGATGAATTTTGTCGACCTAACGACAAACAGCTGGCGTCATATTATTAGAACTTGTATATTCTACACTAATTCATTATAAAAAATATTTTAAAATTCTATTGATATTTTTTGTCGTCGGTAGTAAGCACCAAGTACATACTGATTTGAGTAGAGGGTGCGGTCGTCGGTAAAAAAGAAGTGGGAACGGCAGTTATACGCGATGCTGTTGTTGCGGCATAACTGCCAATGGTAACGGAACTCGATGTGATGGACGTACTCGTACCAGCGGTGGTAGTCTGTGGTACGTTTTTCACCACAGAGGTATCTTTAGTGCATGTATTTTCCAGAAAATCCCCTTCGCCAACGGAAGTGCGCGGTGTGGCGCTCTGCTTGCGGACAGAGCTGATGGCGCACGATTTGTTGTCGGCATGATATTCCAAAAACTTACACGGTAAAGTTTCACTTAATAAACAATAATCTTCGCACTGCTTTAAAGAGGATGCAGTTACTATGCCAGAATTTTTTGGCAACAGTTCAAAACTGCTGTAACGCGAGAAGGCCGCAAATCCAGAGCATCCCGCGTCTGTCAATCAGTTTATAAAATAATTAAGTCATCTCCACCACACTCTGTACGTGAACGGTCACAAAATCCATACTCGCATCGCATTACTTTTAAAAATAACAACATAACCAAGCAAAAATTCCACCAGTTTAAATTGTACAGTATAGCATCTGCCGTACCTGAAATGCAAGTAACTTCATAGAAATCCGTCAAAGGTCGCCCGAGTACCGTAGCATATATCCGAGGCAATGTATTCATAATTCCGTTGTCTAATGATAACCGGTCGCTATGGCTCAAAGCGCACTGTTGATGAGAAGGATCATACAGGAAAGAGCGACATAAAAATTCCGCTTCCGATAAACACAACTGTCCACATATCTGAGCGGAGGCCGCAGTCAATGTTTTGTCGAAATAAAAAGGCGGAAAGACAACATCACTATAGCGTTCAAACGATGTGGCAGAAGGACAGCGCTGTGGAGCTGAGAACACCGATATGTATACCAGCATTAATTAAACGAACTCATTAGTATGTACACATATTAAATATTATGTATGGCAAATGAAATGAGTTGATCTAAATGATGATTTTATTTTTAGATTGAAAAAGGAAAAAATATATACAAACGCTATCAGAATTTTTATTAGTGCAAATGTGCATTTAAATTTTACTAAAATCAAACGGTTACTTGCGTTTCATGTACCTGAAAGACACAAGTTTTCTACGTAATCAGCATTTGCATCAGGTAGCAAATAACGTTGTTTCTCCACTCTTCGACCACCAGACAACAAAAGGCATTGTTTATTGGAATAGTTGTATTGGAAGGCTCGGCACAAGAACGAAGTTTCCTAAGCAAAATAACAAAAGCGATATCATTAATTTTATAAGGTGGTGGTCATTCCATGTCAGAACATATTTCATGCTGATATGTTAGTAATCGGATGATAAAAATAAAACACAAGCACGTATTTGCGGCGCACATGAAATATCTTACCTGTAGGCACAATTCCGTACAACGCAAACGACCGGAAACGCCATCCTTTTTTATGAGGTTGTTATCCTGCGTTACTGTCTCAGTTGGTATAGTCTTGTGCACATATCGTTCGATGGCCCACAACCGGTTTGAGCAAGCGGGAACTAAAAACTACGTTGTAAAAGTACAGTATGCAAAATTTTAAAAGAACTTGGGAGCAAGGGGGGCCACAGATTATGGCATACAGATGTTCGATGTGCCCATGCTGATTTTGTTGATAGAGTAAGCGTTGGGTAATAACATAACTTTTCCGTCATCCGTCTGAATGTCAAATTCCATGCATGTCAAATTAGAAACAAAAAAGGTGACGCTTTTGCAGGACACCTACAACAGTAGGATGACAAATGACCTTCTATAATTAATCGACTGTTCATACTTCGTAAAACGTACAGATTGCAAAATTCCGTATGTTGCTACGTCAGATACAATAAATATTCATACAGGAACTGATAAGACAGACTACAAAGACACCAATTAACACAGAATCCGATACGGCAAATTTAAGCAACAGCTGCTGTATAAGCTATATTAAAATCTACTACAGTTGTACTGAACTACGTTTTATTCAAAAAATTTATTTACCCTTCAATATGAAATGCTTACTATCAATTAAATTAAGGCAATTCTGCAGTCATTTATTAAAAGGTTCTAGACATTTCAAACCTTCTAGACTAGCTTTTTACCTTAGCCGAGCAGCCTTTGATGCACATGGACAGAGTTGCTGGTGCTCTGGTCGCAGTGGGAATTCTGCCGGTTATCACGACACCATTTACTTTTTCAAACGTGTTGAGACTGGACAACACTGCAAAAATGTGCAAAAACAATTTCTGTACGACATTTTTTAAATTTTTAACAAACTAAAAATGCAACTACGAAATCATACCAGATTCGCACAAAATGCTTAGCAAAATTATTGAGCCAGCAAGCCTGCCCATTGTAATGATCAAAAATGCAAAAAATTAGATCACACCAGCATGCTCAGCAAAATTAACTGACACCGGAGCTAACGTCTTTCCTGTACAAAATGTTCTTTGCGCCTTTCATCTAATGACGCGACCAACCGGAACGTTATGGATCCCATAAACGTATCTTGCTTGAACGGTGCGGAAACTGAAAGTACGGTAGAGCGGCAGCCTTCAGGGCCAAGGACAACTAATAAAATAATAAAAATAAACTTCCGCTACGCTAAAAAGAGCGGTAAGAGATACCGAAAATATTCCTTCATTCAATGCATATCGAAATTGCATAAGCAAGGACCACAGCCATGATGCTTTGTTAAAGCTTAGCGAATCTAATGAGTGAAATCATGTACACAAATAAACTGAAAGAACATTCTTGATATCTTGGACTAACAGATGGCACGCGTCTAATGATTCATATGTCTTTTCAAAAAAGAAAGAGAAAGCAGAGTACAAGACGGTGGGCGGAAAAAGTTTCACTCAATACAAATGCAAGAACAAAGGAAACAACTTGTTTAGTTTCTCGGTGGTACCGAAAATCGGACAACCTTTCATGGATAAAGTAATGTCTAACCTACTGTTAATATTAATTGTAAATTTTCCTGCCCTACTGCTGATACAATTTTTGTGACACTTTATTTTGTGAAAATTTTGAAATAAATTTTTTAAAGCATACAAGTACAGAGTAGTATTCCCGTGTGTTCCAGTTCCATAAACTGTACTTGGTGAATGGCAAAAAGCCTAAAAGACGTTTCGTTTTGTTAAAGTATTCGTACTACGGGTTGTTACAAATATTTAATCGTAAGTATTTACATACAGTACACACATCAACCTCTACCTGTATAAAGTAAGTACTTACTGCAGCAGCCAATAGGCGCAATTTTTTAGTTGCAAAGGAAAGAAAAAAACTGAAATAAAAGTATTATGCGGCAAGCGCAGACATTTCGTTAACAGTTTTCAAATGACATTAGTTCATACTAAATGTCATACGACTAGTTCAAAGACTTTCAAACTTGCCAAAGCGCAAAAGGTATGGCAAATATTAAAAGTAAAAGTTACGACAGGTCAAAGCTTTAAAAATGATTTTGTAGCGTCAGGATTATTTCAGTATCTCTCTTGTTGCAATAAACTGTCCAATCACCTTACACTCATGAGTCAGAAAGGAAATCGTTCACCTGCATAGTCGGAATACAAGAAACTTACAAAAACAAAGTACAATGCGCGGATAACGACATATAATTCTCTATTTCCATAAAATGCTTAAAAATGGACAGGATCGGACATTACGAATCGTTATTATACAGTAAAAATTAGTGGACGAAATAGCCTACCAAACAACCATAAAATAATTTCAAGAGTAATTACACATCCTAACATTGAGGCTTCAAAGTACTGAGGTTTCTATAGCGTTTGAACTGTACAGTCCCCTTTTTAAGAACGAAAGCTCAAGCGCGAAGCGGAGCGCGCTGAATATCTTTCAATCATATCCTCAACATCCTCTTCGTCTTCATCCATTTCATCGCTTAAATCGTTTAATCCATATTTTGTAACTAGATCCATTTCATCCGAGCCTAAAACAGAAATTTACTTGATTATGCACAATGGAAACCTGTGAAAAACTCGAACCCAACATACCATCGTTAAAATCATCCAAGTATAAATTACCGTCATCGCCTTCTTCTCGTCTATGCTCAATCGCACGTAACCACTATCAAACATAATTTATGAAAGGTCAACGCCTGCAGATTTCCTATTTGTGCCAAAATCAAACATCGATTCTCACCTGTCCGTTGTACTGCCGGAATCGTTCCATCTTCCATGCTTCATGGATTTCCTGGCTGGAACTGGATAGATGGAACAGCAAATCTTCGAACAGAGCTCTCGCTGTGTCGGAGCACTGCTGCGTGCGATCCGTGAGAATTTTCGTGATTCGCGGATACTCCATGACTCGTAGTCGTGCCGGTTCATATTGCACAAATTTTAACAACGCATAGCCAATCTATAACCCAAAAAAATTAAGTTTGAATGTACTTGAGAGCGTCGTAAGTAAGGCATCAATAAAAACATCCCAAGTAGTAATTTAATATCCTTATCCTGTTAATGTGAATTCAAAATCCATAAGAACTGGAAACAAGAAAATTTGCTATCACCTGCACAGCAATCTCTTCCTGAACGTCATTTACTTCCGCCAGCTTCTGGCACAACCAATCCATCATGGATGCATCGCACAGGATCTGGCAGCTTTTCGGCTGCGATGCCAAAGCACCCATAAAAACCACCAATGCAAACAATTCCGGAGGTTTCTTCAATTTCTGACAAATGGATATCAGTTCAATGTCGACGCTCCATGTCGGTAAAAAATCAGATTCCATAATAAGGCCGACTTCTAGTGCTACACTGAGGGTAATCAAAGCTTCCAAATTAAATACCGATGTTGCTTCAGTATTTTCGTCTGGAACTAAAATAAAAAAACTCACAATGAAACCGAGTGCGAATGCGCAGACTCCAACATGAAAGCTGATCTTACGTAATTTGATGATGCACTCTTTCAGCCCAGCCGGGAAGGTGTCCATATACTTTAGCAACGTCGTTATCAGCTTTACAAGATGGACATTCTGCGTTTCCATAGCTGACTCCATAATGCGTAGGATATTCATAGTCCGAATCATATCTGCGGCACAAGTTTTACTGAAAGCCAAGTTAATGGCTAACGAAACAAGGTAGTGATTCAATGTTTTATCCACGTTCCTGGTTACAAGCCGCCCGACAGCTTCGCACAATTCCAAACACTGCATATCTCGCCGATTTCTAAAAATATAAATTACCATTTTAATAGTTATTTCCAGACTCGACGAACCAACAAAACAGAACAGGCGAGGACAGCCAACTTTACTGCAAATAAGAAACATATAAACGTTCAGCCAGGAAATGTTTCAGAATACATATGAAGTGTCAAAATCGAATATTGTAAAGTAATCAGCAATCAGATACGTTACAATAAGCCGATATAAAACACGTACGATTAGTATTGCGAAATGAATTATCGTATTTAAATTTTCTGAAGATCACTTCAATATTGCTGACTCCCGTAGGATTATTACGACTTAACAGTCCAGTCGTAAAATCTCCACATGAGAACCAACATGGTCACTGTATCTAAGAACTCCTACAAACTTTGTAATTTAATTTTTAATAATAACTTTATCAATTTTAAATTATTCATTCAGAACACTAACCTTCTATCGATCGAAAGCGAATACAAAAGACGGGCAGCAAAATCCGTCGTCCTTGGGTTTTCCAATGAAGATACAATTTTTTTGGCTCCATTCTTTTTAATAATTCCCTTTCTCAAGGCCGGGCAAAGACTGAAATTAAAGAGCAGTTTCAGGGCCAGCTCGCAGACGGTTGTACTGCGCTGATGATCCAAAACGCGCATGATTTTCTCAGGAGCCCCGGCATCGACGAAACGTTCCATATTCTCCACATAGACACTTAACACCAATAAGAATTTGAGTGCTGCAATTTGTACTTCCGGATTGGATCTTTCAGCGCATCTGCACAGAATGGAAATTATATCTTTTTTCACCATCTTGGTTTGCGTTGCAACATCCTTGGCCAGCATAAACAAAATCTCAAATGCAGCGGCAATGAACAGATCTTGCTTCCGGATCAACTGGACACTTTTTCGCCGGTAGGCTTCGGTCTCAGTCGAGTCACCTTTAGCGTTATTCTGCTTGGAGGTCAGTTCGCCTTTCAGCTTTTCGTAACGTTGTTGTTCCATGCTGATTTCTTGCAGTAAATACCCGCCAATGCGATTCTTGGCAAAAATGGCTGGAGCCTGTAAAAATGAAAGCTGCATATGGCCAAGAAAATAACGGAAAGCTTGCAGAAGAATTACAAAATGCCGACGCATTACGCACTGAGCAAAAGACCACCATCATTTTCTCAATTAAGACGCAGCGGCGTAACAAAAGGTTTATGAAACACACAAGAAAATACCGATCAATCAAAATACAGAGAAAATAACCGTTTCCCGTATTTCACAATGTATAAATAACGAATCGTAATAATTATGTGGTCCATGGTCATGCTAATTTTTTAGCAATCGTGTGTGTTATAGACACAAGCGCACTAGTCTGACCGTGAGAGTGTAAATTAAACATACTGCCAAAGTTGGTATTAAAGATCTACTTGTAAAACATAACTAGTATAAGGTCTCATACGCCCTTAGGGCAAGCGGGCGGCGGTTTTTAATTTTGAGTGTATAAGGCAGCAAATGTATAAAGTACTGTCTTAAAAAACGTAAGCGCTGAAGCTGCAGAATTGGCCAGGAAATTGATATATAAGTTTAAGGGAAGTGATGGTACTTGATACTATTCTTACGTTTTACTACAAGAAAACTTTTGCGTTCGCGTACTTCCAGTCTTTCACATACTTTTTACATTCTTTTATGACATTTTGTCGATTGCATACACCCCAAAAAAAGCGGTTGGTAGGCGCATCATCCAGTTGGAGAATTATAGGCCGTAAAATTTCAATAAGTTTTAAAGTAAACTGGTACATCAAAGGACTCATTATAAAATGTAATCCACCTTTCCACCTTTTTCAAAACTAAGTACATGTAAATGCGCATGAACAATTACATTATTTTTATACACAACAACGGCGCAGCTATTTTTCAATCTTAAAATAGTTTCCAGAAATTATAAAAAAACATTTGAAAGCTTGGAAAAAATAGCGATACTGTGTTTCTTTCACTTCCGTGTGAAATCTCCTCAATCGAGTGTTGCGGCAAGTTTTTAAGCCCAAACAGTGTTCATGCTTACGTGTCACCTGCAGAATAGAAAAAAACTGCCGAATAAATTTAGGGAAAATTCAATGTTTCAAGCATCCGAAGCTGTTTTTGTAAGGGTTTATTTTTCCACTGCATTCTCAGAAAGCAAATAAATAATACAATATTAAAAATGAAATCAAAATATAATATGGATTTTCGAGAAGCAAACAAAGACTTGCGGTAACCATTAAAATTAATCGAAAGTGGTGTTCGGATTTACCGCTATTGCAACATAAAGAAAAGTAATTTAATAAATTATAATCCGTTAGGATTTTGGAATCATATCTGAAACTAAGACTGTCTCGAAAATTTTGTGCGAATTCTACAAATTGATAGTAATTCAGATATAGAACGAAAAAAAATAAAAAAAATCAGATTTTGATTCGAAAATTGACTGTACACTTAACGAATCAGGAAAAAAAATTTCGAACTTAAGTTTAGAAATCATGGCACGTAAATTTATTTCTCTTATAATACCTTGGAATTTAGTTATAGGTAAAACGATTTCAAAATAAATTCGGGAAAAAATTTAAACGGTGAGAGCAATAATTTGGTTTCCACTACAAAATTCATAAAATATTATATAATTATGGATTTTGAATTAGAGAATTTTATTACTTATTTTCTAATTTCTTGAATATTCTTGTATTTTAATTCCCATTAGTGTCTCGTTACATTTGAATTCTGCATTTTACAGCGGCACACGAAATGTGAGAAAATGGTTTTTCTGCATTGGATTTCAAAGGCAACTATCAGTTTCTTCGAAGATAATTATTTAAATATATATTTATCTAAGGTATTCTAACGTCCCATATTCCCCAAATGAGTGATTTGAAAAATAAGCAAATTTAGTAATTAAACATCATCGCACCTAGCTGCCGAAGTTTTTCATGATCTACTTATCCGGCTATTTATTTAGTTATTTTGTTCTCTAAATTTTTAACTGATTTAACCAATATAAATATTTTAAAATGGAGAGCTTGTAGACTCGAAGGTTAGTTAATTTTTTGAAGGTGATTACTTAAGTTTTGAGTGCGTAGATATTTGCAATTGGTTGTTTAATTTTTCAGAGGTGATCAAGATTCCGGTATTGTAATCATATTATTTAAAATTATTTAGAATAATTCTAAATAATTTCAAATATGAATTATTTCGAATTATTTAGAATTATTTAAAACTATATCTTGGATTCAGATCTGGATCAGGTCTTACGGTTCAGTAACGGTTGGTACTCACACCTAGAGATTTTGAAACATTTTTAAAGTTCATAACATAATAGCTCTTTTGGGAAACTGGGTTTGCGACTTAGAAGTGCCCGTCGTCGTCACTGCCCGAACATTTTAGTTTGACTCATCACGTCAAACTGTGCATATGTTGCACATATCGTTGTGGCGACCTCGGGGACCCGGATTCGAGGTCTCCAAGCACTTCAGTTCGATTCAGCACGTCCAACTGTGCAATATAGTACATATCGTTGTGGCGACCTCGGGGACCCGGGTTCGAGGTCCCCAAGTACTTCAGTTCGACTTAGCGCGTCAAACTGTACAAATACAGTACATATCGTTGTGGCGACCTCGGGGACCCGGGTTCGAGGTCCCCGAGTACTTCAGTTCGACTCAGCACGTCAAACTGTACATATATGGTACATATCGTGGTGGCGACCTCGGGGACCCGGGTTCGAGGTCCCCGAGTACTTCAGTTGGACTCAGCACGTCAAACTATACATATATGGTACATATCGTGGTGGCGACCTCGGGGACCCGGGTTCGAGGTCCCCGAGTACTTCAGTTCGACTCAGCACATCAAACTGTATAGGAATCACGATGAAAATCGGTGGCGACCCAAAGGTCACTCGGCGACCCAAAGGTCACTGTCACTTCCGTTTCATCGAACCCTCAACATGTCTTGAATTAGAAACGCGGGCTCGCTTCGCTCGCCCGCTTGATAATTGTATATAAAAAATATGCTGTGACCACTGCCACTGCTCTTGTAGTGCTTAGTGTTATTATTGTCTAGTAATATTTACTGCTGCAAGCTGCGAAAGCATGGCGAATATCCGGGTGATATTGATTTTCAAGTCCAGATTGCGAGTTTCGTCTTCCGACAGCAAACGGCATAGTCCGCTGATGATAGGTTCTACAGAATTTCAGACTATAACTTTTCCAATACCTCGAATAATAAACGCTAGAACTGTTCGGCATTTACCCGAGCGCAGTATCTGAGACATGTAAGCCCTCTTTTGGCACAACTGCAAAATCATTTCCGATCCGAGTATCTTGTCCTCCAGTGAACTGTACAACAATGACCGGTAATGCGGGAGTTCCGACATTTTGGCATCCACCTTGGCCATTTTAATGGGGGTGGCGGCTAAGGGTCGCATTGCGGAAGAAGGTCGGTCTGTAATAGCAAAACATGCTAAACCCAGAATGTCAGGATGATGCAGGTGCAACGCAAGTTATGCAGTATGCACCCACTCGTACATTGCAAAGAAGATTTCTGTCGGTTCCGAATTGCGTTCAAAAGCTGTTCCAGTTCGTCGGCACGGTTCGGGTCCAGATAAGCGCATTTGGATATTGCATCTTTGGCCACTCGTTTCAAATCGGTTGCATCGGCCAGGTTAGTGAAGTAAATTCTACAAAATTATAATGCAAATCCGGATGATGCGCAGATTATTACGTACTTTCGATAAAAAAATACCTGCCGATAAAATATCTCCATTACAATTTAAACAACCATTTTACTTCTTTACATCAGCGATAGGACCTGTTATACTGTACGTGTGCTGGATATTGCCGAATAAAATTAGTTCAACCACGTTTTTTTAGCAAGGAAAAACTAATAAAACAAGGTACAAAATACAATACAAATTAAATTGTACATATAATGCATATTGCTGCACCATGTGGCGTACAGTTTTGTGACATCTTTCGCTCCGTTAGCGGCTTCAGTACCGTCGGCACGCAGCACCGTTGCATGGACTTGGTATTTCACAATCACTGCGGGCTCCGAAGGATGCAGTTCACAGTAGCCACGAGAAGCTCTGAAAGGAAAAACATTAGATAAAAAGTCAAGATGGTCATAGATGAAATGGTGCTAAATTGCGCCTATGCCAAACATCCAACAGATTTAGCATTACTTTTGCACGACCACTTGGTAGTTCATCGTCGTATCGGCAACGGTTTCTGAGTACACTTCCTCCAAAACGCTAATCTAGTCCCAGAATTTCCAGAACTGGTGTTTTCATTTCAAAGTTGCTAAGCAGGGGGAACAAGATCGATCGTAGATTCGTTTTCAGAAAATGCGGAGAGTGTTCACTATTAGGAGTAGTACAGTAAATACAAACTCAACAAGATGTAGCAGATGCAACCTTCATTTTCAATCGATACGAACACACAAGTACAGAGTACAGCAGCGGCCACTGTCAGGCGCTTATAGCACTCATACACTGTGTGCTAACTTGTAGAATAACGAATGATGCTGATGACAAGAAACGCCGGCTTATATCGGGCTAAGCTTGCGAAGCATATAGAATAATTCATTAATTTAGGAATAATTTATGGTTTAGCAAAATTTTGTTATTCTTATTACGTCAAAAGTGCAACATCTCGAAAATATCCAATTTGAGTAATTACTGATTTGGTCATCTTCAAAGAAACAAATTTTCTGTGAATTTTTTTGCGCTTCTTTCTTAGCTCCAACTTTCACCTGTCAGTTATACGAGTTTAACGCTATCGGGTGTCAGCTATACCTAAAAACCCAACTTGACCAATCCTTTTTGCAACTTCGTTCGGCTTTAATAAGTTACAACAGGCTAAAAGCCATGAGTTTAACAAACACAAAACATTTAAAAACTATAGTAAACAAACGCAAGAGCCAAAAGGTCAATTCCAATCAGAAACAATTAGCAATTACACAGTTAATTAATCAGGCTCCGGCCACCAGTCCGGTTTAAGGGCTCTAACTTCGTGTACCTGGCCGTCACAGGTCATATCCAGTTTATGTGCCGCCAGTGCTTCACTGATCCGCAGCACAGCCAATCCATCAGAACCAATATGTGCCCGTAATTTCCCCACAGAAACCACTTTTCCGTTGTGTTCCGTCGCAATTCCACTCCCGGGTGCCAGCACATCGCTCTGATTTTCTTCCACACCGTCAATAACGATCGGCATGATACGTTTCCGGACCACACCGGTGTGCTGAGTGCGAGCGGTTAATTCTTGCCCCAAATAGCAACCCTTATGAAAGTGCACGCCGGACAAGTAATCCAGGTTGGATTCCAACGGGAAGCATTCGCCCGGAGGGAGATCCGTTTTCCCCTCTGCAATTCCATTTATATAGCGAAATTTCCTGTACCGTCCTTCATCCGTTGTAATAAAATTCTTGCGACTCTCGGCCCAGTTTTCGCTAGAAGAATTGCGGACATAGAAACGCCGGCCTAAAATGTTCAACCGCGGATCCGGAAAATGTATTATTTCGTGGCTAATTTTCGACATGGTTTCCGCATCGATTGCGTCATCCTCTAAACATACGTAAACATCAAACTTGACACCTGCATCTACATTCACGTCTTTGCGTAATTTATACATCTTCAGATGGCGCAGCAAATTCTGTTGCAATGCCGTGTCGTGCTCGATTAAATAGGCGTCGCTGTCAAATTTGCAAATGATCACATCATACACCACGCGTCCCTGCGTGTTGAGCAACATGGCGTAAATACTCTGCGGTCCGCCTTCATCACTGGCATCCAGCAGGTGAATATCGTTCGTAATCAGTCCCTGTAGATAGGCGGCCGAATCTTTCCCTGATACGAGAAGCAATGATCGAGATCCAAGTCGCATGAAATGGGCTCTGCGATTTTCCGCTTCAACTGGGGCATCCACGGCAAAACGTCGTGCTGGAATCTTGCATGCGTGCGAACGTTTTGCATCATGCGGAGAAAATTTCGGTGAAGCGTGAATTACCGTACGGCTAAACGTGCAAAAAGAACGCGGTTTAGGGTGATATTTTGCTGATTCGCTCTGGGGCTTTCCGGCACTCGATAAATATTTCGGTAAAGACTGACGGACGTTTGCAGAATGGACAATCTTCTGGCAATATACCATCAACTTCCGCAACACTAGATTCATTTTCTCTGTAATAGCCAATACCTGATAAATTTCCATACAAAATCAGACTCTTCGCGCGATTTCCGTACGCGACCCCAACAGTGGTTCGCTGGCAGCGGGTACACTCGCTGCCTCGGACGGTACTAGAGTTTCGTCTTTCTTATCAATGAAACGTATCCCCTGGGTAATAAACACGAACCCGTTGTAAGCAGTGAACAACATAAGAGCGCCAACGGCAGTACGGTGAAGGAAATCAATTGTTCGCATTCGCGGCATTTCCGAAAAATCAGCCAGGGATCATACCAATGGAATAAATGGACGCAAAAAGGCAATCCGACAGCAAGAAGAATGAGCTATCATATCACTTCAAAACAAAAATGCACTGAGCGAACTTGCAGGATTTTAGTTAGCCATAGCCATAGGGATTATGTCTGTTAGGGATCCACCTGCCTCACTTCAACCATAAAATTAAAATTACCAAATTTCAGAAAATAATTTTTTGAAAAATGAAATATTTTTCTTGATAGTTGATCTGGAAGGGATCAGTCGGGGCTGGGGACCGGAAGTCGTCACGTTTTAAATAACTTAAAGTAACCGCCGAACACACGTTTAATTCAAATTAATTTATTGATTCGACCAACCGCCCTTGGAGAGAAGAGCGCTTCATGCTACGTTAACAGCAGGCACCCTTTTCACATGTTGGATTTTTGTGTTTTCCACTTTTCCTCTCAATAAGTTTTATGGTTTTGCAACTTTTGCTCCAGAAATGCTCGCAAAAGCCATATGGTTTACAAAAGTTTTAGCAGTAGATGGTTAACTGATGCGCTGTAGATGTAAATAAAGCAACAGCAATGAACCCTCCTGATCTTGCCGACCCGCTGTTCAACGTTCCTCCTGAAGTTTTGGTGGATCCTGTTCCTTTCGTCGCGCTTTGTGGCTTGGACGTAATCCACAATGCCACCCATCGTCTTATCTGGGACGCGTTCGCCTCAAACAGGAGCAGTGAACGATTGCCGGTTTCATACCGCGATATCCCCGCTGATCACGAGTTCCCAGTGAGCAAGGTGAAAAAGTCCTATGAGTATGGCACAGTGCCAAACGGAATCCTGAAGAGCAACTGGATAAAAAAGCACCTGTACGAAGTGCCTTCGTTAGTGGTGTTGTTTGTTGATCTGGAATGGGATGATCCTGCCTTTGCTGAGAAGAAAATAGCATGTTCCAGCAAAGTGGCTACGATTCGTGCAAGTTTAGCGGGACGGAACTCTAAGATTGCTCTGGTTCTGATTCAGTCGCGTCCACACACCTTCGCACAAGGCGAACCGTCGCCAGATGCCGAGAAAATTACGGGGATGTGCAATGCGTGTGAACTGGCTTTCAAGCAGTTATTCCTGCTTCCGAATAACGAAAATCTGGCTGCCTACGTTGTAAGGCTGGAAACGGCACTTTTTGACACTATTCAGGGCTATTATTTGAACGAAGCTAAAAGAGTGCGTGGACATCGCGATGCCGTGATGCGGATGCAGTCGCAAAATCTTCCTTTACTGGTGAGTTCGCGAACATTGCAACTGATGCACTTTGGAAAAGGAGCGGTTAGATTTCGAATGCTCGCAATTTCCTGGTATTTCCCCATTGATATTCTTTAACTGACGGAATAATTTATGATGGAAAATTCGTTTTATACCATTTGAACAAACCGTACAAAAATTTCTGATTTTAATTATTTATGGATATAAAAAAGCTTTTTATTTTCAGGTGCGCCATCAATTTAAAATGGGTTATTTTAACGAATTTCGACAAGACCGTCAGACAGCGCTTAAACATTACCAGCAAGCCTATCAAAATCTGCAGCAGATTCGTCAGGACGGCGGTTTCGAAGTGAAAACAGTGGCCATGATTATTGTTTATCGAATTTGTCGATTGTCGTTCCGGCTTAACTGTCCAGTGGATGCCATAACGAGTTTCCGGAAGCATCTGGATATATTCCGCACGTACAAAGGCCCACCGGAACTGGCTTATCAACATGAAGCCTGGTTGTTTCGACAGAATTTTCTCTTTGCCATTCTGTTTGAAGATGCCATTCGGTCGGGCCTGGCGGCAATCCCCTCAGAAAATCCAGGAATGTATTATACAAAAGCCGCCAACCATATGAAACTACGGCAGCAGACCTGTTTGAGTTTTCCTCCTCCGCAAATTCCTTTCCAGCCGGCCCCGCCAGTGGATGGGGAATTTTATGGCCAGCTGATCCTCAGTGTGCCCTCATCGTCGGGTGATATGCCCGTTTCGATATACCTACAGAACTGTGAACGAGCGGTCAATCATACCAGTTGGATGATACACCTTCTCGGTTCAGCTGTTTCGCAGTTTAAAAAACACCGCTGCGCCCGGACGGCATTAATGCTGTTCAGTCGCATTGGGGATGAATATTGCGACATCGGCCTCTACGATAAAGCCCAGGTGCTATATAGTCAAGGCTTGAACGAATACCGGAAAAGCAAGTGGAGCGTGATATTCAGTCGTAAGTTACGGGAGTATTGAGTTTTAGATGAGACAGCGGTGGTGATTGTCATTTTATGTGATAATTAAGGATTGTCTATATTTTAGAACTTCTGCTTCGTCAGATTAAGATATCAGCACTCATGCCGAATGTATCCGAATTCATCAAGAGCACCTTGGAAGCCATTGGAGCCGGTTCGTTTCTACAGTTTGAAGATCGCACGGAACTGCAGGAGACGTTGCTGCAGATTCTTAGCGGTAATCGGCCTGATTTCCGCAGCCTTTTGGGTTCACAGAGCCAGATTGCCTACCAGAAATGGGGTGCACTAACTCCGGAGAACATTTCCTGTTCACTGGACATGGATCCTCTTTTGTCCTGCATTGAGCACGAATGTGCTTTTGATCGTTCCGCATTCGAAATCAGTCAGATGGTCTCGATAACTGTGAAACTGACGCTTACCACACCATTGCCCATGCAGATGTCGGAATTGCAGGTGACGTTGTCTAATCCAGCATATAATGGTTACTGTTGTATTAAAGATGGCACAGCTCCGGCGAATACACCGGAGAATCGATTGTACCTAGTGCCCAATGAAGAGAAACTCTACCAGTTCCAGTTCCCTGCTGTGCCGGAAGATGTTGGAAAACATATTGATATAACCAAACTGATACTGAAATTTGGATCTTTGCCGATCACTTTGAGGCTTGTTTGGTCGAATTTCGGAAAGATAAATCGAACATACCAGGCGTTTTGCAATGGACAGTCTTTTAAAGTATTGAACGATGACGCAGTATCCAGTTTGCAGTCAGTTGACATTGAACGGCGACCAGCATTGGCGGTTGTCCAGTTGCCACCCAGTGCCCTGATTCTTGTGGGCGAAACTTACAGGATATCGTTTTCCATCGTGAACAAGGAGCAGGCAGTGATTCGGAAGCCGGTTGTTGGTATTACGTGTGACGATCCTGCTGTAGCCGGAAAGATTGTCTTTGGATTGCCGGGATCGGAAGAATTCGTGAGCGAATGCAGCTCAACCTTGCCTGACCTGTCACCTGATTCTACTTACGAATTTTCATTCTTAATCCGATGTAGTGCGGGTTTTAAGACCAGCGTTCGGATATTCCTCTCTTATGACCTTACTGATCCCTTTTACCGCTGCTTGGTGCAGGGTGTTACGCCACTGGAATCAACAAACCCGTTACAGATACGACTTCTATCCAAAGAGTTCAACAGCGAGGAACATCCATCGGAAAAGCACGTCATACCGCCCGGAAGCGATATGGTTTACTTGATTGTCATCAAGAACGCCTCACCGGTGAAAATAACACTCGGGGGTGTGGAACTGAAGATGAATGACAGTGTTCTGACATCGGTTGTTCCAATCGAATCGCATATCGCTGGTATGTTTCTTATGTTGCTTTTTCATAGATTTTGTTTGGTTAGGCGATGTAAAACGCAAATCCAATTGCAGGGAAACTTCGTATATTTGGTATTAATTTTGCGTACGAATGTGCTAGTTTTTGTTTTCAGATCTAGAATAGTATGTGTGTACAAGTATGGATGGAGATCTCGCGTACTTCTGTGCTTGGTATGTGAAACTTTAAATGTTTTAGGCTTGCAACTATTGGAGGAAGAAGAAGCACAGGAAGCGTATTTCCTCCATGTTGATGAGTCGTGCACACCTGGATCGTCAGTTTTAATGGGTCCACTGATTTTAACATGGAACCGAACAGATTCCGATCAGAATCCTGCGTTGACTTATATCCCGGTGCCTGATATGCTCATCAAAGCTTCCCCATCGCCTCTTAAAGTGTTTTTAGATTTACCAGCCAGTGTAACGCAGTTTGAGCCACTGGGTCTAGTGTACCGAATTCACAATTGTTCGGATCAGTTACTGGACATCCATGCCTTTTTGTCGACGAACGACGAATATGTGCTTGCTGGGGAAAAAGAGGCCCGTGTCCGGTTGGGACCACGAATGGAAACTTCATTGCACTCGTCCATTATACCCATCAATGTCGGTTACATGCGACTACCGGAGTTTGAAATTAATTCCACAGCGGATATCGACTGCCGGGAATGGATTGATTCCCACATTCCCAAAACCATATTTGTGATGCCGAAAGACTTTTCTAATGAAAATTGTTTGATAAATCCTCTGCCAGCTGGTATGACCGCATGATAGCTGCAAAATTGTTATAGAATGGGTTTTCGGAGATTATTAAATCAGCTAAGTACTGTGCCGATTACTCTACAGATGGTGCCATGATGCAGTGTGAAGTGTTTTTCTGTGAAAGTTTTAGTTTTTTGCTTTTATTGCGCTTGATTAAAAGTTTCTGTTGATTTTTTGTGCGTCACATATATGTTATAAAACGTTTCGCTTCAAACGGTAAAGACTACACAGGCATTTAATATACTGATGGTGAGTGATATTAAGAGTGATATTGATTATTCTGTCGTCGATTGTTTTATTGTATTGTAGTGTTTTAAGTAACCCGTCCAAATGCATTTTGTTCCCGTACGGGATGCAGTTTATGCGTCCCGTCCAAATGCAGTTTATTTTCGACTTCTTAAATTGCCGATTTTAGATTTCGACTCATGGTAATCGTAGTACATGCTTTATAACAAAAGCATTGGCTGCCTTTATACACTAGAAAGGTTGGTAGTAAAAATCCGCTCTTAATGGTCCAGATATCGGTTCAGATAATCCTGTGAATAAACATATCAAAATAGAAAAGTATGAATTTATTTAAAATTTTGAATTTCACTACCATTCTGTATTTATCCACACATTTTACGAACTCCTTCGCTTTTCCATGACAAGAAATGGATCGCGATATGTTATCGTCGTAGCACTTTATCAGTTCCCTCTCAAATCTGGCACAAGGAAGCGCGGGAACAAGTGGTTCTGGCCTATTACCAGCAACACAAAGTCTGTTATTATGCACTGTAAAAGCAGAACTGATATTTATAGATGCACTCTTAGCATCATCAGTGTACGTATTCTTTGCATAGCTGTCTGTCGAGAAACAAATTTACTAAAAATTAGTAACGTTGAAATATCTTCTGTTAATCAGTTTACAATTTTTTGAGTTGTGTATCGGTTAAGAACACAACACAATCATTCATTTACAACCTCATCACAACTAACACGATCGTTAAGCGCGATATGCGACGAGAAACAAAAACCTTCCACCTATCTCGTATTTAACCTTCCACAAACCTTCCACAAAAACCTATTTAAGTATAAGTGCTTTGTATTAGTATTTCCAGATCTAACCTTAACATTTCCTCCACTAGGTTAATCGTTCCGCTTAATTCGTTGGCAAATTTAGACTCACTCTGTTCTATCTACAAACAGTTATCCTTGCTTAGCTAACAGCTGATTAAATACAGTAATTACTATGTAATTATTGGAACATGGAAAAATAATCCGACTGGACGTTAACGCGTTATACTCAGTAGAAAGGCAAAGGTCAAGAAACCAAGTACTTACTTTTTCCTCGAGTTCAGCAATTCGTTCTTGCCATCGTTTCTCCAAGTTGACGAATACTTTGGCAGACGCCGAGTCGTTTTCGTGGTGTACAGGATTTAATATTGTATTTTGTGGCTGAAAAATGGTTTTCAGTTTTGGAAAAAAGATAAAACTGATACTGCATCCACATACGATTTTCTGGGATTTTATTGTATATGGAACATTACCGAACCATGTGAAACGTAATGTTTCCATTTTCCTTGGACACATTGGGATGATGCACTGTAAAAAGCAAACTTTCTTTTACAAACCAGCTCACGAAACTACATAAAAACAACTCAACGGTAAACAAAAATATTTGATCATTGCGAGGTAATTCGTTACCTTACTCTATAATTGTTAAGGGGTAATTTTTAAACTTTTTCAATATAATTAAATATGTATTACAAAGTACAAACGCACTCGAAATGTGCTAACATATGGTTGCAGGAGTAATGGATTTTTGTTTACTGTGAAATACCTGCATGGCCGGGATTAGGCTGGCGATTGTGATGACGTCCGTGATTGTGATGATGGGATGCACCAAGATTAGTTTTTTTAGCGCTGCTGGTCGCTGTGGAATTCTTCCTTAACCTGTCAGCTACTTCCTCCGAAACCTGTATAAGAAAGACGCGGTGGCCATTATCTATGGACGTATAACGGTATTATGGGCGTAAAAGGTCAATTCCTCTTAATAGTGTATGAAAGGGCACATTTTACACAATGAACACCGGCCGGATATAACACTTGCCGCGATGGAACCACTGGGATCCCGTTGAAAGCTGACGCGTCGGGTGTTGTTGGTGCTTTCTCGATTGCCCATTTCGTATAATTCAGGAAAATAAAAGCATGTAAAAGTTGTCAAAATTCTGTTTGTTACCAGACTAGCACTATCACCAGCATAGTACTTGGGGTATGCTGTTAAGGTGAGATAAGCACTTTAAAAGCTCTGGGCGTACCAAAACATTCTTATAGTGTGCATTATATAAATGTGTGCACGCAGTTATTAGAACCGAAAGGCACATTGACAGGAAAAAATTACCAAAACCAAAACTAATATCAGTTCTAATGTTTCTGTTGCCGTTTCCGATACTACCTTATTTCAGAGCTCTGTGTGAAGTTCATTTAGTACGAGTACGAAGTATAGATAGTGCTTTTTATTTTTGCAAATTTTGTGCTCGCGGTAGGTACGTGAATCTTATGTTACGAGTGTTCTTTGGCCATAAAACTGTAAGTAAGACCACGTTTGCGAAGTGAAAGTACAAAGTTTGTTTTTTGTATGAATTCTTATGCTATTAATTTTTCTTTCCAGTGCAGTACTGTACTTAACGATTCCATCTTTTTATTCTTTTGCCATTCTGTAACAATATATAAGCTGTGCGCAGTTTATTATCGCGCTTAGGAACAAGAGTAGGTAAATTGCGTATGTAAACTGACATAATTATTACTAAGCTGTAGTAGCAGATTAAACCATGATCGAATACAACAACAGATAGCACCACTCCCATTACTTATACGAGTACAAAACATAACAAAACTGATACCCTTTCGCTTCGGTTAAATTTACTCAAGAAATGACCAACAGTCGAACGATCTACGCAATTTATACCTGTCATCTGTCAATAAGCAAAATATAAAAAAAGCTAAGCTGTACTTTATTAGTTGGTCTCTGTGCACTACTTTTTCGATTTCCCTTTAGCTTTGGCAGGAGTAGTGGGTGTCTTGCTTTTGCTCTTCCCTTTTCCCTTTTTGCCTTTTCCCTTTCCTTTGCCTTTCTTCTTCCCTTTCTTGAGCATTTTGCGCACTTTATATCCACGCCACCACTTCTGTATGACAATGGCCGCTTTGTGTCGCCGGAGTGCTTCCGCTTCGGCACGTCGTCTCCCCTCGTCGCGCTCCTGACGATCTTTGACCAGCTCCAGCATTTCTTTCTCAGCCGACTGCTCTTCTTCCTTCATTTTAGCAAGAATTGTCTCCAGCATTTCCTTTCTCTCCAATAAAGCAATTATTTCCGCCTGTTGAACTGATCGTGTTTTTATTGGCAATTAAGCGTTGCCATAACGGATGTACTGGTACTGTATACCATATAAGTCTTAAATGAGTAGTTTCGCATCCAACTGTACTACCGTATTAAAGTTGTGCTTTTGCAGATAAGTGTATAACATTTAACACGCCCCCGTACCTTTAACTGGACGCAGTTCTCCAGAATATTCTTTTCGTCAGCCGCCATCAGAGCACCGTGATCGCGAAGTTGTGACATATGAGCTGTTTCTAGAAGATAACGCTATAAGGAAAAACTTGTATGAGCACTCTAAAACACGCGCGTCCTTCAGAAGACGCGCTCAGATTTTAGGTGTAACTTGTTGGCAATATATACCTGGTACCGGTACCAGAAAGGTCACATAATGGCCATTCCTTTCGTGCGCAAACCAAGTAACACGTATCTGGCGTTTTACACTGAGTTTTTTACAAAACTGCATGTCAGGCTAAGTGTTTTTGCAGCAAAGTATGAATAGTTTGTAGCGCAAGGTCACCAGTGCGGCAGTGCTAAATTCAGTAAGGATACGTCTATGGATCATGTACTGTACTGCTAAACCATCAAAGGTAGTTGGTAGCATACCTCCTTATTCTGACTGGAAATAAAACTGACAGTTTCTTCGACATCTTTCTCCATTCTTGCGAGTTTGGCTTCGTGAGGTTTGCTGTCGTCGCCCACTTGGCGGCGAATCTTGGTCTGCGCAGTGGCTCTGGCCTCCTGCAGTTCTCTAAGCCGCGCCTCGACCTGTCGCTCGCCCTGTCTGATACTTCCGGCTAGCAGTTGTTGTTCCTTGCGGTACTTGTGCATGATCCCTTCGTATTCGTGCCGGACCAGTCGCTTGTTGCCCTCGGCAGTTTTGGTGGCTTCCGTCATCTGGTCACTGACCTTTTGCAACTCACGTGTATCAAAGGGAGTTGACTGCAGTCCGTTGAGCAATAGTTCCATAATTATGTGCGTCAAATCTACCGAAGCACAATACTCACACACGAATGACACGATGAAGCGAATTAAACAATAATAATTAGTACGATCACTGTAAAATAAAGGTGCTAATTTATATAAGATTTTGCAATTTTTTATTACATAAATTGATTCGCATAAATTGATTGACTGATTGACATAAAGTACGGTCCCAATAAGTTCGAATCATCACATATAACGTACCACGAAGCTCAGAAACCACTGGCCAGGTAGGTAATTCCTTCGTCGTATGCCCAAAGACGCGTTCTGCTTTGGCCAATAAATCGTAATTACACGAATCGCGGAAAGCCAAACACAATGTATGGAAGGTCTCTTTAAACGAAAACAACGCCCCGTCGAAATCGGTCGCGATGCGAATATCGCTGCCCTCAGCCACCTGGTCGTCTTCCGTCAGTGACTCCGAAGCGTGCACTTCCAAGTCGCTTTCGGACGCATCAAAGGATTCCCGGCCTAAACCCTCACTTCCCAGTTCCTCCTCCGAAAATTGTACAATTTCGGGCGGCATGATGGCATTGGTCGCCAGTTCCAGTTGCAAACGGAACAGCTGCAGTGTGCGATTGACATCGTCACCCAACACGTCCAACTTGGCCGGATCGTCCGTGAACAGCAATGTTGGCAAGAGACTGGCGACACGGAAACCGACATTCAGCTCGGAAATAACGGCTTTCAAACGGGCGGTGTCTAGTTGGTGTGGCACATGGGGGAAACCATTGATGACCTGCTGGATGAGTTCATGCTTGCGCTCTTTCTCCGCATCGGTTTCCCATGTATGGTGTCGCATCGGGAGCGGCGCCTTCCACCATAAGCGCCAGTCTTCTTCCGGCGACAGATTGGACAGCTGTCCGTCGGCTGGTTGCGGTTGGTAGCGTACGGCGCTTTTTCCCAGGGCGTTCTCCGAGTTGTCATAATGATCATCGGCGTTGGATGAGGATTTTGTAACTCGTCTGCGCGTTCCAGATTGGAAGTTGGAAGCACGTTTGCTTTGGAAACTTTTCCGTAATACCGCTTCACTGGGTCGTTTAAAGACTGCGCTAGATTTTGAACGCTTCATTTCGAACAAACAGATTAACCGTAAGTTTTAACAGCAAAATTTGTTACTATTGTAACAGGCAAAAATGCCCATTATCCAGTTTGGAAAAAATCGAAGACTGGATTAATAAAATACAGAGGGTTATTCAGCCAAGTGTGGTCACTTTTTGGAAAATTTCTGCTTAGCCGCTGCAGGCTCATTTTACTTTTTTAAAAATTTTATCAAATAGCCACAACATTCAATCACATTTTGAATTCAACCGAGCCAAGATTTCGTTATCCTGTAGCCCAGGAAAAAATTCAGTTTATCCCCACCATGTTGGCAACAGTTGACCAGTTCAGCTATAGGAAATGGATTCCCTTTACTCAAAATTAATTTAAAATTTGGGTTTTCGCCATAATCGACTGGAAACCTGTCATGGGTTTCGAACAAACCTTTTCAGAAGGAATTACCAGTTTTTTCGATCAGGAAGCAACATCCTTGTTTTTCTCAGCAGTGCTCCCGGGAGCACATCTCTGGTTCTGGATGACTTCTTCCTCTCTGCCAGGCTTAATCCGTGGAGCGTCTTTTCGACCAATGAACATTGTAAATTGTGAAGGAAGACCTGCGTTACAACTTTAGTTTGTGGAGGAACGAAAAGGATAGCCATAGCTCCGTGAGTAACAATTCGCACATTGAGCATGGCTCTTGCGAGTGTCTTCCTGTTTTCGCGTTTTTCCAGCCGTCCTACCGCAAGAACGCGCAAGAATATGGAATCGTTTTGCTATAAAAAATATTCGGATCGTCGTTTTTCACAATTAAAACCATCCAGATTTGAAAAGCAGACGATCCTTTTAAGGCCAGATCATCGAAAGCCAAATTTTGCCTGGTCAAAGGTTTAGAGTCGGAGTCTTTAGGTCAGTAGCCAATATTGCGGGCTGTTTAAACCCGATTGTCACAAAAACTTGCAAAAAGCATCAAAACTAATTTGCCATAATAAAACAATTATTAGAATCTGACTCTGCGCAACGGCTGAATTATAGGAATTTTTTTAATGCGCTGACCACACTTGGCTGAATAACCCTCTGTACTTTGAACGATTAAGTAACAGAAATTAAATAGGTATTTACTGTAATCAGCTATGATTGTTTACAAGTCAAGCTGGCTTTACTGTGCTCTGAAACACGGCTTCACAGTCTTCACTTCACTCAAACAATCACAAATCTGAGCATCAATGATCATCACCAGGCAGCACAGCAAGCATCACAGGCTACGGCAATACTAAGGATACCATGGCTGAATCTCGTCAGAAATTTATTTCACCACGCTTCCAGATCAGCAAAATTGAAGGCATATATATCAAAACAATTTCTCTATATTTTCCCGATATCACAAATCAGTAAAAACAAAATATGTCACAGCCCACTGAAACAACCACTTTCACTGTCGCACAAACGAAAAATTAATCTGCTCACTGTACAAGAAAAGCTAAGTATAAAGCAGACAACTGAAGGTTTCATACCATTTTGCAGGGCTTTTTTCCGCTACAATAAGAAAGAGGCCAGCAACAAGAACAAAATTTCTGCTTCTTCCGTTTAATGCGAAATAGCAGCTTGCCGGCAAAGAGTAAATATCGGCCGACGCTGTCCTTCCCGGGCTACCACCAGTAAACCAGCCTTCCGAGTTTCCGCTTCCAAAAATTTCCGGTTATGTTTATCCTGAAACAAGGAATACTTCAGGGGAACTTCCGCCAGATTGGTACATTTTCGCATTTTGTCGATCGTCTGTCCAACATGCTCCCGCACTTCATCGGAAATGACAAACGATGGCTCGGCTGATTGGTTAACGGCTTTCGCGGTGTGGCAAGCATTACCAAACATCCTCATACACATGACCTTTTCATTGTTCAGACTTTTATCATGAACTTTCTTGATCTTTTGGTATAATTCCGCATACTCAGGACTATGTGGGTTTTCCCGAATGCCACGCTGAACCCATTCAAAGGCCTCCTCCTTTTTCCCAATCTGGAAGTTAGCTGTAGCCAGATAGTACAATCCCTACGCAGTAAGGTCCAAGATGTTATTGTTAAATTATTATTCAGTCAGCGAATAAAGACTAGAGTTCAAGTTAAGGTTTCTCGACCTTGCTATCGTGAGGGTTCAGCTCCACAATTTTCCGGCAAAGCTCTTCCACCCTTTCCCATTTACTCAGTTTAGCATGGACAACAGAGGCATTCCTTTTTAAAACAGTATCGATGTCGCTAACTTTTGCTACCATGTCTGCCACAGCCTCCGATGGTCGCTCCAACAGTGTCATGCAGACGGAAGTGGCTTCAATTCCCTGCAGAAAACGGTCTTGTTCACCAAGGAAAATATCTTTGCAATAGTACATCGGCATTCTTACGTATTCAAAGTGATCTCTGGCGCTTTCATACAGATTTTTGCCAAATGCTTTCTTTCCTTTCTCTCGAAATTCCGTAGCGGCTTTGAAGCACACTTCAAACCCCAAGTCTTCTTTGGCATCTTCAGGCTGGCGAATGAACTGGGAAGAAGCCTTATCGTCGGACCACTCTTCATCGCGTAGTTCAACAATGTAGTGCATTGTTGCACTGGGTGGGATGCGTGGAGGAATTCCTTGGTTCCCTAAAAAACAGCACGCACTTGAACATCATGAGACTCACTTGGTCATTTTCAAAATTTACTGTTGAAGTATTCGTTGACATTAGCTGCACTCAGCTGCTGCAGGATGTCAGAGAAAATTTGATGGCACACTCCCGTCAACCGAAACCCAACAAAATATTCGAGATTTGTCCTCACACTATGCGGAGGGTCAAAACTCCCAACAGCGTTTTTCTTACCAAAAGCATATTCCGGCGAAATTCGGATATGAGCGCTATCACCCAACCGAAGTTTTCCCAATGCTAAACGCAAGCCTTCCACAAAAGCTTCGTTAACGTCGTATCTAATAAGGCAGAACAAAACTGAAATAGCATCTATCAAATTTCAAAGTGTCTGCCAAAAGCAGTTTTGAACAAGCCAACTGTGTCTTCATATACGTCATCACAATTACTTGAAAACTTCCCGGCGACCTCTGTAACGCGTAGCATCAACCGGTTCTTTGAAATTCGGCTCAACAAATCCAGTGTACTGCATAATGAAATACATTCCCGGTGCCAGCACAGTCTGTCCGGAGCCTCTGTTCAGAATGCGGATGCGCACGCCTCCATCCGGCGTGACTGCGGTCATCAGATCCCAAATGTTCGCTTTGCTCACGTTGAGACGATACCATGTGTCCAGCTCCGTCGTGACCCGGTTCAGTTCGCGGGAGTCCGATGACTTTTGGCAAACACTCTTCCCGGTGTCCTCTTCCCACATCTTTTTCATGTAATCCAAATCGGTCCATTGAGCTAGTTAAAAATAATCGCATTTATTCTCACAAAATTCTGATTCATATTCGATATCAACTCTGTCACGCTGCCAATATAATCCCAATGTCAGGAAGAAAAAGAAACTAAAAATAAATAACATTCTGACACCGAAGGAAAACTGTACTGCATACGTCACACATCTGATGCAAAATTAATGCAGTGCGGCTGATTGCTGACCATGTGAGAGTTCCAAAATTTTGCCTGCTTTGCCATCCACAGTACTTACTCTGATTAACGTTACCAGCTGCGCTTGGTGGGACTTCCGGTGATGTCACTGCAGCCTGTTCGAGGTAGTCTTCTTCATGCGTCAGCAAACCCTCATCAGAATCTTGGTAAAAGTTCATTTCAAAGGGCTCTAAAGTGAACAATAATCGAAACAATGCCTTGCTGTTTACATACCATCACTCTGGAACTGCGCAAAAACTGCACCGAAGGCTTGTTAATAGTTGTTATCAAAAATGCGTTAAAACACCTTTGGCTACCATTATGTATTGATTTATATCCAGCGGGCCAGCCATTACTCAAGATAAAATACAAAAAGACAGAGAGGAACATGCAGCCAAGGCCTGCGCCGAAGTCGTAGAAACAGCTGTCTTACCACTCTCGCCGACTTCTCCCTCATCCCCCATCTCTTTCATCGCTGTTCCTGGTCGAACTGTTCAAAAATCTTTTAATTCGCTTAGAATTTAAAGCCTAATGACAAAACAACAGCGTGTGATAGGTAAGTCCTATTTCTGAGTTTGAAAATTTGAATTGTGATTTTTCAAACTTCCGCACAAAGCTCAAAGAACTCATTGGAACTGCTCGTATTGGAAACATTACGAGACGCCAACCCTCTGCCGTCTAGTGGGCAGGTACAAACAGAGTTCGACAGACCGTGAGGAGTTCACAATCACAGAGAAAACACAAGCCAAGAAACATCACTCAAATGAGTCAAATCAGACAAGTTTGTTTTTGTCGGAAGATTCGAAAACTGCGGTTTCTGTATTACTCGGATTTTTACATAATCAGAATATTATCAGACAGAACTGTCAGCTACATTCGTTCAATACTTTATTGTTTCAATCAATTTCGAAGCCGCTGGACTTCACTATGGGTACGTCTATGCCTCCCTTGAAACGACTTGCTGGACATTCTGCCACTGCGACAGCTGCTCTTCCTGATCTTGGTGACGACCACAAGGTTACCGTTAATGTTGGTGCAGGGAACACCCTGTGGGTTTGGGATCCTGCGGGTGAGTATTCTACATCAAGACTTCAATGTCTCTTCACATTACTAGAAGGCTCTAGATCTAGCCCAAGATTAATTTGAGGACATGCGAAATTAACACTTGGATTTTGTCAGTGTTAATTTCTGGCAGTTACCGTCAAAGCGCTTGTTACCTTGTAATACTTACTTTTAAGCTTTTACCAGTTTTACGGACTCTGTATAAATGTCATTGAAAATTTGTATTCATTAATACGTGTCGGCGTGTGCTAGATGCAATCCATGTCCAGAAGGTGTATCGAATTCAAGGAGTACTGACCGGGTGTTTTCCGAAAGTTCCCATGCAAGACACTTTTGCCAGCTTGCCCTTGCGTCTTATGCCGGAAGAAGCAGCTTATCTGCGTGATCGCGGACGTGCAGTGTTTGTCAGCGAAGAGCCTTTAGCTCGCAGTCTGCCAACTTTGTTGGATCGCGGTCACTTTGATGCCATGCGCCACGAGCAGTTTCAGCAGCAGGTAAATTCTTATTAACGATAAGTACTTCGTATTAAAAATAAGTAATACAAGTACTAGTAAATATACTTACGTAACAATATTGAAATAATAGCTGTACTATAAGCAATGCGTAGATTGCATGCAGGAGATTGGCACATTACAAAGTATTTAAGTACGTACAGGATACTGGACACTGGACACGTAACGAATTTTTTAAATAGTCATGTAAATTTAACACATAATACTGTACTTAATTGTAAGTATATACAAAAGCGCTTTGTAATTGTAAATCGTCATACACTACTCCTTTGCATTGGACCACTGATTTTGGGCTATATATGCGCTTTTGTCGGCGATAATTCTTATGTGATACGTTTTTCCTGAAGGGTATAATTTGTGACGGGAGATTTCTTTAGGCGGATCTGTTCACAATTTTACGTGAATCTCACACCGATGTCCATAAGGATGAGTTACTCAAGAGATTCGAGGAAGAACAGAGCCGAGCTATGGAGCAGGAAGGCAGACCATCTTTACGTGACCGTGAAGAACTGTGGAGAACGGAACGAGAGCGATGGCTAGGAAAGCCGATTGAAGATATTCGTCACGTCTTCAACATGGAGCTGCCCACCCGATCGTGGAGGGTCGGCCAGTCTCTTATCCATCTGCCGGAAATCTCTTTCCAGTACCCAACGAATGACAAGGAAAGTGCCGCTTGTGTTGTTTTCACCGCATTGATGGACGCGGGGTTCAGTGTTACTTCCGGTGCCAATTATGGAGCTGACTTTTTGGCTTTTCGCGGTAAGCATCTGCAGTTGTAGCTCGTGAGTAAGAGTTATACATAGCAATAACATAGCATATATTGCAAGTTCGTACCAGATCCAAATACCTGCATTATGCATCCATGCAATGTTCAGTCAAGGTTCAATTTACAGTATAATAAGGATTTCCAACCTTAGATGGTCGGCACGGGTAGGCATGCCTGTAAAAAAATGCAATTTGCAGTACGCACAGTGAGCAGTTTTAATGTGAGCGGTTGAATTACTGCTTATTTTACTTGTTGTGTTTGTGAATTAGGCGATCCTCATGTCGTGTATTCTTCGTACATGGTGAAAGTTGTGCGGGAGAAGGAGGAGTTCAAGCTGGACGAATACTTGCGACTTGGACGCGTTGCCACCACAGCAAAGAAAGCCATTTTGTGGGCGATTGTTATTGACAATAATTCACAAGTTCGCTTCTGCTGTAGTAAATGGGCTCTGATGAAATGAGGATTGTGCCGTTTTGTAGTACTCGAATCAGTTACAATAGTTGTGTTACTTGTGTACTTGTTCTCGTAAATGGAATTAATAAATTGACCTTGCGTAATTATAAGCGTTGCGACGGCTCACACCTTTGCTTTTTCACTGGCTTTCGCCTTTCTGGTACTGTACTGTACATACCGTATAAATTTGGATTTGCTTCCGTGTTGTACGATTCCTTTTGAACGTCCCCGTAGTTGACCAGACAAGTAAGTACGTAAAAGAAGAACCGGCTTATTACACCGCACGGTCGGCGCGATTCGGGCAGTCCGGTTCGGTTCGGTACACGAAGTACGAGCAAGTCTTAGCACTTGGCTCTTGCAGTCAGCAGTGACGAAGCAGTGCTTCGGAAGCACTATGCAACAATGCACTACATGCAAGGCTGCAAGCCGCTTAACTTTCTTTCGGAGAGGGCCAGAGGCAGAAAGATCGACCCGAATGGGAACCGACAGCTCATTTTAAAAAATGCTGTTGAAACTATCCAACCCAAGTAAAATATTTTTTGAATTTTGGTTTACAGTGGAGCGTCATTAAAACTGGATAGGTTTCTAGTGATTAAAGCAAGTGCGATACAGACCTTCTTCAGGGTGGACGACTTTTCCAACTGTATTAGCATATTGTTGAAGACCATTTGAGGTACGTGTCTGGTTTACGGGACCGCTGCCTTTGGGAACCTCAAGCCTTGAACCTGTGTGGTCCGCTGGGCCGTAGTTACCGTGCTTACTAGTTTGTTTAGTACTGAAGTATTCATTCTCTTCATAGTGGTTATGTTTTTGCTTGGGAAACTTGTGGTTTTTTTGCGTATTGTAAATCAGTTTCATAGAATAGTAGTTTCATAGAATGGTAGTTAGCTTTCTCGAAGGCTTGGGACATGTTATGTTATGCAGTAACATATCTACGAATAGAAAGCTGCGTACTCTGCTACTATCGTTGAGCTGTGCTAGGGTTCGCCACATTTTTTTGGGTTTTCATGATTGTTGACAGACTTTCACCGTCTGTTAATTTTGTCCTAAAAAATTAGGAGCTTATAAGGTTTGTTTTTTATAGTCCAGCACGCAGGAACGTGTTTTCAGCGGATTTTGTGAATATTCACTGAATTTAGTCCATCATGTCTGCGCTTGGGCAGCTGGTGTTTGATGAGTTCGGAAATCCGTTTATTATCCTGAAGAATCAGGATAGAAAACGTCGATTGTTTGGAACAGAAGCCTTAAAGGTAAGAACAGATAATCGTGCACTATGCGGCTTTTTGAAGCTGAGATAGCGTATCCATGCTGTGATATGTCGTACCTCCACTCCCCAGTGCAAGCATAAACACAAACAGTTAAATATTAAAAAAATGGGTCGCAGTTAGCACATCCTGTCTGCAGTCTTTCGGTTCGTTTATGAACGATGGATTTGTGTCGTAGTCTCATATCATGGCAGCTAAAAACGTCTACAACACCCTGAAAACATCGCTTGGACCGAAAGGTATGTTCCCTGGAATTTAGAGTGGGAAAAGCTGCGTATGTTAATGGAAGTGCTATAATTGAAGGGCTAGACAAAGTACTCGTGGGACCAGATGGTGATGTTACTATTACGAATGATGGAGCGACCATAATGAACGAGATGCGGCCAACGCATGAAATAGCTAAATTGATGGTTGATCTGGCGAAATCTCAAGATGCTGAAATCGGCGATGGCACTACGAGTGTCGTTGGTAAGCGTAAGCGGGTTAAGTCTGTTTTGCTGTGATAGTTTGGCTGGTTTAATGATGAATGGGGAATTACCGTTTGAAACGAATGATACGACACCGTCCTGTTGGCTGCTGGTTATATTTCTGATTTATGGCGACAATGGAAATTCACATTTGACGGATACTGTTAAATAATTTTTTGGGCTTGTAATAAATTGTCTTTTAATTATAGTTATGGCCGGCGCCCTTCTGGAACAGGCCGAGACACTTCTGGATAAAGGAATCCATCCCATCCGAATTGCCGACGGATATGAAATGGCAGCACACTTAGCTGTGCAGCATTTGGAGACCATTGCCGAAAATGTTAACTTTTCCAAGGAGAATCTTGATTCACTGGTGGATATCGCTAAAACTACCTTAGGATCAAAAGTGTGAGTTATAAATGTAAATAAGAAATTAATTTGGTTGTGTACGAAGACTCCGCACTGTAAAGATTTAAGTGCCAACCATACAATATTTTGTGGTTTTATTCGCGTGGACATGTCGCAGTTTATTTTTTACAGAGTCAATCGTTTTCGCCAAGAACTGGCCCATATTGCCATCAATGCAGTTTTGTCCGTGGCTGACCTGGAACACAAGGACGTTGATTTTGAACTGATTAAAATGGTTACAAAAGTCGGCGCTCGATTAGAAGACACTATGCTAATCAAAGGAGTCCTTGTTGACAAGGACATGAGCCACCCACAGATGCCCAAGGTAATTGATTTCTTCGACTTGAGATACGAATTACGAAATCATGCAAGAATAAACTAAAAAAATAAATTAATATTGGTATAATCGTTACTTGGCTCATGGAATCTCTGATAACTTCCTTTGTTTATTGGAGCCAGAAATGTGCCGAAATTGTTATTGTTGTTTTGTTACTCGAATTTTGGAATAGTTCATTATTTCAGCCAAATCACAAACAACAACATTTTGCGATTTTGCATTTAAATGAAACTATGCTTTTAGACTATAAAAGACGCTAAGATTGCCATTTTGACCTGCCCGTTTGAACCGCCGAAACCAAAAACGAAGCACAAGATCGATGTGTCATCTGTTGAAGACTATCAGAAGCTTCGCGAATATGAACATAAGAAATTTGAGGAAATGGTGCAGCAGGTCAAAGATTGCGGCGCTAATCTCGTAATTTGCCAGTGGGGCTTCGATGACGAAGCTAACCATCTCCTGCTCCAAAGGGAGTTGCCAGCTGTCCGCTGGGTTGGTGGACCGGAAATTGAAGTAAGCGTTTTTGCCTCATCAGTTAATTTTTAGGGAAACTGTTACATTACAGCTTATGCACCATTGCTGCATTTATGTATTCAAGTAGATTACGTATTAGATATGAGCCATATCACCAGATCTGGTTTGCATAGATATGTACTAATGAAGTTTTATGCTTTATTAGCTTATTGCCATCGCTACCGGCGGTAGAATTGTTCCTCGATTTGAAGAATTGAGTTCCGAAAAACTTGGTTTTGCCGGGACAGTCAGAGAAGTTTCCTTTGGTACCGCTAAAGACCGGATGCTCGTCATTGAAGGATGCCCGAATTCCCGAGCAGTAACGATCTTCATTCGCGGTGGCAACAAAATGGTACGGTCCTTTCTTGCTACTTTTATTTCCCGGTCGTGGTGGCTGTTTTTGTGCCGCAGTGCAGTTCTCTCCATGCTTGCGTTGAGTAAGCGTGACGATTCGGCAGCTGCTATAGAATATGCTTTACCACGAACCATTGGACAACCATGTTTCCGGTTGATTCACACTGATACTGGTGAAACATTACTTAACATATTTTACAGATTGTAGAAGAAGCAAAGCGGAGCATTCATGACGCATTATGCGTCGTACGCAACTTAGTTCGCGACCCTCGCATTGTATACGGTGGTGGAGCGGCTGATATTTCGTGTGCGAATGTGATTGCTGAGGCGGCCAATTCCATTCCTGGATTGGAACAATACGCCTACCGAGCATTTGCCGATGCGCTGGAAGCAATTCCTATGGCCTTAGCCGAGAACAGCGGTCTCGCACCTATTGATTCAGTCTCTGAGATCAAATCGCGACAGATAAAGGAGAAGAACCCACGGCTGGGAGTTGACTGCATGCATCGAGGAACGAATGGTATGAGTTTTTTGTCGTCTGGCTTATTGATTTAAAATCTCGGATTCTCGCCACGAGACCATAATACCCTTGTTAGCATTAGTGGCTGTTACCGCTTTTTGACAATGCACTTGGTAATCCTCACGGCACAGGGTGTGACAGTGGAAACTTCAGTGAATTTGTTATTCGTGAAATTCATGAAACTTTTTCCGTAGACATGAAGGAACAGTGCGTGGTGGAAGCGCTGATTGGGAAGAAGCAACAAATATTGTTGGCCACTCAGCTGGTGCGGATGATCCTGAAGATCGACGATGTTCGCCTTCCTGGTGAAAAGGACGACTAATTGTGTTGTTGACCAGTTTTGTAATACTTCAGTGTGTAATGTGTCACTCTTTCATCTCTCTACACAGTCCTAACAGTTCTTATTTTTACTAAGCGCTGCGTTCCAGTTCGTGGTTGATGTTGTTAGCTTGCTCGTTTCCTATTCGATTTTGATAAAAGAGAACTTAGGATTTGCTGCTGAGTATGTGTTTCTCTTCTTCGAAGCTGTGTGATCAGTCACGTCCATCTCGCAGTAATCTTTCCCACAATTCTATCTCAGACACCAGTCCAAGCAACCTTTTAATAGAACACAGTTCAAACTGGAACACACCAAACCACACTGCAAGGACGAACACAGCAAGAATTTCAGTACGAAGTGTAAAGCTCAACATCGGCGTTTTATCCGTAACGATTCAAAGGTACCTAAGTAATTACGGTTAACACTTAACAGCGTACAGTACTTATTGCTGACAGTCTGATTGAGAATGACAGATAGTCGCAAGCCACATAAAAAGTAAAGGAATATGCACAAGCCAGGGAGTAAATCATAAAATGTGGAAGCGACTGTGGGTGCAGCAAACATTAACAGTCATTTCCACGGAAAGCCGAATTCAGATTCATTTTTTGAGTAGATCAATAACCGGAAGACAACTGACCAAATGAGACTGCAAAGAAATTAATCAGCACACAATGCAGTACTGAAATATTCGTTTCCGGTGCGCATGAAACCATTTATACAGCAAAACAGAAGCACTACTTTTCGTTACGCGAATGCTTTAATCGAGTTTTCATGAATTTGCAACACTTTAATTACCATCTGCGCTAAAATTAGAACACTTGGCTTACCATTAACGCGTGCTTCCAATGAGTGTGATGCCGCTGCCGGACACCGATTAACCCAATCGCATTACGAATGGCAGCAGCTGCATCGGCAGTAAATGGGCTTTTGTGGTGATCTAATGGCAGCAAAGCAGTGCGCACCATCCCAACCATCGCAGACTGCAAGCAATCCAATTGGAAGATTTCACATCAAGCAAAGGATATATCTATATAACGTTACTGTACCTGCACATGGACTCCTTTGTCGCGATATTCCCAATCCAGGGATTGCGAGAAATAGTCAACAAACGTTTTGCCGGCTGCATACAGTGCACTACCCTTGACAGGTTTTTCGCCCAGCAGCGATGAAATGTTGACAATATAGCCAGAGCCTTGTGCAATCAGCAAAGGCAACACAGCACGAGTAATCTAGAATACCGAAGAAAATAAAACATGCGGCACCGGCTGCGGCAAAATCTTCGGTGAAAATGGAATGTCTCCTTACCAGCACAAGAGCCGTAATATTAACGGTGATCATTTCCACGGCTTTCTATCACAAAAAAACGGCACGTAACAAAGGCTGGGTAGTAAACTCAGACATTTTTGTTAACCAACCTCATCCGTAACCGGATTTGCCAAAAACTTTTCTTCCGGAAAATACAGGCCAGCATTGTTGACTAACGGAAAAAAAGAAAATCAGTATCAAAATCGATTAAGCAATGGTTTCTGATTACAGTAAACTGTTGAAACCTGAACAAAATTTACCAAGAACGGCAATTCTCAGAGTGCGCAACTGATCCTGCAGATTCTTCACATCGTCCACCGAGATCTGAGCCAGATCAATGATAATTGTTCGAGCGAGCACTTTGTGGATTGAACCTGCCGCAAAAATTTCAACTTAGTGAATATGCACCAGACGATACGCAACACAAAACTCTATTTGCATAGCTTTCGATTAGGGCGTATTATCCACGAAGTTCATAGTCATACGGATTTCTTGTGCAACTTTTTCCGTTTTTTCTTGATTTCGTGCAACCAGGATCACATTCAATCCTTTTGCGGCCAACTGTAAAAAAAACCAAAAGTGAGTGTGATTAGTACATTCTTATGATACTACTCTTACCTCACAGTAACGCACAGCAAAAAAGTTAAAACACGTAGCAACAACGTTTACACTCAAATTACGAGAAAACACAAATAAAGCCGAAGCGTCACCTGGAACGCCCATTCCTTGCCCATCCCATCGCTAGATCCCGTCACAACTAAATCCAGTAATCATTGCTCACAGACGCAAAATACGTAAAACGATTCTGTTGGTATTCAAAGGATGTCATAATTAAACAATCATTACCTGCCCATTCACCGACTTTGCGTAAATCAGGCCCCAAATGCAGAGGATTAGCGAGAGCGTACGAGAAAACCCCGCGTCCCAGGCAGTAAAGCGCCTGTGCTGACTTATAGCCCAAATACAGTGCTCCCGCCGCGGCCAAATAGCTCTTAAATTGTACTACCGGAGCTAAAACTCGATCAATTTGAGGCACTAGGGGCAAGTTTCCGGAATAACCGAAGTGAAATCGGGAAGCCATGATTGTCAAAAGTTGGCGATATCAACAAAATCTAAACATTAGATTCCTTCAGTTAAACTTTATGTCGCTGTAGATCATTGCGCGGGCGAAAGAACGATTACTGTACAAATTTACGCACACCCCTTGCAACAACACAGCGATGCGATGCTGGCTGACAAAGCACAGGCTTCGGAACGTGGAATTTTTTAAACAAGCTACGATTTCGAGATATTAATCATTCAAGTGAAATTTATTTAGCAAACCGTTACAAAATTATTTATGTAACTAAAACCCAAAAACGACGAAGTGCTGTATGCACATATGGTAGTCACTGCAACGAACAAATTCACTGGTACAAATTACAGAACGTTTTCTCATCAAATCTGACCATGAAAATTTGGATTTCAAACAAATTACTCTGTGTAAAAATTATAGTTTTACACAGGCAAGAACACCGAAAAAATCTGCAATTCAGAGTCAGCGGTTCCCAATTTTACACCACACATCAGTAAAATCGCATCGTTTACTGCATTTACAGTACATACTTATTACTTACTAACTCCCCGAGCAGCAAACCGGTTAAAAACAACTGTTACATTCCCAGGAACAATTAACAGCACTTAAAACAGCGACAATAACATGCGTTCATTTCCCGCCCCGAGCACTTTTATCGCATTTTCAATCATAAATTAATAAGATCAACACAACACTCCGGAACGAAAACATTCAAAGAAGCTATTCGGTAATATCTTCAACAACCGCTACAGACAACTGAATCAAATCATCAAATGTCATTTCAAAGTGCCGGTCGCCTACTACATTTATATCGCTTCGAATAACCATGAAGTAATAAAATCCGAGGCTTGAACTTAAAACTGTAGAGAACAATTCCACAAGTGTCACCGCTAATGCAAAGTTTTTATAGCCATGGATAAAGCTGTCCTGGTCACTGGTTAGGAAGGAAACCGATCTCAATGACATTCAACATAGAAGCAAGCGTACCCTGCAAAAAGCGAATTGCACAAGCGCTGTTCAAAGGAATCGTTCAGGTACACAGCAGAAATGATAGGAAAAAAATGGCATCTAACAAGTAAGTTACTCAAATTCAATATTTTTTTACCCTACGAACTTACCATAATGCCATGCTTCCAATGTCCAAATGTGCGAGAACGCACTCCCAACTGTGCCAAAGATGCAGTTACGACTTCGTTAGGCGTAGGCACCATGTTACTCTTGTGCATTGATAATGGCAGCATCTTGGTTTTTGTCGCTCCCGGAATAAAACTCTGGAGAAATCCAATAAAACCTTACAACTATCCAAGCCAGATATCAAACTAAACAACTACAACAACAATATAAGTACCTGCACACAGATGTTTTGACCCTTGTATTCATGGTGAACAGCCTGAGCGAATGAATCCATAAATGCTTTGGTTGCTCCATAAACCGCTGCTCCTGGAGCCGGTCTTGCTCCACCCAATATTGCACCAACCATAATGACATACTTTTTCTGATTAGGTTGCTTCTTGCTTATTAATAAAGGCATCACGGCACGTGACATCTGTAAATTTGATCATGACAGTACTTAACTGATTGTGAAGAAAATTTTGTCTTCAATACCGAAGGCCACACAATACAATCTGTTCGGTATGATTACAGAAATTTTGATTTACCATAACAGTGGCGCGGGCGTTCAGGTTGATAATGTTTGCAACTTCCTGCGAAATTTCACGTAAATGAGCTCAATTTCAAATCTTTATAGAAATCATTATTTGGATGAACCTCATCAGATCCAGTTGTAAGGAATTTGCCTATTGAACCCAAAGCTCCGGCAGAATTAACTACAAAGCAAAAAATTCTATGCTTCCAAGTACGATTAATAACAACCAACAAAAAAGAATGCCGAACAAAACAAACACTCGTCGTTCGGCGCGTAAAGATCCATGTATACTGCCTTACCTAAGATTGCTATGTTTAGATCCTTCAGTTCTTCCTGCATTTGAGGGACGTTATGCGGACCCATTTTGGATAAATCGATCGCGATTATCTTGGTCTGAACATTGTATTTGGCCGCTGGAAGCAAATACAATACGTTCAAACATCTTAATAGCTGATATATCGTAAGCGTTTATCGTCCTTACTTATTTCCCGTGCAACACCCTCCAGTTTATCAATACTCCGAGCAATTAAAACGATATTAAGGCCTTTCTGTGCCAGCTATAAAGATAACAAACTTATTCAGTATTATTACAACAGTACGCGTACTCATTATACTTTCAAATAAACAAACATAAAATTACCTGAAAAGCGAACTCTTTTCCGATGCCATCACTTCCGCCGGTAACAACTGAAAACACACGTGTGCATACAAAAACCCATCGGCGGAAAATATGTAGGTTATGCAGCTCGCTTCTCAAAAATCCTTGACGCAATTATCGCCGCTTAAAATGGCGGTGTGTAGTGTGTGAAATTATGCGGACACACCGTAAGTGTTACTAATTATATCCATTACACGGATTCGCGCCAACGATAACTGCGTAAACCATATTAACTAAGTTGTACATTTACGCATTCATGCATATCGATGCTGTCAAGATTATGTCCACTCAGACATGAAAAACTGTTAAAGTTTTTTAGCTTCTTTAGTCAGGTTTAAAATCCCACGCTAGAATATTACTCCAGCCGGATGTGGCTATTTCTCTGTTTAAAATAAAAATAAATCAATTGGTCCGAATACCGATCAGTAATAATTATTGCACACCATTACCTAAACTGGAACGCTAAATAACTCTGCCACTAATATCTACTTAGCTGCCAGTGCCAACCTTAACAACACAAAAATGTCTTTTGACCATATACCTGCCCAGTCACCGACTTTCTTCAAATCCGCACCCAACTTCAGTGGTCCTGCTAAGCAGTAGGAAGTCACCTAGAATATTCACACCTTTGCGTGATATAATAATGGCTTATCCTATAATTATAGATATAATGCATTTCTCTCATCACTATAACAATTTATTATTCATATATATTGTAATCAAAACTCAAAACTTTCGAGGTTTCCGTTAACTACAGACTGATGCAGTTAGTTTTCAAGTCTCAACCACCAGAACTCACCGCTTTCCCAATGCAAACTGCCCATTTCACTGACAAGTACAGCACCGTGGCTCCTCCGACAACGGCGAAGAAAGGCTTTGCTTGCTGCACAACGGAGTTTTCGTGGTAAAAGTATGTCCGTATTCCGACAGGCATCACATTGTGAACTGAGGTGTGCACACTATCCAGTGCTTTTCTCGCGGGAGCCAACATTCTTCCAGCTGCGATGTCGGCGTTTAGATTGCAACCAGCGAAACACTAGACACCTAGGGTAAACTGTGTTAACGCGGTGAACTCTCCAGTAAACCAAAATGCGGTCCAATCAACCCACGTTTTTACAGCTATAAAAGTCCAAAACCAAGTTAAAAGAAAGCAGTAAAAGTTCAAAACATTCTTCCTGGTTCCAAAAGATATTTCAGTGTGCAGCCTGTGCAGTATTCGTATTGTTTGGCCTAAGTCCTGGAGACAAACACCCTGTCAGCCTTTTTTTATCAACTATTTTTATTACAACCCAATAATTATTCCAGTAATAAAGGATGGCCATTCAAAGCAGTGCCCTGTATGCCAAGTCCACGAAACGAATCCCCTGGCTGTTTGCCCTTGCGACAGCCAAAATTATTTGTTGTCGATTGGCCGATTATTTTCTACCAAGGCGACAACAAAATCGATGTTGTTATTTTTTGAGGTTGTGTTGTGCTAAACAGCCTAAACCATAGACGGGCTTGCTTTTTCGTTTTCATCCAGCACCCAGCCAAAATTTGGAAGTCCCGTTAGGTGAAGCCGTGAAGGTATGTCTGCATCGTTCGGTCTTATTTTGATGGGTATGAAGATATAGACAGAACTGGAAGATCATTTATGTCTAAGTGACAGTCTGATATTTGGTAAAGTTGTAGACCGTAAACGGCACTACGTCTGCTAGGTGCCATTTTCAGTTTGGATACTCCTTACAGCTTAGCTTGTGCCGTTGTACTTGACAGCTCGGATAAATTCTTGTGTGATATATGACATCGTTCTGGACTGCCAAGATGCCAGAAGGAGATGGACAGCGCCGAACTGGAACGCAAGTGCGTTACGGAGGTGCCGATTCCGATTCGCCTCATGCCAAGCGAAGTACTCAAGAAATAATCTTGGACGAGCTGAAAACCATCACGAAAACTGCCTTTTTTACCACTGCTGTCCAGCCATTCAATTTGGCCCAAGTCCTGATGCAGGTTCGTAGAATTTCTCTGTCTGCGGTGAACAAAATCTTGCAATTAGCGTGAACAACCTAGGAAAGTTGCGGATGGTGCCAGTTTTGAATTTTTGCCTGTTTCACATTTCATATTGTTATTTTAGACGTTTTATTCTTGAGTCTGACAAATGTCAGCTGCCTTTTTCGTGCAGAACTTTAGTATGCACTTTATTAGTCTCGGATAGTTTCTCGAAACTAGTATCACTTCGTGGTGTATCCGCAGCGTAAAACGGTATATTTAAAAATAGATATTGGTTATCGACTGATCACCAATTCTATGCGTTGCAGATCGGTTACGAACCTTTTCCAGCACGTCCTGGAGTGGATATCTTTGGTCGCTCGGCATATTATTTGCCATCGGTCCTAGATTATCGTAAGGGAAAAAGAGTAATGAATGTGCGAATACCTAATAACAAAAAAAAAGACTGACAATTTTTTAGCTTGCTTGTATGAACTGAAGTGCTTAAAAAATAAATAGCTTCAATTTGAAACCGTAATTGGGGAATTATTAACGTGAAAGCTCAAAATCAAGTCTCGAACTTGTTTTACTAGCTAATGCATGTCTCACTAACCGTGTTCTCAGAAAGTGAAAACAAATGAATACGTTAACATATGCAGAATTCCTACTAAATTAAAATAGTTCTAAAAAGCAAAAGCGGCGGATCATGTGCTTGGTACTGCTTACTCTATTGTGCAGATGAACGATCCGTTATCAGTTTGGTGACAAGCACTCAAGCAGTGTTCTCGTACGTAATATTTTTATATTCGTTTTCTGTATATTTTCAGTTCAACATATCCGCAAGGAGGCTGGTTTCAAAGGGTTGTTTCTGGGCTTGGGACCGACTTTGGGTGTTGTGATTGGGGGTATTTATGCCTACAAAGGATCGGAACGGGTAATTTTGATTTCTTACAGCTCATTGTCATCCAGCTCACTCGACTTACAGTTCATTAAAAATTAAAGATTATTTGTTATTTTCATCGCTTTTTATGGTGTTTCTGTTGGTCTTGGCGATAATTAACTATGGACATTGTTTTCTTCGTGATTTAATAGCAAATGAATGTGGATATTGGTGCATACGTAATGCGTTTCAGTGATAGCATTTACGGTATTTTGTTAATGTTGTATTATGTTTTAGTTGGTGAAATATATCTATGATGAGTGGTATCTGGGGCGACCCGTTACGCTGGAAGTGAAACGTTTTGGATTTTTGGAACCAGCTGACGTTTCTGGTCGATCGTCTAACGCGATGGAGTTCGGCATGTTACGTTTCGAGCCGAAAGAAACTGTTGGGATAAGCTACACTGCTGCAAACTTTGCGGAAGATGTGAGTTCTGACTTTCTCGTCGTGATTTTAGTGATGTTGACAGGTCTGTAATTTTGTTGTAGTTGCTGAAGGAAATCAGTGTCGTTTCCCTCTCCATGGCAGCTACGTGGCCGTTGCAAGGTGGGCCTTTGGTCAATCGTTTGTTTTGACATAAACATAAATAATTTTTTTTTCTGTTTCTTTAATATTACTTCTGATCTGGGGTGTAAAACACGTTTCTAAAAATATTTATTACTTATTTGTTCTGTTTCATGTTTGTAGTTATTGCTTTTCGCACGATGGCGCAGTTCGTGGGAGGAGAGAAACTATATGAGTGCGTAATTTGTTTGAGTTGCGATCGTGCATTCGTAGTCCTTTGGCCAGTTTGATGTACATTTTGTAATTGAAAGTATTCTTCAGCGGCTTGATTGGATCCATACAGGAGATTGCCAACACAGAAGGTTTATCGGGGTTCTTCAGGTATGCAATTCGGTCATTTTAGGTAATTTTGCCATTCGAAAATCTGCATGCAACTGTCTGGTTGATATTACAGGGGTTTGTTTCCCATGTGGTACAGTTACGTTTCTGTGACGTCTGTTACGTACATTGCGGTTTTTGCTTATGCGTCCTATAACACCACAAATCCGATCAATCTACGTCTTGTTGCGGCAGCAGCAGGGGTAAGAATTAACGTCCAGTCTCCATTAATTACGTATTCGCCATGTTTTAACTGTTTATAGGCTGTCGCCAACAGTTTCTTCTATCCCCTCAAACTGACCGCTCGTTTATTCGCCATTAACGGGGCTCGACTGGCTGCAGCGCGACCTCCTGTTACTCCGCATTTTGCGAAATGGAGGGATTTGCACAATTATCTTGTGCTTTCGGTTGGTTTTTTCTGCCTCCCTTTTGCTTTTCCGAAGTGTGGTTTTTGTATATTTTCCTTAAATTTATGATCCTCGAATTTTCCAATAGATGTGTTCTGGCATTTAATTTAGTGAAAACAATCCGGATAACTCCGTTAAACATGTTGCCTTTTAACAGGGTGAAAGCAAGCGCGGTAGTAGCATGATCTTCCGGAAGGTGACTGGTCCAAAAGTTCCTAACAAAGCTGACACATCAGACTGGGCACCCCCTGTAAAAATGTATCGAACTCATATGGAGAAAGCCGACAATTGGCACCAGAAAAGCACGTCCATGCAGTTGATGTCGCGTCATACTTCGGGATTGCGCTTTGTTTTTTGAAGGATTGCATAGTGTACTTTGTTTCATGCTGGATGTTGTGAAAAGCATGAATCAGTGGCGTTACAATAACATGCGGAGTGGACATGACTTATTGCTGTACGGCCGTAGCAATTTTATTTCGCTCATAAGGCTTTTCCAAAAACAGGTTGTTTTGTTATAGGTATTTGTGTGTTCATTTACTGAGAATCTACGCATTAAATTAATCATTATCGTGTGATTTAGGGAACTGAAATCCGGGACGATTGTATTTGATTTAAAACAAACCATTTGCTGTCGAGTGTGGAATACTTGCTATGAATCAGTTCTGTTTTCTTTTAATTTAATAATTTCAGAGAATTTTTAAGTTCATAGACGTGCCGTGCCGCGTTCGTGGCACTGGTATAAAACTTAACTTGTACATAACTCCATGTGCGGTCGGAATTGTTGATTGGGTTTGTTGAAGTTTCTACCCAGTCGCTTAACGCAGTGGCGTAACCTATCTGTTTGTGATGCAACGAACCAGTGCACGTCAAACGAGCAATATGTACAGAGAATTATAGGATGACTGGGTTTGTAAATTAAAGGAAGTGGGCAGTGCAACTTGTACATGCACCAAACGTATTCATCCTGTGAAGGCGCAAAATACTCGTATGTCACGTCCGAAGTAATGGTGGACTTGCCGATCCCGGCGTCAGCGCAGCATCGAGTAACAAACGTACGTGAAACACTCGCCGGTTTAGAGTAATTACCAATCAAAACAATGACAGATAACGTAACAGCATCGGAGCGATGACCAGCTCGAATCGCACTGTTTGCTCTGCTTTCTGTCGGCAAATATTGCGGTAAATATTAATACACCCTTGAAAGGAATACGTATTCTTGCAGAGCGAGATTAAGCCCTCCTAAAGGTATAGGAATCAGCAATGCGCGTAACTATCTGAAGATAGCAGCATTGGATCATTTGCATATATCTGTTCATTGCGCAGTTTCAGGAATTCTCTACGAGTTTTTTTACGCAGCGCAACTAGTATGTTTTGCCTATTCAAAGGTCATGAGTCACATTTGCGACCTTATGTCGGATAACACAGTACTGACTGTAAAATAAGTGTGGATGTAGTCTTACCGCTGTCGCGGTAATATTCTAATCAGTAGCGAAGTATGCGCAATGATAACGCCGTTTACCGATACTGAATGGCACTTGCCCAGTGTATTTAAATGCAAGCAAGTTGAATTAACAACTATTGAAAGGCAACATCTTAATAATAGGTATGTTTAATTTGGCTGGTTCGGTCGAAATGCTTCTGACAAATTAAAACGAAAATTTAATATTATTAAACTAAAGTCGCTTAATGGCAGCACGAGATTACGAGCACGACTACAAGGTGTTCTTCAGAAAGTATTGTATGGCAATGTAAGCCAACACTACGTAATATAAATATACAGTACCATATCGGTGCCAAAAGTTACATAAATCGTCATGGATTTATGAAAACATCTGCCACTTGATGTGATGGACACTGAATTCCAATTGAGTTTTTCAACATCAGTTGTCATGACGTGCAATTCATTCTTCACCGTCATTGAGATGTTGCACCTCGGGCCACATTTTGCCTGCGTCACTGAATGCTTTATGTATGGAAATTTTGGTTAGAGAAAATTAAAGCTTATTATTTCCCATTACGGGTTAATGACAATGATTTTTGCCGGCATCCCAAAGGGCACATTCCTTGTTTTTCGTTCCAGAAATAAACACACGCTCAACTATTCTTAGGGGTCATGGCACAGTGGCCGCTAAAATATTTATTCCGCATCCGCTGCAAATTAAGTGCAAGAGCATTATACAGAGGCCATGTTGAATACGAACAAACAGCAATAGTAATGCAAAGAAGTGAAACGACAAATAACAGAATTTCCAAACAAGCACGGTCATATAAATTCTTTCAACAGTAATATAGTATTTTGTATTGCGGAATAACTCCACAAACGAATGAAAGCATGGGTGTGCAGATATAAATTCACATCCGTGGCTGCTGCTCTGGAAACACAGAGTCACCTGTACTCATATTTTTTCGGCATTGCTCAGCGCCGTCCGAGGCCGACATACCGGCCAACGTATATGGGTTCAAATGCTCCGCCGCGCGTATTAGGACGTCCCTGACCAGATAAGATTTGCGGATGCATAACCGGCATATCTTCCTCGGAAAAGATTGTCCCACTGCTTTCACCACCGGCAGCCACCCCGGCGGCAGGCGTGACCTTTTTCGTTACTACCGAATAAACAGGACGCATGAATCTCCCGCGAGACACTGATCCAGCAGCAGGTTGTTTGTCATTCTCACCAAAGACATCCTTGAAATTGGTCAACAACTGGCTGCTCCAGTAGGGCGCCATGCGTTTGCCTAGGCCGATGTATTTGTACGTTGGACTGACTTTAATCCGCGGATCTCTTTTACCCAGTCCGATCCATTTGTAGTTCTGTCCGAATTTTGACCGCGTCCCGCCTTCGGAGTCTCGTTTGCCTAAACCGATCCATTTGTAGTTCTGGCCGAACTTAGGCCTGAGGCTGCCATCGACTTCGCGCTTTCCCATGTCGCGATCGGCGGGAATTGTGTCCGCAAGTTCACTGACTGCGTCGTTGTCGGCATTGCTGGCTTCCGATAATGCGTCGGCAGCGGGCAGAAACTCAGTTTCCGGCTCTATACGGAAATCAAAGCATGTAAAAAATCTAGCTTGAAAGGAATCCAGGGTATACACAACAGTGATATGATGACTGATATTAGCTAAATTAATGTGCTTCGTGTAAACGATGCAACAACATTAGAAGCATCTATATGTATTTCTCCGATCTTCCACATCATATACATAAAATCATGGTAATTGAAAAGTAAATAAAGCCGGAAAGAAGTTCCAAAAAAAAACTTTATGTAATTTAAATTACTTACTGTATTAAATACACATTTACCGTGCTTTTTAACGGAAGCACTAATTTTTTTCACGTTCAATGTTTAACGTTCACGAGTCAAATGCAGAGTCGAGTAGACACTGGCCATGGGAATCCAATACGTATATCGTGAAATCTAAGTTAGGTCAGCTCTAATGCACATAATTTAACTCTAGAGCGTAGAGAATGCGCTCTGGATGAAAGTCACATACAATTTTGGGATTACAAGTGCATCAAAGTAATTTTAGATAATGCCTGCTGCATAGATAACTAGCAGCGCAACACTTCTCCCGCGAATGCAAACTTTCAGTTATAGCACAAACACAAAGGCAGCTTAACAAAATTCAGCCAACACAAATTACCTGATGACGAATTTTGAAGGGCACCGGCAGTAGCACACCACATGTATAAAAGGATTAACCAGGGCAGGGAGCGTTTGTGGAGAAAGGTCATTATGCTATGAGACGATCTTCCGCCTGCTGCTTGAAGATGTAATATGTATGTACAGATGGGGTGCAGACAGGAAAAGCGTGAGGCGGCTGCTCGATGATCTTGTACAAATGTGGTTACTAACAACTAGTTAACAAACCCTTCTGGAAACACAGTGTTTAAATTGTGTTAACACAAACGTTCAAAAGGCCTCTTCGCAGTGCGCAATATGCACACGGCGACTGATGGGCGAGGCCGGGCCGAAAAACAATCTGTCATGAAAGTGACGTTACAAGAACATGTCCCGGAAACTCTTCGATAGGTCCTCTTGAGGGGCATATAGCCGCGGCCTGACGCTGCTGCTGCACCATCATTCTGTACGCCGTAGAAATGCCAGCGCTGGCCATTTGCCGGCACATACGTGTATACTGTATACTTAATACAACCAGCGTCAATTATCCCACTAGGTCTTCCATTATCTCCCGGCGCAGTACTTAGCACGAGGCAACGTACCATGGCCATACAATAGCAGCGCCAACAATGTCCATATACGCGTTGGTCTGTTCCTGAATCGTGATCAGCCGACAGATTTGTTGAGCGCATTGACTGTACACACTCGGCTATCTGGAGGGCCTGCTGGCGGCTGACTAATAGACCGGTCCGGTGCTTCTCGAGTCTGCAAAAACCACATTGAATGCTCATTACCTTCATTAATCCACCGGGAAAAACTATTAGTTAACTAGCATTTTGCCGCTTGGTTAGCCAATGACTTTCTAATGGCTCTCCAAGGATACACGTTGGGAGCTGTGTAATCATATTGTGCCGATGACGACAGCGCCTGGCTGATCATGAGACAAAGCCGCTGCTGCACGGAAGTCGACGTCGTCGCACCATCACCGCTGCATTTGAAACATTGGAAACCATCATAGAAGATTTTTTGGCGCTTTGATTTGAATTGCAATTACACATATCAACAATTTTAGGCACGATAATTGAGTCTAACATTAAGAAATCAAACTCTGTGATATCTTTGCTTCCAGATTTTGTTAATTTGTCATAACAATAATTATATGCTTCGAAATGTGCAGACAAAGAAAAGATTAATTACAATCCAGCTAAGTTAAAATTAGAGCTTTAACGGAAGTAAAGTATTTAAAGTATTTAATAAGCAGCCCTTTGCAAAACAGTTTGCATTTTATGGGCAATAACGAGCATGCTGCATTTTCCGTATAAGCTCTTCACATATCGGTAATTTCCTATCGGCGATGCCTATATAGTTATTCTTGATCCGCTTGAAATCAGTAAGTAAAAAACGCGCGCGGTTTGCTAATAATTCTGAAAAGTTTGAATTGAGACGAGAAAGTTATGCTATAGCGCTGTTGGAAACATCTTGCCTTGAAACTACAAGTACAGAGTTATAGTATGCCTGGCATTGCCTGCATACATTTATTATACAGCTACAAGTAATTTTCACCGTAAATAATAAAAACAGCTTAAGTGAGCACTGTTCATCGTTTAAATAGGTATCCGGTACTAAACCGTCGAACGGAAAAGGAAGATATGATGAAGGAGGTGTACAGCTACATAATTCTACAACCTACGTACAGTACATAATCAGATCTCATTGTCAGTGTAATATCTTTATTGATACACGGTAGATTTTTGTAGCACTGTACATGCGCATGCTGGTTTCGATACTGAATATTGTAGAAGTATCGATAAAATAAGGCGTTTTTGCATCCCCATGTTTACTGTCATATTAATATTGATGTACATGTAGTTTATTTGGTAAAATCTCTGTTACAAAGTGAATTCCAATTAAAACGCTTTGTTATGGATTCGGCATGCTGATAAATTGGAACGAATGCAATGGTACACTAATGTGTAAATATTATTAAACTATCTGGTGCCCTGGGACAACGAGAATCATGCAATTGTCAAAACGATTCAAGAATTTGTAGCTACGCATAATGTCACATTTCATTATGGTTTGTTAGCCCGGGCCAACTGTTAGGTATCGCCCATGGAGTTGTGGCGCATACTGCCCAGTCGCATTCGGGAGTGCTCACTAGCTGGGCCACTGTTTCCATGACTGTTAACGGTGAAATTCCCGGAAACGATAGCGGTTCCGCGTGTATTGCCAATCCCTTCAGTCGGGGCCACGGACTTCTTCGTCAATCCGAGGACATTCCGGTAACCATCGCGGAATTTCTCGTTCGTCATGCCATAGAGAATAGGATTGACGGCCGAGTTTCCATGCGCCATCACGATAGCCAGCACGTACAGCCAGCCGGGAATGGGCGAAGGCTGATGCGCCAGAACAAACAGAGCAAAAAACAACCTACACCATTAAAAAACATCAATTGGTCAACTATGTATAATAACGAATTCGCAAAATAGTCAGACAGCTGTTTATAATCATAAGCCGGCATTGCTTTACAACATTTCATTGTAAGTTTGTAAAGGTCACACTGGCCGGAGAACTGACCAGCAAATCAAAAAGACCAGAAAGGCAGCAAAGAGAGTTTTCGCCAGCTTGACGTCATCCTGTGTGAAACCAGGGCGCTTGGGACGCCGCAGTCGGTGCTCAGTGGCGGTTGCCTTTTCGGCATCGGGAGGTGACTTTTCGGGAAAGGAATCTCGTCGTTCGGTGGGGTGACCTTGGGATGCGTTGGCAGCAGGCGCGGTTAGAACTGCCTGCTGATGCTGACGCAGCTGGGTTTTGACGCTGCGGACTTTCAAAAAGATGCAGGTGTAGCCGTAGAGGACGCCCACCAACGGTACCAGTACGCCCATAATGACTGGATTGAAGCAAAAGCAGATTTATTAATTCGTCTGATCCTAGAAATCAGTACGTCCGATTTGCGCATAATGGTCTTCAAAACTTACTGTAAAATATCGCGTACGAATGGGTGACTCTGAAATAAAACCAAAAATTAACATCCTATAACTTGATTAAAAACAACCCCATTTATTTCATCGGTAAGGAGCTTACATATCAAAGGTGCAGAGGTAATAATCCGCATTAAAGCGATTTTTTCCCCAACCTAAAACGTTCTTGCTCAATCAGTAATTAGGTAAGGGGTTTGATTTTACATGAATATATCCATAGGTTTACCGAATAGGTACTGGATGTCTGTGAAGTATTTGTTATACAAACAGTACGAATACGTAGTTCTGTTTGTTACGATACGCAATCAATAGTGCGGTATTATCCTTATCAATAAAGTCATATTGCTAATTTTCTCGCTTTACCAAGGTGATTAGGGATATGAAATAGGTGAGCTCCAATCCAAATGCACACACAGCAAAGAATAGAGTTTCGAAAAGTGAAGATTCGGTTGTAGAGATGTGGCTTGCATATCAAAACGTATCTGGAAATATTTGGATGTTACATAAATATGTAGTATTAGTGTATAACATATGTAGAGTTTTATATATCTAACTAACGAGAAAATAATGCAGGAACTCATATGCCAGGTGCAACAATTTTAATCCTTATACAGCTGAAAATTTTAGCTCCGATTAGTTTCAAGTTTTCAAAATTAGGTTTTATTAAGTACGAGCAACATGTTAGGAATTAGATAATGAAATGTGTCTTCAGCAATAATATTATTAAGGCACATCATCAAGTAATTCACTCCGAAAAAATATCCTCTTCAAATGACAAACTGTGTTGAATTAGCTTATAACTGTTCAATTATCTTCGTATAAAAATTTATACAAAAACTTTCATACGTATTGGGCAACAGATCAAACTGAAAGCGAGTCTTTTACGTTGGCTAAAGATGATTGTTTAGTTTACAAGTTAGTACAAATCAGACAGCGTGTGGAGGTGCGCTACCAACACAAAAAAGTGGGAATGCCCCATGATTTGCGACTGAATTTAATGCGGAAACGTAATACAGCTAATTGTAAAGTAAGCAAATGCATCGATCAAATATCTGTACAATAAGTAACTACTGGAGTACGGTAACACAAAAACTTTACGATATACAACTTAAAAACTTTCAGCTAATACACTGAATCAGACTTATGAAACCCGGAATAAAATGCCGAGAATGGCATTAAAGGTGTTTTAATTTTTTGATAAGCAAGCTGAGGCGTGCCTGGCGTTAAAGGGTGACTGGTCAAGACTCAAGAGGTCCTCTATTTCCGGTTGGCCAGGTCAACGTGTGCATAAGAGTTTTCGCACCGTTCACTGCATTAAAACCGCGGACCTGGAGCTTGCATGAAATCGATTTAATTTAAAAACGAACGGCAAAAGAAAGCAGACCCCCAACACCAAACCAAAATTTAACGTAATAATAACTAAAGTCACTGCTAAACACCGCAAAACATACCTTGTACTGCTTGCAAACCTAACACAGTTATGGGATAACCCATACGCAGAAATGCGGAATCTAACTTTGCATCATAGCAATCACCGAACTCGAAACCCTAAATGATTATATTAAAATACATAAAACACCATGAAAACCATTTCGCTTGGAAACTGCTGACAAAGCTTCAGTGCACTGATTCGAACTATGGAATTCTATAAATTTTTTGCTGCTGTATGTCTGAATTCGCTTGTTGTTTAATAAGAGCTGAAGGTCATCGTGATAAAATATCGCTTACTCAGAATGTACACGTAGTGTTACTTTTACAAATTTACGCATTCTTAGTTTTGCATAGAACATTACAAATTCACAACATTCTGCTTCGCGTATGACTCTACAATTGAATTATTTCAATAACGTTTTTAAAAGATCCACATTATAGTTATATAGCCATACGTTATATAGATAATACAGTCCTTGCAATCAGGCTGTCTTTTAGTTTGTACTACCAGTAGTTCCTGCATACGATAATGCGCCGAGAAGAAAAATTCACTCACCTGTTTAAACTGATGGCACACCTAAAATTATTGCAAGAAGACATCAATACCGGCATGACTTTAACGCACAGTTGCGGCTAATTTGTGCAATTATGTACACGCGGTGATGTTGCATGTATAATGCACCATATTTAAAACACAATCAGTAATTATTTTAGGCTGAAATATACCACTTTCTTAGAAAATATAACGACGATGAAGGTTTGCACAATTTCGATTTAATTATGGAGTATAAACTGTGGTTTGCGACTTACATATTCCACATGGACGACATACACGCTGGAGCGCAGAAGCTCGCGATCCAGTCACATAAAACGCTGTTGCTGATGAGAACCTTACGGCCAGCTACCGCACCTGTGCAAGATCAGAACAGTTAAGCTGCTCAAAATACGCATTCTAATGTTTCTGGGATAAATAAAACAGGATCACTGCAACCCCTCATTTATTTGTAAGCTCTATTATAATCGCAACCAAATTTTGCAATATAAAGGATTCGTAATAATGAATGTATGACTGACACTAGACAATGAACTGTTGAGAGTCATTCGAACAACATAAAACGTTAAATTTGTTTGCTATTCCTTGTTGCTACATTGTTTATAGCAGCAGATGTTTTCATCTACATTAGATAGATGTTTTGCCTATAAGTTCATTTAAAGTACAAAACGAAATCCATTAGCAAATTTCAGTTTTCATTTCGTTTTCGGAGAAAGCCTGGGTTGGTCTTGACTTCAGTTTTCAGAACCCGATTTCTTTATAATGCGTCTTTGGCCTAAATCGTTGATTAAAACACTGAACAATCCCTTGGAGAAGTAATTAAGTTACGCCGTACAGCTGACGTACGTTTCCTTCACGAAAGGAAACCTTTAAAATTGTCGGCAAAATTTTTGCTCTATGAGCATAGTCTAGGTGCTACACGTACATACTGCATATGCCGGAAAAATTACAGCATCACGAATTCATTGCAGACAGTCACGCATTAATTTATTGTTGACCTTTTCTCAGTGCTCCTACTGCAGAAATATGTCATCTTTTCCTTATACAGAAATCGTAAAACAACCTTCAACGAACAATCGGCTGTTATGGCTAGGAGTTCGCCCATATGAGTTTTGTACTTTTAATCTAATTTTTTTGCGTTGATAAAACAAATTAACAATTTGTTGTCGTAATAAATTGTCATCCTTACCAACAACATTGAAGGGATCAATAAATGCGGTGACCACGATGTCTGCCAGTGCCAGATTAACCACAAACACATTGCCACTGGTTCGCAAAGGCTGGAATGCGACATAATAATGTAATAAAAATAACACCATGTTTTGTTAGATAGGTACTTACACACAGTCCTAACAAAGATTAGCGCCTATAAAATTTTGCTTACCTTTACCAAGCAAACCGCCACCACAATCTGCAAAAGACATACAGTACTCCACATAGTTATTCGTTCGTTCGTTATACAACTTTCGAGACGGCCTTACCAAAAGGTTACCCAGAGTGCCAATAACTGCCGCAGCTCCAATAACTATAGCAGTTACAATCATCCACCCTACAAATTATCTAACCGTCAGATTATTCCCTTTTCTGTAAGCTTCACAATTCGGTCCATTTTTCTACAGTTTATCCTTACCGAAGTTATGCTCTAGGTAGAGATAAGGTTCCTCTTCCGGCATATTCTGACCGGACAGATTTCCACTGCCAGAAAAGCTGGTGTTCACAACTTGATCAGAGAAGTTGGCGATTTTTTGCGGGTTCGGTGACCCCCACATATGTGGAACTGCCAGCATAGTTCAGAAAAAGCCGTACCGGGCGCCAGTCATTAATTTTAAAATAACTGTACGAGTAAATCGAAATGAAGAAACTGTCTGTTAGAGAAAATAACTCGCAATTAGCTACATCGTCGGCATGCAACGTCCACAAGTAAAGTCGAGATGACTACATTGTGTGTGTATAAGTACAACGGCGCGAGAATCCGGCTTGCGCAACACAAAGCATAAGCCGCTTACCTAATTATGGGAATTAACCTGGATATTTCGGTCGTTTGATTAGAAGATCAAAGCTCAATATGAATTTGCTCATATCCCTGCTTTCGTGGGTATACACCGGTAGTATTTTGACAATTTGTGCTATATATTGTATAAGTACTGCATGCGTATAATGTACGAAGCTCGTGTAAATCTCACGTGCGCCATATACAAGGCAATATTCTGTACTGTACAGGCCCCAAACAATGTATGGAGTCGCTTCCCGAACAACAACATATCTGGAATGTTTTTGTATGTGCCGTGAACTACACGACAGGTGATCCCTAATCCCTGGCCCAACAGTCAGTTTGTTGTCGTACGATTAGCCATTTTTGGAGTAGCTGTGCGACCGGTCGTTGCAAAGTCAAAGTGCCCTTCAGCAGAAATCCGTGGATAATGGGGAAAAGGATTATTTTACCAGCCTTCGTCTTTAACTGTATTACCCACGAAAAGTTCTCTTTCCAGATGACCACATCCGGGATGAATCCGTGTGTTTTTCGAATTTCAATTTAAAATTTAATAACTCCTTAGGCTAAGCGATGAAAAGATCGATGATGAGATTATAGTGCTAAGGGCGCTTCTTCCCGGCATGGAAAAAACCGCTCCGAGAAATGAATAATTGCACCCTGTTAATATTCGCAAACGAGCGCTGTAGTATGAGATCTTACAGAAAAAAAATATAAATGATAGTGTAGCGCTGAACAATGGATTCCATAAAATGCTAGGATTGATACGATTATTCACATGAACATACGTTGAGTTTGCCTAGAACTACAGACACAGTTATTATGTCCGTTTATTATGACTGTTATTAGGTTTACTGTATATTAAGGTTGGTACAAAGAAAGCTCATAATCGTTGAGGCTATATTTATAGATTTATACACCTGTATCTGCGAATGCAGAACGCTTTATGTGAGCCATCTACATATATTATCGGCTCCGATCATACTCGTATATACCATTCTACTAATGATAATTTCTGTAATTATCCGTTTTAGTTGGAACAAGCTAATAAAAGCAAGCAACCACAACTTAAATTAAATATAAATTTTCCCTTTCCCGGCTTGTTCGCAGAATTCCTACAAAACAAACAGGTACAGTCTCCATTAAGAACGATTAGAATATTATGATTTTCTTTAAAAAAATACCTGAAATCTTTATATTTAACTCCACAACAGCAACAAACGTTATCAATATCAGCGGTACGTCATTACGAAGATTAGTCTTCAGTGATGACGATGAATATATAAAAGACATAAGTAACTCTTTCCGAAGACTATGTACGGCTTTCTGTATTGATTTCTAACAAATCACCAGCGTGCCAAAAAAAGATTTAATCGGGAATGTAAAAGTTCGCCCGAGGCATATCAAACATTATAACGCGTGCACTGCTCCTGTCGCATCCACTGTTTAAACAGCAGCTAACAACTTCGTGCACCAAGGACAGAAAACAAGCAACGTTTAGTGTTTATGGATGCGTGGTTTACAGCTAAACGTTAGCAAATTAGTATAGTTAAACAGGAGTATCCAAGTGCTCAGCACGGCGGACGATGCTGATCATGAGCTGCATTGCCAATGGAGGGCCTTGCAGCATGTAATTAAAAACCTCGCACTGATTAGTAAAATACGGAATAAAATCGTTAACGAAAAAATAGAAGGTCTTTACGTAAAGGGAACCTTATTGAAAAACATGGATTTAGGGCCGGACTTGTTGTATGGGCATAGCCTCGCCCGCTGCGTGATACAACGGAAAACGGTGTATAGCCGAGTCACACACAGTGTTCTCCTGGCGGATGTTGATGGCCATTAGGCGTTAATGTGCAGTCGACGAGCGACTGCCCCCGCCAGAAAGGATGCCTGAACTGGGATTTGGGGAAATGATTTTCTCCACGCTTGCCGCTATGGCGTTGTTGACGTCGATGTGGATGGACTGTTGGTGGTGCTTCCCGCCAGCGCCAGCTTCTGCATGCGGCGAATCACGGCGGCGGCATTGTAGGCTTGCTGTAAAATCAAAATAATCAATTAGCACAATTGCCGCTGCCTTGTGTTACAGCTGCCAGCTGTCAGGCTTCGTCATATCATTTAAGCAACCGCTGCGACAAGAATTATCTTAGATATACATCATATATGTAAACAACTAGCTGCGCAACTGCTTTAAAATTCATTTGCAACTAATGATGAATCTGAAAGACGAAAATATAAATAAATAACTGCCGGGCACGAGCTGTATGATTCCTTAAAGCGTTATGTAAATCCAGCGAAATTGTTTCCATTCGTCTGTTGAAAATTCCTACTTGCTTAATTCTTTCTCTCTTCTTGCGTGCACATTTTATCGTCCGTTTGATTTAGTTTGCAGACTCCGCACTTTTCATTTCATAAAATATATAATCCGTCATTTTTCAGACATTTCAGCAATTCCCATCGAAAACAAAAGCAGTAAACATTCCTAAGGTTATTCATTACCGCAACAGTCCAAAGTGCTGCTCTGTTACATTTTACATTTAATATATCTCTGTATCTTTTGCTGCCATTTGTGCGCCACTTTAAACTCACCCTCCATTTGGTTTTGGCGGCAAAATTCTTTCGAAGCTGTTCCGATATACGACCATGAATATTCTTCGTGCCGGCTTCATTGCCAGAAATCCAAGGATGAGATAGTGCTTCCTCGCATGTTATTCTTTCGCTGGGGTCCACACACATTAAGTGCCGGATAAAATCCTTTGCTGCTTCTGATATGTCATCCCAGTAAGGAGAATCAAATTCATATTCTCCTTTCATAATTTGAGCGAATAAATTGGCATCGTTCTACAATGAATGGTACGAGTATTTCAAATAATGTACTTTTCTGATATCGCAAAAACTTCTATCGCAAAAACGAAGTTCTTTCGTCGTCACGAATCCTGCATAAACAGGAATAACTCCATAGGCAAAAATAATGTTGAAAATACGAATAACCATAAAAATTTATAAATTAGGCTAGACCGTCGTATCCAAAGCATAGTCTAATGAGTACTGGAAATCGTATTGTAGGTGAAGCGGACGTTGTCACTTTGGCACGTATTTAATTAAAATCACTGACGTCTATACATACTTACTTAACTGCAACTAAACATCACAATCTAAACCGTATTGTTCAGTTAATAGGCTTGTCGGCACGTATTAGTACCACTTTTATACACCTAACACATAAATTTTCATGACGGATAATCAAATCCGCTGTAGGAAGGATCAGCAAGTACTTCATCTGATTTCTGCCACGCTCACGTCTCATACCTCGTCGTAAAAAGGGGGATATCCGCACAACAATATGTAGGAAATCACTCCTATGCTCCATACGTCAACAGCTTTTCCATATGGTCGCTGTGCAAGTACCTCCGGGGCTAAAAAGGACACACAGCATAATGCAGAAGAAATCCTAAGCGATCAAATGAAAAGAAGCGTATTAGCACTTCCGGTGCTGTGCATTGAGCCAGGAATAATGTGTAATTTGACGAAATCATTCGTTCCGATGTTCTTTAGTGTCACACCAGACAGAAAAATGACATACAGAGCGTATCCCATTAGATTCTTGTTTGCAGATTTACCATAGACTGAAGTGCTATTCTGGTGCGCTCGACTAGGATTATGTTTAACAGGCTCCCGACACAGCCCTCCCATAGATTTTCTTTGCAGATGCAACGTCATGTAGCGATAATCTTTGAGTTTGTATTCAATACACCATCATAAAACATACGTTACGAAGCCAATTAGTCTACGTAGTTTTTTCCGATACTTGATCGGTAATGATGACCTTTACTCTAGCGCACCGGTGCGTCTTTGTTTGTCTTCAGTACTAATAACTATGAGTAGCGGTTCAAGCTCATTTTAGCGCACAACAGCAAAAAAAGTATTAACTAAATTTGTGTATTAATACTACCATAATAATCTTCTGAAATCCGATTCGACATCGATCTCTGCGGTAGAAGCAATAAAGCTTTAATTTACTGTCATTGACAGCACTAAAAACTTCAACAGCAACTTCAATCTATTATCTAATTGCACTTAAACGCGCCATTAGGCCAAATTAACAAACCATGACGTTATAAATATTTCGGGTATGGCTGAGCCGTTATGACAAAGGTTTAAAATTCTGATAAGCGAAACGCAGTAAAATTCTATCTACTTCTGAACGGGATAAACTTCCGTAAAAAGGCTTGGTGTGAACGACTGCTTACAGAAATAGTGCAACATGTAGCGCCTCGTGTAATACTGAAAACAGAGCTATCACAGCAAAATGCCTACAAACGGTAGCAAACTCTTGCAGGCGATAAGCCTAGAAACCGCTTACCCACATATCCCGGAGTCCCGCAAGCCGTAGCCATAATGCTACCACTGCCTTCAATTTTAGATAAACCAAAATCGCTGATCATGATTTTGGAATCTTCGTCCGGGCTGAAGTAAAGTAGGTTTTCCGGCTGCATAACACAGTAAAACATTCAAAGTCCGGTCCAGCTGACAATCACTATCCAAGTGCATGTGCAGTTAGCTTACTTTCAAGTCCCGGTGGACAACCTAACGACACACGGGACACACGGTGTAATCATTGCATACATGTACATAAAAACATGGCGTGCCACAAAAAGCAGCTTTGATTCTCACCTGCTGTTGATGCATGAAATCAACGGCGAGGAGGATTTGTTTTATTAAACGACTGGCATCACGCTCAGTGTAGCTTCCCTTTTCCACGATGCGATCAAAAAGTTCACCACCGGTCACCCTGAAATTCCGCTTTAATTTTGTACAAGCGCACAGTTAACAAGTTTTGGAAGCATAAAAATTACGGGAGCAATTATGTATTCAAGTACCCAAGCAGAACCGATCTGTAAAATACGGTATTATTGTACACTTATGCAGTACAGTATAACTAACAGAAGATGCACATCCGGTCCAAAGATATGCACGAAACTGCATAGTAGCAGTGCGAAATACGTAATCACAATACAACATTCGCACTTACAGCTCCATTACAAGATACACATGATTGGAATCCTCATAGGTATCAAACAGTTGGACAATGTTCGGGTGTTTTAATCTAAAAATGCAATAACACCGTAATAATTACAAAGTTGCAAAAATATCCCAGTGCGAAGTAGATGGCAATGCTCTACATTTCGTTAACAATAAAAAGCTAAACATAAATTTCATGTCTTAAATAACAGCGACATTATACTAGTACCAGAATTACACAGTAAAATAACATCTACGTTCCTGTAAAGCGTGCACTCACATACCGTTTTAAAACTTTGATCTCATTTTCTAAAGATTCTTCCTTGCCCTTAAGTGCGCGCCGATCAATGCACTTGATAGCAACGTGATCTTTCAGCATCTCGTTCATGTGGTCCAAACTTGAAGTCTTTTTGTTTTTGAAATCCTCTCGACTGGATGCCAGAATGTTGGACGGAGAACGATTCAATGCCAGATTAAGCACGGCATCCTTTTTGTAATCCGGATTGAAAGTATGCTCACCAATTAATGGACGTCGTTGCGCAAGAACAACTTTGCTAAAGGCCCCACTGTACAGCACAATAATCCCAGTTTTACTTCAATTACCACAGGATGTTTTCATATTATTGAACTGCTAGCATTCAGATGGTAGTCAACGTGTCTAAATATAAACCTATATCCACGATGTCATTTATTTCTTCCTGCAGCGAACTGATTATGACTACAGAGCCGGCTATTGTCGTAACTTGCAGGCGACGTTAATGGACGCCGACCATTTGCATAACCACTGCATGCAACCAGTATGCAGCTCTTCACTTAGTTTCCGGTATCTTATGAATTGTTTTCAAATTCCTGCTTTCAGCAGCGCTATCTGGAATAAACAATTTTCAACAAATCTCGTTGCGTATTTTACTGGAATCGAGACATTTATATAAAGCAATAACAGTTAGGACATATTTAAGAGAGACACTACTTAATAAATGCTGAGTGAAACCGGTATTAACCGGTAAGAGATGCCATGCCATCATGCAATAAGCTTATTAGACCTAATTAATCTTTGTAATTCAGTTAGAGATACCGATTGCACAATAAAGACATTGTATTACACCTAGATACGGTTTTTTGTTAGTCCATCTAAACTGCCGAATTATAACACAGACTGTCTTTCTAACCTTGCACGGTTTATTCTCCCATATTTACCGGGTTCCATAGCCAAAGAGGTATGTACCCACAACGTACGGGATATTTTTGCGTCATCAAACAACAAATTTTAACAGAACACATGTTGGATCAACTGGTTATCGATAAATCGATCCGGTACATGCCCAGCATCGGCTGCAGGGAAGCGAATAACGGTTTACGGTAGGTAGGAGATTTTCTGGATAACAGTGGCGCATAGCTGCACTATAGCTCATAAGGCGAAATGAGAGGGATTGGTCAATCAGCACATTTTCATATTGCCGCATCAAGCCAGCCAAGATGACAGATGGGATTTCATGTCATATATTCAGTTACCCTACGACTATTCGCCCCCAACATACTTTTCCGTAAATGATAGCTCTTACTTGAACATATAATTCCAAAATCTACATTTACAAACCTATCAATATCAATACAGTTTGGCTTCTCACGCGCCGTGTGTTGGCTGGCTCAAGAAAGGTCTTTTGCCTATCTTACGGTTAACGAGGTCTGTGGCAAACGACAACTTGAATCAAGTGCTAACGAACCAAATAATAAACAGTACCGCCAATTTCACACAACAAAAATTCTATGCCTAGAACAAATTAATTATACAGCAAGACATTGCGATTTACATTCATTAACAAGTCAACGGTTATTACATTGCTAATTTAAATAAATGGAGGATGCGGTAGCCTACAGTACATAATTATAATTTATAGATAGCAGAACAGGATTTTAACTTACGTTCCGATAACGTCCTTGAAAACGAAATGCTCGAAAATGGACACTTTCTGGTGGACGCTGGCTCGGCGCGGCGGCTTTTCTGGCTCACCAAGAAGTCTGTCGGAATCCGTCTGCGTTTCCGTTAAACCATTATAGGCTGGTTTTTGATTATTAACCTTGACAGCGGTATCCATACTATTGTTCACGGGATAATGCACCTTGTCGGGCAAGCTGCGTGTGCTGGAATCGTGGATATAATGGTAGGATGATATGGGGGATGCAGTAGTGGCTTCGGTGTGGATGAATTCCTTTCCCGCGGAATTATTCATGATACGATACGATAAACAATATGGCCGACCATACTTGGGAAAGATATTCTACGTAGTGGTAATACCAGGCCATTAATTATTACAGATGATTCCATCCGTAGAAAACAGACAATAAATAAGTTAATGGCGAAATGTATGGGCGAAGTTAATCCAATGTTGTACGGAGTTACAACCTGGATCCGCTTAACGCCACTCGAACGCTAAAGACAATAATTTCACTTAATCGGAAGAACAAATTCCGAGTGCACCCGTATTACATACCCGTAAAACGCGCAGCTTGATAGTGGCTGAATGAATAAATACTGTTTGTACAATGTATGCAGAGGTTTGAATTCCAAGATGATCGGAGATTTGAGATTCTACACCCAAGATCAAATCTCACAACAGGAAGTGTGGATAATATGCAGCACGATCACGCTTGTTGTCGGAAAAGAAGCAGGGAGAGAAAAGCAGAATCAGGGATTTCATGAATGAAGCGTCTTGATTCACTGTGGCGATCCGCTATCATAAAAATATAGCCGCGTTGTACCGTTGTACACCGTCCACTGCGCAGTTGTACTGTATACCAAGTATCGTACAACAAATGACCACGAAAGTCAACCGTCGGTTGCGTGATATTGTGGTTCTCCTGTTTTGTTCCCGTGTTCTATAGGCAGCATAATCAGCAAATTTATCCGACGCCAGAACGACAAAATGAATTGGATCAATCAATAATAACGGATGGAACGATACGGCATGGAGATCGGCAACGATGACAGGATTCAGTAAGTTGCAGCTGCCGTGATACATATTCTCAACACCCACGGCTGTTACTTAGCCTGTCAAATTATATTGCTGGGGTATTGCGCTTGCGAAAAAGCCGGGCGCCCGGCCTTTCAGGCCAAATGCCGATCCAGAGGGGCTTCCCAGGAATTGCTGATTTGTAAAGCCCAAGTGACTACTTAGAAACTATGGTTTCCATGTCAGAAAAAATTGTTCAGAATCAAATCATTTGATCGAAGCTTTACTTTTGCAGCATGTGTGTCTATCGCTGTGCTGACAAATTTACGTCGGTGAGTTTTTTTGGCTCTACCGCCGACATAAATCAACATTGTGGATTGTAATCCTGCTGTGCACGATCGTGATAAATCACGATTATACCGCATGGAAAGATATATTTCTTGTAAATTATATTAACGACGTACTTGTCATATTACGGGCTATGGGTGCTAGTATTGTAGTAGTATACAGATAGTGGTTATGGAATTTTGTGCTATAAACAATAAAGCATTCCCTCTCGTCTGGTTGATGGGATACACAGGATTAAGACATACTGCTTTACATATTTTTTTACCTGTTTGGTATGCCCAAAATCTTTGCTATGGAGGTGAGGACTTAGCAAGTTAGCATAAGTTTTAATGGTCAATAAGCTGATTAAATTGTGATTAACTGTAACAGAAAGGAAGGCTTTAATATGTCGAGGTTTTAGCTACAGTATCTCAAATATTTGCTTACCATTTCTCAAAACACCAAGAAAATTCGCTTGTCCGAAGAATCTATATATTCAACATACTCTACAAATGCGGCAGAAATCTGTAGTAACGCTTTGCGTACTGGTATATTGTTACCAGGTATTCGACGTGCAAATTTACACAGATGCACAGTGTCCTGCATGCATTCTTTTTGCGAAAGTTGTTGTAATTTATCCAACGTCCATAAGTATCGAGAAATTGGTTTAGGACGTCCTTGTCATATAAAAATACAACAAAATTGTTCGTTAAAAGTTTTGCTTTATTCCTTGTTTTTTGCACCGATTACAATTAAATACGGAATTGTACGATTATGATTCATGAATCATTAGGTGTGCCGCATTACGTTACGGTGTTGCACCTTGTACATACATAAATAAGTGCATGTGCTTGATGGAAAACGTACCCTATAGGTAGAAAAACATAATGCAACATCAACTGCATTGCAGAAACCGGATTGCATTTCCTTGTATTTTTTACAAGTTTGTTTGAACTACTGGTTCTAATAAGTTGCGAAAATCCTGCTACCTACAATATACATGTCCGTACGATTAACGGGTGCGGAGAAATTCGATACCAGGCTGCATGCTGACTGCGGAAGTGCTATCTCATATTGTAGAATATCAGTCAGAAATAACCGCTCTTATTAGTAATGTCAGGCTGTGGTAAAAGTACAGCAGAGCGCTGACAAAATTAACTCAGGTACGGTTCTGCCTTTTTAAAAAATATTCTCTTTAAAAAATTTTTTCGGATCGGGACCATGTGTTCAGTACTAAAGTTCTGCATCTTTACCGGCCTGTTAACCTTTGTAATCCATATTATCAAAGCAGATGCGAAAGCAATTTATGCAGACCAGAGTGTTCTTTCGAATGAGAGCGGTCTTTCGAATGGGAATTTTTTAATTTATGGTTCCAGATACCGGAGAGGAATAACGGATTCGGTAAGGCGCAGGAGCAAGCGCGCTTATATCAATAAATTTTGGCGTTCAATGATAGTATAAGTATAATGATGCAATACTAACTCTAACAAGAAATATATGGCTCTTACAACGTTAATCGGTTTTGCACCAAACTCCTGTCAGAATTTCCAAAACTCATTGAGGGAGTATGGTTCGCTTTTCGTTTTTCTTTCAAAATTTATGGCGATGTATAATTGCATGTCGATATAAATATAATTTGCTTAATTGTTACCCCTCAAAGCTGTAGATAGACAAGGAAATGTACATTAAGCAAAAAATGGCTATTTGTGCATTCTATTAAAATTACTATTAATATTTGTTGATAATAGTGATTTTAGATTTTAATAGTGATTAAAATTTATTGATAATAGCGATTTTGGTTGATTTTTTAATTCTTGATTGTGCAGTGCCAGCCGTAGTGATACGAGTCATGACTGTTATGTCACGATGTAAACACGAATAAAGAGCAGTACTCAATTAATATTGTACCTAAAAATATACATATACATAAAATGTAAGCACATAAAATAAGTACTTCTTACACAAATATTTATGGTCTAAGAGTAAAGTACTGTAGATATACGTACATATGTGTGGACTACAGCGTCTAAACTAGTTCGATATATCTATACTTTGTGTGTGTGCATCTGTACGCTATTATGAGTTACTGTATTTAAATTAAAGATGCATAAGGTGTTATGGGTACACCGTACAATTCCCGAGCAGGAGAGCATTGAAAAAGTGTTTTTGTTATAAATCTCGTTCTTGGTACGTAGTTGGTACTTATATGGAATACTTATTTCAAGGTTATTAGAAAAAAGGTGGTTCAATGGATATAGCCGTTTATGTCATTTACAATCGTATAGAGCGCTTGCTTATTCTATCTCATCGCAAAGTGTATGCATCTATTGCACGCCAGTGTCATCGCCGTTTTCTAATTAGATGTAAGATCTTCACAATAATTCTTGTAATTAACGAAATTTGTAAATTACTGATAATAATTCGTTCGTATAAGTCATGACTACTTTAGATAGCGCGGCGATAGTAGTATATGTAATAGTAGTATATGTAATTTTTAATGTTTGCAGTTGATGCGTAAGGTAATCAGCATATTTCCTTTCAAACAGATAAAAGGGCTATTTGGATTTGGAAATAATAACAACAATAACAATAACAACAACAACCAAGGCAGTTCCAACGACGGAAATCAACCGCAGCCGCCAAATACGGGAAACACCGCTGATAGTGGCAGTAATTCTAACGGTAATAATGGGTCACCTCCTCCCGCAGTACGAGAAGGACCATCGCGATCCGGCGATAACAATGGCGATCGCCAGTCTATAACCGGTAACAAGTGGATAGATACAGCAATCAGTGCCTTTCGCGGCAGCGGTGATAACAGTGGAAGTATCAGCGGAGATTCACAAAAATCTGTTGGGGGAAGAATTGTGGATGCTTTAGCAAAAGAAGCGATGAAGTCTCTGTTTGCGGGGTTGCTCGGTGGATAGGCTTTCTGCACAAAACTGGGCTTACTAGGTTTCTACGATTTTTTGTTCTATTGTTTGGTGTTCGGCATTTTTATTGTAAAAACTGAAGGAACAACCGCTAAAATCCTACAAAACCAACTTGCAGTTTCATATTACTTGCTTTATTCATGACCAGAATTAATTCAACCCAACCAATGAACGTATCACCGTAATGGAAACTTTGCAGCATCACCACTATACCGGAAAAACTTTTGACAGTCTGCAAATCTTTAGCAACAACGTTAACGTCCGAAACTAGATCATTACACTATTAGACAATACAGCGAAAGCGCCCCAAAATCAATTACCATCCACCAAAAAGCCAGCAAAAGAAATCTCTGATGACTACAATCAAGAAAAAACCGCCTGCTCATTTAGCATTTGTCCAGTCTCCTTCCACAGCTGCCACAATGGCTTTGGCACTGATACCGAACATGTCTAGCAGAACATTGGGTGGGCCACTACGAGGCAATTCACGGACAGCTAACATTTTCTGTACGATATCTGGATGCTGGGCAATCGCGCCAGCCACGGCTTCTCCGATGCCGCCTGCAAAGAAATATTTCCAGCATAAAAACACAAAAGCGAACAATAAAACACGAAATATAATGCACAAACCAAATACACTCACAAAATTATTTTCTAAGACCAGAATAAAAAAACTGTTGCGTACACAATTAAATCAGACCTGCACTCGTTATTGAGACATTCAGCAATGCAACTTTCAGCTCACCTTCAGCATAATGATCCTCCACGGTAAGGATGCGGCCTTTCGTCGCGCGTGCGCTCTTGACGATTGTGTCTGCATCAATAGGCTTGACGGTGAAGATATCCACGACACGAATATTGATTCCCTTTCCAGCCAACTGTTCCGCAGCTTTCAATGCCTCATGGACGGTCACTCCTCCACCAATAACGGTCACCACATCGTTTTCGCTCTGTCGAACGACCTAATCGCAAACAACATCCTTAGTTACAAGTTACAACTCAGAATATCAATTTCAGTAACTGAAAGGGGGATCTTACTTTAGCTTTTCCGACTTCGAATGTCTCATCGCCCTTATAAATGATAGAGTTCGCAGGACGACCAGTGCGGATGAAACAAATGCCTTCGGTATTGGCCGCCAGCTCGCAGGCCCGTTCGGTGGAAACTGCATCACTCGGGTAGAAAACGGTAGAACCTGGCAGGGAGCGGAACATGGCAATATCCTCCAGTGCCATCTGTGATGGTCCGTCCTCTCCGATAGAGATGCCAGCGTGGGAGCCAACGAATTTCACATTCGCCATCGAGATAGCGCCCATACGCAACTGGTCGAAACCGCGCGTGAAAAAGCACGCAAAGGTACTGACGAAAGGAATGAATCGACCACGAGTGGAGAGACCTAAAAGAACAAAGTGGCCATAACTATGCTTTCGCCGAGTAACCATTATCAAACATCCAAATAAACCATTATTATGAAATACGGGTACAAGCTGTGGGCCATTAAGTTTTGAAGAGATCAGAACAGCAAAACGATATGTGGATAATTACTCCAACTGTACTGTTGACGCTTGTACGCACCAATAGCAACGCCAATGGCATTTTGCTCAGCAATAAAGCATTCCACAAATCTCTGCGGATAAACCTTCTTCAAGTTTTCTGAATATGTGGAATTCTTCACATCGCAGTCTAGCGCAATGATACGCGGGTACACGGTGGCCAGTTTAACAAGCGCAGTTCCATAAGCCTGACGAGTGGCGACTTGTTTTCCCAGTTCGTACTCTGGCTTGTCGCTCAGGAGCACCTTCCCATGGGTGACTGCCTGGAGTTCCGCTTTCTGTGGGGCTTCAGGAGTGATGGTGACCGGTTTGTTGCTTTTAACAATTTCCGTCAGCGACTGCACAATCTTGTCTGCTTTGTCGCCCAAGGCCTTGCCATGCCAGTTCTCTTCATTTTCGATTCCTGTAACACATGCAGAATTGTCAAATAATATGACTGAACCAAGCGTGTTAAATAAAGACAAGCGTGTCAAATATCACAAACCAGTTATGGACGTTGTACAACGTAATCTCAGCAGAGTGTCAAAAATAATACATACCCGTAATGCACACTCATAATTGTCTTGAATTTTCAACATCTTAAACCATTTTTAAAAATTCATACTAAATTTCTATTTTTCACACTTTAAAACTCTGTTGTACTCGTACATAAATGTTACCAAATAATGGCAATGTAAGACCAATAACGCCATGATAGAAAGCACATTACGCCGCGTAATGTACTCCTTCCTACACAAGTGTACGAAAAGACTCGATGAAATGGAAATCTATCACGCTTTCTTTAGTCATCCATGAATTTGAAATTACAATAATGGCTAGTCACTTGCCAGGGAAGCCTTTTCCTTTGAATGTCTTTGCCAAAATCATAACCGGTTTGTCTTCCGATCGGCGAGCATCATAAAACGTGTTCACCAGCGTCTTTATGTCGTGACCGTCAACAACAAAAGTCTTCCAACTGCAAACCAGATTATAATAATGACATTGTATGATTATGAGATGAATGTAGTGCATTCGGAAACTTACCCAAAAGCTTCACATCGTCGCTTGTATGTGTCCATATCATGGCCCAACGATGTAGGTTCACTCTGGCCAAGTCGGTTGATATCGATGCAGGCGATTAGATTATTCAGCTTGTAATGACTGGCGAAGTGCATGGCTTCCCAAACGCTACCCTCAGCCGATTCACCATCTCCCATTACGCAGAACACTCGGAAGCTGAAACAAAAATTTGTGAAGAAATTTTTCGTTAGCGAAGGCACCGAAACGTGGATTGAATTATGTTGGTATGCAAAAATATGTGATCCAGAACTGATAATAATATTACCCAAATCAAACCGTAGATTACTAATTTGCAGATCATACGATATATATTTTTACGTGGACAATCAAATTTTAATCAATAGAATTATCAGATAATGGTACGAAAATCGAAATGACAATGGAAATGGTGAGGCTGCTGCAGTGTCGAAATCACAAGAACAACTTTACTTAGTGTTTAAAATAGGTATTCAATAATCTATAGAAGCTTAAACAACGCTACCCACTGCCAGTCCACAAACAAAAACCTACTTGGCCTTATCCAAGTACTTTCCTCCGTATGCCATACCGGCCGCACATGACAATCCCTGACCCAAGGAACCGGTAGCCACATCCACGAAAGACAGACGCTAAAATTGCATTGCAACAACATAATTAACAGTGATCATACAGTGATCAAAACAGCACAATGAACCTACAGGAGTTGGGTGACCTTCCAGCGGGCAGTCAATCTTGCGCAGATTTTCCAAGTCTTCGTGCTTGACCACGCCCAGCTCAGCCATGACAGAATACAGAATCGGTGCCGCATGACCCTGGAAAGACCCCCATTTAAGCCCATAATAATCGGCGACTTTCACACCTTCAAATTACTATAAATACCTTCGACAGCACGAAGCGATCGTTGTTGGGGTCCCGAGGCTCCAAGGGATTGTGTTTCATGGTGTGCCAGAACAAAACAGCCAGAATATCAGCACACGAGGCGCATGATGTCGGATGCCTGAAGAGAAAACCAGGAAGTGCATGAACAAACAGCAGCCACACCACTCATTCTTGCAAAAATTATCTTTGAAAGTTGAAAAAACAGAAACTAATGAAATACAAATTTTTAGCAATATTTAGCAATATTTTTAGCAATCGTGTTTGGACTAAAAACGTAAACAGTCATTAACTTTCATATACCCGGATTTTGCGGCATTAGTGCATTTGATTGAATCCAGACGCAATTTGGTGGCGATGGTCTTCAGCTGGGCGATAACATCGTCGCTCGGATCACGGTCATAAACATTGGCGTTGGTGTGATTAGACGACATGGCAGTCTGAATTAAACGCAAATCTTCAATGAATAATTCTAGAAACACATAGAATTTATGATAAAGGTTAAGAAATATTCAAAAGATCACACAAAAAAGAATGCATTATAAGAACTAGCAGTTTTAGCTGGCAATGGCCGCAATGCGCCTAGATTTTTCTAAGCAGTAACTACTACTAGCAGCGCGCAGAAAGCCTCTTCGGCTTGGAATGCAACGCTATACGAAACAATTATTTGTTTCAAAAGGGGAGTTTACTTACCACTTTATGGTCAACAATCACAAAAATAAGAATGAAAACTGGGATCTACTGCGTCGTAGGATTTTCGGGATGCAGACAAATTACCGGAGAGCCTTGCAGCAGCTGAGAAGTGACGGACTGATTTTGGCCGACAAACTGTTAGAAGGTGCACCAAGGCACTTCAAGGTTAAAATACTGTATGAAATCGCAGTCGAAATCAGCCTCTATTTCGCTTCACTTGTACTATTACAGCTGATACTCTAGCCTGTACACTGTACAGTACTGTACTTGTACAGTCACAGTGCTGTACTTTACGGTATACTCGCGATCTATGGAATTTACACATTTTACAGTGCGATTTTATAGAAATTTACCAGCATACGTTAGAATAAGTAACAAATTACTACTTAATGGTAACTATTGGTAAGCTTGTTTGATTATTTATGTATATCCTAGAACTATCATTTTTAAGGCGGCCTCCATAAATTACGTCACGCAAGTTGGGGGAGGGGGGAGGACCTGAAAGCTTTACTGTTGTTACAAAGGGGGAGGGGGTATTAAAAACTTAGCTACGATTCTGACGTCACCATGCTATACCTATGGAGGGTTCTAAATTTGTTACGTAGCGCTCAGGGGAGGGGATTAGAGTTTGTTAGCACTGGTGACATAAGGGGAGGGGGGTATCAAAATGTCGAATTTTTGCGTTACGTAATTTATGGATGCCGCCCAACGTATTTTAAGCACGTACTCAATACTAAAATGCGAAAGTAACACGTTCAAAGGCTTAAAATCAACAGCTCAACGTCTCAACAAAAAAGTACGTCACATACGTACGGACCGGTACGGTACATAAAGTAATATAGTATAAATTTATAGTAATTTATAGACATCTATATTTTTAAGATGGCATTGTACAATCGTGATACGACAATCAGTTGTAACAAAGAAATTTCGGTCGCACCGACTCGCATGAGTTGATGCAAACGATTGAACTGTGTAAACACAAAATGTGCTGATACTCTTTTTTAAAGTAAGCATTAATCTGCAATATAACAAAAATAATAACTGATCTACTCTAGGCCTGACATTGATAAATGTGAAGGAGTAGTACTGCATTACAGTACATACGTACGTACTCGGTTATTTTATCGTTAGTTAAACGATTCCATAAACGTCGGCCTATAACATGGAAAACTGGAAAACTGGAGATGCACAAGTAGATAACTACGGAGCCTATGTACCCGTTGAATAATTACAGATAGGTGAGAAAACACAACCTTTTTTTTATTTTTGTCGTTCAAGGTTTGCACTGTTATTGTGGTTCGGAACTTCGTACTGGCTATACGAGTACCGTAATTTGTGCTTTTTTGAACGTGCAAATGATGCACTCATTTTAATAAACGTAACTACAGATGTATAAGCACTGCATGCACTCTGTGTTTTCTTATCCTGACAAGATGAAGAATCCTGATCGAATTCGGGCAATGCTTACGTGCCACTAGTCTGGTGTTAGTTAATTAACCCGTTAACCAAAGCCGTTGAAATCGACATCTCTTGTGTGGTGCTACCGGCTACGAACAGATTTCAAAGCAGCAGGTTCCCCATTTGTAGCAGCACATCTGGAGTAAAATATTTTTTGTAGGTGGTTGCTCTTTGCTATCGATCCATTTCTAGACCGGCACAAGCTCGATGGTACATACGATCTACAATTGATTACAACAAAACTAATCCGTATTATTATGGATTTATTAATATTGTAGCATTTCCTTACCATTGTAAAGCCGATTCACCGGTCCTTTTTACTAACGATGCCCTGATCTAATTTAAAGTCGCGTTGACAATGTTTTTGCTTTAGGTCATTTTCATATTAAACTTTAGAACAAGACTGGTCGGATGTTGCGATCCACGATTTGCTGCATAAAATCAACTTCCGGGTACGTACCTGTAGATGCACTCGATGTCTATAATAATCATCATTCATAATTATTATTGTTATCAAAATGTTAATGTTTACATCTACATTACTGTATTGTTATCCACATTGTACTGTATTCTCACTTTGACAAAGAATGGTTCGTACTCTGTTCATTATTATAGCACAATATATGTATATTGCCATAATTTTGCTGACCAAATTAACCTAATTCATTGAATTATTTACTTTTAAGTTTTAAAACTGTAAATACGTAAGTTACGGTAAATAATTTTAGTAGGATTTCATCTTCCCTTTTATGCTGTACTGTACTCGTACCAGTGCACCGAAGCTCGACAAACCTGGCTGGCGCTATGCTATAATATGAGTCGTGAGTCGCAACACGACTTGGGAAGTCCGAGTACAATTACTATTGATTGTGCTGACTCATTATCAGCACAGCTGTCGTGAAATTTACTTACCGACTACATTAGCGTTCCAGCATTTTGATTTCCTTTTAACCGAAGCCTGGACGGTACATCGACACCTTTGTTTGTCGATATCTGTCGCCCAGTTTTGTTTATCTGTGTAGTCTCAGCCCTTCCACGGAACCACTGCGTCCTGCCGCACAACAAAATCAGTCGCCCATCTCAGCGCAGCCAATCCTTCCCGAAGAGCCAATAAACTCCGTTTTGTCTGCAGCTAAAACTGCATTTCCTGATCATCTTCCAGATATAATTGCCAGTGCCACAATGAGTTCGCAGAAATCGGAAGCTGACCTCAAGAATGCTAAGGGCGAGAAGAAGTCCATGACTGGTCTACCGAAAGAGCCGTGGCAGGAAGATCAGCTGTACACCATCGTGATTTTCGGTGCATCTGGAGACTTGGCCAAAAAGAAGATTTACCCGACTTTATGGTAAACCGCTGCCCAAATTGCACGCTTTACGCGTAATATATTTTGTAAACAAATCGTTTTGTCTAGGGCTCTGTACCGGGATGAATTGCTTCCGAAAAATACTTGGATCATCGGGTATGCAAGGTCAAAGTTGTCTGTTGAAGATCTGCAAAAGTCGTTTGAGGGAAATTGCAAGGTGCGTTATCACGGTCTGCCAATAAATTCGTTTGCATAAATATTTCGCACTGATTGTGAATTGCCGATGTGATTTTAAGCGATGCTGTCCAGTTGGGTGGTTGCAGTACGGTGTTTTTTTTGCAGCTCCAGTCCGGTGACAAGCAGAAGTTTGGCGAATTTATGAAGAGCAACTTATATATCGCTGGAAGTTATGATCAGCCGGACGACTACCGGAAACTCCACAAAACTTTGGAAGAAAAGGAAACACAATTCAAGCAAGGGAACCGCGCTTTCTATCTGTCCCTTCCGCCGTTTGTGTTCGACACTGCCACTACGCACATCCGCCACGACTGCTGGGGCACCCGGTAAAATAATGATGAAGTAGTTTATATGTTTAATCAGGACAGCATTTAATTGATCCACTATGACTCTTAGAGGATGGAATCGTGTTGTGTTGGAGAAGCCGTTTGGACGCGACTTGGAGTCCTCCCGTAAGTTGGCTGACCACCTGAAGAAATTGTACCGCGAAGAGGAGATCTATCGCATTGATCACTATCTGGGCAAGGAATTGGTGCAAAATCTGATTACGTTGAGGTTTGTGATTTTTAAACGTCACGGTTGTTTGGCTTTTAATAACGCAGTGTTCGGTTGAGATTGTGTAATAAGCGCAATGTCATGAAATCCGATTTTGCTGCAGTACTGCAGTAGGAAATTAGCTTCAGCTTGTTTCTGTTGCAGATTTGCCAATCGCATCTTTAGCCCGGCCTGGAATAATCAGAACATCGCCCACGTTCAGATTTCCTTCAAAGAGCCGATTGGTACGCAAGGGCGTGGTGGTTATTTTGATGAGTACGGCATTATCCGGTAAGTTTCTACTTTCTGTGTGATTTGCTTAAGTCTGTGAAAGCCGGTTTTGTCGAACCTGTCTTTTTGTAGGGATATTATTCAGAACCATTTAATGCAAGTTTTTTGTCTGGCGGCGATGGAGAAACCGGTTAGCCTGAACGCTGAAGACATTCGTGATGAGAAGGTGTGCAGGCGATGTTCCGGTGACCTAAACATCACGGCTGATCTAATCCTCCTGGAGGGATTGGATGGGCGCTATTCACGCAATTCGGTTCATTTTATGGACTTTAGCGTCGTGCTCAGTGGCAGCGTTTACACATCCAATCTGCCACAAAATCCACTGGAAGTTGTTGCTTTTCAGTGCCTAAGCGCAAGCCCAAGCACAAAAATAATTAATATTAGAGTATTTGAAATTAGAAATTTTAGTTTTATCAAAGGAGGGCTTAAAAGCAAAGCGCAGAGCGTATCGACCCTGATAACAGGTACCCGATTTTCTGTTATTATGGTTAAGATTTTATTATTGTTAGAATCTGACTGGCGTGTGAAACATTTTGTGAATTGTAAAAGGTACCACATATCGACATATGCCTCGTTTAAGTAGAAGAATTGAAGATGAATTTCTCTCGCTCGTACTAACTTCTATTTTGACCAAATAACAAATGAACCTTTTTTCAGATACTTTTCCATATGTTACACTTTCAGACCAGCAATGGAAGCATTACAAAACTATTTTTTGTTTAAAATGAAAAGTCAAGGACCGTTTTTGTCCTACCGAAACATGCTTACAAAGAATTCTAAAATATCAATAAATTATCACTTCCACTTAAGGAAACACTAACACATAAGGAGCCTTTCGACAACACTAACATGAGCACTCGGGTTAAGACTATGGTTAAAACTAAGATCAACAATCAGGTTTTCACTTTGATCAGAACTAACGTTAGCACTCGGGTTATGGCTCCGGTCAAATTAAGGAAGTGGGCCGGTACAAGGTACCAAATTCGTGTACATGCACGAAAAGTTAACTTTTTGCGCACTCCCAAACACATTTTTAGTTTTATTTTATGACATTCTGCAGCCAGATGACTTGTATTCTAACAATAATAAAATCTTAACCATAATAACAGAAAATCGGGTACCTGTTATCAGGGTCGATACGCTCTGCGCTTTGCTTTTAAGCCCTCCTTTTGATAAAAGCTAAAATTTCTAATTTCAAATACAGTAGTATTAATTATTTTCGTGTTTGGGCTTGCGCTTAGGCACTGAAAAGCAACAACTTCCAATGGATTTTGTGGCAGATTGGATGTGTAAACGCTGCCACTGAGCACGACGCTAAAGTCCATAAAATGAACCGAATTGCGTGAATAGCGCCCATCCAATCCCTCCAGGAGGATTAGATCAGCCGTGATGTTTAGGTGTTCCGGTGCTATAATGACTCATTCATATGTGTCTTAAGCAGGACAAAACTATAACGTCGTAAGTTGGTATATGCTTACAGGTGCGCGTGCTGCGTCGCATCCAGCCAGTGAAACTGGAAGATGCTGTGCTGGGGCAGTACGTAGCTGATCCGGAAGGGAAAGGCGAAGCCAAAACTGGCTACTTGGACGATGAAACTGTTCCAAAGGGTTCTGTTACTCCAACGTATGCGGCGGTGTTGTTAAAAATTGACAATGAGCGGTGGGAAGGCGTTCCGTTCGTTCTGCGTGCAGGAAAAGGTAGGTTTGCAGAAGCGGCTCTGAAACTGTTAATCACAGATCGCGATGTCGAAGGCAGAAATTAGTAAAAACGACTGGACCTGTTGCTTTGTTTTAATACAAACAGACTTATATTATCAAATTTTATACGTTTTTCGTACAACGGTTACTTTCTGGTACATGCAGTTTGTGCTCATAATGCTACATGTAGCTTCTGTTTTTTGCAGCTCTAAATGAGCGAAAAGCGGAAGTTCGTGTCCAGTTCAAAAATCCAGACGGTGACATTTTTGAGGACGGGGAAGTAAAACGTGATGAACTGGTCATGCGTATTCAACCCAATGAAGCCATTTATCTGAAGATGATGACCAAAACCCCAAACAGCAATTTCGGCATTGAAGAGACTGAATTGGATTTGACTTACAGCAAACGCTACGAAGTGAGTAATGGCTAATGCATATATAAGTGTTGGGTAATATGAATTTCTTCCTTACGTTAGCAAAACTTTCGGATTTGCTCATTGTGATAAATTTTTGAAGTGAATGTATTAATTGCTATAATAATTACTATGCAATTTGCAAACGATTACGGTGAATTTTTTAAAATTTTGCATTGTTTTCTGTATTTATTTGACAAGTAATTTGCCTCACTTATTGTTACCAATACGATTTCGTTAATACGTGTTTTTTTTGCAGGGACTGGTGCTTGCCGAAGCTTATCAACTGCTGTTCATCGAAATTTTACGTGGTCGTCAGATGCATTTCGTTCGCAATGATGAACTGGAAGAGACCTGGCGCATTTTCACTCCTTTGTTGCATCAGATCGAGCGTGAAAAAATTAAACCGACTGAGTACAAGTTCGGTTCTCGTGGGCCCCCGGAAGCGGATAAACTTGCAGCCAAAAACAACTACGTTTACAGCGGAACATATGTATGGCCCGGTGACAGCCCAAAGAAGTAAAACCCGTTTCCGCCTTTTCAGTCCTGTCTGAACGGGTTACAGATACAAGGGCCGGTGTGTTGGGCATATAAGAATTATCGTTCTTTATTGTTTATATTAATCTTGCAGCTGGATATTGCAATAATTTAGGCTGAATATTTTGGTGGCTCTTTCATAAGGTGAAGGGTGAAGTTTTATCAGTTTTACTTATGATGATGAGAAGTGTTTTAGATATTGGGCGGGAGGTGTTTAGTTTTTGGAAAAGAGTTATTGGAAAAATTTTGTGATCACGGGAGTCTAATCATGAAAATTAAAGCATACAATTAATGATTCGACACAATACGGAACTTAACGACGGAAAAGCAGCTATTACGAATGAGTTGGCATTTACTGAGAAATTACTACTATAATACATCAAATTCTGCGGTACGTACTGTCATAGCATTAATGAAGGCACATAATTATGGTACTATCTAGAGTACTGTAGTATCGACTATGGTACTCCTCGTTGGCTATGTCCTACTCTTGAACACACATTATGACACTTCCTCATCGAATATAAACTGAATGAGCGGTTGTAACAGATTTTTATACTTGCAGAACTATATATGTACAGATATTCGTCATCTTCGGAGAAGATGACGAAGAAGATCGGTATTTCAAAAACCTGGGGTACGATCGCAAACTACAATGCAAGTCAGATAAAGAAACAGAATATGCATCGAGAAATTCTATTCGAATCCGGGATCAAAAATTAAACATCTATCACTCATTCAACAAGTTCAGCATCTAACAAACATTCCGCAAAACCAAACCAGAGATCGCAGATAGCCTAACTGACTTCTTCAGGCTTAAGAAGCATATTGGGAATTCCGTTTTGTATAGGGAACACTCTTCCCGTCTCAGGACAAATGAGCTCGCCTTTCAGAATCTCTAGCTACAAAAAAAAACAATCAGACCTCCATAATTTCCAGAAACAAAATACGACCGTAAGCAAAGAACATTTTCAATAATATGAACAAAATTATAACGTCAACTGTGTGCACAATTTTACCTCCAAGAGGACATGGTGAAACTTTCGAAGGAAATCCTCGGAATTCGCTGCATCATCCGGTAATTCAGCGGGCAAAGCGTCCTCCTTGCCAACCTAAAACAGTGTTTGAAGCTATTGTAAACTGAAATCGGATAATAATCGGTTGAACAACCCATAACCAACAAGCATTGGTTCACTATCATTATCATTATAAAACAATAAGAAATACACAAAAAAGGGTGAAAAATTCACAAAAATGATACCACAATTACGATATAATCAGTAACTTTAGCCATGCGAGCATCCGAGAAAGGTTGGCTGCTAAAAAGTGCAGCAATAAAACTTACGTCCTTCACAGCGGACCTCAGTGCATCGTATCTTATTTTCGGAATGATACGCGCTACAAAGTCTTTGTTGAACTCTGTTTCCTTTACTTCCATATCCTCCACCTGCAGATAAAAAAACGTAATTACGGTAAATTACCCCAAACTCCAAAGATCGTTTATAGTACTTCATTCACGGATTTCGCTAATTTAATTGCTGTACAAATAGGCATTAAAACCCTGATTTTAATTGGATTTCCCTACAAAAAGGATACGAAAACTATAAATTACAATCGACAATATTAACAAACACAAGTTTTACGTGTCTAATTAGACTCTAATAATTTTGAAAAAATTGAAGAGTCAAAGAGAGTACTGTACCTTGAGCTGAAGAGGATAACCTTCTTTCACTCCCTTAATCGACTTTGACGTCAGCATATTGTGTGTGAGAAGCTTCATTGTTCGCACCACAAAAACCGAACAGCAGGAAGGAATATTTTTAACAACCAGCCCTGCACAAAAAACCGTATAAGACATTTATAGTAAAACAGACAGATAATCTTTCGCCAGTGACTCGCCACCATACAGGCTACAGCCGAAAGTAATAACGTCTACACAGATTATTAGAGAAACCGCAACGTGTTACAACAATAACTTGTAGAATTAAGAACTTTACCGATACGAGAACATCGAAACAGCGAGAACGTTATGCACAAAGCGAACCCGACACGAAATATGCGAATATCAAATATCCTTTGAACTTTTAAGGCAAGATCACAGTTCAACACAGCAAATACATTAGGAAACGTGGTTATTACTTACTGAATGCGACTCTATTTGTACCTGCAGCTATCATGCATAGGGATCTCAGATATGCGGCTTCTTTTTTTCCGTCACTCTGACTGCGAGAGTGCTGAGTTCCCAAATGATCAAATCCAAAGATGGTGCTGGAGCCTTGGCTGCTGTAACTCGCACAGACAAGACCTCTTTCCAACAGCTACGGTGCAGTGAAAAATTGCTCCCTCTGGAAGCTGGACATTCACCGGACAATATTTTAGTTCCCTGTTCCAGTAACTGCTGGGTGTAGCCGGAGGAACTCAATATCAATCTTTTGTGATTTGAAATTTTGTTTTTTTGTTTTACAAAACTAAAAGTACGTAACAAAACTCACAAAACTACAAAAGATCGCAAGTTCGGCGTACGTTCGGTAGCCGGTCTGGTCTTAAGCCTTTTCATCTAACCGCCGGCTGGTAGTGATTTCAGTGAATTCAATCTAACGGTTCTTGCCAGCCACTCTAAAGGAAAGTTACTTTCTATTCAACGGTAATCGTGCATATGTGCACGAGTGCAAATTCCAGCGCTGGCGCAACCTATATTTCGGTTTGAATTTTTGAACGAGCCAATGGCAGCCAGCATTAAAACGGCCTTCGGTAAAAGCGCTATGAGAGAGAGTCCCCATTCAGCGTCCTTCTCTCGGGAAGTGTTCACTGAACTTCATTCGGTCTGCGTACACACTACACAGACATAAAAAAGTTCGCGGTCCCTTTTGTGGCTTTGGCTACTTTTAGTCTGTGCGATATAATTCTAGATAATTCTAAGCGGAGGGTCTGGATTGTTTTAAAATCTGAATACAACTGTAGTGCGAAGCAATGGCGGCTGCCGCGGCGTCTATAACTACCAAGCGACGTGCCCTTCTGGATGAAGACCTTGCGAATGTGGACTTCGAAACGAGTGAGGACGTGGAAGTGGTGCCGTCCTTCGATACCATGGGACTTCGAGAGGATCTTATTCGCGGCATCTATGCGTATGGTTTCGAGAGACCTTCGGCCATTCAGCAGCGAGCCATAAAACCCGTCGTCAAGAGGCGTGATGTCATCGCGCAGGCACAGTCCGGCACGGGCAAGACGGCAACCTTTTCTATTGCGGTTCTCCAGAACTTGGAGACGCAGATTAATGAAACTCAGGCTCTTATCCTTTCTCCTACCCGCGAACTGGCGCAGCAGATACAGAAAGTCATTCTGGCTCTCGGGGACCACATGAAAGTGCAGTGTCATGCTTGCATTGGCGGGACCAGCGTTGGGGAGGATATTAGTAAACTGGACCGAGGACAACATGTTGTCAGTGGAACGCCAGGTACCTTTGAAAGTTTGCAGATTTTTAAAGAATTTCTTTCCGTCAGTTGTCATCTCTTCGATTACAAGCATTTGTGGGCTTTTTACAATGTGATCCTTCGGCTACCGGCCCTACCTAGATTAGACACAGGCGTTATTGATTTTTAGAATACTTATTAGCTGGGGCTGGGGTAATACGATTTTAGAATAACAAATTATTACAGGACGTGTTCTGGATATGATCAAAAGGAAAAATCTGCGGACTCGCAACATCAAAATTCTGGTGCTGGACGAAGCCGACGAGATGCTGAACCGCGGCTTCAAGGAGCAGATCTACGATGTATACCGTCATTTGCCGCCTGATACGCAGGTGGTTCTACTGTCCGCTACCCTGCCGCATGAAATCTTGGAAATGACATCCAAGTTCATGACGGATCCGATCCGCATCCTGGTCAAACGTGATGAATTGACACTCGAAGGCATCAAACAATTTTTTGTGGCCGTAGAAAAAGAAGAATGGAAATTTGATACACTATGTGATCTCTATGACACGCTGACCATCACGCAGGCTGTCATATTTTGCAATACAAAACGTAAAGTGGACTGGCTGACGGAGAAGATGCGAGATGCTAATTTCACTGTGTCGTCCATGCACGGCGATATGCCGCAGAAGGAGCGCGATACGATTATGCGGGAATTCCGCAACGGCAGCAGTCGGGTGCTCATCTCCACAGATGTGTGGGCGCGTGGCATTGACGTCCAGCAGGTGTCGTTGGTCATTAATTACGATCTGCCGAATAACCGTGAACTGTACATTCATCGTATTGGCCGATCCGGGCGTTTTGGACGGAAAGGGGTGGCCATCAACTTCGTGAAGAGCGACGATATTAGAATTCTGCGAGATATCGAACAGTACTACTCCACGCAGATTGATGAAATGCCGATGAACGTCCAGGATCTTATCTAAACAACTTTTTGATCGGTCTTGCTCCATCTTTATTATAATACGGCATTGATTCCTCTAATGTCTCGATATGAATGTCATTATAATTTACAGCTGGACTTGCTTCTAGTTTGTCTTTGTTTTTTTGTTATTCCACTGTGTATACCAAACTAGGAGACCTGGTCATTCGTTGAATTTAATCTGCGGTGCACAAAAGTTACGTGCTGTTCTGTTACATGCTTTGTTGAAAATGAATTCCGCTTATTTTCTACTTATGCTTCGATCTGTAACATGCCTGTTCTTTGAAAATATTTCAAGGCTCGGGAAGCTACTACAGTCTGAGATGGGTTCAAATTCCCTGCAATTGTTGCTTACTCTTTCTGTACCGATGCTGTAGTACGAAATCACTAGAGCCAACCCTATTCACCCGTTTTATAAAGCCACGCTTTTTCGCATCCCGTTAATTATAATTTATAGGCACCACTTTTTTACTATTAATCAGATAAACATACCCAGTTGCCGGTTTTTATGGACACCCATTTTAATTTTCATAATGGGTGTCCATTTTCTCTAATGCAATTTCTCTAATGCTACAAAATGTCACATATGATGCGATTATTTTTAGATAAAATTTTACTCATGCTTTTTTGCCCCTAAACCTTCTGAGTTCTCTTCGATGATTTCTTCATTTTTGACTACTCCCGCAAGTCAGTTGCGCTGACCATGAGCACCGGGTTTCCATCAAGGCCAAAGATAGCTCCGTCCACGCCAACAAGTTTCCCGCAGTGTCTGCAACACTTTTTAAACGCATCCATATTTTCGGTCCTTCCGGATGACTTTCTGTGCAACTAGTCGACCGTTTGTACAATAACTGCAGAGTGCAGACTGCCAATCGTTTCCGGTATTCACATTGTACGTGCCCGGTGCCTCCCAGAAAGGTTAATGAAGGGCTCTCGATAATAAAGTTTTGTAGCATTTCTGGCGTAATTAGGAAGATATTAGTGATATTTCCAGCAGCGGAAATCGTAATATCAACATATACGTTCCGATCTTTAACTCGAACAGAAGTATGGTTCAGCACGTGGTTGAATGTTTGTCCTAATAATTTAATGTAGTGCCATATTACGATGAGAAAATGTTTTTAACTGGAACACAAAACAGGTGCCTATAAAATCAGGGTGTCTAAAACAGATAAATTAAATCCGAAAGGGGTGCCTATAATAAACGGGGTGCGGAAAAGGGGTGGCTACAAAAAACAGGGGTGTAAGGGGTCGCTATAGTGTCACCCTTTTTTTATTTACAGTAAGTCAACTCATTGCCGCTCTAGCGGCTCTACAATAGTACGTACAGACTACAGACTGAACTGCCTAACCAATTCAAACTGTGCTATTGCATAGCGGCGATGGTCAAACTTTGTCATCAACAATGAACCACCTTATTATCATTCGAAATCAAAATACCATTTTACCTTCCTCGAGACTTGATGCTGCATCTAGTGCATAGTAGTAAGTACGTACTATTCTAATTATACGCCCGGTATTAAATCAGTTTAGAATTTTGTCAGTTAAATCACTCTTTTTGTGGAAAAGCGAATTGTCAAACATCGTAGAACAATCAATAAAAGTTACAAAACTAGCAAATCAACTAGCATTAGTATTTGGTGTTCCTTGAGCAACTATTCGGTTCAAACTTATATCAAGAAAGAGACAATTACATACCAAAATTTATACATTATCACCCGGTGAGGTCATGTGCAAATGAAAAGTTGACAATAGTAAACAACACTAGCCAAAATAATACCTAGCAAGGCATGACAGCCGGTCACCAAATTTTCGGAAGCTGTCTTTTACTGCATATCTTGTCTCCGGTTTCCAGTATCTGCTTCAACTGAGGCTCCAAGAGTTCTGGCATGCAGGGCCTGCAATCCAAAAACAACGTGCAAGAAAAATACACACTTTTCACGGACGCCATACTGCTGACAGTACCAACTAACGAAAGCGTTACTCAAGCAAAAAAAGTGAATGCCAGAAAAATCAAAATAAAACTGAACAAGAGATCGTTCGACAGTTTACCCAAAAGAGAGTTCCGATGATGGTGAACTACTTGATTCACTGCACAATTCCTGGAAAATATCCTTGATGTTCAATCTTGCATGTGCTTTGTAATCGCTGCGACTCTGTTCCAGCAAACACGCAGCTTCCAGGTTTTTCCTCCCATCGACACTGGGTTCAGTAAATTGCTCTTTCAAATAAAGCAGGATATCGCGAATTCGATTTTCTTTTCTGCAAGTAGTAAAACGTAGGAATGTTATCACATCCATATTCGCACTCTAACATTTCACACCCTAGATTTAAGCAAAACTGGAAAACAAAAAAGTGCTCACTGCCAAAGAGGAAATTTTAAGGAAAAATCGAATTCTCCACTCCTTGGATCGACCAGTGGATGGAACGGAGGTGGCCAAAATATAACCTGTGGCGACGCTGAGTTATGCAAGGAAAAGTTCAGTTGGAACTGGAAGAATCCACCGTCATACAATCCTCCAATCATCCCCAGTGTTCCATGCCATCCTATCGTATAAATTATTATGAAATGTAATCGACAAAAAATTACTGCTAAGTGCAAACAGTTATCCACACAGAACAAAATGTGGCATGCATTACTTTGTATCAATTTCGGTTTCCTCGCACAAAAAATATTCATTTCAGTGTAGTCAAAAATGGATTTTTTTAGAGGTTGTGCAAGCGCAGTGCTTCCACGTATTTATTGGGGCACATACGGTAAGGTACACTTCCGGATGGAACGATCATTACCCCGCTGACAGGATCTCGGCATATTTCGGCGCTACACATAGGATACCAAGCAAAAATGAAGAGTAAATATTACAATAAAATTATGATTATTGTCTTACAATTCACCCAGCACAGCGTAGTGATGAGATGTCTCCGATCTTGCTTCTCGTGGGCTGCGAACCGTGAATGGATCGCTCACAGCCATTATTTCACAGCCTTCTGAGCCTAATGAGTAAAAATTCAAAAGAAACCGAAAAGTCCTGAAAACTCAAAAACTTCACGATATTGAATATTATAACATTTAGAAAATTTCGAGGCTTTTTTTAGAGGCATTTTTTGGTGGTACTGATTGTGAGCTAACTTTCAGCACAATCCACACTTGTATACAGTAGGTATACAGTACAGACTGTACTGTACACTGTACAGTACATAATATTGTACATTATTGTATTTGTGTTAATTTGTGGCTACTGTCACCCTGTGCGGTTTGGCGCTAAGCGCTTAGGCATTGTGCCGGATCCAGTTTCGGTGCGGAAACACTTCCCACAAGCACAGGCGCAATACAGTACACCAGTGCCCGTCGTCTATGTCCCAATCTTAGGAGAACGTATTCTGACGGCGCCCATAACTTCTAAATATTTCGATGTATGGCAAAATGCATTATGATAAAATTGAGAGCAACTAAAAACATAATTATGAGGGTCGACATGGGATGCATGATATGTGTTTTTGATTTTTGAGATGGAGTACGTATTGCGTGGCGATAGGGTCACGCAATGTTTATTACGAAATGATGTTTAAATGCACAGAGATACGAAATTTCCAAAATTTGACGCGTAAACTGCAAGGATTTGTCATGAGTGGACAAGTAGGTGCTAAAGCGAGCATACTTGATTTAAGTACGTATTCTAATTGATTCACGTTCTTTATCGTAAGTAATGTCAAAGGGTACTCGTATACGTAGTTTAATCAATGACTTTTATTTACAGATTTCTTGACATAGCCCTTGCCTGTGAAGTATTCGTTTATAGTGTGGTAACAGTTTGAAGTTGTAAAACCGAGATGAAAAACGGTTGACCGAAAATGCTTCCACTATCGATAATCAAGTAGGTAATCAACAGGCTCTAGGGAACAACTACCCTAGGTAATATCGCGGCTTGCTCAAAGAGCCGCGGCCTCACAATCAGTTGCTTTTCCTTTTCAGTGTTTTTGCTTCCGATTTCAGTGCATCTAAAGAAAAAACTGTTGATCTGACTGTTCAATATCGAAAATCAAATAAATGGTGTCAGGTCGATACTGCAGTTTAAATATTTTCTGACATTCAGCACTTACCATTAGCATATGCATCCACTATGACACAGAGCTATTCAGTAGATTGTTGGTGTTTCTTCTGATCAGTGGTTTACAATACGATACAAACCGTACAACCACGCCGAGTGTACCGGATTCGCGCAGTTTATTAATTTTTCAAACTTATCTTGCGCGCATTCTATTAATTTTTCAAAGTTATCATTCAAACTCGTGTTTATCAGGTACATTTCATTCAATCAGTTTCACAGCTGGCAAATTATACAGCTGGCAAATTATATAGATTATATTTACTTACATAAATACTATAGTAGCTCGTACGCTTAAAAAGATTATGTACGAGCTACTATAGTATTTATGTAAGTAAACTAACGCACATACAGTATGTGCGTATGTTCATATATATGAAAATATAAAAATAACGCACATATGTTCATATACCAGTACAGTATATGAAAATTATTAAGAAGCAGTCACTTTCTTAACAGTATATCGCAACTAAATCCTGCAAAGCACAAAACGCTTACATTTGTCGCACCATGGTGAGGCATCGGTCGTATTGTGGCTTATGTTTATCCATCCGTTTTCCCTGATTAATTAGCTTTTCTGTTGATTACGCAAAATTGTGGGTAAAAAATATGGAAACGAAGCTAAAACCAAATTGAAAAAAATCATCATGCGAATTCCGTACGTCTTTTAGTTTTTGTATTTCCGCTTATGGATAAGTACAAGGTCATATTCGACGTCATTTCCTAACGTCAGTCTTGATTGGTTGGTACCTCTTCACAGGCTGGCAGAGAGCGGAATAGTCCCGGCTGGAGTAACAAACAGGAAACGTCAACCAACAAACTTTCGTAACTAATAATCGGAGAAACCATCAACTAACCCTTCCATTCATGCGCACGGTGCTGGCAGACAGGATTTTCAAATGGTTGTACATTAGTGCGTAATGTTTGTCGTAAAGGTTATTAAACCTGGTGAGCTTTTTAATTTGCACACCGATGTTGTACGAGAAAAACGATGATCATGTCAACAGTGCGAAAGATACTATCAAAACCGTCCAGTGTAGTATACAGAGGTAAAATAGCATTTTGCCTAACCACTTGAGCAACCCTCGGCAAACCGGCAGTGGGAACAGCTGTTATGAGACGCCGGCAGCATCCTAAATAAACCCTGCTCTATGCGCAAACTTTTGCTTTTTTACAAAAATTACGCGAATTAGTTCTTATGCCTATCGTAGGAAGAACTCATACCTGTTTTTAATTTGTTCCTGATTCATCCAAACTTGTAAACCGATATTTTTAGATGGATGCATGGTGATCCGGAATACCATACTGCCTTTGACTTGCACACGCTAACTGTTGGTTACGGTGTTACCGGAATCTAGCTATGAATTCGTTGGTGTTGGAATTCATGTGCGGTAAGCAAAAGGTGTTATTTGCCGGTTGATGTCAGATGCTGATATATCGTGTTGTCTGTCAATTTTCTGAAATAAAGATCAGTTTTATAAATTTGCGCTATATATGTTTAATTCTTGCAATAATGCGTTACAGAAAATCTTTTTGGTCACTTCCATCATGCATCTATTTAGTTTAAACTAGTTCTTTTTTGTATTTTTATTCTTGACTGGTGAGCTCGTTTATTCGTCATACCTATAACCGGCATCGATATCAATGCAGAAATCTTACTCCTTGTGTTTATCGGCATACCTTCACACCTTATTTGTTAATTAAGCGCAACAATGAAAGCGGATATACTTATGCTAAAATGCAGATACAAAATTGAAAACAGAAGCCGGCTGTAGCCGTATTATACATAGTTCAGTGCACTGCAAGAAATAAGATTTCCCCACAGGAGAGGATCAAGATTACAGTACTAATTTACGTCGAAGGAATTTTAAACTGATGGAGGTTTAAAAAGATCGACATAGCAGGACAAAATGTCCATCATATAATAGCGAAACGTGATTTGGCATTCTCCAAAGAATATCCCCAAACAAGGCTGCAGATGGTGATTAAATACTTACGATCAAAGTGTCTTATACGCAGTTGAATGAAACCTTACAATTTATGATACTGGCGATGTCACGCCGGTGTGTGTCTGGCGTCTCCGAGGTTTCGTCAGGAAGAAAGGTCATTGCGTAATACTAAACGGCAGGGGGACAGCAGCCGATATGTATAGAGATGAAACCCTTTTTATACAGAGTACAGAGCTCAACCATTTAAAATTTTTAATGTTTATATCTGCTAAATTTTGACGTTTTCCAGCAATCACGCCGCTGCAATGCCAAAATTTTGGAAGCCGATTTGGCGCATGATCTCGTCTTAAAACCAAGGAAAACGTATTGATTCGGGAACTGAAATGGTAAGTTGCGATAAAATAGTGCTTTTCAATAATACATAAAGTTTTAAACTCTAAATTTTAACAGATCATATTCTATAATTTGGCGTATGTATTCTTTGTACGTACTGTATGGAACATTGCCAACTTAAACTACGGTATAAATTATACTGCACTAAAAATATGCTTGAAGGATACTAATTTTAAAGTACCGTACAGCTACTACATCAATGCCTTCCTACACCTTCCTAATGCTATACATCGCTTACCGTTACGAGATCACTGCTTCTCGGTCTGGATAAAATTAAGTTCTCTGTTTATCTGACTGCAGCATGGACTTATTAACCGATGCCTGGAGCTTATGGTCATTGAAAAGTTTGGAGAAGATTTCTGGACTAAACTAAAGTAAAATTAAATAGTTTCAATAAATATATTTAGCACATATAACTACTCTGTATATATTTATACAGCGTATAATTCGGTCAACATTAGTCGATTGCCAATGGTTAAAACTACATTTACTCCCGTTTTAAGGAAAGAAGCCGACATCAAATTATCGGGAGAATTTCTTACGACAGAATTTTATTCCGATGAAAGCACATACAAGATGGTGTTCGCTGCCGAGCGATTAACAGGTAATATCCCTGATCAGTGTGTATTTCCGCTCTGCATTTCCCGAATCCAGATCCATTATGATTGCCTGTCGTGCCCATTTACCAACCGTCGGTGTGCATTATTATCGTACAGTAGGGTACCCGTTATGCGAGACATTCGATTTGCATGCTTAGACACCTTGCACGTATTAGATAAATCCGGCACCTGATTATTTTTTGATTCTGATGCTCATCATAATAATATATTAAGGGTGACTCCATTGCAAAACACTAACTATGACTGCTCAACGAACGTTACATTTTGCAGTAAAACATGTGAGAAACTAATTTACTAGTTTACTGATATTCGATATCGACATTTTTACTGCAGACGTTTTATGCCGCAAACAGCAGTCCGGTAATCATTCCACGTAGATAACTCAGTGTAAAAACACTGATTGGTACTTTCTCCCATTTTATATCAACCATAATCAGAATCCCAAAAAAACTTCGTGGATGAAATAGGTGTGCCCGCAGACAAAATTCTGGAAATGTATGGAGAGTATTTCTACGAATTCTCTGTGGAGTTTCAGTACGACAAATTGCTGCGAGTGCTTGGGAACACCCCGGAAAAATTTCTACAATGCCTGGATACAATGCATTTAGCGCTGGCACGTGTTTATCCACCAATGAGGTACTGTACTTAAATTACATTTCCGGTGGGTAAACGAGATGTATTCGAAGATATACGGTTAATATTGGATAATCCGCAGACCTCCGCTATTTACTTGCAAAAAATTACCGGATGGAGATCATGTCATCGGCTATTACTCGAAACGTCCGGCTTTATTGCCCATTGCTGTGGGTTTGATACGCCGAGCCATTCTGGGACTGTTCAATATATCAATCGAAATAACTGTCCTATCCACTGACACAACGGACGGATGTTATAAAATGCTTATAAAAAATCTTACCGGAAGTGACACTGTCGAAGCGCAGCGGAATGATGAAGAGCTGGTTAATACCATGTCGAAAAAAACCGGCTTCATGTCACCACTGACTTTCACCGAACTCTTCCCCTATCATATCCTATTTGACCGTGATTTTAATGTGCTGCAATGCGGTCAAGTCCTTTTTCGCGTGATGCCGTGGATACTGGATGCTGACAGTAAATTAAACAGTTGGGCACGCATTGCACGGCCATATATCACTCTCACGTACGAGCACATACTGGATCACCTCAACACGACCTTCCTCCTGGAAGTCACCAGTGCCGCTGATGAGAAATTTCGTTTAAACGGGCAAATCATCCACTTGCTGGAAAGCGACTTGCTGCTGTTCATCGGAAGTCCTTATGTGGTGTCGCTTGATGACTTGTACCGGAAGGGCTTTTCCATTGCGGACATTGCGCTGTATGATGCCAAGCGGGATTTTTTACTGGCATCGGAAACATTCGATGAGGAGAGGAAGTTGTTTAAGCGACTGGAAGACTTGACGAATAATTTACAAGAAACTGCCCGACTGATGGCAGTCGAGAAGGCGCGCACTGACCAGTAGGTATTTTCAGTTTAATGCGCTGTTGAAACTATATGTTAAATATTGCTATATTTGCGCACAAAGCTGTGTATTGTCACAAAGATGTTTATAAACTTGCTTTAAGCTTTAAATATTTACAACCTTCCTGTACAGCCACCACTCAATCCACTTAAATTACGTAACGCGCGAAAACACGCGCAGTGTTAATTTAAGAGTAAAGTGTTTCGCTTTCAAGGTGTATAGAATAAATCGCGAATAAATCCGAGATGTGGTTGCCAGACGCAAGAATTAGCCAACAGTGTGCGATTTTTTTGCAGACTGATCTATGATATTCTTCCAAGACCAGTTGCCAAACAGTTGAAAATGGGTGAAATGGTGGTACCGCAGCGTTACGAATCGGTCACTATTCTCTTCAGCGGAATTGTGAATTTTGATAAATTTTGCCTTGCCCGAGATTCCGACAAAGCCGGTATCGAAGTAGTGGACTTACTTAACAATGTTTACAAACATCTGGACAAGCTTCTAGAGCCGTCCCAGAATGCAGAAGTTTACAAGGTCAGTGAGACCAATTAAGGGGTGTTTTCTTCCGTTTTGTAAATGTGTTGCATCTTTAGCTGCACTTACAATTAGTTTGATAAAATGCAAAAATACGCAACAATACATATAATATACATACACATATAGGAAATATAGATATTGTACATATTTATGACGCCCTACCACGTGTAAGTTAGTGCTAAAAGTCCATCCCGGCCCTTTTCATATTACTTTTGTTGAAAACTGTAATGATTTAGAGTAAGCAACATATACAATAGAAGTATTCAAAATCAATATTAATGTCATGACTGCAGATAGAAACCATCCAAGATAATTATCTGGTGGTAAGCGGAGCACCAGAACCGACACTGTACCATGCGAAACGGATTTCGCGATTAGCGCTGCAGATGATGGAGCGAGTACAGTTTGTCAAAATTGGCAGCCATCACGTTAAGGTGTGTCCATAATATAGTCCGTGATATTGGCTTTATCCCTTGATAAAATATTTTTTGTTACTTCCAGTTAACTATCGGGATCAACTCTGGAGAAGTGGTCGCCGGTGTTATTGGCAACCGAATGCCACGCTACTGTTTGTTCGGTAAATGTTATCACTTACCATGCAACTGCTCTACGATCTTCTCTGTACTGTGCGGCTTTGTCATTGCACGCAGACGGTATCGAAATGGTTGTATTTGTACTTGTGCCGCGGAAATTAAGTTAATTCCTGAAATTTACATATCAGTTCAAAGTGATAAGTACTCCATTTTTTATAACAGTTTAAATACATGCATATTTTATTCGTTCTCTTTTTATGAATGCAGGCAATGCAGCTATAAAATAGTGCATACACACATTAAATAAGCGCATTTTTATTATTCCAACAGGTGACTCGGTGAATTTGGCCAGTAGAACCTTGAAAACCGGCAAACCCGGCCGGATTAATGTCGCCTTTTCTACTTACAAGTAGGTGCTGACCAACAAATTGGTCCAGTTTACAATTAGGACAGTTGCCAATCGTCTGCACGATCATGGAAGTGGCGAACAAATGTTAATATTTAATAAAAATATGTGGCCTTCTTGCACCATCAAAAATAAGTACTTAAATTAAATAACAATAACATATACGTATTACGCACAAGTAATAATTTTGATCTACAGTATGTACAATTGCAGGCTACTTCAAACCGGCTACAACTTCACACGGGACTTCCAGTTCGACTATTACGGAGAGGTCATCATGAAAAACGTTAAACAACCGGTGCAAGTGTGGCTGCTCGATCGGAAAACGGAGTCATACCAGAAAAACATTTCGCGCCTCTGTGAAATTGCTTAACAATGATGTATTTCGGTAGCATCGATATATTCTTGGGGCCTTTTTATGCTGATATTCATAGCATATGCCTTACTTTCAAATTTCACTGTCGGCAGTGATTGCCGAATTTCTTCGCTACAATGTGATGAAAGTCTTCGGTTACCAATTCAGATCTATAATCTGCCTTTCAAAATGCCCATCCAAATGCTAAAAGGAATAAAATTTTCGCAGGCGTGTACGCATCACATGCAATTCTAGATTATATTTACGTTTTTTTAATGCACAGATTTTATGAAATGTGACATCGAACAACAAGGTCAGATTTCTTTCTGACACCAACAACAAATACATCGACAGTTTTGTCGGGATTGTCGTAGGTCATCGCGTGACAAACGTCGCCAACTCGTAAGTTAAAGGCAAGATACGATTATTAAAATGGCACCCTGGAGTGATTTTGACAACCGGCTATTCGAATTCAGCTGTGCGAGCGGCAGGTCTGTAATTCTCCACTCTGGCAAAAAGTATTTTAAGTTAATCATGTTCTATCCCAAATGATGTTTTCGCCATTCCAACCCTTTTTTTGGGCAAAGCGGTATGTGGTGGCACGCACGTCGAGAAGGTAAAACGTAGTTAATGTTAACACTGCAACATGCAGGTGCTCAGTACGAACTGTACAATACACATTGCTCGTTCATACACATTATCAGGCTCGAGAAAACTATTATCTTAAAGCTTAAAGTTATTAGATTAGATAACACTGACGGCTGCTCTTATGCTGTGAGCCCTCAAAACATCGAACAGTAACAGTTAATAGAATTAAACATTTTATACTTGTGTTACCGCTGGTACACACAGGAAGCTCGCTAAACGCGGTTTAGCGCTTCAAGTTCGCGAATTTGCAACTGCTGTTTTCCACCAGCGAGCTGAAATCAGTTCCTCATAGTATCATCAAAAACAAACATACTTGGAGCGTTAAATATTAAAATTTGATTATATATCTACATAAAAAATCTTGGCTCTACGATGCTCTGTGTTTATAAGTAAGTGACATTGGTTCGATCAAAACATCGAAAGTACACACCATATCCATATACCGGTTAAAAGAGACAGCAAGCCGGATGTATACGTATACATCTGCACATTGATCAATACATACAGGCAGTTTTGCTCCTGTACCCCAGAAAGGTCAATCAACACATCCGTTGAGCGGTGAATTTAAGTGGAGGCACCTGCACATTTTTGAATGCGATATAACAGATCTAGAATAGAAGTGCTGTACACAGCATGGACTTACAATATGTTATAGTTATATATCAGTGTAGAATACAGTACGTAATTGCATTTTGATTACTTGAGTAGAAGTACAATATGTAATGGCGATTTATAACTGTAGTTCCACAGAATAATATCAAGTGCAGCCTGTGCAGGTATGAGTAGTTATTATACGTAGCAACGGATACGAAACAGAGGACACCGGAACTACCTCTAAGCTTGAAGGTAGAAAATTTGAACTTGGCTTCTTAATATCCGGCAATTATATTATATGTACACTCCAATTGCTAACTTAATCTATGATCCTGCCCGAAGTGAATCACCTGCACAACCGGGACGACAAAAGGGTCAGTCAAATCTGCAGAGTACTGCTACTTGCTTAGTTCTAAAAAATGCAATACATGTTTAATATAATTCAATTTTGAATTAAGAAATTCGTTTTCCATAGAAGATAGCTCCAACCAATGAAGGAAATGCTCCATCATCCCATAATTTATTTGCAATCTGTTATCATGACGGAGAGACGAGTACGATAGGGATAATACCGTAATATCTATCCTACCGACCTGACTCAACGACAGAGAATGAGCTGATAATTTCAATGTGGCATAGCCAAGAAAAATGTGTAAGCTACGAACTACGCGAAGCGAGAATCTGACTGCATTCCGACGATAGATTTTAATAGAAAACTCTCACACTGCCAAACTCCGAATGCCAACCAACTGATACCAAAATCCTGTAACTCTCGGACTTATATAGGCGCGAAGCGCGTCCAGTTAGAAAAAGCCAAAAGTATAACCCAAAACAAAGAGAAACTGCGAGAAAGTACAAAAATATAGCCGACAAGTACGAGTACAGATGTATAGAAGTACGTACATCGCTGCTACTGTACACCATATTCCGTCACCCCCGCAAACGGCTTTTGGGGAACCCAACACAAAAAGAAACGAAAGGAACATGAAAAACAGGAATAAAAAACTAAATGAAAATGAGTTCTCACGCTCTCGACTGGGTAAGGCGGGCAAAATCCATCCTCCGTCCGAGAATGACATGATCCTCCTCCACGGGTGACTGAGTGAGATGGTGAATGAGGAGAGGATCCTTGACGGGGTGGAAGTGAGAGTTGGCAGGAGAAAGTGAGTTGGCAAAACGGCAGTCGGAGAAAACACAAACAGGAAAATCGTCGGAAAAATAAAGAGGAATTTCAGTGGCAAAAATCAATTGAAATTAACGTAAAATCGCCGATGAAAATTCAGCAAAAACATCCGCGAATAAACAGGAGAATAAAAATAAAACGCCACTTCCGCACTGAGGAATATTGTCAGCAAAATGCACGAAAATCACAAGGGAAAACTGAGCAAAATCCACTCGGAGATCAACAGGGATTCAGTAAAAATTAATGAAAATTCGCAAAATCAGCAGAAACTGTCAGCGCGATCAGAATGAGAAGCGAGTCTGCTCAGTACCAGTTGACGGCGGAGCATTCTTGCGGGCATCCACAGCCATCTGCTGACGAAGCTGCTGTTGTCGTTCGCGCTCCTTATCTGCATCATTCGTAACTGCTGAAGCACCTACTTGGCCAGTGGGAACAGTAGAAGAGCTGGCTGAATTATGGGCAGGGACTGAACCATTTCCTCCACCAGCAGTCATATCAACATCGCCATCACGCACAACATTACCAACACTGCCACTCTGTCCATTCTCGGGATCAGCAGCAAGATCTCGTCCAGCTCGTCGCCAGTTGTCCGTGGGAACAGAGGCATTTTCACCAGCGTTAGCGCTACCACGTCCTCGAGCTTCACCACCGCGGCTTCTACCAGCAAATCGTCCGCGACGACGACCATAGCCACCTCGCTGCGTTTGAAATCCTGCGGCCATCAGCGTAGTACTGTACAGGCCCTGCAGTAACTGATTCCGATAGTGTGCACGGGCACGGCCGCCACGTCCACGATTAAAATACGGTGGCATTATCACAAAAAATTCCAACTTTACAAAACAAACTGAGATTCCTAGAGAGAGATCACTCTACAGAGAAGAAAACCGAAGAACCCAAAATCAATCCAAATATGTGCAACTGTGAATTTTTGCAATGCGGTGTTTTTACCCACAGTGCTGCAACATACAGATACCGAATTAACCTGCCGTCTCGCGGCGGTTACGACAGTTCCCGGGGACTTCGGGGATTACTGTTTATTAATTAGCCTGTCCGGCTGTTTCACTTTTCTTCCATATCTCGTTCTCACAGGAACGACGGGAACATCCTCGACTTCCGGTTCTGGCAACTCTGGCCTAACAGGAAACTCCTCAATCTCGTCTTCGAGTTCTTTTTCTACGGGCTTAAGCGGCTTATGACTTGCGCTCATATCTTCCATATCAGTCAGCTCCGGCTCATCCGGTTTTCGCATATTATACGGTCGCATCTGCGATACGTGCACTACATCCAGTTTCACTGCTCCCCTTTTGTTGCATTGTACTCTGTAGTGAATACTCGACAGTTTCGCCTTCACCTCATATCCGGTGCGCCAAAGGCCTTCAAACGCCTTATGCTTTCCTTTCGTACGCGCCATAGCTCGCACCATGACTTGATCGCCAATTGCATATTCAACTTCTCGTGCGTTAGCATCGTACCGGATCTTATCTTTCAGACGCTGCTGCGTTTCTTCCGCTCGTACCTGATCCAGTGCATCTGACAATGTCAGCTGTAAATGCTGAATAAACAAATGCGCAGGAATCGGAAAGTCCTCGTCGCCGTCATACTTCGGAATGAAGTTATCTTGCGGTAAACGCAAGTCTTCACCATACATCAGTTTCGCAGGTGTAAAACCGCCAATACGTTTTACCGGCTTCGTGTTAAAGGCGAAACAGATAGCTGGGAGGTACACATCCCAATCTGTTTGCTCATCGTTTATGTATTTAGATATTGCTTTCTTAAATTCTCCCACACGTTTCTCTGCTAACCCGTTTCCCATATTGTGGTAAGCAACTACCGGCACGTGTGCAATTCCCATGACGGCGGACAATTCACCAAACATGTCTGACATAAAGTTGGACCCTCTGTCCGACGTCAGATTCTTCAGCACACCAAACGGCATAATTATTTTTTCAAACACGAACTGTGCTAGCGTAGCACTGTCGTTCGCTTCTACCGCTTGTGCGACAACCCATTTCGAACCATAGTCAACACCGATCATGATGTGTTTTTACCATTTTTAGTTAACGGTAAACTGCTAGCAACGTCGATCGACCAACAGCTACGCGGATTTACAATCGGATTATGCTGTAAAAATCCAGCAGTTTTCTGGTTAACAGGATTACGCGCCTGGCACTGTGCACAGGACATCACGTAGTTCGTCACACTTTCTTTCATGTGCGGCCAGTAAAAGTATGCGTGCATCTTTTTTGTACGTGGATTCAATGCCTTGATGCGCGGCATACTGTGTGTCATGATTTTCGAACAGAAACTTCATTCTCCACTGGTACGGTACATAGAATAGGTAAAAGTCTTTACCGTTCACAGAGTACCGATAGTACACAACGCCTTGTTTCAAAATGAACTTTTTCAAGTACCGGCGCTGGTACGGCTTCATGTCCTGCGTAGGATCACTGAGTAATGACTTCCAGTGTGCAATTACGCGGTCTTTTGACTGCTCTTCCACCCAGTACTGTGCGCGCTGTTCTGGTACGAACGTGACTTCCGTATTATTTTTCACTTCTTTCCGCTCTGCTTTGTTGAATAAACGGACTTCAGCCCTGAACGCGTCAATGTACTGTACTTGTTTGTGGTTTTCTCTCTTACGCACTGCATCGATCTGTGCTACTGTTTCCGCATCCGGCTGGTCATCTTCGCGGTAGTCGGGGATAACATCCGACTCGTTAGACTCCGGCTCTCGCATGTTACCGGTCTGCCTTGACAAGGCATCTGCTTCGACATTGGCCGCTCCCTTAATGTACTTGGGAACCATGTCATAGTCTTGCACGTACAATGCCCAACGACCAATACGCCCATGCATATCTCGCATGTTGCGAAGAAACGTTAATGCGGCGTGGTCAGTGTACACTTCAAACTTTTTATACGCCAAGAAGTGACGCCATTTTTTAAGCGCACAAATGAGTCCATACGCTTCCAACTCGAGTGGGAAGTATATTCTGCTCTGAGTCGGCGTAAGCAGTTTGGACAAATACGCAATCGGCCGCCAGTGGCCATCAATAAACTGCTTGAGTACTGCGCCAACGGCAATTTTCGAAGCATCAATCACCATCTGTATCGGCGCCTGGTCATCGAAGCGCGCCAATATCGGAGCAGAACACAAAGCATCTTTCAGCTGCTGCATTGCGTTTTCTTGTTCCGGTCCCCACTTAAATTCTGCTGATTTCGGGACTAACCGCTGAAGCGGTTCAGCTATGTTCTGAAATTTGGGAATAAACTGTCTGTAGTAACCGACCATACCAAGAAATCGCTGTATTCCCTTGCGGTCTTTCAACGGACCGAACGATTTTACTGCTTCCAGCTTTTCCGGGTCAGTACTGATACCGTTACTATCGACAACATGACCCAAAAAGGATATTTTCTCCATGAAAAATTCACATTTGTCTGGATTGATCGTCCAGCCGCACTCCTTCAAGCGTGCAAGGAGTTCTGCCAGGTCACGAAAGTGCTCTTCTATGGTATCCGAAAAACATATTATGTCATCGATAAATACGAGTACTTTCTTATGTTTTAATTCAGCTAAAGTCAAGTCCATGGCTCTTTGAAATGCGCTTGGCGCATCTTTCATTCCAAATGGAAGTACTTTATACTGGTACGTAAATTCTTCAGCTACCATTGTAGCTTTTTTCCGGTCTTCTTCTTTCAGCTGAATCTGCCAGAAACCTGACTTTAAGTCGATCTTCGAAAATACTTTCGCTTTCGCAACTGCGTTTAATATGTCATCGATTCTTGGCAGTGGATAGCTGCTGCCCTGCAGTTTTTCGTTTAATTTTCGGAAATCTACTGTCAGCCGTCGGCTGCCGTCTTTTTTCTTCACAATACATATGGGCGATCCCCACGGGGAATTAGTTAACTCAATTATCCCATCACGCATCATTTCTTTTGTTTTTTCTCGGAGCCATTTTCTGTCCTCGAAGGACACACGATACGGTGGCTGTCTTACAGGTGCACTCGTACCTGTATCGACCGGGTGCTCATATATATTGCAGCAACCGACCGGTCTCTCTTTTGTTGGAAATACTTCCTTGTTTTGGCGAAGTATTTTGTACAGGCGTTCAATGTTTTCCAATTTCACCAATGGACCCAATTTTATTTTCTTGATTGTCTCTTCAGTCTCCGGCGTAGTACTGACTTCCGCCGTAGTAACTTCAGCCTTACGGCATTCACACTGTGCTTTGTCAGTACAGTACAACTCGTGGTACGCACTGTCAAATTCAGCGTCTGCAGATGTCAGAATTTCATCCACCATTTCTACACTGCCAAGGGAAGTATCCCTATCCAATTTCACGCGCTCATTCGACATGTTCATTATACGTACTGTACATGTGCCTTTGTTCGACACATCAAGTACGCCATCTTCGATGAACATCTGCGCATTATCTGTATGCAGACTACCATCGTAGAATAACGGCTTTCCACACAACTCAGCGCGTTTATACTGCACGTTATTTGCGCCTTTAATTCGCGTTGTTATTTCCACGTAACTTTTTGGATGTACAGTAATCGATTTATTCGGGAAAATTTCCATGCGGCGGCATTCCACTGTTGCGCCTTTTCGTTTATCGGTATTGTTCACACTTCCGCTGTGAACCATTTTTACTTCTTGTCCATCAACCTCAATGATGGCATCAGACTTCAGATCAGCTAAAGTCTGATTAACGACTTTCGGTTTTTCTGTACCGATGCGACGACCAGCAAAGTTGTACTCGTACTGGTTACGCCCATTTTTACGTTGTTTCCCGTACATATTTTTCTTTGCCGGGAATTTCTTCTGCTGTGCTTTATTATTCTGCGAGCTTTCACCGACTTCCTCAGATTCATCTGAGTTAAGCACGTCAAACTTGTTAGTGTATATAAACTGAAACGGACCAACACCAACCACGCCCCTTTCTTCCCGGACTTGCGGGTCTGACCAGCTTCTCATTTCCTGTCCTATTGTTCGGTACACATCGTCGCTTTTGCACTTTGGTGAATGTGCGCACTTAGACAGTACTTCTTTGATAGTACTGTACATATCAAACCAGTAGTACCTAGTAACTAAGTACTTCTGTATGGACACTTCATTCGGTATCAGTTTCTTTTCGTGGAATCGTTGATGTACCGAATGTACTAACTATCATCTGCCACTGATACGGCACCAAAATTCTTGGGATACCGCTTCCACTTCGTCTGCGACATAACATACCGCGGTACACTTGAAATAACCCGATTTCGTCTCTTTCAAAATCAGTAGTCGTTTTCAACGGGTTGTTATAAAGGTAATACCAATGCTTGGTATCCTTGCATTTGCACTGCTCCGCTTGCCAAAACGCTTCGTCCGCATACTCTTCAGCAGTGACCACACGCTCATGGTTTTCCGGTCGCCCCTGCGAATCGTGTCCACACTTTCGCCGGGTATTTAGTAGTTAACTGTTCGGCTAACTTAGAGTTACCGAAAGTAACTGACTGTCCCTCTGGCAGCATACCTTCGTCCGCATCTGCATTACCCCCGCAAACTTGAGTACTCGTACTCTGTTGCGGCTACTCTACCGCAAACTTGACGTTGCACCGAGCGCATTTTGCGGTTTCTTCAAGATCTTAACATTGCCTTTCACTGCTTTTGCGAAAGACTTCTGTGGCGTAACTTCATTCCGTTTTGTACTACTAGTATGTAGTACTTCTGCTTTTTTAACAGCCATTGTCGACCGCTCTTTGTTTAACCAGCTATTTAAGTGGTCATACGTCACACTACTTCCGTCGAATGCTTTACAGTATTCGAGTGCACGCCCCGTATCAAACCATGCAGGTATTGTGGGACATGGACGTGCACCGGGATTCAATACCGGTTTAAAACTGTGCTGTTGCACAAAATCCAACATTTTCAAATGTGCTCTTGGGTGATATCTGGGAAAGGCGGGTTCGGTACGAGTAGGCCTGAACGCCATAGTACTGAAATCAAACACAACCGGCTTACCAGTCCAAAAGTCGGTACCCAGTAGTACAAAGTCGACTTTTGTATTAGGATCGATTAATACAGCATGTTCATAACCAATTCCAAACAATTCGATACGCACAATACCACACAATGGGTCAATATCGGTAATATCATTCGCCGCCGTATTAAGCGTTACATCTGACACATGCGCTGGGCATTTCAAAATGCTTACATTCAACATTAGCGCTATGTGTATTGGCATAATGGAGATACTTGCGCCAGTATCCACCAACGTTTTCACTTCATCATTGTCATTCATAGCTAACATCACGTACACAGCTTGTGCATCCAGAGTTGGTAATGCAACTTCAAACCCTTTTTCTACTGCATCTGGGAACTGTGACAGTTGTTGCATACGCTCTACAGATAGTGCATTCACTTGCACATCCTTGCCAAGTTTACATACTTCCATTGCTCGGGCTTCCGCTCTTCTACTGTTGTGCCGGGCTAACACGTCCGCGGGCGGTTCACGTGTCGCCTCTTTGAATTTGCCTTTGAAAGTACAAAACTTTGCTGGGTGTAGCTCGTGGCACTTAAAGCAAATCAGCTGACCGGCATCATTTTTCCACTTATTTAAGTCAATTTCAACGTTGCCGATCATGAACGGCCGTCGGCCGCTATTCTGAGTATTTTCAGCTTTCACACTGTCACCTTTCTCGTACGTACTTCCAGACTGTTCATAAGAGTTTTGGCGGTAGTTACCGTATCCGCCTCGGCCACCACGGCCACGATTATTATTACCGCGGTATCCACCGCGTCCACGGTTGCCGTTATTACTGTAACTGTTGCTGTTTTGATTCCTGGTGTTATTGTATTCAACTTGTTGCGACTTCAAGCTGTAAAACGTCTTCAGCTGAGTACACACGTCTTCAACTGTTTTTGGTTTGGACTCAGTTAACTTTTCAAACCAGCGCCATCTATGCGGTCTTAATCCTTGAATAAGGATTGACACACGCTCTTCTTCACTTGTTCCCAATGTGTTGAACCAGTTTAGGTAACCATCCACGTATGAGTTTACCGTATGCGCGTCAGTAAATACACGGGCGTACATTGCCTGCCGTATTTCAGCGGGATCACTCTCCGATGAGAAGTGACTTAGAAGTACTCCCTTCCAGTACTTCCAGTCTTTATCTGGGTTTTTCTTCTTGTGGTCTGCATACCACAGATACGCATCATCCTTCAGTGAGTTTGACAAGGCCTTATCAATTAGCTGTTTGTCATCCCAACCGTTCAAGTCTTGACAGCGCTCGCAGTCAAGTATAAACTTTTCCACTTTCCCGCTTTCTTGTGTACCCTTATAATTTTGCGGGTAATGGGTCTTTTCTTTTGTACTTTTACCACTTTTATCAAATTTCTCCATTAACGCTATACTGCGTTCAATTAACTCGTCGGTACGAGTGTTTACACGCGGTTGTTCATGATTATCGTACTGCGCATCTTCCCACTGCGCATCTTCCGCTCTACGAATATCGCTTTCATACTCATATTCATTATCGCGCACGGGTACATAATCACGGTTACGTTGGGTTTCGTTAAACTCCACCCGACGACTTGCATACGCCTGTGACTGCTGACCAGATGTCAGCTTTGGTGCTGCATCAAAGGTCGCTTCCCGTTCAAAAGTACTCGTATGTACCCGGGATTCAGTCTGACCACTGACAGTTCCACCTTTTGTTTTCAGACTGTTTTCCCACTGCTGCAGCCTGGCCTCCCACTCTGCTAGCCGTTTTTCACGCGTTTTCGCTTTATCGAACTCATCTTCGATGCATATCCATTGACCTTGAAGGTCGTCACGTTCTTTTTTCAGTTCTGCATCGACTCGCGATTCTTCTGCCTTTAGTTTAACTTGCAGATCGTCACGTTCTCTCTGCGCACGTATAAAGTCACGTTGCAGTTTACCACTGTTGACCATTGAATCATGGCACTGCTTTTCCAGGTTTTTGTTTGTATTACGTACACGGTCCACTTCATCTTTGTTTTTGTCGTTTTGAGTACGTAAATCAAAGATATCAGTATTCAACTTTTTCACGTTTTCTTTGCACTCTTCATCGTGCTTCTTAATTTTTTTCTTTTAAATCATTTATTTCATCGTCACGCTTTTTCACATCCTCCTTCAAGGCATCGTTGTCATCACTTAAAGTATGACACCACGTTTTAGCCTTAACAAACTTCATGTGCATTTCTTCAGTTGTATTCAGACCGGCTTTAGCGATCTCTTTCATTTCGTTAAGGTCTTTTTCGTTCTCAATTCTGTTTTCCCATGACAGAACCGTATTGTCAAACTGCTCTTGATCCAAAGTAAACTGCCTTACAGCGGCATGTAACGGATGGATCACATCCAACGTTTTATTCAACTCATCGTAATTGCCTGTAGCCACTGTACTACGTATTTGAAACGGCTCTGCTGACAGCGGCTCAACCCCACCAGTTGGCACATCTTCATCAATAATACTCGCATTCATATCTTTTTCGATATTAGTGGCAGCCGTGTTATCAACTTCCTGCTCCTTGCTATGCTGTACAAAAGCAAAAGGAGAGACAACCTTTTCCACCGTTTCACCAGCATTTTCATACGCATCTGCAGCTGCTGTTTGCACAGCTTGCACTTGCGCATTAAACTTCTGCATAGCAGCTTTATATGCTTCAACTGTGAACAGTTTTGTAATATTTTGTGGCAGCTCTCTGTGCTCCAACCACACTCGCCAACCTGTCGGCGGCTTTCCCATTTTGGCCTCATCATTGTCGTAAGTTACGAAATCTTTGCCACATATCCCAGATTTAGGGACTGCAACATTCAGTTCATTCAGGAATGCTTCGATTTTAACGCCAATTGGCACGATAAACTTATCCGGTATCAGCTCTGCTGCACCTTGCTTCACTGCCTGTCGCGTAAACTTCGGTTGCACTACCGGCTGTGACGCCGTGCTTTTCGAATTTTCCATTGTTAGGTTTTTTTCACTTTTCACTTCGCTTCTTTGTTCAGCGCTCGTTGCACTGACTTCTTTTGTTTAAATCCGAGAAACTTCTTTTGTTTCACCCGGATACTCCAGCTACGCCCTTTGTTCTCAGTGTTCGTTGCACTGATTTCTTTTGTACAGCTCTAGCACTGCTTTGGCTGTCTACGCTACGCTCAAGATTTTGTGTGCACACTTGTATGCTTCGGCACTGCTCTCAGCATACGACTTCAGCTTAAGAATTCTGCTTTCGACTCTGTCTACTCGCAGTTTGTTGCGCAACTTCTGCTTCAGATTTACCAGGAACACGTCTGTTCGCTGGCTTAAGAATAATTCGGGAACATCAATCTCTGGCCAGGAGAATTGAGTCCCTACAGTAATTAGAGTATACCCAGTTTTGTGCTCAAGATCGATCTACAGGTTAACCCTGCATCGATCGGCTGGCAGGACAAACTGCACAGCGTCCAGACAGAGCAAAGCTCCCGGACAATTAGGTTTTCGTCGTGGGTCGCAGGCACAGGCAGAATTGGCTCACCACCAACCCACCTGTCGCCAGTACCCGGACTACTTAATTAAGGCGTCCAGTCGGCAGTTACTGCCCGGACATCCGTCCAGTCGGTACCGAAGCACCCGGACTGAGCACCTGGGAAATATCAATTCGCACAATTTCACATGTTTACTTAGCTAGGCCTTAGGAAAGGTTCGAACTGACGGTGGGCGCCATGACGGAGAGACGAGTACGATAGGGATAATACCGTAATATCTATCCTACCGACCTGACTCAACGACAGAGAATGAGCTGATAATTTCAATGTGGCATAGCCAAGAAAAATGTGTAAGCTACGAACTACGCGAAGCGAGAATCTGACTGCATTCCGACGATAGATTTTAATAGAAAACTCTCACACTGCCAAACTCCGAATGCCAACCAACTGATACCAAAATCCTGTAACTCTCGGACTTATATAGGCGCGAAGCGCGTCCAGTTAGAAAAAGCCAAAAGTATAACCCAAAACAAAGAGAAACTGCGAGAAAGTACAAAAATATAGCCGACAAGTACGAGTACAGATGTATAGAAGTACGTACATCGCTGCTACTGTACACCATATTCCGTCAATCATAAAAGCCCCACTAGCCTGATAATTAGTTGCAATACCCGTACGTAACACGCTCAGAAGCAGCAACTCGACAATTTTTAATTTTGTTTTCAAGTTTTGCCAGGTTAACTTTGGTCTGCCAATAACTCAACTGTAGTATGCAATAACACTGCGATCCATACACACTCGTAAAAAGAATAACAATACGGAAACACAAGAAATTTTGGCATGAAAAACTAATTTTGTCCTTCACGCTTTTTCTTTTCCTCTTCGTCAGAACTGCTGGAAGAGGAATCCGAAGAATCACTGGACTGGCTCTGCTGTTGACCACCTGATCGTTCAGCCGCCATCTGCAAACCAATGCAATACTCTGTTATTACCAAGGTATGTAGTACGAGTATCACTGATTCTGCACTGCTCACTCTTAATTTTTAACAACCCTCTAATAAAAAAACCCACAGCTGTCAAGCCATACCTTTTTATATGCCATTTCGAAAAGCTTCAGAGAAGCCTGTTGTAAGGTATTTGTAGCCGCCCGAATATTTTCTGAACTCTCGTTTTCTTTGTTGGCCAACTTTTCACGCAGATTTGCGATCTGCTCTCTGAGCTTTGTGCCTGCAAAAAAAACCAGAACATATGCGTACATTCAGCAAACAAAACTGTTTTTCGAAACAGCAAAAAAAACTTAAAGCTGCCAGTATAACTTGTACATTAAGCACTTTTTAATTAATTTTATGGTACAAAACAACTATAAACTGGATAAATGCAAATCCTGGGCAAACTGATTGTAAATTTGTAGGCATTATCCATCAGACCAAAAATAGCAGCCAAGAATCATGTATCATCGTTTAATCAAACGGTAATTCCGGGTTTCATCATTCAAATAATGCCATACAATTTTCTCCCAGGGCAGAAAATTCAACTACGTTTACCGACATTCACCATCCGACTAAAGGTGATGTCTAACCAATATAATACGGCTACGTCGTACGTACCTCATCAGCCGGAAGTTGATCCTTGAATTCATCAATTCGTGCTTCCGTATCGTGAACAATTGCTTCCGCCTGATTAACCGCTTCCACAACGTCTTTCCGTTTTTTATCTTCTTCAGCATACTGCTCAGCCTTCTTTATCATATTCTCAATTTCATCCTTACTCAGACCACCAGAAGACTGAATCACAACTGTAATGAAAATTTAGTTCTCCATAATGCACAACAGATGTAAAACTAGACAATAAATGAATTTAATTCTCACTGTCATACTTTTCTGCTCTTTTCCGGTGCCCCTGTCTCGGGCGGACACGTGCACAATACCGTTGGCATCGATGTCAAAAGTTACTTCGATTTGAGGAACGCCACGTGGAGCAGGGGGAATTCCAATCTATAGATAGATCATAGAGAAATCAGTGGTAATCTACCTTCATCTAAATTCCGCATAACTATACGACTTCAATATGAAAAGCTGTATTCCAATCAGAAATAAAAAAGCAGCCAAGAAGAGGTGTCATCACCAACAATCAAACGGTAATTCCGGTATCATCATAATAATACACATGCAATAACATTCGCAAGCGCTTACTAGGGAAGGTAAGCAGCAACAAACGATATAACGAATTAAATATCTTACCAACTGAAACTGTCCTAGCAGCTTGTTCCCAGCAGCCATGTCACGTTCACCCTGAAAAACTTTAATTTCCACCTGCGTCTGACCATCAGCCGCCGTGGAGAACACTTGAGATTTTTTTGTGGGAATTGTAGTATTCCGATTTATCAGTTTCGTCATCACACCGCCCAAAGTTTCGATGCCGAGCGAAAGTGGTGTGACATCCAGCAGTAAAATATCCGTCACTTCACCCGCCAACACACCTCCTTGAATAGCGGCACCGATAGCGACCGCTTCATCGGGATTTACGGATTTACTGGGAACTTTCTTGAATACATCCTGCACTGTAGATTGCACCTGTAAATAATAGTATTTCACCGGTTGCAACCACCAGGCAGACACGAAAAACTGAAGTGGGTAATTCAGTGATACACAATTTACCAAAGTTTCGGCCCCGAAATCGCAAAATTTTATTCAAATTCGGGAATTTGTCTTTGGACTACAGCATCTCCATTGTCAGCCATTATTATATGTACTTAGAATAAAAAAATCTAAACCAGCGATTTAAGCTTACCTTCGGGACTCGTGTCATGCCGCCGACAAGAATCACCTCCCCAATGTCATTTACGCTGACTTCGGCATCTTTTAAGGCTTTCTGACACGGCTCGACTGTGCGCTTGATTAAAGGATCCACAATACTTTCAAACTTCGAACGCGTGAGTTTCATGTTGAGATGCTTTGGGCCGGCGGCGTCCATTGTCAAATACGGCAAATTGATATCCGTCTGCAGGGCGGAGGACAGTTCACATTTAGCCTTTTCGGCTGCTTCTCTTAGGCGCTGCATGGCCATGTTGTCCTTGGTGATGTCAACGCCTTGCTAAAACCGAAGCAATACAATGTTGAAAACGCAGCTGTAGAAGCAAGCACAGCATGGTTGGTAATCGATATTAACAGAAGTACTCACATCACGTTTGAATTCTTTAACGATGAATTGCAAAAGGGCGGTATCAAAATCTTCGCCGCCAAGGAAAGTATCGCCGTTCGTCGATTTAACCTCAAAAACACCTTTCTGAATCTCCAGGATTGAAATGTCGAATGTTCCGCCTCCAAGATCATAAACGGCAATGCTGTGGAGAAAACCGGAATTAACTGCTATGGTATTTATAGTTTTAACGCGGAATGAAAAAATTTGTTGAATCACGTTAAGTATTTACTTTGTTAGCTCTAAACGAATAAGTATGCCATTCAATGAGTAACTAATTTGACTTTCAATTTCATAAAAATCACATACATCTGATCTTTGACTTTGTCCATTCCGAAAGCCAACGCAGCCGCGGTCGGTTCGTTAATAACTCGCAACACATTCAAACCGGCGATCTGACCGGCATCCTTTGTGGCTTGGCGCTGGGAGTCGTTGAAATATGCAGGAACGGTGATGACGGCATTTTTAACCGAAGTGCCAAGGTAGCTCTCTGCAGAAATATTATGCGTAATAATATGAAGGAGCAAAGGAAACTCACGATTAAGTTACTCCTAAAGAATCTCAGTTACGATCTCCACACGCAAGACACTAATGTCCTTTCAGCTGACGAAAAATTGTACCATCACTGATAAGGCAGAAAGCAAGAAATGTATCGTCATAGTTTACCAGCTGTTTCCTTCATTTTCATTAGCACAAAGGCTCCAATCTGACTGGGCGAGTACATTTTCCCGTGCGCTTCGATCCATGCATCGCCGTTCGTGGCACGAACAATTTTGAAGGGGACATGTTTCCTATAAAAACAATCAGAGATCACGCATCCATTTGCAGAAAAGAAAAATTTCATCAGCATACATTTCTTTCTGAACTTCCGGATCGTCGAATTTTCGTCCAATTAAACGCTTAGTGGCGTAGAAAGTATTGGCTGAATTCGTCACCGCTTGGCGTTTGGCCGGCATACCAACAAGTCTTTCGCCGGATGGTGTAAACGCCACCACGGATGGTGTCGTTCTGGATCCTTCGGCGTTCTCCAACACTTTGGGCTGTTTGCCCTCCATTATGGCCACGCAGGAGTTGGTCGTTCCCAAATCGATTCCCACGACGGCACCTTTGACAGGTCCGCTATCCTTGGTGGAGCTGAAAGCAGTGAAAACTATATAAAGACACATCAACAAATACAAACGTGACGATTCATTTGGATATCTGAATAAATAACAAAAAAATTAACTGAAACTTAGCCGTCGTGCCACTATTTCAGTACAAACGGTTCAACCACACTGTCACGGCGTACAGGGTGGCAGCGTTGAACTGTAATTTAGAACTATAACGGTGCAATGCAACATCGCCTTCAAAACGAAAGCATCAAGTTTAAACCCCGCAAAAATTTACATCTATAATTTTAAAATTTCTTGGACTAGAACTGCTGGGAAATATGGGCTAGTTATGATGATAAATTATCCATCTAGCCGTCAACAATTGCCAAAGCACATGTCGGCATCGCATTGCATGTGAAACGTGATAAGCTGCTACACAAATACTGGAGGCGAAAACTCCATTTTAGAAATCACTTACGCAAAACGGCGTCCATTGCCGAAAACCCTCTCCAGGAAAGAGGGAACCTGAAGTTCCTGCAAATAAACAGGCATGTAGTCATGTTTTTGCAGAAGTGCAGCGCCATGCTAAGATGGATGGCCAGAGTACCGGTGAATTGCATCATGTTCGTGAAATTCAATGGCGACAAACCTGGGATAAAAATTTCGGCACAGTTTTTGGAACTTTAAGCATTTTCATCCGTTAATTAAGCTGATTCAATTGATGTCAGCGACGTTAACATAAAAGTATGGTCAAGGAAACAAACACATAAAAAACGAATCGCCACTGTGGGTGAAAACTAGAAAGTAGAAACAGATAGAAAACGCTGAAAACTGCGTACAGACACCGAAAAATCTTTTCGTTGGTGCGGCGGAAAGTGATGAAATCGGGACCAGTCTGGAAAATTTTGCTTACTCGTAGTAGTATAGGTTGTACGTTGTGGTAGCAAACCTGATTCAGTACTAAGTGAACCGCATTTGCAGCTCAGGTCGGTGAACTTAAGGTGCTACCGTGCTACTTTACTCGTGCTACTTTACTTTACCCGTGCTACTTTATGTTGTTGTTGTGATCAATGTGATGCTAGACCGACCGGCCTGAAATTTTAAGGCGATAGACTGGTTTTGCTTCATCCCCAGAGAAGTTACAGTAACTATATTTTCTAGAACAGAAAAAAATGCTTTTTACAATGAGAAGTCTTTTGAGAAGCAAAGAACAGAACAGAAACCCAAATCCGTCTAAAACCAAAAGGTACCGCGGGTCCAAAACGACGGAGGGTGCAGCAGCACGGTTCGATTCACGTAGCTGCCATCACAGTTTCAATCGAAGCATACCCAACCGCACGCGGGCTGCGTCTGCGTACCGCTGCAGCCGCGCGCAGGCGGCGATTTCATGAACGCCATGCGCAGCCTGCAGGTAGCGTGGTTGTCTGCTCAAACTGGTCCACCGATGCAGCGGACCATTTGCAAAACCCGAAAACCTTGATTTACTGGAAGTAAAGTTCGGAGAGTTTACGCGTATTGCATTCCACTGCCGCAATGGAATTGGTTGTCCTTGGTACCATTGGAAAGAAAAATTATTCTACACACTGGGTTTCTTGGTTTTGCGATATAGTCATTCGAACTCCAACGCTCAGTGATTTTCTCCGTAAGAAGAATTAGTTCCATGTTCAAAACTTGTATCTTCCTAGCTTTTTTATTCAAGATTTTTCTGAATAAACCCAGTGTGTGAAATAATTTTAAGTTCCATTTGAAAACATCAGACCTGAAGATGTTCCATCTGGTGCTTGGCTTAGATTTTTTTAATGCTCTCACAACAGAAAAATTTCTATCGCGTTTATGCTATTAGTGTTGATTTTGAAACTATGTCTATTAAAAAGCGCGATTTATGAGCTTTCTAATGAACTCATACACTCCGAAAACAGCTCAAACCAAGGTGCACAAACAATTTTCGAAGTAGCTATAAAGATTGATATTTTACAAACTGGTCCATCGCCTTAAAACTTCTAAATAGCGAAAACCGCTTTTTTAATTTATGGGAATTTGTGGTGAATTTAGACCGTTACTTTCTTCCTTGATTATTAGTATTAGTTTTACAAATCGATTTCTTTTTTTTGTGCGATCAACTGTTGTGGAGAATCTTAGAAATCCCGTTACTGCAGCTTGCCAAATCTGGAGAACATCTTCACTCGTCAGACGGTTATGTGGTGCTAGTACGACTACGAGCTATCAGTCATCATTGAAATGGCTTTTGAATACAAAACTGATTTTCCACATTTATTGAGAAAAGCCAATGACAGATGTGCGATCGCGACACGATTCGTGGAGGACATCCCAACAGAAAATCTGCAACTGGAATGTAAGTTCATGTCATTTTTGATGTTGCCGCTGTTTCGGTGTCTTAAATCAGTTAAATGATTAATCATATTAATCATTAAATGCCTTATTACGAGCATTGGAAGTTGGAACTACGAGCGCGGCTTTCAGGCGCGTATCCTCATAAATTATGTCTGTTTTATCTCAAGGTATGGCCAAGCTGGAGAACGAATTCTATCGCCTGCAGTCCGAATTTGACTGCATGGGACAAAGCCAATACAATACACGGACGTTATTAGAAGCAATAGTCGCTGCTCTAGAAAGCAGCGTGAAAGATTTGCAGATTAAGGATTCTGCATTGTACTACGGACTTTCCCGCACTCATCCGGAATATCAGAAATTCCTCCGTTTTCAGTCCTTGCTGGAGAGTGAATTCATCACATGGAAAATCATTTTTGAATTGCTGGTGCATCGAGGAAGCACGGCTTGGCAGGAGCATGAGTTGCAAGGGTCGGATCAAAATGTAAGTGTGCAAATATTCCTGCGTTTTTTAGTTTAAATTAATTTAGGATACTGCATCGCTGATGATATTTGCACGTAGGAAAAGTCTGAAAGCTTGTGATCGATATTCAATATTATCATGGGCCCATGGCGGCAACTACAAGTAGCACATCATTAAAACACCAGTGGGACTGTGGGAGTAGTAATAGTATTTCTCCCGCATGTACCAAATTCGTCCCCCGTATCGCACTCAGCAATTTATTTGGTGCTCATGATCTTATTCATTGTAAGCCGGAAGTGAACGTGCATTATTCGTTTTAAATCTGAAACGAAAGAAAGGGGTAACCGCTCTATTCCATAAATTTTGTATGAAATTTGTATACGGTTAATTTGGACGTGAGATTTGTGTGGACATAGAAACTGTCCAGCGGACTGCCGTCAGTCAAGAGATCGGTCAAATTTTGTGAACTTGCAGTTACTTACTAGTGAGTATTGACTACCTGATTCAGCGGTAAATTCTGCAGGCTGACACGGAAAAGAATCTCGTAGATGAGTGGATGAAGTCACCCCAACTGTCCGCTATTAAGGTTGTCCTGGATGTCCTGGAGGACACTTATTCGCGATGTAATCCACCGGAACTTCTTCTGCCTGGGTTAAAGGTTCGGGCCATGGCGCCTCGACTGCATACGACGCAGAATGCCAAACACGCTCGTTCTCAGGTATCTGTACATTCAGCAGATGGCGCACCGCTTGAGTATTCCGCTCACTTACATCTTTCCAGAGTCGTCGGCTGAGGGATATGCTACCGTCCACCTCCGTGACTGATGAGGAGATATATGAAGCAATATTCAAAAGCATTCGGGCCGGGAATTTCGAGTGTGCTGAAACGATTGCAAAAAGCGGTGGTATTGGAGTGTTTAATGTGAATTACCGCCTTCGTGATTACCTTACTGAGCCGGTGGTTGGCGGAAACCATAGTCGATTGCAATGGAAAAATTGGGCGTGGAACGTGTCTCAGGATGTGAGATTTTTCTGTTATAATATAAGGAACTCTGGATACTTTTCTCATAACTGACACGCGATACTGTCATCTAGATGGAAATTGGACCTTGGCAGCGAGCAACATGGGGAATTTTGTGTGGAAATTATGCGGCGACGCTTCCTGTAGCATGCAGCTGGGAAGATCGACTGTGGATTTACTTGACTTGTTTCCTGGATCTCTGCATTGAGTCGATGCTTTGTAGAACTGTCTCCGGTATTGTTCAACCAAATACTGAATTGGCTTCCATTCTGCCGGTGGAATATTGGTCTAGTGGGTTCGTACGCTGTTTCCTGCGCTTTATTTGAGTTGCATTATCGCTTGTATTTTTATCAAATACGTTTATTTTGGGTTTTAGTTCAGGCTTGGAGATTTCAAAAATATTCGACAAGCTACAGAGCCCTGATATGAACAGCTCTGGCAGCTGCTCCGTTCCGATATTTATTAACAGTATCAGAGCAGCAGTTACGAATGATTTGGAACCTAGTTTATTGATCTACGAAGATTTCATTCTCAATATGGCCAAAAACAAACTGCCTATGGATGGGATGCAAGTTTTCGATGTTGTGCGACAAGCTAGCCAAAGTCGTTTCGTGGTTTTTGTGCTGTCCCTGGTCAAGGATGCTGGAATACCTATGGATCGTGTGTTTTACGGCCGTGCATGTTTTCTATATGCACAGGTAACAGCTTACTGATAAATTTTTAAGAACAGTTTGTTTGGCAAGTAAGTGCATAATTATACAGTACTAGGAGACCCCGCGCAAATTGCGCGGAATAAATAAGAAATGAATAATTCAATGCAAAAAATTAACTTTTTTTAACTACATCTAAAACTATAAACATGAGGAAATCATAGAATTTACTATAATGTCAATGGACTCCCAGGAAAACCCTAGAGGGGGCTCGTGAGCATATGGAAATTTTCAATTTTTCTTCCCGGAAATGAACCGGCTTTCGACTTAGCTCTACAGAACTAATCCTTCGCACCATAACAGTAAACAACTAATTAACTCGTATCCTTCAAAAATTTCAGATTATTTGCCCAGTTGCAAAATAGTAGCTCTGTAATTTAGATACGGCTTACCTAATCTGCTCATTTTTACCATCGCGATTCGCGCGCTTAGCCGCGCTGGTTCGAATTTCAAAGTAAGTAAAGCATCGCATTTTACTGGGTTACACAAATGAACATTGGTTAAACGCTAAATCAAGCAGTACATTATTTCAACTATTTCAACACATAATATACTTCATCCAGCCTCCTCCCGATGCAGAAGGTTTCCTGAACGCATGCAGCATTACCTCGCATTAAAGCAATACTGATTCTCTGCTTCAGAAACTGAGTTGACCGCTAAGTAATGTAAAGTATGTAGGTTGCCTCGTTTGCTGCTCCGCGAGCTCCGCTCGCGCCGCAGCTCGGCGTCGCCTACGGCTCCGCCTTCTATGAAAAACTAACAAAACTATTTCAAGTTTCGCAAAATCTGTCGTTCTCAACAATGAAGCACTCCCCCTGGATGACGCGCCTAACGACCGCTAAGCAATCCCTCAGATAAAAAACTTGTTAGCTACATAAGTAGCTTTGCTGCAGAAGTGCAGTTAATACACATTAACTAAGCTCATATGGGATATGAACATATGCAGCTGCCGGTTTGCTGTCCCTAAACCATAAAAATGCAGTACCATCAATCCTAAACATCAGTACCACCTTTCTCGGACATCATTTTTCACATAAAACAAATTAACAGTACTCGCAACTTGCGAGTCGCAAGTCATGATCTCAGTCATCGCAAATTTTTGACTTCAACGGCATATCAGTACGACAGTACTAAATACCAATGGCAACCGCCCGTGGAAACGTTGCAACTTTAAACTGGTCAAACCACTGCAAACGGCAGATCTTGAGAAACAGTTTTTGGGGCAGTTCCATACTCGCAGACTTTGTTAGGTTTTTTGTGCTGCATCTCACTTTTTCTGACACCATTTGCTTATGAGAAATTTATAATACGTGGCCATGATTCGAGAATTTTCCTCCCATCCCAGCAAAGTTGGCCAAAACGCGCGTTCTTAGCGGTCGAGACAGTGGTGGAGTGGTCAGTTTTGCAGTGGTGGATTTTCGACTTTTCCCATTGGCTTTCTATGTTGAAGCTTTTCTAAATTCTCTTTCAAACTTTTGTTTTTGTTTAAAAACTGACTTGCGATGGCAAATCTACCAAGTAAGGGCTATCGAATGATACATAGACATGGAAATTTGGCTCACTTGATCGGGCTGGCGAACTCGACAGAGTGGGAATTTCGTTAAGGCTTACGCGATTATTATATAGTGATGATAGTTCAAACTTGGTTCAGCTGTCCGTTTTTATGATGCAGGCTGCGGTGGAAAGGAACGTCCAAATGCTGGCATTCTATGTTTCTCGCATTCCTGAGCCAGAGCTCGGAGAGGCGGTCAAATCATTTGTTTCCGCATGTGAGTTGCAGATATTCTTTTACACTAAACGCAAAGGCAGAAATGCTTCCTTTCTAAATATTTCGTAAAAATTTGTGTATTGCGTGTTTCAAACTTTTCGATAGGTTTTGTTGATGATGACCGTATAATATAGTTCGTTCGCTCCTTCATCAGCTCTTTGGTTGTAGACGAATCTCCGAAAGATTTATCGGAATTCTTCAGCAGTATACTGATGTTGAATAGACAGAGCTCAATGGATGCTGGGAAAGCTTTCTTGGCAGAAAGGTTTCTATCTTTGCAGATCTCACCAACACCTGAAATACGGGTCTGTTTGCGCGACAAATTTTTGTTAATCTTCCTTCTTATTCCTCTATAATTAACTTCTTTATTCTATCCGTGAATCAGTTATCTGTTCTCTCTGCAGCATCGCTAATTGTTGGTACTGTCTTTAGTAGAAATGTTTGTTTTATTGTTTTTAGGAAGGATTCAATCAGATTTTCAAAGTATTCTGTGGTGTGCCGGAGATAGCAGCAACAGTCTTAGCGTGTCTGAACCGCTTGGTGCGCTTATTATTGCGTAAGTCTATTTAAGCCAACCAAATCGAAATTGTGGAGCGGCTTGAATTTGTTTCGCTGTTGCAGTCAAGGAATCGCCTGATGCATCACTTGCCTACAGTCTGGTTTACGGACTAAAAAGTGATATTGGCATCGTCATGGGTAACCTTGATGCCGCTGGTGAATTGGACAATGTTACGGAAGATGCGAAGAGTGAAACCTTTTGTTGGCTGACTTACTTTGTAAGATTTTCTGTTTAATGCTCTTTGCCTTATTCGAAAGAGGAGGTAGAAATCGGATTTTCATTGTTCCAGGAGATCTGCCGTAAATGCGACGAATATAATCGCTATCACCTCAACGAAAGTTTGGAAGATGTTGACAACCCAGAAAACTTGTTGGAGGTTCGTTCCGAAAATTGCTTTTGAATGTTTCCAACGAAAATCTGTTCAGTCGACTGGGGAAATGAGTTGTAACTTGATACATATAACATAGGGCACCTGGTTTGGAACGGTTTCCGGTTTTTTAGGAAATTATGAAGGAAGGATTTCAAGTGTTCGGTGTTGATGATTGGTTGAAGGGATGTAGCACACCTGAAGAACCTGATCGGGGGCAACAATTGGAAAAGCTTCGAGACAGTACTTATGTGGAACTCTACTGCACTCTGGTGAACTTGTCGAAGGACATTGAAGATGAGGATGTTTTATCTAATATGGTCAATGTTACCCTTGCTGTTGCCGACAAAGTTGCGAAGGTGCAGTACTTACCATTAATCTTATTCGCTTGAGGTTCTTTTACTATTTGTGCTAACTGTGCACTAACTTCGGATTATTCCTAATTCTTTTGAGTTACGATATACCAGCAACCAACAACTAAGCATAACCTGAAATTCGTCCATTGTTTAGGTTCATCTGGCTGAAGCAGGAGACGTTCTGCGATCGACCAGACACATAATGGAAATGGCTCTCAGTAAAGGGGTCTATAGCGCTGTATCTCAAGCAGAATTTAAAAAGTGTATAAAGAGAGTTAACGCGGTAATACGTTGATGCCGCAGTGCGTTGTATTTCTCGGCGGTTGATTTCTTTTATCTTGAGTATTGACTGCTGATTTTTCAGTGTGATTTTCTTAAAGTTGTTATTAGTTGCCTGACTGACTAGCTGAAACGGTCACTGCAGTTGCACAGATGAAGTAAAATAAAGCAAACGAAATTTACCGTGTTCCGAAAAGAACTCACACTCAACGATTTATTCAGTAACAACAAAGACAAATTCAAAGTATTCGTTATAAAAATCACCAAGTAAAATAACGAACTTTTTAGTCACTTCGTAAGATTTTAAAACCTTCCATATTAAGATCAGCTCGGGAAGGAAAAACCACTCTCAAACCACCGCTTTCATCCATAACGCGCAATTGCTGCACCACGATTTTTCTTCCAACTGAATGCTCTCCGTTACCGTTGTCACGGCTTTCACTAGTTAAATCCTGTCTAACACAGGCGGTTATCAATTTCTCCGCAACGGCTTTACAGACTGCCAGGCTTTTCGAACTGGTCACTTCCAGGAGAACATTTTGCGTTGTGGGAAGAATTTTCGATTTTTCACTGTTGGTCAGAGGAGGCAGTGACAGCACGGTACCGCTTTCCGTTAACAAACACGGGTAGACTGTCTTTTCGTGCAGCAAATTCAAATACCTGAAAGCAGCATGGAAAGATTCTTATCAGTTAGGGACTGACTGACAAAAGGTGCCTAAATCAAATCATGCAGCTACTGCAAAATGTTTGATTACTTATGAATGCCGGAGAATGTGTTTCGCTTTTTTTCTTTCCTTAACGCATCGGCTTCCTGTTTCAGCTGATTCATCAAAATGTCGGCCGACACTTCCGCGGACCTCTTCAAGGGACAAATCTGAGAAAAGAATGTCATATTGACTGAAGTGTCACAATTTCACTAGTTTTCGCAACTTTATCAGGTACGCCCAAAAAGATATTATGCTGCAGACCTTTTCAACAGAAACTAGAGAAGACTGTAATACAAGCAGGCAAATCTTAGAAATCACGTGCTTACCTTAATGCTTTGCGGAGATTTCGCATCGTAAACCATATTATCGGAGATCTGATCCAGATCATGGGTAGCAATAGTTGCTATAATATATACAAAAAATGTAAGAAAGATAGATGCGTAATTCTACAAACGTCAGTTCCAGATTAACCTGCTGTCCTCTTTTCACAAATGTCATCATGGAGATCGGACTAAAAACATCCGCAATGAGCATCACCTTTATCGCATATCCAAGAAAAAAATAGTTATACCTGCAGTGCGATGAATTTCTTCATCTTTTCCGGATCGCTTAACTCCAGATTTTTTATCACGCAGCACACAATGAACGGTCGTACTTGCTGCGTAACGGCCTTCCACGTTATCTTTCTGGATGTCTCATCCGCCGGTAACACCTCGATTTCATCAACAACAACTTCCTCCTCGTCGACGCTCTTGTTTCCCTTACTCTTTTTCTTCGCTGCTTTTTGTTTATTTTCTGATTCGGTAACCGGAATCTGCGCAACGCAATGCTCTCGCACATAATCTAGCACCGCTTTCGATTTGGGCGGTTTCTGTGCGGTAAGTTTACACAGTCGTGAGTCTTTGATGGGATTATCATGGAGCAGTATTTCCCTCAGTTTTCCACACTGTGATAATTCTTTGGGGATAATGGTGATTTTGTTGGATGAGAGGTCCAAGTGTTTAAGAGCGGGAAGTTGGTCGATGCGAGGCGAGATGCCGGTCAGTAAATTGGAATTCAAGTTCAATTCCAACAGATTTTCCAGTTGGTCCGAGCAGAGGACTTCCGGAAATTCAACTAGTTTGTTGTGGGACAAATTGATCGATGTCAAATGAACGCAGTGCGACAAGTCCGATATCTTCGCAATTTCGTTTACGCTGCAAAGTGAATTAAAAGTTTTCGTTAAACTTAATGCCTAATAGTGAACATCGTTTTACCAATCTCAAGATCACAATAATACCAGAAATAAATTTATTACTGATGTCACCGCACTTCCAAGTATAGATAGTAGATGACTTATTTCATCATTTTAGTTTATGATTATGCTAAAACGAAGTCTGAGACGAACTCCGACTTTTCAAGTTCCCCAATGTTTTTACCTGGCATTTAGGCTTTGAAGATCTCGCAAGTTTCCAAAGACATCTGGAAGCTCCGATAAACAGTTTTTGGAAATGTCCAAAACTTTAAGTTTCGTTAACAGCCTGACCGTTTCTAAAAAAACAAATGGCTGAACAACCACTACGAGTACTAAAATTGCTTGACAAACATTCACCATAGCTATTACAGTAAGTAATAAGACCGAAAGAGTGCAACCAATGAGTATAATTTTTAGATCCTAAACCTTACGAGGAATTTCCTTAAGCTTGTTGTCATGTAGAATTAAGCGATTCAAGTTCTCCAGATGCCCAATTTTATCGGACAGGATGGTCAAAGGTGTCCGACTGATTTCTAGAAAATTCAGCGTTGCCAGATCAAAAACATGCTCGTCCAAGCCAGACTCTTCCACTCTCTTCGCTATCTCGGATGAGCTCAGAACCAATTCGCGCCGCTGATGTTCTTGGACTTGTTGAACTTCGGTCCACATTCTCCAGTCCGCAGCTCACTTCGCTGAAGATTTAATTAAATTAACCCCAGCAAGGAACGTTCGTCGTCCCAGTCTCAAAACTGTTGGACGAACCTGAATTGTTATGCGGGAAAAACAGCAGTATAAAACTTAAAAGTACTGTACTTACAAGAACTGAGTCTACTGACAAGAATTTAAGCGATAACTTGCTCTTGGATGAAATCGTCGTTCATAATGATATTGTAGCCGTAGACTCATGTTCTACGGATTGTCATTGGTAACAACTCAACCGGAAACAGATGTACCGCCTATCTCAGTAGAATTGTGAGTCCATGTTATCGGTTGTGAAGAATTCTGAGATGTTCTGACTTTTCTGGATGTGAAATCAGTAGACGTGCTCACGCTGCCTCGACCGGCAGACGGTTGACTTTCCCACATGTTCTTGCTCTTGCCCTTGCTCTTGCACTTGCTCTGATTCTGATTAAATTGATGATGATGTTCCTGAATTTGCGCGTTACGTAAGATTGTGATTTACTTAAGATCTGGGTAATTACCGACGAACCATCGAACCTCGTTTTATCGTGGTACGGGTGGATTAACCCAACCCACTAGGGGCAGCTTAGAAGTTGCCATTGCAATATCATGCAGTTGGTTGCGCCGAATGCGCGGGATGCGGTGCGTACAGCTGCACATGGATGGACTCTGGACCACGGATTCATATTCGTTTGTATAAAAGTGGTCATATCTATATGTTGTCCTAATAACTGCCTGACAAGTCATGCTTTGAAATACGGGCAGTTTACTTAAATACTTAAAATTTTGTAATTCATTATTTGGGTTAGCAATATCGCTAGTTTTATCATTATCGTTAATTTTTTTGTTTATTAGATGGAGCACGTCCAACAAAAAGCGCTGGCGGATGCCCGGTACTGCGAGACTAGAAGTGGCTTATGCCTCGTACTTTTTTGTGCCGAACTGGTGAACTCCTATTATACAACAAAAAATATCGAGAACAAAAAATATATAAAATCTAAATTAAAAACTTAATCTAAAAAAGCAGCGAGAACTGCATGGTAAACTAACTGCATGCATGGCGTGCACGCAGTACCGTACAATTACACCAGCGGAAGCTGGTGGGTCTGTGTGTCTTTGAAAAATCTACGTGTGTTAAATTCGCATTCGAATTGTTTTGTACCCAAAAATTATAGAAATGCAGCACAATTTGGCAAGTGTCTCTTAAACGCGGCCATCACAGGCCTAGCATGATTTTCAGTTCTACAGAAATTAGCTCTTTACCAGATAAATAATTATGTGAGATTTTACGATTAGTGCAGTTCCGTCTGTGTTAGTATAGAACGTCAAGGCGCATTCGGGATAAAAGAAACACACCACTCAAGTAGTGTTAGAAAGAAGTGTCTGGAATAGGCGGCCTCCCTACCCTAGAGAACGCCCGATCTGCATATCTGTAATACCCGCCCCCGGTGAATTTTCCGAGATTAAACAGATCTCTTCGTTGGATTTAACTTGTAACTGTTGTAACTGTAACTGTTGTAATATTAATAATTTGTAACTGCTGATTATCTACCGGCCGGTGTACCTGGATATACTCGCGTCACAGTCGCGTGTCCCACATTTCACCTGTTTCCTGCCGTATGTTTTCCTCTATGTAATCCGATGATCAAGCAACAGGCTTTTCCTTTTTATATCAATCGCAAGTTATAAATTCGGCGCACCAAAAACTTTACTTGGTAATAACGTGCGTTCTGTATGGCTGTTATTGCTTTGAGAGGACGTTTGAATTGTCGTTACTTTTTTATTCGAGCTACTGAAATACCAAATACGGCTTATTAACAATTAACTGCAGTGCGCTATTCTATATTAAATAGGCGGTTTGGACCATCACAAAAGCGTCAAAAGCGTTACGTGAAAACAAGAATACAAGAAAGAGAACTTGGAGCAATTAGTAAGGATCTCCAGATGCTGAAATGATGAAAAGGTCACACCATTAATTTATAACTACATGTTTTGACCGGTTGCCAATTATGATGCCATAAATTTGGCATGTAGAAAACCTATTTAGCGCCTTTCGGCTTGACGCAAGGTTAGTAAATATCCAAATTGATCTCGTTCTGAAAACTCCCATATGTACAATGCAGGCAGTTTTCGATCGATATGGGACACTCGACATCTGCCCTTTCATTCTCATCATGCACTGTCAAATCACCCGGAAAGCCTCCTTTTCAAAATTTGCACCTTGCTCAAATGTATGCAAACTCAGCTTACAAATTGCATCTCATATTGCAGCACAAGACGAACCGATACAATTGACCAACACCTGCTCCTGGGCTCCATATAAAATTTTTGTGTTTAGTCTCTCGTACTACATAAGTGCGCAATATTTGAACTTATTTTTACGCACGCGGAATGCCGTAAAGCCAGCTAAATTATGCAAGAAGCCAGTATTAATTACCAGGAATACTTTAATACACTTCTCTGTATCACAAGAATTCTGCGCAAAGCGCCATTCTGTATAGATTAAAAAATACCACCGAAATGGCCATCCTTTCTTATAATATAAGAAAGGATGGCCATTTCGGCCATTATGTTTGTATAATTCTGTTTTAAACTCATTTGTAGTGCATATACTAGTATCATTCTACTCATTTTATATTAGTATCGATCATTCTACTTCACTAAATGTTTATAGCATATTGAAACAAACCGGCTGTATTTTTCGCTGCTTCTATAGTTCAATTTTTAAGAGAACAGTTATTTTCTGCCAGGCCAGTCTCTGCCTTTTTTGCATAACTTGGCTGCTCAGAAAAAACTCCAAATTTAATTTTTGACTAAAAATCGAATTTTAGCACTCAAATCACAAAGCTATGATCGCAATCTAATTTGCTTCCCCTTCATTCTTTAACATCAACCCACAACGAAATTTTTGACTAGTCATAGTTTCCTGACTCCTCATTGTCAGAGATATCAGTTGAAGCTTTTGGCAGCCACAATTTAGTACGGGTTCGGTTATTCTCATCGGGCGATCCCGGGCCGCGGTCACGGTAATAAGAGAGCGAATGCCCTTCAATTATGCAGTCTGGTCCAACCAAAATATGGAAAGCTGCAAAAAAAATTAAACTGCTTTGAATGCTGTTCGAATTTATCGTGTACGAGTATTTCTACGGGGTGATCACGACGCACAAACAGATCATGGATAAGAAGTTTTGTTAACGTATTACAAAAATTTGCACAGAAAATCAAAAGGTCATTCATAATTTTTGTGGTTTGTGGTTCGAATCACGGTGTTCTGATATTTAACAGTCGCTAATCGTTCGACACGACATGGCAGTGTCACACCAAAAATATTTTGTACAGCAATAAGCAACATCATGCTGACTACAATTGATTCCAAAACGATCAGACCAGAATTTTAAATTTGTATTTGATAGGATTTTTCAAACATACAATTGTATTCAGCTGTATACTCGTACTTTTCCTACTGGTGTAGAAGTCGGCTTTTATTTTCTTGGGCGCAATATTTTAGCTATAATAAAAAAAGCAATATCGCAGCTGTGTTCGGTACTTAATTTCCAGCAAGAAATAAAGATTTTATGACGATTTTTTTGTTCTTTTCAGTTTTGATGTTTTAGCTGTGGTGTTGTCAACTTATCGGGAGTGTAAACAAAGACATACTTAATAAAAAATATAAATGGTTATGTCAGGAACTCAGGACTATAGTTTGACGCAATATTTAATATTACAACATATTACCCACTCGTCTTGTATTTTACGATTAGAAGGAAAACTTATAAGATAATCTGTACATGTATACATAGTTGTAGGGATTTCTCAAAGAGAGTTAGATTTAGTCTCGATGCTGCTCTACAGGTACAGTGGGTAAATTTGTTTCAATGTGTTTTTACTGTTAAAGACTGAATATGCAAAAAATCGAATCTACGAAGCTTCCGATTAAGCCTGAAAATTTTTATGCCTGTATTCGCTAATAAAAAAAATACACTTCTAATAGGTACAAGAATATGCTGATATATATACTCGTAAAACGGGTTTTGAAAATTACGTTTATGTCGGCATAAGATACCGTCCGATGGCATTTCAGAGATAAGAAAAGCCTGATTGAATTGCGTTACCTTGTGAACACGGTATGATGAACTTTTTTGGCGCTTCCTCTTTTTCTCGAATTTTTTGCAGTCCTTCTGGCCGGTCGAAGCTGCCTCCAGAATTTAGCAGGTCGGCTAGGTCGGCAATGTATTGAATGGCATGTTTCAGTGTGTCCACTTTCGACAGCCGCCGCTCATAGGGCAGCGTGGGTATGCAGCGTCGCAAATCCTCGAACGCGTCGTTAATGCTCTGCATCCGACGGCGTTCCCGTAAATTAGCCGCTTGCCGCTGCAAGACGTGCGTCTGCGGGCCTTTCTTCTTTTTGGATCGACGAATGTATTTATGATGGTGATCAAGAAGTTCACTGGACGATTTCCCTAACTGCGAATCCAAATAATCATTGTACATACAGTCACCGGTCTGGACGATCGACTGATAGCAGCAGTTGCGATTGCCAAGGTAATCGGGATATTCAAAAAATTCCATTTGTCACCGCCGACTAGCAAGTGCAATAATAATATGGATGGGACAAAAGTAAATTGTGTGGGTTATCATTTATCGGATGACACATCTGCGAGTCCGGAAAATTTACGGAGCTCTCACTGTTGTCCTGACGTCGTTCCACGCGAGTGGCCGCATACACTGAGGCAGTATCTGTATATGCCGCTGCCGACAGGAAACAGGATTGTTGTTTGACTCTTCTCCTCTTGAATCACTGGAATACAGGACGTCAGGACAACTTTGCCCATTGAAGCCAACTGGCTGCAGCCGCCTCTTGTTAGTGACAAGAGTTTTGTCAATACGGGAACACGTCCATTTGTCGACAAATCAATTAAACCATCCGGCTCCATTCATCTTCACCAAACACCGCGCACTCCTGTGTATATGGACTACTGCGCAGGATATACAATACATGCATATTGTGCACACCACTGCTCTAGTCCAGATCCCCATTTTCATAATGCAAGTGCACCGGCGTAAGTCAATGCATACCGCGCACAGAACTTTGACAAGGTAAAGCGGAAATCTCACGATATGTGTGACATTGGTCCAACGTCCAGGAAAAAATATCTGTAGCTAACACGTAGTATTAATACCCTAATTAATGTATCGTTAAATAGCGGTCCTTGCAGTTGTAGTTAGCAGCTTTCAAAAATAGGCCTTCTACAGTTTGTTGCTGCAAAGCTGATGTTATGGAAATGAACAAAAACAATTTAGCACTGCGGGATTACTGAAAGTGCAACCAGTAATCATTTACCGGTATCGAAGAGCATGCTGTCTGTATATGTAGATGGTTTGATAACAGAACTCAATTAAAGAGGGAAGTTCTTCATCCCTGATGGTGACAATTATTAACATTACAATGACTTCGTACTGGATACGTGGTATATTTAGAAAATAAGCTTTTCGCCTTGTCAACGCTTTTTGTCACGATAAATTCGAAATAAGTTACTGGACGCACTCTCCATTTCCTAAATTGTGCCTCAACGCTTTTGATGGAGTGGAGAAACAGAGATATTATATGGATACACTTTTAGGTTCAAGTGAATCCTCTTTGTGGAATTTAAGCTACTTCCAGCTGCTGTTTTCGCTCCATCAAGCCGCTTTAATTGATGGTAAAGTAAACAAAGATCCATACATCTCGTGGAGGATGTGATGCAAGGCTGGATTCTGATTTACATAAGGATTAACGTCCCGCCGCACCATCAAATATTTATTCGTTTTGTACACAGAGTCACAGACATGCAGTGCCCTGCAACCTGCAGCTGCAAATGGCAATAATATAAAGGAACATATTAAAGTTACGGGATAAAATTGATTAAACAGTTTTCAAAGTGTCAATCCATGGCGACAGCGTGCAAACTTTTTCTGAAAATATTGCAGGCTGGTGACATGATAGGGCACCCATAGACTCTTTCCGATGACCTTTAATGGTTCCATCACAAAAAACGAAATAAGGAATGCCGCTAGCACCGAAATCAGCCAATGCAATGACATTCCCGAACCGAAATTCAATCCCAAGAACAGCACAAGGCAAATGGACAGCGCTGATAGGGTAAAACAGAGAATATAGGCCAGTATCTGTCGGCAAACGGCCGGAATGGACCACGCTGCGCTGTGTGTCTCTTTGCTCTTTGTGTCTTTTTCATTGCGCATGAATCTGTTGTAATTTTCGATTGGATTAGCGGGGATAATTTCTTGGTTAGTGGCTAATGTGCCCGTGGCGGTGGCAGATTGTGAGGCACAGAGTTGGGAGCGTGAGTGGATTGTGCTTTTGGTGTCAAGAATGGGCGTGCCCTCTGAGGGGATGGTTGACATTGAACGGTGCGTGTTAGCGCGTAAAATTGTGCTGTAGGGTGCTGCGTGGGCTTGGAATTGTGTGGCCATGGCATCGGAGTGATCGTCATTCATACGTATAATGGATGGAAGAGAGTGGGAGAAGGACGGATTTATACCGTGGGAATAAGGGTCCTTAAGGCGTTCAGGATGCGCCACTGGACTGTCACGCGCTTCGCTGTCCCTTCCTTCGTTGTCATAGAATGTTTCAGCTGCATTGTTTGCTCTGCGAAAAAGCAATTGACAGCTCTTGAGACTTAAACAATACCAAACCTAAACATCGCTTTCTTAAATAACGACAATGTATACAATATTTTATGTAATATTTTTACCCCTTTGTTGCGTCGACCGCAATTACCTTGTTAATTTGGCAAAATTACAGGGTGATTACTAGTAATACGTATAACGCTTTCCTGTTCTCATATCAAAATGTACATACAGTACAGTATTTTTGTAGTAGGCGGCAGAGTACATTTGTGACGTGAAAGTTCACTGTCTAATTATAAAATGCTTAAATATTTTTGCAGTTTGTCGGATGGTAAGTAACACACATACATACGTAACCCTATTCTAGTTGACGGGGATGTGTTTTACTTACGTAACATTAAAAATTGTTGTTTTTGTTTAAATTGTTGCTTTTGCAAATATCTGTCAACAGCATACGCTTTTTCTACTACAGTGTTACGGTGACTGTGTTACCTATCGTCAGCGTTGGGATGAACTTCAACAGTTGGTATGGCATTAGCACTGCGATGATGACACCGCTGTAGAATCTCGACGATAATTGTGATTATGGGGCTAACAATCAGCACGCTCCACAAACCCGCTACCAAATCCTTCGATTTCGGCCGGAACACTTTGGTCAGCTCATGAACATCATCCACCCCAGTGCCAAAGAGTGAATGCTGCACAGCGCACATTCCCATCATCCCAAATAACATCGTCACGGCCGCTGACTGCAATTCCAGCACCATCAACAGTGACCCTTTAAGCCGCACCGCTGCCACCCACAAATGATCTTTCTTAATTCGCTTACGGCACTCCATCAGCATTATCAGGCCGGCACTGAAGTTGATCTGCTTTGAGGACACTTCGAAGACAACACCGGCGCGTCCGTGCGGCTCTTCTATCAGCCGCGGGCGGCATGAGACGGAAATGGGTCAAAGCGTTCTCGCGCGGATCATACACGGTGGCAAACTGGAACGGGAATGTCGATTCGATGAGCCTCCCGGTAATCCGCACACTGGCAATAATTCCCGGATGCCGGTCGCAGAATACGGAAACCAAGAGCGACGAGCCAAAGGCGGATTGCCGCTGGAAGGACAGCACATGCTCCAGTCGTCCGGCTGCACCGCAGATATGCAGTCTTAAAGGAAACAGTCCACCTGTAAACCAGTGCGCAATGTATTGCCCGGATTACGCATGGAAAATAACAATAAAAAGGTTTTTATTACTTTGAAAATCGTTATTGTTATTCATTCGCTGCCAGAATAGAACATCGAGCTGGATTTTTCCGGATCCAACAGATAAGATTTGCTTGAATTCCTCCAGTGGCCGGAACCGGATTGTAGTGGCAATTAATGCCACGATGAACACTGCTGCTACGATTCCCAGTGTTGCAACCGTTACGCCACTCCTTTTGTTAAACATAAGTTCCTGCAAAATTACGCATTCGTTAATATCGTACTTCTCAAAGCAGGTCCACGGATATCTACGCTGTTCTATGGTTGTGCTTTATTAATTATTTTCACACCAGCATCTAGGTATAAGATTTACAGATAATGTTTTAGATTTCGTTTTCGCAAGTTTCTATCAAACTAGCAGCATACAATATAGAGAGTAGGATAATATAGATCAGTGTGCTAGCCATTAACGACTCTTCTCACCGTTCGCGATTAATTCTTTGCTGGTTCGCCTTCATTGCACTAAAAATTACTTAATGTTTCTAGAGTAGGATATTAATGTGAGTGTACTGTGTATTTTTTTGTGTACTTCTAAACAGTTACTTGTAATAAATAATTTTGCACAGGCGATTTTAGGAAATATTGACCGTGTGTACTTGTTGCTACTTTGAAGATGCGCAGCGTTATAATTACAAATTCAGTTAAGGAACGTGAAATATGGTGATCATAAGTTCATTACTTAATACTTGCTTCTTCCGAAGATACAGTATCAGCAACTTATAAATAATTCGTTGAACAAACCGATAGTGCCGCGTTATATCTAAAGATATACTCATCTGCGCTGCTTGAAAATGTTGTTCCTAGAGTACAGTACTTATAGGTCTATGAGCCGACTGAATTTTCGTTTAGCTTTGCAGGTGTAGTCAAATTTCTGGCTTTTGGTTTTTCGTTTGTGATAGGGATCATGTGCATTTACTGCTTTTTGTTGTTTATTCACTTTCAATCGGATCTGAGCCCATTGAAATACGGATATTATAAGGAAAATATTTTGACCGAATAATACTATTTGAATTCGTCTGGCATACTATTACAACATGACGATATTGTATAGTTTGTGTATACAAAAAAAGCTGCCTTGTACTTGTTACAGACTGGGCAGAACAGATCAACTTACCACAGTCCGCTCTAGAGAGAGAAAATCGTTGATTTCAAAAAGTCTTCCTCCAAAGGACGCCAACCGGTTGCAGACGCATGTTCGCATATTTTGCGCCGAACTGGACGAATCTGGCTCGCAGTCGGTCCTGACCAGATCTCCCGGGTCTTTTCCCTCCACACACTTAGTCCCGTGCAGCTCCGCCGAAACTTCCACAAATAGCCCTCCTTCATTAGTTAGAGATAAATAATTTTGTCCGTTAGTCGCTGCGAAATTCCAGCGCGTGGTTACGTCACTGTTGCGTAGATCATCATACGTGACGATGCGTTTTTCTATCACGCGATCTCCGCCATCGACCAGTCCTACACTAACCCGCCCCGTTGCGTTGCCCAGTGTGGAATTACTACGCAGCTGCAAGGTCATGTACAGTCGGTCAGCTGGCCACTGATCCTGTTGACCTTTCAGAATTCGGAAACGGGATGCTGCGTTGGGGAGCAGTTGCAGTCTAAGAGGTACGCTCTGCATGCGAGCCTGCAGTCCCAAGTGATTGCCGGCATTCCGCTCCGAAGGGAGAACAATTTTTATTCCCGCTTGCTGGGTGTGCTGCGTTAAGTCGATCTCCGTGTAATTCCGATCCAACAACAACACGGAGAAAACTTCCGGGGCACCGGCAGGTTCACGGTTGTCCCAGTTCTGACTGGATCTGCTGACAACAATGACCACTTCCGAGCTGGCCAGCGCAGAGCTCAATTTAGCCGGGAGCGTTATAACCAATCCTGCACAATTAATTAAAAGCTGGACTTAAACCAAAAGCTTATGTTAATAGAAATTTCCTGATGCTGCCTAAATTGCCTACCGCATTTCGTATTATTTTCGGCATAATCAATACTAGTACATGGTTAATCTGATCTGAACTAATCTGAAATAGCGCAGTACAGTACTTTAATTTTCGACATTCTACAGTGATACACATGATGTTTACTTATGTGCTGGTTCGTTTTCTGACTTAAAATTCATATTACTATTACTATCAGGCACATACCTCCTACATTAATTACTGCTCCATTTGGGGGAAGAACTCTTTTCACGGCCGTGATTGTGACATCACTGGTCAATGAGACCGACCGGTCACTGATTTCGTTAATGTAGTTTCCGACGAGCTGTCCCAGAGGACGCAACAAATCAACGACAGGAATTATATCAGATGGCGCAGTGCTTTCATCGCCCGCTACCGGAAGACCATTTAACAAACGCTTTAATAAACCAAACACGCCGTCTTTGGGAGGAACTACATTCGTATGGGGCGCCATATCCCGCACAAATTTGACTAAAAAGTCGGCTGTTCGTGCAGCATCTTTTGGTGTCACGCGAAAATTGTCAGTCCAAGTTAATACCTGCATTTTAAAATTTTAAACAAACTCAGGTAAATTTCAATCAAACTCAAACTCAAATAAACTGTTTAACATTCTTGTAAGAAAGCCGAATATGGTGGTGATTACCGTTAAAAGGTCATAAAGGTGTCCTCCTAAGGAAATCTTCCTATCCATTTCAAACCCTCCGGATACTTCTTCAGCAATGCGTGCCACGATTTTTGTCACCGCACCTAGCTGATCATCGGTTGCGTTGGTCCTCACCAGGATTGAACTCTGGACTATCAAAATCGAAAGGTGATGATCTCGGTCCTGTCATAAAAACATCAAGCTCAACTTTTGACAAAGCACAGTGCCGACTCAATATAAAACATATTAAATCTGTTTCTATTAGGTACCCGAAGATCGGTCTGCTGGAGAATGTTCTGCATGACGTCGATAATTTCTGCAACTGGTCGCGTATTCTCAAAGGTGGCGTTGATGTTGAACACCGGGCAGCAGTTGCTCCCACACTGTGGTCGCATATCGCACTTAGAACTGCCCGGAAACGCCACCGTCCAATTCCGCTCAACAGACAGCGGGTCGGGTAAAATTAACGACTGCGTGGTTTTTGGGTAAAGAACGTCATAAAATCCCAACACGGGGTTGGCGATGATAGCATGATGGATTTCTAGCCCGGGAAGAGGGCCCAGCGAACCGCGGCACATGAACTGGAAACGCGTTTGTAGACTTTTTCCCCGGGACGGTGTTAGGGTGCACAGCGTAACAACAGAAATGACGGCATGGAAGATTCTTCGCGAACCTCTCTTGCCGGTGATAACAATTCGGATATGGATGTCGCCCAAGGTTCGAAAGATTTTTCTGACATTGAACAATCCTTGCCCAGTAGCTTGGGTGTTATCTGAGAAGAACCACTCGATAAAACTATCCTGTAAACCATCACTATCCGGTATGATTTTCAACGGGGTTGTCTCGTTGACAACCGCCGAAGATGGGAAGTCCAATCGTTTGACCGTAATCATATCCGGATCCACCACTCGTATACCTACAAAAATCACAAATGTACTCCCGAAAATGTATGACCGTGATTAATTTGCCGCAGTGTATCTGAATAATGAACATTTTTAAAAGGACGTTTTCATTCAACAAATCGACACGAGAGTGCTGTGCCGGTGACCTTTGTATGCATACCGAATGAGGTCTGCAAAGTGCTGATCGAATTTTTCGCTTTCAAGGAAAGGTTGTAAAAGCCAGCTTGAGAATAAAGCACGCGAAAACGTCCACTAGGGCTGTTGATGGGATCGGCAAAATCATGTCCGTTCTCCAGAGAAAATGCGTAATTTGTGCCTTTATCCACAGAACCGGCAATGGACACAATGCGATTGGCATTGACCGTGGCTTCACAATTAACATGCAGGCCTTCCAAAGGGCTTTCTACAAGGATATCGATGGAACCGGTTTTGCTGAGATTGGCCGTTGTCACCGCCACATCCACGCGATATACACCTGGCTCTTCATAAGTCTGTAGTTATAGACGTAGGATGAAACCGTGTGATTAAAAGAACGCAAAACGAACTTGAATAATTTCTAAGTGTAAGAGCGCATACGGATAACTATTAATTTACTTATGAAATCCATAATCAAATTTATTTCATGACCGACGAGTAATAAAGTAATCGGAAATTTTAACTGTAATGTATTGTGCGTGTGTTATTTGATGGCTATTGCGTACTAAGTAGTAGGCTACTATTGCCTACTGCTATTGCTTACTAATTAGTTTTTAAAACGAGTGTAATAAAAATTAATTACAGATTACTGTTAAGAACGTAGTTATTTCATTACTGTAAATTCTGTTTAGCTGTTTTTTTTTGTTTGGCTATTTTTTTTTCTGAACTAAACGAAATCGTCGTAACATATGCTAACCTTTTGAGCAACGGAAGTCGTGGTTTCATGGAAGGAGATCGAATCCTGGAAAAACCACATAAAGTTCGCTTCCTGGTCATCGAATTCCGGAGCTCGAAACCCTATGGATTCTTTCACAGCTGGGTGTCGTGGAGTAATAGCAATGGCTGTTTTCCCTTCGGACGGTAGCACCTGTATGGGAATATCTCGAAACACTTCGTTGAACCCATCATCGGCGACAATACGCAGACGGAACTCGCCGGGTGCCGAATATTTGATCTTCTTGCGCAGAAATCCAAATCCATTATTCTGAATTTCCACCGTATCGTTCGGCCGGAGACTATCGTTTCCCAGATCCCAAACAACGGTGACAAAACCCAGGCGATTCCAGTGCCAAATCTTCACCAGAAAATCGTACTCTATGCCGGCTATGAGTTGTTCAACGGACAACACGGAGCCGGTTGGACTGGTGGTTGCAGTCGAACTGGCCGCTCTGAATGCCGCATGAATGCCCACACCAACCAGACCGGTTCCGCTTATGCAAACCGCTCCATTGTTGGCCAGACTGTTTGCCTTGAACGCCGGAAGTCGTTCCATAAACAAACCGCATAAGCAAAGTTCACATTCGGCGATGTAGTTGGCAAAGGGATAGTTCTGCAGTACGCAGTACAGACCGCACTTTTGTGTGGTCATTTGTTCGTTGATTAGGGATATAAATGCCACAGGAATGGAATCACGCGGATAGTCGGTCTTCGGCGGAAAATACGAGACAACTTTCGCCGTGTCCACTGAAAAGTAGATGCAAAATTCAGACTTAATGCGAATCAATATGAATTATTATTTAATATTAGGGTTCGACATTGAGTTAAAGAGGATTAGCAATGAATAAGCAATGATGATTATTGTCATGGAACTTACGCAGAGTGCTGCAGTCCGCCTGTTGGGCTGTCGCGTACCAACAGTACTGGGAGGAATTTCCAGAAGGCAGTTCTGCAAAATGTAGCTTACTAATTACTATATATTTAAGTTTAAACTATCCACACTAGCATTGACCTTTATGACAAAAGTTTTGCCTTGTTGTGGTTGTCTTAATGCTCACAAGCCTATAGATCTGATTAATGATCTAGATACCTCTCGTAGCGGCATCGCTGCGTAGTGCCCAAAAGGGAAGGCCGGGTTTAGGAGACTTCGGTAACTCTTCGAAGGGGTCCGACAACGGTTCACTGTAATACAAATTCAATGAGCAACTGTTGTGGATAGATAACTTACGTGCTCGGTGCTTTATGCAAAAAGCCCATGTTGCGTTGATGCATTGTGCACTGCATACATAGGTAGCAACGGACTTCTCAATTTCTATTAAGCGGATGCCGTACAGTACAATAAATTATATAGATATACGGAACACCAGCCGATGCTGCTGTTGTTAATATGCGTGAATTCTATTAATATGCGTGAATTGTTGTTAATATGCGTGTTAATATGCGTTAATATGCGTGCGTGACAAAATTCTCTTGCGTCAAACTAAAATAAAGCTGGAAAGGGATCAGAAGGCAGAAAAGAGGGAAATACGTACTAAACAGAAAACAATAACGTGTACTTCTGTTATACGAGTACATCTTAAGCACGGTCCCGTAGGTGGTTGCCAGTAGCCTTTTCATCCTGCAGGACTACGCCGTAAAGGCTGTGACCACACGATTGTTTTTATTTTTAGAAAATAATTTCTCCGTCCGTTTGTGAATTGTGGAAGTGACAGATACGGACATAAACCATCCTGAATTTTTGGATTACTTACGTCTGGATCAATGGTTTGAATTACACCGCGTATAGATGGACGCGGACATGCTGACGTTGGATGACTCGGTTGAAGAACCGAGTCAGAGACTGACGGATATTGAGACGGAGATTATCAGCTCGGATGACATGCAGCAGATGCATGTCGATTTATCACGAAATATTCCCGGCCATACTAAAAGAGCTTCTCCTAAACCCATCAAGAGTGCCACCGTAAAAGTGCAGAAAAACGACCCCGTGAAGAGAGTTCGAGGGGTATCTGTGAGAAAGAAAGCAGGGATCTCAGGTATCCGATCGAACGCAATCTTTGCTGGCGTGCAGTTCGTAGGGTACGATTATTTCGCACTATGTCATTTGTTTCTGTTTTAGCGATCGCGGCGTCGGTTAATTCCTCCGAAAAGCTGACAAATAAATTACCCATTGCGAAACTTCCTGCACCTCTTCTACCTAGCACGGAACGCGAACGATTGACTTCCACTGTTGTCAGTATTGCGAGATATCCTGTCCCGAAATCCTTGGTGCCAACATTGTGTTGGGACGATCTGTCGAAGTATTTGCAGCTGCAGAAATCTCGAAACACTGCCTCCAGGCCCGCTGCACCTCCTGGTTATCAAGTACAAATTCCACAGTTTATCTTTATAGGTACTTAAAATGTGTCTGCAGTTGTTTTCGTTAAGTGTTTTAGTTATTTTGCGATTAAGTTATAATTTTATAGTGCATCTTATGTAAATGTTTATGTATTTTGTGGTCTGTTTTATCTGTTTACATGTCGTTTGAAATAACTCGAACTTTATTATTCATCAAGATCATGTTAAAATTATCGTTTAACTGCTGCTTTCATGCTGATTTAACACATTGTAGTACTGAGGTTCTTTTTTTACTCATTTCGATTTATTTGGCAGCAGATCGATCGAAGCAAGTGTAAGTTGTTTATTGCTTCCTGTTAATACTTACATACATTTTTGCAGATGCCGGCCAGCCTGCTGCTTCGATGAATAGTAAACTGTCAACATCAGTTGTTGTACGGCAAGCGACTCCTGCGACGGATCCCAAAAGCAGTGAAGGGACTGCGCCGCATGTAAACAAACTTCCCATACCAAAAAATTCCAGACAGTGCACTTCGCTCGTAAGTTTTACATTCGCCGAAACGATAGATTTGCAACTTCGAGGCGCTTAGTTGAGCTGATTTAACGTGGTGGATGAGTAATAGTTAACTGCGCATCTGGAGTATAGCTTGAAAATATATTGTTTCTTTGAGATGGCGATTTACTGAATTCCAGATTTCGACCATAAGATGCATGAACATGTTTAATGTTTTTATCTCTCTTGTAGAGTTTCATGGGCCAAAAACAGCAGGTATCTTTCTCCAGTGCCCAAATTGGAAAGCCTTGCCATTGCTCAAAATCTCATTGCCTTAAACTGTATTGTGATTGTTTTAATCGTGGAGTGGAATGCCAAGCCGGCTGTGCCTGTGTAGAATGCCATAACAATTCTGAGCACGAAGCCGACAGATCTGTCGTTATCGCCATGATCTTATCGAAGAATTCCCAAGCTTTTCAGCCCAAAGTGCAAACTGATTCCCAGTCCGGAAGCGGTGACAAAGCCCATGTCAGAGGTTGCCGTTGTCGAAAATCAGGATGTTCGAAACGGTATTGCGAGTGCTATTTGGTAAGTTTTTTAATCAGTGTGAGTCGTTGTTTTTTTTTGCTGATATTTTGTGGTTTCAGGCAAAGGTCTCGTGTGGATCATTATGTCGCTGTACTGAATGCGGGAATACAGTGGACGCCGCTCTTGATTACGAAGACTCACCTGGTGGTTTGCCAAAAGTGCGTTCGAAATCGTTTTCCAAAAAAGAAGGGACGAATCGGACGGTCGCAGTTGATCCAACTTTTAAACCGTGATAAAACAACAATAGAGATTGGATTTATCATTTATGTTAGCAAAATGAAATAACCGACAAACGGTTGACGGTTTTACTGTTTTAAAAAAAACAAGGCAGTGGACGTTTGCTGTTTTGTCTGCTGAAGAATGATCTCGAGTTGAGTGGCTACTCTAGTTTTCTCGCATCGGCTTTGATTTTCCAGTGTTTATGTTTTTAAAGTTTCTACATTCTGTTAATTGTAGATATTGTTCGTAGTAGGTGGTACCAGGTTCTTTTTCTCTCAAGACAAAATTACATCATTTTTTGTTACCGGGTAGTATTTAAAAGGAAGAATCAGGGAATATATGTAAAAGGATCTCTTACCTGTCTCTCTCAAGGCTTTTCAAACGATGGGACAGAAAAGCGTTGGCTTGTCGGGAAAATCCATTGGTAAAATAGAAGCTTTCCAACTGTTCAATGATAGTATAATTATATTCTTTGGCCGCTTCTAGGAGAACGATGTAAGCGTTTCCATCATAGCTTAGCACTGGCTCGTCATTTTCCATCACTTGTGAGCCGATAAGATGGAACGAAAATAAAATGAGGATAAAACTGTGAGTATTCTTCGTCATAATACATAATATTAAAAATCTATTTGAGAAAATTTTAAGCGCGTCGTATATGCATATGGTAAGATAAACCCGTTACCGCAACCATTAAATCATATAATCCGTTCGCCAACCATAAATTTTGGAAAAATGATGTTTGCGGATTCGTTTTCGCAGCCGGCTGTTGAACATGCCCCGAGATGAATCTGTCCATCGCATCTTGTTTACTGCAAGAGATGTGCCTAACAACTGGAAGACACCGGCGCAAGCCATTGGTCCGCGTCCGACCTTATTCTACATCGAGCTTCACACTTGTTATTAAACAAGGCTGTACGTTTTGCCGCGTTTGTTTGTGTTTGTAAACATGCTAATATCACACTGCCTGAATTCATTGCTTACAGATAGATTTGAGTTAATTATCGTTTCAGCTGTACAGCAGAGAAAATTCTGATGCAGACGATGGAGAAAGATTTTAAGATAACTGAAGCTTTTCAACTCCGGATTTTGTTTTGCTGAACATGCGGCGCATGTGATTTTTTCTACTCATGCACAAATGTATGTTATTGTCACTTGAGATAAATTATCAACTTACTGTACATGTGCAAATTAGCGCCATTTAAAATTTATTACTCCATTACATGAATATGGACGCCTTCAATTCTTTGCACTTTAATATCTAAAGTTTACAAATGGCGGTATCTTATTGCTTCAGTGTTTCTTCTGGTTGCTGTTCTCCGGCATATTCCGTTAGGAGTGTAATTCTTATTAAATCATACCGATATTGATTGTGTAGTACTTCACTTCTGCTTCTTCTTCCTGATTCTTCAATGTTGCTCGTTAAGTATGGTGCAATGTGAGCATTTACCTAATTTCCGAAAAGCCCACTGAAAGCAGTGCGAACGTGTTTTGGTTATACTGTTACAGCAAACTGTAAAGGTCGCATACTAATTATATGAGCGTTATTGTTGCTATCCATATTTAAACAAGACTAGTTCAGCAAGTTGAAGTACAACGTATTTCAACTTGGTAGACGCTAGAAAATGGGGTGAAAAGGCCGCATTGTCATTTTATTGTATGGTGGTTACGAAAGAAATAAATACGCACGGCAATGACAAGACAACTGTGTTGTTTTCTATGATGACCGACCAGTGACAAATCAATAAGCGCAATGTTCTAAACGTTCGTGCTCAATCATAATTTTAGAAGTTACACACATAGGAGTACGAGTTTTAAACGACAAGCGAACAATATGTGAAGAGAACAACGTGAAGTCTATAGGTACAAATTTGTATATTAATGTAATTCATCGAGTTAATTTGTTAGTATTATTATGAATCCAAGCTCTACGGCAAACACCACTTTGCAAATTGTCGGTATGATCACTGACGATAATAATTATGGAATCAAAGGCGTGGCAAAATTACACACCTTTTTTTCATAACGGACGGTACAGCTTAACCAAGGTGTATGAGGAATAAATAAATATATGATATCAAATCCACCTTGGCTTAATTATGCAATCAACTAAATGCGGACGTACAGTTCAGAGTAATATTACTGATTCTGAAGATGATTCAAAATATATTCACGTAGAGTAAACAAGAATGCTGTACAGTAGTGCAAATTTTAACACCAACTTTTAAAATCGGATTATTATTTTTGCTATCGTAATGGCCACTGGGCAATCGACACTAAATGCATATTATAGAACATTCAAAGCAAATACGCTTGCTGCGCGTGTATGATTAAAAAAAAAACTAATGGTAAGAATTATTCACAGCGCCAACCATTACTGTACGTTGCCGATTGCAGTTGCCGAATACACGCTCTTCCCGTTTGATTAATTCTGCCCGATATTGTTGACATATGATATCAATAATAAATTTTGCCACAAGTTTTGCGTGCATTGAGTAATTCGGTACACTGCATTTCTGTTGTGCTGGTATCGTAAGACATGATTCCGGAATTCCTTTCGAACGTCTCGTATATTTGTTCATGTGTCAGAATGGGCTTATGTTTTTCTAGCTTATCGCATATACTGGGCAAACATCCTTCGTAAGGCAAGTTCACATATTTGCAATGCTTATTCCATCGAAATTCCCCTTTACATAAAATGGTTACTTCTTACAAAACTCATGCAACCGAAACATTCCCAGTTGGAATAAACGCTTTCATTACGCCACGCATAACTACAAACAACTTAAAACTGTATTTTGAATTTTTTTGGATATTAACAGCGACTTACATTGGTATTAATATTACGCGTTAGAATCCACAGTCCAATTTATTTTATACATCGGACTGGATGTACGGTGTTGCAACATGCTTTCCAGAATATTTTGCGCCGTAATACTGACTTGGACAGCAGTTTCTGGACAAGACCAATACGAACGCTCTCTCCAGGTTCCAGTCGGCAACGGAATATTTGAGGTACGTACTGTTGTATCTCTTATGCTTTCGAAAAAATGCTCCACAAGTGCTGCGTATATTGACCATTGCTACCATGTATGTCACACTATGTTTTTATAAATACAATTCTTCGATCTCCACAATTCACATCCATTAGGTGAAATGGAATGTGACGACCAATGACATTAATTTCGAATTTGCCGCTCCTACAACGGGCTGGATAGGATTAGGATTTGGTTCGCGTATTAGCCCGAATTTGGACGATGTAGAATCTTTCAAGAATGCCGACATTTATATTGCTTGGCTTAGAACCGCCAATCCGCCTGAACAGCATTTCTATGTAAGCGAAACTTAGAAATATCTTTTCTGCAAAGTACAAGTTACGGTACAACGCAAATACATCCCTTTTAGTGCTTTTATAGCAGCCACCGCTTTAGTACTACTTATAGTACGTACGGTTACCTAATAAAGTAGCCCTTTTACGACAGATAAGTTATGATGACCCTTAGAAATATTGTATATATAACTGGCGTTTTCTCATGGGCTGATGTTACGTGCTTTATAATTTAGGACTCAAATATTCAGCAGTACATACAAAACCAAGGTTTTTTGGTCGCAAAAGACACGATTCCAAACGTGGATAGATCGGATGTCAGGACAGAACAGCGCAATGGCATCACATACACCGTTGCTCGTTTTCAGCGTAAATTAAGCACCTGTGACCTTCTCCAGGACTATGCTATTAACGTAAGGGTAAAATGTAATCGAAAAATAGTGCATGCGATGCATTTTAATAATCGAAATGCATTTTTTATTGCTAGAATAGCTGAATTTAATTAGTCGCTGTTATCATAAAGGTGAAAACATGCAGTACCGCCTACAAGTGGGTATGTTTGATCGCTACAGGGAAGTACAATCAGCTTAATTTTGGCTTTCGGAACGGTGACACCATCAAGCGCTTTAGAACCAGTTCCCGTCTTCCTTAATCTACAACAACCACGAGGACTCACCGTTCAACCCTACTTGTTGCTAGACCGTAAATTTGGACGGATCCCGTCAACGACAACTACAACCAACCCCGATGCGCTTCAACCATGGCGTCTCCCAATTCCCGCGGTGAGCAAATGCATGTGCTATAGCTAGGACCAAATTATATAATATACGGTCTACTTATATTTTGCGCACATCTGCTGAGTATTCTCACGTTCACAACGTTCCAGATAACACTGGCTATATTTTATTCTAACAGATACAACCAGGTCTTGATACTTTATGGCCTACCAATACAAACGTCAACAATCTTGCCAGTACACTCCAAAATGCTTGTCAGTTTAGCTCGGCTGACCTCCCAGAAAATCAGCAAAGCATTGTACAGGTATGCATTATTAGTACCGGCTGACATGTTAAGTCGTTTGCGCTGTTAATTAGTGACATGTGAATTAAGCAACAGTTGTGGAAATTTCGTACTTTCAGCACCGCATTGCCTTTCGTACAAATTTAGCTCGCAGTTCTCACAATTTTAGTTAGGTATATTTACGGTAAAATTGTATGTAGCAGTATTGTTTGACAGGTTAAAGCCCAAGCTGATCCACGCATCCAGTCCATAAAGCTGTATATGTGTGCTAAGAACATAACTGCCGCGCAACTGCAAGAAAAGAGCATTCAACCAAATCGGTTTGTCGACAACTGCGTACCGGAAGGCATCTATGCGGACATAATAAAAAACTGCCGCGAAATGATTGCATCGTGGAGCAACATTGGAAGCAATGTGGTACGATGTATTCGACAAAAATAGTTAATTATACGAGTCGTCAGGGATAAGAACAGACGAAGTTTTTTGAATGCTTGTAGCCGAACAGTTTTCCGGATGACACCGGCTATACCATGAGTCGGGAAGAGTACGCAGGTCGATTCAGAATGCTTCAGGTGAATTTAATGGAAACCCGGGTTTGTAAGAACGAACACAGGGGAGGGATTTAATAGAAATCGTTTTGCTTTTAAAGGTCACCTACACTCCATCCGGAATCACTCCTATTGGTGCAGTTCAAAATGAGCTGCAACTCGACCTTTCCAAACGGACAGTTTCCAAAAATATTGGTTTATTATCGGTTTCTGCGGATAACGGTGAAAAACTACTGATTCCTGGTCAAAGCCGGGAATTTCTTGTGCGAGCATTTTGCGATATTCAGTGCTCCAGAAAAGTGAGTATACATTTTCAGTAGATTAAGTTCATGAATAACGTTATCAAAAACGTTTTGCCGTAAATTTGTCAACATATGGTTAAATTTTATTTGACGTTTAGCACATTCCTGGCGGTGGAATCACATTAACCAGCGTTCAGCATACAACAAACAGTTACGGTATTCAAATGCGCACACGACTGATTCGTGACGGAAAAGAGGTGAAAGTCATCAGCGAAGACTTTGCTCATACTTCCGCTTTCCAACCTTTCCGCGATATCGACCATGTGCAAATTCTCCCGGGTGACCGAATTCTTCTGGAATGCACATACAATACATCACGAGTGCTTTCGGACACAACCGGTGGATACGGCAGCAACAATGAAGCATGCTCAGCAATATTCTCATATTATCCTCGAATTGCCGGCTTCCAGTTTTGTGGTTCAACACCGGAATTGCGACACATCCAAGCACTAAGAAATGTTGCCAGAGCGGGCACGAATACCGGTTCCGTGCCGATGTTAAGCCGTAGCGAAAGGTCAGCTTTAATAAATACATTTGATATAAAATTTCTAAAATATAACTTTTTGTAAACGTTCCGCTAACTTTGGCCAACATTTTTGGTCTTTGTTAATTGTTAATAACAACCAAACTGCTAGCCAGCGTTACCTACCATAGGCGTATAGAAGAATCACGTGCTTATTTATGAACACCTCTTTGTTAACGCATAATTTGTGACCTTGTTGCTGTTATCGCGAATAATCATAAGCAACGTACGCATCATAATCATAATTAAAACCGATTTTTCCATAAAGTACAAATTTACTTGATTGCAGTGCGCTACTGCAGCAGTATCCAACTCCGTCTAATACAGCAGACAACGCCCCGTATGGGTCACTAGCAATGGGAACATATGGCCCGAACACCGTTCCTGTTCTCGACCGGAATGTCGCCGCCCCCGTAAGCAGCAATCCCGATCAATGTGCGCAATCGCGAGCTCAGAACCTGTATCTGTATCATCGTCACGAGCCAGTCTGCGAGCTGGAGACACCAGAACTGTTCCGCGTTGACAGCATCGACATGCTACCGGTCCTGTCCGATCCACAATGCCCCAACGTTATGATTCAGCGTAATATCTCTTACGTCTGGCCACTGGAGTGCTACGATATAATTTTCCGCGATGAAGTCCAGAACAAGGAGATCTGCAGGAACGTGACCGTTACACAGACCGGCGCATCCGAACGTAACCTCAGCCAAACACCGACTATTTTGTTGGCCATAGTCAGTATCTTGTACAAATGCGTCAGGCTAATTGCGTCCTGAGTTTCACAAAACTATGATTTTTCTTTCTTTAGAAATTTATCGTTTTGACCGTTTTCGCTTGTTTATAGTCAAATTAAAGCATTAAGAAGTGGTACGAATGTTCGTGTTTGTACGGGTGATGAAAAGAGCCAGAACTCAAAATTATTCATTAGGCATGGAAAAATGCGACAACGCAACAGTGTGAAAGTCGCATATTTTATTATGAATTGCAAACAGCTTAATGAAGATCACTGCAATACCGCTTACAGCAGCTTTATACAGACGCATTCGATGTTCGTCAAATAAAAATTCAAATAAAAACTTGAAGTACAAATACAAAATAATCCAGCGCGTAGTACGGTTTAGAAACAATAAAACGCATTCGTCTTTCATCACTGGGTTAAAAACGGTAGCCTTCCTATCCAGAAAATTACTAAACGACACACAGAACGCTCAATCCGTGAGAGTAAGATCTTCGAAAAATCGTCCGGGGCCAGAAAGTTCCGAAATCTCCGTCTGAATCTGAAAACAAAATGATATCTATCACAACAGACATTTATCGTGCATTCCGTGACAATTAAAGTACCTTTCTTAATTTCAACTGCAATTCGGCATCCATTGTCCTCCTAAACTTCCTTAGCCGGTCCCGCTCCTCCTTTGGTTTACTTAAATCAACAACAGTTTTAGCCAACAGCATCCGTTTCTCCGTTTCCAGTTCCATCTGTTGGCGTTTCAGCTTATTCAGACGCTCGGTAAAAGGATCTCGAACTGCTCGCGACGGGAGTTTGAGCGGTGGAAGTAATTGATCCAAATCCCGTTTAATTTGCTGTCCTTTAAGATTGATAATTTCCGCCCTCAAGGAAGAATTAATTTGACGCAGTACATCGATCTGCCCATCCGATGGATAACCACTCGTACTAACTCCGCCGGGTGTTTTACGAGGCGATATCTCAAGGAAGCGTTTGCTGGTCTGTTTCAACTTTTCGTCCATTTGTTTCTTATCCGCTTCTGACTGTTCCAGTTGAATACGCAGATGAGCGGTTTCCGTGTCGTACTCGTTCTGTACCTTGTGCAGTTTACTGGTCAGGTCGAGAATTTGCACCTGCAACTTGGACAATTTTTCTTCTTCCGTTTTTGATGCAGTTTCCAGTTTTCGCTCGGTCATATCACGGCGCAGGCGGTATTCGCTGATTTCCTCCACTTTCGATCGCAAATCTGACAATTAAAACGTCAAAGCTGACATAAACTAAGAGATGCACCTGTACCTATATACACCCGATTAATAAAACAATTGCGCCTGTATGATACGCACTGTATTTAATGCGTCCATTCGATTGTTAAAAGTTTCTTAGTTCAACTCTACCCCATAATAATCAATGAAAAATACACAAGTAAACACCCATGCCGAAAACCAATGCCTGATCAAATTTGTGCAGCATAATTTACAAAAGCACTCACTTTTCTTAAGTTCGATGATCTCCTCATCCTTTGTAGCTAATCTGCTCTTCAGTGCTTCCGCATCGGCTAGCGCCTTCTTCAACGTTTCCGCACGAACCTTTAGTGGATGTTTAGGCATCTCCGGAAGTTTAACACCACCCCGATGCCACTCTCCGTCGTTGATTTCTTTAAAAAACTGTTGCAGCGTTCCAGTGGTTTCCTCCATGAAGTTCAACATAGTCTGTTGTGGTGACGTTGTGGTGGTCTTATAAAATCCTGTCTGTGCCCGGAATGATCCTTTATCATTTTCCGCGTACAGAATCCGCTTCAAGTGCTCATTATCCAACGGTGGTTTATCACTGGCGTGAACCGCGCTCTGCGTGTTGACGGTCTGATACCACAAATAACACAGTGCCACACATCGGTGCAGATTGTTCACTATATCTTTCAGCTGCGCATCGACAGTTTCCGAAAGCATCACTGCGCGCAGTTCATTGTCGGTGTCCAGTGGTCGCTTCACCTTGCGCACAATATCTGTTACAATTTCGGATTTATTAGCAAATTCCATAAACAATTTGGAAAATTCTGGAGCCGTATCGCCCGCCAACAACTTCAGCCCCAGCGCGCTGGCTGCAATCGATTTCATCCCGAAAGCAATAATATCCATGACATCTTTCATTTTATCCATACTGCTGCGAGCACTGGCTTCCACCGCATTCAACCGTTCTAAAATATCGTCCATATCTTTGGTTGAGGTCTCCAGGTATTCGAGACTGATCGTGTCATCCAAGCGACTCTGGCGCAACTGATCGATATAGTACTGGATGGCTTTCTCTGGACGCTCCACCCGGCCTTCTAAATCATTTAACATACCGAAAACTTCGGCCGGAGCGGTGCGAATCGCATAGTCGATATCTCGGTCATTCGCCTCTAGAATCTTTAGCAGGAAATTAAAATACGACGCATAGGCGACTTCATCCCGACGATGAGCATCAAAGCTTTGAACAGCAGATAAATCGACAGCAGTCGGAACTTCAAATTTCATTTGTACTTCTTCTTCAATCAAACGCAGTTTCAAACCAATCAGTTCCGGTAAAACACAGATACGGATAAAACTGTCTTCACGGCTGATGGCGAATATGTCAGGCATGAACAACATTAAATAGGCTTGCTCCTGCTGCAGCATCTTCTCTTTGATCATCAGGATTTTCCTATCCACTCGTTCGGCATTAACTTTGTCGTCCTGGATTTTCAGGCGGAAATCGACCGATGCCGGCACCACAGCAGCTTGGGTTGGTGTGTTAGCACTCAGTTGCAGTTGCTCGCGCATACGATTGTTTTCTTCCTGCAGCTGTTTCGTCAAATCACGGAATTTATGCACCGTCTGGCTGGTATCATTCAAATTCTGTTGCAGCTCCACTAATCGCAATTTCAGAATTGAACTTTCGGATCGAGCCATATCCAACTGCTCGTGGGTGTGCCGCTCATCACTTCGTGATAGCTCAATCAGCTCATTATTCATAGCCATTATCTCCTCGTAATCCTTCACCGTATCCCGTAGTTCTTCGATTTTGTCTTCCAGATCTAATTTTTGGTTAGCTAAACGCTCAACCATCTCTTCCGCACCCAAAGCAGCATCAACCTACAAATACAGTCAGTACCAAGCTAATCACTCATTCGGCAGTTGTATGTAATACACATTTCAAGAATTATATAGCTTAAAGTCCAATAAAGCAAACAGCGCAAATGGCAGACAGGTCGACTGAAAGCATCAATTTTTACGGCAATGGCCCAATTACGTTTACCTGCTCACGAAGATTCACTAGAAGTTCTTCATTAGTAGCAATTTCCCTCTGGTGTCTTTCGACCGAAACAGTAAGGGCATCGTTTCGTTCCTCCGCTGCCTTCAAATCCTTTTCCAACCGTTGCACGTCATATTTTTTTCCATCCAGCAAATCTCGAAGCTTGTAAAGGGCTTCTGTTAAATCCTGTTTTTGCTTCTCTAGCTGCACAACTTTCATGTTCGTGGACGCTTCTCCATGCCCTCCCTCAGATACCTGATGCTGTAACATCTCCAAATCCAGACATTTATCCTCGTATTTCATTTTGAGATCCTCTAATTCCCGTTCCATCTGTTCTCGTTTTTCTTCCGCCATCTCGCGATCAAGGGTCAACATCTCAATGTTTTCGTGAAGCTCAGTCAGATCCTCCTGGGTGGACGCCGCTTCTTTGACCTCACGAATTTCTTTCTGAGCAGCGAGCAACTGTTTCTGCAGCTCACCATGAGCTTCTGCCATTTTTTGCTTGTTGATCTCGAGATGCTCGATTTGAAGACGTAGTTTGTTGTTCTCCGACTCATAGTCCCGTTTTAATCTGTGAATATCAACCGCGATCTCTTTTGGTTCAGGGCGTGCGGCTTCCGTCTCGCTAACCGTCGAAGCGTCGATTGAAGTTTCAGTTTTCAAGGATCCTTTGCGTTCTGTCGCTGTGACTGGTTGGGAGATCTCTCTGGAAGAGAGAGGAGCTTCCTTGGGGAGATCATTCTTGGCTGGCGAACTCGGCTGCTCTAACGGTGGCGAAGAATCAACTGCGGCGACGGCAGAGGCTAGTACAGGGGCAAAGGTCGGAAGTTTTTTGCTGCCTAAACAAATTAAAAAAAGATAAATGCACTACATTTTAAATAATGTTATCCAACATATGTTTTCAATGCATGTGGTGTTTTCTATTGTAATTTCTATCGCTTCACCGCTTAAAGCAGACGTCCAATAAAACAAGGTGAAAGAGTGGGAAATTTCTTACAGCTTATTTTAAGAAACTTTAAGAAACCAAAATTTACTGTAGCATAACTTTCCGTACACCAGACTCTGTGGTGCAAGTTATCTCGCGGCTACAGTAATGGTTTGACCGAAACTAATCAGCGAAAGCTTGAATTTATCAAGCAAATTTGACAATTTCATATTGTACAATTTCTACTACAGCTTCATAAAAAATAGTTTTTGGCAAGGATAATATTGATTTTCGTATGTATCACAATTCTGCCAACCTCACGGATGCAGTTCACGATGCACCTACTCGACTCGGTTGCGGAAACGGAGGAAAGACCAGAAGGGATAGATGCGGAAGGACGCGGCGCTTTCAATCCAGGCGCAGGCACTCTGGAGGCGCTCTGGGACGGCGCAGGCAGTGCACCTTTCGCAGCAGATCCCTTAACACTCGGTCTGGCGGCAGTCTTATCCGTTTTTGTCGTATGGGCTTCGGACGGCGTTGAGCCTCCAGACTTCTCAGTCAAACTCTGCAGTGATGTTGTGGAGCCAGTCAATGAGGTGGCCGAAGATCCTCTTCGTTCGCTCGTCAACGCAAATACCTGCCCGAAAACGTACAATATTTCTAAACTCAAGCGATATTGTACAATACATGCAATCGTAACGCACTGTTTTGCCCGTCATTTGGTTGTATGAATTTCTATGAACTTACTGTTCGACGTCTTCGTATCTGTTAAACAACTTACGCCTCACCTGACTTTCGCGGACGAACGTTCCACAGTTTTCCTCGCATTCAAAATATTTCACGTCCTTAACCGTGCCATTATTTTTCCCTTTCGGTTCACGAAGCATGACACCCATCCAGATGCCCGACGCAAATTTAGTTTCCCCGATAAAGGCGATCTTCCCTTCACAATCTTTACCTTCCACTCGTACCAGATCGCCAACTTGCCACTGAGATGTTGGTGGGGTCCGTGGCGATGCCGCCATTTTTTAGGAGTGCAATACAGCAGTTAACAAAAATAACATAGCGTTGCAGATATTATGCTGTAAGTATAAGTGGATAATTAATCGTTCGAGATTTTTCGGAATAAATTAATAAAAATTGAAAGATAGAAACGTTGTTTTGACAATTGGCATCAAGCTGATTCAAGCAGGAAAAGATAACAGCAATGAAACTGCGCATGTAAGTAAGTACGCTACAGCGTACGCGTACTGGCAGGCTTCCAGAGTGTATACTCGTAATTCGTATCTATGTATCTATACAAGGTAGCCTCGCGCATCCGCGCTCGGCACTTAAGTACTGGATAGTATTGGCTTTATTTTGGAAAGGTCACTTTAAATATTAAAAATCTAGCGTTCTGACGGTCTAACGTTCTTAATTTTTCACGTTATGACGTTCTGATATTTTGACGTTCTGAATTTCTGGCGTTCTTAATTTTTACGTTCTGGCGTTATGATATTTTCACGTTCTGAAGTTATGATTTTCTGACGTTTTGGGTGCAATTGGGTTTTGATGATGCAATTGGGTTTTGATGTTCTGACGTTAGGACGTTCTGAATTTCTGACGTTTTGATGTTCTGACGTTCTTAGTTTTTCACGTTCTGACCTTCTGATATTCTGACGTTTTGATGTTCTGACGTTAGGACGTTCTGAATTTCTGACGTTTTGATGTTCTGACGTTCTTAATTTTTCACGTTCTGACCTTCTGATATTCTGACGTTTTGATGCTCTGACGTTAGGACGTTCTGAATTTTTGACGTTTTGATGTTCTGACGTTCCGACGTTCTTAATTTTTCACGCTCTGACCTTCTGATATTCTGACGTTTTGATTTTCTGACGTTAGGACGTTCTGAATTTCTGACGTTTTGATGTTCTGACCGATACTGTATATGCGGCATAAGGGGCGCTGTAATTACCTTTTATTATTAACCTTAATACTTAATTTACTAATTATCATCTATATTAAAAAGCAAGTATTTATGTATTCGCTCCAGTCTCCGTGGTTACAGTTATTATGTTAAGTACTTTTTATTGAGGTGCAGTGAATACTTCTTCGAATGCTCTTTACGTTTTCTATACTTCAGACCTGGTGAAACCATCTTTTGACCACTGGTTATTAAAAAAAAACAAAAATCTATTGGCACACCTATGGAAAATATGGAATTTTTTAAGACCAAGCTGGACCTATAAAAACGGCGCATAAATACGCTTTGGTCGGTAAGCTTGTCTTTATATAAATATATATGAATATAAAGATATAACGATAAATATTATATAGATATAACTACTTTGTAGCACGATACTACGAGTATGTACTGCAGGGATGATTGTAGACTTGTACTGTAGTGTGTAATGCAAATGTGACATACAGTACCTGTACAGTGTTCTGTGAGAGCATAGTATTGTGAGAGCTCTCACTGTACGAGAGCATAGTATTACCGTGCAGACGGATCGTTTGTGGCAATTTTTATCGTAAATTTACGTGAACAGCACCGCTGACATAACATACCGAGGCGGTGAGCATGCGACGGGCAGTGCTGGCAGTACTTTGTTCAGTGTGACTGCTGCTAAATTACGTGCAAATTTTAAATATTCAAAAATGTTCAACTTTGTTTATTCTTAAGCCAAAATTGTATCCATAGGCTTAAAAAATACATAATAATATATACCTTTTGGCAGCATGGATGTAGTTTTTTTATTTTGATTACAAAGTAATGATATGACTCTCCGCAGTTAACATAGTCTTCTATGGGAAAATGCATAAATCCAGCACCAGGTTTGCCATAGACGAGTATGTTAAATTCTTACGGTCATAACAATGCTTTGGCACACAAGCACAAAAATACATTCTGACAACCAAAAAGTATGTGTTATTACGTATTTTTTAAGCCTATGGATACAATTTTGGCTTAAGAATAAACAAAGTTGAACATTTTTGAATATTTAAAATTTGCACGTAATTTAGCAGCAGGGCACACTGAACAAAGGACTGCCAACACTGCCCGTCGCATGCTCACCGCCTCGGTATGTTATGTCAGCGGTGCTGTTCACGTAAATTTACGATAAAAATTGCCACAAACGATCCGTCTGCACGGTAATACTATGCTCTCGCCCAGCATTCTTTTCTGTCTTGTTTAGTTTGCACATGTCCTGATACGTAATTCCTTATCGTAACTGTGCGAAAAATACAGCGGTACTTCTAAAACTGCGCGTTTCTATTTGGATACCGATCGGTTGAAAATGCTTTCACAAACTGTTCTGAAACGTTTAACTCAGGTTTGTCGCCATCGAAGTTAAGAGAACGATGCAGTTACTTCGGTACTCTGGCGATCTGATCCTCCTTGCGTTTCTTACTGTGCCTGATGTTTCCAGGAACTTCGGGTTTCCTGTCTTCTGGAGAGAGTTTTCGGCAATCAGCACCGTTTTGCGTAAGTGATTTTTATAAACAGCTTTAGAGTTTATGATTTCGTAGTTTAAAGGTTTCTGAAAGCCAGTTTCAGCTACTCAGTTCTCAACGCTTCGCAACGCAACAATTAACATTTCAGTTTTTTGTCTTTCTTTTTTGTACTCTTTCTCTCTAGTCTGTTCAGGTTTTGTTGCTTTCAGCTCCACCAAGGATAGCGGACCTGTCAAAGGTGCCGTCGTGGGAATTGACTTGGGAACGACCAACTCCAGCGTGGCCATAGTGGAGGGCAAACAGCCCAAAGTGTTGGAGAACGCTAAATGGGTAAGGCCAAGCGCTGTAGATACTGCGAATCTTACTATTAACAGTAGTCCAATAAATTTTCGGTCTTTCACTTTTTTATCTCAAACCTTAAACAAGAAAAAATCTTTATATTGAGGGCTTCAAAAATAATTTTTCGCCGTTATTTGTTTCAGAGATTTTTGTCACGCCAGTCACAGCACTCAGCTGCATTGAAAACTCTTATTTACGCACAAGAGCAACTACTTGTTGCGAAACGGCAGTTGCGGAGAGATCTGCAGGAACAACTGCAGTCCAAGAAAACGCAACTGTTGTATGATTCCGATCTCCTAAACATTCGAGGAATAATTGAAGAAGCTAAGAAATCGCTCGATTTACGCTGTCCAGAAGATCGTAAACATTTGTTGACGAAAGACAAAGACGTAAGTAGTCTTAAGTATGTACGTGCTGGGATCTGTTGTCTAAAAAACTTCTGGTCTAGTGATTGCACAGAATCACGTTTTCCTGATCGTTGCGCAGGTTGCTAGAAAAATGTTTGTTTGTGTCTTCATTCAGACGAATATGAAAGTTGCCTGGGAAGCATTCGCAGAGATCCACAAGCATTTGTTTCTATCGATCCGTCTAGATGGGAAGCAAGTGATTAGCGAGGAGATTCGGTTGCGGATGGGCGAAATTATATCAACCATCTGGACAAGGGCAGACCCGAAGAATCCCAGTGATGATCGCTTTTGGATAGTGCGTGCACGTTGGAGTACTGACGAGTACCGTGTGGTGATCTGCCTCTGTATATTGCTTGGCATTCAGTTTGCTGTCCTTAGCAATGGAGAGATCAGATTGTCGCATGTTAGCGTCAGCGATGGGGGTGAAGATTTGGTCTATACTAGACCGATTGACAGTTTGGCAGATTTAATTTAAAACTTAATTATTCGTAATGTGGTTTTCAGAATAGTTCTTTACCTTGACGTAGGTGGACATTAAATCTGTTGACAGCGATCATTGTGGTTGTACAACTGCTGAAATCTTGATTTTTGAAGTCACTCAAGTCAGTACTATATATCAATGCATATATATACAGTACTGTAACAGTTTATTCAATATCAGACAACCAAAAGGTAGAAGTGTAACAACAGAGAAATAACTACAAACAGCGAATTGTCTATCCTTATCGTAACACTTTTTTACCTTCCATATTAAGGTAAAAGTAAAAACTACTTTCAAACCGCTGTCTTCGTCCTTCACATGCACTTGCTGAACCACGATTCTCTTCCCAACCGGCTGCTCTCCGTTCGCAGCGTTACCCTTGTCACGAATTTCACTAGAAAGAACCTGCAAACCACAAGCGGTTATCAACTTTTCCGCAACGGATTTACTGTACTGCCGGCCAGGCTTTTCGGACTAGTCACTTCCAGGAGAAGATTTGGATATGAGTTTTGGATTTTTCACTATTAGTCAGAGGGAATGCAAAGACAGCACAGTACCGATTTCCTTCAACAAATACCGGTATACTGTCTTTTCGTGCAGCAAAATCAAATAAATACCTGAAAGCACTACTGAGTATGGAAAGATGCTTATGAGTTAGGGACTGACTGACAAAGCTGCACTACGGCCTGAATCAAATTAAGCAACTACGGCAAAACGTTTGATTACTTATGAATGCCGGAGAACGTGTTTCGCTTGTTCTTTTTCTTTAACGCATCGGCTTCCTATTTCAGCTGATGTCGGCCGATATTTCCGCGGACCTCTTCACGGGACAAATCTGAGAAAAGAAGGTCATACTGATTGAAATGCCACAATTTCGCAAATACAGAGAAGACTAATACAGGCTTAAGCAGGCTAATCTTAGAAAATACATGCTTACCCAAGTGCATTGTTTTTCTTCATTTTGCATCGTAAACCATATTATCCGAGATCTGATCCAGATCGTGCGTAGCAATAGTAGCTGATAGCTATAATATATAAAAAAAGGTAAGGAAATTAGTCGTGTAATTGTACAAACGGCAGTACCAGATTAACATGCTGTTCTTTTCACAAATGTCATCGTGGAGATCGGACTAAATAACATCCGCAATTATTAAAATCGCCATCAAAACGGATATCGCATGTCCATGAAAAAACATTATACATACCTGGAGTGCATACCCGGGCACTTTTTTGTCAATTCAATCATCAGAATAATAGTAGAAAAAATTATTCACTGAGGTTTATCGTTTTTATTTAAATTAATGCCGAGTTATCTTCATATGCATGAAACGGCACAAATTTAGTCCCATGCAGGCTGATGCAGCTATGCCGAAGCTTATACAGCCTTGTCAAGTGCTTGTAATACATTTAAGGAACAGGCCGGCGCTGCTCACCTTCTGCAATCCTCCACGACTGAATTCAGCACGAATTTAAGTAAACTACCTGTACAAGTATAGATGAATCCCAGCAATGCTCCAGCATTGCGCAATGGACGACTCAATTCCTGAATTTCCTGTTCCTTTTCCTAATTAACATTCGCCACAGCGTTAATAGCACCGTATTAGCGTGGTAGAGAACTAGCGATTAGAATTCACAATTAAGCTGCGGAATATACGATACGTGTAAACGTCATTCACCCATCAACGTGGACGCCAACTTGGACATTCACCCATCAACGAACGTAGCCCACCGGCCACCCCTGTAAAAATGTTGTTCGTCCACCATCGAAACAATCGCAGCTTAGAAAAAAAATTGGATGAAAACTTTCGCAGAAAACTTTATAATTGTACAATCAAAAGACAAAAGGTCCGTTAACTGCGCAAAAGCTTATGTAAATTGCCAGACGTGTCACCACATATGTGCGAACAGGTTCGAAACATTATACTATATTATTTCGAAATTTTCGAACTATGATTGTCCTGTTCAGAATAGCATAATCACACTTCGATATTCAATAATCAGTGTACAGTCATACCCCCCTACAGTTACAAATATTAACATTTATACTTTACGGGGCAACGGCTAACCTACCGGTACAGCTTTCCAGGACAGTTGCCAACATGAAAGTGATATCCACAAATATTCCTGGGCCAGGTGCAGACAGAATTCGGATCATTTCCATCTGTTACACTTTCGATAAGCATATCAAAATCCCCGAAACGAAATTTCATCGAACTGCGATAACGTGGTAGATCCAGTCCAATAATTATAATATCCGAATCGGTTCCATATTGACTTCTACTTCTAGTGATATTACCAGCTGAATTATTGTATTGTATTGTACAATACAATACTCCTATATAAATGCCGTCCCTGGAATACAAGTACAGCAAATAAAGCGGTGACCAAAGTCCAAACGCACAGCAAATGAAGCAGTGACCACAAAAAAAAATACAGCCTTTATTGCGATTAAAACCATACTTCTAACTTCAGCAGGCGCGCAAGTCTGCATCTTTCTACATCATTCAAATGGTCTTATAGTTGCAAGTGGGGAGAGGCCAATATACGATCATATGCTTATGTCACTTATGTCATTCGAAATAAATTAAATTAAAGCTTAAGTTTAACTTTAAATTTTAAGTTTCCCTGGCTGACCAAAAACCCGCTACCTATCTAACATACAGCATATTTAACGATTAGATGTAATTTTCAAAAATTTTCATTTTATAATACTGAAAAGAAACTCGGGAAAAAAGGAAAGTCAGGGAAACTTATTCATAGCAACGTTAAACTGGCCTCTTCCGTATGCAACTGTACAATGTGATATTACATAGATTAATTACATTCATCGCAATAAAGGTAAAATGTAACGGAACAGTCATTCACCAACAACACCAATCTGGGGCAAAAACGGCATCGTTTGCGACCGTGCCGAAGTCGACCGGCGAAACAGAACGGCTCAGCGAGTACTGACAGTGAACAGTTGATCAGGAGAAGGAACGGTCCAATCTTTGTTAGACTTATTTAAAAAGATAACATAGCTGCAGTTAATCGAAATTTTAGCCAGGTTAGAAAACAGAGATTTAGTCTCGATCACTTTCGAAGGAGCTCGCATCAGTGTCGCCATACTAAGGATATTGTGTATGGCTTGGCGGGCTATCATCCCTCGTGATCCAACGGCTAGGTGGTAGTAGTCGGTGTGCCAGCCTTCACCCGTAAGTTCGTTTACGAGGGACGCGTAACGAGTTCGCTTTCTGGCTTCCGCATTGTTAAACCCGTTGATCGTATCAAACGGTACAGTCACCTCTGCCAAAATAATGCGCTTCTCCGCGCGGTTAATGCAACACAAGTCCGGACACAGAGAGGTAGAAAGAACACTAACAGGAATTGTGCTAGTGTGGTTATCGTAGCTAGACTGATTTAGATCAGAAAGAATTTCCCATTTTCTATGATCAGCCACACCGGTCATGAAATCGTAAACAGCTTTCAGAATGCTATTATGACGCCAGGTGTAACGATGGCTATTAAGTGAAATCGGACAGCAATTAAGAATATGACAAAGAGTGCCTTTAGTCGCTCCACACAAATCACATGCAGCAGATACGGTCTTGCCCCACTTTAATAGATTAGTGAACGAAGGAGAAATGTTAAGAAATGTTAATGTTATGTTACAGATGCACAGCATACAGTAAAGGCGACAAATGATATTACAATCCTTACGGGTAAGCCCACATTGATATACTGTAAAGTTAAAATTTCCGCATACCGGTACGCTCCGAGATTATCTTCCAGTACCGTAATTCGTGATTCGCAGACTATGAGGCTGTGATCTCTATACCCAGACGCTGAATTTTACCCAAAATGTCTTTCCCCCCAATGTTAGCCGCTCCAAAATGTAACCAGTAGCATTACTGGCATCTTGACCGTATGGGATTTTGATCAGCTCCGATTAACAGCGATTTGCTGGCCAGAATTTTAGTATCGTGCCTGCAGACACGAATAAAAATATTTTATCAATCGTCCCCAAAACAACCTTCGAAAACTGCCGGATCTGCTGTGTACAATGCCTAATGGTGAGCATGGCATACCGTTAATACATACTGTATGCACAACTACGGTTCAGAACTTCAGACGAGGCCGCGTTTTACCTAGAAAACAAGTCACATAACCCTCCATTAAAGAATGCTTATCAATTATTACCTAATGGGGAGATTAATTATGTTAATGCAACATTTCCTAACTTCTCGCCAAGTTGTAAGTACTTCCTTGCACAATATAATTATATACCTCAAGCGTCTAATTCGATCATCATCGTTTCATCGGCATGTTCCTGGCCTCCAGCCACTGATAAAGGATGCACAGCCCTCGGTTGATAATGACATGTATCGTCTCTTTCTGACATTACTGAATTCAGCAGCCAGACTGAAGCGCACTCGCGTTGGAGCGTCAGCGTCGCAGTGGACCGTCATTACGCACAATTTGCTTCTGCCTGTCAGATCAGATAACCAATTCCCCTCTGGATCTCCGTAAAACCCTACATCTTGCAGTTGGATACTGTTCGTACTAGTGCATATTCTCTGAAAGTTGGAAAGTTGTTGATGTATGCTGGATGCGCCATCGTTGTCGCTGTCAGACTGCGCATTCCGCCAACCGGGACCACCGGAATAGCCACGACCACCCCGACCTCTGCCTCGGTTTCTTCGCGAATACATTTATCTTTACCAAAAATGGTTCAAAAACTAAATGGTAACTGCGGTATCGTCGGTCTTGTGGCATAGAGCGGTGTAAAGCGGCGGAATCGCTGTAATGGCCAACTAAAAACGGAGAAAGGAGGCAAACGGGCGATGTGAATTTGATTGTTTATACAAGTGGAAACTGGAAACCAAACCGATACACATAAGTTGTCAGCGGTCTGTAAGCAACTTGTGTACCACGCTCATTGCACACGACGGCCCGTCACACTGAACGAGGCGAATTCAATTTTTGTTCACGTACTTAAGTTTGTTTCCACCACCATTCAAAAATGAAACTGACTTTATCTGATTACTGAACCACACTACGAACAAATTTGCAAACCACTAAATCCATTTAGTATATACAAGTTCTTTGCCCCTATCACTGATGCTAACATACGAGAATTTAATCTCACCATTGCAAAGAGTAGCAAACTGAATATCTAGCAACATACAGAGGAAGATCACCACACTGTACTCTTCGGTACTCCAATGTGCACGCTCTATCCAAAACCGATCATAACTGAAACTCTTTGGGTCTGCCCTTGTCGAGATGGTTGATATAATTTCGCCCATCCGTAACCGAATCGCCTCGGTAATCACTTGCTTGCCATCCAGACGAATCGATAGAAACAAATCCTTATGGATCTCCGCAAATGCCTTCCAGCTGCGTTTAATCGCCCTTTCATTCTAAACAAAATGCGATCATTATAGTAATTATATTTTTATAAACACCTCTACTGTAGTGCGATAATAATAATAATATAATGCCAACTAACATCTTTTCTCGTTAAATGTTTAAGATCTGGAGAAAGCAGCTGCAACATTTTCCCGGCTTCTTTAATTATCCCCGTGATATTTAGAAGACCGGACGCATGTAACAACTGCGTATTTGTAGCCTGCAGTTTCTCCCGTAGGTTACGCTGGGCCCGCCGTTCCGCAGCAAGCTCTAGCTCCTGTTCATTAATAACAGTCTTCAAAGCAGTGGACTGCGGCCGAAACAAAATAGCCTAAAATAAAAAAGACTGACTGATTTTTTTACGTAATCATTGTAAAATTTTGTTGTGTTATTATTGTTCATTTTCACGTTATCAGTTTAAATCACAATAATTTTACCTACCGCGTTTGTGGAAAACGACCGCATCACCCGGAAGCTCGGGCAATGAAGAGGGCATCCCATCTAGGAAATCGGATGGTTCAATAAAAATCTAACAGCCCGGGCTAGCTAATAACAGTTTAACGCAAACGTAATGCCAGAGTAGAAAATTACCTTTAAAACTCGCTTCCCTCTGCCACCAAGAATCACTTTGCCCATATCATTTACGCTGACTTCGGCATCTTTTAAGGCTTTCTGACACGGCTCGACTGTGCGCTTGTGCGCTTGATTAAAGGATCCACAATACTTTCGAACTTCGAACGCGTGAGTTTCATGTTGAGATGCTTTGGGCCGGCGGCGTCCATTGTCAAATACGGCAAATTGATATCCGTCTGCAGGGCGGAGGACAGTTCACATTTAGCCTTTTCGGCTGCTTCTCTTAGGCGCTGCATGGCCATGTTGTCCTTGGTGATGTCAACGCCTTGCTAAAAACGAAGCAATACAATGCTGAAAACGTAGCTGTAGAAGCAAGCACAGCATGGTTGGTAAACGATATTAACAGAAGTACTCACATCACGTTTGAATTCTTTAACGATGAATTGCAAAAGGGCAGTATCAAAATCTTCGCCGCCAAGGAAAGTATCGCCGTTCGTCGATTTCACCTCAAAAACAACTTTCTGAATCTCCAGGATTGAAATGTCGAATGTTCCGCCTCCCAGATCATAAACGGCAATGCTATGGAGAAGACCGGAATTAATTGCTAGATTAGAGTTAACAAAGCAAATACTTAGCGTGACACAAGTTCATTCCGCGTTAAAACGAATAAATACGCCATTTAATGAGTAACTAATTTGACTTTCAATTTCATAATAATCACATACATCTGATCTTTGACTTTGTCCATTCCGAAAGCCAACGCAGCTGCGGTCGGTTCGTTAATAACTCGCAACACATTCAAACCGGCGATCTGACCGGCATTCTTTGTAGCTTGGCGCTGGGAGTCGTTGAAATATGCAGGAACGGTGATGACGGCATTTTTAACCGAAGTCCCAAGATAGCTCTCTGCCGAAATATTATGCGTAATAATATGAAGGAGCAAGGGAAACTCACGATTAAGTTACTCCTAAAGAATCTCAGTTAAGATCTCCGTATGCAAGACACTAACCCATAAAAAAAACTTAGACGGAATCCGAAGTTTGGCTGGAGACTTTTCTCGTGACAATATCGATCGCTAATTTTACATGTCCTGAGTCGTAACCAGCTTATGCTAAAGCTACCTTAGGCTATGTCGCATTAGCTGGGCGCAGTCCAACCAAGTTGTAGATCCGCTCATACTCCAAATGAAATGGAATATAAGTCATCCTGTATACCCGGTGCGTTCACACATGATACCAACGCTGACTCCAACCAAAATCTATATTTGCTGTTTTGTACAGAAAAAAATAGCATGTACAGCTTGATTTCACAGCCCTACATATAAGACCAGACTTGAAGTCCCCTTGGGGTTGTCTGCTCTTGTGCCGTAATAATAATAATAATAATAGTATCGTGCCCTCCTTTGATGGCTCATCTGGAAGGAATATACAACGTTACGCTACTGCGTGCACTTACATATTTACAGTGTGCCGCACTCACCTGCTTTCACTTACCTCACTTGTATATTAGCGTTAGTGACTTTTATACTCTTTGTAATTTCAAATTCCAAGTTGCGTTTAGAGAATTCCTTTGAAAACATTATTCCAAACAACTACATCGACTTATTCGTAAAAAAACAGCGCGAACTAACTATTTAAATTATGATTACAATTATCAAACATACATTTGCCTTGATTTATTTTATTCAATTAATCCGATGTTGGCTTCAGACCAAGTAGTGCTAAAGTCAAGCTCAACTTCATGACGTTTTGAAAACGGCAAAGCAGAACTTGGTTGGAGTCGAAAACGCCGGTTTTCTATTTGGGTAATGTCCTTTCAGCTGACGAAAAATTTCGCCATTACTGATAAGGCGCAAGCCAAAATGCAAGAAATGTATTGTCATAGTTTACCAGCTGTTTCCTTCATTTTCATTTCGTTTCCAATTAAACGCTTAGTGGCGTAGAAAGTATTTGCTGAATTCGTCACCGCTTGCCGCTTGGCCGGCATACCGATACGTTTTTCGCCGGATGGTGTAAACGCCACCACGGAAGGTGTCGTTCTGGATCCTTCAGCGTTCTCCAACACTTTGGGCTGTTTGTCCTCCATTATGGGCACGCAGGAGTCAGTCGTTCCCCAATCAATTCCCACGACGGCACCTTTGACTGGTCGGCTATCTTTGGAGGAGCTGAAAGCAATGAACCAAAAAATACATCAACAAATGAAAAACGTGAAACATTGTTCGGATGTCGGAAGGGTGAGCGCATACGAACAAAAACCTAAAGCAGTTGTCGTGCAAGTTTGCAACTATTCCAGTACGAGCATATACAGTACTTTCAACCAAGTGTTCAGTACAATAATGACGGAAGAATGTGCATTGTACAATATTAAAACTTGAATTTAAAACTGTAATATGAAATGCTGAATAAAGTCTACTACTTTGCTTCCACAACTGAAATCCCCGCATTAATTACATGTGAATTTTAATTTTGAACGTTTGTAATCAGAACCTGAGAGCTTCTTGCTCATTATTTACTTATTGCTGAGAAGTAACTTATTACTTATTGGTTATATTCTCTCTAGACTATCTCTCTGCTTATCCGTTTAAGCGTTATTTAACCGCCTCGGCACAAATCCACAGTGCAATCACGCTGAAATCGGTGCAAACTGGAAGTGCTCACATTCTTACAGAAACTCCGAAACCGTGAAACGGTGAAAGAATACTATTTTACAGAAATCACTTACGCAAAACAGCGTCCATCGCCGAAAACCCTCTCCAGGAAAGAGGGAACCTGAAGTTCCTGCAAATAACAGGCATGCAGTCATGTTTTGCAAAAGTACAGCGCCACGCTAAGATAAATGGCCAGAGTACCGCGGTGCATTGCATCATGTTCGTGAAATTCAATGGCGACAAACCTGGGATAAAAATTTCGACACAGTTTTTGGAACTTTAAGCATTTCCATCCGATATAAACCTAATAACTAATTCAATTGATGTAATGTAATTGAAGTACAGTGAGAGCATAGTATTACTATGCTATGCTATGCTAATACTATGCTATAATATGCTCTAATACTATGCTCTCGTTAAACAACGCTGAAGACACCGAAAATTATAAAATCACTATCAGCAGACAGCAAGATGTTTTGAGCAGCTGCTCCGCTTAACCATGGCATCTCACACACTTAACCATACGCTATGGTTAAGTGCGAACGTATGGTAAGTGTAAACACCATACACACGCGTCGTATGGTGATCGACTTCCAATGGCTCCTCTTAACTCCCTTACACTTTAACTTTGCTAGAGGTGGACTTTTCAAGCACAGAAAACATCAGAGAATTAAAACCTTCATGTTTCAAAGGATGCAAAACCTCGTAACATGAAGGAAAATATAGATATGTGATCCAGTTGGCTAGTTTTTATGTTGTACATGTTTTGCCGTTTAATTGTCAGCCTCACGTGCAGCTAACAGTATACAAAAGATTCTTTTTTATTGCAGTTTTCTTTTTTATTGCAATTAGTAGTTGGTGGAATCGGCTGTATTTGAGCTTTTGACTTTTATAGATTAAAGCTTGCTTCTTTAAAACTTTAAGACTGCGAGATACAGTAAAATTAGCGACACAGGCACCGTGCATGCACCGCCCGCACCGGTGACCTAACTAAACGGTAATTAAACTCGTAGAAATTTAATAGTTACATGGTCCACACGTCAAATAGCTACTCGTACAAAATTATCGACATATACAGGTTGGATCCTTGTGACCTAAAAACGTATTCAGATCGCATTTCATTAGATTTTAAAACTAAAGAGCTTAAGCTTGCTGGAGCATTACGACAGCCCGGCGGCGTCAGCGCTGACGCGATTGCTGTCTTGAACATCCCATTCATTCAAGCAAACAAATCGGCAACCCTGAAATAATCATCGTTATGAGATTCCTATTTATTTGCCAGATACATAAATAGCAATTTGCACGATGATTTCGTAGATTGAACTAGCCGCCGTAGCCGGACACTTGACGTATTCGTACGTACAGAGGGTATAGTATTCGCCAGCGGAGCTTGATTGATGGCAGGCTGGCTGGATGCTTGTGCCTGCCCAGTTGATGCATCGAGACTTCCTGTGGATGGCAATTGCCAAGATTCCGGCATGCCTGTAATTTGTAAATGCTTTCATTAAACCGCCAGCATTCAGTCGTAAACGGATTTAGCGAAGAAACACTCTGTCATACGTTGTCCACAAAAATCCGTCACGTCGATTAGGTTTTTTCCATGCCGCTGAATAAAAAAGGCACTGCATCCACAAACGTCATTGACACATAGGGCAGTCGGAATTAAGGGGCATTTGAGTTTCGAGCATGCTTTCGGCGAACAAATACGCCGGCAGTCCTCATCCCTCACAACTGTGCCGGCCACAAACGCCGCAACGAAGCAACCTAAAAAATTAATACGTGCAAGCCATAAAACGTTCAGAGTTCCTTTAGGCTGGTTCTACCGTGTTAAAGTTAAACGGAGCAGGCTCTATGCTCGACTTTCCCTTGACAGTTTTCTATAAACAGGTACAAGGTCATCGTGAGAAACGGAAGATTTACTACTTGCTAATAAATACGACAATGCAGTTTAATTTATCAAGCTAATGGTAAGGAAAGTTAGAAAAGGAAACGCTCGCGCTGTTAACGTACAATGTATGGTGTCACAACATTCTACCAGCAATGGTGTGCACACAATACATTGTGTAATGTACAGTACATTGCGCGCGCAATGTAATATGAATACTTATATGTACTCAAATGGTGCACGTAATAACGCATACCTGTCACTAAATAATATACAGAATTTCCCCCACTGATCATTGTCACGACAATGGCAATAATCTTTTCAACAACTATATTCCTATTGGATTAGCTTGAAAATTGAATAAATACTTTTGATATTCCTCGTATGCAATAAATATTCGGCTTTATACAGAATCTGATTCCGAGTTATAGGATAAGAGATCGCTGTAAAATATGGCAGGTATACATTTATAAACTACAGGTTCAACTGATTTTGTTTTTAAATACAGTGTCGTGCGTTATGTACGCGCTACCGCTTTGCCATCCCTGTATCTCCGTACAATGAGATAACAATAGCGAATATTTGAGAACACTGTTAATTAGTGGCCACACAAGCATAACTGTTGTTATAATAACACTGCAGCAGGAAGCAGAGTTCAATAAACAAAACGAAGCATAAAATACAATTATCATTCAAATTTATGAACAGTGTTACAAAATTTGTCGGTGTCTGTCACAACACCTACTTGGTGATGTAAGCATATATGTAGAGTATGTATTGTATATATATAATATAAAGATCAGCAGCGCCAAGCATCGTACTGTACATCTTTACGGCTTGTGCCATTACAGTACTAAGATTTTTTGCTAAAAAAATTAGCAGTACAGGGATAGCGATTCAGCTGTACTCCTGATAAGTTTCATTCGATACAGCATGATTGCCTATGGTGGGCAAATTAACCGCAGAGGCACTGTAAGAGAACACTCACATCATAATAATACTATGGTGGTAATAGTTCCGTTGTCACGAGATGTCATAACCAAAGTCGTTTTTTGAAACTGTTGTGCTGATTTGCTTGCTTAAAGTTTTTGCTCTTATTGCAACTCTTTAGTTGGACATAATATTAATTCCAGATTCAACATAAAGTCACGGCACATACTACAGTGACTGCATTGTTGTTGCACGTAATGCTTTGTGGCGCTGCAATAAGCATCAAGCTGTCATTAAACATAAAAACAAATTGTATTATGGTGCATCTTCTTTTTTCCTCTTACTACAGAGCGTATCATGTGAATGCTAAAACATAAGCTGCGTGCTGCTTTTAGCGTGTTCTTATCTGTGATGTGACTGGCGGTGAACCTACTTATTTAATTTTGTTTGAAAATACGAGCAGTTTAGCGTAAAAAGTTTGTACAACATGCACACAGGTGCTATCAAATTTCAAGTAATGTCGTAACATTATCAGGATGCACATAATCTCTCAATATGTATAGAACGAGCTTCGCTCAATGATACCAATCAAATGAAGAATTTGCCAGGTTAACCGGGCACTTCCAGGTGAGAAGGGACTGTGCACAACACACTCAAAGCTTGTTCTGCGTAAAATGAATGTGGAATGAAAATGTACAGACAGGAGTATAGTTGAGTTGCGTGTAAGTGTTATCAATTTAAATAAAACAATATGAAATTGGGATGTTGGATCTTACATGGGACGAGTTAATTACTAACAGTTAATGCTCGTACATTAAGTTTCTGAATGCTCGCATTGTTGTGTTTTACGAGTCGTGTATCACGCGTAAAATGTTCAGGACAAAAAAGTAAACACAACTATTTTGTACAATACATACGAACGGTGCAGTACCACAGTTGGAAGCTATTTAAGTAATCTTCGACTTCGGACTTAATACTATACTCGTACACAATACCCACATATCCAACTCCGGGAATATCAACTCCGACTGACCAAAATTATGAGACTGCGGTATTCTTACTTACAAAATTTTACATTCGTAAACCGGTACTTTTAAACCAGTATTACACTGTATACGATTGTAAGGAAATAATGTAGAATTTCATTTTACAATGCGTATGCTCGCGTAGCCACAAAAGTGTGCTTTATTAATTTACTTGATACATTTTTTTTAAAACTCATGTTGTATTGCACAGCAGTATTTGTATAGTGGCCACTGGCCAGCACCAACCATGCAACGAACAATTTTGAGTTTAATGATTACGTACTGTTATAATTTTTGGTACGTCGAGCGCAGTTCACTTGTCAGCATCATGAAGCAATCCAGCGAAACAAAAAAGTAAGTACAGGAGACCAAATACTCTATTAGTCTGCCAACGAAAAGGCTCACAAATAGTATTCAGTGTACATATTTCCTGTCTGAAAAGGAACTGCGCATTCCGGTTACGGGACTGCACCGGGAAGATTTGTGTACTGCTTTTTTATGTATACGAAACACTTTTCCCACATGCATTCTACTGTATTACGCAAGCTTTAAGTTACTTTATACATAACGTAGAAACCTTGTGGATCAATGCCGCGATTCAATTCTGTGAACTGTAACCAAAACTCCAAGCGTTTTTCCATTAAATCTGTATTTATCCACAATTCACTGCCTATTGAACTGGGAGAAAAATTCCAATAGTCCATATATGGATTTTGCGGATGCCGTGTGTAACTTGCAGCTGGTTTACGCAAGTTACAGGATAATAATCGCGCGCCGTTGCGTGTGCATATCTATTCGGCTCGGCCTGGCTCACACAGACATGAACATGCATTATCTCAAAACGAAACCGGAGGAATCTTTTGTGGACTCTGCTAGTCTGTCCCAACAAAGTCGCATTCATAATACGATTTATTAGTCGATAATGCAAAATTTCCCAACTACGTATTTTGTGACGGGAGAAGCGTGACAATTACGAGTATGAAAATTTATTTTGAAAAATCTTTGGTGTAGAAGAAGTTGAAAAACAACCGTCAGCTTTGTTCGTAATGCAGCTGGTAATTTATGAAGACACAGAACGATGACCGGTGGGAAACCGAACTACTCCATAGTTTTCTCGATACCGGTGGCATTTTGTTTTCTGTATGGATCAACACTGTTTCGCCCAACAGTCCAGTTTTCTGAGGAAAGGTACTGTGTTGTAATGTGTGTAACGATATAGCCATGATTGTGCAAATTGCGTATCAGTGATAATTACAGTATTTGTACATTATGAAAATCGTATAACGTTTGGACTTACGTAGTAAAAATCTAGCTGACTACCAGCAAGCAGATAATTATCATAAAAATTTTGGCGTGACTTTAACTAGCTAGTAGCCGTTAAATGAACAGGTACGCAAAAAATTTCGAAAATAGTGAAACAACTGTGCGATCGCGGATAGCATTGGCTAGATTTTTATTTACAAACAAACTTTACCATTAGCTATACTTTATGCAGCATTTGATCTTGTCGGCGTGAATGCATAGCATCGCCGGCTGCGAAGTATCTGATTCCGAGGTGTAACTTGCGAAATCGTTTAATTGCAGTTTGAAGATGCTGGCTGAAAAACTTGGATCCCGACTACACCGCATTACCCGGGAAGTTTCCGGTTACGATGAGATCGAAAAGGTATTCAATACTTGCTGTCTTGTCATCCGTGGCAGGAGTTACAACTGTCCCATAATAGTTTATATTGTGGCTGGAGGCATACAGGTTGGCCTACGCACATATTGCACTAACAAGAGTCATTTTCTGATTTCATCTTGAAATCGTTAAAAAAATTGATGAAATATCACACATTTGCTGCACTGCACGTCGCATCTTGCATGTACCTACAAGTTACACGTACACAAGATATCTTGCACACCTATATAGCCGTCAATCAAGATAATAGATATACAGAGTAAAAGTAATGCGCTAAGAATATAAAATATTTCTGACATAAATTAATACAATAACTGGCAAGCCTTGAATTCATACAATAACTGCTACACGTTAGCTTAAAAAATGCTGCCCGGCAAAAATATTTATATTATAAAATCAACATTTTTGCGGGGCAGAATAATATCGTGTTGTCGTGATGTGGATGCAATTGTTTTCCTCTTCCAGGGATTTACCAGTTCCGGCGCAAAAATCGAGGAAATTGACCCAAGCAAATCGTTACTAGCTATTCGTGACGAGCTTGGCCGAGCAATAAACAAAAAAATCGTGGCTTTAAAGGTAAGCGACAAAACTTGTGCATGCAACTGCGCACTTCCCGCTGTGTGCATGCAACTGCGTTTAAGTAATAATATAATTACATGTACACCGCATAAGCATCTCTCTCTCTGTTTCACGCTGCCTTAAATGTTTTTTTCTTTACTGATCGTGAGGATGTGATCAAGCTGTTGATCTGAAGTAATAATATAGCTTAGGCGAGAAACGAATTCTTCGTAATTTTTCTCTACAGGAACATCTTGAATGGCAGTTTCCTGAAATATATTGGAGCGTTTTTTTAAACTTAATATTTCCTTCAATGTTTTGTAATGAATGGTTATCTGCAAACTAGCTAAATGTATTTAAATATAAGTGACCAAATGCCGAAAGCAATTTTGTTCATCTCAATTGGCAGTTTTCTAATTTCTACATCTTTCAAGGTATTGCCATTAACTTTGTTCAGTTATTGACTTCTGTAATACTTCGGTAGTACAATAATTAAAAGTAACATTGCAATACAGTAATTATATGTAGTTATAGACTTATAGTTGCAACGAACACTAGTCGTACCACTGTTTGTCACCTGGGAAGTGCATACACAGCGTTATGCAATAAGATCATCCAGACTCCAGGATCATTTTCAAACTTTAAAGCTTGAACAGTAGCTGCAGCAACTGATCGGCATATACAATAGTTACCGATCTTCGTTTCTCTGATCTGTAAGGGAAAAACCATGCAGACGTGTACCCTTTGATGTAAGTTAACTCGGCCATCCTGAGTTTAATTTGTACGGCGATAAATGTCGGGAATTCATGTTTTCTTTTGCACCTTGCGGCATTGATAAATTCCATTGGGAATAACTGGTGCGATGCGATCGCGGGATCGGCTGCATTTACAGCACGTTAGGCGCTATATATGGTTTTCTAATCAATCAGTTAATTTCAATTAGCGTTTACGGCATACCATGCGATTTAAAATTATTTTTTTGCCTTTGAAAGAGAAAAAATTAGCCAATTCCTGAAGTTATTCAAATGTAGTAAGTTGCAAGGAAAGACGATTAGCTGTGGTATTACTTGGAAAAGTTAAGTCATGCAATCAAGACTCAGTACGCTCTGCAGAATCTGCACATAGGTATCTAGATCAAGTGCAACACGTTTTAATTCTCCACTCTGCAGCAGGCCGTCAAATGCGTTTCTGCGACTGCATATAATAATAAATCAGACAGAATATATTTAATTTTACAGCGACTAAAAGGCGACCGAAAAGAAGACTTTTTGTTATTAGCTAGTAATTTAGCGCTGGAATAGATTTGAATGATGAGTCGAAATTTGTACAAAGCCTGTGCTTTGTTTTTTTCTAATGGGCCGATTATTGCAGAGACTCGGAGATTTTGCTGAAGAAATTGCGGACGGATACAGATGGGACGGTGGAATAAATGTATGATGCATGCCGCTTCTTACGATTAACTGTCATGCACAGCCATACAGCTGCGCATCTGTTTGATAAAAGCTATTTAAAATCGATTCAATAACTTAATCCCGTTAACCGCATTTCCGGCTTACAGACCAGCTACCCCAATGCCAAAGAGCCTGACAGTCATACTTTCGGATTTGATCCCGTTGAGCTGATACAGGATTCACGCTTTCATAACGATGCCGTTAATTTGCAGTCAAGCACATTACATGTCCCTACCAACGTTTTTTCCCGGTGTGAGTAACAATTCCTCCGTCGCTTTTCCCATTCATCAATTATCTAAATGGTCTCATCACATCTTTGTATCTGGTCCAAATAAATAGCTTTAGCCATCCAGAACGCGGCCAAATGGACGAAAAAGCTAAATGTGAGTGCAGCTATTTAATTTTCACTCCACACATTAACCTTAATTGACGTACTGAATAATAATTGTAATGCTTCGTGTAGCATATGTTCCGCTACAATTTCTACCACGATCATACACTGGTGTCGCAATACTTTGCCAGCACCACTGGCTTCCAGCGAATGTACCCGGGAGTGAGGTGGCAGTATTCCCGTGATCCCGACAAGCCGGACATGTACGATTGCCGCTTAACTAATTGGTACATCAGAGCCGCAAGTAGTCCCAAAGATTTGGTCATTTTATTGGATATAAGCGGCAGCATGACTGGCCGCCGACGAGATACGGCGCGGCGCACTGCCATTGAAATCATGAACACACTAACTGATGATGACTTCTTCAATATTCTCACCGTAAGTGGCTGGATTCGCTGCTGCATTAAATTTAACGACATTACAAATAGGAAAAAAACCTGAGAGCCTGGAGAATTACATACTTGGAAGTGAAATGACATTTATGAAAAATTGCATATTGTACAATGATTTATTGGTAAAATTTTGATGATGCCATCCCTATATATATAATAAATTTTATGCTTTCTTAAATACTGATTCTCGCACGAGTATTTCTCTTAAATATACTGGAACCTTTTTTATACTGGAATATTTAAGTACGTCAGCCGTTTTATTCCGTTAGCTGTTGGCCATAATGGCCGATGAGCATTTCCCAGTCACAAATGGACAATGTCACAATGGTTACAGTTACAAATAAAAGATTTATTTCAAACCAGTTAAAACTTAATTTTGGATATTTATATAGCGTATCTGATATCTACCGTATCTAGATAAATATGTTATACATTTAAATAAAATAAGTTTTGATATTTTTGGTACATATTTTGCTTATTAACAAATTTGTCAAAATTATGCATGAGATATTTTTAGTAATTCAGATGCTAAATGCAGACGCTTGTAAAACTGTTTGTATCAGCAAAGTATGGTCAGTAAAGCCGAAAGTATACTTGTACGAGTAAGTCTTCACATCCCTAACAATAAACGTATCATGCAGTTTATTTTCATAACGTAGTTTAAAGATGACACGCATTTCCTGGATCCCTGTAACAACGGCACATTGGTGCAGGCCACGGATGCCATGAAAAAGCGTTTTGAAAAATTATTATTCACCCTGCCAACAAAAAACTTCGCCAATTACACTGTGGCACTTCCGGTGGCGTTTGACTTACTACAACGCAATGACACTGAAAAGTCGGCGAAGTGCAATAAAGCTATCATGATCGTTTCCGATAACGCCCCCGATTCCTTTGAAGACATCTGTAGTCGGTACAATCCGGAAAGGAACGTGAGGTTTTTTGCATATGTTATTGGCCGCGAAGTTACCCAGTATGACGAAATGGTAGATCTAGCATGCAATAACCGCGGTTATGTGGGACATATCATTACCATGGCGGACGTGCGCGATCTCGTGCAAGTAAGCGAAATAGCTAACAAACTTCAAGCTTTTCAAACTGTTCTAATGCAAACTAAACTGGCTAATTATAACGTTTCCGTCATGTATGTTTCAGGAATATTACAGAATTATGGGACGGCCTATGGTTTTAATGAATAATCATTCTCAAATTTGGACAAATGCGTATTGGCATCCGAGAGTATGTGCAGAGAATTATTTTACAAAAAAAGTTAATATGCATGAGCAGTAGAACCAAATTGACATACGAGCACGAACAGCAAAAACACTTGCTTAACGTTTACGTATTAAGTAAATAAATTTAATAAAAATCAGCATAGGAAAGGTCCGGAAATTGTCGTTTTGCAGAATGTCCTTGGGGTAGTCGTTTCCACAGCTCAACCCATATTTAACCGTTCCGCCATAGCGGTGCGTATGCATGTTTTTTTACTTTGATGCACACTTCTATCGATTTATTGGAGTTACTAGTAACTTGCGCAGCATAGTTGCACCTGTTATTAGGGTCATAAAGGAGATTTGCTTGGAGTAGCGGGAATAGATGTACCGATAGAGGATTTCGTCAAATCACTCACTCCACATAAAGTATGTACCACAGTGATAGCTAATAAACATTACAGTTGTTCATATGATGACTCTGCCAATGATCCCCAAATAGCGCTATATATAAATGTGCTACAGTAGGATATCTGCTTGCGTAGACCGATAATGACAGTATTATTGTGCTCGGAATGTCACAACTGACCTTTTCTTTAATTAGTGGGGCGTGGGATCCTATATTTTTGGAATAAATCACAACGGGAAAGTTCTTTTTCATCCATCATGGAAACTATACCTTGTAAGCGGTTTCTTTAGCCATTCTCGTTCACGCTTTAAAAGACCCCAGCCGCGCATTTCGGTGAACTTTTGCATTTTCGTTCTATTCTGTTTAGATATTACTTACGCAATATAATGCAAGTATTTATCAGTAGCTTTTAATCATTTTGTTAATAATAAATCATTTTTCAAAACATTTGTCAGTAGTACGTACTACTTGCAGTTACATTTGGATTTTGTATGTCACGATTCACGAATCGAAGCCGCTAACAAGCACGCTTGTTTGGTACTGTACGAGTACAACCACTGCTTAAAGTTTACAGTAGCCTGCACTACAGCAATATTAACATTGATTTTAATCACATATGCATAAAAAATTCAAATTCCTGCTGGATCTTTCGCTAATTTACCTAATTTATCCAAATATGAAATGGGTAATTTTATAACTGCCTAATTTTAGACACCTGAAGGCTATCGATCACCAAGGAAGCCAGAGATCGATCTTGCACTGGTGGAATTTGAAGTGAATAAAACAACGGTAAAGCATTGGATAGGAACAGAACCATAAATATGCGAATAATATCACTCGAACAATCAAATTTTCAACACATGCGAATTACGAGCAAAATATGATACCCTTACACCTAAATTTTGTAGATTCCAACATCATATGACATGAAGGTACGTGGTATAATCTCCTTCGTGAATTCCAGAGATGACACTGTAAAACCATAAGGAGCAAAAACGTTTTTCTTCTCGAGTGAATTATTCAGTGACATAAATTTATATTTGAGAAACTGATAAAGCCACTTAATTAGATTTGATAAACTTAGGATGTACTCTGGATGAGTTTTGCAGTGCTCATATGCTCTAACATTTCTTGTTTTCAGCTGCGAAACGACATGATCAATCAAATAACCGGAAATATCCAAATGCAAGTGTTACGTTCGTTGCAGGACGGGGTACGATTTTCTACGTCAAGTTTTGGGTGTATGTTGGAAATTAATTTCCATATGGTCACTATACTAACCACTACGCTGCAAAATGTGGTAATAATTTTACCAGATAAACATATCTAAATGAATGCAAGGACTTGAGAATAAAAGACTTGTATACGGATGCAGATTTATATGGCAGCAATTTGTGTCAGTATACTGTAAAATACTAGTACCGTTAGAAATTTTTCAGATTTTCCATTTTTAGGTGTAAAAATCGTCACCAATCTTTCTTTTATCCGTAGAAACGTGTATTTGAACGGGATTATCAGTATTATTATACCTCTCTTCCTCAAACACCCTTCAGGTAAATAAAGCACGTACGTCAGTTGTGAGTTATGAAATCTGTGTGTTCATAGTGAATCTAAAAGTACCTCGAGGTACTGATCTAATAGCTATGGAAGCTAGGCTCTACTTGTTATAGCGCACTGATTGATTCATAAATTCGAAATTAGAATTATCTCAGCTAGAAAATTCTGCTTTATAATCATTTACTCTTAATCCAAGTCCCGCAGCACAATATTATTACAATGGCAGCAATATTATTAATTTAGCGTTGCCATTGCAATTCCAATTGGCATGGGCAGACCATATTCTGCAAAACTTCGAATCGGTGGAAAATTTCCTGCGATTAATATTGCCGGTATGTGATGGCAAACAATTTGACATTACCCTTGCAGAAATGTGTTACAGTGCTAGCTGCCGTGGATAAATTCAGTTGTTATAGGGTTCCTCCAGAACACGGAATGGACTGTACATCCAAAGTGGCCTTACTGCAAGCTATCATCGATAAAAAAGCCAACCGATACCGTTACGCTTTTGGACAACAAAGCGCACGAACAGTATGCAGTGGATAACAGCGAAAACTCAACCCAAACTTGTGCGAATAACCATTCAGTATACATTGTACTGTGGAGTTATATCTATATATCGTATTAAAGTGCTCAAACCAGAAAATTTTAGGTGACGTGGAATTGACAGAGTCACTGGCATTTGACGCAAAAGCTACGTTTGCAGCCGGAAATCATTGGTTTGCGGATATTAAGGAGCACAGTGACCTTTACGGTTTATACGGAATCACCACTTGCTTTACTGTAACACGGGCTGGTCTGACGCGGTGGAAGGATCTGAGAAGACCGGTGATAAAATTTAACTCTACTGATTCCACAAATAGTGCTTACGATTTAGCTTACCTTGACGATCTCCCGTCCAATTCGACCGACAACACAACGTCAAAGTATGGTTTGGAATGAGGCCCTATGCATGCAATTGAGTTTTTTAGCAAACTTTTTAAAGAAACGATTGCTAAACACGGTTACTGCTTCATTTCTGATTGGCCCTATATACATAACGTTACCTACAAGTAGATGATGTGAATATATGGCATCACGGCCCAGTTTGTGTTTGTAGACACTTCTTCCACATATTCACCAAAGCTGTGGACGAAGCATTTTACGAAAGGACCATAGCAAGTGCAGCGGATGTTACAATCTCGCCAATGATAGTGCCTTCCAGTGATGGTAGGCAGTCTTGATTATGTCTGGGGCAGGAAGCATAAGCAATACCTTGGGACCTTTATTGCTTCATTTCTGAAGCAAAACTACACCATTTTACTTTTATTCAGGAATTGGCTATTTGTTTCAGAAAATAACAATGTTAAAGTCTCCCGAGATGTATTCATGGCGTCTCTGCCTGTTTTTATTGGAGACGAAAGCCGGAAACAAGCACCAGCTGCTGTGACTGGGATCATGATGCGAATAAGTGGACTGAGAAACCTTCTGTTGCAATTATCGAAAAATACGGTGAATGATTCGTAATTTTTTGCCGTATAAGTTCTTGCACAGGTGTCAAATCTACTGTACACTGCTTTCCGGCACAAATCCCTCATATTAGTACTCCTGCTTTCCATTCATGAGGAATGAAACAGCGCTGTATCCACCTTTTATAATTAATTTTGTGTTAACATAAAAGCTGCATGCGAAGTTGCTGAATGCAGTTGTTGACAAATTTGGATAAATACAATATAACAGAATAATTCTGTTCTACAGTGCAACGGATCTTCCAGCTGTTTATCGTGCCATAGTCCGTCAATTGTGTGCTATTTATTGGATGAAAACGGATATGTAATAATGGATAACCGCTATCCTGAAAATAGCGGCAAATTTTTTGGTGCATTAGAAGGGGAAGTTATGGATGCTCTGGTGCAATGGGAAGTCTACAAAAGGTACTGAAGTAAAATTAGGTAGAAAGTTTTGAAAACGAAATTGTTATCTGACCGTGCAACGGTAAAAAATTGTTGATAAATGGTGTAACAGGCAAGCGCGAGGAGATCACGAGTGAGCTTTATTGTACGTAATAGCAGGAAAGCTGCGTAATAGCTGCGTAATAGCAGGAAAGCAAGAACAAAGCACTGATGGCTAATAGCAAGTGATGCTGAAGTGGGTTCTTGAGCGTCTGTCAAGGCGTGAAAGAAGCAACTGGCGGCAAGCACGTGGTGTGTGCCATCAGCTGTGTGATGATGCGCAGACTGGACTCTATCCAACGCGAGCGTATGAACGCTGAGTCATACTGCGAGAGAGGAACGAGAGAGCAAGTGTGGCTCAGTGTATGCGCTGCGTATATCCGCTTCAGCGGATGTGAGTGCAGTGCAGCAGCACACGTACGTACAGCGAGAGAGGCGATAACGGCAAGCATGAGTGCAAGTACGTCCAGTGTGGACCGTACGCACCAGGCGCAGTCGTACGCCTCTGACATGCCTCTGGGCGGGAATCCGAGCTCCTGCGAAGGATGCTCCGACTCGGTACCGCACCAGTACCGCACAACTCTCCAGTCGGACCCAATGTGGGGTCGCTGGTACGCGTCCTCTAGCAGTGGGAGTCCGGTGTCTGGTTGACCGTCCCTTCTTCACTTCCAGACCCGTGAGAGGAAACCACTCACGGCCGAAAAATCCGGAAGCCGCTCGGGCGTTTCGTTGGACCGGTGATGCTTCTGTTGGCTGGCTTCTTGCTTCTGTTGGCAGCGGAGAACAATGTGAAAGAGAAATGTAATGAAAGTTGTATACAGCGCGAAAGAAAGTATGAAATAAAGTTTAATCACAATTCCAGTGAGCAAAAGGGGTTACAAAACAGATCTGTTAAAGAGATCGAACTAGGAAAATACAATTCCGTTTGTTAGGAGAAATGCTAAAAAATGCAAAAATCTGTCCGGGGGTCCCATTCCGACTAGGATGACGTCCACGGGGCAGTTGAGTCTCCACGGGGTCTCCTGTCCACTTTCATCCGGTAAGGTTGGGTCCGGGGCATCGGTTCCCGAGTTACCCGTCGTAACCGGTTGCATCCACCGAGGTCAGGTAAGCACGGTTAAACACTTACTTCCGACTCGTATCCGTCCATCAGGGATAGAGAGGCACTGTTGCGGTTGCAAATGCCGAAGCATCCTCTCTGAATGGGGAATAGGACCGAGGTCGGTTTGACCAAGGTCGGCCTACCGGTAAGTCGACCGGCGGCTGGGGAAATTCGGCTATGTTCCGAATTCTTAAAGTTCAGGTCGGAAAGAGCTGTATGTAAATCATGCGGCCTGTGTGGTCGTCATGTACAGCGGTTCCGTTCAAAAAGTGGTCGGTTGCAACCGTTCAATCTGCTACCACGAGCCTAGTCTGGGGTAATCCGAGTCGAACTGGCTCGAAGGTCCGATCGGAGATAATGGGTTTCTTCAACGGGAGTGCCGAGTCGACTTCCATTCGAGGTCGGCTATCCCATCCGTTGGTGGTCGACTAGGGTTGACCTGCAATAACATGCCCATATGGGGCTAAACAAGTTCCTTCAAGTCGAATTCGTCCACCGCAGACAGCTGTCGATCTTCTTCCGTCATGTTGACTGGAGTTCCGATTTCCGACTTGTGGTCGGTTATGGTTGACTTCGGAAGGTCGGATGAACTATGTTCTCATCCGTCCGAAGGTCGAATTTTTCCGTTAGGAGGTCGGTTCTCGACTTCCAAATGTCTTTGCCGACTTGTTGTCGTATCCTTCCGACTTTTGTGCGGTCACTTCCGACCTTGGTTTGCGGTCGGTTAGCCATGTCGGATTTCCGAGGTCGGCTATTTTCCGACTTCCCCAGGTCGGATAAACTTTGTGTTTTATCCGCCGAAAGGTTAAGTTCTTCCACTGGGAGGTCAATTTCTTACTTCTGATTGATTTTCCGACCTGTTGTCGCGTACTTCCGACCTCCATCTGGTGACTTCCGACTTCCGTTTGAGGTCGGTTGGGCTAGGCAGACTGTACCACTACGCCCAATGTGGGGCTAGTCGGTAGCTATCAAGTCAACTTCTCTGACGTGAACTCTGGGTCGGATCCGAGCTACTGTTGAGGTCGGTTAATCCGGACGACTTGCTTCTGGGCCGCCAGGTCTTGCGAGGGAGGAGTTCCTTGGCATCTGTTGGCCGGTTGGCTGGCGTTTCATCATGCACTGCGCTCGCTCACGACGCTAAGGGTCTTTGTGGCCCCGGTTGCCGAGCCGAGCTCTTTGGTTTAAACTTCATGCACATGCAAGTCCCTGAGGTCGTCAGATCCGATTCTTCCATTTTGTTTTGTCGCGAACCTGTGACGCCTAGCCGCTTCTGTTGGGGGTAGACGACTCACGTCCGCGAGGGGAATTTTCCTTTGCCGCTGACGAAGACCGACTGGCTGGTACTGTTGCGGGCAGGTGGTCAACGTCATCGGTGTTCGTTAGGGGGGTGCGGACCGAGTATTCTAACTCAGTCTGCCTAGGGTGTTCCATTGGAGACATGGGGAAGCAGGTCGCGGCGGAGTCGTTGGTACACCAGTATCCAAATCACCGTCGCTGTTCCTCTTCAGGGAATGGCAGCACGTTCAGAGACGCGCGTAGTCGTGGTCACCGGTGAATCGGCTGGTTTACCCGATATACCCGGGGGAGACTGCGGTTGATCTCCAGGTACAGAGCCTGTAGGTCTGGATTCAAACGGAGAATCCGGTTGAATTACCACGTAACTACTGCCAGTTTCCATCCATTTTCCATAGTCGACTTCTGTTGGCCGCTATGGTCGACCTGTGTGGTCGGCCGTAATGTCGACTTCTAGTCGATCTGACTGTCGTTTCCAAAGCCGACTTGTGTAGTCGGCTTGCACAACCGACCTGTGTGGTCGGCTGATGCAGCTTATTCGGGTATGTTCCAGGTTGTGGGTGAGGTACGAAGTCGACCTTTGTGGTCGATACGAGTGCGCATAATCGAGTCCGAGTCTTCCTGCGCTGTTGGCGGCTCGGCCGAGGGATTTCTGCTGTTTACAATGGTAAAGGCTGCTCGGCTACCCGGTTCCGAGGTTGGCCACGGATGCTTGGCAAACATGGCGTGAAACGCGCGCAGCGACGTGTTTCACGCCATGTTAGCGTTATCCTCTCGGTTTATACTCCGGAGTCGGTTGGCCGGAGTAATCTTCGTAGCTGACCGTGGTTAACGGCACTGTGTTTACCATGTAACGACGTGATCAGCTCCATGTAACGCGGATTGGGGCTTCTGTTGGCTCCAGTGGTCGCAGAACGTGGTTGACGATCTGCTATGTTAGCAGATGTGGTTACGATCTGCTCTTGCTATGCTGGGGAACTGGGGTCGGTTGCCCAGTTCGTTCCAGGGGATTCCTTGGGGGACGTACCGGTACGGTGAAAGAACCGAAATACCCGGGTCTGACCACTCGTTTCCGGGTCCAACCAAAGAATCCGGCCGGCTTGTACATGGTTAGTCGGTTTCCATGAAAACTAAAGAAGTATCCATTCGGAAGTCGTTTCTCGACGGTGCTGTTTCTCAGCTGGACTGTTTCTCAGTCAGGTCGGTTCTCGACCATGCCGTTTCTCGGCGTTAAGTTCCCAAGGTTATTCCAAATGGGGGATCGAGTTCCAGTGTGGGAGCTCGACATTAACTGAGTGGGACTTCGACGGGTTTATCGCCGCCGAAGTAATCTTCTTCATCGTCGTCCGGGCCAGGTCGGTTGTGCGGCCGGATGGTTGAGTCCTTTGGTTTACAGGTCGCCGAGCCACCACGCTGAGACATCTCGTCAGTCTCATCGGTTTCCTGGCCTGAACGCTCCGCTCTGCCCTTCTTCGATTCCCTGGCCGCCTGTTTTCGGAGCCGCAGCGCATATGGTCGTGCACCGGGTGCTATGTCGTCCGACATCCAAGGTTCGTAGGGTGACGAATTAAATCCGCTGGGCAAGGTCTTCTTTCGTCGGTACCAGCTGATAAATCTGGTCGCGTCGTCGCTGGGATCTATGTGATCCTCACGAAAGGCATACTTTGTCGCATACCGTTCGTGGGTGTACAGCAAGTCGCGCATCCAGACAGCCAGGATAACACTTCTCATCGGTGTGCCAAGTTGGGCTACGAGGGTCTCCACAGCCGCTGGTATCATTTCGTTCTGGTACAATCCATACAGAGTATAATGGCAAAGGTAGTTGCCAAGTCGGGCTGCGAAAATGAATCGCAAAAATGCCGTGACTCCGTCCTGAGCCATGTCAACTTCTCCTTCTGGAAGGTACTGGGTTAAATCCAGTGCTGCCCGAGCCGCGGTGATTACAAAGGCTGGGTGGGCGTCCGTGATGACGAACTGGGCAATACTCTCCAACTCGTCATGGGAGTATCCCCGAGCCCCTAGTTGGTCGCGCGTGTTCCGTCCGGGCTATACAACGGTACGTTCAGTAGGACCGGGTCAGTCATCGACGGTAGCGCATTCGATCTGGTATATGGGTGTTCAACATTCGGCGCTGTGTGCGCGTTCATGTTGAAGTCGGATTGCCACTGGTGCTGCTCGAACAGCGTCTGATATCCGGATCGGACGAGGAATTGACGAAGGTTTTCTACCATCCGCCAAATTTGTGGTCGGTTCCGTTCCTCGTAATTCATGACATTCATGATATGGTTTGTCCGTTCGGTGGGGTGTAGCATAACGACCTCGATTCCTTGTTGTCGAGCGCGGTCGTAGCGAGAGTCTTCTCGGATTGGCACTTCCACTTGTGGTAGTTGTGCCATCTGGTCAGCTACATCAACGTCCATTTGCTCTTGTTGAGCTGCTGGTTCAGCTTGGACTTCGGCCGCTGGTTCTGCTTGTTGAGCTTCCGGCTGCTGGTCGGGTGGGACAAAGTTACGTTTCGACTTATTTGTTAAGTCGACCGTGAGTCCGATTCCCGTTTCTCCAGATCCGGTTCGTTTCCCTGGTGGAG